TCGGTTGAAAACGCCTTTAACGGGTTTCACATTGCCTCATCCCTGCGCTCGATGTGGTCGTCGGGGGAGAGCGGGGGAGGGAAGAAGAGGACGTCGTAGTCGGGGCAGAGGGGCTGCTGCGGGGAGTGACGGCCGGAGTCAGGAGGGAGAGTGCAGAACTCGGGTGCGGGGAGGAGGGGCGAGTCGGGGCGGTGTGGAGAGGGAGAGCGGGAGTGGGTCTGCTCTGAGAGAGCAAAGTCGTACTGATGCTCTATCCATGAATGAATACGTTTGTTTCTGGAATGGGAAGAGTCGGTGAGCAGCTGCGAAAGCAGAATCGCAGCCTCGTCGTCCATTTCGGTCTCCTTTCCTCTTCTCCCATCTTTTATATCTTATATCCCAACGACATCTCAGATCCACCCGTAAGCACAACCCCATTCCCGATATGGCATACCAGATCCACAGATCTCGACACAACCTGCCACTCCCACACTCAAAAACTATTTTCTTCGCTTCACTCACCCCGCGGACCTGCCATCCACCGTCAACCATCCCATCCTTAATCCCTCCCCTGGGACCCTTGAAGCTTGAGTAGATACTTGTGCGTAGTATTAGCATTAGCATTCGCATTAGCGAGCATTGGCATTGGCATTGACATTGACATCGACACTAGCACTAACTCTGGGACTGGGTTACTCGGCACTTGAGATCCCAACACTCGACACTGGCTGCACTCGATACGAGGCCGAGCTGTAGTAGCGCTCCGCGCGCTGACGGGACTCGCACTCGATCGATGCTTCACCGTCTCTCACTATCTTTCAAAAGCCCGGGCTTACCACACCGTGCCATCCATTCTCACCACCGACACCGACACCGAGAGCGCGCGACACGATCGAGTGATACTGTAAACCAGTCAAGTCCGGGTTTGGGCCTTACGAACAGGGTGTGGGTGTGTCAGTGCGAGAATAGCCATGAGCCTGAGGCCGCCACGGTGCGATGACTGTATATGGTATAACAGAGCTTACTTGACTTGTGCGTGATGGGTGGATCATCATAAGTATGGTAAGACCTATCGAAAACTTGATTGCATCGACACAACTTGCTTCAGTCTGGTATGAATAAGCTTCAGTGTTTGAAGCCATCCTCCCGGGGCACCGTCACTTGGATAAACCTCGACGCGGACGCCGGTCGGGTACTCAACATAACGAACATGAGCATGCACTAAGCATCGGCCAATGTCATCGACGATGATGTGCAACCGTAAACTGGGTCCGAATGACGAAAGAAAGCCGGCGTCGCAGTCGGTTCACGTTGAACGCTCGCTGACGAAGATTGGCACTTGCCGGTGGGTGGCAGACATGTCAGACTCGACGGCGAGTGAGTGACGTTGACGAAAGAAAGAAAAAGGAAAAAGTCAATTTCTGATTCATTCCCTCCGACATGGACTCGGATCGCACTCATCCCCATCGACTAGCTATAGCCCGTCTATGTGAGAAAAACACATCCTCGAAGGAGCACTCCCAACCCACTCATCCCCACCCATATTCTACGCCCGCGGCGATTCCAAGAGAGCCGAAATCTAGAGCCTTGCCTTGCACTCAGTTTCTACCCAAGAAACCAAGAAAGCACCCAGAATCCGAATTCGCGTGATTCGAACGAAAAAAAAAACTCAAAAAAAACTCAACTCAACGAAACTCGAAGCTTACTGTAAAGAGATTCCAACCGCTGCCATTCAGATTTCAAAGTTCAATCGTGAACGCGTGAAACGTGGAAAAGGCTGTGTGACGAGAGTGATAGCTGTGACTAGAGTGACCGGGAAGGACGTGAAGCAAAAGAAAAGTGCGAAAGCCACGGACGGCGATCTCGAAAAAGGGGCGTTGTGCCCCCTCTGCGCGCGCGCAAAAGCGAGAGAAAACTTGACAAAGAATCTCAAAGGGCCAGTTCGAAGCATCAAAGTCGACGTCGGGGCCTGCAGGAGTCTCTCAGAGATTCGTCGAGCTTCTGCGCACTCACTGCGCTAGTATGATAGCCGACTCCGAAGTTCTAGCAAAGATCCCAACTGGCAAGCACAGTCCCTCCCCCCCCCCATCTTCGCGCCTCGTGAAGAAATCTTGAAAGTATATCTTGACGTAAATCTTTCAACTTGCATCCCGAGTCTTCTGCAACCTTCAAGTTAAACCGCGAGCCACTTGGGGGATCATGATGGCGGCCCACGGAACGAGGCTAGCCTAACTAGCAGTAGCGCATCCCGAACTGAGCTGCGATCGGAGAATCGCTGGGTCCTGCAGCAAACCTATAGCAACACGCGAATGACACCTTTGGCAGGTTGAGTGTTGAGTAAACATGGAGTGGTCGCGTCTAACGCAGTGTGAGTTGAGTTCGAGCTCATGTGCAAACATTCAACCTGTTTTCTTTTCAATGAAATGGCAAGTGCCGCAAAATAAGGTGACGACAGACCACACTAGTACCTGTATGATATGATTATGTTGCCATCACCTTCAAGTTGCTCCGCCGGACCTTCACCCCCTACAAAATGACCGCACCCACGACGTCGGTGCTGCAACATCCCTGCCTTGTGTCAATGAACGCATGATACACTTATACCAAGGTCCCGAATACAGGTTCGCGGCATGGAGGTTGTGATTTCGGGGGAGAGGTAAGCGTAATGACTGTGGCACATACCGGACTAAACCACTCCCAAAAAGTCCAAGTCCCTTAGTGCAAAAGTCGGCTGCAAGTGGTGACGCAAGTCGCGATCGCCTTTGCATAATATGTCATTCTGAATTTGTAGGGTGAGTTCTTCGAGGGCTTCTCTTGGACTTGCTGCATGCTGCTAAGGACACAGCTGAGGCAAGGGGGGAAAAAATGTTTGCAGTACCCGCTTGCACTGACTTTGAGGCAGCGGTGGTATGGTGTGATTGACGAGGCTCCGCGTCCATCATCATGATCGAACCTTGCAATCATAACTCGAACCCTCTCATTTCATTCAACTTTGCTCCGGCACTCCAGTATTCGCGACAGCCTGTTGCAGATTGGGACGGCGAAAACACTTCCAGCTTCAATACGGCGGTGGGAAATCTCAAGTGGCATCTGCGCTCGAGGCTTTCGTTCTAGTGGACCGGGATGCTGAACCCAAGGGCAAGGGATAAGCCTGATAAGCCGCGTTGACCCTAACTACGCAGCACGAAGTGGGCGCCTGGCCGCCCGGTGCGCATCGCATCGTGGCATCCTCGCCCACTCACTGCTTTAGCTTTTTCTATACTAACGTCACACTGCAGGCCTATGCACGACGTTTTCTCTTCCGGCAAACTCGGTACGACGACGACAGGCCCCAGCGGAGGGACAACGTGCTGAGACTTATGGCGTGCTAACTGACGCAGGCATGCCATGCCATCGAGGGGTTGAGGTAATCCGAGTGGAGTGCGTCGGAGCGTTGCGAGAGTTGACTGTTGGATGATGTCGTCAGCGGCCCATCATCCCATCATGTATTCAGTACTAGTAGAACCATGTCAATGACAGAATCTGGTGGCAGCGGCGCCCTTCAATAAACTTCAATCGGACTCTTCCAGCTTCGAGTTGATGCGCTGATGGCGAGTGATAAGCTCAAGGCGGGCGGGTGCGGTGCAGTGAGATGAAGTGACTACAGTACTAGTAAGTACGTCAGGGTCTTCCATTCCAAACTCGGGGCCGCGACGCGTTAATTAGCAGCGGGAAGGGCTGGGGGGGAGAGTTCATTTGCGGGTGGGTTAGTAGCGGTTGTCGATAAGGCAATCGTGAAATCTGGGGTGGTTGAGCTATCAGTTAATGGTTATAAGTGAATAGACTCGGACTAAAACTAAGGCTGATGCTAGGAACGAGGTGGAGGTGGATGGGATAGTAGTCATATAGCATATAGCGGGGAACGGACTGAACCTGAACCTGAACCTAGAGTGCGGTTGGGGCGGGGTATACTTACTATAGGGTTATGTCAGGCAGCAGGAAGGAACGTCAGAGGAATGCAGTATATTGTGAAGTGACTGACCGTAGACACCATATCACAAAACTGCGTCATGAGTCGCATCAGTTGGCATCACGCAGATATTTCAGCATACAGATCAGAACTACCAGCCTGAAGAACCAGCCGCTGCTAGCGCGTCAACACACTGGTCGGCATCATGCTATATCATGTCGTATTCATGAACGAAAGGGTGACGAGAAACTTCAAGTCGAAGTTTTGCTTTGACAAAGTAGAACGCGATCCATATCAGGCTTAGCCTTGCGCTCGTCCTTCAAGCTTCAATTTGAAGTTGAAAGTTCACGGCCGACCATTTCAGAGCTTCAAGCACTTCATTTTATCGTATGATGGCACCGCAGAAGCGTGTTATAGTGGGTTAATGAAGCTATTCCTATTCTTGTGCTTGTGGGCGGTGGTGTAGAAGCGTGAGGTGGGTATGGAAGGACAATTGGTTTGGTCGATCCTGACAAGTACTAGGATCGTGATGCTACTTGTGTGGCATGAGAGACTTGAAGGGCCGTCGGATTTTGCCGGGGTTTCGTAGGCTGAACTTGAAGTTTGTCGCGGTAACTCATCATGGTATCAGTATCACCACCATCGTAACTTGATCAGCGCTCAGAGCCTACGACATCCAACGCTCTGTGTGTCATATTCGAAACATCCATCAAGAGCTGCCTCGTTGGATCTACTCAGCAAGGACTCGTCGTCAAGGCCCCAGTGTAGCGCGTCTATCAAGTTTGCGAGTGCTTCGTAAGAATGGACCGTTTTAGCTCACACTGTGGACTCTCACGTTGGATATTGGATATGCAGGTCGTTATTGTCATTAACTCATCATAGCTGCGGGGCTGACACTGTTCTTCCGTCTATCGATCATACACACGATCCCCAAACTCCAATTTCAAAGGTCTCAGTCAGAACTACTTGATATTCTGTTCCGCAGGGAACTCTAGTATCAGCCTATGCGTTGAAAAGCACCCGTTGGTGAAGGTTTCGATGGGCTGAGTGGGAAAACGGGTTCGTGGCTTAGGATATATCGGATCTCCTCGATTGCTGATTACAGACTTGACATTTGGTATTAGAATTTGGATTTGCATGCTGCGGGTCCCAGTTGTACTCGAGTATGGTTCATCCGTCTCGTATTGCCAAAAGTGAGGTACGTACATACATAACCAATATGTCCATTTTCCAAATCGGCATCCACTCTTCATGGTCGCCGAGTCGCCGTACGGATGCAGTGACAGTCTTCAGTCAACCAGATCGGAGGGCGAGGGCTGGAGACTATGGGATGGACGACGTTGTCGACATGTGATCTCCGGATGTTTGCCTTGCTTTGCACACAAGCAAGGGGACACTCTGAGCTGACTTGTCGCCGATAATTGATTCGCCTTTGGTCCCCCCTCCCCAAGATTTCCCCCTGAAATTCAGCGTGCAGAGTGCAGAAATGAAAATGGTCTATTTCCGGCGATTCATGGAGCAGCAAGCCATCGCCCCCTATCGCAAATTTGTTCCTTGAACCTTGAACGTCGAGAGATACTTCCGGCGGACGGCTGTACTCGAGGACCACTTCAATGACAAGTGCTATTTGCAAATGCTCGGCATTTGCTTCCACGGAACACACTGCCTTTGGTTCGGCGGGGGCATATATACTGCCACGTATACTTACTAGGTCCTTTTGAAATTCGATGGTCGGGATTGAGAGGATAATGATTTCAGGCTTGAGTTGGTGATGAATCGCTCGCTCAGTTTTCAATGGCAGAACTCAATATCGACTTCTGTGTAAGCCGGATTGGAAACGAATTCATTTCTATAAGTAACTCTGACCTTCGATGAAATGAAGGACTTGTGATTGAAATATCAGTTGTCTCTCCCCTATCATCGACCCTCACCCTAAAACTTGCGTCAGTTTGATATATATGACAAGGCCCTTGAGCTACTTCCAGCCTTGTCTGCACCCGTGCACACATAAATTCATGTTCCCAAGACCATTTAGCGGCAAGCTAGTGGTGGGGTTGCGCCCTTTTTCCCGATAAAGTCAATTGCGATCTTTGACTGCAGGATCGAGTTGATCGAGGTCGAGGGTCCGATTTGCTGGTCGCTGTGCCGAGGGTGTGAGTGAGCATGCCGAGCTCGATCGCGATAGGGTCCCGTGGGTGGGAGAACATGCGTGTCCGGTCTTCTAGAAGGATGGGCAACAGGGACTGGCCTCGAGGCTCGCGTTGCGTCGTTGGAGACGATGATAGAGGTAGTACATGCAATATTGGACCCATATCATCATCTGTCCCTACCGAGTGCTTCTTCGGGTATGTCTCTATCTTGCCCACACAGGCGAACAGCAATACTACTGCTTATGTCTGATACTGAATCAACGTCAGATGCAGTACATACCCCCTCGCGCTTCCAGTTATCTCCAAGGTTCTTTCGTCTACACAAGGGAATATGTCGTCGAATATCTGTGTCATGATCCGTTAGTCCATTCTGAAGAACGACGTCGAACTTGTCACCCTCTTTTTCCGTGGTGATTTGATCCTTTGTTTAATGGTTTATACCGTAAGTTGTCCTCTCCGCCGTTGCTTCCTTCCAATTAACGTCGCCAACGAATGGCAATGCAAGGATATGAGATTTAGGGAGGGAAACACCCTTGCCGAAGTCTTCTCGACGAGTCTCGACCTCTCCACCACTTGTCTCACTGTATTTTATTTAGAAAAGCCATCAAATCAGACATAGAGAGGTGTCATTAAGGAACTTGGCTCTATCGGTCCCTCATCTTCTCTTTATTTTTTCCACTTTCCTTCACGGTGGCAGCAGGCACGTCTAGAACGGCCCCCGCTAAGCGTGCCAGTGCCTTCGCGGGAAGAGCTCAAGCTAGCTCAAGTCGTCACTTCTGCCCTATTTTTTTATTTTATTTTATTTTTCATATTTTCATGCCGGCTCAGCCCTGGCCCGTGCACCGGTATGTTGAACTCGAACTGCGGTTTCAAAACGCTGTCTCAAAAGTACGCGTGGTGCTGTCCACGCTAGAAGGGCTGAGGACAATGGATTGTTGATAAAAACGCCAAATGCGACGTTGTTGACTTTCAAGTCTGTACTGCCAACCGGTATCATGTCGGATCCGGAGGAACACAGCTCACCCAACAAAGCAGAGTCGACTATCTGTACTATCTCATACCCGGAAGCAAATCACCAAGCCACACCTGTCACACATCCACATCCCTGTCGGTATTCGCGTTAGACTTCTGATGTGGGGCTCATATCTGGACCTTGTCTCGAATTTTGCCAAAGTTGAAGGAGATGGACGATGCAGGGCTGGATATAGGAAGGTGCGTCGTTGGCTGCTTCGTATGTCAGCCAGCTGAGTGTAGGTGACTTTCCGACCTACGGAGATGAAATCAGTCTTCTGGAACTTGAAGCTTGAAGTTCCGAATGTCATGTCATTCGACATGCTTACTGTAAGACCCGTTATCAGAGGTTGTTCCCTTCGTTCGGTCACCGCTGCGATGTCGCCATCGTACAGCGTCATTAACACACTTCAGTGCCTAACGGTGAAGTTGACTGTCCGAGTGCTGGTCGTATGCCACGTCCAACATTGTGGGTTATGATATTTCCTCATCCCTGCGATACAGCGCCATCCAACCTTCATCGATGTTTCATCTCCGTTTTCGAGGCACATTCACTGTAGACGCCGGTCGTAACGAATATACCTTGTTTAACGCGCCGCTCAGCTAACGATCTCGGTATGGGTTGCCCACTTGTACTCCGAATGTCCAGCAGCTCGAGCCACACTAAATGGAAGAATTCTACTGAGACACTGATCTCCGTCCTTTGATCTGCAAAATAAATGCAAGGTACCTCGGATCCGGTTGACGGGTGCGATCACGATCATCGTACTATCCTTAAGGTAATCACATCAACATTCATTATGCCCCCCCATACCTACAGTTTCAAACCTTGCTCACATGTCTTGCAAAAGCAGAAAAGAATGGCTGGTCTGAATCATTTCAACATGCCATGATCAACTTGAGGAATGGCTTAGAAGGTGAAAGGAGTTCCAAATGATCGATGCCGAATGCTGTAAGTCTTGACCCACAGAGTAAAGCCCTTTTGTTCGACGACAGCGTGAGGGTTTGGAATATCCAAATAGATTACTGGAGCTGACATGCCACGTCCTGGCAGTCACCATATGACTGCACTAATGCTTTTTTGTTTGGTAGTGAAATGTATTCTCGTTGTGGCTTACCAGACACTCTCGTCACTCTCTGCTCTTCTTGATCTGGTGCGACGATGTTCCACATGCTCCCTCTATGCCAGCATTTCGAACTGTTCCAATGTCCGACGTCCGGTGTACTGCATCAAACGTTACAGCAAGGCCAACCTGGTGGTTTAACATCAGACCAGCGTTGGAGCTGTCTATCTTTCTGGGCGATTCCATTCAGGCTGAAGGTCACTGAGCGGAAGATCATTAAACAGGTATGTCCCCTCACCTCTTTCTCACCTTTGACATGTCTTCTCGTCTGATCTCCCATTCTTCCTACGAGGGCCCATCTCACTCTAGAAGGTACGATCGCTGCGAATATGGTTTTACGACGTGTCAATGCTCTTCCATGGACCAAGAAGCATTACAACATCCGGCATCTCTGGTTAGTTCAAGGCTAAACATCATCCAAATCCACACTTTACTATTGTCTTCGAAGTTCGAACGTCCTCTCTGCGCTCTTTAATCCTCTGCTTCTCTTCAATAACCGTCAATATCAATGCTTTAGCACACCGGTTTATGAACTTCTTACTGTCCAAAGCTTATCCTCAGCGTCATAAAGTATAAGTGCCAGCATCTTCTCAAAGGTTCTTTGACGTTGCACTCATCATGCGCTCTTTCTATATATGTAGACACTCTTTTGTTTCCCGTTTAGTCAACATCAAAGAGTCGAAGGCACATCGAGCGTCTGTCTCGTCATCCTTTCAATATACAACGATCATGAATTCATATGGTTGAACTCGGGAACTTATCGTCATCACTTCTATTGACACACACCCAGCTTTTCTTGGTTCATAGATCAAATGAAGAGGCGCTCTGCTTCCTCATTGTGGCTGATATGTAATCTGTACGTTCTCTCCAGTCTTTCTCTCGTGACTTGGTGTATACTCCAGAGCAGAGTCAGGATCCCCTTCGTTTTGCGGCGTTTGGTCAACGACGGAGATAGACCTCCTCAGCGTGATCATCGATCCTCTCCCGTTCAGGTTCCGCCGCCACTGCTCCGCCCCGCTCTCTAACCCATGTCGTAAGGGTGAGCAAATCCTTTAAGTTAAGTTATGACAAAGGTCTCGTGACGATGCATGACGGCTTCATTTACAGCAGGGTAGATGGCGTCTATCCATCATGGAAATCAGCGCGTCCCCTCCTGACGGAACCGGAACACCTCTCCGGTTACTGCTTAAATCTACACACCTCCACGGGTGCCTCGAGAGAGCCGCTCGTCTTTCGCGGGCCGGTGTTGAATGTCCCTTTCAAGCAGGTTCAAGGAGCTTGCAAGGTCACGGTGGTGGTCCCCCTCCACTCGTGATCAAGCTCTGTTTTCCTTGCACGGCGAACTTGAAGTCGTTCACCTCGGGGGTGGAGACGATAATAGATAACCTAGATGACAGGTGGGACGGATGGCAAAGGAGATTGCCAGCTGTGAACAGGGACGCGGTGAAGCGAACCTACTGACTGATGCGGTCGCATCCCGAGCACGCTATCCACACTGACTTTTTTTTTCTTCCTTCTTCTTTTCTCGCTGACATATCTTCTCAGGCGACTGTCTATGGCTCATACGGCATCCTACCTGTCTACTACGCCACACAGCTTTTCTTGACCGCGGACCGTTCGAAGTTTGCTCGCTAGTATTTTGACCGGGAGGGTGCGTCCGTTCTACCATACTCAGGCTGGAGTGTGGAGAATGAGGGATGAGGGCTCTGCCGGGACCGTCTGCGCCGCTTAATCGTGTTTCGCTGAGTGAAAAGAGGTGCTAGAACCCATATTACAACCAGTTCCATGATTCCCTGTGAGAACTTTTTCCGATGGCGGGCACCAAAATCCGGGGAACAAAACTTGAAAGACTTGCATCAGACCCGCATCCAGACTGGATCGGTTTTCTTCGCCTTTCTGATCAGAGATTGTCAGTTATTTCGAAGGTGCGTTAGTGGGTGATATCAATTGTTCTTCGTTCTTCTCATGATGGAGACGCACCCACATCTGCTGGCTGTGCTCGTTTCTGACCTTCGTTAACGTTGAAGAACTTGACACTTGGAGCCTTTCACGGCACGCTGTGCGCTCTCCCGGCGTCGATCCTGGATGGGTGAGCTAAGTGATGCTGGTAATATGTACTACTTTTCTTCTTCTTCTTCTCACACATCTGTCTACCTGGCTTGCATAACGGTTGTCAAAACTCTTGATCTAGAGGTCAAATTTGCAAACAAAAACATAAATGGGCAAGGCTCAGGATCGCGAGGCGGGAGTTGCCTTGAGTTGCCCCGAATATACGACAGTACGTGACAATGACGACGGTTTAGATGCGGATGAATGATGATGGCAAGCAACATGCAACCCTTCAGTGACAGTGTTTCCCTCCCGTTACACCCGTTATCGGTAGACGCATAAACGCTTTTGATTTTTCTTCTAGGGCATCCGACCCTTCGTATCGCACACGACCGCATTCCCATCGTCTGCGCTGTTGACTGGGCAAAATTAAAGAAATTGACTGTACAGAAACGAGTCGTTGACAGATGGTCATCATGAAAATGAAAAAAAAGTTAACTGAAACGAGTTATATTATCGGTATGTAGTTCACCCGAATCTAATGAAGATAAAAGTGGATTGACAGAGAGGACAAAGGCACCGTGCGTGTTAGGTATGTGTATGTATGTATGTGTTGGACAAAGGTACTGGGCGGACGTCCCCGTTCTCAAGACGACAGCGGAACCAACCGCGGGCGATGGCATTCATAACTCCATTGTGTGCTTCACTGCGCGCGCGCGCGCCCACAACCTATCACCGTAGATAATCTCCTTGACTTTCTTAACTACGTAGTCTCGGTCACTCAAGAAATAGCAAGTCACCACTACCGCAGCGTGTCACTACTTATCAGGGTGCCATGGCCCACGCTAATTTCAAAAGAGTGACGTTAACCACGGAGGGTCGAACATGGTATTGTGGATTTGAATTTTGAAATAAACTAAGCATTGTCGTAGTCTGGAAGTTATCAGAACTTTTACATATGCAAACCAGAATAGTCACAACAGCTCTTGATGGTCTCGAAGCAGCCTGAGATAAAATGGGCTTTTCGTCTCACCCCATGGCGCTGTTGGGGTCTAATTCTCCCTAAAGCCCGAGGATCTGTTGTGATCAAAAGCGTTGACGCCTTTGTACCGTTCAGAGGAATAAATCGTCGCGGGAGTGGTTCTTCCGGGCGTCCTGGGTGGTTCCCCCCCAGTTCTCAACGGGTTCTCAGCGCTACGAACAAGGTTCGGAGACCTCGTGCTCCCGAGTCCAGCAGGGCCCCCTTTCTACGACTGCAAGCCTAGTTTCGGAATCTGTAATCAGAGTTTAGATGGATGATCGATAATTCGTAAAAATATAAATATAAAAAAGTATTTGAAAAAAAGAAAAAAGGGAAAGACGGTGATCAACGAGTTTCGAAGCGTTGCTGCCTTGCGTTCTTTTTCGAAAGAGAAGGGTGGGAGGAATGGCGTGGTGCGCCACAGCACCCATAAGATGATACAGAATTCGGTGAACGATGTCCTTCAAGGTTGATATAGGAAGCAGCTCTCCTGTTCGGAGCGAGTAGACCTGTGAAATCTTGCAAAGACTTGCAATTGGAATGTATGCATGCACATGACCCCAGAAGCGACAGCAATGGCTGTGAGATCGGGGAGAAAGAGCGCCGTAGATGGTGCTCCTATTCTTCCTGAGATAAAAACCAGTATTTTTCTCGAAAAGTCGGTGAAACGACGATGTAGTAGCAAGTCCTCAAGTAGCCCACCGGGGTTGTGCGGTGAATGCGTATTTGCGCTGATAACGCATCAGGGGTAGATTTAGGCTAGGCGGTGACTTGTACGGTGACTTTCGTCGTCAGTACAGGCTTGTCTTGGCGCTGCATCGAATGGGCATACACAATATAGTTTCCAGAAGGTCCTGATTCAATTTCCAGAACGTTTCTGGACGGAAAAGCAGATTGTTCGTGTAGAACTCCTCAAGGCGAGAAGCTCAGAGGTCCACGAACGATTCGTGCATGCATGCAAGCTTCGGGCTTAGGTTTCGAGCTTTGCAACGGTGTGCGGCGTCGCGTCCACTGGATGTGAACGATGGGCCCGCGCACATCCGCGGTCCATCTCGCATCATAGATCGTTCAGATCGTAGGAGGGAGGATTAGAGAATGCTCACCGGGAAGGAAGTGGGGACTCTGATGCGGTGTGGACGGGTGGTTTCCGGTGGAAGATGTATCTGGGAGTACAGCTGTGCACCGCACGTGTAAGTGAAGGCTAATAATTGGGCTACCCAATTAACCATTTTGATTGCACCGTCGTCTGACCGTTTATTGATATCAAAAGGTTCCCCGCATTGATGAGTAGATTGGCAAGCCCTGCTCAACTGGGAAAAGTTCGGACGATAGATAGCATATGACGATGGTGGATTAGATTTCATCTCGCTCGCTTTCAATGGAGATGGAGCTCGATCAGAAGGACGGTCGGGGCTACAAGACAGCATGGATGTGGTCCTGCGACGTTAGACGCCATGTGCTCGGGAGAAAGCGGATATGGACTTGCCTCTCAGGTTGGACGTGCAATGTAACGCGGGAATTGCAGCGAAAAAAGAGGTTTTTAAGATAAAAAGTTCTGGCTGTCTCGTTCCCGCTGATCAGGACAGGGACAGAGAAGTATTTGGAAAGATAGGCAGGGGCTGGAGCGGATAGGAGAAAAGGAAGGAGGACAAGGATGGGTACGAAAAGAGCAAGTGACCGAAGCGGCATTCGAGTTTGGTTCCGCACTCAGCTGACAGACATAGCTAACGTTCAACGGCACGCCCATTCACCACTCAACCCTTTACCACCATATCGTCGCTTTCATCACCCACCATGCTGCAATCGATCTATGTTCCCAGATATAACATCAGATATCACCAGTCCCTCGTGTGCTCTACGTTATCTTTTTTCAATGAGTCATTCCCCAAACGTCTTTTCTCTCTGCCTCGTCTCAGTCTGTCCTTCACCACCAACACCCCACCAGAGTGACCACTGTTTTTTGCTTTTTTTCTTTCTGATAATGAGAACGAAAATGAGCGTGAGTTGACCCTTTTTTTCTTCGGTTGCTGTGAAACTACCCCGACAGTCCAACCACACCCGCAAATCTGCCACAAACTCTCGCCAGATCTCACTCAAGAAGACCAAGTTACTCCAAATAAAACACAATTCATTTCCTTTACATCAGATATGATATACTCCGTGGTGGTTACGCATACAAATGGATGAGTGGGGTATAAAAGTACATGTTGAAAAAAAGCTACAGTTGAACTCAGGTGAGCAGACTCCGTGGAATCAAGAACAGAACTTACTCCCTGGCTTATGAAAACACATCATGCGAACTTGAGCGCAACAAATCATTCAAGGTTCTCACTACCGATCCAGCGCCCTCTTGCACCCTCTCCCTGTCTTCCTCTTTCACCTTGGGCAGCGAATGATTGAACCGATCTGGATGCCACTTTCTGAGGCTATCCTTAATCCTATCCTTCGTTGACTTATCACTAGGGTGCAACGGCGACAGCATATATGCGTTAATCGCAGGAGTTGTCAAATCATCTGGACCCTTTGGTCTCTTAAACATTGGCCAGGGAAAGTCTTCCCAGAGAATGGTGCTTAAACTCTGAATCTTGTCCCACTGCGCCTTGTGCAACTCGAAGAGCTTGATAACCTCCTGCTTGCTCATGATCTTGCCCGCTTTCGCCAGTCTTTCTTGCTCTTGCATAGCTAGCCTAGCTTGTTCTTGGCGGAACTGTTCTTCCCGCTGCTGGGCTTGCTCAGCCTGACGACGACGGAACTCTGCCTCAGGCGAAACACCTGCATTAGGCGCATATGCATTGGCGGTAGGCTTTGGAGTCCCTGACGTTGGCTTAGTTCCAGAAGGGATCCCAGTACTAGGCTTGCTTGGGGTTGAGGCCTGGGTACTTGTCGTTGAACTCGGTCGGGTGGACGCAGAAGACCACCCCGTACTGGCATTACTACGACTAGAGCCAGAACTGCTGCGATCTGCTGGGGGGCTTGTAGAAGGTGTGGCTCGATCATTGCGATTGGGTATTGACCCGGGTCCACTTGGGGATGGCGTAGGCTGCGTTGTCGATCCTGGGCGAGGACTATCTGAAGATTTCCGTTCTCCTCCGGCACGTTGGCGACGAATCTCTTCTTCGCGTTTACGAAATTCTTCTTGTTGTCTGAACTGTTTCTCCTCCTCCCAGCGTTTGGCCTCTGCCTCCCGGCGATTCAGTTCCTCCTCCCGTCGCTTTACTTCTTCCTCCCGACGCTTTACTTCTTCTTCCTTTATCCGTGCAGCTTCCTCCTTACGCCTTGCCTCCTCTTCTTTCACCCTAGCCTCTTCCTCTTTCCGTCTTGCTTCCTCCTCCTTTCGCTTCGCCTCTTCTTCCTTTCGCGTAGCTTCTTCCTCCTTCAATCTCGCCTCTCGCTCCTTCCTCTTAGCCTCCTGTTCTTTCCGTGAAATCTCTTCTGCCATTCGCCGTCGTCTGGCCTCTTCCTCCTGCCTCGCTGTTTCCTGTCTGGCTTCCGCCTCTTGTCGCTCTCTCTCTTCTCTCTCCAATTGCTCCCTTTCTTCTCTCTCCAATTGCTCCCTTTCTTCTTTCTCCAATTGATCTCTTTCTTCTTTCTCGCGTTGCGCCCTTTCTTCCCTCTGACGTCTTGCTTCCGCCTCCCGCCTTACCTTCTCTTTCTCAGCCTTGCGTCTTGCCGCTTTGTTTTTTATCTCTTCGTGTTTGGTCCATTCCTCTTCTGCCACACGTCGCTCCTCCTTCTCTTTCTCTACGGCCTCGCGTGCACGTTGCTCCTCCTCCTCCTTGCGTTTAGCTTCCAGCAAGCGATGTGCCTCTCTCTCTTTCTCTATGGCCTCGCGCGCACGTCGCTCTTCCTCTTCCTGCAAACGTTGCGCCTCCTCTTCCCTACGTCTGACTTCTTGCAAACGCCGTACCTCCTCTGCATTACGTCTGGCTTCTTGCGCCTCCTCTTCCCTACGTTTGGCTTCTTGCGTGCGCCATGCCTCGTCTGCCTTGCGTCTGGCTTCTTGTGCACGCCTTTCCTCCTCCTCTTGGTGCCTTTCCTCCTCCTCCCTACGCCTTGCATCCTCTTCCTTGCGTCTTGCATCCTCTTCGCTACGCCTTGCATCCTCCTCTTTCCGCCTTTCCGTCACTTCCAAGTATTTCAACTCCTTTTCACGCTGCTTTCTCAGATACTCTTTACCACGCATCCTTTCCTGCTCATCTAGGTCATCATCTAGCCACTCGTCCAGTTCATCCGCAGACTCTGCTTCTGGTTCCTCCCTATGAGTATGAACAGGATATCCTGCATAAATTGGGCTTTCCTGTTGGACATACGCGGGGCGAATATCTTGCGATGATAAACGTCCTCGAAGGTTGGAAGACTGCCAGCTGCGTGGAACATCGTCTGGAGTTCGAGGTGACCGTGAATACCCTTCGTATCGACTTTCATTCGGTGATCGCGACGGGATCGGCCATCCACCGGGGCTCGGCTGAGGCATACGGCTTCCTTCGTCGATAGAAGAGGTTTTCCTAGTGATGATAGGCCTGCTGGCTGATGCAGGAGGTTGGAATGAGCGTGGACCATCAACAGAACGTGGATATGCAGATGGTGCGATGGACACAGGACTTGATGATACTGACGTGGGACTCGCGTAGCGTTCTTCAACGCGATGACTACCGCCGATGGAGGCGCTACGAGGCTCGATAGTAGGATAGACCTGTTTTTCTTTCCCCCGTGCTTTGCTCATCCCGTCCCACTCCTGATCGGCTTGCACACCAGCTCTTTCCCTCTCGTTACGCGTCATGATATCGAACGGATCGTTGTTACGCTCAAGAACGGTGGGAGGCAGAGGAGGTCGAAATGAAGTGGTGGACGTGGTACTTGCGGTACTACCTCTACGAGCCAAAGTGAAAGTACGAGACATGGCGGCATCTTGCTCGGGCGTGATAGTGGGTTTCCAAATCTCAGGTATACCAGGCCTAGAGTGCATACTGCTACTTATGCTGCTGCTAATGCTGGTCTTGTGTCGAAGACTTGCCCTCCTATCTGGCATATCAAGAGGCGGACGTGACGGTTTGGTCATATCTTCAGGCTCATCTACAAAAGGAGACATCTTAGGCCGGTCTAGGAGTCCCCCGCTCGTTTCCAAGATGGAAGGAGCTCTGTAAGAACCCATTCCTACTCCACTGATGGACCCAGCACGACTTTTCGTTCGGTCGCGCCTTCCAGTTCCATAAGGGTCTTCACTCTGTCGATCCATCCGATCAGCAAAGTAACTGCTTTCACGTTCAGACTCCTTGACCTCCTTCGGAGTCCAGAAGAGACCGTCTGATTTCCGATCAGTGGTAGAAGTTTCAGGACTCTCCGTTCGAGGGGGTTGAGCAGGTTGAGCAGGTTGCTGTGGCTTAGCCTGTTTCCGTTCTTTCTCTATCCCGTCCAGAATCGCCTGCTGTTCCTTCTCCATTTCCTTTGACCATGTTGTATCTACCTGCTGGCCAGCACCCCAGCGACGTTCTTGCCTCTCCTGTTGGAGGGCACTTTGGAACTGGCTTTCCGCAAGGTTACGGATATTATCCATCGTTTCATGGTGCTCCTTGCTTATATTCTCGCGCTCTTCTTCGCTTACGACAGCGTGCGCCAGCCTGTCCCGCATACGCTTCCTAGCATCATCGACCATTGAACTGAAGCTTTTTGTGATCTCATCTCTGAGATTGAGCTTCCATTGTTCATCAGGCTCAAGGTCGAGATTGTCTGCTGGAGACATGGAGGCAATCGGGTTGGACATCAAGGTCACCATCAGTCGGGTGAGGAATCAAACTGAGGCCGAGGAGGGGTAGATGTACGGAGATTTGGAGGGTTAGGAAGAGTGTTGGTACAAAGACACAGCAATCAGTGTCTGGTGAGTATGAAGAGCGAATAGATGGGAGAAAGAGAGTGAAATACAGTCGGGCGTTAGGACCTCGCCGTCAGAAGACCGTTGAGTTAGAGGGCAGGCGACAAGTCTGGGTATAATCATGCCTCATGTTTAGTACACGCGTCCAATGATTCCGTTATGATTATTAAATAAAGAGACTGGGCTTACGCAGTGTTTAGCCTACAAGCAGCATTCAATGTCTTCTATGTACGGGGCCAACGACGGTCGTTGCACCACGGAGATGGTAGAAGGACAAAAGCGAGGCAAACCCGCTAAGTGGCAGACATGTGCTGATGGGGGAATTTACAGGAACTGCGAATTCCGGCAACGGAACCGTGATAGCACCAACGACCCCCACATTTAATAAACCTCACTTTTTACTGTATCCTTCACTGTCTGGACTTGCAGAGATCTCGCCATTTGTTTTAACTGGATTCAGCTGCAAAGTGAAAAAAACATACCCAGGCTTGAGTTTGCACCCTTTGACCTTGTCACATGAGCCCACGCCTTTCCGTCTTACGCAAGACCGCCTTGGACGAATCAGACAACACCTCGTTGCATGTAACTGTGATGGCCGACACGGACTCGGAGGGAAAACTTAATTGCTGCGGTTGTCTTGCGGTCTGGATGATGAATGTTTGTCGAGGAATGGAACCAACCTCGTACTGGCCCGGGAAATTCTAGTTTGCCGTCCAGACACGAGTCTCCTCCCATCATCCATCATCCAGTCCTTTTTCTGATAGTGTTTTCCTTCTCCTTCCAGGTTGAGGCGATAAGAAATATCGTTTCTATCGTGTAGGTACTAATGAACCGTAAATCGGAGCACTTCGACCATCCCCCCCTACTTCCCATCTGACTCTTATCTCTCCACCGTGGTCGTGTCTGGGTATAAGTACAATATATCTATTGCATACCCGCCTATCGTTACCTTGATTATTCAAAATGGCAGTATGGCAGCGGTTGATTCATGACGAAGTTGGCGTCATATAGGACTGTAATCAACTTCTCCCGCAAAAAAGGTTCGTCTCCCTTAAGTTTAATTGCTACTTTTTATGTTGTTGATTCTTCGAATTCGGTCCTTAGTCGCGTCACTGTTTTAAACGTGAACTTTCCAGCATGTACTAAACGAACGTCAGGCCAGGGACGTGATGGCAGCATGCCTGGCCATTTTTCCGTAAGTCTCCTTTGTGTGAGCTACCACTACCACAAATGTTCGTAAAGTATCCTACTCATCAGGTTTAGTCTCTAGACGATATCACTTCGCACCTTCATCTCCGTGCATCCACTCTTCACCGTTCATCATCACCTCTTGATACTCGCCGACATATGTGCGCCTCAACTTCATGTCCGTTCTCGTTCTGCTTTATCACCGCCTGGGCCCGGTGGATCCTGGTGTTCTCGAAGCTTGACGTTAATACGATTCGTGTGGTACGTTAAACTCTGTTATTTCTGTTGTTTACGCTCAAAAGCGCAATACATATACGACAAAACAAACAAGGACACCTTGACAGCACTGTTGGACTGCCTTCTACCAACCTGTAGATGAGTCTGCATAACGGCTATCGGCGTCGCGAGGGCACAAACATGTGTTTCCGTCGAAAATCTCTTCCTTTTCCGTTGTCCTGGTGACATCTGGCTATCGTGGTCGTCAATTGCATTCTGCGTCGTCATTCGATCGTCACGTCACCATCGTGGATCCGTTACCTATGAAGAAGATTCAGATTGTCCTGGTCATTTATGAATGTAAGGGTCTTCACGACTGGAGATAACGCTCTTTCTATTGGAGATGGTCGGTGTTACTCGTGTACGTGGTCTTCGTCGATCTCTACTCGAAAAAAAAATATAATTCCCACTGGTCGTGGAAGTATGTGCGATGTATCTTTTTCTTCCTCGAGTGCTGTGACAGTGAGTTGTTACTTGGATCCACGACATAGCAACTGCTAAACTCCAGCATTAGGGAAAACGATCAAGAGCACAGTCGACACTGCGACTACACAGGAATAAGATGGGAGGTAAGCGCTGCTATGAAGCAGGGTGATAACGCCGCCAATCGGTTTCATCCATTGAAACGTGAACAGCAATCCTGTCCCTACACTCTCGTTACGATGCATTACGCCCAACAGCTTTCCCACTTTCATTTGGGTTATCTTGTTCCTGTTCCCTCCGAGTTCTCGCGGCGCAGTCTTGAACTACGAGAGAATATAGTCACCTTTGGGCATCCCTTTGGACTTTCGTTCACATGAAGCTGTTTAATCTCCAAAAAGATGTGGGATAATTCGGGGCGCGAGAGTTTTGGGCTCCTGTATGAACTCTGTACGGCGTTCCTCTGATGCAGGAACTTTCAAGAAGAAACTCGGACCTCCTCCTCAGTCAAGTGAACGTGTATTGATTCCGAGTTGAAAGATACAGCATGCTTCGAAGCTCCTCGGCGCTCGGATTGTCGCTCTTCAGACCTCTGATAACGATAGAAGTGGGACATAGCAGGCATGTTGGCTCATGGGTGGCATATGTATTGGCAGTTTGTACCTCGCAGATCATTTGAGAGTTCTTTTCCTTGGCCTTGTGAGTATCATGCAGTGTCGGTGAATTATCTCACAGACGACAGTGGCGATACCGTATTTTCATCTCGCCTGCCTTTTCGCGCCTCGAGGAAGCCTCGAGGCAGGTCACGTGACCCTAAAAATGCCGGTTTTGATCACTCGTTCCGACTTTGGCTGCAGAAATATTGCAAGTCGAGTTCATGTTTTTGTTATCACCGTTCGCTTATTCTGATCGTTTTTCCAGGTTTTTGTCACGGACGCTCTTTGAAAATGCTTTGTTTTTTGGTCTCGCAGGTGGAAGAGTCTAAGAAAAGAACCTGGTTTAGAAGAGAACAAAAAGGATCCTGATGTCCCCGGATTAGACATCCCTATCAAGGACCGATCATGCACCTGATAACGTGTTTTGGGAATCGCCTCAACACGCGACAAGAGATGCACGAGTCACCTTTCTAACCGCTATTTGACCCTCATCCCTTGCTTTCCGCAAATTCCGATACTCTTAGTGGCGTCATCATATCATCCCCTTCACCATCGAGAGAAAAAAAAACAAGCAAAAACTACACTATGTCTTATGGCCGTCGTGCGCCTGCAAAGGCGGTCCCTACTCCCGTGGAAACGCCGTCTGCCAAGGTGAGGAAGGAATGGAAGAATTTTCTCTCATCGTGGTATGAACCCGAGAAGAAAAAATTGGAGGAAGAGCTGCAGAAGGAGCTCACGACCAAGTTCAAGAAGGTCAAAACTCAGGCTCAGCGCAAAGCTCGTGATGAAGAGAAGGAAAAGCGAACGCATGAAATAAAGGAGGGACTCGCAGAGCCTGCACGTCACGAATGGGAAGAGCGTCTTGAAAAGTCAAACTTGACAGAAGAGCAATGGACCGACATAACAGACAAGGAGCAAGAGGAGGTGATAGCTGTCTTCACGGGGCTTTTCGGTGACGAAGAAAATGAGGAAGAGGAGGAGAGCAATGCCACCGCTACCTCCACCGACGAAGATAATGTGGCGTTTGAAGAAATAGCGAGAGAGGTTTTGCAGCAGCACAGGGCAAACGAACCTGCCACTTTAACGCCAACTGCTGGTACATTCGAGTTTGTCAGTCCCACGTCGTTCTACAGCGAACGTACTACCCCATCGCATTCGGCTAAAGGTCTCCCTCCGTTATATCCCGTAAGCCATGTTCCGATATCATGTAGTCCTAGGAATAGGAGTATTTGGACTGATACCCTTCCTTCTCAGGACCTTGCTGATACTCTCAGTGGTTTTGACGAGAGTAACCATCATGCACATGCATCAGGATCAAGCAGTGCACCCAGCGTTAAATCAAGTGGATGGGGATTCTCGGGGTGGGCCACAGAAGCTGGTTTAATAAGTGAACCGGCCAAGAAACCTTCAGCAACACCTGCTGAGACTCGTCCCGCCACCGCAGATAAAATGTCCAGACAATCATCAGTCGCATCCAACCACCCATCACGCAACAGTCCTCAGACGCTATTCGATAACGCATCTCCTTATACCACCACTCGCAGCCCTCCCACAGCTACAGAAAAGTTATCTCCTGGCACGCAATACATCGGGCCAGTCCTCCTTGATGAGGATGCTTTGCGATCGGAAGACGAAGCTTTTATGAACTTCAAGACCGATCTTCGAATACAGATGATCGACGAGTTTCATAGGGAAGCCATCCCAATCGAGGCTGAACTAGTACGAAGCTTAGTCGTGCCGGGTCTCTCCAAAGAGCTTCAGAGGAAGTTGGTTCAAGATCACGAACAGAGCATGTTGCTGCTTCGTGATGAAAAGGAGACACAGAGAAAAATGCTTGTGGAGGTGGAGAGACAGAGGAGAAGGGAGGACATATTCCGGCGCCAAAAAGAAGCCACTCAGCGATCGACACGTTTCGTTGATAAGGATGTTGGAAATGGTGCTCGACAGCCTTTGAAGACAGTGCAGATGAAACAGGATAAACCCTCCTCTCACGTAGCTTCAGCGTTCCGATCAAACGTTAAGCCGGAGGAAAATTTGCGAGAGGGTATCCTGTTCAGCAGGAGTGGTTCATCTGATACATACTGGGATCCTCGCCAGAACATCAAGCAAGAGGAAAACCAGAAGACGATGCAGACCAAACAGGATAAACCCATTGCTTCAGCGTTCCGATCAAACATTAAGCCGGAGGAAAATCTGCGGGAGGGTATCCTGTTCAGTCGGAATGGTGCATCTGATACATACTGGGATCCCCGCCAGAACATCAAACAAGAGGAAAGCCAGAAGGAGAAGGATGGTATTCTGTTTAGCAGGAGTACCTCCTCTGAGGCCTCGTCTACTCCTGGAATTCGTGGAATCCTTAAAAAATCCAATGGCTATCGCGCTCCGGAGCCATCTCCAGTTGAAGTCGAGATCGCACCTGTCATCGCACCGGTTGTTGCGCCTGTCGTCGCACCCCCTGTCGCACCCCCGGACGTTCCTGCTGAAGCTCCAAAGGGCAAGAAAGGGAAGAAGGGTCAAAACGCCAAGCAGCAGGCGAAGAAAGCTGATGTAGTAGAGAAGCCTGCGGTAACCATACCTCCGCCTGTGGTACCTGCAGCGCCCAAGCCAGTAGTCAATGGGAAGTTGGGAGGGAAAAATAATCAAGCACCAACGGCCCAAAAATCGGTCAGCAGTGCTCAGAATCAAGCCATGGCCGGTCCTTCCAAGGTCAACAAGACGGCCACCGCTAAGTCCATGAAGGCTACCGTCGAAGACATTGTTGAGGAGACAGATGATGAATGGAGCAAAATACCCGTAGAGGAGGCGGAACCAGTGCCAGAGATCAAAGGCGATGACATCGATGTTGAGGATTCTGGCGAGGCATCATGGTATGGCGCAGGGGAGGGTGGATATTGGAGTGGTATGGCGGGAGGCACCATTCCCGAAGTATCTTCAGAACAAGAACCAAAGCATGTGCGGTGGATGCCACCTTCGATGGTATCAGATATCGAACCTAGATTCACACCGAATGCGGCTGCCAACATGTTCGATGCCGGGGATGGTGATGACATGGAGCGAGAGGTCTTCTATTACGCACTTTCTGGAGGCGCATTTACTACCGATGGGTTCTCTGCGCCTGGCGTACCCTCTTATCCTGAGGATGATCAAACTGAAAGCCCAGGGATCGATTTTTCCTCAGCCTTTCAGGCTGGATTCCCCGACTTTGGAAATAAAGGGCAGAAAAGCGAGGACGTGAAACCGGTTGTAGGGAAGGGAAAGGGAAAAGAAAGAAGTCGACAGGAGTCGTCGTTTGGTACCAAAAAGGCCCAAGAGACCCCATGGCCTAGCATGGAGACATGGATGAGTGCTTCATCTCGAATGGGAGGCCAGAGTTCAGGATCAGCTCGCTTTTTGTGAAGGGATTGGTGATTTATTTGATAACTCGTATGCTTATCTATAGCTGGTTCTTGATGCTCTCGTTGCTTTCTTGCTGTTTCTTCGTCCTATAGTGCAATGCAGTTGATGATTTCTTGACTATGTGTGCTCGAGATTTGACCTAGCTGGATGCGTGGAGGTGGGAGAGAGTGGTAAAGAGTGGGATTAAGGTGAAAGAGGGATGTTATCGATACTGGTCAAGCGAGAAGGAGCTTTTCTGACACGTTGCATTAGAACTGCAGAGGTGTCATAACACGAATTTTGTCTTGAATGAACACCGCGCGACGTGTCCGGCACGTGCGATCACGTGATGGTGTGCTCTTTCTTTATCTAGTCATTCGATCACTTCACCGATCACAACGATCAGAAAAGTTGCAACCCAACGGACTTGACGCGTCTGGAATCAGAAAATAGCTTTCTTCACCGTGTCTATATAACATCTGTAGGACCTATGTGAGAGAATGAGGCCAAAGACGCGATGGCACCATATGATACAAGTCCAAGTCGCCGCGTTCATTTTTGAGTTTTTGGCCATGCCAGAAGGACGCTGCTTGATAGAGGCCACGAGGCAGATAAACAATGTCTACTTATCGCCCTTGAGCTTCCTCTCGGGAGACTTACAACAAAGAAGTTTAGAGCTACATTTTCGGAAAGATAGTGACGAAGCGGACCCAATTCGATGGCCTGAGAAACATGCTTATCATTGTCAATCAAGCTTGGATTCATCATACTAAAGAAACATATCCTTGAAGAGACAAAACTGTTGGCTACTTCGTCGATAAAATGTGCATGAACAGTCGTGGGGTTACAAGCATGGGCTTCATTTCTCCGATTCCACTTCTTCGGCCATCATCTGCGTCAAAATTCTTGCCACGCTCCCACCCAACTCCACCACTAGTCCTCGTTCCGAGTCCAAAACCTTATCTAAGATCCTCGAGTTGAACTTGTCCGGATGATATCTCAGCATCTCCATCTTCACCTTGTCGCGTCTAGTCTTTCCATCTAACCCTGGCCTGAGAGGATGAAATACGAATTCCTGTACCAGATTATACGTGATTGCATGGACTGGAGTGTTGTTGACAAGAATCGGCCATGGAAGTTGTGCGGCCATGATTGAGTGATGCGGTACATCCGACTTGAGTTCTGCCCATTTTGCGTCATATAAAATAAACTGTTGGATGATCGCGTCGTCATTCTTCTTCTGCATGGCAGCTTGAGCTGCTTCTCTAGCTTTCCGGAGTTCTGCCTGGCGGATTGCCTCCTTTCGCGCTTCCTCTTCCATGGCTTTGCGATATCGTTCCGCTCTCTCTTCAGCCTCTCGACGACAGCGTTCAATATCTGCCCGTAGACGTCTCAACGTCTCCCTCCGCTCTTCTTCAGCTCGCCGAGCTTCCTCTGCGGCAAGTCTCTCCTCTTCTCTACGTTTTTCCTCTGCTATTCTCTCCTCTTGCCTACGCTTCTCTTCAGCTATCCTCGCCTCAACTATCCTCTCCTTCTCCCTACGTTTTTCGTCAGCCTCAGTCTCCTTGAGCTGCTTCGCCTTCTCATCCCTAGAAGACAGTTCCTGAATCCGTTCTTCGTCAAGATCAGCTGCACGCAGCATAACGTCACGATGTTTGGATAGCTCATTGCGATAGACATGGTCTATCCTCAAAGCTTTAATCTGCTTCAGGAAAATGTCATCTTCAGCGTTCATGGGACCATGGCACATCGTCTCGTGAATTTTCTTTTCCATCTTGCTCAAGTCCTTGCGAGCAGTCACCCTCGCCCTCTCCTCAGGGGACATCCGCACCTTACGATGTTGATCATCCCTGGCCTGTGCTTTGGCGCGAAGCGGACCAATGGCAGGTTCAGCATCATGGAATATCGGCCGCACAGCAGCTGGATCTAGGTTGAGATGCCTCGGCCCCAATTTGTTGGGACTCTTGGGACGCGTAAAAGGGAATGGGGTAGGAGGCTGCTTTTGCCAGTATGCCGGAGGAGGAGACGGGAATTGGGGTTTTTGGATGAACTGAGGATGTTTGTGGAGGGTGTTGATAGAAGGGTAGCCTTCGAGGGGAAGGCGCTCTGTGGGCGGGGCATTGTCGTCGAAGACGGGCTGGGCGTTGTGCATCGGGGTTGACTTTGGCTGAGTAGGGGGAGGAGCACCGAACGGAAAGTCGCGTCGGAATGGACGAAAATACGGTTTAGGATGAGCGGATGACCTGTGTCCTGTAGACGCGCAGAAAGGGACCTTATATGGGTGATGTTGCGCGCGTTGATATGGCTGTCGATGCATCCTTGAGGTCGAAGTCTTGCAGGGGAAGTCTTGCTGGTCGATCTTGATGGTGTCTTGCGATGTGGTTCTGGAGAAAGCGAGAAAGTTGCACGTTTTGGTAGTATGCAGAATTTATAGGTGGCCGCTTGGCTGGACGCGAAGTGTCCACACCTGAGTGCTTAACTTTCCCTCTGGAGACCATATTCTGGCCACTCAGAAGCGAAATCTTCAGACTCCGCGATGAATAGGTGGACGAGCTCAAGTCTTTTGTCCCTGTGGACGTAGAATTACTGGCGGATTCTGCGTATAGCTTCCCCATTCGTTTACGCGTTGTTTGCCATGGTTTGTTCGAAGGGTGGCCCAAGTCATTTGAAGTCAGCCTTGTGATAGTTCACTGCACGCAACGAGTGGGAAAAAGGCTCGACATGACGATATTGCACGAATGATGAGCTTCGATCTTGGAAAAAGAAAGTCGAAAGGTTATAGGCTATCTGGCATGGGATTGCTGCCTCAGTTTCGGTGCGGCTCTTACGTTGCGAGTATCCAGATAGCAAACGCTAGTCTGCAGTTCTCGCCACCCTAGTTTCTTGGAAGGAAGGACAAAGGCGCTGGTCAATGCTTGATCCGAACGACAGTGCCTTAACGAGTCATGTGCAGGCAGTGTTGGACCCGACACTTGGCCTCATGGTTGCTTGTACCAGCCACGCTTCCCAAAAAGGAAAATTACGGCGTGTTTCGTCCAACGCTTTATAAAAGCTTTGTAGACAGACAAAAGTGGCCCCCTAACACAAAGCGATACAAAAGCGTTTCCTTGCTCGTGCCACATCTATTGAAAGAGTGTCAAAGCAAAATCCCAAGCAACGTCAAAGCATCGTTAGCTGAAAAGGTATTTTAGTAAAGGCGTGAATAGTGAGAGGAGACCAACAACTCAACAACTCCCACAACCCAGCGCTCATCTGCTGCTAACCAACGCCAACACTTCCCCGACGTCGATAGAACTCTGCTAGTCTCAGACCTTCTATTCTCTTCCATTTTCACATCAAACTACTAGCTCGTTGACTCTACCCACTCCCCCTTTACATATTACTATGCCTCCAATTACTCGTCGTGCTGCCCGTGAGGCAAGAGAAGCGAGAGAAAAGAATTATTACTTGATATGCACTGACGTCGACGGTTCGAAGGTTGAGATAACTTTCTCTGCCACCGGCGAAGGCACGCATACGAGGTGGCACTACCCAGACCCCCCTGCCAGAAAGCAGACGCCCATAGCCGAACAACCAGAGCGCAATTCACCTTCGATTCCATACCCCCTCACAGAATACGACTGCTTCCCAGATCCATTGCAGCGATCTCTGTCCGAGATGGCAAATCCAATCGAACGTCATTCGACTCCCCCTCGTGGAAGTTCAGGTAGCCAGTGGCCTCAAACTCCACTTCCCCAGCGCACCTTCGACGCTGGCTCCGTCATCAGGACGCCTGTAAAGAAACTTCAACGCAGTCCCGACCGCATCGGTTGGAATGGCGTTAACTTCTGGAAAGAGGACGAAAGTGGCGTATTGTCGGGACGAATGTACGTAGATGAAGAATCCGGGTCCATCCGCTATGTCCCCAACCACGCTGCTGCAGAAAACGTCGACATGACTAGGTCCCAGGTCGTCGAACGTCAGCTTCTGGATGACGAAAAGATCTTTTTAGCGCAGATCGAGAAGTTTTTTGATCGAAAGTATAGAGAGGACGTGACTAGGCGGATGGTTAAGAAGGAGGGATCGGATAGTGGTTTTGAGGATATGGACGAAGATACGCCGACGAAAGCACAGGGTCACCCAGGGTTTGGAGCTCTTGGGTCGCACGGCACCGTTATCATCGAAGAGTCTGACGAAGAGGAGCTCGACGAAATCGAGTCCGAGGATGATCCCATGGACGAAGACTACCACCACCTCGGACCTGGTGGGGAGAAACCCGACAGCTTTGGGCGTAGACTACTCGGGCCAGAGGGCACGACCATCATCGAGCCTTACTTCCACCCCAACGATAGATCTCTCAGCGCTACCCCGGCGCCCACCGAGATCGACGAAGACGAAGACAAGGAAAATCACGAGAACGGAACAGTTCGTTTGGGAAGCGTCGTCAACACCACCGGCACCGTCTACGAGGTCTTTTTGAGGCCTAAGAAAGCTAGACAGGGTAGCGTAGGCCCAAACGGTTCCCCCCTCCGGAACGCCAATGTTGCAGGTCCTTCGACCGAGTCTAACAACCGTATGAGGAGAAAACTTGGGCCCCATGGAACTCACCTTATCGACCCTGTGACCTACCGCGCAATGACTCCTTGAGTCAGCTTACGCTGGTTTCCTTCATACTAAGCATAGCATTTATGGACAGTGGAGATGTTAAGGAATAGCAATCATGATGTACTTCATACACACGACACGTTCTTTTTCCCTTTTTATGATCATCTATGAAGTTACGCAATTTTGTATGCTTTACAGTTTTATGCACTCCAATAATAATCCTGATACTCACCATCATGAAAATAAACCTTGGAAGTTAATACAACTGCGATATGTATCGTCCACCTCGCGACTTCTCAGTTAATCTAGAAGATCGTTGGCGATTTTCCATTTCGTTTACCACACGTTCTCCATCCCCCTATAGCAAGGTTTCCTCGTCTCAAATTTTTCTGAAGCCAGCACTACTGTGCTGATGTTGATATTCGATGATACGAGACAAGAGAAAAACCTAAGTTATCACGGTGAGCACAAAAGCGACATTTACAAGCCTTGTTTCTGAAACCAAAAAAGGAAATTCCGGCATGGAACTGTCGGTGGTAGCCGGTGAGCCCAAGGATCCTCCGCAATCCCACGTATTTTGGCAGAGGACAACCATGGTCTCCCCACCAAAGCCCTGGGAGCGCGGTTCAGTCGCAGCTGCACCCTCCCATTCATTATCAACATCAGCGACTGCACCGACGACGACGACGATACCATCAGCACCATCAGCACCACCCCCCACCCTTCCTTCTTCATCCCCATCAGCATCCTCATCTGAGCCTCCTTCCATCCCCGCACGACCAGCAGCGCTATCTAATCCCTCCATGTCGGCGATGGCATCACCATACAACTCGCTTCAGTCGTCATACAACTCGCCTTATTCTTCTTATTCTCGCATGGGCACATCTTATTCCCCCTATGGAGGAGGAGGAATGTATGGTGGTCTCGGAGGCTATGGTGGTGGCATGGGCACTTACGGTGGCGGGTATGGGGGTTATGGGATGAACAGCATGTATGGAGGCATGCCTGGTATGGGTGGTATGGGCATGTACCCTGGCGGAATGGACCCCAACAATCCATCACTCACCCAGAGCCTCGAGTCAACAACTCAGCAAACCTTCACATTGCTGCACTCGATAGTGCAAACCTTCACTGGTGTCTCACAAATGCTCGAATCCACGTTCATGGCGACTCACAGTTCGTTCTTCGCAATGGTGGGTGTGGTCGAGCAGTTTGGGCAGCTCAGGAACGCATTGGGGAGCGTCCTTGGCTTGTTTGGCCTGGTCAGGTGGATGAAGGACTTAATTTCTGGACGGGGAAACTCTGCATCCGGTGGCATGCAAAACGAGTTCAGGCAGTTCATTAATGGAAAGCCTGTACTAGGCCCTGTCGGACCGCCTGCACCGAAACCAAACAAGAAGCCCCTTATCATATTCTTCCTTGCCATCTTCGGTGTTCCTTATGCCATGTCGAAACTCATCAAAGTCTTGAGTGAACGAGCTCAGCAGCAACAGCAATTGCAAGGTCAGACAGCTGGCGCTCTGGGTCCCTTGGATCCTTCAAAACTCCAGTTTGCTCGGGCACTGTATCCCTTCACACCATCAACGCCCGCCGAACTTGCATTAAAAGAGAATGAAATTGTAGCCATCATGGGAAAATTGGATCCTAACACCGGAGCTGAAGTAGATCCTAGGATGGAGGTGGAGACTGACTGGTGGAAAGGGCGGACGAGAGAGGGGAGAGAAGGATGGTTCCCGAGGAAATGGGTGGAAGTCCTGGCGAGGAGTAAGGTGGAAGATGCTAAGAAGGTGGATTGAGATGAGTTATATATTTTCTTGATACTTTCGACTTCGCTCTTGGATATCACTTTTACCTTATTCTGTCCTTACTGTCTTTCCTTATTCTGATTGTCTTTTTACGATTATTTTATCCTCAGTACTGTGTACATGCTGGGGAACATATCTTGTTGTCACAAGGTCTTACCGGATGTAAATGTTGTGGTCTTGAGCAAGTGTCAGTACCTCGTTGAGTATTTGTACAGTTGATACATTGCAACCTTTACGGAAATGAAAACTCAGTGCACAGTCATTAATACTAGTATGCTTGGATCATTCCAAGAAACATGTCCGCAAATATACTGATAGATATCCAGATACAAATGTTCTTGAGTTAGTGTTACAAGTTCCCATAGCTATTATCGTCATAGGTTTGGATATCGTGATGATCATAAACAGGATTCGATCCGATCTTTCACATTGCTCCTTCGCTTCTTGAAATGATATACCTGACGGAGATGCACGAATGTAAGCTCAAATAAAGCTATGTGCATGAGAAGCAATGATTCACCAAGCATGTATGATTCCTGGTATCCACCCAAGAATCGTCAAGCAAATATTAATCCAAAAATCTATGTCAAATACAGGTCAGGTGTGACCACGACAACAGGATTGAAACCAAGCGTACCTGCAGCACATCCGCGTTCTTATTGATAGCAGCCGCATAAGTTGAAACGATATTACTTTAAGAAAAATGAGTGAGGGTACACACTGAAGAACACAGCGACGGGTGGTAGTGCACTGGATCCCATTCAAGTTGGCACGTTAGATATTGCAAATCAACTTGAAGAATCTCAACTCAAAGACTTACATTGCGAGGAAATACAGGATAACATCCCCTGTGGATGATACTTTGGATGCCATGATGAAAGATTTAGTTAAGGAGGCGGTAAGAAAGAAGATTGAGCCGCAGTAGGCGTTTATAACTGTGCATTCGGAGGTTGCTGGAGTTGTGCTGGAGCACGAAAGTGCTACCACATACACGCAGCTACGTCATTTCAAATCTGGATCACGTGAGTATCCATTATAGGCAACTGTCGCAGAACAGAGCTGAAATTCAAGTCCAAAAAACCAGTGGAGAAATCTTTAATGAGTTAGGATTGACCTTGCAACATAATCAGAACAGAGACAAAAAAATATCACGTTTTCATAATTGTCAACAAGCCAACAGAGACTTAGTGACGCTCCAAAATCGACCTTGAAGCGTATATACTGCACCAGAACTGCATCCCGATGATAGGATAGTAACTCGAAATAGACAAAGCTAGTAGATATATCCGGTCTATTGAATATAAAGTATATGTAAACCCTCTGTCAGCTCGATTTTTACGTTCGTGGGAGGCTCCCCCGTGAGACTAAGCCACAAACCACGAACCAAAGCAGACCGAAAGGCAACAGACATCACTTTAACAGACCCCTCACACGCCCGAGCCATAGATGGGGGAATAAAAAAATCACTGTCGAGCTAAACGCTGGGCAAAATCTGGTTCAAGTACAGGACCACGACGTTTTGACCGATTTAGCGAATCGTTGCCATAGGATATAAGGGCTTGAGTTTATAGCGACGCGAAGCTTTTCAGCCTCTGCGTCAAATTTCTGGGGAGCTTCGAAAGCGGAGGGCGGAGCTCGTGCAAAGATAGGACAAAAAAATTCGCTTCCTGAAACAGACCACGAAGTTTCGAGGCCAGCGCAGGCAAAATCCAGAGACAAGGACTCGGCAAGGCGCACCGCACCGAGGTTCACGTGATTAGGATTGCAGTGGCGTAAAGCGAAAGATTCGGCAGATGAGAACTTGGCGGAAGTCTTTGGAAATAATTTTCGGAAGAAGATGGACCGCGAAGGAGAGGGTGCCTTCGTTGCAAGACGAGACATATGCCGACCCTTCTTCGAGGTGATACAAAGTGTATCTGCCTCGGTGGAATGATGGCTGATGCGGAAATGCTCGAGGTTCTTGCCAGACGCAGGCGTATGATCTTTGCCGACGTACGATAGATGGTGGTCCTGGAAAGCTGCACCATCAGCCAGACTGATATCAAAGAACTCGTCGGTGAAATATCTGACATCTTCAGATTCGCCAAACATGACTAGACTAGAAAGGTCGCCACAACTAAGGGCAGTACTTGAGGCGACAGGTTCAAGCTCAAACGAAATGGAGGTCATGCTGAGCGAACTGGTGCGGAGAGAGGGATTCGATGGAGAACTACTGGTGAAAATACATTCTTTTCCATAAATGTAAATGGAATCGACGATGCAATTTCTCCTGGGGACACTATCATCGGAGGCGATAGAAACAGCTTCTGTCATGAGAGAATTTATAGCTGAACAGTAGGAGGATCGCTTGTAAGCTACTTCTTGAATCTAGGTAAAGGTGGTAAGATTTAGCGTTGAGGAGTAATGTAATTCCATAAACTGACTCCTCTTCTAGAAACCCTTATTTCGTCAACTTCATCCTGGATCTCAAATACGTCATCACCAATCATGATATCTGTATCATCAACTGCATTGATAGGTATACCACGATTCTGGAAGCAACCGTTAATGATGCCAACAGGCCGACCTCTGATAGATCGTCCGGTTAGATATACACCCTTGCGCCTTTGAATTCGTTCAACGGATGCAGCGTCGTCCTTGTTACGAGAGCGGCCATAAAGAGAGTTGGAGGGAGTAGTAGCAGGAGTGCAGAGAGACAGATTGGAAGGAGTGGAGAACGTACTGGACGGTGTCGAATAGCCGTCAGAAGAGAAAGAGTAAGCAGGATTGAACTCATAAGAATGTTGGCTGGAAGGGGTAACGGGAACGCTCGTAGGTGAATCGACTCGCTTCGGGGAAGCCTTCATGATTTCCTAAGAGAAATAATAATTAGGATCATGCCTTTATGAACTGAAAGGATTCACTTGCCTCAACAGCCAAAGCCAGTTTTTCGATATCACCATCACCCTCTTGCCAGTCCAAGCACGCAGCCGCGAGATTCGCGCACGTATCGTCCGAGACTATATCTCCTTCTTTTGGGGGTGAGCAGGAAAGTGTTTTCTTGATCTCACGTGCCCTTTCTTCGACTGTAATCTTCGGGTTCTTCAGAGAATTAACGATAGTTGGGCTTTGTTCGACGCCACAGTGATCAACGGAAGGAAGCTACGGTTATAAAACAGAGGTACTCAATGACGACGAACGTAAATTGGGAGTTAATATTTACCATAGTGGACTTTGCATGGGACTCTTCGACGTTTGACCTAGAATTCTGAGAAGGGCTAACGACAAATTGACCACAGCTTTGCTCAACACCGCGTTTGCCTTCAAAAAGAACTTGAAGCTATGATAGCAGAATAGGATTGCTTGATAATAACGAGCGGAGGATGAAAGGGAATACTAACAGCATGATGTTTTATAACAGAGACCCCTTCGACAGTAGCTTTAGGCTTCTGTGAAGAGTTCACGACAACTAAATTTTGCTCAACGCCATGGTAATCTTTAGAAGAAAGCTGTGGTAGTGACAAAGTGTCTTCATTATCAACGAGCAACAAATGGAAGTGAGCACTCACAACAATGGGTTTCGCAACAGGGACCATACACTTGGCAGGAGGATCTATTACGAAGTCCGTCCCACTCTCCTCTTGCATAGGCATCGTATCTTTTCCGTGCCAGGTATCAAGAGACGAGATGGAGTATTTCGAAAGAGAAGACTGGAAGAGACAACTACGGCGCAGCTGTTGGACGTTGCTACAGAGGTCAGAGACCTCAGGTTGGGCCACAGCATCCAGATCTCCTGGGGGTCTCTTGGAGTGAACGAACATGCCGCGTGTCTGAATACCGAACGTGTCAGAAGAATATAGACACTTCCAGAAATTGTAAATTACCTCCTTGTCACCTTGCACCAGGGACATTTGTATGTTCACTCCTTCTTTAGCTGCCATGTCTTTGAAGGCGTCGGCCATAGTGTCGATGAACAAGGCCTCGAGTCCCTGAGGCTCAAACCTAACGAACATGGAGTTGATGGAACCATTAATGACGAGCTTGTCGACGGAGGTAGGCGGTTTGCTTCTAAAGACTTTGAGGGCGGACTTGAATAGAGGGGCCATTCTAAAGTATGAATAAACGAGTGGATGTACTTGAAGATGGAGAGCTTGAATATTAGAAGAATTTGGAGAGCTTGGAGAGCTTGAAGAACTTGGAGTTACTGAGGGAAGCGACAGTGGGTGATGAGAGGGAAAGAGCACTTGCTATCGACGTTATGGCCTCAGATCCGGACTAGAATAAGACTCACATTCTAGTCTGATCCATAATACACTCCGGTATGTCAACGTTGACCAGTGGTCGATATACTGAGAGGAAAAGAAAGTTTGCTCAGCTATAGTTGTCAGCCCACTTATAAAAAGTTATTGCACGTACCGAGTCCCAAACCCTTGAATACCTTGAGACGTGTAATCAAATCATTACGCACTAGATTAAAACCATTACAGGACGCTAACGGTTTTCTATCGATGGGCCTTGGTCACACGTCATACGGTCGAGTTTCAAACGAAACGAGCAGTCGTCTCAGACGAGTAATCATCCAAGCGCCTCGGCCTAAGGATTCAAACAGATGCACTTGATGGCGATGCCTTGCTGTCATATCAAGAGAGCCTTACTATAGAACAGCAGAGGTCGGTTTCTTAGCCTAAAGATTCACGGTATCTCAAAAGGCATAAATCTTAATCTGACCTCGTCCCTTGGTCCATGGTCATAACTTGTTCACTTTGGCGAGAAGTCATGATACAGGTCTGAAAGAATACAGATACACCCACTATGCGTCAAGCGCCGATGTGTATGAACACAATCCTTTGGTCCAACGGCACCTCGTCCTTGTTTACCACCTTCGCCGCCTTATTCAGTGCCTTTGCGGCGTTTGTGCCATCAATACCTTCGCCAAAAAGGACGTTATAGAATTCCGAAACCATATAATGAGTAGTCTTGTCGTCGACGGCAAACATAGTGCCGATGACACTCCGAAACCCAGAAAATTGTATACCTGCCGCTAGGTGGATGACTTCGTCAGGCGTATTCTTGTCACCAACAGCGGTATGGCATGCCGACAGAAACGCAAATTCTGGATGAGCAAGGTCCGCATGTATAATGTCCAGTAAGCGAAGCGGTTTATCGCGTAGGGCAAAAGATGAGTCGAAAGGTTGTGAGATATCTTGCTTTCCGTGACAGGCTAGATGTACCCAGCCGTGTTCGTGCATTTCACGTAACACAGCATCCGACGTGCTTGCACTACCAGTCAGCTCGGAGTAAGACATCGATGCTGGAATAAGGCTCCTAGCTAACGCAAGTTCCTTGTCTATGGACTTCAACTCGAGCTCGGGACTACCTTCATTTGGCTGCGCCTGACCTATCGCGACAAATGTATGTGCATTGGAGTTATTTGCAGACGCCCTCCTGGAGCGTATGAGTGCAGATAGTGTCGGGGTATAGGAAGAGATATATAGGCTTGAGAGGTTAAGTTGACCTTTACGATACGGTCCAGCACCATGCAATGGTAACGACGTCAGCTTAGAAGTAGGACACCACCATATACGAGATCCTATAGGTACTAAGTCTTTGAGCTCCTCGACAATGGGATGAACAATCATTTCCCAAAGTTTGCGCAGGATAGGTATAAGCCGCTTTTCTCTTATTTATTCCTCGCCAACAGCAGGGGTACTCTTCAGAGCGTCCGTGAAATCAGAGGACATTGCGGAAATATCTTCTATGGTAACTCGAGGGAGATTGACAAGACGAAGCTGACCGTCACTCATAACGATGATAGCAGCACAACAAGGTTGACTGATGTTTACAATTATAACAGGCCCGCAATCAGCTACGCTCCTGAGTTCATTGAATGGTGTAGGTTCAATGAAATGCTGGAAATTTTCGAATTTACGAATGTTGTTTACTGTTGTATTCCATTGTTCAGACGTATGTCGATAGAATTTTGCCTTTTCTTCGAACGGCAGGTATGACTCGTCCGTAACCCTGGAAGAAAAGGAGTTTCCACTCTCCAGTAGTTTGCTCAGACGTTCGAAGCCTTCAGCAAGCTTGCACCCATCTTCGCCCAAAAGGCGAAGACGATCAAGTGGAGTCCTCAGTCGTGCAAGCTGTGCCCACAGTAAACCTCTACCTTGCTCTAAGAGCTCTACAGCAGTATCCAAGCGATTTTCTTTTATTGCTTGTGCTGCAGCCTCTGACGCTAACGATGACGGTGCGGATCGCAGAGCCTGATGACGTGATTGCATGGACGGCGTAGACAGTAAGTAGCGATCGAGGAGAGTAACAGAGGTTTTATGGGCCAATAGGAGTGATGAGTGTTGCTGCTTCTTGGCTTCTGATATCCAAGACAAAGAAGCCTGGAACCGTCGCCACGTACCACTCGTAGCATGATTAGCAGATCGTTCGTGGTACCAAAAAGCCTGTTGCTGTTCGTCAACGTCGTGGGATAATGTATATCTTGCAATGTGAGTTAATGCGAGATAGTTATAGATTATATAGAGATCTGGGTGACCTTCGGGTAGAGCCTCCATTGCAATATGGAGGTAATCGATGGCATTTTTGAGATCGGTGATATCTCCCTGCTTCTGGAAACGAAGGCGGAGAATATTGGCTTGAGTATAAAATATTGACGGTCGATCAGGATGGGTTTGAGGGCAGATATCAAGTGCAGTCTGACAATGTTCGGTGGAACGATTGAGGTCTACTGGATCCTCCTGTTGCAAATAGCGCACAACAAGAGCATTCGCTAAACTCACTAGCGATAAAAAGTGCTTCGGATGACCAACAGGGCGCAACGCCAAAGCGCTCTCATAGTGTTGCACAGCAAGCTCGATATCCTGAGACATTTTGTGTTGTTCGAAGCGAGTTAGATAGGCATTGGCAATATTTGTGTGTGACACACAAAGCTTAGGGTGGTTGGGAGGATGGGATTCCAGTGCCGCACGATATTGCTCAATTGCTAGCTCCAGGTCTGTTGAGTCCCCCTCACTCTGAAAGCGGGAAAATAGAGCATTTGCAAAGCTCATCAGGAGCCACGAGCGGTTAGGGCTATCCGGAGAAAGCAACTGCAGCGCACTGCCATAATGTTCAATGGCGAGCTCCAGATCTGCAAAATTCCCTTGCTGAGAGTAACGAACTAAGAGCGAATTTGCCAATTCAGTCAATGAAGTCGACCGCGCAGCATGCCCTGGAGGTCGCAGGCGCAAAGCCTCGTTATGATAAGTGAGGGCAAGTTGTAGATCTTCCAAGTCACCTTGTTGATCAAACCGAGTTCGGAGAGCTGTTGCAAAAGTCTGAAGCAGCAAGGAGCGGCCTGGGTGGTTGGGGGAGCGTGAGGCCAGAACCTGACCACAGTATTTAATGGCTCCAGATAAATCATTTGCGTCTCCTTTATGTTCAAATCGAGTGAAGTAAACATTGGCCAAGTTAAGATGCAGTGTATCATGATCCAGCTGGGCCGCAGGAGGCATCTTCAATGCACCTTCATAATTTTCGATAGCCAGTTGGAGGTCCTCAAAATTTCCATACTGCATAAAACGAGCTCGCAACGCATTACCAAACACCATGAGTAGCGAGCGATAGTGGCGATTTTCGGGAGGGCACATAGTGACAGCAATCCCGCAGTACTCAACCGCCAGGTTTAGGTCTGTCTGACTTCCTGCGCGACTAAAGCGTGTAAGAAGCGCGGAAGCGTGGTTGGAGAGTAATAACGGATAGTCAAGGGATTCACGAGGAAGTAAATTTCGAGCTTCCTCGTAGTGCTTAATGGCGAGTCCTAGGTGGGCAATTTCCCCTGCCTGGTCAAAATGGACTAACAGAGCATTGGCAAGATTCATGTGCAAAGAAGAGCGACTTGAATGTTTGGGTGAACAGACTGCTAGCGCTTCTTTATAATGTGTGATGGATAGTTCCAAGTCTGCTCGGTCGCCGAGTCCATCGAATCGAGTCTTGAGAGCAGTGGCAAGATTCATGAGTGACATCGGACGATCCAAATGGCCTGGAGGGTGGAGACCTAACACGCTACCATAAGTGTCAATACATAACTCTAAGTCTGTGTAGTCCCCCTGCTTCTCAAAGCGAGATCGATATGCGTTTCCAAGTGTCGTGAGTGCCGAGGGACGCCACGGATGCCCTACAGCATAGAGTTGTACTGCTTCGCTGCTGTGACGAATAGCCAGATCAAGGTCCTCAGATCGCCCTTCTCCCTCATAGCGCGTGAGTAGCACGTCAGAAAGATTTAGAATTGACGATGAGCGATCAGGGTGTCCTTGTGGGCGTAAATCCAGAGCTTTTATGTGGTAGGTAACCGCGAGATCTAAATCTGCAGTGTCCCGTCGCCGCTCATACCGAGCCGTAAGGGCTAGGGCCGAGTTTTCAAGCACGTTGGCACGGTCGAGATGCTCTAAAGGGAGCATCGTTAAGGAACCAAGATAACAACTGATAGCTTCTTCAAGATCCTTTAAGTTCTCTTTCTCCTGAAATCGAGTGAAAACGGCATTGCCGAAAGACAACAGAAAGGAGGAACGGCTTGGGTGCACCATAGGACACAACCCCATTGCCTCTGTGTAATACGTTATACTAGTGTCCAGGTCGTAAGTATCCCTTTGCACGTCGTATCTAGCACAATGAATGTCTGCAAGATCCATCAGGACAGAGCAGCGCTCAGCTGGGTTCAAGCTGGATGTCTGCAGTTTAGCTGTTCCACGTTCAATAAGCGAATCCAAGTTCATATCATCCTAGCCAGCATCACATCGGAACCATCGAATAACTTCAGATCAGCGTTCGGGCCCAAAGATGTTACAAGGCTCACCTCCGCCATACTGTGGGATATAACGATCGCTAAACTAAAGCCAATCAAATTCCTGAATGATGGATTCTGCGAAGGAGCCTATGATGTATGGGTATCGGCAAGCCTTACCATTGACAAGTTTAAGCCTAATGTGTTGGCTATGGTGAACCACAAAAGGTAGGGATATCGAATTTGGTATTGTGTCCCCCAGACGTTATTTGTGTTTCCGTCACGACAAGATAGAACACTACCTGCGGTTTTACATCGCCCAGGTGCTGACAACCGCCTCCTTGAACATTGCTTCACATTGTGCGCTTATTTGAACCAAGAGCCTCGAGGACAGCGGCGCATTCTTAAGGAACCAAGAAAAGCTGAGGTGCTGAATGAAGCTCTAGAAAAATATACTTATCAGACATAACCAATGCGTTAGGCTAAGGGTCAAAATAAACCCTAACCCGAGGGCCCTCGAGTGGCCCGGCGACCCTTTTGTGGAACCGCATTGTCAAACAAACCTGAACCTGAATTCTTGCCTTTATGCTTCTTATTCCTTCATTTTGACTACATATTCACCATGGGACCTCCTCGTCGAGCTCGTTCAAATTCATCTGTATCGAATTACAGCCCTAATCTTGTACAACGCCAACAGCAATCACCATATCAGCCTCCAGCTACACCGTCCCAACATCTGGGCATGTCTCCAGCTTCGAGGTATCACCACAACATGAAAGTCCTTCGACGGCGCGATCCTTCAATTGTATCTATATTTGATCAGTTCAGCCATGTCTGCGTCTATCACCACAACGGCGACAAATGGGAGAAGCAAGGCTTCGAGGGCAGCATGTTCTTGTATGAGCGGTTAGTTTTATGTTTCCTCTGGTGGCTTTCTGTTATTTTAAGACATCTGACGCACGAAATCTACAGCAACTCGTACCCTCCTTATGGGTTCTACATCCTCAATCGAGTGGGAATGGACGATTATATTCAGCGACTTTATCCGGAAGATAACATCGGAGCGCACGGAAACTATCTTATGTTGCGCTCCTATCCCGAGTTCACAGCTCGTAGATTAGCAGAAGCACGCACTAAATTATCTCCTTCTGAACATGAGGGCGAGTCCTCCAAATTTGCGAAAGAATATAGTATCTTAAACCCAGAAAAACTGCAAGACATGGATAAAGGCAAATCACTGACGGTGGGTCTGTGGTGCTTTGCGACAGACGCCCGAGAGCCTTTAAACGACGTAATGCTTCGGTATGTTGGGCGCTTATTGTAAAAGAGATAAGAAATATTCTAATGTTTATGGGGAGAATAGACTACACTCGTATATTAAGAAAAACATACCCTACCCGGAGGAGTTTAGATATGGGCCGGATCGACCTCCCCCTCCTAACTTGCATTCGTCGACTCGCCCTAACGGTATGCGTAATTCACACATATGCTGCATTTGGTTTCTCATGGCAATGATGTAGGAAAAACACATTCACGCTCAGTATCAAGCGCATCTGATGCAAGCATATCCGAAGTAGACGAAGATCGGTACCGAAGTTCTTCTGCCTCTTCCAGCTTGCATAGAAATGGAAAGGCGAATAGTAATGGACATGAATCTGATCTGGATAAGTTATTCGCTAAGTTAGGAGGTGGACCACCAAGTCAGGCGACGAATACTCCCTCGACTGTAACAGTTGACAGCCTCTTCGCTTCCATAGGCAGCATAGGTTCAACGCAGAAAAAACCAGATCCCATCCCTACTCCTAGCGCCACTCCTTCCCGCGGACTATCTCTTTTGGACACTATCTTTGCGTCCGCGACCCCACCACCTGCTCGCGATGGCCGCGTAAGCCGCGCAGCTTATCAAAATGGTGTATCATCCCCGCCGTCTTTACCAGCTTCTACACATTCGCAATCCTCGTCTTCGTCGATGTCTTCTTCGCTTTCGGTTCATAAGCAAACGGCACACATAGTATCTCCCACACCAACGACTACGTCAGTACCTCAAATCCTGAATCAAGATGTTATTTCGTCCCTTTTAGGTCTTCCACCCTCACGTGCTTCTTCCGTCGCAGCTAGCTCGTCCAGTTCGCGCCTTTCAGGGAAAGATCGATACGAAGGAGATAACGAGAGTAGTGATGGTGATGACCTTGGCGCATCTGATGGTGGATATTCAGAATCTAGCACTGTTCTAGACGCAGACGCTGATGTGAATATAGAGCTGCAAGCAGCCGGCTCCTCTTCTGGAATACCTCTGTTGGCTGTCCCCTACGACAACGACGAACACAGACAAGCAAATGGCAACATACTCGGTGATGCCACACCTCGAGCAGCCCTTCGACCGATGAGTTCAGACATCACTGCGGTCAGCGAGCTCTTGAGTGCGTGCGCTCCATCCAGTACGTCTTCTACACGAACTCGAACACAAAAGCGCACATCCCAATCCCTTTCCGCACCTCTTCTCAAAGTCCCTAAAACTCTAGCTTCTCCATCCGCTAATACCACCCCTACCATTGGCACATCATCCCTATCGCCAGCCCCTTCCGCGAAGACAATTACCGCCCGCCCTCTTGTCCCCTTCGAGGCCGACTCAGAGTTATGGCCCTATCCACGCGCTCCAGTCGACGATCGCGCCCTGGATGCTGACAGCGACGTTGTAGAACTCGACTTTGCTGATACCAGTGCTTTGAGAAATCCCCATGCGCTCTCCCGTCATCTCCAGGACCAGGATCTCTCCAAGGGAAAAAAGCAGAAGAAGGGTAAGAGGGAGCGCGCTGCAGACCGCGAGCGTGAGAGAGAAGAGATAGAAAAGAGCTGGGATGTCCCTGCACCTCCGGCTGCCTCCCCGCCTCCCCGCTCTGTACCATACTCAATCCCCTCTTCACCTGAATATGCCAGAGTCCCTAACGGGAACGGGAAGGCAAAGGAAGCACGTGGTTCAGCTTCTCAATCAGCTTCCGGTATAGTCGACAAGTCACAAATAATCGACACAAATGTTGCGTATGAATCCATGGCGTCTGGTTTTGCGCTGCAGGAGAGGAAAATGGATCTTAAACCGTTGTCAAGGAGTGATTTTTTGACTCTGATCCATGTACGTGAATTCTTTTTGTTCATGAGCTGTGGTGCTTATTGTTTGTATCACAGACTGACAAACAGTTTGTTGATACTCTTTGGCGTGACTATACGTCTCGATATGCCTGATCAACTTTTCACGAGTGTCTGCTTGAGTGTAACCTGCAATTCGCGCAGTTTTATTTTGATCTTGATTGATATTATTTCTTGCTCGTAAATCACACAACTGTCTCGCTCCTTGTTATTTCACAGCCTTCACTACTAGTAAAGCTCCCCCGCTGCCCCGCTCCTTCTACATTCTAGTCTGTATCATTGATGTGCTCACCTCTTTCGTATCACGGCTCTGAATTAGCATGTTATCTCTCATTTATCCTGTCGCCGTAGTGGATACCGAAAACGAAATGATTGACATTGTATTAGGTAGTTTTATTATGCCACGTCTGTGCTCGTGCCGATGCGTGGAATGCTCGACTGGGAGTTAAGTATCTGCAGGGCAGCATCCCTCCGAGTGTTCTGCAACTTCCACATCCAGTTCAAGTCCCGTTGAACTTTGAGTTTTCTTGCTCGCTGTCTCCTCTTATTCAAATGACTCCAATCCTCTCCATGACCCACGGCAGCGGATGTGAAGCGCGGTGGTTCAGGCTTCAGTAAGGATTTCTGGTGCTTTCCAGATGCACTTGGTTTGGGCTTCTGTTTGACTTTTGCTTGCCATAACCAAGTGTTGACTGCGGTGGAGAGCAAATCTCCTTGTTGCCGTCGCGCAGACTTTGTCATTGTCTGCAACCTCTGCTCAACCTCTGCTTGCGACAGTGTACGCTTCGTGCACACTTTCTCCACAACGTTACTCGCAGCTAGATGTGGTAACACGATATTTTTCAAGTAACTAGTCGCATTATGACAAAATGAGCGAACGACGCATGTAAATGACAAGTAGGACGTACCTGATTGAGCGTATAGCATGTTTCGGATGAGGAGGTTCTGGAGGAGGCTGTCTTTCCAAACCACGTCTAGATTGTGCCTGGCTGATTGGCTTCCTTGGGACAAGACGCTGCAACGGTTTGTCTGAGGACGGTGAAATGCCTGTCTTGTTCACCGCGATGTTGAATATATCTTTGGTGGAAAGAGGTTGAGGTGAAGTTGCAATGATTGAGCGAACAAGTTTTCGGGCGACAGGTGTGCATTGTCGACTCCATTGATGAAGGCTGTTCGGGAAACTAGCCGCCATGCTCAATGTAAAGTTTTGCAGTGGACTGTCCTTGAAAGCAGCGGAAAAGTCACTGGACGCGGGCTACTCTCGCCACGTGCAACTCGCGTGCGTGGATCTCAAACTTGGCCGAGCTCAGCAACACACGGCAGACGCCGACCTCCCATGGCAAGAACTCGTAAAGCCAAAGTCAGTTCAGCGAATGCTACCTCGCCCAAGGTCGAGATACCTGAAGACGAGCAATGGCGCTTGATTGACGAGAGCGGTATCCTGGACAAAATCCAAACACCGGGTGTAACTAAAGATATTGCAAATGCCGAACACACGACAGTCCGTGCGGAAGAAGAGGAGACACCACTTGCAGATGAGATATTCAGTGCAGCCATTCTCATCATGCCCTTTACATTCTTCTTCCTTTTAATGGACATGTGCGTCTCCGTCTATTTAGCAATATAATTGGTCTCGAGTGATGTTTTCGGTCCTTATGATTTGAAGCCTGATCCACCAACAATACGCAAGACAACCTGGATTCAAAGAGCTAGCAGGGAGACTGGCAAACAACATTCCCAGTACGTATTACGCCACGTCAAAATATGGGTGAAGCTAATAGGGAAATGTAGTACTGTCTCTTTTTGTATTTTACAGTATGTCAATCGTTCTTCTGCAGTTGCCTATTTGCTGAACGGATACTAGCTTCGCGCCATAAGGCTGACCGACGCACGCAAGCCCTTCTATTTCTCATCTCACTCTTCGTAGGTCCAAGGATGATTTGGCTAATCAACCGTGGCTCATGGCTAGTCAATATGCGACAAGTATGTCCTTTCCTGCGCTGAAACTCGCGACGTTACTGAATTCCCTCAGTGCCCTCCCTTTGCCACAGTTTGGCTGTACGCTGTTGTGCAGATGAACTTGGGACTAGCGGTAGCAAGTCTGATTCTTATCTTCGGTTGGGTATGGTGGTCGGGCATGAAACTCCTCCTATAGACGATGACTAGTAAAAACTCTATGGACATTCAACCTTGCAACAACCTTTCTCGACTTAAAACATGTATGAGGACATTTGATTTTATAATGGAACAGTTAAGACCCGTGCTAATTGACAAAATATGTATCTGCTAAGAGGATTTAGCTGAAACCCTTAGATGCCCCGTAACGGCCACTCGTCAAATGTCAAATGTCGAATTTGACTGTGAGACGGACGCAACGTTAATGATAGTGGCACAGATCATATGATCGCTTTTAGCTCGATAGTACGCTCCACGAGATTGTATGGTTGCATCTCGAGAGCACCTTTTACGAGGATCGTGGATACACCAATTTGTGCAAGATGAAGGTACTGCAAAAGCTGAAGGAGTTGATTCAGATGATATATGGTGTGTGAATACTGCCTCTACTTGATAGTACTACAGACAACACTAGCTTGCAGTGCTATCTCAGCGTCTGATAGATAATTCATTTGATAATATGAAATATCAACCTTGTCAAAGCACCAGAGCCTGTCGACGTTGCCTATTACGTCTTGTGACTTCAAGTTGCAATCTTTTAGTCGCATCACTAGGGCTATGTGTGAGTACATATCACAGTCAAATTGCAACCTCATTGGTTGGAGAGGCAGACCAACTCTAATCCCTCGCCATCCAAAAGTGATGTTAACGTAGTCACCTGTCGGTGATCATACGTGTTATCCAGGGGATGCTAACCCAAATGGGGCACCTCGGGTATTTTACGTTTCCCGGCTTCCTTTTCTGGCCCTCGCTTGGATCTCCCTAATACGCCATCAAGAACAGCCTGAGTATCAAACATAAGAATTGCTAAGCCACCGTTGCGATCTAAGTCTCCCCGCCATTCCATGGTGGCTAATCGCACGATACCAGCATACCAGGCTTACAAGCTGTCCTTGAGCTGTCCTGCGATTAATATCCGAAGTTTCAGAGGCCATGTCTCTGACTTCGCCTCTGTGCGTATCCCGTTGTTCGAATAGAAGTAGAAATTTAACCGAACTATGATTTTTTTATTACAGAGATGTAAACACAATTATGACTGTAATATCTACTTGTGAGTGCACATTTTTTCTTATGGCAGTTACATTGAGCTTTATCTGTATTTTGTTGCAGCCATAGCATTTTATGACTACATTCTTACCTTTGCCGTGGAACTCGACCGATTTTGGTTGCGGCCTACCCGTACATGGGCTACTTTTCTTTTCTTCGTCAACCGTTATTTACTTATTTTGGGGCGTGTCCCTTTGATGATTGCATCGGCTTCTGTGAGGCCGTTATATGGCATGCTTAGAAATCCAGTGAGCATCTATTCCCTAAACATAAGGTGTGCTATATAACCCATCCCTTTGTACAGGCGTCCGTGTGGTCTATTTACTTTGTTCTGCATGTGCTAAAAGTTGATGGATAGTAGCTGCCGCAACGTTCAACGTTACGATGAAATCACCATTATGCTTAGCCAAGGAGTTGGTGCAGGTTAGTCCTGTTTTTGAGCGCAGGGTGGAATTGATGTTAACTATTCATCAGTCTTGATGACAATGCGAGTCTACGCATTATACAACCAAAATCGCCGATTACTTTGCGCGTTATTATTGATTGCAATGGCACTTATAGCAGAAGCCTGTGTGAGTGGCAAGGCTTTCACGTGTACTTTGACCAGGCTGACGTTGTTATTTAGTGGGGCATTCTTTCAACGGCTCCTGTTACTCTTCCTCCGACATCTATGCCAGCAATAGGGTGTGATGACCCCCTTTCGCCACAACAGTAAGTTATTTCCCTGTAGAAGTGGCCTGACCTCACTTCTGTGCGTTTCGTTTTCATTAGAGATGTTCGTAAGTATGAAAAGCTTTATGACGTGGTGACGCCCCTGAGTCTTGGTATCTTCTAGGTCTAGCGGGATCATGGAGCAGTCAGCTGGCCTTTGATAGTCTAATCTTCTGCCTGACTCTTTGGAAGACCTGGCGTATCGGGTCAGTCGGTGGGCGCCCTCTGGTCACCATTTTGCTACGTGATGGTAAGTGGATTTTTGAAAAGTTCCAGTTGATAGAAAGGTCAATGACAAAGTTCACTTCACTGTTATGTTCATCAGGGGCTATGTATTTTGCGTAAGGCTTATCACTGTTTTACAGTTGAGATACTGAGGACACCCACAGGGTGATGGCCGCAGCCAATCTTGCCAATATCTTAACGTTTTTGGTATGACTTTTCCACCTTGTATGTCTTATTAAACTCATACTCTCCGTCTGTACCGGCAGCTTCCTCCTGTGAGTGTGCCCATTGGGTATCTTGGAATCATCCAATTTATAAGTTGTGTGTCTGCAGCTAGATAGCAGAGGTTCCGCAGCGAGATTTACAAATGTGTAAGTCATGATGGTTCCCCGCTGCAATGCATGTTTCCAACACTATGGCGCTAACTGGGTTTTTCTGTAAAATAAAATAAAAAGATTATCTGCGACGATGATATCACGAATGATGCTCAATCTTCGCGACCCTCGTTTAGTCAACGGCACAAGGTCGGGCTTCAAGGACGACAGCTTACCACCGGTTACCTCGGTTTTCTCCATGGAGGCTCCCTTGTCAGAAATCGATTCGTATTTACTATCTACTAGATATACAACGCGTACAAGTGGGGTCACAGGGGACATCGGTAGGTTTTCAGATTTATTGTTAGGCCTCTACTAATTGATATGAAAACAGGCACCATGGATAACACCCCAGAGACTTCTCGCCTATGTCGACACTAGAACTTGCATCCGTATCATGACACCTTACTTCAGGTTTATCTTAGATTCATTGGTATCTTTTAATCTTAAAGCATGTGGGTCTTCGTGGTTGATGTATATTACAATGTACACTACTATTCTTACGTCTTTCAAATTTTGAGGGAGTTAACAGTTCTTTCTTCGTGCCGTCGTCTGGTAGTATCGCGTCTCTCAAGGGATGTCTGCCGTAGAACCTATCTCTGAGAGCTTTTCAAGTAATGGTACTTCGTCACAAGCCAAATGAGGATCTGCCTGAGGCACTGTCACAGGAATAAGAGATGTGGAGTCCGAGCTGTGGCGCCGTCGCAACTCGAGAGAACAGGACAGCAGACGAACTTAGATTCGAAACAAGAACTACGCGGGCACGACACGAATTTTCAATGGAAGATGTACTAGCACGTGGTAGGGATCTAATTTATAAGATCCGCCAGAGATTGATACCGTGATTTGGTGTGTTGAGAATGTTGCAGATAATAAGGTGCTTTTATACAACCAATTTGAAGGGTCAGATTGACAGAATCACAAAACAAAAGTTAATATTGATACACAGCATTGTCAGTGTCATGCCATATTATAAACCATAGATACTATTCGATAATAGCTTAGCAATACGTATATATCATCGTCCTTAGGGAAAAGCTGAATGATCACGACTCATAATGCCACGACTCGTACTGGAGTATCTTCAGCATTGCCTCGAAAATGCGACCTGTCCGATACCGTCTTGACTGCTGTTGAAGTTCTCTGCGTTTGGTCTGCCGTGTTCTTTGTCAGGTTGATGTAAACCTTTGGGAGTAGCAGAGACAACGCCTAGTGGGATTTCCGCGGGCTTGGAGGACCGGCCGGCTGAAGATTTCTTATCTCCAGACGACACTCCAGGTCTGCGTGAATAAAGAACGGGAGTGCTTTGGACCTTGAATGCTAGACTTAAGATCGAAAAAACGAAGTGAACAAGGAATATCCAGGAAGCTCCAACGATGTATAGCGCCTTATGGTTTTCTGCAACCTTGACGATGTCATCTCTCCGCACCACTTGGCCTTCCGAAGGGGGAGGTTTGTATAAAGTTAGCGGGCCTGTGGGTGAGCCACCCAGGGACTCGGTAGTCTCAAGGATATCAACAATGAGGCGCTCTACTAAATCCTCGCTCAATGTCTCCCGGACTGGATAGCATTGTTGAATGGTGATTCCTTACGGTAAACGATAGTATTACTCACCGACAACTCGCAAAAGCTCAACATTTTCCTCTCCCAGGGGTGCATTGTAGTTTGGAATAATCCAGCCCTTAGCTTTGAGCATCATCTTGAAATAACATGTATGAGGCTGATAGCACAGATTCAACTATAGAACATACCGGAATCCATTCTTGCTTGACGTGAGGGTAAGTCGCTTTAAATTCGTCAGATAGCCTACAATCAGCAAGAGACAATTCGAGCCATCATTATTACAAGATTAGGGTAAAAACTTGCCTGAATGTAACCACCGGCAACCCTATCTGATAAAAGTTTGGGTCGTCTTCATCAATACCTTTCGTAGGTTTACTTGCTGAACGATTAGCAGGCTTATGGATATTGCTCAAAACCTTCATTCGCAGATCATTATTCATCGATTTATGTGAAGTATATCCATAAACATACCGTGAAATATGTACTATCCAAGGCTCTACTCAGTAATCTCGCATTTCGCAAGTCCTTTATCGCGATCCTCTTGTAACCTTCGAAACCGAGGTTGAGGAAATTGAACATCTGGCAGAGAATTGGTGCAGCAGGCTTCGAAAAGTTGAGAGTGAACGAGTACTCGGTACTTCCAAGGTAATCTATCATTAACTGTCAGACAGATTCTAACCATACTGGAATGAACTCACGAAGCTCAAAAATGAGGTCTTTATGTAGGAAACTCTCGTCCCTCCAAAGAATCCACCCCAAGCCAGCGTAAACCAGGCCAAATTTGTGACCAGAGGTATTGATCGAATGAACTCGAGGAATATCGAAACTCCATTTGTAGTCCGGATAGGCAAACGGTGCGAAGAATCCCCCCGATGCACCGTCAACATGGATCGGAACATCTAATCCAGTTTTGGCCTGTAAATTATCCACTGTAAAATGTAAGCATAATTTTCGCGACAAGAATCTGGCTAAGTACATACACAAGTCGCTCATCTCTTGCACGTTCTCAAAGTGCCCAGTATAGGTACTTCCTAGAATAATCATTACACCGATAGTGTTCTCGTCGACATATTTGATAGCTTCCTTGGGATCCATGATGAAATCACTCTCTGCCTTGACAGGTACTAAGCGCGTTTCTACATCCCAATACCTGTGATAAGCAAGTTGAGGTTTGGTGAGTAGAGCCAACACTAACAGCCGACCTACCTGGCAAATTTTTCCAAAGCAACTTGGGCATTGGCTCCGAAGACAATGTTGGGGTGGGAACAATCTTTTCCTGCGTCCTTGCGCAGCTCTTGCCAGCGCTTTTTCATAGCAAGACCACCCAACATGATGGCTTCAGAAGACCCCGCAGTAGCTGTACCGATAACTTTACTATCTTTCGGTGCTTTCCAGAGGTCAGCAACTTTTCCTTCTATTTAGTACAACTGCTTTTCGGTAAAGAAAACTTAACCCACTCATTGAAATACACCGGCTGTGAATGACCTGAGTAGCAGGGTACTCGTCTAGGTCCACGGCATTCTTGTTGATGTTCTCCATTATGAGCTTTTCTGCCTCCGGAGGCATCCATGTGTGCACAAAACTAAAAAAAAAAAAAAACTTGATTCCTGCTGTGAACACTAAGCAATATTTGCTATACTCACGAAGCCAAGTTTAGTGTAGGATTTCCATCTAGGGTCATTTCGTCGTGTATGAGCTGATACGCAGACCTCGACGGAATACCATTAGTAGGCAGTGTATATTTCGGCACCTCAGCAGCATCTTCGTCGCGACTCCACGACTGATGATAAGTTTTTCGAGAACTATCTGTGTAATGTTTCCTGTGTGGATGGTCTTTCGACTGTTCAATGACATCGTCGGCGTTGACTAACAAAGTTGTCTATGTGATGAGTTTCAAGGTCAATATTTAGGAATGGAGAGACGTACTGTGTCGCGAAAGCATGACGGTTACTCTTGATAATAAAAAGGTCCTAAAAGGGGACAATAGGCTCGAGCTCAAACATTTTATACCACTGCATGCCGAGGCAGGACACAAAGGACGTGAAGCAGTTTTCGGGCCTGGAGGGGCGAGGATAATAATGAAATGTGCGCGGTGTGAGATGATCTCCGTAAATACATAGACACGTACCACCCAAAGGTAAAATTAAAAGAATGGGTACAGTGCTTTTGGGAGACCATAGTTCTAGCGTTCTAAAGCTGGTGTATCGCGAGGTGTAAGCTGCTAAAAAAAGTACAGGATTTCATTGGTGGGTTAACGAACACACCGCTGTTTAAAGTTTCCGTGCCATAAGGGCAGTCCGTGGAGACCAATAGCATGGAAACTGCGACCTGATAAGCACACACGTGAATGCATCCTGTTCGTCATATCACAATTTAAGTTCTGACGAGAGTCCTTGCAATCGTGAGGAGAGTTCTATGACAACAAGCAACTTCGAGCGAGACTTTGACGTCAAAACAGTGCAAAGTTACGTAAATTGACCTTTAAGTATAATGTAGATTACGATGTCTCTATAGTGGGCGATACTGCAGGCGAAGGGGGTACCACTGGGAGTTCAGGTTGAACCAGCATGTTGCCCAAACGAGGAGGCGATGATTTTGTAATGAATTCCATAGTTGTAGGCAGTTTATCCGCTGCTTGACGCAGGGCTATGAAAGCAAACAGCGCTGAGTGAATGCAAGAAATGTTCATAACTGTACTCACCATCTCTCGCCAGCTCTTCTCTGATTGGAGTCCCTCCAATTTCAAAGATTACTCGCCCGGTAGGTACACTGTCAAGGTTAAACACTTGAGCGAGTTTGCTACAACCAAAACTACAACTTGATTACCGCGTTGCCCAAAATTCGAAAGTTCCTTTTCCTTTACCCATACGCGTTTCGTTTCCCTAGGTACAGATCATTGTCCATACGGAGAAGCGAAAAAAAGAGCACGAGTGATTACCTTGATGCAAACAGGGATATCCGGGAATACCCTCAAGTATACTTTCGCTCCTTTGACCACTTTGATTTTTCTCTTGATGACTTCCTCGGCTGTTGTCAGTTGCTTCGCACTAAAACGGACTCCCATTCCCTTGATCCTGATACCCCATTCGCCGTAGGCTAATGTTGTGCCTTTAGTTGAACCACCAGTTGGGATAGGAATGCGTCCTTTGTGACGTTTTATGTGCTGCACTTGCCTGGGAGCAAGCTGTGAGCGAAACCTCGCTCCAAGTGGTGCCATAGGAATGTGGTTCTGGACGACATTCGATAAGAATGAACCGGAACGCTGCCAGACAGTCTGAGCTAGCACAGAACGTGAAGTAGAAAAGGAAAACATGGCTGCTTATGTAACCGCACGTCCATCGCTTTCGCAGCTTGGCGCGGCTCTACTGTGGTTTCCCTTCTGGCAGGTTACCCTCAGGCATCACCATTCTGCTTTTTCGTAGAATATTGCCATCCTCTCACCAACATGAGCGATAGAAAAAGAGCACTTGAGGGTAACGGCGAATCGTCTGTCGCAAAGAAACTTAGAAGGTCTGCCTTTTTGTTGCTTTGTTCCAATTGTGTCTAATCCTACAGTTTTTCTAGTGATACTGTGAGTTAATTCCTTTATGTCTCAAGGTGAATTCACCTTCTACATCATTCTGACATGTTTCTATAACCTCTTTCTCCCCCTCTTCCAGACTCCTACTAATGGAGCATCCACTTCAGGCGGCGTAAGTTCTCTGCTAGTCATTGACCGCTAATGTAAGCTAATTAGTACAAAAAAGCTTTCGGGGGATGCTCTCATTGCACAGAAGCGCGCAGAAATAGCTGCTAAGGTTGCGGCTATGAAGAAAAACATTCCTGGTGTGAGCGTACCTCCCGCACCTGTTAAAGTAGCTGCACCATCTCCGAGCCCCGTTGCCAACGGATCTCCCGCTGCTGCATCTGCAACAACCACAGATGATTTAGCCCGTCGGGTTGCTGAGGCTAAGAGGCGTGTAGCCGATGCACAGAGTAAACTAGCTGTGAAAGATAATCCATACATGGTACGTTATCTCCTCTCGTAACTCGCCATCACCGAACTTGCTTTCTAGTCGATGCCCCAAACTGGCAAGAAAAATCGCCCTGTAGAGCCAGCTCAACAAGGTGCTGGTCTCAAAATGGCTGCTCACCCTCTCCTACTCGATACGGCTCCCACTGCACCTCAGTCAAAGAAAGACCGGTACAAGCCCATGCAGCCCAAATTTGCCTCTATTAAGGTCCTTATTTTATTATATATCCTGTAGTAACGATGTCTGATACACTATCTAGGCTAATATTCGCAATGCGCCTACTCCGCCCCCTGCTCCAACTCCGGTCCCCATGCTCGAGACAAAAGCCAATCCATATGCATCAGGTGGTCCCCCCGCCAAGGAGAGTGGCTTTGAGGGGGTACCCAAGGAGCGTGCGGGACGGAACTTCAGGTTCAATCCCAAGGGGAAATACGTGCAACTAGCAAATCAAATGAGACAAGAGAATCAGCTAGAACAGCTGAAACAGCGTATTGCAGAGAGTGCTCGGAAGGCTGGTTTGGACTCTGAGTTCGATTCTCTTGAGAAAAACATCAGAGTGAGTGCTTTTTATGCCATATAGTTTCTCGGCTGATTCTAGCCCGTTTTTCATCAGCGAGATGCCCCACCTGACGCTGAATGGTGGGACGGGGCATTGCTACCAAATAAAACATATGAGGATCTCGCGCTTGGACTATCGGCCCTCAATATTCGAAATGAAGACTCGCCGGTGACGATTTACATTCAACATCCAATTCCTATCCCTGCTCCAGGTGAAAAGAGTAAAGTAGCATTGAAACCTATGATGTTGACCAAGAAGGTGAACACAAAATCGTAACTTCCTCTCTCAAGGTCGCTGACAGAGATAAACAGGAGCAAAAGAAGATGAGGAAACAACGTCGTCAGGCTGAGTTGCAGGATAAGAGGGACAGAATTCGGATGGGTCTTATTCCACCCGATGCTCCCAAAGGTGAGCCTGATTATCTTTGGTGTGGCCGTTGAAGCTGACTTTTATCAGTGCGGTTGTCAAACTTGATGAAGGTTCTTACATCAGACGCTGTGCAAGACCCTACAAGAGTGGAGGCTCGTGTCCGCAGGGAAGTTGCCATGCGAAAACATACGCACGAGAAAATGAATGCAGAACGCAAGCTCACAGATGAACAACGAAGAGAGAAGGTGGAGAACAAAAAGGTAGAAGAAGAAAAGAAGGGTATATATGGTGCAGTCTTCAAGTCAGTGTAATGGTTACTCGAGTTCATAGCGTTACTGATAACAACCTTGCAGGGTGAAATCCTTGTCGGATCCTGCTCACAGGTTCAAGGTACGAAAGAACGCGGAGCAAATGAATCTTACTGGCCTATGTATCTTCAACCCTGCGTTCAGCATGGTATACGTCGAAGGTGCTTCAAAGTTCATACGGAACTATAAGCGCCTGATGATTCATCGTATTGCTTGGACTGAGGCCGCGCGCCCTCGTGGTGCGGAGGATGTAGAGATTGATGAAGAAGATCAGGGAGGTGAGGGAGATGCGATTGCTAAACCTAAAGCGGCCGCTACCCCAGAAGATGGCATGGGAGGTGGCTCCCTGGAGGATAACGCGTGCTATCTTATATGGGAAGGACAATTGAGGGATCGAGCTTTTAGCAACTTCAAACCGAAGAGTTGCCCGACGGATAATGTGGCAAAGGAGGCACTTGGCCAGAAGCTATCAGGATACTGGGACCAAGCGAAGAACTGGAAACCGGAAGAAGAGGAACTTTTCTAAGTTCCTAAGTAGCCTTTTCTCATCTTCCTTTTCCTATTATTGTTTGTGTTGGTCGTTTTCTACCATGTATGTTATGTTCTTAATCCCTGTTATTTAAGAAAGAAATGGCAGGAGGTTTCTGCTTTATATCAATTTGATGTTGTTTGGCAAAAGTCTCAAATCCTAACATGCCTAACAATTGAAAGTTGGTGGTAGGCGATGGCGAAATACACTTTTAGTATGTACGGTACAAGTTGCCGCTAATCCGAATTTCCATCATGTCTAATCGAAAATCTTCATACAAGTTACCCCCCACGCTCTTGACGGACAAGCTTCAATCCCAAGAGGCCAGGCGTAGTAAGGTTTGTTCTTTCTGAATCAGACTAGCAAAGCTTAATCTGATGAAACCGATAACAGGCTTTGGAGGAGCAGAAACGTGTGTGTGACCTGTATCAAACAACCTTGATCGCCCCTAAATATCTTTACAATAGCGACGTGCACAGAAATTTGACTCTTCTAGAGGGCTTGACTCGTTTGCCAATCTCAATCTTGGCCCTTCAGATGATGAAGGTGATGAAGTATTTGATGAGGGCGCTGAAGTAATTCGCGAAGGCGTAGCGAATTTTGCCTCGATGATACACACTTCAAATGCCTCAGAAGCGCCCCAAAACACCGTGACGACCAAGGAAGCGGAGAAAGAGAGCAAGAAGCAGGCGAAGAGTAGGCGAAGGCGGAAGAAGGCAAAACCAAGTAAATGGGCGGACAAGTGTATGTATGCGGAACTTCTGGAGATGAACGAAGACGATATTTGGGGCAACAATAACAATAGTGGACCTGATGGTCTCCCTACAGACCTTGAGACTGGATGGGTGGCGGTAGCCCCTGTTCCAGTGGGCAAGCGTTGTCTGGCAATCACCCACCAATCTGCTGGAGTCGTTGGAATATGTTTGTTTATTTTTCCTTCACCTGTTCTGCAACTATATGATCTTACATTTACGTCTCAAGCCCCCAACACAACGCTACGTTCTCGACTTCTTGGTAAATTGCTCATGCCACGCTTTCCTTCCTCCCTCCCACCATTGACAATCCTTGACTGCATATTGGATCCTAATTGGAGGGATAATGGTATATTACACGTACTTGATGTACTGAAATGGAAGGGTCAAGATGTGGGGGATTGTGAAACACCTTTCAGGTCCGTACGTCGAAATTTATTTCATTTTCGATGCTTACATTACGTGTAGGTTATGGTGGAGGGACATGCGGCTGGATGAATTACCAAAGTATTCAGCCCCATCTACTTTTACGTTTTCAAGCCCATCGAGTAATAACCAATCAACCGACACCATTTCTGAGACTCAATCCACCTCAGATCAGCATTATCATTTTCCATACCCAACATCATTTGTTCCTATACCTTACCACACCAATACGACATTACCATCCCTATCTTCTTATGTCATCCCTCTCGCTCGTTCCTCTCGGCTTGTCGCTGTGGATATTCCTAATGCCTCAAACCCCCTTGTGCCGAATACTATGGAAGTCGACTCCCCCGGGTCAAACAATATTATACCATCGCAGGTTGTTACCCCAAGTTCTGCACACGTGGAATCAGATGGTCTTCTTCTCTATGTATCTCAAGCAACTTATGAACCGGGGACCAGTCCACTAAGTTGCTGGATACCTAATAAACATTACAGTGAAGTTCCAAGGGATCAAAGCCCCGCCGCAAGCACAAGAGAAATCCCTTTGGATCTGTTTGAAAAGTACGTTTATAGCCAATGAGTTGAGTTAAAACGCTCAAATGTTGTGGTTAGGCTTATTCAACGGCGCCTAGCGAAAGGGCAACAAGTAAACCAAGAGGTGGTCCCTACGGACATGGAGATGGCGTGATATGGTTTCACACACAGTGGAATGAATATCTCAATAACCAACGCTACATATACAGCTGTAAAAACTTATGTGAACATTTAGGGAGAAAATCCTCAGCTGGACGAAACCAACTTCATTGAGTGAGTCATGTACCTATGGGGGAAAATCTATGTACAATATATGATAGAGAGATAAAAATGAGATAAACATGAGGTAAACATACCCTCAGTTAGATAGAACCAACTGAGGAAAAGAAGAGAAGGCGGTATATAAACTAAGTGGTGGTGCAGTCACACAATTAGATGGAACGCTTGCATTGAACCTGAACAGACCCCTATAAGGAATCAAGCTTTAATCAAAGATTTAACTAAATCTTTCAATTCGGTGATGGTACCACTCTGCTTATCACACCTGCCTCCCCAATTCCTCTTCGACCCGAAAAATCGCTATTGACATTGTTGTTATCCGCAAGACAAACGCAGTATGAAGCAGATGCGACTCGGACCTTCACTACAAACTTAGTTATCACCTTGACCTGCACTCTGAGCTCCCAAGGGATTTGTTGGTTTTTAAGGTGCGTTTATAGCCGACGAGTTAAAACAAAGCGCTTAGCGAAAGGATATCAAGTCAACCAAGAGGTGTTCCCCTACCACGCACATGGAGATGGCATTGTCCACAAAGAATAAAAGTCTACGATCAACGCTATATATACAAGTATACAGACTTACACGACACACAAAAAAAACATGTTCATCACACATTCCACCCTCTGCACGGAGCAGGCAGTATCTAGTGTGTTACCCGGGGAAGGTTTTATAAAGAAAAACGTTGCTGCAATCAATATTTAGCATGAATCAAATTACGCGAATGCGTTCGACATACTCTTAAATGTCTGCCCGTTATCTGGACAAAGGGTACACTCAGGATACCTAAACCAATAGCCACGCTGGAAAAATATCAGAAAGAGCCTATAGCAAATGTGGAGAAATTAGACGCACGCAGCTTCACAGCCGAAAGTCTCCATAGCTCCGTCTTTGTTTGCCCATGGTACTTGGAAATAGGCGACACTGAAACCTGTCATATGAGTTGTCAGCAAACGTTTCACATGATGGTAGATAAGTGATTTACCTCCAAGGGTTCTGGCGAGATTAACAAGCGCACTAATTTCGCCCTTGTTGTGTATTACCTCGTTAGAATCAGCCTTAAGACAGTAATACTGCGGAAACATACCTGTTGTTTCGGGAAGCAGTCGTTACAATAGGCATCTTTGTAGCAACATCAGCTTCATTTCGAATCGACCGTGCTTAGAAATTACTCACACACAGCGACAGTATTAACCATGACGGCTATCTGCGCTATGCCCCACCCCATAATGACAGCTGGAACGCTGAGTTTTTCCAAGCCCGAGCCCAAAGTGACGAATCCGCAGACATACAAAGGCATAGCCACATAACAAGCCCTGCAAGAAAATCGGGAAAGTTACCAGGCGATGGGTTGTAGTAAAGCTTACCACAGTCGACTTTCAGCTTCGAAGACACCTTTGTTTCGGCGGATGCTAATACGCATAATCCAGTCATTGAGATATCGTCCAATTAATTCACCAAGGAGGACGCCAACCTAAACAATAGTGATTGAGCGAAATGAATGTACGTCACTAGGAAAAACAGTACGATGGGTGTAGCATAGAATGCAGCGGTGATGATCTGGTCAAAGCCAAAGCCTAAAGGTGGGGCGGTTCCAAAAAAAACCACGTTGGTGACCTTCATCAAATCATCAGGACTAGCAAAACGACAGTGCTACAACAGTTTTAAGTCACATTGAGACCAGCCGAGAAACCAAAAACCACTGCCTGCAAAAGTAGCGTAACCACGTAAACAGTTTATTCCAGAAGCAGGGTAACGAGGACTGTACCTCAAAAACAAGGATACCCAGTAGCTGGGGCCGCCAGACAACATTGAAAGGGCAAATAATAACGTCCCACCAGGCAGATCTAAACTTTGCCATTTTGACACCTGTCAATCCCAGTAAACTTTCGATGCGATACCGAATGCCGTCGGTTGGTCGTTTTGGGATAGGTTTGACAGTCCGATCGTATAGTCTACAATTATATTGAGAAAAGACAGTAACTGTGGTCTTCAAAGAGGAACACTGACGTTTCCTGGCCAAAAAAAATGATCAGGAACAGGACCAAGCCTCCGTAGATGCATCCTATCCCGTAGGCCCATCTCCAGCTGCAGACAATGGCTTCAGTCGATTAATAAAGAACGATAGCTACCACAATACCTTGCTTTCGCAACAAGGAAACCAAACAAGAATGGCGAAAGGAACGGAGATACGACGAATCCCATGGTCCAGATATTGAGCTTTGCATAAAAGTCAGTGGAACCAGCCTGCGATAGGAGTATACACAAGACTGACCTTACGCGCTTGTAGATGGAAGGGATATATGTCTGTCACAATATATAGTCCCTGATATACATTCTTGTCAATGGTTGTATGGTATGACCAAAATATCTTGCACTTACAGTCACTTGTGGGCATGTCCTGTGATGCATCGTCAGCTCTTCCATCCTGGATTATTCATTAAAAAAACACATTACCCGAAGAATGCAGTCAAACAGCGCATTGCTGGTATTGAGGGCTCGCATTAGTCAACGTAAACGATAAAGCTCGAAGGCTGACCTGTAAAGGTATTCAAATTGGGAGCTACTGCACATCCAATCAAGAACAGAAGAGCTAGAAGCTGTGTAGATGATGATCGATTAATAGCGAGGCCGTTTCTAAAAATGAGCACTGACCTGCGACCAGAAAAGGATGGGAAGGCGTCCAAAGCGTCTCATGAGCATCACACTAAATATACTACCGAAGCCTTATCGGGGACAACGTTAGAAGGCTGTTATATTGCGTTGTACTATAAAAACCAGCAGCTCACCCAAAAGAAAGATACTCCAGCTATTCTGTGATGAGTATCAACACAATGATAATCAGCGAAGATCCTTACTTGGATGTCAAGTCGTTGATTTCCCCTGTCGTGGTATTGAACTGCTTAGATAGCGGGAAGAGTGCCGCAACCCCTGTGAAGATGCTGGTTCAGCGACGCCTTACATTATGGCTAATGAACGTAGTTTACCTATACCAGAGTCGAAATCTGGTACAACGGCAGCCAGAGTGGCGATAAGCAACTGAACGGCTTTGCGACCGTCGCTCCACTAACAATAAAAACAATGTTTTTGTCAGAGACGATGTAAAAAAATAACGTGTCTGCATAATCACGTTTTGTGGATCCTCTGGATCATCTGTAGGTTGAGGCCATAGTACTTTCGTTCCATCACTTGTAAGCTTAAGTTTTGTCGCAACAGCTTCACCGAATTCTAGCTTGGCCTCCCTAAAAACCAGCTTCAGCGAGGACTTGAATGGAATACGACTGAACATACAATGGGTCGATGACGAGGCGACCAGCATTGTGCTCGTGATAAGACAGCAAGTCGATTTCAGATTCGTTGACACTGCTTGTTATAACGTCGACCTTCTTCTCGTCGTCAAAAGTTTCACCTAACTCTAGGGCGGCCATCCTGGTGGTGATTGAGGGTAATTGTCAACCAGTGTACATAGCATAACATGCACGTACTATAACACATGATAATTAGAACCTTGGGGTAGACCACTTCATTGGTGCCCTGGACATAAAGGCGATTTTTCTCTCACAGTTCTCACCTCGAGTGGGAAGGAAGAAGGGTCACGATACACTATTACTTATCAATCACCGGAGGAGTTTCCATTGATCTATACCAGACTCGGGTTGATAGATCGGACATTCCACAGGTGCGCGTAAGTATCATGACATATACGGCATAACTAGCGGTAATAAGTCAAATGGGCGTATCCATTGAGCTTTTTTGAATGGTCACTAAGGTCATAATCGTTATACGGCAGTCAGAGTATCGAGTGGGTATTCAGAGGCGTAAGCCTGAGCACAGTGGCATGCAAGATAAGATATTGATACACCAATCTCAATCGTGGGCATCTCGGCGGTCCGCAGTAGTGCATCCTGATTGGCACATCGTCCGGAGGTTTTGGTGAATCGTTGTACATAGTACCGCGGCCCAAGTAAAGTTGGAGTTCGTTTAGGCTCAATGTTTCAACAGAGAACAAACACGTACCTACTGAGAATGCCTGTGTATTATACCTGAGGACGTCCGGGTGCTATCCGGTTGGGCGTGGAGCTGGCACTGGATTGCGAATGGAGTGCTTATGGTTGATATGATCTATGAACCTGTGAAGTTTTGTAAGTGATTGACGTTCAACAAATTCAGCGGCCATTACGTACTTACATGGAAGAACTTGAACTTGCAGCTGACCTCCGAACCGAGGATCGAATCTGCAGCTCACGCGGATCTGTACTTACTAGTCTGATTCGTGAGGCCTGAGAGGCATGATATTCTCAATTGACTTTCCAGAAATCCTTGAGAATTGCGATACAGTCCTTGTACCGCCTGACCAATTAGCACTTGGGAAAAAGTCCCTACTATAGGTGTGCGGTTAGCTCGGGTGCTGAGCGCTGAGCGCCCCATCGTTCTTTCGTCATCTGACGTTGAACGATGGTTATACGAAATTGGTCCCAGAATTTCAAGGATCGGGTTTCTGAGAAAGGCGTAATGTCTTGGCAATTGAATGATTGAGATGGTCCAAACTGGTCAAAAAATAATACTTGCTGCGCATGACTCGGATGCTATGCCTTCGACGGTAATGGAACCAACGATAAGTTTCGTGAATCAGTGTCCAACTCAGACAACAAAAAAAATCTTCGCCTGGACTGATTCACCTGTCAATTGTGCCCAGCTCAGTCTTCTCCAACCCGTCGGACTCACGTAACTAACATTTCCAAGAATCCTTCCGTACTGTGATTGAAAACCATGAACCGGTGGTTCACCATCACGCATTCTATAACCGCACCACAGACCATTGGACTCGATCCCAGCACCATGGATCTTATTTTGGAACATGTAGTTCGGCTTCTCGTACGTAGCGTAAAGTGAGATTGGAACTATGTTGTGCTTTCAGAATGCAGGTTCAATATGCCATTAATGCGAGTAAGTCTAGGAGCTGTAATGACTGCAATCTCGTCTGGAGTATGAACAGTTGAAAATGCCAAGAAAATCTTCCCCAAATCTACTGATTGTTGAAGATATACCATCATTAAAAGTTTTTTGAATATTATGTAGTAACATACAGATGTCATTATGACTGCTTGGATGGCGCGTCAAGCATGAGCGGTACACCGTCTTCAGCCCAACTGCCACCAGAAACCGGCTTCCGCTTCGCACGTTTCTCTGCTCTGTTAGCTTCAAGTTTCCAGCGAGCCGTAATTGATTTATAGCATTCTTGGCAAAGGTGGTGGGCAAGCTTCGGTGCCCCACAAGCTGGACAGTTGACAATATCTATATGTAGCGTTGGCGTTTTGTGCCTCAGATAAAGAAAATTCGACGCACTCATTTTGTCTTTCAGTCCTTTATTCGCGCTACGCATCGACTTGCGCGAATGTGATACTTTTTTCTTCGGAACGGCAAGTACAATCGAAGGGAACAGCTCGAGTAGAGACTCTAAGCGTGGTATAGACCAATTGAAAGGCTGTTGAGTACTCAAGAAACTTGGTAGAATAGTCGCCGTCGCCAGTGATCTTGACCACTGCGCTCGTAGAGCAGATAGAAATTGATGCGCTGGATGAAAAGCTATGGAGGTCATCGTGGTTCAGTTGGACAATCTTCACTGCAAAGTCTACTCCAAGTTGTTGCAGGTAGAGGTAAAACGTACGGAAATTGCTGTGTCGCTGCATAAACACTTTGTCACGGTCACGGCGCAACTATGTGCGTGAGAGTTTCCATGCCGCCCTGGTGCCAAGAAGTACAAGGACTTGGGACTCTGCTGGCACCAGATAGCAACTGGAATGCAAGCCAAACAAGGCTTGGAGCCACACGCTTTGTTTTAATGAGGACCTTGGAAACTTTGCAGCTCTCAAAAGTTTACTCGTTGAAATGTCTACTACAACGACTGCACAAACCCAGGTTCACGCTCAGCATGTTCCTGTCGACGTAGCCAGAATGCCAGCCTCGGGCTCCACAAATATCTTGTTGGAGAGTGATTTGGCTGCCGTTGAACAGCTTTGCCAACCACTAATATGTGGGGGTGACAGCTAAAGCTGCGCCGCAATCATAATTCACCTGCTACTCCTAGCCAATCTTTCCGTACTGTCAAGCTCGCACATTCTACAAAATGACTCGTTATTGCTGAGAAGGCTGCTGCCTTGGAAAGGGTTCGCCACGAGAAATTCCTGTTATCTGCATTCGAGGACGAAGCACGTGATGCTTCGAATAGGGCAAGGCAGGCGGAAAAATACTGTGATCTGATTCGACAGATATTTCAAGATGATTTTGCTAACTATGACGATGAAGATGAGGAATAGGATTTAGTTGACGAGGATGATTTAACAAAAGAAGGAATCAACATCAACGGATAATCTCGTGCCATGATACTCTTTATTCATTCGAGTCGCATACTAGTACATCCGCGCAATCCCAGGTGTGAATACCCACGAGCTACTTTTACGACGATTCTCATTCGTTTGTAACTGAGATAGACATTGATGTATACTACTTACAAGCTCATAAGGGGGTGTGCTGTGCGAGGTTCTGACTGTAGATAAGAAAGTGATGTGGTCAGATGAAGATATTGTAGAGGATAAACAGCCCCTATCTTTCATGGCTTTCGTTCTTGGCTACCAACTATCAGGTTCCGTCAATAAGTATTTACTGCCAGTATCTTTCACGGTATTTCTGAAGCCTCTGGAGATATCATAGCATGAGCGCACACGACAGTGTTCTATATCGGCGCCCACAGCAAGCCAGACAGCCCAACTGTGCATGAATACCTAGACCATAATGTTTTACATGCAGCAATGAGTAATTTAATACCTCTTGTTAAATTGATAATCAATTGTGAATGTTTTTTTTCGCCATAGCAGCCCCTACCTGTAGTAGGTAATATATTCCCCAAATTCTTCGTCGTTATCATAAGGGTCATCTGCCTCCATTTCAGCCCGCTCTTGTGTCCCACTTAGTGCCTGCTCCGGATCCTTAGTTAGCTGGAAACCACAGGCTCTGCGAACTCCACGAGCGATCCACGTATCAGACAGTCCTTCCAACATGTATCCCATACCTCCAGGGCCCCCATACCTGTATCCGCTCTCGCAGTCTTTCTCCTCATCGACACATGCAATGTGATAGCCAATGCCAACAACGGCAAAGAGCAAGCGTACTGTGTTCACTAGTTTACGCCTGCGCTTAATCACCCCCTCTTCATCTTTCGCATCCTCTATTGGCTTTCCGAACAGGGTCTGATAGATACCCAAGACGTCTCCCTCTGATAATTCAAATTGACCATCTTCTATCCTTTTCCACTTTGGGCCAGAATTATCACCATCCAGATCATCATACATACCCCAGCTGATTGACTGCCAATGATTATATCTGTGTGCATCCTTCATGTCCATACCCGAAAGCTCCATGGACATGGCTAGAGGATTCGCCGGTCGAGAAGAAGGATTGTTATCGACCTTGTACCCAAGAGAGTACCGCCACTCGATCTCGTTGTAACGTGGACGGCAGTGGTAGTAGAGATGAACATCGATGAATGCCGGAGCGCTAGGGGAGTACAAGCGTACGAGGAGGTCTACGGTGCGAGGTTCCGGCTGTCGATAAGAAATCAGGATGATCAGATAAAGACTTAAAAATGAAAAAAAAAATCAAAATCGATATCCGTACATTATCGTCCATATCATCGAAGTTAGCGTCACATTTCAGGACGCAGACGCATTGCTGTAATGTCTCCTCTTCCAGGCCCATATCCCCTTCTATCTCTGCGACACATTGTCTGACAGTATCGGTTACGATGGTGTCGGGAGTTGTCTCACTCGGGCCTTCATCTTCGTCCTCATCAGGTTCTTCGGGGAAGATATCATCGAAGGTAGATTCGACATCGTAAAACGTTTTATGCCGGTTTGTAGTGTAGTTGTTCCAGGCAACAACGGATGCTGGAATAGGGGATAATAAAGGTCCGAATTTGTCTTCTGCAAGCTGCAAACCTTCCAGCTCTTGTCCTGCAGAGTCCGCTGAGCTCATCGAATGGTCGGATTCATATGTGGGCTCTGCGAACATAGCGAAGGGGGCTTAGGGCACTTGCCTCTGAGGGCAGATATATGAAGGGTCACTAGCAAGGAGCTCCGATGAGTAAATTAAAGTTAAATCCGGAAACCTGAAGTACGTACCAATTACTATCGCATGCTGGTGATCATTGGCACTGACTAAATTATATGTATCGGAAGTGGCTCTTTTTACATATTGGTACAATACCCTCGCATATTATTGGCCTGAGCCCTAACACGTTGCCTGCAGTCAGAACACTGGGTAAAAATAACACAGCACCGTTGAATAGCCAATAGATACGACCTTCGCTTGAAATTTAGTTATCACCTTGATCTACGCTCTCGAACGTTCTTGCATGGTGTTGCAGGTACACCGCTTTGTTAATTGCAAAGCACTCTACCCTGTTTTCCCAGACCAATCTACCGACATGGCCAAGACACTTGATATCGACTGTCTGCAGTAGTATTTCAAGCGATCATATAACTCTATGATCAAAAGAATAAGTCCTTCCTATGCTATACGATTGCTGAATCACTCACATCAACTTCAATACGCTGATACCAAAACTGCAGGTAAACTGAGGCACCATAAACAATAGTGATCATGTTGATAACAACACAAGTATAGGCGGGATCAGTTATCGCGCTTGCGACGGTTGGGGTGATGCAGCAGGCTTAGTGGTTTAATAATTGTTCGAACAAGAATACACTGTTCGTCAACTTTGAGCATTGCAAGTGGTGGAGGAAAGCCTTAGGAGGATATCAAGTTTCAAAAGAAATCCCTTACGAGAGAATCGTTAACTGACTGTCGCATGCCAACAAATATAAACAACTCCAAGGAAAGTTTGTATTGACATGACCTGTTAGTTAGATATAATTAACAAAGATATAAACAGTTACTTTAAGATATTAGATTTTCGCATTTCAACTCTCGCCGTGCTCTGCATCTTGGTTACTGCTCTTTGTTTCCACCGCCAATCTATCCATCAATTTTTTGACCTCTCTTTGCCAATCTGTCTTGAGGCAAAGGTAGACACCCCACCCTGCACAATATACCAATGAGACAGTGAGGCCCACCCACAGCCCAATTAATTCCATATCATGCTTGAATGTTAACCAGATACCGAAGGGAATACCTATGATATAGTATGCGCTAGAAGAAAATTATAAATGTCAACTTTGCTGCCACAAATGCAAATGACAGTTACTAATTACCTCAAATTCAAAAGAGCGCCAGTGAACTAAAGGGGTAACAAGGTCAATAGTAATCATGGACGTATCGTGAATACATACTTGTTTACCCCTAGCTCTCAGGATTCCGGCTGTCACAGCACTAACGGCGTCGAATACTTGGAAGAGAGCCACCAAGGGCAAAATGGAAGCCACAAGCGTCACCACCTCTGGGTGACAACAAAGAATGAGAAGAAAAAAAGTATCGGTGCATTGCAAATAACTAACCAGGATCATCATTGAATAAATGACCCCATGACTTCCGGAAGGAAAGGTACAAGACGCTAAGTATCGATTATCAGCGATGCGTTGCCTTTCTTCCACGAGAAAACGGTATACCTCCAAAATGAGGCAATGATAACAGCCATTACCACGGATGTATTCGCAGAAACCCCAGCTCGTTTAGCCTTTCTCTCGCCCAGAAGGTTTCCAATGCTGCCATCCAAGTTTGATTAGATTGCCTCGGAAAATAAGTGAGATAACATACCGAACGGAGGTTGCAACTCCGAGCGCAAATGGTGCCTGAAACGTAGTGGAGGCAGAAACTAGGAGGACAGACTGGGCCGCTAGGGAAACTGGCCCTAGTCTGAATAAAAGAGTTAGTCATGCAATTGGCCTGGGTTATGAATATGCACATACAGACTAGCAGCCACTATGAATACCCAAACGTCAATATCCTCTTAGTGGATAGAAGTGGTAAACTTACATCCAACAAGCTCCCAAGACCACCACTCTGAGGCAGTTTGACCTGTACAATATTTGAGAATTAGTGACACTATAGAAAATGTCATAATGACAAAGGTTACTAACCAACACCTGCAAGTCCTAATTGCACAAGGACCCCCAAACTAGTGAAGGACCGTGTTGTCAAAGGATGCCAAGCAGTGTTTGGAACGAAGAAAATACCGTAGACCACTGAGGCCACGGACACAAGATTGAAAGATATTGATGTGGCGATAGGCGCGCCAATATAACCTAGCCTAATGGATTCAGGTCCCCATACTGAAGGTCAGGTAAGAAATGCAGTAGAAAAGAAGATAGGTACGGCAAACATACCAAATAGATAATTTAATAGCACGTTTATTGGTGCTATTACGAGAATTATACGCGTGGGCACAGCAAATAAACCTGCAAGGCCGTCAGTAAAATAATAATATTAACATCTTACAAATACATACCTTGAGATTGGAAATAGCGTCTGAAAGCAAACACGTGAAGACGACGCGCTGAAACTTCATGACTACGCGCTTACCTTGATATAAGATTGAACGCATAGGCAGGGAGACCTATCGATGACCATTTTAGGTATAGAGCAGCGAGTTGTGCTACTTCTGGTTCTTGTTGTAATAATAAGAGGATAGATTCTGCATTGAACCAGATAACAAAAACAGGCTATGATCGAGCTATATGCGTCAATGAACTCTGATGTCACCCAAAAAAGACTTACGATCAAAGTCGCACCCATCACAACAGCTGATGCACTATTTTAAGTTACAAATCAGAGCAGAAGGCAAAACAGCACACACCCATGCGCTGAGACCACAAGCCAACAAGTTGAGGTTGAGAGGATGTCCAAGCTCCGGGAAGCATGGTGTCAAGAGTACTGGCAAAGCCTTGAAAAATGCTATAACCAGAAACATTAGCAGTCATAGACCCGAGTGTCGCAGCTGCGAGAGCGGTAGTTGAAAGATGGCCTATGGAGACCACAGAAGCCATTATAAGGCTGTATTCGAAAAGATGGGTACTGTTTGAGGGAGCTGTTAGTATGATACTATAAACGTACAATAGCGAACAAGGCATACATAAAAACGGGCACGGTATACTTCGTGAGGATCCTCAATTCCTCCTGAAACATTTTGGTAGTACTAACATCCTGCGCATCCACGTCTTCTTCTATGCGGGGCATAAGAGGAGCCAGCAAAGGGGTGTTTTCTGATACATTTACATGAGGGTATACCTGGTTGGCTGGTAAAAGGCTCATGTTGGGCTGAGGGGGATGAATGTAGGAGGAAGGAAAGCTGCTACGGCGCAAGGCGGCGCCAGCCCGAGGAATACTGACTCCACCATCGATATCAGGTGTCTCTGTGCCGTTCTCTTCGGTCCCGTGCAGCAAGGAGTAATTCGCTTCCTCATCGTCAGTATTCTCTATAGCTACTGCGAATCTGGAAAGAATAGCATAGTCTTGGGGTAGAGACTGAGGAGCTCCGTAGTGCGCCGACATCGACAAACCGTAAGATTTGGCTTGAACGTGATGAGTAAAGGACAGAAAACGCCTGAATGATGCAATGCGACAGAAAGCTAAATGTTTGTTTTTCACGTCACGCCCTTATAAAGGACGATATGATAGGCGCTGAATAAGGCTTTTAAGGTGGACAGATAAGAATATCGGACTTTGAATTCTAGGGTAAATCTTGTGTTTGGACATGTTTATCACCATTTCAAGCCATGAGTTCATTGAAACCGCCTCTGCAAAACTCAGGTCGTCCACAAGAACCGGATGGAGCTGACTTGGACAAACTCAGGAAATGGCAGGAGGACCGCGTTGCAAGGAAATTGAAAGGAGAATACGAGTCAGCCGTATCGCATCTCGCTGACATTGTAAGTGCAGTCATTCTTGCCTGGTGTACCCCACCGAACCTCCGAATCCATCTTCCTAGGTCAATGAGAACCTGTCAACACATTTGCGGATCGCGACAGTACGCGTCCAAGGTGCCAAACACACTCGTCGGTCCTTCTTGGACTGGTTGGTCAACCCGTGGTTATCGCCGCAGCTTTCACCACTCGACGTGGACAAGCCTTCCACGCTACAAAATGTGCTACACACGGCCCGCGGCATCAGTCATGTTCTGCAAGAAACTGATCTTTTTCAGTCTGTCGAGGCCAAGATTGAAAGGAGTAGAGATATGCTTGCTAAGGAAGGAGATGTCGACATCATCTTCAAGACACGCGAAAAGGGTAGATTTTTTCTCAAGACATCTACAGAACTGGGTAACAGCGAAGGCAATGCCGTGCGTGACCGTGCTTTTACATCCAAGCCATGATGTATTTTTCTCATATCATATTCTGATGCTCAGAGTGCGACTGCACGCATACGTAACGTTTTCGGAGGAGCAGAAACTTTAGAAGCTAATCTCTCTCTTGGAACTCAAACCCGTCGTTCTTTTCATACTTTATTATCTATGCCCCTCTCGTCGTCCTTGCGAACAAAAGGGGAACTATCACTTTTTGCACTGGATAGGGATCTCTCGTCTTATGCAAGCGCTTCAGAAGGTTTGCGGGGTTTCAAGGCTGCAGTCAGGGTGAGCTAGGTCAGCTTATTTTCTTGCATTTTTATGTCACTTGAACAATTTCCCCGTGTTTAGAGCGATTTGCGATCCAGTGGTGTCCATGAGATCACTTATGAAGCAGTCCTCAGGCATATTGGAAATTTAATCCCGTCAGCCTCACCGAGGTAAACATAAAAAGTACTTCGTTTTGCGTGGTTACTAACTCTGATAAATGATAGTATAAGAGAAGTCGCAGGACAGACTTTGAAGTCTTCAATATCCCACAGATGGACACGAGACACGCGAGACGACAAAATAACGGCGACTCGTGGATTATACACCAAAGTCTTCCAAGAATTTGCTGGGCTTGGTGGAGACGCATTCTTCTATAAAGCGGAAGTTGAGGGCCAAGCATCACGAAGGGTGTTACCTGGCGTTGTAAGTTTTCCTTTTTTTTAAAAAATAAAAAAAACATCACAATTCGCGGTAATGAACGTATCGCTCTAGGCACTGTCTTTTGCAGCCCGTACCGGGTTTATAAGAAGCTTTACTCCTCAAGCTCCCTTTTCTGATAGGTTCCAGCTAGGCGGCCCTCTTAGTGTAAGGTCTTTCAGGGCCAATGGCATGGGTCCTAGAGATGGAGGTACGACGGTTGTGCGCGTCAAAGAACGGGGTACTAATATACTATCAGTGGACTCACTCGGTGGCGATATTTACTGGTCAACTGGCATTTCTCTTATATCAGACATTCCACGAAAGCCTCATTGGCCAGTCAAGTCCCACCTTTTTGTCAATGCAGGAAGACTTGATGTAATGGACAAATGTATGTTCTCTCTCTTTATCCGGACGTCTGCAATGTTGAAGATTCGATTTAGCTAAAAACTTGGCTGAAAACTTTTCCGATTGTTTGTCGAAACCATCTGTATCTGCAGGTGTAGGACTAATTTACCGGTTTGACCCCGTGAGAGTAGAGGTGAACTTCGGAGTCCCTATTGTCTCGAGTAAGAGCGATGGTGCACGCCGAGGCTTCCAGGTTGGAATTGGCTTAGATTTTCTTTAAAGGTAGATTTTTGGGAGAGTAACGTATCCGAGTCAATTGCATCGTAACGCAGTGAATAGATTCTTTCCTTGGTGGTCTTACCTCCTTGTCGGTGACTTATTCAGATTATTTTGCTCCCTTCGAGGTCAAATAGCTCGAATGAGCAACAACATGATTTTTGAGATGAAGGACCATGCGACTATATGTTGTGGAATATAATTATGCATTGTGAATAAGCAAGAACCTGAAGGCTTGAAGTACTAATGAATTGGTTTAGGCAAAGCTGAAAATTCTAGGGAGAGCAGAGACTCAACTAACCGGTGTAGCACGTCGTCAAATTCATCGAGCTCTGCAGATAACCTCCCCGTCCAAATTGAGCTGTAATGCTTCCCGTGCCTCCAGCCACTCGTGCTCCTTGCTTTTCGTGTGCACTACCGCTATCTCGCCCATGCCAAGCGGCTTGATCGTCTGCGCTCGTCTCCCAGAACACAACCGACGAATCTCCCCAATGTCCATGAATACCCGCCTACTAGGTTTGCTAATGAGCTCCATGCCATTTAACACAGGTCGGTCGTCGCGGTACTTGAGGTCTGCCCATATGCGACGTTGAGCATCACCCACACGGTTGAAGTCCTGTGGTGAGGGTGCTGCAATTGTTCCACGAGTGATATTTGAGACGAAACCGGCGCGGAGGAGGATGGAAAGGATGCCGAGGTTTTGCGTGGTGTGGTCGACGGCTATCCAACGGTGACGTGCTCTGAAGGCGTTTTGAACGCGGGCACAAAGGTCGTAAGGCAAAGGCATAGGATCTTAGTGACTTTCAATGATTCGAAGGGTAAGTATGTAAGGATGTCCAGGAAATATAACACACGATAGTAACTCACTCTGAAGATTCACTGGCAGAAAAGCTTTTGAACTGGATCTGTTTACCGGCTCCAGCTACCTCAGCCCAATTTTTGAAGGTAGAAATGAGGCTTCTACCTCAATATAAGTGAATTGCGTGGGTCAAGTGACGAGCAAAATGAGAACTTCCCTCAGTTCACAGTCGAAAAGAAAGTGTTGTCCATTTTTGGTCACGTGATGAATATAGTATAAGGTAACTTAGGATTGTTACTGCAGAGTTTCTCGACATTTTTCGTGAAAGCTACAGCATAAGAAGTACAAATGATCCTGTCGTCTATTTAATGTTTGGGTATAGCAGACAATCAAAGAATTCCATAATAATAAAAAGCTGTACATTGTAAATACCCCTACGTGTGTCCTACCTTTCAAGAGGCAAACCTAGCACGAAGAAATTCTTTCGTTTTATCTTCCATTTCACCGAAAATCTTGACGGCGTCTTGAAGTTTCCGATTTGCTTCTGCGTCAAGCTCCAGCGCCTTCTTTAGAGGTTCGGCACCATTAACAAGGTAGTTGATCTCTAAAACTGTCGCATTCAAATATCATTAGTGTCGGCGAGCAATGTCGGCAGGGGATACCATGTCTCCTTACCTTCTCTGCTTGCGGTGACGCCAATATTGACCTCAGAAAACATTTCTTCTGAAACAGCTGGTGTAGAAGATAATTTGTCAAGGACTGCTCCCGAGAGTGTCAAGTGGTCTGGACGAAGTCGAACGAGAGCGATAACCTATTTCGCGACATAATTAATAACATCAATGTTAGTTGCACAAGTACTTTCCTCTTCAGGGGTAACTATGCTAGATGAAGAAAATGGTGCGATTAGTCAAACAACGAACCGTATGATATGGTATGAGACTAATAGATACCTAGCAGGCATCACCAAGGTTTTTGTCCCTAGCGTTTGGAAAGTCTTTACAATGGCTTGTATGACGGGTACGACGGGATGCTCTTTCACTGTGTCCTGGTATTCCTTCCAAAGTCCGGGCTCGAAGTGCATGCGAAGTTCTTGAAGCGGCCATCAGGTGGTGTGTACTACAGAGAGATGAAATACATACCATTGAAATAAGGGGCCACATACAAACAACCTGCTTGTGATGCAGCCACAGCTTGCGGAACAGAGAACAGGCAGGTAGCTAGGGTGTTGATGCCTAATTTTGCTAGATACTGACAAGCAACGATCGATTCGGCACTAGTAGGGATTTTGATACAGACTCGATTTCTGCAGGGGAAGCGCTAAGCAGTGAATTGAAGACAGTTATCGTGGCGAGAGGGTGTAATACCTGGGAATGCCATTTGCTTCAAAAGTAGACACCAGATTCTTGGCATGCGCGATGGTTTTCTCGGTATCGAACGCGAAGGATGGGGATGTCTGCACAAGAACATATCCAGTGAGATAAGGATACACTTGTTTTGCTAATAGCACGGCCTAGAAACACAGATGGAGCGGCAACGTGAGATCGTTAGAACAAGGCAAGATGATACCAACACACCACCAGATCAATGGCTTTCAACACGCCTGACTCTTCTTTGATATCTATGCCAGTAGAATTTATGTATTCCGAGATATCTTTCAAGACATGAGCGTTTTCAGGGAGCACGGCTTCGTTGTGTACAATAGCCTGGTTTGATGTCATGTCACAAAACAGGGTCGATGAATCAGTGTGTCGAGTAGCAACAGCGGTGCTCATAGAGTCGATATCTACAGATACCAAAGTACGGATTTGACTCAGAAGAGTAGGATTCGACATGATGGAAAGCCTTAGTTCGTGAAGTTAGTCGACCGATATTGAAGAGAGTCGTTGGGGGATTCAGAGCAGGAGTAAGAAGGAAACTGGATCCTTATTTATGGCAATTCGTGGGGTATGAATCTCGATGCACATCATGCACTAGACCAACGGTCCGAGTAAATAACCATCATGTGGTGAGAACGCGATGATAAGATTGTTAGAAAGACGGCAAAAGAAGTAAGACAACGTCAACTGATTCACAACTCAACGTTACCAAGAACGTACTTTTGACTAACAAGTGCCCAAGCCGAGTGCTATCGCTTAACTAGGGCTGGGAAACGAAGGGCCAACACTGATAGATGGAAAGCTTGCTGGTGGTGAAAGCAAGGTCTGCTGACCCTTACGTTTAGCTCGGTGACCGGTAGCGCTCACCGCAGCCGCAGTGGCTGACCTTCAAGTTCTTGACCACGACGTAGTGATTGCCAGTGCTATTCGTTGGCCTTTTGTTGCTTTGCATATATCAAGCAACTATCAGAGTTGTAGTGAGACCTGAGCGCGCTCGAAACTCATTAGGGCTTCTGCTCTGTCGATAGGATGTCGCTGATCAACGACCCTAGGTGAGTTGTACCACAAGTATACGAGAACAAACCTAAACTCACTCGAATTACAGCTATCTAATACATAGGTTACGTTTATCTTATCTTCGCAACGTCGATGATCCATATGGCGCCCGTCTCATATCACTGAGCCCTTCCTATACTTCTAATCCTTACATCCTTGCTGCGTCTCTCGCAGACGTCGAACGATGGCCAGAACTAGCCATGCCTTCAAGCCCTCATGTCTCAGACGATGAGGGAGAGTCTTCTAATAACAAGATATCTTCATCAGGATTTCCTGGTGCCACTGGATTGCGACATAGTCAGACAATCATGGGACCAAGAAGATCGGGCGCTCTAGGCTTGCGTGTATCTGGGAAGCGGGCCTCTATATCAAAAAGGGGTTCTCTACGCTCTAGTATGGATATTACTGCAGACGCGACACCAGTAGCAGCCGCAACGCGCCCTAACCACTCGGGTTCGGTCGAGGCAGATACACGCACAAAGGTTCTGGATATCGCCAATGGTGGATCTTCATTACCATCCCATCCGACAGTGCAGCGTCGCGACGAACCACCATTGCCAGAATTACCTCCAAAGGAGCTGCAGTTCATACCTAAGTTCAAGGGAGCAGCAGAGATGGAAGCTCGGCGAAAGTTGCGTTTGCAAGCACGGAGAGAGCCTCCTTTGGTGGAACAAAAAGTTCCACAAATCACCACTGGAAATTTGAATCCAGAGCTTTCCTCGTCCGATGAGGGCGAGGACGGTCTGATGGACGATGACAACGACGAAGATGACGATTTCGATGATGCCCCACCCGGAGATGATAACATGGATGAAGCGGACGAATTTGATCCGTGAGCAGTTTTTTTTCGTTTCCTTTGTGTTCTTTTTGACATATAGAGGCGTGAAGCGACTTTGCAGCGACACGCACCCCTGGGGTAAATTCAGATAGTGCCTCAGACGTAATGTCTTTATTGTCAGGGACTGCATCTGCAGCCTCGATATCCAATCCTTCCGCTTTGGGGTCTTCACCTTACGTCGTACAGCACGCCCGTACGCGCTCTCGTCTAAGCCCAGTATCAGAAGGACACATCGCTGAGGGAGATGAAGGGTCTCCTCCTGATTCGCGCGGAAATCCCCTTGACTTATCTTTTGAAATGGTTACGCCTGTGCCCCCACCGGAGCAGTCGGCAGCACCATTGCGCAAGTCAGAGCTGCGTGCGCGAGGATCTACTGTCTCGTACCAGCCTGCCGTGCCTGCACCAGACATGACGTTCACACGGCGCGCGGTAGGGCCAGTTCGCCCACAAAAATCTGCATTGACAGCAGTGCTGGTTTCTTCTGGGCGGTCATCTAATCCATTCAGTGAATTGTATGCTGCCATTTCTGGACGAGGGGAGACTGCATCAATGGATGTGAAAGTCTTTTTCCCTCATGCTCAGAAACCTGCTGGGGAGACCATAAATCTGAATGTGAGGAAGGATGCAAGTGTAGAAGAGGTTATTGGGTTTTCGTTGTGGACATATTGGGAGGAAGGTTGGCTACCCAAGCTGGACGAGGACATCACTGACGAAGATGACCCTAAACTGTCCGCTGTTGGGTGGATCATGCGTATCGCAGAAGATGGGGAGGTGGACGAAGACTTCCCTCGTAGGTGGCGAAGTTCTATTTAGCAGAAACAAATCTCATTACTGTTTTTTCAGCACCTGATCGTACAGGGAAAGCCTCCAAATTCAACTTTGATGCTTTTGCCGTGCTTCAAGCCTCGCAAACACAAAGTATGTTTCTCACCCATTAACACGAGTACAATAAAATTGAAGGCATTCCAATCAGTACAACAAAATCTTCAGTTGGAGGCTAAGATACAGCGTCGACCATCTAGAGTTATGGCAGCACCCAAGAAAATAGAACCCGCTCCAGCTGCTGGTCTTGCTCCTCCTCCGATCTTCGGACCTGGTACAAGTGCAATGTCCAGTACCACACCTATACTTTCCTCTTCACTCGGTCCTTCATCAAGTCATGGACCACAGATATTCCTGCGCATTAGAGTTGCAGATACCGCTGATGCTGTACATATTTCGACCACTATACCTGTGTAAGCACAAATTTCCTCGTTTAACATTGAGAAAGCTTATGTATATAAATTTAGGTCGGCTGGGATGTACATGCAAGAGGCTTTGGAGCTGGTTTGTCGCAAACGCAGAATGGCCAATCCAAAAGACTATGCGCTGATATTGAATGATACTGATACGAGCATCTTGATTCCCTTGGATCGTACCGTGGCTAGTCTACAGGGCAAGAAAGAGCTCACGCTTTGCAAACGCTCGATGTTACCTCAATTAGGAATCGAACCTGAGCGAAGGGCCGCCCGGACGACAGATCCGAACGGTAAGAATACTTATTCATTGTATTCGCTTTCCTAGCATATTGATCGTTGTTCAGCATCGATATTCAAACGGATTTCGGACGTTCCTGAGGTTCAGATCAGCGCTGCAATGGACTTCACTGCGGCGTATAAGGTAAATTAGACAATTTACACGTTTATTCTCATTACTGAATAGGGTTGGCTATCAGAAATACACGATCTATAGGAAGATGCCCATGTTGACTCGCCAGGAACGCACGCTGGCAATTGATGGAGTCTACATCCATGTTAGTGCTCTGCCACCAGTCCAAATCTACTTTCTGATCCCATAGTGCCTAGATCATGCCATCTACAAACAAAGCCAAAGCTGTTTTCGATAGCGGAAAGACGACATCCTTCCACATCAAAAGCGTTGTTGGTTGCCAACAGTCTACGAAATCATCAACGATATTCAAGATAGTTGTACAGCGCGATAGTAGGAATAAAAGATACGATTTCGAGGCAGATACCCCAAAACTTGCCGGTGAGTCTTCTAAATTATCTCCGGTAATCTTACAGCATCTGATCTTCCATTTAGGTGAAATTGTCCAGACCATTCGAAGTCTGAAAGCTGCTTTGGAACGCTCGGGGACTGTAAACAAATCTCGAAGAAGTAGACACGTTGTCTAAGACGAGTCCCAGTCAGTCGTCGCGCGTACTCACTGCCGCTGTTTGCATTCCTATAACGATTTGGTCTCTGCGTGTATGATATTTAGTTTGTCCCTCTTCTTTTTATCGCAATGCATACGCTCTGCACTTGTTAAAGTAATTGAAAGGCGGCTAAAGGTATCCACAACAACGACGTATCACAGGCTGCCTTGGAAGCTCAAAGGGACTACTGATGGCCAACGATATTCGATAGACCTTAGAATGTGCAATGCACGCTCTAATGAATGAACACGTTGAGGGTGATTGCGCGATTCGCAGTTTAAACATTCAATATTATTAAATTTGGGCTCGTTCTATGATAATACTTTCCTTCTACTGTATGGTATGTTCCTCATCCGAATGTTCGTGTAATGTCAAGTTACAGCCACACCTTAGATCCTCTGATGCATGTGCTCTTTGTGCCCGTAATCTTCGGTGGTCACCGCATCCTCGAGGCACCGACTGGTCTTCCAGACACTTCTGATAACAGCCAGTATTCAGAACCAAGGGTCGGGTAATACTTATATGTGTACACAGGAGATAGTTGGGGCACTCACGGTCTTATCGCCCTCCTACAATACTACTGTATATCACGTCAATCACCACTGCTATCAGTCTTTCCGCGCCACCTTGACCTCCATGATTCCAAACATCTGCCAACATCTTCAAGCCGAAGGTTTTTGCACGGATTCATCGTGCAAACGGAATCACGACCTCAACGTCTGCAACGATTGCGGGATTTTTTGCACATCTGCATCTGCATATAGAGCTCACCTTGGCGGCAAAAGGCACAAAAATCGAGGGAGCACCTCCCCTTTTCATTGCTCAATATGCGATTCTACCATCTTCGGACCAACCGCCTGGGATCACCATCTCTCAGGCGTACGACATCGCAAGTGTGCCACTCGAAAAGGTGTATCTGCTGATGTTCAGCCCGTAACTCTTGATACAGTCTCAGGGCACGTATATTGCGGTATCTGTGATCGCCACATTCCCAGGAATAGTTGGTCCCACCATCCCCAAAATCCCTTGCACCTCAAAAAACAGAAAGTTGTTGCTTTCAAGACTGTCTTAGAAGAAGCAGTGAAAGATAAACACGGAATTATCGTTTCTGAGGACGTAGACTTTGGCATTGTTGATGTCCAAAGAGCCAACCAAGGTGTTATCAGAACATTGACCATCCAGAACACCGTTCCATCAGCACAGATAACAATCGTAAAGGCGAAATTATCATCTAGCAGTTCGATCAAATCAAATCCTTCGTGAGTCTCTTGTCTAATAGCTTTGAACTCTAGTAAACGCCCGGTATACTTCACAGGTTTTTTGTCGGTAGCGCACCTACAAGTGCTCAATTGAAATGCGGGAAATCTATTTCTGTTGCAATATCGTTTCAACAAGCTTACAACGGTCGCTATGAAGATCGTCTGGAACTTGTTTTCGAGGATAAAGTATTGCATCAACAATTTGTGATTGTGCGGCTTTTGAAGGGCGTCGTAGGTGATGTCATAGATCATGAGTTGCTAAAACCTGTAGCCCCGTTCAAACCTCCGAATCGCAAACGGACGAATGAGCTTCCGGTTTGCGACATTATTCCTGGTGTTCGTCCACCAGCCGTATTTGCCATACCTTATGTTATCAAGCTGCCGAAAGCGCAAATCCCCGACCTGCTCATGTCTGCCATGTCCACGGGAACTTCTTCAGAGGTTCTGAAACGCGTTGTAGATGCATTTTTACCTGGTATACTCAACAGCAACACTTTTGGTCGCCATTTCAAGAACTTGCTCTGGATTGAAGAATACCGCATGGAGTATGTATACAATAATTGACCGTTATGGTGCCTGCTCATTGTGAATTAGGCGAGATCTTCAAATGTATGATATCCTGGACGCGAAATTGGATAAAACCGATTTCCTCGATATATCGAGAAGGGGACAGGCTGTGGATAGAAGAAATGCCTATTACTAGTGCGTCAACTTGATTGACAGTATGAATACCCACTCAAACACGAGACCAGTCTTGGTGTTCCAGGATTGGCTGAGAAACGCCCAAGCGTGATCATTGGTAAGTGCATGGTCATCAATGGTTTTTCCGATATAGATGTCGTTATGACCTATTTGCTTAGGGGATCAGATATTTGTTCAGCCTCATGGAGGTCCCGAGGGGAAATGGTACGAAGGATGGGTGCATGTGGTACAAAAAGAGCGCGTTGGGCTTCGATTTAATAGGTCTTTCCAGGGATGGACCTCCCAGCAACGTTATAATGTACGCTTCAGGCTGAATCGGATACCACTGAGACGGCAACACCAAGCTCTCGATTCTGCTTTGATTTCGGATCGAATATTATTTCCTCAAACTCATCATATACTCCCGCCACGAGTCTTGGAAGGCATTAGTCCTTACAACCGGCTCATCGCTTCTAATCCCGCTCAACTATTAGCCATCACCTCGATCCTAGAACAATCTCCAGGATCTCCGCCATTCATGCTTTTTGGACCTCCTGGCACTGGAAAAACGATAACAGTTGTAGAATCTATCCGACAACTTCTGGATCACCACCCTGACGCTTGCATTCTAGCTACTGCACCCAGCAATTCGGCTGCAGACCTTATAGCGTCGCGTTTGGCTTCAGCATTAGACACCAACGAAATGTTCAGAATGTATGCCCCTTCGAGGTCCAAAGTCCAAGTTCCGATTGAACTGCAACCCTATACATTCGTGAAGGACGGTCTTTACTCCATACCAGCTATGGAAGAATTCCTCGAATTCAAAGTCGTCATTTCAACGTGTGTATCTGCGTCCATCTGCCACGGTGTAGGAGTTGCTCGCGGACATTTTACCCATCTTTTTGTTGACGAGGCCGGTCATGCGACAGAACCAGAAGTGATGATTATGATAAAGACTATGGCCGATAATAATTCGAATGTAGTCTTGTCCGGCGATCCGAAACAGCTGGGTCCAATCATCCGGTCAGGGGTGGCCCGTGAGCTTGGCCTGGACATCAGCTATATTGAAAGGCTCATGACAACGGAAGCTTATGATATGCGCATTTATACTGGTACTACGTGAGCACATTATTCTCTGGCACGTGTAAGTTGACTGACATTGATACAGGGTCGTCAAGCTAGTGAAGAACTTTCGATCACACAAGATTATTTTACAGTTCCCCAACGAGCGCTTCTACGGCAATGATCTCGAGCCCTGTGCAGATCGCAAGATTGCAAACGCTATGTTGGGATCATCGCAGCTCGCGACTAAATATTTCCCTATCGTCTTCCATGCTGTCCATGGTCGGGACCAACAAGAAGCATCGTCACCCTCGTTCTTCAACATCGACGAAATAACTCAAGTCAAAACGTATGTTGAAGCACTTCGAGCCGATAGACTTTACAGAGCCAGTAAGTGGTTCTCGTATCTATATATCTCAACTTGAAGTATTTTGTTAGCCGACGATGATATTGGCATAATCGCTCCTTACCATGCCCAATGTTTGAAGCTTCGAGCGGCTCTGAGGGCTGTTGCTGATAGTATCAAAGTTGGTAGTGTCGAAGAGTTCCAAGGACAGGTTCGCTATACATTCATTACATTCCCATGGTTTTCTGACTAAAAGTTCGTCTGCAGGAACGGAAGATAATCATAGTATCGACTGTGAGGAGTAATCGTGATTTTGTTGGGTATGATCTTAAGCATACTCTTGGGTTTGTGGCAAATCCTCGCCGCTTCAACGGTAAGCTCTTACTATTTCCATGCTGCATAAGCTCCCTAATTCATAGTAAATGTACTCTAGTCGCGGTGACGAGGGCACAGGCCCTACTTATCATTGTTGGGGATCCGAATGTTTTGTCCTTGGATCCTCTATGGCGTTCATTTTTGAATTTTATTCACAATGGCGGGGGTTGGAGAGGTCCTCCCATCACCTGGGACCCTCAGGATGAAGTCTCGTTGGATGATGACTTATGTGGGATAGTGCGTGAGGGTGGTATGGAGAATATGAATAGATTCACCAGGAGGATGGAGATTCTTACCTACTCGATGGCTCAACCTGGCGACGAGGAGATTGATGAGGCGGACATAAACATTGACAGGCCTTGGAAGGACAATGAATAATGTCTGGCGCCCCTATGGAGAAGCCGTGATGTTGGTTCTACTCGTACTACTATCCCTTGGTTGTTTGCTGACTGTCGACGCAGACTCGGACTGCTTGAGCACAAGTTTGTGTCTTGCATAGACTGATCATGACGCAATTTGTTTTCTGATAAAATTGCCTAATATTTATATATCTCGATCTACGAACGTAAAGTATCTTTGTTGTATATAGGTCTTGCCAACAATATTTTGATATGCTGTAAGACTCATCCGGGATCGCAGTAGTAAATGTGCATGAATCTCCGCTTCTCCTTTTTGATCTCACACTCAACCACAGTGAACTCACCCATGAACGGTAATCAAAATCAATGAACTATCGAACCATCGTCATCGATGCTAGCACATGACGATGCATACTGACAATGACCGTTGATATCTTCAAATTTCTCAACGAACTTCAAATTCGCATTCGAATTCGAAGTCCTCGAACTGACCGCGGCAGCGCTATTCCTAGCGGCGGTATTTTTCCCTAGCCTGAGAAAACTCCGAATTGTAATGTTGAATCGAACATGTTGTACCAGTAATACCTCCTCACATTCAGTGGAAATATCGCGCAGACTGCTATGGGCAATGTTGTCGAAATGCACTATTAGGATGATGGAACTGCAACATACTTTTCGAGGGTACTTATTCTGGCAAAAGTGGGTCCAGTTACCCAAACCAAAAATTACACCGTGACTGTGTCAATAGCCCTTTTCGTGTTGCCGTACTTGCCTCGAGGCAGAATCAGGCTAAACAAGTACCCTGAACTGTCCTCTACAGTTAGAGCAGAGCGCACCATCCCCCCACACATTACTGTGGTCATCCTCCTACTTTCAGTAGCGTCTCCATTATGCTTGTCAAATACTGCCATCAGCTTGAGATACAAGGAGCCTGCACGGACCCCAATTGCACGGAATACCACGATATTCGGATCTGTGAAATTTGTGGCGTCTTTTGTTCTTCCACAGCGTTTTACGAAGGCCATATTGCAGGGAAGAAGCATCAACGCAAGCTACGTGGTGACTCATCTCCGAGTAAAATCCCAAGGCTTTACTGTCCTTCGTGTGAGGTTATCGTGGGTGGGCCAATCAGCTGGAAGCAACATGTGTCAGGTAGGCAACACCAAACAAAATCGACTTTGAAGGGAGCTCCTGTCGCAATCGAGCCTACGGAGATAGTGGAAGAGGGGGTGTTTTGTGCCATCTGCGATAGGTATATTTCGCAAGGTTCATGGCCCGATCATCCCGCAAGTCATGGTCACCGCAGAAAGGAGGGCGTTGTGGCTTTCAAAACCGCAATGGGAGAGGCAGAAAAAAACAAACATGGTGTAACCGTCTCTGATATGGATTTCGAAGTAATCGAAGTCGAAGATGCTGTTAGAGGTGTCTCAAAAGTTCTCACTATTCAAAATACTGTTCCATCTGCTCGGATTTCTGTCATCAGCACCAAGCTTACTTCAGGCGGGACTGTGCCATCGTCGTGAGTATGCTGCATTTGTTACCATGCTATATTTTCGAATCAATGGCTTTATCTCCAGGTTCAATATCGCTACCCGCATTGCTGGTGTTACATTAACGTATCACAAGGAAATCAATGTTACTGTATCGCTACGTCAAACATATGCCGGTCGAACTCAAGATCGATTAGAAATCCTTTTTGAGGACACTATTCTTCAACAACGTTTCGTTATCGTTCGATCTTTACGGGCCATCATAGGCAGTCGTGCTGACCACGAACTTCTCAAACCCAGGGCTCCCTATCAGCCACGTCAACAAAGAGCTAGACAGTCCGAAAAAGAAGTAATACCTGGCGTTCTTCCTCCTTCACTCAAGGCTATACCCTACGTTGTCAAACTACCACAAGCAAAAATTCCGGGAGATTTGTTTGTCACTTTGTCTGAGGGAACGTTCACCCAGATCTTGGGCTCCATCAAAAGAGTTTATTTACCCAAAACTTTTGATAGTGCAACATATGCTCGTCATTTCAAGGTTTTGCTTTGGGCAGAAGAATTTCGTATGGAGTACGTAACCTGCAACTATTCTGTTAACCAAGTTTTAAAGTGTTTTCACATTAGGCGTGACCTTGAACTCTACGATATTCCTAACGCACACCTACGAGCGCACTCCACGTTTGATTTTTCCGAGGTTTCCAAGGCAGTGGTAGCCAGAAAGGACCCATATTACTTGTTAAGTTGTCATTACCATTTATATTATGCTAGTGTTGACTTACTATGATAAACAGTCTTGACGTCCCAGGTTTGGCTGAAAAAAGGCCGAGTGTTCTGGTTGGTCAGTACTGTCAGACCTTTCTAATTTTTCCTTGATTCTCATGATATGTCAGGTGATCGGATTCTCGTACAAAAACATGGCAGTCCGCAAGGTCAATGGTTTGAAGGAGGTGTTCATGTCGTACACAAGGAAGAAGTTGGCCTACGTTTCCATGCATCGTTCAAAGGGTGGTCGTCTCTTTCGCGCTACACAGTGCGCTTCAAGTTAAATCGTATCCCCACGCAACGACAACACCAAGCTTTGGATACAGCTTTTAATCCGGAGAGAATACTTTTCCCCCTCCAAAAGTTTGTTTTGCCAGCGAATAAAACCGCTCATGTAAACATCAAACCTTTTAATCGGCTGATCACCACAAATCCTCCCCAATTGCTTGCTGTCATTTCAATCCTGCGCCAAACACCTGGCTCAGTGCCTTTCGTGATTTTTGGGCCTCCAGGAACTGGAAAGACGATAACGGTCATCGAAGCGATCAAACAGATCCTTCACCACAATCCGAGCGCCCGCATACTTGCCACTGCGCCGAGTAATTCTGCAGCCGACCTAATCGCGGCGCGACTCACATCTGCATTCACCAAAGATGAGCTATTTAGACTGTATGCACCTTCACGATTCCACAAACAGGTGCCAGAGGAGTTGCGAACTTATACATATATGAAGGATCGCCATTTTTCCACTCCCATTATGTCCCGCTTCAAAAGTTTCAAAGTTATAGTTTGCACATGTGTTTCTGCCTCCATTCCTTACGGGGTGGGTGTGCCTCGTGGTCACTTCAGTCACATATTCGTCGACGAAGCCGGTCAAGCTACAGAGCCGGAAGTTATGATAGGTATCAAGACCATGGCGGATAACAAAACGAATATCATACTTTCTGGAGATCCTAAACAGCTGGGTCCTATCATTCGATCGAGTATTGCTCGTGAGCTCGGTATGGAGACTAGTTATCTTGAGAGACTTATGACCTCAGATACGTATGACGTCAAAAGTGGTCGTGGTCAGACGTTAGTCTTTATTATTATCTTCCTGGTTTCCTGATTTTTGACTCACTAAACTACCAGAGTTGTGAAGCTGGTCAAAAACTTCCGCTCACATGCAGCGATCTTGAAGTTCCCCAACGAAAGATTCTACGCCGGCGAGTTGGAACAGTGTGGTGACCCCAAAGTAATCAATGCTTTCACGGGATCCCCACAGCTTGCCTCGAAAAATTTCCCCGTGATCTTTCACGCGGTGATTGGTAAAGATGATCGAGAAGCTTCATCTCCTTCATTTTTCAATATCGACGAAGTGTCACAAGTTAAAAGCTACATCACAGCGCTACGGTCTGACCGCAAATTCTGGATTAGTAAGCTATGTCCAGATATACAGGAGACTATGTTGACAGCAGTACTCCCCAGCCGATGATGAGATTGGTGTGATCGCGCCATATCATGCTCAATGCCTCAAGATAAGAGCTTCTCTCCAGGCCGTGGCGGATGGTGTCAAGGTTGGCAGCGTAGAAGAATTTCAAGGCCAGGTTAGCCGTCCAATGTCACAGCTCTACATGCTGATCGAACCATCACTTCGCAGGAACGAAAGGTCATCATCATTTCGACTGTCAGGAGTAGCCGAGAGTTTATTGAATATGATCTCAAACATACTCTCGGTTTCGTGGCCAGCCCACGTCGTTTCAATGGTAAGCTGAGTGTGCTTGGCCGTCGCCTTCTTACCCTGACCATAATACCCCGACAGTGGCTGTAACACGCGCTCAAGCACTCCTGATCGTCATTGGAGACCCGTCCGTGTTGTCTTTGGACCCTCTGTGGCGATCTTTCTTGAACTACGTACATAACAATGGTGGTTGGAAGGGGCCATCTATCACCTGGGATCCGTTGGCACCTGTCGAGGAAAGTGGAGGGTATGACAAGACAGCGCGCGATAAGGGTCTTGTCGACATGAATGATTTCAGCAGGAGGATGGAGCAGCTCACTCTTTCATCTGTACAGGTGATTGAAGAGGTTGATGAAGCTGATGTAAACGTTGATAGGCCATGGAGAGATGTTGAGTGAAAGGTCTTGCACCACTGGCACCGTGACAGTCTGGCAGTGCGCATGCGAGATGAGCAGCCCCGTTGGCTATTTTCCAGGTTATGATATCTATCTCGCTTTCGAGTAATAGTGATGTCCCAGTTCATTAATTCGAACTTCTGTTGAGCCCGAGTATTGTACTTTTGAGTGTTTTCCATCCGTGGCAACGCGGGATTAGCGAGTGACCAGAACGCGCAGCATCGTTCGCACGTGGCCTAAGGGGCGTGGCAGTACCGTGACTGTTGTAAACTTGGACACACGACCTTTCGAAACGCCTGTTACTATTTTGCTGGCAAACCTCCTCGTATCGGTTTGCCAAGGGAGGCTACTCGTTCAATAATGGTGGATGATAAATACATTGGCCTCGCTCTCGCCTGCTCCGGCTCTCTCGCAATTGGAACGAGCTTTATCATAACAAAGAAGGTAAGCCGAAGAATCATCTCTCGTTGCAGAATTCGGACAACCTGTTTATCACGTTTGCAGGGCCTCAACGACGCCGCCGGGCGGAACTCTGCATATGCATCTGCTTCAGATGATCTTTCTTACCTTCGTAATCCAATATGGTGGGCAGGGATGTCAACTTGTAGGTTTTCTCGAAGATCCAAGTTCTATACTTTGTTTTTATACATATTTTTTCTTAGTGATTATAGGCGAAGGTGTGTGGCATGTTTAAATGGTGGATCATTCTCTAAGGCTACATGTTTCTAGTCGCCAATTTTGCCGCGTACACTTTTGCACCTCCAATATTAGTGACCCCGTTAGGTGCTTTGAGTGTTCTCATTGGGTACGTTCCATATCATTCTACGAGCACCTGTCCTCTGAGAAGAGCATTACCAGAGCTGTTCTAGCTTCTTTTCTTTTGAACGAAGAACTCGGTCATCTTGGAAGATTGGGCTGTGCGTTGTGCCTCATAGGTTCATTAATCATCGTGTTGCATGCTCCAGAAGACAAGGCTGTTCAGACAGTGGATGAAATCTTGAATTATGCGATGCAGCCAGGTATGGCAGATTATCTATGGTTTTATCTGTCTAATCCAGGGATAGGCTTTATGCTGTATTGTTTCACGGTTCTTGTTTTCTCTGTGGTGATGATTTACGCTGTTGCACCAAAATATGGTCGGTCCAATCCTATCGTATACATCTCAATCTGCTCCCTCGTGGGCTCTGTTTCTGTCATGGCCATCAAAGGTTTTGGTGTTGCCATCAAACTCACGCTCAGCGGTAACAATCAATTCACTCATCTAAGCACATATGTCTTTGGGATCGTGGTGGCGGGTTGTATCGTTGTACAAATGAACTACTTCAACAAAGCTCTAGATATCTTTTCAACGAATGTGTACGTGCCTTTGAGATTCCGGAATGGACCTCGTCCTAACCACGATTATAGCGTCAACCCGATGTATTATGTGGGGTTTTCTTCTGCAACGATCGTTGCGTCCTTGATCCTCTTCCAAGGCTTCAACACGACAGACGGAACCAACACGGTGACTCTTTTGGCGGGCTTTACTGTTACTTTCCTCGGTGTTCATCTGCTCAACCTCTCTCGTAAACCCGATCCACTCACCGGTCCTAATGGTCACACTACGCTAGAAGGTGGGCTGATGAATCCACGACTAAGCCTTCAAGGGCGGCTGTCTATTGATGGCTGGGGAGGTGTATCTGATATAAGACCAGACGGGGCACTCAACTCTGCAACCCATGGCCGAAGAAGTTCTCTATATCGTTCACAGACCTCTACGCTATTCAACGCATTCGAAGACGGAGATGCAGGGGAGGGCCAGGCGCTGTCACAGCTTCGGGAGAGTGAAGAGGATGAAGGGGATGACGATAGTGATGTTGACGAACGGACACGTCTGCATTCAGAGCATCGGACACGAGCTGGAGTTTCCAGAAGCCACAGTAATTCGCCAGCTCTGCAGGGCAGTGCTCGGAGTTCACCACGACCGCTATAAAACATAATCCATACCCTTTTAAACGGACTGCACTAAAATACGATAGATCTATTTTCATTTTTTCAACGCTGTTAAACCCTCTTTGAATGGACGTGATATGTTTCTGTACTGGAGTCGCTATAAGCGTGGGATTGTATTACCATGTTGGACGAGGCCATCCTCGTGCTGTCGAGCAGTGTCCGAGCTTTCTTTGGAGAAAGCATGTGGTCCGGATCCCGATGTCTCAATCAGATCCAATATTCCCTATCTTCAACCTTCTCCCAGGCATTTCGTTTTAAACCAAGAACGCGCTTGCTGACCATGGGTGCTGGAGTACAAACAGTTGATACTTCCAAAAGGCTGGCCCACCTTCGGGAGCTGATGAGGCTGCCAGAAAACAGCGTCAAGGCTTTCGTAGTTCCAAGCGAAGATCAGCGTCAGTTTTGACCAAGCACTATCTCTTACGTTTTATGTTGATGTAAAAGCAGACTCGAGCGAATACCTTGCACATTGCGATGAAAGACGGGCGTTCATCTCTGGCTTCAATGGATCTGCAGGTGATTGGCACGATCTATACTGAGGACGGTGAACGTACAAATGGGATAAGATTGAACTAATGGGCCTGGTGCAGGCTGTGCGATCGTTACATTGAAGGATGCTTACCTGTTCACCGATGGACGTTACTTCTTACAAGCCGAACAGCAGCTGGACAAGTGCGTAACTTGAACGTGTGATGTCAAGTCTCTGCTAACGCACAGGTCGCATGATCAGGAATTGGAAATTAATGAAGCAAGGCCTTCCTGGTATGTCTTCTTTTCAACTGTTCTCTGGACCTGTCCTTCTAATCACGCCGTTAAGACGTGCCTACTTGGCAAGATTTTCTGTCCAAAGTGTGTCAATAGTATTCGCTGGAAAAGGAAAAGGAGAGGCTGACTTCTTATCTAGCATCTTGAACAGGGCACTAGGATCGGTATTGATCCTACACTCATTTCCAAGGGTATGTTGCTTCCGTGAAGGCTTGGAGGTACCCTGACCAGTCATGCAGTTGATGCCGATTCATTGGGCAAGTCTCTTGAACCTCGTAATTCAAAACTGGTGTCACTCGAGAAGAACCTAGTTGACATTGCTTGGGGACAAGACCGTCCCCCACGACCTACAAGCAATGTCTTTCCCTTGGATATCAAATACGCTGGTGCGCATAACTCACACTATCGAAGATCGCAGACTTATTTTCTATCAGGTAAATCCTCTGCAGACAAGATTCAGCATCTCCGCGAAGAACTCCGTAAGAAAAATGCTAAAGCTATGGTTGTCAACATGCTCGACGAAGTCGCCTGGCTGTTCAACTTGCGTGGGTCTGATATAGATTACAACCCTGGTAGGGCTTAGCTTTTTGTCCCTACCGTGTTCACTCATTTACGATGCTGGGTTGTTTCCAGTGTTCTTCGCATACGCCATAATCACAGAAAAGTCGGCAGCACTGTTCGTCAATCCTGTACAGATTGATGACGTCGTTCGAGATTATATTGGTTCCCAAGCTGAAATCCGGCCTTACGATGACTTCTTTTCGTACCTCAAGGAAACTTGCTCCAACCTTCAACTTAGCAAAGAGGCTGTGTGTATTTTTATATATTTCATTGCACTACATGACCTAAGGATTGTAGCCAGTTCTATTGGGTGACAAGGGCAGTCTTGCCGTCGCAGAAGCAATTGGCCAGGTAGACCCATCACTCCAATCCCTCACGTGCACTTCAACACTAACATTCTCCCGTTATTAGGATAACGTGTTGGTAGTTCCCTCTCCGGTCGCCGCGCTGAAGACAATCAAGAACGAGACAGAGATAGAAGGTTTCCGCCAATGCCATATTCGTGATGGTGCTGCATTGGCTCGTTACTTTGCCTGGCTAGAAGAACAGTTAGAAAATGGTGTTGAACTAAACGAGAGCCAGGGTGCTGATCAGCTGGAAAAATTCAGATCGTGAGTTTAACATCTATTCATCGATAAATATACTAAATCTTGTGTAGTGAGCTGGACATGTTCAAGGGACTATCATTTACAACCATCTCATCTACAGGACCGAATGGAGGTATACGTCTTTTCATGGTGCTCTTTTATTCACTCTCTCACGACACAAAATCAGCCATCATACATTATTCTCCTGACCCTAATGACTGCGCTATAATTAAGAAGGATCAGGTGCATTACAACCTCAGCGCTAATCACTCCATTTGCTGATCTATGCATTAGTTATATCTGTGTGATTCCGGAGGTTTGCTTTTTGCACATGTCATATACTGATAGAGTCCGCTGGAGCTGATTGTGGCAGGTCAGTATTTGGATGGAACGACGGATGTCACAAGGACATTGGTGCGCGCTTCGAAAAAAACAGTGCTATCAACTACACGAGTACTGACACTTTAGTTAATAATAGCACTTCGGGACCCCGACAGATGAAGAGAAACGAGCTTTCACAAGAGTCTTACAAGGCCATATCTCCATCGACACTGCCGTTTTTCCTACTGGCACATCAGGCGAGTCTTTTCCTCCTTATCTTCCTCCTCCTAATGCTGAGTGCTTCCTCGATAGGATACATCATGTGCGGGTTATACACGTAATATACGACCGATGAATGGCTGAACCGTTTCTTTCAGCGATTCCTTTGCTCGGAGAGCTTTGTGGCAGGATGGACTAGGTGCGCATATATTCGTAATTTGACACCAAGTCACTAAAACATATGATGTTCCAGATTATCGGTAATTATATTGACCAGCGTCTCTATGCTATACAAGTACTTATGATGCTGTGTTGCCGATGAAGGCATGGTACTGGCCACGGAGTCGGCCATTTCCTTAATGTTCACGAAGGCAAGTTTCTACTTTTTGTGGGTCTCATTATGTCATCTTATCTCGGTCTTTTCGCGCAGGTCCTCAAGGGATCGGTACACGTATCGGTGAGTAGGCCTATGCCCGAGATCCTCATTTGGGGCAAGAGCCATTTGATGGATGTTCTTTCGCAAAACATCCTCAAATGACATATCTGGCTAAACTTGTATTGACAACTCGTCCTGCAGGATACAACAACTTTCCATTGAAAGCTGGCATGACGATCTCAAATGGTACGTTTTCCCTCAAAACCAGATCTCTACAAAAAGTCAAATCGACATACCCACAGAACCTGGTTATTACGCTGACGGGCGCTTCGGCATCCGAATCGAGAACGTTATCATTGTCCGGGAAGCTCAGACTCCATACAACTTTGGAAACGGATACCTCGCCTTCGAGCACCTCACGATGGTGAGTCACCCACCTACTGCTTGTTTCATTCATAAGCAGAACGCTGAAATGCGGTCTCTCAAGTGCCCTATTCATAAGAAACTCGTGGACCTGAGTATATTGACCGTGCAAGAGAGAGACTGGTTGAATGCCTATCATGCAGAAACATGGAAGAAAGTGTCTCCTCTTCTTCATAACGACCCGAGAGCCCTAGCCTGGCTTGAACGAGAATGCTCTCCCCTCTAGCAATATAATAGTAATGAAGAAAGATACCGTATGGTTTGTATACTATGATAGAATCATGATGTCAGTAAGCTATATGGCAGCGTAGAGCGTCGACATATCCTGGCGAGGTTTGACTCGGTACCGTTACATCATATGAAAGGTGATAGATGATCATGAAAATCGACAATCGGTCTTCATGAAATAGCATACAGCTAGTGGAAAATCACTCAAAATGAGTTGCAACAATATATCAACCCAACTCGGTATAAATCCATTAGTATGTCACATAAAGAGAAGAACTTGAAACCTTCAAGTCTCATAACTGTATACAAACAGGTATAGGACACGTGCTATGCATTTATGCAGAAAGCAAGGCGAGTAGGAGAGCGTACGAGTAAAAGCGGATAATCGGAAATGTGTAAGAGCGATAGTTACGGCAAAAAAATATCTCTAAAAAGATCCTTCGTAAATAGAGCTAAGAGAGTGGTACTGAGGGGTCATTTCATGAGAAAGAAGAGGAAACATGTGTGTAAGATGCGTGCGAGGCTTGTCGTAGATGGAACTAGATGGGTTATTGCGTGGAATCAGGTTAAATGCGGTGCCGGTGCCGTGAGTGTGTGAAAGCATAATAGCATAAGGCAGGGGTTGACGAGTGTTTACAACGAAGAGTGGGAATCGCACGATCGTGATAGGTGAAATGGGCTCATTGAAGGCGTGAACGGAAGTTGGCGAATCGAGAGGCACTGTGTGGTGTCGTGGGTATTGAGACCGTTTGTGAACCACTCAGACGTATGCAAAGCGCATATCCACATGTGGTGGCTTCTGATAGGGGTGATTGTTACACTTTGCGACGAACGATACAGTGCCGAAGAAACAGCACGAGGGCTTATCAGTGCTAGACCAGTTAAGATAACATTCAAGGAGGCCTGAGGATGGAAAGAACGTGCTGGGTGCCTGGCCTAAAGTTAGAGCGATTTGTTGTCTGTGGTGGAGACCTTAGACAAACTGTGACTGTCATAGAAGTTTGGATTGTTTCAGATGTTGCCGTATAACCATATCTCTAACTGAAGAAAAATAAAAGAGTGAGCCTCGTTCGATGATCGATAGTGTTCTGAACTTACCACTCGCGAGAATACCAGCGGTCGTAGTCGTATCCTAGTAAGTAATGTTACACAAAGGCGCAGACATATCAAAAGGGAGAACTAGCTACCGTAACAGAAGTGCAAAACCCATAGAATTTGCGTGGGTTTGGCGAGTATTCTCGGTGAATTGCACTAAATTTGCTTCTGAAGTCTATTGTAAACAAGCATTAGCAGGTCTGGTCCATCATAGCTCAATAAATATATCGCATACATTTAGATGCTGTTTCGAGGTCGTTGGGTCGATCGCTGAAACTACGGACGTATCTTGACAAACGAACGCCTGCTTTCAACTTTGCGTCGAGGATATCGCACTTGTTTAAGAAAAGCACGAGCTCGACATTGGCAAGTAGTTTGTTTGAGCACACAGCTTTCCAAAGTAAGACGCTGTCCTCCTTTATGCGTGTAGGTCCACCAGATTACGAAGTTTTCGAAGATAGGGCCATGAGCAAATTTTCCGCAACAGTAAACGAGGGACCTACAAGACGATTTACACTCCGATCTTCTGCGAGGACTTGATCAAACCCAGATATTGGAGCAAGGAAAATGATGGCATCGACTGAACAGCATAGTAAGTATATAAAGTGATGATTGGCGTTACAAGCTTACCATCATCAAAAAATGGCACCCATGTTGCTTTACGACGCACTGGACTCAACAAAGCGAATCACATGATAGCAGACATGACTTACGACGCTAGTGAAATTATATGTATGTCAGAACCAATCAAGACAATCTTGTAAATTTGAACCTACCTGCGACCTTGACCCGCCAACGTCTACTATCCGCCATTCGGTGCCGCTCTCACGTCCAGCAGCAGCCTCCATTTCGAATCTGTACTCCGAGACCCCGACAGTTTTGAGACGTGCTTTGAGGACATCATCTAAGTAGCGCATATATTGAGCATTATGAGGATAGCAGCGCAAAAGCAGGCTACGAACCATCATTGGGTGTGTATTTTAGTGATGTCACTCGCTCAAGGTCGTTCAGGAAGCTAGCATATAGCATACAGGTTAGCATTGGAAAAAGAAAGGGGGAAGGAATGAGATGCACAAGCCAGGGAATTCTTCTAATCGGATCTTCCGCTTGCGTAGAATTTCACGAACCGTTCTGTCGTTCCATAGGGTCATGATATCGTGACGACATGAGTGTAAGACTTCCTGCGCCTCGTCCCTTGAACCCGGGGTCACCGCATCAAAAGAGTGAGGGCGGCCGTTGGCGCGTGAACTCTTTGCCAAAGCACCTTTCCACGTTGTCGTGGGACGAACGAAGACCTCTTGGGTTCGCCATGAACGTTCGCTGCTCCTACTGCGGGTGGACTGATAATTGCTGACAGAGCTGCTGGCGGGAAGTGATATCGCCTCGTCTTCGTTTGGAGGTACAAGCTTAGCAATGAGCAAAGCTTCGATATGGCGAAGAGGAGCAAGACGCATTTTGAGAAAGTCAAGTTCTTGAGGGAAGTTGGGGCCATCATCGCTTTCGTCGCCACCGCTGTCGATGGGCTGCTGGATGCGAACATTGGAGAGAGCGTCGAGGATGGTACGGATAGAGCGGACGAGGTTGAGTTGGATGACACTGCGCCAGAGGACACGTTCTTCGCGGAAGGCATTGGGTGTATATAGTCGCTGAAAATCTGTGTGAGAGAAACGTGGTCAGAACTGCGGTGCGGAGGGTAGAATAGGGTTATCGAGAGGAAAACGACGCACGCCTGAGGGTTGTTGATTTGCCTAGCGCCAGGTGGTCAGGACGGTGAGAACGTTGAAGAGCATGGGCTGCATACCTGACTCGCTCTGGCCAAGGAGGAGAAGTCTGACGACATTCTTCTTTTTCTGAAGCTGGCGTTCTGCACGGAGAGAATCGTCGATGGCCTGGCTGACACGCTTTGCCTCGGCTTCCTGGGCAAGTCTGATGGCATGTTCGGAGTCGGACTCGTCTGGGGGAGGCTTGAGTGCCTCGTCGAGGGGGTCGAAGTCGAGGGCGTGTCTGCTGGGCATCGAGTACGACGACGAGGAGGTGGAAAAGCCAGCCTGCGATGAGGGAAGGGAAGAGAGATATGTGAGTGGGCCTGGGTGAAGCGGCAAGCGGGAGCGGTGCCAGTGATGGCCAGGCACAGACAATTATTAGCCTATCCTTATAAAACCTTGCCCAAATCTCGACGCTTTTATGGTTTTTTTTTTCGACAAGTTTGTGTTACAATTCTTACGGGTCTGCTCTGATCGAGGACCATTCGACTTTCTGATCCTCAGTAGTCCCGTCGTTTGCATCCGTCACCCACCGTCGCGGCATCCAAATCAGTCACCTGCCTCCAAACTTTATCCCCATATCTCCATCTTTTGTCTCCAATTTCCACATTTTATCCTCTTTAGACGGAACTCTACACCGTAGCGCAGCCGCGCACCTTGCGTAAACTACCGCCAATGCCTCTCCAAGCCCGTCTCGTGCCTGCCTTTCTATAGAAAGCGTTTACAGTTACAAACGCAGACCAAGGCACATATCCAGCAATCCCACTCGAATCGCTCTCGAGCCTCCCAACAACACCCTTCGGTCTATATATTCGTTTAGTTCTCGCTTTCGATCCGTTCAACTTGCCGCCGGTCACACCCCAACCAGAACATTGTGGCGCTCCGCAATGTGCTCCATGCTGTCCTCACCCACCCACAGACACACCAAAGTTGCTAGGCGTAAGCATTGCTATCAGATGAATTCATCTAGAAGTATTTTGATAGGAGCTCTCGCCTGGAAAGTCAGCGTTTACCAAATTCAGCTCCTCGGTGATGACCTATCACCAAAGCGCTGCACCTTATGGCGCAACCCATTCTGTGTGTATTTTATTGCATTTCTCCATATGATGATTGGCATACGGAATTCAAAAGGCGCCGCATACCCAGCACCCTTGGACGGCTTTCCCTTTTCCTCAACACCACTGCGATCATCTCATGGTCATCAGATCAGGGGGTTTAATCAAACCTTCGTTTCCTCCGTCTCCACAGCGTTTGTGGCGCATCCATCACCGCTAGCCATTTCGATGCAATGGGCAACCTGCGACACTTCGGGCAAGATGGCGGCTTATTCCAAGCCAGGGCCCATTGCACACTTATGGAAAAGCCCCTTTAAGATGGGGTGTGATGTCAATACTGCTCAACTGGGTTGATATCAGGTACCTATGCCTCGCGAACCCAACTTTAACTGCCTGCCACACCATGCGTGGTATACATCTATATCGTAATGCACTGCCAGTCCGGTATCCTCGCTGGACACAGTGGAGTCCCCTCCTTTATCCTTGCTATCATTCTCTCACCATTTGACGGAGAGCGCTGGCCTATGGCTTCTTTCCATACGTAGCCCAAGCGCTGCAGTAGGCCTCACTTACGGCACGTCATTCTCAGGAACGGTGAATCCCACAACTCGGAAATGGCCTCATTCGTGAGAATTCACTGTGCCTGTGGCTTGGTCCTGATGTTCCCGCGAGTCTTCAATCTTCAGAGATTACTGGTTCCTAATCGATCCTTTATAAGCTTCAGTTCTTCTTGCAGGAGGTCACAAACCTTGCTTAAAGCGCTCATAAATCCAGGGCCTCATCAGTATCATACAGCTTATCATGCTGGTCATTTGTCAGGCACCTATATAATCCATTCACAGACATCTTATCTAGAGACCGTAGCGAGAGAGCGAGCACTGCAGTAGAGTCGCAGCTCGTGGGTGTTGCAACATTGTATCAAGAACGTCAACGATACGAGACGAGCTCGCGTCGCGTTTGAGGTGTCAATGGCAGGGTCCCCTTTGCTCCTCCTCCATATCGTTGCGACATGCATGCGACTCCCAGATAAGAGGATGATCCGAAGTCAGGACTTTAATAACGTCACGGTGTAGCTATGGGCCATAGTTCACTCAACAATCCGCCAGGTACAGAACATCTCTACAACTATACAATGGACGCCGCCGGATCAGACGGGACAACTTCCAAGGCCGCCGCAAAATGTCGATCTCTAAAAGGATAGGGTGCATAAAGATGCTCCACAAAATGCGTGATCGAGAATCGCAAAAGGTCAGGCAGGTACTGGCAGCTGCTTGGTATTCCGAAGATTTCGGTTGGTTTACGTTCACTGGGATAGTGCTGGGGTGCACCTGACTGACGTGCAGCATGTACGGTATACGGTAGGATATTTTGTCCGGCCCAGATGGAAAATAAAGATAACCTCGTGAAATGTTATAAGTCAGTCGTTCCGGCGGGCCGCTTACCGAGGTCCCGTATGATACCCAAAATTGTCATAGCCGCCGGTGCCCAGCTCAAGTGACATCAAGATATCTCTGTTGCCAATACGAATTCAGTGAGCTTCACCGCATACGAACGCCACTGCCATTGACTGTACCAGGTGGCAATCAGATAGAAGTGAATTTGAAGTGAGCGCCGAGGCACATCAGTTGACATCCAGGTACAGTAGGTGGCAAGGTTGGTATTGGTCCATGGAATTAGGTGGCCAATACCATAACGAAAGCTCAAGTATCAGAGTGTGCGATTGTCCGATATTCAGGGGGTGGACAACGGCCCACCCATTGCCCGCCCCTGTCCGCCGCATCTGATTCTGCATGGCAATTGTCGAGACGCTCGACCGTTACTTTTCCCTATAAGGGGAATATCCTAACAGGAAAGCGCCCCTGGCAACTAACTGGTTGGGATAGTGAAGTGACAGCCACCGCGTGCCCTATAGTACAGTACAAAGCAATAAGTACCAAAAAGACAAGATATTGAGAAAAAGGCGAATCAAGGTACAAACTGCCTGTGATGCCTTTAGTACATGAAGCCGGCGGCCAATTCGATAAAAGTTTCAAGCATGTGATTTGTTGCGCTGTTAGTCGATGTTGCTTGGTCTTCAAATTATCAAAAGGTTGTATTGGAGGTGCGTTGAGCGGTGGCTCGCGACCGGGAAAGCACTTCTTCGAGCGATAATACACAAAATCATTGCAAAACAGGATCCGCACCGAATATAACCGTGAGCCCGAGGGCGAATCAGCTATGTACCAATTTAATCAATATTATTCGAAGAGTTTTTGAATCTAGGCTCACGTTTGACATAAAAAGGGCCACAATTGAGAATAAACGGCACGCCAGGCCGTTCAAAGCAAGAGAAGCACACAAGAAGGTTGCATATAGTAGGTATCTCGGAGAAATGAGGCATATCTTTTTTGACAAGTAAAATGAAGTGATGGCGGGAAGTCTTATCAGAATAAATGAGAATATAATAAGACAAGGCACTAGAAAGAAAGGTGTCAGGTGACTGCTCTCAGGTAGGGTGTAGAATGGATCTTTTTCGCAGATGGTGCTACGGGCATGGACGGCCTCGTGAGAAAGTTCACCATTGCTGTTGAGACTTAAGCTCTTGCCAAGAATAAGTAGGTGGGGTCGAAACCAACATCTTTGCGTGCTGTCGCTGACGATTGAATTCGGTATCTAAACTGTGACGACTCTTTTGAGCATAAAATGTCTGGAAAATCGTAAGCATGACAATGGGCTTACTATGAAAATGATGCACTCCCCATTCCATTGAATATTGAATATATGTGTCGCCTCCATTTCACCATGTAAATGCCAGATGCTAGGTGAAGTCGCACGGACGAGTCCTGGAAAGTAGCCACGATGGACTCTTTTACTCGTGTGACCTACGCATTGTGAGAAGAAGAGATAATCTTGCGCAAAGAATGGAACTAGAGCCTGCCCTTACTGTCAGCCACTTGCAAAATAGACATTAGCACAATGAGAGAGAGAGAACTCGCTCGGACTTGGAGACTGCCGTGGCCGCGACGGATAAGATTACGTAAGCAACAGACCTGCCTTTTTCGTAAAAATGTATCGATGACTCGAATCCAATGATTTTTTTTGCAGGAAAAAATGACCTGACTTCAAATCCATTCCATATTCTATTCAAACTGCAGCTGTTTCGTATGTTCTTATAGGTCGGATACCATCGTTTTCAGTTATTCTCTGCCTGTGGTTTCGTAAATTCTCTCTGAGATACTATCTTATTATTCCCGGCCACTTTCGTTTTTGACAGGTTTCGAAAGAGATGTCCGATCCACCTACTCCGTCTACCCCATCCACGTCTTACACCGGTTCCACTCCCACCCCACCACTCCCACCACTTACTCCCCAAAATCTCCATCAAAATACTATCGATCCTGATGCAAAATGGCTTGTACAGAAGTATGGGGGTACTAGCGTCGGTAAATTTGCTGTCAAGATAGCCGAGGATATTGTCTCGTTCGTAGAATCTCTCAGCAGATATTTGCATGTAAGGAGTACTGACATGAGTGCAGAGGATACATAGATCAGCACAAGGTGGCTATCGTTTGCTCTGCACGTTCGGGTTCGACTAAGGCCCTCGGTACCACAAATCTCTTGCTCAAGGCAGCATCAGAGGCCTTGCAGCGGCCACCTAATAAGCCTGTCACTACACCTGGTACTGCAACACCGCTGACAAATGGTATGTTTGGGCGGTCCTTGGATAGCCCGGTGTCGGGCTCATCAAGAACTCGAAGCGCATCTTCTCCTCGCTCACCGTCTCCTTCAACCTCGGGGATGTTTTCCTTGACGCCCCTCACAGTACCGCAGGTTGGGCAGGATATACCAGGATTTAATCAGACCGTTGATTTGATTCGTTCAGAGCACATGACTGCGGCAAAGACTTGTGTTCGCGACCCAGATATTCGACAAGAACTTGAGGCTGAAATAGAAAGAGATTGTGATTGGCTACGTGGTTTTCTATTCGCTGCACAGGTATAGTGGTTTCTAAAATCTCCGTATACATTGTCGGTCGCTCACACGATCGTGGATTCTGGCTATGGTTTGATATCGCCCTTTTCTCTTTTCTTAGGTCATAGACGAAATTTCTCCTCGGTCGCGAGATAGCATTATTGGTTTAGGCGAGCGTTTGGGCTGTAAAGTAATGACCGCTGTTCTTCGGGATAAGGTTCGTGTATTATTCACGGGAAATGTTTTTGAGAACAGAAATTGAATCCAGTCCCTGGCTGACTGACAGGGCATAGATGCCGAATATGTGTCCCTCGAGAATATTGTACCTGACATCGAGGACGGTGAATCACCCGCTGTCGAGGGTTCGCTGGATCAATCATTCTACGATAGAGTAGCGATGGCTGTGGGAGAACGCGTCAGCCAGTGTGCTCCCCGGGTGCCTGTTGTAACTGGTAGGTAATATTGAAGTAGGGCTATCTCCGTATATTCATTTCCAACATGTAGGCTTTTTTGGACCTGTGCCTGGGTCCCTGCTCCGTCAAGTTGGTAGAGGGTACACTGATCTTTTGTCAGCACTGCTAGCTGTTGGCCTCGAGGCCTCGGAACTACAGATTTGGAAAGAGGTTGATGGAATTTTCACAGCAGACCCACGAAAAGTGCCCACAGCAAGATTGATCCCCATTATTTCTCCGGATGAAGCAGCTGAATTAACATATTACGGCAGTGAAGTGGTGCATCCATTCACCATGGAACAGGTAAGTGATGCATGGCAACGCATGATCATGATGGCCTTTATGTGCCTGTAGGATTACTCAAAGTTGAATACCTTCTATCTATAGGTGATCAGGCGGAAAATTCCTATTAGGATAAAAAATGTCGAAAACCCGAAAGGAGGTGGTACTGTCATACACCCTGATCCCGATATAGAATCGTCCGAAGAAGTAAGCTGGTCGAATCAATACGAACCTACGTCTTTGGCCGTGTTGCAGGAGCTCTCTTTCGTGACCGATGAAGCACATAGGAGCAAACGATTACCTACCGCGGTCACTATTAAGGAACGCATAGTTATCCTTAACGTCAATTCAAACCGTAAAAGTGTCTCGCATGGTTTTTTGGCCCGCATCTTCGGTACCCTCGATAGGTTTGGTGTCGTGGTAGATTTGATTAGCACGAGCGAAGTGCACGTGAGTATGGCTATCGAAGATAACCTGTCAAAAAAAATCATGGACCGTCTAGTCGCTGAGCTGAAGAAAAGTGGAACGGTACGCGTGGTTTTAACGTCTTGCTTACCCGCGATGCTCGTATCAGTGGAACTTACCTTGACCTTTACAGGTCTCCGTCCATCGCGAAATGGCTATTTTGTCACTTGTGGGAAAGCAAATGAGGAACATGGTTGGTATTGCCGGACGCATGTTCACGACACTCGCGCAGGGCAATGTGAATCTTGAGATGATCAGTCAGGGGGCCAGCGAAATTAATATATCTTGCGTTATCGAAGCCCGTGATGCTGTCAAGGCCCTCAATCTTATACACCAGAGCTGCTTGCAGATAAAACCAGAAGGTGCAAGGGGTAGAGGTAAATTTCCGTTTTGCTCTTCTAGAACGTTCCTTATTCACGCACGCGCAAATAGTGGGTCCTTGGCTGTTTTAGCGCATTGTTTGTATGGTAACTTATGGTTCAACACCGTATTTGACCTTTTATTAATCATAAAACCGTTGTTCGGCTGGCAGTCGAGGAATCATTTTGGATCTGTACCTTTTGACCATTGCGTCCACGTTTGAGAAGTTTGAATATGATTGCGTCGCATTTGTGCCTCAATGTGTTACGTCCAAAATGGCCTTCAAAATTCACCCACGTCAATATCTAGACTACTGCCTTTTGGTCCCCAATCTCTATGTTGCAATTCAGTCGACTTTCATCAACCCGATTTGACTGCATGACACCCATTTTGATATAAGTGCTTTTTCAAACCATAACAATCAACGTTGTGTGGAGGACCAGGGCGTTCTCCCCTCGAGACTCTGGCCCGAACGTTGGCCGCTTTGGGCTGCTCTTTCCACTACGAAAGAAGTTGTTTTGTATTCTGTACAAGCCATCCTCTCTTCGACCCATGAAAGTATGTATTTGAATTCATCTGGGCCTAGAAGTATCAGTGATCAGCGTGCTTTATTTGCGCCTATGAGTAGTTAATGCTAGCCTCTCGGTTCATCATCTCTCAGCCACTTGACACCAAAAAAGGACCACGACGTTGTTTGGCAAAAGCCTCTGAAACAAACAAACGTTTACCGTGGTAACCCTGGGCCTGCGACTTGGATTAAACGACAACCACCGAACTCATCTATACGCGGCTTATAAAATGGCGGAGGCGTCCTTCAAGGATGTACCCGAGCTTTTCGAAGTGTGGCGTTCGGTTCTCTTCTATGAATTTTCCGCTGATTGAATCTTCAGGTGGACTTGGGTGAATCGTTGACTGCGCGTACAGAGAGCTTAGGTCAGGATTCTTTCAATAAGGCCACTTTCCAGTAACTGACGCATAACACAGCTTCTTTCAGGGAATTAGGACCTCCTGATCTATGCCATGTCGTGAAAAGCACAGGACGTAGTGGACAGCGTGATGTTCGTTCGCTTTTGAAGATATTTGTATTACCAGTACTGAAGTCCCAATGATAGCTCGGTTCTTACCACTTTGTCTCCGGGGTCGACGCTTCTTCTTCTGCATCACTTGCCGCTTATATAAATTCTCTCACATATGCTATCGAAGACAACTCGGCGTGGTTCTCAAAAGGCACTGCGTGGAAAGTCAAAAATGGTTGTTTCTGGTGAGTAGTTGCTGGAAACACTATTCATGCTATTCGCTCAACTAAATCCTGATTGCACTCTCAGTTGCTTTAATGCCTTTTCTCGAGTTGATATACGCGTGGACGTTAAAATTCCGGGTGGTGTCACGGCATATGTCGTTGATTTAAGAGGAGAGCGGTAAGTCTAACTAAATCCCTCCTATGATAAATATAAACTAACGCGCCTTAGTCACGAGGCCACGGCAGAAATATGGCAGGAAACTTATGTTTCTGCCTTGCTTCGTGCAATATTATACTCTGATGACCCAACCTACTGGTTAGACGCGTACCGCAAGCTTGATCCCATAACAACTCAAGAAGCAGAACTTCGTTTTCTGCAAGCTGCTGAGGCATTGTTCATGAAAGGTTTGTTCCAAACTTCTCAGCGGTGTCTCGATATTCATAGTAGTCTAGGTTGGCAAGTCGGGTCTGATCCAGAGATACAAGTTGCCACGGTAGTGTCTAATCATCTGACCGCTGGTATCATGAAGTACTTTGGAGACAGCGGGAGATATCAACAAGCTGCCAATTTGTTCGAAAAGCTCACTGCTCGGGAGCTTGAAGTTGCGTCTCTTCTTGCTAAAAGTTACATGGGGATGAGTGAGTCGCAGCGTATGGGTATTTTGGTTGCTTTACCCTAATTAGTCTTGGTGCGTCAGACGAGGAAGTAAAGGCAGTTCAGATTATGTCTGGTGCCATGAAGCAAACACCTCATTCTTATACTCTGTTGCATGTGCAAAGTGATTTTCTCCGAGCAAAAGGGAAATACGATTGGGCTCTCAAGCTCGCACGCGAGGCGGTCAATTGCGCTCCTAGCGAGTTTGTGACATGGGAGAAACTCACCGAGCTCTATATCGATATCAAGGACTTCGAATCTGTTGGTTTTTTTGTAGTTGTATGCGTATCGTTACTCACCAGGTTGGCATACAGGCATTGTTGACGCTCAACTCATGTCCAATGTTCACGTTCAATGGCCGGGATGCGCACCGTAATCTTACACCAGCTCGAATTCACCTGCCATTCAAGCGACAAATCGGTGAAATACTACCTGAAAAAGTGAAAACAGAAGATGACGAGGTATGTTTTCTTTATTATACATGGACACATGATATTGATATCGGGTGCACAGGCTGATCCTGCTTTACAACGCCTTCCTGCTCCTGGCTTGCGCGGAACTTGGGCCAGAGCTTATTCCCTCCTCACTCGTCTAGTGTCAGAGATTGGATGGGACGAGCTCCTCAAGACACGGAGCTGCGTTTTCGTCATGGAGGAGGAGTACCGCATGCAAAAAGTAAACGTAGACATTCAGAGCGCCGGGTTGAAAAATGGCTCAGAAGATGACGCAAGCCAAGGAGTCATCCATGAGGATGGGACAGTTACTAAGCGTGTTCGCGATTCTGTGATCTCTGAAGGTACTACTCTTGCCGCAGATGGTGTTCCCGATACTATAGTCTCTGAAGGCACTGCCCTCGCCGCAGACGGTGACGCTGATGATGACGCGTCCACGCGGGGTGTTGTGTCTAGTCACAGTCCACACATGTCAGGAACAATATCTGGGCCAGCAAGCAAGGAAGATGTTACCAACGGCTCGTTGACTGTGGACATACCTATCATTAGGATATCCACTGAGTCTGATAGGGAAAGGGAATTGGCTGAAGAACAAGAGACGACCAAAGCACCCGTTAACGGCTCGTCGAAGCCAGTTGCGTTGAATGCAGTCAGCCTTGCACTAGAGAAGCCTGTACAAGCTGCTGCAGGCGAAAAAGAGTTGGAGTCGCCTTCTCCGAACTCTGCTCAGGAGACATTCTCTTTCACTAACAAGCGTCTTTGCGAGCGTTGGCTTGATAATTTGTTTATGGTTCTATACGAAGTAAGTATCCTACCGATGCCGTATCAGCACTCGTTGCATGGACTGACAATTTCCCTATCCTTCTTTCAGGATCTGCGGGTGTGGACCATATTCAGAGCTGAAGTAGCGCACTTTAAGACGCAGCACGTTGCATATCGTAAAACAGGCCTGGAATGGGAAATCCTTGGAGACCTCGGGCTCCGCCTACACCATAAAGAGGAGGCAAAGGAAGCTTACCAGAGGTGCCTCGATTCAACCCGGTACTCTCAAAAGCCATGGGCCAAACTCCTTGAGATGTACGCGGATGAGGGCGATATCCAGCGGTCAATACAAGCTGCCATCCGTGTTGCTGCTTATCAATACGCCGATTACACAGAGATGACGGTTCGTTTTCTCAAGTTTTCTGCGCGGATAATTACTGATGCTACTCCATGTCTTCTTCACAGTATCCAACTTTAATTGCCCGATGCTTTTTTAAGCTAGGTCAGATACATGGACACGCCAAGATATCATTTACTCTTTTGAGCATGGGTCTTCCTGACCCGATTCTCAAGATTATGGATGGCTACCTTCAGTATGGCAAAGTATTCAAGGTAGAGGGCTATGATTTCTAATAATACGTCTTTCGCGTTGTTTTGTACATAAGTGATTTTATTCTTCTACTATCCGAGGTCTCCAATTACTGGCTCCATCTTTGACACATCATTATCCAGTACCTTTATGATTCGGAATCGAACGTGCTTGTAGACAAGCTTGTGGATGTCTGAGCTGTGCAGCAAATCCTGTCATGGGCTGTGAATCTGTCTGACTTTGTTTGACGATGAATGATGGTTAGTGGCCGGCGATACTGTTTACCACCATGGTTGTAACTTGAAGGCAGTGGTATTCGATGAGCCTTGTTGGAGCTGGCATCTGGTCCAGGTGAAACGTCTACTACCGATGGGCTCGTATCGTCACGTTGGGAAACTGGTAACAGTGCCTTGATTCGTACCACGACGATCCATTTAGGTTCGCAAGCACACGCCAACCATATGTACTCTCCGAATTCCATTTTGTGGAGAGCGGAAATGAAGCTGAGATGAGAAAATCCGGGCTTTTAGGCTGTTCGAATGACGGATATGAATTGCTACCAACACCCAGCACGGGTACACATGTGCTGTATGATCCTGTAAAGTGTTCCATGGATCACGAAAGAAGAACTTGAACAAGATACCGCTGGATCGATGTTGCACCGGCATTGACAACTTACGAAATTGGGGTTAAACTGCCACAACATGGAACGTGCTTGAGGCTACAGCTTTTGGATGGTTGGTACCCCACCGTGATAGATCAATGGTAGCTGATACATCTCGGGGCAGAGAGAATACACCGAATGCTCTCAGGCTGAATACGATACCACGCAAAGAATAGCCTGGGCCTGGCGGTGAATTGAGTTTGGTTCGTGAATGGATGTACCATATAAGAGTGAGAATGAGGACACGGTTTATCGCAATCACGAAACATCCAACAAGGCTCTACCATCACATCGACAGGATTTAAGAACGTTTCGTGTTTGCTGTGGTCTCGCTCGAACGTAGAGGCTCGTGTGAAAAGGCGAATAAGCGACGGGCACCCGGAGCGCTTAAATTAGACGCCTCCCGGATCTCCGGTGTAGCCGGAGCGAGATTCCGTTCAAATTCAGATTCCATGGCATCGTCTTTCACCAGCAATTTGTTAGTAACTCGAAGACCTTACCTTGCAACAGCGAACAAGGTAAAAGATCTAGCTGCTCTTTCATATCACACAAACGCCCATAAAATGTCGCATTCTCCACCTATACAACGTCTGTCTACTGCTAGCTCCAACAGCAACTTGAAGCGGGAGGAAAATCTCATCAATGCATACGAGGCTGAGGAGGAACGCATTATCAATGTTCTATCGCGCAAGCTGGAGCAGGTACGTACATGTTTCAGAGCTTGGCTAACCACGAGGCTCACCCTTTGACAGTTACGAGAGGAGAAGATTGACCTCGAAAATGCTCTTGAAGCTGAATCTGAGTCTCACGTAAACAGGCTGAGCAGAGAGCTTTCTGCCCTCCGACTAGCACAACAGCAACAACTCTCGGGGACGAATGGCTCGATATCTGCTTCACCGGAAATGAGAGTAGGTCTCCAAACCTTTATGTCTGCCAGCATCCCTACCAGTATGCCGAGCGCAGAGGTAATGTTAGAAGCCATGCGGCGGGAGAACGAACACCTACGCAATAGACTTGTTGACACTGAGAGGGATTATATTCGGATATCGCGGTTAAATGAAATATATCGTGAAGAACTCATTGAGCATCGCAGACGTGTGAGTGGCGTTTCGTTGTGTGTCATCGCCTTGTTCGGGTGTTGACTGTGATCTTCACAGCTTGGGCTGCCTGTAGATAATTTAATAGGGTTGTCTTCGGTGGATCCCTATTCACAGCCAACACACCGAAGATCAGTATCTAACATGTCCTCTCCAAGCACCTCTGTCATTCAATCGCATACTTCACGAGCGGCTCGCCCTGTCCCTGGTGGCGTCCCTATTCCCCGTCCGCCGTCGCAGCTACATCGACCTATTCACAACGCATCTGAAACTAACACCCCACTCTCCCATTCACCATCCTCATCAGAATCCCCGTTTCCATTTTCACCTTTAATGTCCACAAACCCTGCCAGTTTCGTCAGCAACAGTACTCAGCTCACTAGTCCGCCATCGTCAGCTTCGTTTTCCAATCCTCCTGCGCCATATCCTCCTCCCTCTCATACACTGACCTACCCAGTGGTACCTCCACCATCTCTGTCTTCATCATTCGGTTCTCCCACAGTATCGCTCTTGCCCCGCAGAGACCATTCATTATCTCCTGTAGATCCGGCCAGCCGGCGAAATTCTAATGCAAGAGGTAATTTTGAACGCCGAAGGCCTGAAAATGGTTCATATGCCAGTCGTAGCCAAAGCAGGAGAGGGAGCGTTGAACGAGGTGCGAGAGTAGCAGAGACTGGCACGCTTGTACCTCGCAGTCGGGCGAGCAGCCAGAGTTCACCACTCGCGTCTACCGCCGAGGCCCCTGTACCACTGGAGGGGTTAGTCAAGGGAGGTCAAAAGCTATGAAACTCAGACTCAGTTATCCGTGTTATCTTCTCTTCTCTCTTGCACATTGTACTAGTCATCCCATATTTCTTGCGTATGGACATCGAGGCTGTGTAACATACTGGATTTTTTTTTTTTTTTTTTTTTTGATTTCGCAGCCACCCGCCCATATAAGTCGAACAATGCTATTTCCCGAATAGGAAAGCCCGCCCAGGTCCCCGCCGTGCACCTCGTGGTCGTGAGACAGTTCGGATCCGGACAATGCAGCACGAGTCAGAGTTCACCCGAGCGTCGCTGTTTGGCGCCCGCCATATAAAAGCTTGCGCATGGCCTTCAACATCGCCGCCTTTCTTTTGTAACCATGTCATATCAATTTCCATACAATGTTGGGGGATATTCCTCAACGCCCACTACTCCACGTACAACATACCCATGGGAAGATCAGTGTCAGCAGCCTGAACAGCATCAAAATCAGCAACAGCAACAACAGCAAGATGTGTATAGTGCCAGTCCACCAGCAATCATTCAATTGCAAGAACAAGTACCAATAGTCCCTAGTCAGAATCCTGTTGGTCGTGAGGGTGAATCGCTGCGAATGCAGCATTCCGCATCAGCAATGATGTCGGCACATGGAAGGCCAGAAGGCCCTAGCGGGGACATGAGGCCTCTTATCCATGTTGACACGACGCGCTCTGTTCATGCGAGTTCCAGTCCACCTTCTGCAGGAGGGATGTCCGGACCTGGGCCTATAAGGGCAAGGGTATCGCCCACTCATACAGATGTGCGGCTGGTATCACATCCCTATATGCGCCCTCAAAGCGCAGGTGGGTCAGGAGGAGCGAATGTGAGACATCGCAGAGAGCATGAACATAATGTGAGGTTTACTGGTCAACCATCAACCCACGCGATGCCCGCTCCAGCCACGACCTCAGGACGAACAGCAAGCCGCGCGTCAGCTACAGGCTCTGCGAGGTGAGTAGACTTACGTTCTCACGAGCACGCAAAGCGTGTGGTTATGATCCACCTCGCAGCTCCTCGCTTATTAGCCCCTCATACCATCAAATACCACTCCCCGACAATCGCCCAAGTCGATTCATCATTCGGACAGATGTCCACTACAACTCGGAAACTAACACGTTGACGGCCATGCTGGAGTTGCCGGGTTTGAAGAAGACCGACCTGAGCATCGTTCTGTCTAGGTGTCCCTACAATCGCGTGAAACAAGTCGTTGTCTCGGGAAGATCAAGACCAGTCCTCCCCGATAATGGCTATGCTGTAAAAGAACGAAAGTTTGGCGACTTTACGCGAACATTGGTTGTGCCTTCGGAGACGAAGGTGAGTGGCGCCATCTTATGCCCGAGCTCAAGCAGATATGCTGAAAATTCCAACAGAAGGAGGACTTATCCGCTGAGATGCAGGATGGCATACTCACTATCAAAATTTCTTGCGGACCGACCGCAGAGTCAGAAGGATCCCAAGAGATCGCGATCCAATGAGTGACTTCAACTTCGTCCATGAATCTTCAAAACATCAAAATAATCTCGACACTTTCCAGATCTCCGGCAAGAGAACAATGATGCATGCTGAACTTACTCTCACTCACTGTTTTTGGTGCTTTCAGTAAATCCAAAATGTCTATAAACCAGCTCTATCACCCCGTCTATCACCTGTCTTGGCTTTTCTTATACCCTTCCTCTTGCGACTCCTCAAAGACATGTTGTCATACATCCAATTCACCAGTCAATCCTGGCCCACGGGTTTCTCTCCTCTTAGTAGTATTTCCGTACTTTTACAATATAAATATATATATACCAACAAAAGACATACAATTACATTATACAATCGCTCTTCTCTCTCCTGTAGCATATAGTTACCTTTATTTATTACCTAGCTAGTCTTCATCCACACCGCTTTGTAAACCCGAGCTTGATCCCAAACAAAAACGGTTTACTATGAGTCGCGTGTGATTCTGAGTCTGATGATTATGATTGAACCAGCAACGGATTGCGATGAGCTTCACGATTCTTCTTCTGGTCCTTGTTAAGCTTCTTCGACCATGTCCACCCAACGTAGATCGGAAAAGAGCCTTCGGGATAATATCCACTCGAGACCTCTGTTCCGCCCTTTCGCTCGCACATCCGGGGCTGCGCAAGAGGAGCCATGGAGTCTCGTTGTACTGTGGACTCCGCAAGCAAGCCATTGATAGCGGATTCATCTACGAACACAGGCGTTCGAGCATCTTCTGATAGATAGTGAACAGGCGTGATGTCGGAAAGATAAGGAGAAGGCTGGGAGACAACTGATATATCGACATCAAAACGATCATGTCGACTGAGGAATGGTTTTCCATCCATAACATAACCCTTCGACCGAGGAACCCAGTCGTCCTCATCGGGATCAATTTCTTCTAAAACTTCCTCACGCAGATTGAGAACCAGTAAGAGCTGGCTTTTCAGCCTTTGATAATAAGTCGCGAAGTCGGGAATTGCCTGATCGTCCACATGAAGTGGCAAAGAAATAGGCTCTGAAGATGTGGAGATGACAACGGAGTTTGCGATCTCATCCTCGGATGGAGTTGGGAATTTGACCTTTGACCTTTGAGAGAGGATGTGGTCCGTGTTCCACGCACCGAACAAGTCCCGGTCGAATTCAGCACGTAAATGATAGCGTAAATTTACGCCAGATTCATTCCCTGCCTTGCCGTACATTTCGAAAAGTTCAGATTCGAGGGTTTGGACACGCAGATCTTGTATGTCGATGAAAAGCTCGACTTCGGCTCTGTTTGCAAGACCGGTGCGATGAACCACAATGTTGACGTCTTGATCAAAGCCTGAGGTTTGGAATGAATGTACGTTAATAGGTTTGAGATATAGTGGAATATATTATTTACCTTGTACAAAGGTTCTCTTGGGAGGAAGGGTGACTTCTACGGTGAAGTTGCTCCGCATTGGGTCATTGCCATTTTGATCGCCGTAAAGGGGCGATTTGGATTTCTTAGCCGTCGTGTTTACTACCTCTGAAGCACCATCGACGCTGGGATACGCCGGTATGAATGAGGTGAAACCAGCCTGGATCTCTTGTACCGTTCCGTTACCAAAGTGAACCTCCGTGAAATATTCATATATGGATTGAACATCGACGACATCATTCTGAAATTAGTACGTTAGTGGTGGTCATTTTAAGAAGTGAATATATCACAAACCCCATCCCCGCCCACACTAAAGCTGTTTATATAGTCTAAACCAGGCGGATAGTTCGTGTTGGGGATAAGAAGACCAAATTCTTGTATGAGTTCAGAAATCTGTCCTGCTACAAGAAGGGTATCAGATACGAGATCATCAGATACCGTTCATTATACGCACCATCGCTGTACTGGGGTTGTTTCAGGACGTGTTTGACCTCGAAGGCAATCCTCTCTTCTTCATAAATTGTCCACACTGTGTCGTTAAGAAGGCGATCCTCCCAAATTTCTAGTTCAGTGTCATTGACAACTCCAATATCTGGACACAAAACACCACGAAGGGGCCCACTAAAAGGGCATTCCGACACCGGTCTAGGACGCTGCATTCCAGGTTGTCTACAAATCACAGATCAACAAAAGTCAGACATACAAATGCAGCGAGTAAGTAAATATGTTGAGACTTACAAAACCCTGAGAAACGCCCGCTCTTTAAAACGCAGTCCAAGTACGAGTTTCTCGACATCCGGGCAAAGCCCGTCAAGCCTCACCTTCACATCTCCTTGCAGCACATGTCCGGGAGTTAGATCTGGAGCTCTCACCCAAGGTCGAGCACGACAGTCTGCCACCTCTGGGGTGGAAGAATCGATAAGTTGGCTACTAGTCTTGGCAGTCCCAGCTGCCAGAAAAAAGAACAAAGGTAGGAGATTTAGCTTGTGCATGCTACTAGATGGTGTTCAGAGATGAGGTGCTCCGGTGCTCTTTTATAAACAACTGGCTTGTATCGGGATCAGGGATCAGCTGCGGTGTGCAGTACAACCACATGACACAGATGTTTGAGAAGTGCCTGTCAGTACGTACAGTAGATGTAATTGATGGATGACGACTGAGCTTCTTACGGTGAGGTCGTTGGCAACTTAAACTTCAAGTTGGCCATTCCAAGGAAGCATAACGAATCGGTGATAAAGCTGTATTTAGATTGTCCGCCAATTGGCTGCCAGGCGCGGCGACCTGAATACAAAAATTGGGTGTTACATTGATTCAACAAGCATCTCTCGGCTTCTTGATAAATTGAGCGTCAAACAAAGCGGTTTTGATCCTACTCACCGCCTCTGCTTGTATTTGAAGCCTTAGTAAGCTACACAATCTATTGTTTGGAAACCTTCGACAGATCCCTGAGGCTAGCAAACAGTTATAGCATGGTTTGGTACTATCTTGCTGTCGGTGTCCTGTGTGAAGTTTTGATCTACATAATAGACTGTACGTGTACTCCGAGGCCGCGGTACTGAGCAGATAGTGAGTATGCAGGCGCAATACATTGTTTACGTTAAGTCTGACTAACTTGGATAGGCTTTGGTGTCCCCACATGTAAACAAAGGCGGTGAGTGGAGCAAACTCAAACCAGGATGATGAAACTAGCTGTCAGTGTCAAAATCAATAAGTCACAGCCACTGCTAATAGCCTCCTATAAGTAGACCATATTGACAGGAATAGAGTTATTCCTGACCTTGTAACGCCAGCAACGTGTGGGTGGCGACAGGCAACCAAAGGATGAAGCACGATGAAACTGCAATTTACTAGGCATTACTGACATGCTATCTGTGATTAAGATCTGGTTCGAGCTGCCGCTGATTGCAAAACAATAGGCTGTCGGAGAGATAGCTGGGATTCAACAAGGCTTGTGAAATGTCCTGGTAATACATCCTGCAGTCTTTACTGCAACAAAATCCCTTGGCTCTTGTCCTGTGTATGCACGTTGAAGAAGCAGTGACCAGCCTCTCAAATCAAATTTCCACCACAGTATTGGGTAAGAAAAAGAATATATTGATGCAATTAAATGTTTACAGTGGATATACGACTACACATTACAATTATGAACCTATCGATATAAAATGCCAGGAAAATTGAAATGGATCTAGAAAGAACATCATAGGATTAGGTGAAAAGCATTCAAACACGCTGTCCATTGACACTCACCATTGTTTTACACGGTGCGTAGCTTAGGAGCCATGCTATTAGCAACGCCGTTGACACGGGACTTAGCCATGACTTTCTTTGGCTTTGCAGGTGGCGGAGGGATATTGGTCTATAAGGTTGATGTGTGAGATTAGAAAGAGGGATATTAAGTAGAAAATGAAAGGCAACTGACTGTGTAAGGAGCAAGCACTTCTTTCACCACTTCGGCAAGAACTTTCACATGTGCGGGCGTGAACATCGTATCGTGACGACCAGCCGCTACCTTCATATCCAAGTTTTTGATGCGGTAGTCCCAGCCATTGTGGTCATCAGCACCAGTATCAAAGTCGCTCGCATGTCCACTTCGGTACCATGAACGGTCTTTGGGCACCACGAGCGTCGTGGCTCCATCGTAATGCTCTGGCTCAAAATCAAACATCGAGTCCAAGTTCTTGCGAATCTCGGTTCTCAGCTTGGTCTTCCATCTCTCACCGATCTCGGGGAAGTTCTCGGAGATGCGGTCGATGGCGCGTTGTGTCCAGTCAGTTGACTTCAAGCTCTGACGCTCTATTGCAGGGATAAAGATCGGGTCGAACATGATCAAATGAGCAACTTCATCGCCGGCCCTCCTTAGCTTCGTTGCCATGCACAGTGCAACAGCCCCTCCATAAGAATACCCGCAAATCACGTACGGTCCCTGGGGTTGAACACTCTTCACAAGTGTGAGATAATGGTCGGCCATGGATTCAACAGTTCCAAAACCAGTGGCAGAACCAAAGTGACGGTCACCGATGGCGTACATTTCGTTTGGCATGAACGCGCCAAGACGCATGAACGGTGTAGCCATTCCGGTGATATCATGTACAATGAAGAGACGTGGATGTACCCCTTTCTTTTTGATGGGTAAGAATTCAATCAAGAAATCGCTGTCAGTGTCTTCCGCTTCCATAATCGCACGACTGTCTTGGCCCATTGCATCAACTACGAGGTTACCCAGCTCGCGGATGGTTGGTCTAATTCCATTCAATCAATATACAGTTCTATTGTCGAGAAATCTGGTTGACACACCTTAGATAAACATTGTTCAAGCCTATATGAACGTTAAATGTCTTAGATATAATACCAGCTGCTTGCACAGCCATCAGAGAATTTAAACCAGTCGCAAAGAGATCATGAGTTACGCCGAAGCTACTGGAATCCACTTTGAAAAGCCTGGAGAAGATAGACATGAGCTCTACCTCAACTTCTGATTGCGGTAAGCCCATCTCCTTTGAGAGAACTGTGGAGAACAATTTCAGATCCATTTGTTTGAGAGCATTTCGATCTGTCTTGCCACTGCGAGAGGTAGGAAGTTGAGGGAGGGCGGCAATGAGAGAGGGATACATGAAACGAGGAAGACGCTCTGAAACGAAGATTCTCAGCCCTTCTTTTTCTTCCTCTAGTTGCTCGTGAGCTTGCTGCTTGAATTCGACAAATGCAACTATAGCAGGAGTGTCCTGAACAGTGCGGATAACGACAGCGCCCCTGTGCACACCAGGATACTTGGCAATAACGTCTTCGATTTCTCCGAGCTCGATACGTTGTCCTCTCAGCTTGATCTGACGATCTTCCCGACCACAGTATTCAATGTTTCCATCGGAGCGATAAAGGGCAATATCCCCAGTCTTGTACAATCTGTCTCCCGAGACGAAGGGGCTCTCAATGAATGCTTTGGCTGTAAGTTCTGGTTGATTCAGATATCCTCGAGCCAACTGAACGCCGCCGATATAGAGCTCGCCTTCTACACCGATGGGGGTAGGTCGTAGTTGTTTATCGAGTATGTAGATGCGGTTGTTGGGTAGGGGCCGCCCGATGACGCCAGTGAGGGAGGAAGAGGTCACATGGCAAGAGATACAATCGACAGAAGCCTCTGTTGGACCATACATGTTCTTCAAGGTGACTCGACTCGACCAATCCTCAATCAACTTTTTCCCCAATGCCTCTCCTGCAACTACGATAGTTTCCAAAGTCGGGTAGTCCTCAACCGGAACGACGGCCAGAATGCTTGGTGTAACATGAAGGACGTTGATACGCAAAGATTTGATGGCTTTGGGAATATCACCAAGAACGAATTCCTTGCGGCCGGTAACCAGTGTAGCACCACGCGCAAGAGTACCAAAGACATCGACAACGAAAGGATCGAAAGTATAAGCAAGTGATGACATCACGCGAACATCCTGCCGGAATCCGTAGGCACTTGAGTGTTGTACCAAGTTCGAAATTGAACGATGCTCGATCATCACGCCTTTTGGTTTTCCCGTACTGCCGCTCGTGAACCTAAGCAGATATGTTAGTTAGACAAAATAGTAAGAGTTGGTGCAACGAACATGATGTACGCGAGACTTGATGGAGTCAAACCATCAACAGTAAGATTTCCTCCATCGAAGCGACTCAAACGCTTTTCATAGCTCGGATCATTGATGTAAGCAATCTAAGCCTAGATTAACGACTATATGGATTACATAGCGACTTTACTTACCAGGACTTTAGATGATAGACCCTTCTCGAACACACGTGAATGATTTGATGTAGTCAATAGAACTTTCGCCTTGCATTCTTCGATCATAAGTTCCTTGCGTAACGTGGGGTCGTCAGGGTCCAAAGGAACAAATGTACCACCAACTTTGAGCACGGCCAAAATTGCTAGAATTTGGTGGACGCCACGGTCAAAGCATAGCGCAATGACATCTCCATGACCGACACCTTGCTGAATAAGTGACCTCGCAATGCGATTAGCTTTCGTGTTTAACTCAGCATAAGTCAACGATTCGCCTTCGAACTCTATCGCAGGGGAGCGTGGTGTGGTTTCGGCCTGCTCCTCTACGAGTTTGTGGACAGTGGTCTCCCGCACGGAAACTTCGCTAGTAGATGCAAGCTCTTTCACGAGCCTTTCATGCTCACGATCACTAACTGCAGAGATATCCCCGACTTTGACGTGGGCGTCACGACCTAAAGTTTCGATGAGAGTGATATAAGCATTCAGGAATTGACGGGCTGCAGCCTCGGAATATAAGCGGTTGTCAAAGCGAAGGACCACATGACCAGTCTTGGGATGTACAGTGAGGAGCAACTCGTACTGTTCTTCGCCATTAGGGAGAGGCAGGATAGTCTTTGGCTTCAAATGATTTGACTCGAGCTGAGATATTGTTTCCATATTCATGCCACCTGGCGCAAAGAGGTGCTTGAAATAACCGCGTCCGTGGGAGGAGGCTTTGCCTTGAGCAACAATATCTTCATACGTTACTTCGTCGTTCGCTAGACATGCTATCAACGAGTCCTTGAATTTGGCCAAATATTCGAAGAAGCTCTCTTCCTCGTTGACGACAGTTTTGATGGGCAACATATTAGCGAAGAAGCCAATCACACTAGATAAAAGGGCGATATTGCGTTGGGTGACAGCAGTACCAACCACGAAAGAAGATTGAGAAGAGTATTTGTGGAGAAGTATGTTGTATGCTGCGAAGAAACCAGCAAAGGGCGTTGCACTTGCTGCGTTGACAACCATGTGATATTGTTTAAGGGCTCCAGTGCCAACCTTAGCTTCAATTTGAGTTATAGGCGCTAGTTCCCTGTCTGAGGGCGTAGCGAGTGTGAGATGAAGAGGTTGTATGTCTTGTAGATTATTAGCCCAGAACTGCAGCTGCTCATCTCGCAACTCGGCACGACGCTCGGACGTTTTGCCAAGCCAATCACTGAAATCGGAGTAGTGGAGACTGACGTCTGGGAGACTACCTGGGCCATTTAAGTACAGACCGAATAACTCGTAGAAGAACACGCCAAGTGAGGCTTCATCAATGATGATATGGTGAATGACAATATTGAATGCCCAGTCACCTCCACCGAGGTCAAACATGGTGGCAGTCAAGAGAGGCAACCGATCGAGTTTGAAGTTAGGCTCGTGGTTCATAGCTAAGCTCATTTCGTAAGCCTTAGCAGCGGCATCGGATTCGGAGGAGAGATCAACAAGCGACGCCTGGAATTCAACAGATGGGTAAATGGTCTGCTCTAGCTTTCCGAGTGCTTCATTCCAAGTGAATGCAGTTCGCAGAGCACCGTGGCGTTGTACGACTTCCTGGAAGGCATCTGTCATTCGATCGACGTCGATGGACGTTTCAGAATGTATAGTGACAAAATAGCCTTCATGCGTGTCCCATTGCGTTGCACCGTAGCGTGACATGTTTGAGTCAATCTTGCTCGCTGCTCGCTTCCGAGCGTTATCGTATTCACGCTAGAAAATGGAAATAAGTCATACAATTGTGATTCACATAAAAACATGAACCCACCTGAGCAAGCCAAATCCTGTATTGATGAGGGGACGCATCGGTGGTATATGGTTCGTCATAGGCAAGGCGGTCGTTTAGGATAGGAACCAGGGGCTCGCCATATTTGGCAGAGCCGTCGTCTTGAGCGTGTCCAGAATCATCTCCACTACTCTGCGATCCCCGTTTGGCAACCATCGTGTTTAGTCCACTAATCGTCATGGAACCGAGCAACTCAATCTGGCTGACTTGGATGCTGAAGCGGGCTTTGAGCTGGTTGCTGTAACGAGTAGCTAGTAATCGGACAAGGAAGATTAGTGAGAGTATAAGTTAAGAGTACGGTTACACCTACCTCCTAGTGAGTCCAATCCAAAGCTAGTGATCAGCGCATTGTCGGTAATCTGTTCTGCATCCATGCTCAAGAGAGTAGCCAGCAACGTAGCAGGCGTCTCTGCTACATTTCCATCTTTGCCTCCTCCAGCATTGGAGACAAGGTACCTGGTTGGTAACAGGTGCCTGTAGAGTAAGGGCTCACAAGCAGAGAACGTATCAGGAACATCACCGATGGCCAACATTGGAACGTAGTGTGTAATGCGTCGAATCAAAGAATCGCCAATGAAGTTGCACACTTGAGCAGTGGTCATACCAGTCTTCGATAATGCAGCTGTGTTTGCACGGCCCTTGGTAGCAAGAACAAGACGCTTAAAGATACCAGAGTCTGTGATAGGAGGGAACGACATGGAGATGGTATTAGGGATCAGGTCAGCAATACGGTCAAGGTAACTAAAAGTCTCGTGATTAGCGAAGCATACGAAGAGATGGCTGAATAGACTCACAGTTGGGATGCACAGTATGCAGCCTGTCCTGCGTTGCCAAAGACAGATCCAATCGTAGAGAAAAGGAGCAGGAAATCCAAAGAGGCTGGATTTACGCAACTCAAAAGAGTGGTAAGCACGTCCACCTTGGACTGATAGACATCGTCGAAAGATTGTTGTGTCAAATTAGTAAATTTGGCATCACGGAGAACGACTGTCATCAAGAAAATGCCGCCAATGGTTCCAGCTTTCTCCGCAGCCTCGATTACAGCAGCTGTATGTTGTTTGTTGATAGCATCGGATGCAATAACTTCGATTTGGATGCCCAACTGACGGAGGTAATGGATGTATAAGTTGTCTACTTTTGTGAGACCTTTAGGTCCACGACGACTGGTGAGAAAGATACGACGTGCTCCATGAAGCACCATCCATTCCGTGAGGCGCACACCAAGTTCACTGGAGCCACCAATAAGGATATAGCTCTTGCGTGGGTCAAACAGCTGACCAGTAGGGTCAATGCGTACTGGTTCAGTCTGCCCGGGAATGAGGACCAAGGAATCAAAGTTTGTTCCCTTTTCCACATCGCGCGCATTTGCCATGGAAATGGTTCGTGAACGTAATTTGAAGGCACGAGAAGTATGTGCGACGAGGATAGCAGAGACCATAGGAACAAGGTCACGTGGAGAAGCCTCTGCAAGTTTGCGCAAGTCAAGGATGTGAGTAGACCGCGCCCCGGATGGTGGCATCACTGCATCTTGACTACTACGTTGGACATGTACATAGCAGCCGAAAACGGATAAGGCGTCGACTCCTATTCCAAAGACTGGACTGCCTTGGGAATTGAAGGCTACATCGAACGCCGCGATGCCGTTTTTGCGTAACCACGCAGGAGCAGCAACCGAAAAGTCGTCGATAATGATGATAGAATCTTCCGGTATACCGAGTCCTGAAGAGAGATAGCTTGCCTCTGTCGCAGAAGAAACAGTACACAGTAACTTTCCGCCAAAGCGCTGACAGAGTTGCACGGCACTGTAACCAACGCCTAGAATGTGACAATTAATGCGCAAAAGAGATGGCTGCTACAGTCGCAACTTACTGCTAATGGCGTCATGAATGAGGACATTGCAAGACGGAGATATCCTGGCAAATTGAAAGAGACCTGCCCACGCCGCTAGGAACGCGGAAGGCAGCGCGGCTGCCTCTTCCGCGGTGACACCAACTGGAAGCTGAACAACCGCGTCCTCATCCGCAATCATGATATTAACAGGTGTATGACGAGATACTCCAACAACCTAGAATAGATAATGCCTCATATAAGTGAGGTGGAATCATGACGCGACTTGATAGTTTACCTTGGTGCTAGCGCTGAAGGCCGTCACGGACGAGCCTACAGTCTTTATAGAGCCAACGAATGTAATAGACGATTCCTCGGTTGATATGTTTTCCATTCCTAGAGCATCAATTTGGACCTCTACTTGTCTATCTCCAAGACTGGGAGGAAAGTGTGCCGCAACCGTCGTGACGGTACCTGAGTGAGTGGATAATCCGAGTGCAGGGATAATTGCATCCTTGACCGCCATAGAACCATTGACAAGCCTACGAACGAACACTTCACCATTGCGAGATATTTTCATATGCTGTTCCAACAAAAGCGAGTTGCGACGCAAGTCATGAATGACTTTCTCCCGTGCTCCTGTCGCTAACGAGTGGTCCTCAAATAGTACTGAACGAACGACAAATTCCGGAGATTCGGCTATTAAACAAGAAGCGATGCCCAATGCACCAATGCCAGCAGGATCGTCGGCCCCAGTAATCCAAAGTTCGGAGTCAGCTCCGACATTCTTAGCGATTTCTACAAGCTCTCCCTCTTGGCCGTGTATGAATGGGTGGACGATGACGCTCTTAAAAGGACTGGTAGGAATTGATATAGTAGATTGAGAAACGCGAACTACAAGGAGGGCACGGCCATCAGTTAATTGAGACACCTGGATGTCAACGCCAGAAACTGCGCGAAGCTGCTCAGTCAATGCAATGAGCGTCATTCGCTGATAGTCCGTGTCTTTCAAAACAGCCTTCGAATCTATAACCCATCCATCAGAAGGACTTTTCTAACATGCCATTAACATACTCACCAGAAACTGATAGGAGGATGATTCCAGAAGGTACCAAGAAGTTTGTCAAACGAGCAATATCAACAGGAACTGCCGAAAGGTCTACGGATCGCAGGACGAGATCAAAGCTACGTGCCGCTCAGCGATAAATGTGATATGATTTGAAGTTTACGCTTACCTGGCAAAGGAAGTAGTAGCCACATCATCCTTGAGAATCCATGAGTCGACTATCAGGGATCGTGTATGTGAGTAGCTCATTTCAGATGTCTTTGCGTCGGCTTCCTCAGAAGAACCAGCACCACAGAAATACTCGACGAGAACATGGTTTATATCCAAGAGTGAAGACAATGAAACATCCAGACTTTTTGCAATGGCAGACGTGGAGTCCAAGTCTAACACCCGTACCACTTTGCGACCTGCGGTAGCAGCGTTCTTGACAATGGTATCGAACGTGGAAGGCAGTGAACCACCAGAAGGAACAGAAAGCGATGTCGAAGGGAATGCCTTTGATTGCCAGATAGTGGTCAAACGCTCATCGACACTGTTATCAGTAATGGCGATAGGCTCAGCATCTGGCGCACGGGCAATCTCGAAGCCCTCGATCGTGAATAAAACGCGACCTTCAGAATTGCAGATAATATAGTCGGATTTGAAGGGTCCAGCAGGCGCCCAAGTACGTCCTGTAAAGTAAGTCCATATACCCTTCTTGATCTCCGAGTCCAGATCAGGTGCATCGTAGCTATCCCATCGACGCAGAGCATCAATCTTAACAGGCAAGAAAACACCATTAAAGTCGAAGAGCTTGGTTTCCATGTTAATAAACATAGCCAGACCACATTGAGTGATACTGTCGAGAATACCAGGGTGGATGACATATCCTTTACCAAAGACATCTGGTGTCCCTTCTGGTACTTCGAGTCGCGTTAGATAGGCTTTGCCACCCCAACTGCTCTCGTCTGCGATTTCATGCACAACTTTGAGATAGTTTTTGAAGTGATCTTGGTATCGGTACGCAGAAGGTATAGCATCATAAAATTCGTCTCCAGTAACCGATCCTTGAGAACGAGCGAGCTTGGATTGAACATCGAACATGCGAGGGACATTCCCATCAAAAGCAGGATTAACACGAGAGAAAGAACCGCTGGCATAGACGGAATCCAAGACGATATCACCATTGACGAAGTCGTTGTTAGTCGAAGCGCGGAATTGCCACTTATCGCCATCAATGACACAACCAGCATGAGCAGGAAGATTATCGTGGCCATTCAGAACGAGAGGTTTGTGGATGGCGATATTGGATGCAACCATGGCACCATTCTCAAGAATGCTCTCAACGTATCTATAAATTTGATCAGTACATAAATGATAGCGAACTAGATATATGACATACCCAGACGCGGGAAAAAGGACTGCATCGAAGACGACGTGGCCTGTCAGATCAGGGTGACTGTCAACATTGAGGCGGAAATGAGCAGAAGCGACAGGTCGTGGTTTCTCTCGGAGACGCCTGGATTGGTCGGACGCAGACTCCGCCCAACAATGAGATTTGTTGTAAGGGTACTCTGGCAAAACCGCCTTGACAAAGTCAGTCTGACCATCAGAGGATGCATACAGTCTATCGAAGTCGACTCTCTTAAATCCAGAGACGAGCATATTTCCGATGCCCTCGAGGAATTGATAGTGTTCGCCAGTGTTCTGTGCAGGAACTTTAGGGTTAGGACGGCGAATCAAGGTGATAGGTTCACCCCCGCACTGCTCAATATAAGCCTTCAGTACTGGATGAGGGGCAATTTCAAGGAACAATAGCCCCTCTGAGCTTTCATCGTTGATGAGCTTGTTGATGGCAGTACCGAACAAAACGGGGCGACGAATGTTATCCCAGCAATAATCGATGTCGAGGTCGCGATCCAACCACTTTCCATCAGCTGTGGACATAACCCGAGCGACAGGCTTCTTTGTACCTTTCCCAAGAGGCTCCTGCATAAGTGACTTGAATAGCTCTTCCTGGGGCTCCATGAGAGGAGTATGGAATGCACATCCAACACGTAGTTTAGCTGCGAAAACCTTGGCCTCTGGATCGTTCGCGAGCTCGACCATGGCATCGATGAGCTCATGAGTACCTGCAACAGTGACGGCCTGAGGAGAGTTGATCCCGGCGATCCATAAACCACTGGCTGCATTTGCCTTGGCAAGGACCTTTCGCATCATATTCTTTGCTTTCTGCACGCCTACGCCAAGGGCAACCATGGCCCCGTTACCTTCTGCCTTTGTCATAGCAGCTGAACGAGCAACTGCGATACCCACTGCCATCTCGCGATCATAATGACCAGATGCGTAACCCATGGCAATTTCACCAATGCTATCGCAGAACGCATTAGTGAGCATAGATTTGTTTTAGCAGAAAATCACATTACCTGTGGCCCACGACGAACTCGTATTGAATTCCCAGGCTCCTAATCAAGTCGACGAGAGCAATTTGTATGAAGACGAGAGACAGGACGACTTCTCGCACGGGCCACACGCCATTAGCAGCAAGTTTGGTTTCCACACCAGGAATGAAGAGGCCAGTACGCTCTAGCATCGATTCCTGCTTGTATTTGTGCACAAGGATACTATCGTTTAGCTGAATGGCTTCCAAGAATGCCGGGTAACTCTCAGCTAGTTGACGACCCATGAATATGTGCTGAGGACCTTGTCCAGAGAAAACTAGACAAAGTTTTGGACTGGAGTTGCTATTGGTAAGCACAGGCTTGGAGAACTTGGTGTTGTCAGTGAGCGTCGGTGCAACAGCAAAAGAACGTGCAGGGTAAGCTCGGGTTTGACGAGCGAGGGAGCGGGTGAGGGAACGAAGGGTCTTGTCATCAGTAACATTGCCAAAAGAGCTGATGAGAGTGTCTTTCCAACGAGCGAGAGCTGGTTCGGTCAGCGAACCGATTGAGAATAGGTGGAGAGACTTCTCGCTAGAAGTAGAGGATGTTACAGTTTTAGAGACGTCATTTGCAGTCTCGAAAGTCTCCATAACAATGTGGGCATTCGATCCCCCAACTCCATATGATGAAATGGAAGTGACCCATTTTCCATCTTTGGCGGCCAATTCCGGCGTAATACTCTCAAGCTACATGGACATCATGATCAAACTCACATATGATTATATAGAACGTTGAAAATTTACCTCAGTCTGTACTTTCATCTTCAAAGTATTAAAATCGATCTTGGGATTAGCTTTGGTGAAACGGATGTTGGGTATGATCTCCTTGTGGTGCAACATCAAGGAGACCTTCACTAGACTAGCGAGGAAACTGCATCCTTCTGCGTGACCAATGTTACTTTTGACACTCCCGACCCTGCAAGAGCACGATATAGACGAGATCAAGATGAAGAAAACAACAGCGTTGACATACCTCAAAATTCTATCATCTGCACGGCCTTTGGAAAACACTTTCCCAGCAGCATTGGTTTCGATTGGATCACCTACCTTTGTTCCAGTTGCGTGCAACTCGACATAAAATGCCTCAGCGGGGTCTCGCTGTGCTGTCTTGTACGCCTCCTTGATCGTCTCTGCTTGCATCGCACCCTCTGGCATCGTCAAACTCTTGCCCTTTCCATTAGCATTGATAGCACTCCCAGTAAGGACTGAGTAAACTGAATCTCCATCCCGAACGGCAGAGTCAAGTCGCTTAATGAGCACGGCGGCAATGCCCTCCGCTCTGTGAGAAGCCGAAGATGTCAAAAATTACTCGAGATATCACAACAATTGAAATACCTGGCGTAGCCATCTGCAGATGCATCAAAAGATTTAGACGAGCCAGTCGGCGATAAGACTCCTAACTTAGAGAAAGACACAGTGTGCTCCGGGTTAATGATTGTGTTGGCGCCTAAATATAGCTTCAGAACTTGAAATGTCGTGTGACATTCATTTGAATACGTACCAACCACCAGAGCTTGATCACACTCGCCAAGTTTTATGGAACACAGAGCAAGATGCATTGCGGTAGCAGAAGCCGAACAAGCTGCAAATCGATGTCAATAAGGTGACGATGCGTATATGCCAAATCAAAAATACACACCAGTGTCAACGGTCAAGGAAGGACCACGCAAATCGAATGTGAAAGAGATGCGATTTGCTCTAATGGATACACAACGCCCAACGCCGTTGTAATTGTTAATTTCATAACGATCATCGTCGAGCTCATCTGTAGTAGTTAAGAGATTTCCAAAAAAAACACCTGTCTTCGAACCCCGATAATCGATACCAGAATCTTTTAAAGCCTAGAAGGTCATGCGTTGATTATCCAGCACTGTCATCAACATAGGAATACAATACGAACAGCATGAGCAGCTTCTAGAGTAAGACGGATGGCGGGATCGAAATGAGCAGCCTCCTTGGCAGAAATACCAAATTCGAGGTGATCAAATTGGTCAATACCAGAAATGAAACCAGCTTTTGTAGCATGGTATTTTCCAGGTTCGTCTTTGCCGCCTGCATTTACAGAAGAGAGTGTTAAAAACGAGCATATAGGCATCATGGGAGAGAACCACTAACCGAACCACTCTGAATGAATCCAGCGATCTGACGGAGGTTCCACCATTCCATCACCCTAGAACAGATGTGACCAAATGAGATGAAGCTATTCTCGGCGAAATAAAACCCACTTTGTTCTTCAAGAACTCATAGAAAAGTTCCTTGTTGTCAGACCCTCCAGGGAACTTGCAGCCAATGCCGACGACGGCAACTGGCACTTCGGCAGACATTGTTGAGCGCCTGGTCAAGTGCTTTAATATACAGAGCGTTGAAAGCCAATGGTTAGTCTTTAGGGATGGGAAATGCGCAACAAGCTGTTATAGTCAGAATTCCAGAGATTATGAGAAGTCAGCCAGTGATGATTTGAGGAAAACAATGAGCTGTATAATGGTGACGTGGTAAGGTGCAAATGGGAAGACGAGTACCAAGGGAAATATACGAGAGGTCAAGTCTGAAGAAGTGCAAAGCACGATAAGAAAACTATTAAGTAGCAAGTACCAAGCATGACAACAGATATACAGTCAGGGACCAGGGGATCTCGCCATCAGGTCACGGTTAGACCTCTGGAACGGTTACTGAATTTTCCATTCATAGAAAGCTGGACATGTGTCCCTGTAAAGCCGATGCTGTGCTGTTCTATGAATTGACAGGAACAATTACAAGGATTTTTCCATGAACGAGCAAGCCTAGAACGTTCAGACTGCCAAGCTGTAGGCTGTTGCCGTAAAACTGCAAGAAACCGCAAGAGAAAATAGTGATAGACGAACTTGTCATTCAGTTTGTAGGCCTCTACGCGATATGTTTTCGGCGTTCCTGTTCGACATTCCACGTCACAATGGACCAAACGTTCAAAAGTTTGGAGGCTTCACTCAGAGCACGGCGCGGAACAGAGCTCCGGTAAATAGACTGTGGGAATTACCCACCATTTCGGCGCCTTCCTTTTTTTGGTAAAAGTTTGATAACTGGCGCTGCACTGCAACAAAAGTGAAAGACATCCTGTTCGGTCGTCACTCTTCCCTATCACTGGACTTCCTCAGCTACAGTACATCTACCAACACAAATAGCTTCCCTACCAATATCGTCCAGTGCTGTCCATAAACTTACTTACATTCGCCTCCAGTACAACGCTCATGAAAGCTCACAGTATGATAAGTATGAGAAGAATGATGAACCGTTTCAAGCTATGATCATCGGCTACGGAGACATGGTTTCGCCTGTAGATCCCCGAAAAACGAGGTGGTCTCTTTGATCATTTGATGGACCGCCTTTTCAGAGCAAGACAGGTACAGGGATAATGCCTTCAGGTACCGTGCCCAGACTGCCCAGTACGTCAAATAAAACGACACCGTTTGATCGCTCAGCCATTTCCTGTGCCTCAATACGGAGAGAGATCTGCATATGTGCCGTGCCTTTCAGAGCTCAGGCCGATCATAAGCTATGTGTGCACTGTGCATTCCCCCATTATCATGCGGGGCAGTACCCCTGAATCCAACCACTTTGCTTGTAAGAAGTTAAGCTTGTCTCTTGCGGCCACTGGTAATATCTTGACATCCAGACATTACTCAAGGCAAGTGACGTGCACCTCGTGCTTAGGTTAAGCAACTGTTGAAGAGCACTCTGTATGTTTCAGTGTTGCCATCACCGTGTCACAAGCCTGTGCTTGACCGTGAATTATGATCCGTGATTCGGAGTGATTGCGGCGAACGTTCGACGTTCACCTTTCTACTGGGCTGCCTGCACATCGAGTAAGTGGCGCACCGCAGATAAAATTTCACTTTTATCCAGCTGACCAATATGCTGCTGGTAGATGTTGATCCGCCGACAACTTCAAGAACTTTTCACGGGGTACGTAGCAAGTCAGCCCAAACGCAAAGCAAATCGGGTTCAACACACGTATCAGAAACTTGTGAACCGGTGTAGGTGTACAGCGTTTCTCACTTTGATAGGCTTAACGATGATCGACATCCACGGTCTGACATCCCCAAATGATCGGTGCTTTCGAGAACTAAGTTTAGATGAGACTCGCCGGACCTCAATCTCACATTCGTACTCTCGACGGCGCTCATTTCTATCTCGCGTATAGGCTCGGCTGAGAGATTGAACTGAAGGTCTTTCTCGTGCGTACAGTCTTTGCTAAGCTTCACAAGTCGAGTATTGGAAGCATACTGATGACCCCTGGTACGCCTCCCTCAAGTTCGCGTATCAGATTCACATGCCAACGCACTAACACTTGTGTGAGCAGCGCAGAATCTAAACCTTGACAGTTCTGCTATCTCGAAAATCACATCGTTGATGGATTTTCGAAGTTTGTGTTTTGGTAAGTACCATGCTTCTGATAATCTACAAACATATTAGGTACCATCACGACAAACGTCATGACATAGTGCCTGTCTGCAAGCAGATGACAGTGTTCAAGGTTCAAGGTTCAACATACATACCTTTTTAACGTTTAGCGTTTGAATTCAGGATTCTAAGTCTCAGGCGCACTCGCAAGTTGTATTACTACGACTACAGTTCCCTTTCATTCATTATTTACTATCATTCCAGGGGTCCAAACATTGAAGGGCTTGTCGTTCACATAATTGCACAGTTTTGGTAGCAAACAATCAAAGTAGCAGAGTGAGTAGAGACCACTGTTACCACCTGCCATCTATCCACCTAATCTCCATATATCTCAGCACCGCGTATACAACTATGGTGAGTACAAAACTCGTGTAAAGCCCTATATCGCCCGTGCCAGCCCTTGCGATGGGGCCTTCATACCATGCTTGCTTCATGCACGGTATAACGATGCCGATTCCACATAGAAATGAGACGACCGCGGCGATGCCCGTGGGTAGACGTGAGGGAATGTCCCATTCAGACACGTTGTATGTGGAGAAAGAGCTACGACGGAATATGACATGCTCAGTGCAGACGATAGCAAAATATATGATCGTCCAATAGCCGATGATGCCTGAGTACATGTGATCATGAAAAAGACTGGTAAGCACGAGAAGAGGAGTACCCACTGATGACATCAACAAAAGTTGTGTAAAATTTGTTTGCGCCAACAATTGCAACGGGTATTAGACTAGAGCGTGGTAGTTGAGAAAATGGCCCATGATACGACGATAAGAATAGAGCTGCTCACATTGCTTCTGAAATGAAGACATACACCCATTGAGGCAGGCGAGCAAACAAGGGAGAGACTGTCATGAAACTTGTCGCAAAAGTATACATCGTGATGGCGCAAGCAGTCGAGCTGAACAACGAGACGACGACGGTCATGAACGCCCCGAACCCGCCAGCTGGAGACAAGGTAGCGTATATAAGGCCTCCGACGTTATTTCCATTTCCAAATGCCTCTTGCCAGGCTGGCACGAATGCTGCTCCTGCGGCAAAAGCAGCCCCAATGATGTGACCAGTCAGCTAAAATGTAATATAATGTAGTCAACCGACTGCCATTCACATAATATGAAATCTTACACTAGGGACTAGGAATCCGAGGTAGGAGTACATGAACAACCTGAACCTGGCAGTAGAATACGATAAGTGAGACTGATATGAGGGGAGGAAGAGCAGATGGGATAACCTACGCAGAAGCATCTGGGCTGTGGAAAACACCATAGTCGGCCGTCATCGTGCACCAACTTAAGATGCTAGATGCTATGGTTGATGCGAAGGAAATCACAGTCGCAGGGCTTGGTCGAGGTGCTTGATAAGATTGCACTTGGATTAGTGTCTTGCCGTTTAACCCTAACATCAAAATGAACGCGATTACGCTTGGGATCCATGCAATGCTTTCGAATCTGAGGGATAGATTAACAATAGTGTCAGTTAAAGTTTATATGAGATGTCACTAACAGATGTAGAACTCGATATCCAAAAAAGACAACCTACAATGTGACATTCAATTCGACAACTTTCTTGGTAAGGGATTGTACGCACCGCGAGTGAAATGATGCTAATAATCACAATGCCGAGTGTATCATCCAGGCGAGACGACACACTGGCCAACGTCTGGCCGCCAATTATACAGTTTAGGATTAAAAACCCGATCATTGAGAATACGTTCAGCACGCTTGGCAAGATTGCACCATAGTAACTGTTCATGATATCAGTTATGCAACTCGCATATATGTGATTTTATTAGTACGTGCCCCCAGGAGAAACGCGAAAGCACCATAGATCGCGTCCCTAGCTTCGGACCGAAGACTGCCCTGATCAAAGCTCGTTAAACATGCTATGTATGTTGGAGAAACTGTTGGCATACATATATGCTGGAACAATGCAACAACTGGTAAGAAAGACCATTTAAGTGTGGGCGCAATGATGTGGGCTTTGGGGCTCACATGCAGTCGACAACGATAAGGATTATGACGGAATCTACCAGTCCAAGGGAGAAAAAAGCGGGCCCTGACGAGCCTGTGCTGAATCTGTACATTCATCGTTACGAACTGCGATACAGACTTCTCCAAATTAAAGTACGCACGCCAATATATTCATATTCGCGGAGAACCATACGAAAAACATCTGATACCATCTTCTATCAGTTCGTTCCTCCAGTGGAACTGGTGCGATTCTGACATAACATCAAGGATCATAATTCGCCCGAAAGTTTTTTTATATTAGCATTGCACTCACCCTTGCATTTCGACACCCCAGGTGGCTAGTTTGAGTATTACTAGCTGGAAAAAGCCACTAGGTTTTTGCGCTGGTACCTCCAAAAATTCCTTGCTAGCGTTCATCTCAACATCATCAGTCACTGAAGGTTCACGACCTTTCAAATCACCCTCCCGGTCTCTCTCATCGTGATTTGATCGGCCATCGTTAGGTGGGCGTTGTGCTGCCTCAAAGCCAGCGACCGAATCCATATCGTCTACGTCGTGGAGCTCGTTATAATATTGCAAGGATAAGGTCGTATAAGATCAAAGTTCACGGAGCAAGGCCGCTGATAAGGGCAAACAAAACTCCAAAGATAGCCCTCCGTCAGAGTTTTTATACCAGAACCGTTTCCTTGGAACAGGTCCAGGTCACTGAGGAAGAGGAAACTGCAAAGCTCGTTTAACACACTATGGAGCGCTACAACCCAAAAACTGTCGAAAACTCCGAGTCCAAAAGTGCACATGTTGACATTATTCGGTTACTGTTCCGATGCCGCTGGCCCCATATTCGGTTTGTAACAGGCGAGATCACGACAGCGAAACATTCAGTCCTCCAGCGGAAGCATTTTTGTTTGCCATTTGGTCGGATTGCCGCTTGAGTCGGGATTGCCAGAAAAATGCAGATAGCAATAGGAATATGGATTATAAATTGGCTGTAGCATAACCTTGATAGTAGAGATAGAGAGATAGCGTATCACCAGGAGAACAGCGGTGCTTTTACTACTATTCCAGCGTCTGATAAATGCTTGGTGGGACGAGAACATGATGCGGGGAGCAAAGGACGTCGGCGTGACCCGAGACAATTGAACACCGTGACCAATTTGGACCCTTTATCTTATGTTCCCTGTAATCGCCCCAACAGCACACCATTCTCGCGCTTATCTGGATACCATACTGCATGCATTGTCGAGACATAGTGCATGATACAAATACTAGGGTAACAGTATAATGACTCTCAGATGACTGCAATCATATATCCAGTCGAAGCATTGTGTATCGAAGACACCTCCGGGTCTTTTCTCTTAGGTCGGGTATACATCTCCTACAGAATCTATTAAAGGAACCATGATAGCGTGTGGTGATTCAAGTCACATTACCACCGCCGAGGAATACGGTGGGTATACCGTGTGTTATATCATTCGCCTCGGTATGATAAATAGCTGGGGATCCCTATCCGTAGGTGTTATCATCTCTTTGGCGCCACGTCTTGAGCATGTCCACCACTATCAAGGAAGAGGATATCATCGGCACCGACAGTGATGGTTCTGGTTCTCAAAGAGTAGAGATCTTTGAGCGTCCCACTGGACTGAAAGGTTTCTACTATCATCCAAAGACGCAAGATGTCATGCTTGGATTTGTTTGTTTCTTGTGTCCTGGAATGTTCAATGCCCTCACTGGGTTAGGTGGTGGTGGCCAAATCAACCCCACGGCTTCGGCCAACGCCAACTCTGCCCTTTATTCGACATATGCGTTCTTTGGCTTTTTTGCTGGGTACGCCAACTGTTACAAACTTACTTACTTTACACCGAGCACTCAAGGCCACTTTATAAAGCTCTATCTGCAACAAGGTTGGTATACAACGCACTCTCTTCTTAGGTACTCTTGGCTACGCATTATATGTAGGGTCATATCTGTGAGCACTCCTTGGCTCGCGAAAGCACAGACAGTGATGGAACTTTGATTGGTCAGTGCAGTAAACATTCACCCTGGCGCAGGGAACTTTGTGGTTGCATCGGGTGCGATTTTGGGTGTCACCGCTGCTCTACTGTGGAGTGCTCAGGGTGCAATAATGATGGGCTACCCAACCGAATCACAGAAAGGACAGTTTGTTGGGATCTTCTGGGCTATCTTTAACCTTGGCGCTGTCGTTGGTTCTGCTGTCTCACTTGGCCAAAATTTCAAGTCAACGGTTGGTAAAAAGTACTTGACGCAGACATACTAAATGCTAATGGTGTGCGTGCAGACCAATAGTGGTATGACATAAATCATTTTCCCCACTTATTTCATCTCATGCTGACGTCTTCATGTTGCTTTGCCAGTCGGGAATGGCACATACGTTGGTTTTCATGTGCAAACTTGATTATCCGTCCTAGGCTTACTCTGCCAACTTGTAGATCGGATTTCTTATATTGACTATAATCGGAATGACAGTTCCCTTTTTGATGGTCAATCCAGACAAAATGATCCGCACAGACGGTACCAAGGTCACCACTGTTCGTCATCCCTCCTGGAAAACCGAAATATATGCTCTCTGGCTGGCAATCAAGACCGATCCCTTGATACTCCTTCTATTTCCAATGTTCTTTGCGAGCAACTACTTCTATACATGGCGTGAGTGTTTTAGCTATTGCCAGCGTTATCACACAGCTATTGATTTTAACACTCTTGTAGAGTTCAATGACTACAACTCTGCACTGTTCAATATCCGAACACGGGCGTTAAACAACTTCGTGTACTGGCTATCACAGATCTTTGGATCCATCGCTATTGGTTTACTTTTAGATCAAAAACAGTTCGGCAGGCGTGTTCGCGCTTTCATGGGTTGGACCGTGCTGCTCGTCATGGCTTTTGTCGTCCACATTTGGGCTTACTTCTATCAGAGGTATGCCAGCCCATTCAAAAATCCTTTCTGACGTAGCAAAGTCTCATACCTCTTCCAAGGAACTATACACGCCAATCTATTCCAAACGATGCACAGAAAATGGACTTCAATGCTAGTGCATATCCCGCTCACGTCTGGCTCATGATATTTTACGGGCTATTTGACGCCATGTGGCAAACGACGATAAACTGGCTTATAGGAGCCATGTCTAATGATCCTGCCAAACTTGCCATCTACTCTGGTTTCTGTGAGTTTTTATCATTGCCCCTAGTGATGGCAGTATCTGACCTGACAACGATAGACCACTCTATTCAGTCAGCCGGTGCAGCGGGCGTTTGGCGTGAAGATGGCGTGGCGTTGCCGTATGCTATCTCTCGTACCTGATCTAGCTGGATGTTGACACTTGCATTTCCCAGTTACATGAACATCTTCCTTTCAACGTGGTGCATCGTCGCCGCCGGTCTCATTTTTGCATTCCCCATGATTTACCTCCGAGTCAGGGACCACACGGAGCTGTCAGACGAGGCACTGTAAGCTTGGGAACCACATGGACTATGTCAGCGTTCTGGCTAACATTGTTTTGTCCCCCAGAGCTCAGATAGAGCCGCGAGCCGAGGAGAAAGGAAATGAGATAGGAGCTTAGGGTATATCATTCGAAGTTTCAGGGCTGTTCTATAGACGCCTGGTAGCTCCGCGTCCCACTCTCTTGGATTTGATTTAATCTTTGCTCTTTTTCGCGCGTTCTCAGCGGCAGAACACTATTTGACTCATGGCCGCGCCAATACCATCCCTATCTCTGGCCACGGACCGTATAAAGTGTTTTCTCGTTAGGATATGTAATGATATACCGTATGGCGTCGCCCAACCGAGCACATTCAGTGTCGTACTAGTATTCTATGAGGTGTAAGGAGGCCTCATGTTATCAATTTCACCTTATTTTCTGGCACGAGACCTAGTCTGACCCAGGCAGTACTGCCTTGTGATGACAGCCCTGGGAATCTTTTCAGTGAGCTGCAAGCTAAGAGAAGAGCAGAAGTTGATGGAGTCAGGAGATGCCGTTGCGGAGTGGCTGTGCTAACGCATTGGCCGCCATTGGTGTAGAGAAGGCTAGCTACTTATTTAGTTACTAACTCAGTTAACTCAGTACACGGTATAATCTCAATGAATCTCACTGGCCCTCATGCTCCAGCGCGATGCATCTCCGGAGCACGAACCAGAACCGTGTTCGAGGATGATCGGGTCACGAACCTGATATGGGCCGCAGTTTTCCCCCACAGGAACACAGCTCAAACCATGAATGGTTATCTGCGTTTTGTAGATAAGCCAAAAATGCGGAAGTCTACGCTAAGTTTTGAACGTTAGGTTCAATACTTCAATGATTCGTCAACGCAATAGTTACAGGGGAAAGCTTTGACGACCGCAGATGGGGCCGAGCAGAAACGTGATGCAATATATATCGTACAAAGATGAAAGTCTGGGAGAATGTGAATTCGTGAAATGGCATAAACACATTAAGCTGGTTTGATGTCAAGAACTTCAGCCTTACGCTCACTGTATCGCCATAAGAATCATGACCGTTGACATACTGATAGGAGTAGGTGCTTACTATATCTGATCATCATCTTCAGAGCTATCTCTAACACGCATATAAACCATGGGCAGAGCAATCACGAGGCCTGCAGCGGTAAGAGCCCACGTAGAGGCGAAGATATTCATGAATCTATAGCGTGAAAAAAGAGTTCAGGGGGTAACGTCACATAACAATATCAATGCAATACATACGGCAGCTTGATTGCATCTGCCCTCCAAATGCCCGCAGCTCCAGCGGATTGGATTGATTTGTCTGAAAAAAAAAGCATCATAGCACCCATGATCGAGAGACCACACGATTACTACAAAAACATACAAAAACCAGTGAAGACTGCGAGCTTAGCAGGATCATTAGACATCGCTCCCATGAGCCAGTACGCCGTCGTTTGCCACATGGCATCAAGTAGACCGTAGAAAATCATAAGCCAGCAGTACGCAGCGTAGCCTTTGTCACTTAAGTCCATAGTTGCTGTTGCTGTCGCACGAGTATAGCTCCTAAGTGAAAAAAAAATGGGTTGAGGGATAATGAGACAAAGTAAAAGGAAGACAAACAAACTTTTGGTAATGGTACGCCCAACCATGAACACCGAACACCATAGCGAGGAGAATGGCCCAACCAGAGAAGGCGCGCACGCGACGGCGAAGTCGCGGTGTATCGAGCACAAAGCCAATAGCAATCGAACCAAAGATCTGAGACGACCAGTATACAAGATTATTAAGAGATCTGGTGCGGATGTTGAACAAGGCAGCATTGTAGTCGTCAAACTCTGTTCATGATACGTTTAGGCCTAACTTGTAGAGATTATGAATATGCTTACGCCAAGTGTAGAAGTAGTTGCTGGCAAAGAACATAGGAAATAAGAGGAGAATCAATGGGTCCGTCCTAAGCGCGACATAAAGACTATAGAACTCATGCTTCCACGTCGGATGTTGGACTCTAGCAACTTTGGTGCCATCGGTACGAATCATTTTGTTGGGATCCGCCATGAAGAAAGGTACGCATACTCCGATAAGGGTAAGTACGAGAAATCCAATCTATGGGGAAGCTCAATAGATGCATTATACTAATAACGAGGAACTCACATATGTTCCATTCCCAACTATCACAAAGACGATATCGTAAGTCTTGTATATATAGGATAGAAAGATGATTTCTTACCACCTCCAGCCTGTCAAAACGTAAGTGAAAGAAGGCATGGCACCCTTGATATCAACACACCTCAGAATTAAAATTAGTCCCAAACGACACCGAGGCACCAACAACAGCACCCAAGTTGAAAATAGCCCAGAAGATACCGATAAACCTTCCCTTCTGAGCTTCAGTTGGATAAGCCAACATGAGAGAACCTTGGGCTGTCCACAAAAGGGATGCGCATATACCAAGAATAGCACCTGCCGTGGTAACGAAGTCACCTGCGCCGGGATGAATGTTGACGGCACTGATAGCAAAGATACATGAACATTATTTGTTTATCATGATAGAAGTCTTGTGAAAACTCACAGGAAAGAAGCAGTGTACAAGGAGTAACCCCACGTCCCTAGAACGAGAGTGAGACGAGAGCCTAGCATGTTGTTCACTGAACTACGGGTGCTTTTCATTGAGCTACTAGATCAAGTCATACTGCATGAAAAGATACGCACCCCGTAAAGAAAGAGAAAAACGCAAAAGTTGAATACAAGGTGCAGTTTGCATTCGCAGCAGTTTTCGCATCGACTTGACCGCCTCCACCAAGTCCAGTGAGAGCGTTGAACATGCCCGGACACAAGAAACATACAAATCCGAGCATAACGACCTGAGTATATGGGTTGTAGTAAAAGCCCTTCAGGCCGGTAGGACGTTCAAAGACTTCGACCTGCTGGGAGGAAGACTCTTCGCTAGAGCCATAGGCTTTCTCGTCTGGAATAATATCCGTCATCGTGCGGGGGAAGAAGAGGATACATGGAATGGCATGCAAATGCAGCTAGTTATATACTAATATTGCTGAATCCCATGGTTCAATAGCATTGGTGTGTATAAGGCGGCCTTTAGTCCAAGTGAGAGTCGCTCTGGAAGCCATTGGCGTTCGTTTCCTTCACACCTAAGTTCAATTGTATCCCATGACCTCCGAGTCGATGTCTAATTGACCGATGTATATTTGAACGTATGCGAATACATGCATGGTTCTCTGTCAGGATTGGAGCGATAGCCTCGTAGTGTGAGTAGATTAGTACGTTAGCTATAGGCTCCATGACACTGAGAGTTCTTCGTGTTGATAGAAGGACAACAGTTTGCCTTTTCTGTTTCAAGGTAGAGTATGATCAGATCTATATCTAGAAGATAACCAACTGTATTCTTACTTTTTTATTGTAGTAGAATGTCAGACCTATACATACAATGTTTATATTAGACTTATCTGCCAACGAGATGCTAATAAACCAACACTTACCTCGTAGACGGATATGCTATATTGGGACTGTCCGGTCAACGCGGCTTCCTACATCCCCACACTTTTACACTCCTGCTAGTATTTCTCGTTAGTAAAAGCCTATAAACTGAAATGAGAAGTGATTGATGCCTCCTTCAAACTTGAAGGTTCGAGAAGTTCTGTCTCGGATCGTACAGAGATGGCAATTTTTGAAAAGCGCGATGAACTTGCTTTGCGCTTTCTTTGATCTCCGCTTGAAGTTGCATTTCGGTTTCCTCAGAGACGCTTATAATGGAAAGCGATGAAACTGCTAAATTAAATATGACCTGTTTAAGGTGCTTGTTAATATTCATTCTCATAGTTGACGTTGCAGAGGTCCGGACCAGACTAATACATCTAATGAGAAGCTCAGAGGAAACAAAGAGTCAGAGAGCCGTGAAGTCGTAAAATGGCAAAAATGTATCAAGTTGTAAGGATATCAAGGCTCTCAGCCTTTTTCTCACTATATCGTCACAAAAAGCATAAACATAGACATAGACATAGTGATGGGAGAGTGTAAACTTACTATGTCTGATCATCTTCTGAGCTATCTCTGACGCGCATGTAAACCATGGGCAGAGCGATCACGAGGCCTGCGGCGGTAAGAGCCCACGTAGAGGCGAAGATATTCATGAATCTATAGTGTGAACAAGCAATTCAGTGAATGAGTTGATAGAACGAAATCGTTTCAATGCATACGGCAGGTTAATCGCATCTGCCCGCCAAACGCCGGCAGCTCCAGCGGACTGAATTGACTTGTCTGAAAAAGGAAAGGCGTCCATGAACAAGAAGACCATATTAGTACTACGAAAAACGTACAAAAACCAGTGAAAACTGCGAGCTTAGCAGGATCGTTCGACATTGCTCCCATGAGCCAGTACGCCGTCGTTTGCCACATGGCATCAAGTAGACTGTAGAAAATGATGAGCCAGCAGTGTGCAGCATAACCTTTGTCACTCAAGTCCATAGTTGCTGTCGCTGTTGCGCGAGTGTAACCTCTAGATAAAAGAATTGAGGATTGACGAACCACGATGGAAGGACGATATGCAAACTTTTGATAATAGTACGCCCAGCCGTGAACGGCGAACACCATAACGAAGAGGATGGCCCAACCAGAGAAGGCGCGCACGCGACGGCGAAGTCGCGGTGTATCGAGCACAAAGCCAATAGCAATCGAACCAAGGATCTGAGACGACCAGTACACAAGATTATTTAGAGATCGAGTGCGGATGTTGAACAGAGCACCATTGTAGTCGTCAAATTCTGTTCACGATATGTTGAGTATTAACTCGCAAAAATCCTTAGAATACTTACGCCAGGTGTAGAAGTAGTTGCTGGCAAAGAACATAGGAAATAGGAGGAGAATCAATGGATCGGTCCTAAGCGCGACATAAAGACTATAGAACTCATGCTTCCACGTCGGATGTTGGACTTTAGCAACTTTGGTGCCATCGGTACGAATCATTTTGCTGGGATCGGCCATGAAAATTGGCATGCATACTCCAATAAGGCTAAGTACGAGGAATCCAATCTATGGGGAAGCTCGATAGATGCAATATACTAATAACGAGGAACTCACGTATGTTCCATTCCCAACTATCACAAAGACGATATTGTAAGTCTTGACTATATAAGATAGAAAGATGACTTCTTACCACCTCCAGCCTGTTAAAGCGTGAGTGAAAGAAGACATCATCTTTGATAAATACATGCCTCGGAATGAAAATTAGTTCCGAATGATACTGAAGCACCGACAACAGCACCCAAGTTGAAAATAGCCCAGAAGATGCCGATAAACCTTCCCTTCTGAGCTTCAGTTGGATAAGCCAACATGAGAGAACCTTGGGCTGTCCACAAAAGGGATGCGCATATACCAAGAATAGCACCTGCCGTGGTAACGAAGTCGCCTGCGCCGGGATGAATGTTGACAGCACTGACAACAAGGATATGCGAACGTTATTTGTTTATCATGATAGAACACCTGTGAAATCTCACAGGAAAGAAGCAATGTACAAGGAGTAACCCCACGTCCCTAGAACGAGAGTGAGACGAGAGCCTAACACGTTATTCACTGAACTACGGGCGCTTTCCGTTGAGCTACTAGATCAAGTTATGCGGCATGAAAAGATACGCACCCCGTAAAGAAAGAGAAAAACGCCAAAGTCGAATACAAGGTGCAGTTTGCATTCGCAGCAGTTTTCGCATCGACTTGACCGCCTCCACCAAGTCCAGTGAGAGCATTGAACATGCCTGGACACAAGAAACATACGAATCCGAGCATGACGACCTGTGTATACGGGTTGTAATAAAAGCCTTTCAGACCAGTAGGGCGTTCAAAGATTTCAGCCTGCTGGGAAGAGGGCTCCTCACTAGAGCCATGGGCCTTTTCGCCTGGAATGGTGTCCGTCATCGTGCTGGGATAGAAAAGGATATATGGAATAGCGTTTAAATGCTGCTAGCTATATATTGTTGAATCCATGTTGTTGCTAGCATTGGTGCATATAAGGCAGCTCTTGGTCCAAGTTCGATGCCTATAGACTTCATGAGATGGAGAATCTGTCGTGTTACAGTAATGGAAGGACAAGAGGTTTCTATTTCATTTCTGAAGTATGCTCAGAGCTGTATACATGTAGTTGAAAGGTCTATATTAAACAAGTTGTCAACGAGATGCTAGTAAACCAGAAAACCAGCACTCACCTCGTAGATGAACACACTAAATGGGGAGTGTATTACGAGTCAGGACGGCTTCCCAGATCCTCAAGCTTTTATACTCCTGCTATTTCCTCGTTAGATGAAGCTTACGACCTATAACTGAAACGGAGAAGTGATTAGGATTGGTATCTCCATGAAGAATTTTGGAAAGCGCGATGTGCTTGCTTTGGACTTTTGTTTTATCTCCGCTTGAAAACTGTTCTGACTTTCTCTGGACGGAAAGCGATGAAATTTCGAAACCGCATGTATCCGTCGACATTCATTATCACCGGCACAAGCGTTGCAGAGAGGCCCAGTAACCACACTAATACTGTAATGGCTTTATTAACATGAAATTACAGGACAAAACCCGATGACTACAGATGCCCAACAAAAAGAGAATATTGCGATATTTCGTCCGATGAGAAGAAGCTCAGAGAAAACATTGAATCGTAAAGTAACGTACAAACATCGAAAAAGTATCAGGCCACTACATCGGCCTTTTCCTCACTGTAGCATAGGTTAGCGCCGATAACGCAGCATTAAGGATGGGACAATGGTGCTCACAAGACCTGATCTTCTTCTTCTGTGTAATCCTTGACACGCATGTACACCATCGGCAGAGCGATGAGCAGGCCAGAGGCGGTGAGAGCCCATGTGGAGGCAAAGATATTCATGAATCTATGAAATTCGAATTGAGAACAAGACATGAATAACATATTGATTAGATACGCACGGAAGCTTGACCGCATCCGCACGCCAGATTCCAGCAGCTCCAGCAGATTGGAGCGACTTGTCTGAAAACAGGGAGCATAAGTAAATCATCTCGCAACTGCTACGACAGACTTACAGAAACCAGTGAACACTGCGAGCTTAGAGGGGTCGTTCGACATCGCGCCCATGAGCCAGTAGGCAGCAGTTTGCCACATGGCATCAAGGAAACCGTAAAAGATCATGAGCCAGCCATAAGCAGCGTAACCTTTGTCGTTCATGTCCATCGTCGCTGTTGCTGTCGCACGGGTGTAGCCCCTAGGAGGTGAAAAACAAAATGAGGAAGATGATAGGGGATAAACAAGCGTGGAACATACTTTTGATAGTGGTATGCCCAGCCATGCACGGCGAACACCATGCAAAAGAGAATGAACCAACCGGAGAAAGCACGAACGCGACGGCGGAGTCGTGGTGTGTCGAGAACAAGACCGATAGCGATCGAACCAAATATTTGCGACGACCAGTACAACAAGTTGTTCAAAGCACGGGTGCGGATGTTGAACAGAGCACCGTTGTAGTCGTTGAATTCTATAAAAGTAGAATAAAGTGAGTATATGCGGCCTAACTTGTATAAACAAGCAAAATGCTTACGCCATGTGTAGAACCAGTTACTGGCGAAGAACATGGGGAAGAGGAGGAGGATCATAGGGTCTGCCTTGAGTGCGACATAGAGGCTGTAGAACTCGTGCTTCCAGGATGGGTGTTGGACGCGGGCGACTCGGGTGCCATCGGTACGGATCATTTTTTTAGGATCAGCCATTAACAAAGGGATACACACTCCGATGAGAGTGAGGATGAGGAAACCAATCTGTATACGAGTTCATTATGATGTGATACGACCAGCAAGAAGGTCAACTCACATATGTCCCGTTTCCGACTATTATGCGAAGATGATAAGAAATAAGCTTTGTGATAAAATTTAATAGAGATATAATATCTTACCATTCCCAGCCTATAAAAAGAGTAAGCAAAAGAAGGTAAACAATGATTGAGAGAAACGTACCGTGGAGTGGAAGTTGGTGCCGAGTGCCACAGAAGAACCGACGACAGCTCCCAAGTTGAAGATGGCCCAGAATATACCAATGAATCTTCCCTTCTGGGCCTCAGTTGGGTAAGCCAACATGAGAGAGCCTTGAGCTGTCCACAAGAGGGATGCGCATACACCGAGAATAGCGCCGGCCGTGGTAATAAAATCACCCGCACCAGGATGAATGTTGACTGCTCTGATAACAAAAATAATACCATGATCAGTGACAGGTTATCATGCAAGTGATCTGTGAGAACTTACAGGAAAGCAGCGATGTACAAGGAATAACCCCAGGTTCCGAGTATGAGAGTAACACGCGAACCCAACATGTTATTTACGGTGCTATAGGTGGGTTTGATGAACAAGACAAGGTCGTGCTGTACGGAAGAAGTACAAGTACATACCCCGCGAAGAAGGAGAAGAAGGCAAACGTCGAGTACAATGTGCAGTTTGCATTTGCGGATGTACGTGAGTCGACTTGACCACCTCCACCGAGGCCAGTGAGGGCATTAAACATTCCGGGGCACATGAAACATACGAAGCCGAGCATGACGACCTGGGTGTACGGGTTGTAGTAAAAGCCCTTGATGCCAGTGGGACGTTCGAAGACCTCAGCTGCCTGTTGGGAGCTAGCGTCCTCGCTGGAGCCATAAGCCTTCTCGTCTTGGACGGTATCCGCCATTGTGGTGGTGGAAGGAAGAAGAGAAGGGACTCGGGGATGAGATGAGTGCATATGGAGGATCCAGTTATATCCTGGGATGAGTCTCCATGAGGTACTATCTGAGCACGCGGCATGTCAGGGCCTTAAATCAGATGGCGGTGGTACTTTCTCGGACCGACTTCTATTCAAAGCACGTGCACGCTTGTTGCATTTCATGTCGCAACTTGCCCACACTCAAATAGCAGATGCCCGCATGAGAATGGAGTGTCCAAGACTATTCGCCGTGGTGTCACAACAACACTGGCCACGATTCACTCTGGCGCAGGCACTTTAGATATGTCAAGCCCTGAAACAGATTCTATCTGTCCATCATGGCTTCTCTGCCTCGAGTCGCATTGGGTTAGGCACTGCACACCATGCATGTGCTACATACCATCTCAAATGTCGCTCTCGTATCTTCATCCAGCTGTGGTCTAGATAAGGATCTTCCAGCGCTGAATCTGCAATAACATAAGTTGGCAACGCATGCTCAGACGTTGCTCTGATCTGACACACATGCCCGTGCACATGGGCATCCCATCTCGTACGTGGCAAATTAAACACCTATCGTAACCCATGCCGTAAGGTGTCTCTGCACAAGCATCAACCTTTTGCATGCTTGCTTGTCTCATCTACAACATCATGATCGGGTTATTGAATGTGGTATTTCTGTCTTTTTTGGCTCTGGGCTCCGCGAGAAAAACAGAATATAAGCAATCAGAAGAATGTCGTGCTCGGGCATGGGTTCGAGCGCCTAATTTGGTGCCAAACCAACTCATTCAAGGAGACGTCAAGATAAAGGTCCTTGGTTCCTGTCCAGACATTCACAAATACGTTCTCGGCTTGCGATTCAAGGAACGTTATTTTTCCAAACTGACGTGCGCCTTTTTCGCTCTCCTGTGATGTCTCACTTATGGCAGATAACAGCCAGGAAGGCGTTGAATTTCCGATATCAGTGCCCGATAACCCCGTCCTTCCAACCCTTCAACGCCAGTCATACGTTGTTGAGGATTCTTTTGAAGAATATGCTCAAGACTCGACATATATCGAGGGCGATTGGGACAGTCTTGGGTGGGTCGTACGCGTGGAGGAGAGAGTCGGGTTCGAGACTAAACACGTGCTCCAGCAAGTGCAGCACGACGGTGATGGTGTGCCTTCTCTTCATTCTTGGCATTGGCGATCGAATAACTCGGGTGCAAACAAGCCATTTCAACAGATTTGGAGCAGCAATTCAACATTCTCGTTCCCAACACAAACTACCCTCCTGCTCTGGACAACTTGGGTGACTACGAATATGAAGAACCTACTGGAAATGTAAACCAATTTTTTGATTTTCTTCAAGGTTATACCGATTTTTTGCCAACAGATCATTAACACTGAGCACACTTATGAATATTTTGCTGAAGTTCATTTCAGTAACGGCTCAATGCGAGAGATTCCAATTGGGATAACCTCCTTCTCGCCGATTCTTCCTACTCTCACAGGTGAAACAGAGACGGTGTATGTGGCCTTGCAGCAAGAAACACGCAACTTGTTTCGAGATGACACTTCTCCAGATGAAGCGGCAAAACCACGCCAGAGTAATTACACCGCAGAAATCACTTTTCCCAGCGGAAGGACTCTTGAACAAGGCACGTCCTCTGAACCTAAGCTTGACCATCGCTCTAAGCACAACGCATAGGCACCACGCCTAATATCACAGTTGTTATTCACAGGACTGGGTTTGCTGACTGGTCAGAGTCTTCATCGACTTTTTACACCACTATCAACAGCCAACAAGTTCTCCAGTGGCCCATTCCATCGGCTGACGCTCCAGGCACTCGTGGCGCGATACGATCGTACGTGAGCCAGCTGTATGCCGAACCTGAAGACCCCATTGAGCGATGCGGGGAGTACCACAGCGAGGAAGATACCACAGCTCCAGGTCTTCTTGTAGTTAAACAGCTTCCCATTTCTGGAATCGATATCAAGAGCGGAGCAATCGTCACTACCTCCTCTGCACCTGGTATGGTTCAGCTTTTCGTACCCCCTGAAGCTGTCCCAAACTTCATCACCACTTTCTCTGCGATCAAAAACCGTTTAAACATCGAACTTTCAGTGACACGCCCTAAAGAAGAGCCACTTGATCTTTCACATTATGTTGACCAATTGTTGACTGAAGAAGAATATGATGATGAAGAGTATGACTGGGTTCCGTGGTCCAAATCAGAGATGTGGCATGATTATCACCAGTACCACGCTGAGGTGGACGTTTGGATCGTACCTTCGTCGAGAGACAGCGATAGCAGCGCTCCTGTCCACTACCTTTCTGACGACGCTCGCAGCCCAATCTTCGTAGATGCCCTCTCTGCGAAGGACCTTCAGAGCAAATCTGCAGAGGAGCGTAACTTGCTTGCACCTCTTGCGAAGGCCCAAGTGGTCGAGACCGAGGAGGGAGAAGACATCGTATACAAGTATCATGATCCCTATCGATGGAAATACCCCATTTATGTTGGGGAGACGTGGACGCGGAAGGTAGAGAAGAGTATCAAGCACCACGGCGGAGATGGAGATTCTGTTTTCGTAGTTCAGACCGCTCTTTGATTCAACTTCATCTGATTTTTGTAATATATTCGAAATGCTTTGAATTTGCTTTACACAATACACTTTGAACCTTGGATTCGTGATATACATTACTGTATCCAAAAAAGGTAATCAAGATCAGTGCGAGATTAGATGAAAAAAACCTGATATTTCTTGTACTGTTTATCTCTTCCTATCCTTTCCTCAGTTCCAGACAAAAATGTCCAACGAGCAACTAGAATCGTATCAAAATGAGCTCATAGAGCACGCCATGGCCATGGACGCGCTTAAATTTGGCTCGTTCGCACTCAAATCTGGCCGGTCCGTATTTCTTCATCGAGCTTATCGAAAGTGAATGATCATATTCCACCATGACCCAAATCCTTACAGCATCTCTCCCTACTTCTTCAATGCCGCTCTCATGAGCACTGGCCCGATCCTCAGTACGCTCGCCAACGCCTACGCGTCTACGATCGTCGCTGCCCAGTCCGCCTCATCGAACCCGCTCCCCAGCTTCGACGTTGTTTTTGGGCCAGCTTACAAGGGGATTCCCTTCGCAGCATGTACGGCAGTCGCTTTGCACGCGACGCACGGCGTTTCTGTCGGGTTTGCGTACGATCGCAAAGAGGCGAAGGATCACGGTGAGGGGGGTTTATTGGTGGGTGTTCCTGTCAAAGGAAAGAAGGTGTTGATATTGGACGATGTGATGACGGCGGGTACGGCTGTGCGAGGTGCGATTACAACTATCGTAAGAGAAGGCGGAGAGGTTGTTGGGGTCGTGCAGCTGTTAGATCGGGAAGAGGTTGGGAAAGATGGACGGAGTACGGTGGATGAAGTCGAAGAGGTGGTTGGTGGGAAGGGGAGAGTGAAAGCAGTGTTGAGAATGAGAGATCTAATGAAGTGGTTGAAGAAGGAAGGAAAGGAGGACGTACTGACAAGTATGCAGGCATACTGGGAACAATACGGCAGAAAAGAATAGTCTTAGAGCGATGGGCAGACGTAGAGACAACGCTGAACCCAAAAATTGATTTATTCAACATCAACACGAGCAGATACACCACACATAATATCAAGATACTTATTGAAATACATCCTCTCAAATGCTTTCAACTTTTACGAATCTCCTAGCCGGTGTCCTGAACCCCAGTTGTATCCAGTTCTTGGGGCGCCAGCGCTTTCTTCTGCCCTTCGTCTTGGTGCGTAAGATGTCACACCGTCTCGGTGCATGCCAGTACTGGGCGTAATACTAGTTTCTCCGAACCAGTTTCGCAACCATCCTGGAGCCTGCCCATAACCTGCCAAGCGCCCCTGTTCTGCACCACCAGCACCAGTTCCAGAGCCCCATACGAACCACCACCATAAGTGGCCTACGATCATCCCACTAACTCCCTGTGCTGCAGCTCCGGTTCCGCCCATCAACAAATCCATGCCTAGCATGGCATACGGGAAATAAGTGACGGGGATGGTTATGAGACCCATAATTGAGGCTTGAGAGCCTGGTGGTGAAAGGGAAGAGACGAGGTAGGTGAGGGTGTGCAAGAGAGGACGGCTGTGGACGACAGATTGTAGTGGGATGTTGACGATCTAACGGGATGGCTCAGTCGAGATGAGTTGTTAGATAGTGGAATGGTTGGCTTACAAGAATGCCGATCGTAGCTAGGAAAAGCTGCCACGCGTAATCAGCAGAACGACGGGCGTAGTGTTGCGTCTCGAGACTGTTGGAATTACGACTGTGAATCGAGTCAGGATATCGTCATTGAAACGACAAGAGGGCACGCACTACAGCATAAATAATTCGAATATATATTCGAATTTCATAGCTGAGATAGACGATTAGCTCAACCGTGATATCTCAGGACTTGTGAATACCCACTTCCAAGGAATAGACTAGTAAATGGTCTCCAAATCTATGGTGAATGCAAGGCACATCAACAGCTTGAATTATAGCATAACAGGGAAATCAAATACCTCCCACCGTTGGATGACATACTCCCTGATAAATAAGACCTTGTATGGTGGAACTAATTGCATGATGCAAGAAAGTGTAACACTGAGGGACGACGCGCAGACTACGCGTGTAACAAATGGGATTTTACGAAGTTCATCTGCAAAAGAATTTGACATTTTTGATAAATATAGATGAGCTTGTCCAACTCGAATGCCCTGGTAAGCTTTTGTGGGTGATTCAGTGTTTGAATTGAACTTTCAAGTTGAAGGCAGTCTGCGGTGTGTCGTAGGCGTGTCACTATGATGAACCGTGAGAATGAGGTTTCATAGGATTCCCGCACGTGACTCAGGGTAACTAACTCTTTGGTACAGTGAAAAGGACTCGGACGGCAAAGCAGCCAGTTCCATTAATCTTTCTTCCATGTAGCTCTTACACTTAACTCTTTGAACATACAAGTCATGGCCTTACGAATGCTGCTGCCATTCGTATTCTCAAAGAGCTTCTCCTCAGATCCAGAAAAAGGACCTCAGACGACCAGGTCTCCTGTCAATGACACTCCATCTCGAAGCGGAATTGCAGGCAGGGGCGATGGCAGTCAACGCGGAGATGGAGAGGGTATTGATGATGAACCTGCTGTAGATGACGAGGAAAATGCTAGTGATGATGGTACCACTGAAGATACACGTTCCCCTCGAAACGATGATCCCCGAATGCTCCGTCGTTTCTCAGCAGGAGAGACCCACGCACACGTCTCGCACATCTCGCGTCGCACCCCATCTTGGTGGTCAAGATTCACAAATTCTGTATTTCCCCCATCAGATGATGATATAGAATCATATATACCCCATTATCGATATACGCCCATCATATCTGGTATCATCATCCCATTTGCTATCCTCCTCGAGATACCCGGGTTGACTGAGAAATGGTACATTCGGACCCAAAAAGGTCATATAGTCGACACACAACCAAATCCGGCGATATTGGATGTTGGCCTCGGTTTCAGCATAGGATGTGCTCTCATAGCCAACATATGCCTCATTATACGTTTCCTCGAGAAAAGGGTCAAAACTATGACGATCCTCTGCACTGTATTTTTGACTATACATGGTATGCCCTCTTTTATTTTATGCTACTCATAGTCATCCCTTTGCGCCAGACGTTATTAACATTACTGCTGTGACTATATTCGGTGTTGAACATCGCTTTAACGATGGTTTCACCTACGGTGAATCCTTTTGGATGACTGTATGCTCCACTATCGCCTCAACTCTCACTAATATCACCCTTATTATGGATCTTATACGTACACCAGATTTCGAGAAGAGCGGTGAGTACTCATTTCGTGGAAGCTACTTGCGATCGTTTATCCTGGTATATAGGCAGTGGTCTGACGCGAAAACAGCGGTCACTAGTTATCATTATAATTATCCTATTCGTATACATTGCGCTCGGCGCTCTCATCAATTCCCTGCTTCTTCAGTTGTCGTTCATAAACGGTCTATTTTTGACGGTAGTGTCGATCGAGACTATAGGTTTTGGCGACATCGTCCCCACCTCTACCGCTGGTCGCATCTTTGTATGCGCATACTCAGCTATTGGCATAGTCAATATTGGTGTTGTCGTTGGCTTGTTCAGAGAGACTGTGATGGAGGGCCTTGAGGTAGGATATAGGAAGCGGGTAAAAGACTTGTCGGATAACCGACGGGCTGCAAGGCGAAAGAAAAGAGCCGAACATCGATGGAAACAGGCAGTCATGTGGCGTTTGCGAGATCGCCGCGCTCCTACATGGATACGTGAAAAGAAAAGAGACGAAGCGCGAGGTCAATGGGCATGGTTCAGGATTTGGCTGGCAAATTTGGCCTTCCCTCAATCTGTTTTCACGAAGCCTAGCTCCAGTTCCAACTTAAATCAAGGTCCGCATGGGATGCGGCTCAATCTCGAGGCACTCACTCATGCTCAACTGGAAACCGCTGCTCTTGAAGCAGGTGTACCACTAGAATCCCTCCTCCCACCCAACTTTTGCCCGTCACAGCGCGAATTTAGGACAAGCGAAGATGAAAACGCTGATAGTGGGGCTGACAGCCCCCAGAGATTTATGTCTCCACACGACGTATATCAGCACGAAGAACCAACGCTTGGGTCACTGACGCATGAGCGAATTGGGAGGATGGCTGCGGTACTGACGAGGTTCGCTATGGTTGCATACGATTCAGCAGGCACGGCTACTCAAAATCAGGAAAATGGAGGTGAAAATCGTTCTTCTGCATGGGCGTTAGTTGGCCCTTCAACAGGCACCACTAATTCAAGTGGTTTTGCACTGAGCGGCGCGCTCCCCAGCCGCACGAGTTCAAGCGACAGCCTCGGTTCGGATTACCACGCTGAAGTTGCAGAAACCGAGAAAAAGGCGTTTTATGCTCGGTTAACCATTGCATGGGCACTCTTCATCATTTTCTGGATGGTTAGTGCGCGGTAATCCGTGTTTACGCTATGTTATCTTATTCAAAGTATATTTTCCCAGGTTGGCTCGGCGATATTCATGAAGACAGAAGGCTGGTCCTATGGTATATCTATGTACTTTTGTCAGATTTATCGCTTTCCTAATCTGTGATATACTGATGAACTCGTCTCGTGCTAGGCTTCATCGCATTCACCACCATAGGCTACGGTGATTACGCACCAAATACACCAGCAGGGCGCTCTATATTCGTCGTGTGGGCGTTGCTTGGTGTTGGGGCTATGACTATACTGATTTCAGGTGAGCTCATTGTTCTGTTTCGTTCGTAGTCATTCCCTATCATGGTTTATGATTGATCATCTTCACAGTCGTATCCGAAGCTTATTCCTCGCGGTATAAAGGGATCATACAGAGCGGCTTGTTTGAAAAAGCGGTGAGGCAGTACCGTAAACGGGCGAAAGAAGACCAGATGGTTGAGACAATAGCTCGACGTAATGGAGGAGCCAGCGTTCGATTCCATCCACAAGAACGTCCCTCAACACAAAGGCCAAGCCGAGACTTGACATCACGTTGTGACGAGAACCTGCCAGTGTCACCTCGAATTGACGTCGAGGGTAGTAAAGGAAATGATTTGGACGTCGACACATCTGCGAGAAAGCTGTTGCAAGCAGAAACACGTGCAAAGGAAGCCCTTGAATCTCTGCCTCGTCATGTTATGAATCAGGTACTCACGTTTCAGCAGTATGTCCACTATCTGGGTAAGGGTAGCAATACTGGAACTGCGGATGCGGAAGAGTTCGTGGAAGACAAGCTGAAGAGCCTGCTGGATGATGTTGTCGGATCGGAGAGCATAAGACAACATACCAAGGCAGAGTTACTACAGGATGGCGCAACTCGACAGGTGAGTGCAACAACCCCTAGCCTTTTTCCCGCAGGGACTATTAAGGTGTTCGGTCGCTGACATGTCGAGCAAAAAGGTACTGTTCACGTTGAGTTTTGAAAGTACGTCAATCAACATCACAATATCTGACATCATTTATTTATGTGATATTTTATCTAGAGGCTTTGAAGGAGATGGTTCATATAGCAGAGCAAGCGATGCAAGCTTTGAATGAAAGGGATAACTTGATTGCGCTGCAAGAACAAGATCGCGGAATTGTTGATGTAGATAGTGATTTGTTTCAAGAGGAAGTAGGGCATTCTGATCACAAATAACCTTGCATTTTGGTGAGTTTATGCATTGTTTCCCAAAAACGACATTTTGTAAGCGGTACTGACGTCCGTAATTCTTATTTTCAAGGTCGACATCTATATATCAACTAGAGTCTAACAACACTATCGTGATAATGTGATAATTTGTGAGACTGATATTATATGTGCACTTGCTGTATCAGAGTAATCAATTTATGTATGTTTAGAGATGGCATCACTACGATATGTTATGGCGAACGTCTAAATCGTACTGGCAGTGATCACGAACCACCCACATCAATCATGAATGCTGATTCAATCAGAATCTAGCATATATAAATACTATACCCATACCAAGTTATATGCAGTTTCACTTCTGTCAAAATGTTGATATTGCAGATATACCGTTGCGGCCAACACAGTACTATTGTTATGGTGAGTAGGTTGTCGACCATGGGATCTATGTTTCCATACTTACAAACCGACACAGTAATAAAAAAAATGCCAGGAAACGATTCAACTAATCCGGTGAAGGTGGGTTTGCGTGGAGGATATTGGGAGGATAGGACTCTGATAGGCGATGGACTAAAAACAAAATGAGTGATCGTAACCCAATGAGGGGAAGTAAAGTCAACCATATAAGAGACATACCTTGGTCAACATTATGCGTGTTAATCCATTGTGTCAGACATAATAAAGGTCGCGCTATACTATCCATCCTATAAATTCTCTGATGACCAACAGTCGTGCTTGTTAATGGTGCTCTGTTCATATGTTAAGTGCAATTTTCCCATCCATCTACAGAATTAACCAACCTTGCTATATATTCTTCAAGAAGTTTTACCACTGCTATAACCTCGAGGGAGCGAGCAAGCATCAGTGGTGTCAATCCATTATTGTCCTTCAAATCGACACGAATATCATCGTGTGCAAGCAGAAGGCTCGCAACTGCCTCACACTTTGATGACTCTGAAACATCTTCTCGGTCGATACCCAAGATTGCGCAGTGCAACGGTGTCTGTCCCATCTCGTTCTTCAAATTGGGTGCGATGGTGGGGTGTTCGAGAAGCAAGGAGGTTACATTCTCATGCCCAAAACGCACCGCATAATGCAGTGGCGAGTCTCCTTTTTTGTCTTGCAGATTCACGTCAATATTCTCTCTAGCGAGAACAGATCCATCTGTCGTCGCTCTAAACAGAATTATGCGACCATGTTCATCTTTCGAGTCGTCATCCACGTCATCTCTTGCCAGCAACAAACTGACGGTTTCTGTGCTTCCATGCCAGGCTGCATACGAGAGTGGTGTTCGGCCATCTTTATCTCTTGAGTTGACCTCCACATCATCCCTTATCAGCAACACCTCAATACTTTCCTCGTTTCCAAAGCTGCCTGCTGCGTACGAGAGTGGTGTTCGACCATCTTTATCTCTAGAGTCGGCCTCCACACCATCTCTTGCCAGCAACAAACTGACGGTTTCTGTGCTTCCATGCCAGGCTGCATACGAGAGTGGTGTTCGGCCATCTTGATCTCTTGAGTTGGCCTCCACATCATCCCTTATCAGCAACACCTTGATACTTTCCTCGTTTCCAAAGCTGCCTGCTGCGTACGAGAGCGGTGTTCGGCCGTCTTTATCTCTGGAGTCGGCCTTCACATCATCCCTTGCCAGCAACAAACTGACAATGTTTGCCCTTCCTTTCCAGGCTGCGTAAGAGAGTGGTGTTCGGCCCTCTTTATCTCTTAAGTCGGCCTCCACATCATCCCTTTCCAGCAATACTTTAACATTTTCCTTGTTTCCAAACTCGGCTGCGTACGAGAGAGGTGTTCGGCCCTCTTTATCTCTTGAGTCAGCCTCCACATCATCCCTTGCCAGCAACACTTGGACACGGTCGTTTCCATACTCGGCTGCATACGAGAGTGGTGTCCGACCCTCTTTATCTTTGATGTCGGCCTCCACATTTTCTCTTGTCAGCAACAAACTGACGCTTTCTGCGTTTCCATGCCAGGCTGCGTAGGAGAGTGGTGTTAGGCCCTCTTTATCTCTTGAGTTGGCCTCCACATCATCCCTTGCCAGCAACATTTTGACACGGTCGTTTCCAAACTCGGCTGCGTACGAGAGTGGTGTCCGGCCCTCTTTACCTTTCGAGTCAGCATCCACGTCATCTCTTGCCAGCAGCAAACTGATAACTTCTGCACTTCCATTCCAGGCTGCGTACGAGAGTGGTGTTAGGCCCTCTTTATCTTTGGAGTCGGCCTCCACATCATCCCTTATCAGCAACACCTTGATACTTTCCTCGTTTCCAAACCTGCCTGCTGCGTACGAGAGCGGTGTTCGGCCCTCTTTATCTCTTAAGTCGGCCTCCACATCATCCCTTTCCAGCAATACTTTAACATTTTCCTTGTTTCCAAACTCGGCTGCGTACGAGAGAGGTGTTCGGCCCTCTTTATCTCTTGAGTCAGCCTCCACGTCATCCCTTGCCAGTAACATTTTGACATTTGCCTCGTTTTCAAACTCGGCTGCGTACGAGAGTGGTGTCCGGCCCTCTTTACCTTTCGAGTCAGCATCCACGTCATCTCTTGCCAGCAGCAAACTGACGCTTTCTGCGTTTCCATGCCAGGCTGCGTACGAGAGTGGTGTTAGGCCCTCTTTATCTCTTGAGTTGGCCTCCACATCATCTCTTGCCAACAACAAGCTGACAACTTCTGTGCTTCCATGCCAGGCTGCATACGAGAGTGGTGTTCGGCCCTGTTTATTTCTTGAGTCGGCCTCCACATCATTCCTCGCCAGCAACAAACTGACGATTTCTGCGTTTCCGCACCAAGTTGCGTGCGAGAGTGGTGTTAGGCCCTCTTTACCTTTCGAGTCGGCCTCCACATCATCCCTTGCCAGCAGCAGCTTGACAATCTCCTCATTTCCACGCTTGGCTGCGTACGAGAGTGGTGTTAGGCCCTCTTTATCTCTTGATTCGGCATCCACATCATCTCTTGCCAGCAACAATCTGACGATTTCTGCGTTTCCAAGCCCGGCTGCGTACGAAAGTGGTGTCCGGCTCTCTTTATCTTTGGAGTCGGCCTCCACATCATCTCTTGCCAACAACAAGCTGACAACTTCTGTGCTTCTATGCCAGGCTGCATACGAGAGTGGTGTTCGGCCCTGTTTATTTCTTGAGTCGGCCTCCACATCATCCCTTGCCAGCAGCAGCTTGACAATCTCCTCATTTCCACGCTTGGCTGCGTACGAGAGTGGTGTCTGGCCTTCTTCATCTCTTGATTCGGCATCCACATCATCTCTTGCCAGCAACAATCTGACGATTTCTGCGTTTCCAAGCCCGGCTGCGCACGAGAGTGGTGTCCGGCCCTCTTCGTCCTTGGAGTCGGCATTCACATCATCTCTTGCTAGCAACAGCTTGACAATCTCCTCATTTCCACAATCGGCTGCGTACGAGAGTGACGTCATGCCCCTTCTATCTTGCAAATTTACATCGTGGCCTTGATCGAGCAGCAGGCTCACTACCTTTAGATGTCCCCTGATTGCTGCAATATGCGATGGTGTACAACCCGCAAAATCGTCTCGTTGGTCTACAACAGCTCCATTTTGTAGTTCATATTCAATCGTTTGAGTGAAGCCCCAAAAGGCGCATATATGCATCACGGAGTCATAGGAGTTCAGTCTTTTAACGTTCTGCTCGCAATGAAGAAAATCGCGTATGACGGCCCCATTTGTCTCCTCAACAAGACCACGTGCATGATCTCCCCAGTTTCTCACAGCATAATGGCTCAATTCCCCACTGAATTGCCCCCAGAAATCGGGAACAGGTGGCGGTAATGACAAAGTTTTTAGGCAGATGTTGGTCAGTTCAGCTTGAGGATCTGAGCATAGCCATTCCTTATATTCACTGAAGTAGTCCTGCGCAGTGTAATCTAATGGAATAATGATCAGGCATAGCCAGTATTGGAGGTATGAATCGCTCACGAATCAAGCGAGCCACCGAACATTCTTCATCGACCACAACTAAACCAGAACAGACCCCCAATATGGTGGTTATGTCCACAAGGTCATCACTACTGATTCCTTGACCGCCACAGGAAAGTGTGACAGCCTCTTGAAGCTGCTTACCTCCCAGTGGATCAAGAGCATAGGTGACACACATGATAGCCGTCAAAGCAAGTTTCCGGAGTTTCTCGTCTAGTTTGTTGATCCGGTCCATCGTTTCGTCGTAGGCACTGTTCACCTCTTCGGGTAGATTTTCAAGAGCATTCCGGACCTCTTTAGGAGTGATCTTAGTTTCCAGCGACCCTACATGCAGGCGGCATAGTAGAAACCTTATCCAGTATTAGAGTGAAGCTTATAGAAGGATGAATTAAAGACGTACATACATGCCATCTGCATATTTCGTAACACAGTCAACGATTTGTTTTCTTAGACTGGGTTCTTCAGCGATGAATCTTTCCAATGGTGTCCCCGGAATACTATTTTCGACATACTGCCGTATATCGTCGTCATTTGCACGAATGGGCATACGCTGCGCACCACGAAGATCTTTCCCAATAGATCCGATATCGCGTGAAGTGACTAGTAGGTTGCATCCAAGAGATCGGAGTCTATCGAGCAGCTCATAACGCTTCTTGCGCTCTTCCTTAATTTCGTCTAAAGCATCGACAACGATGAAAACTTGCGAAAAGGTCTTGATCTCCGACTTGAGCGTATCGTGAACTTCCTTGAGAGTTGGGCGGTACTTTTGTTGCCGATAAGGTTGGTATCGACTCTTAACGCGCTCGAATGTTGACGAGGAATCTTGGACGAGCTGCTTCAGGAGGCTGGCGATCAGGTTATAAACCGTCTGACTTGACTCGTCTTGGTAGTCGCAGTAGATATATGCGACAGCAGTATCAGGAGTTTTGAGCGTACTGGTAAGATGATTGATGATATGTGACCTATAGGTGTGAAAGTGATCGATACAGACCTGTAGTGTTTCGCTACAATACTTACGCAATAACCGTTTTCCCAGCACCGGCTGCACAGACAGCATCAGCAACATCAATATTGATGAGGACTTCATACTTACGAATCCCAGGACACCATAACGTTTTAACATCACCTCTCTCCCACTCCTTGAACCTTTCGTTATCAAATACCCAATCTCCAGTCCCCTCTTGGCGATTACCATAAACATCGTTTTGTTTTTGACGAAAGTTCAGAGGAGATAGCCAGTCAGCCAGATCATATCGCTCCTTATCTATAATAAATGGACATGTTAGGTGCCGCCACGAATGTGCAATAACATGACTCATACCATTATCCATGCTGTTTTGGTTGATTGTTATATGACTGCCATTAATTTGCTGTCCATTGGGATGAATTTCAGTGAACGTGCTGTGGTGAGCATCGACAAATGAAGCTTGTGCTATCGCTTCCCGAACATCTACATTTTGAGCAGACATGAGGAGAGCGAAGAAACTGTAGAGTAAGGTGGTATCTGGAAGCTTCTACAACGGTTAAAGATGGTAAATCAAGCAGCAGTTGGGGAAAGAGGAACAACTGCAGACTGTAGACAGCGCCTTTGATCATATAACAAACTCTCAGACATTTACTGACACCGGGCATTGTACATAACGCGTCTATCATGAACGCTCTTGTCAGTCAACGTGATTACTTGGACGTGTTATCATTGGCCTTCGCTTTAAATAACGATCTTGATATGGACAGTGTTAAGTACTCTTTATCTATAGCATTATGGCTTAACTCACTAGGTGGATATAGCCATGCGGATGCAGGAGCATTCAAGCAGTCATGGACAGCCCGAGCGTTGTAGTAATATTTTAGTCGTCGACCTTTGCTATCGGTACCCGATTTTTGTCGACGACACAGGGAAGACATTCAGGGAGCGGGTGGTTCCCGCCATGTCCGCAACAATCTTGTCAAAGCCTAACCACCTACATATTTGCGGTCTATCGTTTTCTGTTTTCTACGATGACTGTTTTTCAAGCTCGGATTAATTTCAGGCTCTTGATGTGTTTTGATTGTGGACAGAAAACCTACCTGTTCAATGTTCCGTTGAAGAGCATGATTCCAATATTCATCGTAGGTGGCACGCCGTTTGAATGATTTCGGGAACTCGATTCCGGGGAAGTGCGTGGTACGTGAAGGAAATTCTGTTTCTGGCAAAAATATGTTCTCGAAGCCGAGGAAAGCGGGTGAATACATCATTATCCGCTAGTGGTAGTCGGGACGACTTCAAGTTGCGTTGAACTGCTCCGAGATCAGTGGGGATATGGGCGAATATCTGTCAAAATGGTGTTATCTTGTATACATGTATAGCCTTGCAAGAGAACGATGGATGCTAAGGATGGTTCCGCGGACTATGCATGGCTACTTTCTCAGGCTCGTGTAATATCGTATCATCTGGCCAGAAGTTGCAGCTGCAATGCATGGAATTAAGCTGTTTAATTCGAGTCCGCATATCGCATTTGGTGCCCATGACCATTTCACATGACCATCGACATTCCTTCGAATCTTCTTCCCGAAGTCAGAAGCGCTCTGAACTTTGGGTTGGGCTTTATGTATAAGACACTTTATCGCCCAAAGGCCTGACTTGGATTACTGAGTCCGTCCACTCTCCTTCCATTCATATCCGCAACAGCCATAATTGTGCAGGTCGTGAAACCTACCAGTCATTTACCCGCCCCCTCGGTAACTCAACCCACGCACAATACGGACGGCGCCTCGATGTCTGTGCGGTCTTTCACCCTAAAGGCCCCTAAAGATATGTTCCCTCGTGGCCAAAACGTGTCAGCTATCTACGTTTTCAGTTAGACTCATCTCGGTCTTCCTCTCTTCTCCAGCTTTAGCTTCCGAATTGCGGATCTACAATCACCAATATAAAGCCTCCCGTCAACAAGGCAATGGCTTGCACACCCTTCGTTCATCCCTATATCCTTCGTCTCATTGACTGAAATCTTGGCTCCTGACGGTTTATGTGATAAACCGAGTGTTATCTCTTCGGCCCCTTGTAGGGAAATCTACTGTGACATTCGAAACTCATCAGTTATGTCAGTTGGCATGTATCCAACAACCGCACCTGTCGTAGGAGTCACCTTCGCCGAGCCATCTGCCACAAACCATTCCATAGCAGAGATTTTAGAGGAACAATTTGCGTTTGCGCGCATAAATGGAGACGTATGTCTTGTGCAATGTGGGTGCTATATTATATTGCTTTAAGGACTCTGTTCTAAATCGACAGACTCACCAGTTACGAACGTATCACCTTTCTCACCTACAATATCAGTAAACATCTTCCGTCATGAGTTCATTACCATCTTTCGGTACTCGCACAGTACATGTGCGGCGCAGGCCTCCGTGAGGATATTTCAAGTCCTTGATGCAAGGGGCATCAGGTACGAGGAAGACAGCGGGACTGTGTTCCTAGCCAAAGATCTTGTGGAGCGACTGAGATGGATCACGGAGAGGCGGTCCAGAAAGGCTAGCGCGTCGAGAGCGTGTCCAGTGCAGGCCAGACATTGGGGTTAGAGGGGGTCGCGTTCACGAGTTGATGATCATATGCTATAGCTCATCGTTTGGAATATCTATTAGATTCGTATTTTGTTTACATACCAGCATTCAGCATAATGACACGGGAAGATTAGACTCCACATACCCGATATTAAACCCGTGGTATACGGACCTTCAATAAACGTCTGTAAAAATACTCGGACCCGTGGCAAGATGCTGTTCCAGAGACACTTGCTGAATGTGAACTTTAGCTTACATTCCAGATTCTGCATACCTAATGGACATCTGCAGGTGGATAGGATCGGGTGGAAAATATCAAAAACCGTGGGCATACCCGGACGGGTAAGGGACACGAAAAGCTCATGAAAATGGGCAGTGCATACTTCTTCTCCGCTCCAACGTTTGCACCCGATGATATAGGCAAGAACTACGACAATGTGATATCCGAGCCATGCGCAAATTTGACCGTAGTGAATCTTGCGTAGGGCGCTCACCTTTGACTATTGTGGAAGTTGTGTTGTCGTGTTACGAGTCGGCGATTCTCGGTTTACCAGCGACACCGTCAAGGCCGTCCCGTTAAGCGTGGAGAGATACATGAAAATTTGACTGGAATGGTAAGCAGAATGTCTGAGCTGGTGATACCTGACTAGCTTTGCCAGAAGAAGAATACTTTGATCGCCGTGGAGCCACTGAATGACGCTGATAAATTTTACAGGGACATCCACGCCTGAGAAAAATGAGAGAAAAGCAAAGAGTGAGGCTCTTTGTTTATTTTTGCGAGACGCATGATGGACACTGGCAATGAATTTTATGATGTGCAAACACTGCAAAGGCTATAAGGCACCCGAAAACTTCTAGTATCACATCGCAGTGCGTTGCGGATCAGGTGAGTACGTATTTATATGATTGTTTTAATGATAGAATTCCCTACAAAGAGGACAAATGGACCGGAAGAAACAGGGATCCTGGATGCTAGGTTTTCAAGCGCTGACTCGGAGGCATGAGGTCTACGGCTAGAAACTTTACGCGGACTTACCAAACATGTTGTGCGAAATGCAAGTAAGGTAGATCTATGCAGGAGGACATGGGCATAGTATGCCTATTTCCTTTGCGAATACCCGAAATATCTCATCCCTAAGGCCACTTCGATTCTACAGGACCTTCCCGCAACCAGTTTGTATATCCGAGTCCGACAAACAATACAGACTGTCCATCTTCGAAACTGCCATCAATAGCCCATAATCAGGGACAATTTCGCGAGAATGGATTATCCGGACTATCATATGCACTAGTCTACCATTCTCTCGAAGAGATCGAGGTTGTGGAGCAGTGGGAAACCGTCGATGCAATTCACCAAGGAGCCCAAGAAGCACCATGCATCATGCATTATGTGCGGAAGGATCCGAACAAAAGATATAAGAAAGACGACTAAAATTACAGCTACATTGATCGAGTGGACTTCTTTATCTATCTATATCTCGCCTACACATGATTATAGCTGATCATCTGAAAACAGCGGTCTAGAGTATATCGGAGCGACACAGAGGACAGCTTGATGAATGACTTGATTTGAACCACTGCAAAGATTGAATATTAGCCAAAGCCATTGACATGCATGAAGGAAGACTAAGAAGCAGTGAATGTGAAATGTGTACCTTATATAGACAACCAGCATGAAATCGATTCTTGCATGTTTTACAGGGCTTCTGGGGTAGGCCTCCATCCATCATGCTGATGATTCTATGGAGCATGATTAGCAACCGTGAAACCGGAGAAGGGAATGCAAAATTAATGCATTCTGGAATGAAGGTGTGAAAAGAAGTGTGAGCAACGGAAATACTCACGAGTAACAAATGGCACATTCCACTTGACCCGCGAAGTGCAAAGTGACATTTTTGGTAAAAAGGGTTAGCCCGTCTACAACACGACCATTCTGCGCGGAGATAAAGCAGTTCAGTTCAAGCACAAATGCGGAAGTGCTTTGCCATTATAGCGGCAAATTTCTATTTCTTACCTGCTGCCAGACGATTTGCTGCACCCCCAGTACCCATCCTCTCCATCGATCTTCTGATACACCCACTGGTTTTGTGTCCCGTATCTCCATCCTATGTAGTGGCCAGTCCGATGGCATTCGTAGCGTGAGCTCAAGTGCATGCTCGTCGACGGTGTAGGACGCTGTAACCTCAGATGCCGCAGGTGCCACCTTGACGGCGAGGTTCTCCGTTGCAGCCAATTCTGTAGAAGCCTCGGAATCCCGCACTTGAGCAAGTTCGGCCTTGATGATCACCGGAGAAAAGTAAGAAGACGTGTAAGCGATGACACGTGCCAGTAACTGTTTGTCGGTGCAGTCCGACACCCAAGAGCGGATAAGAGCGGGTACTGTTACAAGAGCACGGTAATAGAGGTGCGCAGCAAGAAGACGAGCGCTGAGTGCACTGTCTGGCTCATACACTAAATAGACAGCATTAGTAAGAAAAGGCACGGAATAAATATTTCACTAACTGTCAAGGTAGTATTCGTCAGTTGTCCATACATCTAGCTTAAACGCCTTTTTATTCCCGCCAAATATGTCCAGGATGTCGAAGATGTTTGGGATAAAATGAGTTGAAATGATATCTAGACTTCTCATGTGGTTAAAGTAACTCGATCTGACTTTCATTGACTGCAATCCATGTCAAAAAACCATCGCTTTGGCAGCAGTAAACAAGCAAGGACGTACCGCATCAATGAATAAATCGAAAGCGACCATCCACGAAAGCAAATATCCCAAAATTTCCTGGTGGTGCGTGTGCAATGACTCTGGACTATCATCGGGATTCTCCTGAGTGAAATCATCTCCAAGCTGGAGTGTTCGCTGTAAGAGAACAAGCAGTTCCATGGGAAGCTCGGCGGTGACAGCGTCCTCAGTATCAACTGCAGCCTCTATAACGTAATATTCGGTCTTCTTCCGTGCGGCTTCGTGAAGCAGCGTATAAGCCGTCTTTTGGACTACGGTGGACGGATCGGACAAGAGGTGACACATCTTGAAGAATTTTTTTAGGCGATATGCATAATATGAATGTCAAAAATCTTACCTCTGCGAGAGTGTTGGTGTCTACAAGAGACTTTGGATCATCCTGGATCACTGAAAGGGCTAGTTCGCGGCATAAAGATCGAGCCGCCGAGATACCAGCATCATCTATTGGCACAAATTAGTATTAATGGAGTAGAACGATCGCCAAAGAGCTCACCAAGTCTGGAAGTTACAATGTTCTTCACTAGGGTGAGAATTGATAACTGCCTTTCCTCCCACTCTGCTCTAAGTGCTTTGTTCGTGGTAACGAGATCCTGTATTATAATAATTAACTGTAGGGACCTCCCCAAAGTCACTAATGTAGTATTATCTGAAATAGAACAATGCTATTCCACAGGTTAAGCTTAAAAAGTTGGGGGAAAGGTGGACGATCACTAACCTCTAGATTGTTCTCTATCACATCGAATACGAGCTCCCAGTGGGATCCTGGGACATTTTGCAGAATAGGTGCCAGATGGTAGAAAAGAAGGGTCATCATACTCTCCACTTCTTCATTTACCTCTTCGTCAGACGTGATCCACTCCTGACATGCCTTCATCACGTTTACAGCTCGCTGTTGAGGTAAAAAGACTACTTCAGAATCAGGGTCAGGAGCCACTGCCACAAGTTTCCGCAAAGTCAACAATCCTTCGGTGCTGACTTTATTTCCGGAGATACCCAACATGTTGGCTGCGAGCTCGTTCCTGTAGCGGTCAAGGCGCGATGGTTCCGGAGCAAATCTTGTAATTGATGACATGATGGATAGGGATGTTTGTGGTGCTACACAAAGGCGATATTAAGCATTAGCTACTAGATCGAACCCAAGACATACCTGTCTTTTCAAACTTTCGAGCTAGCACCATCCAACTGTCAGCATCTCCCTTTGTTGCGTTTGCGAATATATGCTGTAAAACACTGCTTAAAATGCGCGAATCTCTAATAGTATCCTCGGCCGCCGCGTGATTGACGAGATCTACTATTAACTTCGGAAGGCCATCCACTGTCTTCGACCGATCTGATAGAGCAGTGATGACCTTGGTATGCAACGCATCTTCCGTTAAGGATGTCAACAGGTAAGTGGTTAATTGGTGAGCCTTGGTGATCATAACGGTGAGTTCAGACGTGAGGGCTGTTGAGTGTAGTAAACCGCTAGGTACTGAAGGGACTCTGAGGAAATCGTTGACAAAATCTGATAGAGCAAGGATGTGACGCAAAGCCCAGAGGTTATCCCTTGAGAGTTGCCTACTGTCGATAAGGACATGGAGGAGAGTCGATACCACACGGACGTATGGCGAATATCCCTTTCGGTCATACGTTGCCCCTGAAAGACGGCCATCCTCGAATTCCATGGCAGGAGGAATGAGTGATTCAAATAAGGCCAGACTCGGCTCAGCAGGCTCTGAAGGAAGGTCGCTCAACATGGAGTCGAGTTCTTCGGAGGATGGGAAAACGTCAGCAAGTACGTCAAATTGAATACCAGGACAACCCTCAGTAACCAACTGGATAATATGTTCCGGCCTTAGCAAACCAATTGTCAGGATTGATATTCAGTCAGGAAAGTGAAACCTTACTTTGGCTGCATCGAGCATTCGGTGAGAAGGTCGCGCAGTTTCTCTTTGATCAAGTTTGAAATAGTACTTCGTTGATTCTCTGGTGCATGTGTAACCCAAGAAGTCCAAATGGTGCGAGCAGTTGCGGTGGATGAGACGTCCTGCTTAAAGGAAATAGGGAAGAGATATGCGGCAAGAAATACACTGGGTAATATCGTGTCGGGTGAAATAACCGAGGGATGGGTGTCTAGGACTCCTGCGATCAGTTCTAGATGCAGACTTAACTCTGGCAAAGGGTCGGACAGTGCTTGTACCAGTCGCGAGGTGAAGGAGTGGACAAGGGTCTGCGACAAGTTATGAAACCCATTCTTTGACAGAAAATGTTCTATGTTATGATATTAATTGACATGAGGCAAATTGAAATGGATTCAGAATATTTACCAGGGGTATGAAGAAGTTGACGAATAAGTGTGACTTCCCTAGATTGAGTCGCACCGTCAAGAACTTGGGTGAAGATTCGCTCTACTACGCCATCCAATTCATCTTCCTCTGGTTGTAGATACTCTGCTAGTATACCCTTCCTGGAAGCATCCAACAAGGGAGGAAGAGAGGATAAAATGACGTGCGGATTTCCTGAAAGACCGTAAAGAATGGAATGCCACAGCTCAGAACATCTTTCGGGGTCATCGCGATAGGAAAGATAGGCAAGTATCAACTTGTAGGAAGTTTGGAGGACCTTCAGAGCATGACATATAATCATATCATCCATACGCTGGGTCAATGTTGGTGAGACGACGTCAGTGCAACAATTTCAAATAAGATTTACCAGGGAGAACTCGTGGCGTTGGAACAACGAGATTCCAAAGGTATCGATGAGTATGATAAGCGATGAGATATGTGTTGATAGTTCAGCATCTTCAGAATCCAGTGCCTTCTCACACTGGCTTACAGACATCTCCACGACCTTTCCAATAAGCTTGAGAGTAGCGATAGCAGGAGCAGTCTCCTCCACGAATTGATCCGCGAAAACTTTCAAGATGCTCGAGATCAGGGACACTGAGACTGAGTATTTATCGTTGACGCCACCGACTATTGCTTCCCAGGCTTCGTTGAATAACCCTTTATTCACACTTAGACAATAGTGCGCTCTATGATTTAGAAAAAACTTACCGCTGTCCATATTATTCAGGGTCACCAAAGTCTGTGCCATCAACTTGCCAGCATCTGCCTCTCCTACTCTCAGCCTTTGTGCCGCAAGCTCGTCCCACAACCTAACAAACTGTTCTTTGATCACACTTTTTGCTGCCTCAGTAGGTTGTATACTTGATTCCTGAGGCCCGGTAGATGAAAGAAGGACAGTGTGACCCTGAGAGCCTCCAAGGACACGACGCAGTAAAAATACCATAGATTCAAGGAGAGAGGATAAAAAGGCGGTAGAAGGTGCTTTACGCTCTGTGGAACTGAGAGCACGGCCATCTAGAGCGGCCCAAAATGAGGAAAAGAAGTCGCCTAGTGGTGAAGAACGTGACGCTGAAAGAATCTGAAAAGGCAGTTACTTAGCATATGTATGTAGGGATAAGTAAGAAAACTCGCACAGAAGAAGGGATTGTCGAGAGAATGATTATGACAATTGGATATCCTTCCGTAGGAGATCCCGAGCAGCCTAACTCTAAGAACTGAAGGAACTCGTTATATGCAAGGGATGATCCACTATTTCCTACACCTCGCGGAAGTACAGGATCAGCTTCCTTTTCTTCTTCTGTGTCGCTATCTTCAGAATCAGAATCTGCGTCGTGTTTAGGGGAATTGAATGCGCTATCCAATACCCATGATTTGGGAAACTCTACGTTACAAGTTAAGGCGACCTTTGTTATTTTTTATATTGCACGCACTCACCTTTTAAGAATAATAAGAGGGGCCGCGACATTGTATTTCTGACTGTGACGTCTGTATCAATCCATGCAGAACGCAGTACAGCTGTACTAAGGATGGGCAGCATATGTTCCAGCGATCCTGCAAGTCGAGTCGAGTCAAGACACAATTATATCAAAAATGAAGCGCGGGTTACAAACCTTTCCAGCGTTGCATTAACAGTGATAGCAGAACCCACGCATTTTGACGCACCAAAGGTTGACCGAAACCGAAACTTTCCATGTCAACGTATGGACAGTGCTGGGCGGGACAAAGGGATGACCACAGTGCAGGATTGCACAGGAACTCTGTCAGCTCTCCCAAGGAGTCGGCGGAAATAGCAGCACGGGAATCTACATACTTCTCGATATATACCGGAGAATAGAAGAACCATAAGTCACTTACCTAGCATCCATCTGAAAGCTCCAAAAGCGCTGACTCGAAGTCGTGCGTTTCTGTCCATTTCACTCTCCTCTTCTCCTTCAGCTCGTGATCTGTTGTGCTCCACGTTATCGGATTTGGACGCGGGCATCGGTCGACTACCTGGCTTCTTAGCAGGGGGAGCAGCAACAGGCGGAACAGGATTCAGATATAAATATATCCCGTTTGGATCCAGTAAAGCTTTTTGAATAAAAGATGTGATGGTTTGTAATTTATCCATGTCAATTACTACCCTATCGTTCTCTCTTTGTGAGGAGAAAGTATAGGACCAAGACTTTTGACCAAAAGATGCGACTTGTCGATCTATATCGTATGAGCTCATGCACCAGGTGCCAAGTAGAGACTCGACGTGCTCGATGGTAGCTGATTCTTGGATGAAACCCACTGTAGCCTCTCGCACAGGTTGTATCCGTAGGAGTGAAGCGTGCAAACTCGCAGCCAGAAGGCGAATTCGCCTCGCAGGGTGAGTAAATAAAACTGGGACGCGGTGAAGCTTTGGTTTTGTTATGATATGGCGCAAGATAATAATTTACGATACGCACCCACACTGGAAGCATAGTGACCAATACGAACGATAGCGGACTATCGTCACCTTCTCTCTTCAATTCATCAACCCATTTCGATTGCAGTTCTTCGATTGCCTTCGCTTTTGTAACTGGGTCCTTTTTCCCCAGTGCCCTGAGAGCAACGACGAGCTCAGGAGGTAACTGATGGACCAGTCCCATTGTATCCAGCGGATCAGGTTGGATCGGTGCAGGTTTGACTGGAGGTATGTACACCTTTTTCTTTGGCTCTTTCTTCTGACCCTTGCCCTTTGCCTTTGGTTTCTTCTCCTTGGGGATGGGTTCTGGCGTTTGGGGGCCACCAGCAGCCTTGCGTGCATTTTTCTTTCTGGTTCCCGAGGAAGCAGATGACTTCTGACCTTTTACCATGGCTCGACGAGAGATCCAGCCGATCTACAGTCACAGAAGCAAGGATAGAGAAAAGGTGCAAGGCCTGTACGGTTCGCCCTATGTCTTTCCTGGAAGATAACAGTTGCAGTGATAGTTGCAATACTGAATACCCTCTCCCCAGTCAATTACAACTACCCGAGTTCCGAGTCCGAGTCAGTGACGCAGAGCGTGAGAGATCTATGGTTTACTAAGGGTATCCAAGGTCCTCCTCAGGAATAAACCGGGGTCCACCTTCCTATTCAAGAACCCAGCTTTTTTTTTGAAAGTACGGCAGTCCTTTTCCTTTGCTTTTGACGACCACACAAGGCAAAAAGGACGTGGTCTTTTCACCTCAGACCAACCGAGCTCTCTGTGTAGAGCGACCAAGTGGGGAACGTCAACAAAATGGCGTCCTCGTTATGGACGAAAGCGTCCAGGGTTGCAAGCGGGCGAACCTTCTTATTGCTTTCCTTGCATGGAAAGCAAACATTCTCTCCTTCGGCCATAAAACACACTGGTGAGCGGCTTTGGACATTCTCTATCTGAGAAATAACTAATGTCAACCTAGTCTCTTCAGCCCAGTTTTCCCTCAGTTCACGACAGCAGCAGTCTAATGCTGCTACTGCACCTTTCACGTCTATTCCGTCCCAACATGAGCCTGCAGTATCACCCCAGCCTACGGTGTCGCCCATACCAGATACTACGGAAGCAGTAAATACTGGGCCCTCTTTCACTGACCTGAAGCATTCCATCTCACACGACACCCTCAATGCGCTCACGGTCAAACCCTTCACTATGACAAGCATGACACCAGTTCAGGCTGAAGTCCTCACGCTCCTCCCAAAACTCGCAGAACCTTATGATCCTGAAAATTGCGAAGTGTCATCCCGTGAACCTCGCGATCTTCTCGTGAAGGCTAAAACAGGCACGGGTAAGACTTTTGCATTCCTGGTGCCCGCCGTTGAAGCCCGTATGAAGGCCATCGATGCGTATGGGAAGAAGGCAGTACGGGATGCAGGGCTTGTATCGGATAAACATATCGAGGCACGGGCACAGCGTCAATTCTCTCGCGAGCATGTTGGAGCAGTCATCATAAGTCCTACCCGAGAACTAGCGACCCAAATCGCTAACTCGGCCCTTAAACTAACTCAGCATCACAATTTCGAGGTCAGGCTTTTCGTTGGCGGTGCAAGCAAACGGATGCAAATGCGTGACTGGATGAAGGGACGACGCGACATTGTCGTTACTACGCCAGGTCGTATGCGTGACTTGTTGGAAAACGAACCAGAGGTGGCCAAGGGAATTTCGAGGTGTAAAATGGTGAGACTTCTTTCTCAAGTGTCACGAAATCGTTTTCTGATGACTGAACTATACAGCTTATCTTGGATGAAGCGGACACACTTTTGGATTTAGGTTTCCGTGATGATATCGATGCTATCGCTGAGTATATGCCCAAAACTCCAGAGCGTCAGACTTTCCTATTCTCGGCTACCGTGTCCCCTGCGATTCAGCAGGTTGCTCGCGCAACGCTCGATAAGAACCACATCTTCATTGACACTGTTCCGGAAAATGAATCGAATGTACACGCTCATATTGCCCAGTACCACACTGTGTTACCTAAGGCATCAGATCAGCTTCCTCACGTTCTTCGTCTTGTCGCGCATGACCAACTTACCAATCCTGGAAAGTCAAAGATAATGATGTTCTTCCCAACAACCAAGATGACGCAATTATTTGCTACCTATTTCAGGGAGTTGAGCAGGAAGGTTTTACCAGCAGGCAGACAAACAAGGGTTTACGAGATTCATTCCAAGAAGTCGATGGAATCGCGCACCACTACCTCAGATATGTTCAGGAATGACAAGACTGGTGCTTCTATCTTGATATCCTCAGATGTCTCTGCCCGTGGTGTTGACTACCCTGGTGTAACACGCGTCATACAAGTCGGTATTCCTGCCGGCACCGATCAGTATATTCATCGTATCGGCAGAACGGGACGTAAAGGTGGAACAAACGGTCGTGGGGATCTTGTCCTCCTTCCGTGGGAGATCGGTTTCTTGAGCTGGCAGTTGTCCGAGGTACCCCTGAAGCCCGTAACCACCAATGAGCTGAAATCGCAGATCAAAGATCTCTGCGCGAAGTACGATGCCAATCCCTCCGAATTTTTCAAGGATGTACCACCAAGCTCCGTCGCGCGCCTCCACCAAAGGGGCCGCTCTCCACCCCAACCTGTCACCAACTATACCACCCCTATATCGCCTGCTGTTGGTGACATAGACTCGACCGTATCAGACCTATTACAAAATGTCGATGAAGAAGCCGTCAAAGAAACGTTTACGTCCATGCTTGGTTATTACATTGCGAAAAGCCCGGAGCTTCGTATTCAGAAGGGCAACATTATCGAAGGGTGTAAAGATTGGTGTGTAGAAGCCTGTGGGCTGCCTACACCTCCCTATCTCTCGGAGTCGTTCCTAAAGAGACTCGGATACTCGGACAACCGTACCAAACACTTTGGCAAACCTTCAAGAGATAAGAGGTCGTCAAGCTCTGGCCCATCATGGGCTGGTAGGGGCAGCTTCGGGTCAAGAGATCGCAACTCGAGAACGTCTAGCTGGGGAAGGGATGACAATCGCTCAGCCCATGATGACGATTTCAAATCTCGACCAAATAAATATGGTAGCCAGCGTTATAACCGAAGAAGTCCTGAAGAGGGCGAGTCTAGCTTTGAACCCGCTGGCAAAGAGGGATTCAGCAGGCAAAGAACAACCTATGGTCAGCGGGATGGAGACTCAGGAAGGCGAGAGCGGGGCGTCGACTTTAATAAGCGAGAAGGAAGCTTCGACAGAGGAGATAGGTACAAGTCAAGGGACCAGGGAAGTAGTAGATTTGGCGTACGACGTTAATTACGCGGGGGCTTGCAAGGTTGTATCATATACACACATCTATTTACAGTAATCACTTGTTTTCGGTACTTCGCACTGATAATCATAGAACATCCACAACTCCCTTGCTATTGGTTTGATGAGTCCTGTTCGTGAATCATTGTTCAAGTGAAGAGGTTTAAATTGTGTAGAGTATACATATGGTGGGATGTTTCTACAAGTTGTATATCCAAAGAATAGATAGTTGTGTATTTTTATGGCGTGAGATCGCCACTGCCGTTGACGAGCAAATGTTCTTGCGTATTCTTCCTCAACACTTCCTCACTCACCATAGACTCTTCTGGATGTGGCGGGTGGAATGACTCTACTTGTTCTTCAAGTTGTTCCTCGAGGACAGCTCCCCCGCATGACGCAGCAACGAAACCGAGGAAAGGTGGTGAGGGATTGAGTGGTCTCGTGCAGAATTCAGGATGAGCTTGCAATCCCACGAAGAAAGGGTGATCTGGATATAAATTGTTAGGTGCTTGGGTCTCACGCGAACTCATGGAAGGGAGCCATGCCTTTCAGTTCCAAAACTTGCATACGCTCGCCCTTCTCGTCTTTTCCAACGAAAGGCAATCCACTGGCTTGCAGTTGGTCTACGTACTGCGGGTTTACTTCATAGCGGTGACGGTGCCTCTCCCAGATCTTGCCCGCTCCGCCATAGAGTTTTCGTATTTTCGACCAAGCTTCAGCTTCAGGTTCAAAGACAGTGGGACGCAACCCAAGACGCATGGTACCTCCCATGTGAGTCCTCGAAATTTCTGGCATGAAGATGATGAAAGGACTTTTTGTATCTTCCCCAAATTCAGTAGAATGGGCATCTAAACAAAGTAGTGAATACTGCTATAACATTATTGTGAGAGCCCGAGACCTGCCTGGAATACTAAGCACACTCCGCGCCCACTCAACGACAGCCAACTGGAATCCCAGACAGATACCTAAGAATGGAACTTTTTGTTCGCGCGCCCATTTTATGGCTAGGATCATGCCTTCTGTTCCACGCTGACCAAAGCCACCAGGAACGAGAATACCTCTTCGATCCATGGCTCAGCCAATAATAAAAGAATATCTGAGTGGGCACACACCCAGCACCAACGAGGGCTCTCCATGCATCGTGGTAGTTTGCAGGGTTAGAGTCTTGCGTTTCGGACTCCAGGTCAGTAGATTCTACCCACTATGAAGGCATTAAAATCCGTATTAAAAGTAGCAAAAAATAACAAACTTGGAGGATAAGTTTTCTGTGGACACGGAACGCAGAGTGCTCGAGAGCTTTGATAACAGACATATAAGAGTCTTTAAGGTCTGTGTATTTTCCGACAAGGACGATCCTGACTTCGTCAAATAGCCGTTCTTGTCTTCTTGAGGAATTAGTAAGATCTTGAAAAAGAATATTGGAATTTTCTAACCCTCTTGTCATGCCCCTCCATCTTGTTGCTAAGGATTGGCCTTTTGTCACCATCTCCGGTGTTATGTTCAAGCTAGCCAGATTCAGTCTTTTACGAAGATACTCGACAATGCCTTGTGATTGTAGAAGGAGTGGAACATGGTATACAGAAGAAACATCATGTACGCCAAACACTTGTTCAGAAGAGACGTGACAGAACATTGAGATCTTGTCTTTTGTAGCAGGTTGCAGAGGTTGAGGAACCAATAAGCGACATGCAATCTGGAGTAAAGCAGTCAGTCGCAACACAACCCAGCGTTCAACCTGGAGCCCGACAAACCAGATCAGGTAGAAGACCCAGTCCACGGAGAGCATGGACCGTAGTCTGTGTCGGTTTTGTTTTCTGCTCGCCGTGCATATCTGGCACAAGCGAAACGTGAATTAAAGCAAAATTTTCATGGCCCACACGGAATTGGAATTGCCGCATGGCTTCGACGAATGGTGCTGATTCAATGTCACCAACAGTACCTCCGAGCTAGGAGTCAATCTCTGACATTAGATCGATCCCTTACAATCACAATGAACACTCACTTCGACAATACAAACGTCGGGCTCTTCTCCGGTATCATCCGCAGGAATTTTAGAAACACGCTCTATCCAGTCTTGAATGGCATTAGTGATATGAGGCACGATCTATGTCAGGGGGACTTTAGCACGGGGCGACAAGACACGATTACGTTCGAAGAGACTCTGGCATTGCATAAGGTTTCTGGATGAACTGGCTCACCTGGACTGTCCTCCCCAGATATTCTCCTCGGCGCTGCATAAACCAAGATAGAAGCATGCATCGTGTTGGAGATGCACGAAGTAACAGACCTCCTTATCAATGACTTCTCGATAAATCTTACCCGTAGTGATATTGTTATCCTTAGATAGTGTAACGTCCAAATATCGTTCATAATTTCCCAAATCCAGATCCACCTCGCCTCCGTCGTTTAAGACATAAACCTCACCTATGTTCCTCTTCAGATTTGGATTTCCCGAAGGAATCTATGCTGGTAATATCTCACCATGTTCTGTGGGGCGCATAGTACCAGCATCTATATTCATATAAGGATCTATCTTGATTGCTGTGACCTTCAGGCCAGCCGTTTTTAAAAGGAGGCCGGTCGAAGAGGCTACAGGCAACACAAGCACATGAACATGGATCATTTCTACAACTGTAAAGCTCTACTCCGTACCAATGACGCCCTTTCCGATACCGCTCACGACGCCTCCAGAGACGAGGATGTACTTGGTCATCGTTGCAGAGAGAACAATGGAGGAGGTTGGACGTTTACCACAAGACGCGTCAAAAATTTACAGCGTAAACACGGTCCGTAAACATATGCAAAGGGTCTGCACTGCCACCTCTGATATGATGGATCTTGATTCTCGGGTCAGATGCGATAAGATGAAACGTACACTGGTCATATTTATGGCACAATGCACTGCGATATAAAAGCATACTTAGTTGTATGTCACTAACCTGAAAAGTATGGCAGGTCGATTCACCGATACCTCGACTACTAATAACTTATACAATACATCCAAACAGTCAGTATTATCCTTCTTCGTGAAGGAGGCCAGGACTCCTATCATGCGAAACCCCTCAAATCAACCTGTGCAGGCATCTGACCTCCAAGAATAGCCGCTATCAGATTTTGTGCCGCACGGGTAGCCATATCCCGTCTCGTTTCTAAAGTAGCACTGGCGATATGCGGCACAATTACACATCTGTGAAGTGATCGAAGTGTTAACGGCCAGCCAATGACTGCACGTCGAATGAACTTACTTGGGTTCTTTGACCAATGGATGGTCTACAGATACTTGTGGTTCACCTTCAACAACATCAATCCCGGCACCCCAGATCCATCCTTCTCTCAAAGCCTTTGCAAGAGCATCGGAATCAACCAAGGTTCCCCTGCTTGCATTGACAAGGATACTTGTAGGTTTCATTTTCCTTAAGAGTGTTTCGTTCACAACGTGGTAAGTACCACTTCCTCCGGGAGCGAGAATAAACAACACATCACTCTCGCGTGCAACTTCATCAATATCCACTCTCTTTACACTTTGTAGATTGTACTTCTGGGCCAGTTGTGCATCGCGTTCACTACTGGGAGCCGAGGACGGGTTGGAAGAATAGAGACAGTGGGTTATGCCAAAAGGCACCAAGCGTGCGAGAGTTGCTTGCGCGATGCGTCCAAAGCCAATGAAACCAATCTTACGCGTTGGAGAGGCTGCTGTTGTGCTCAGTTGTGGACCACAAAATCCAAATGGTGCCCAGGGATACTCTGTCCACTATTCAAGCGTGGTTTGTTATAAAATATATGCTATTTCATGGTGGGAATGGCTCACCTGACCCTTCTGCACTACTGAAATGCCGATTCCTCCGTTTCGACCTGCCATGAGTGCTAACATCACTGACAGATCAGCGACTAGGTTTTCAAGTGTAGCATTGGTTGGTTAGCATAGATAAACAAAGACATGATGAGAAATGTACCTGCATCTGTAAGAACATCTGGAGTATAGCCTAGTTTCAGTCCTCGTTTCGCGACAGCATTTACATCTACGTGCTCTGTAGATGGACTGTTAGAATCCTGGACAATGACGAAACAAATAGGTACTAGCCATATCCGACAGACATGGTGGAAACGACTTGTAGCGATGATCCTGCTAAATTCAAGAACAGAGTTAGTGAAAGTGAAACGATGGTTTCACATGCTAAACCAGCAGCATGCCTTTCTCTAGTAACTCAGGATCGACCTAGCGAGAGTAAATCTGTATTCTGGTAATGGGAGTAACTAGAATGCGAACACACCTTATCGGTCAACATCACGATCACTCCCGCAGCGCCATGTATGTTCTCGAGGAGCCACCTCCGATCACAAGCACGGTCTTCGGGCCAGACGACAAGCTGCGTTACGAGCTTCAGAAATTTTCTCAGTAGAGCGTATGGAATTAAGCGTACCTCCAGCTCAGGCTTTCCACGTAGGAGAGGCATCACATCTGGACCCAAGTCTCTGCATACCACGACCTTATACCGCGTACTGTTGAGATGAGAGGCGATAGACGTTAGACGGCTGCTTGACTTCAAAAAAGATGTAAACAACCCTGAGGTGGACATTTTGCTAGAGCGCTTGTCAGACTGGAGAGATCTAATGGCTTACTTATAAATGTGCAGCTTCCAGAATTAACCTGACCGTCTCTTTCCTGACAAGCAATAACATGGACATGAGAGAACGGAAGTCGGAATTAGGAAGATCGGTTTGCGAATCGGGCCGTCGGCTCGTCGGGCATCCGTGAAACTTGATAGCCAGCGAACCTGGGCATAAGTAACACAGACTCAGACTCAAGTTGGAATGAAGCTCACGTATCGAAGCTGCTATGCATTGCAGCCTATATGCGCATCGCAACTCTACACGCACCACGGCGAGAATACCGGCTGCTGGAGGGTATCTGTTTGGGAATAACGTTACCATTTCACCCGGATTCAGCCGCCTTTGAGCCATTCACAAAATCACCCCTTCAATAGGCATCAAGGCCCTTATTGTCCTCAGAGAGAAGGAGGATGTCATCCTTGTATAGGTCATGCAAGCGCATACAGTCACGGTGTATCGACAGCAATCAACAACACTTATCATGGCGTGACTGTGTATTGGTTTATCAACCTGGCGAATCAATGATCGCAGCATGGATATAAAGAGCATGGAAACGTTCCACTTCTATTGTGGGTCGAGGGTCAGTACGTGTTTGGTCGATTGTGGGCGTTCGGCGCTTCATTAGTGAGTACAAGTACGAGCAGAACGTTGCTTGTCTTCTCATCTCTTGCATCGATAGACTCATACCTCAGAAACATATATCGCCTGCTCAAACTATTCGTCATGAATAGAGAAACCAAACTTAAGCGGCATTTTGATGCCGTTATCTATGGAAGGTTGAAGATTGAACCGAGAAACTCATTATTGTTTCTTGAAGCAATCTACAACCATCCAGAACCCGTGGCTTGTATAAACAATATTGTTGCAGCAAAGGACGGATTATCATCGGTACAGAGTGCTATGCACTTTGATATCTCAATAGCTTTCCTCAATGGCCCTGCGTCTCTCCTTTTTGCCTACCTCTTGACGCCACAGCTCAAGAGCATCGCAGGCGGTACCCTGATCAACGAAGTGGTGCTCAAAATCGTAGACCCTCCCTTATTTTTCTATGCGCTTCTTGACGCTTTCAGGGCTGGAAAGCTAGAGGAAAAGGGACAGCAGAGCTTTGCTGCTCTCTTACTTCACCTCATTTGCCTCCCCGATTCGCGATCAACTTCTTATCGTGAGTTGGCCCAGAATCCTGCCGTCTTGGGAAAACTGGTGGCTCATCCTAACCGAGACACGAGAGCTCTCGGGGAGCGTATCAAGCATATACTCTCTGTCTATAGCACTGGTACCACTCTCGAAGTTGGTGGCCCAGGAGGACGGCACGATAATGATTTCTCGGACTTTCGCCAAATCGCAATAGTCCCTACCGCGGACGAAATCACATGCACAGACCCTCCCTTTCTTCGCTCTTGCGCAGAGCTGGAAAGCCCAGAGGCTGCAAGTACCCGCACTGCAGATTATCTTGATAATCAGTTCCGCTTATTGCGGGAGGATATGTTATGCGAGATGCGCGAGGAGCTACAGATTGCAAGAGGAAAAAAGAAAGGTCACTATCGCGGTCTTGTCATCAACGGATTGGATGTCATCGGCATCTCTTGTGGGACTCAAGCCAAGAGAACTAAGTGGGCCATGACTCTGAAATGTCGCGATGATTTGCCACAGCTGAAGAAAACGAAAGACAAGGATCGTAAAACCTTCCTCACCAAAGATAACGCTGGGAAACGGATTCTTAGGCACCAGTCTTTAGCATGTATTCTTGTTGACGGAGAGGTCACAGCTTTTGCAACTGTCACTCGGGACGAGGAGTTGCTGGCAAAGAAGCCTCCTATCGTTGTTCTTCAGATCGAAGGAGATGCCAGCACGATGAGGGCCCTCCTGAGACTCAAAACTGGCAAAGATGTCAAGCTGGTTCAAATAGACACCGCTATATTTGCATTCGAGCCGGTATTAAAAGCAATTCAAGGAAAACTGGAACTTCCCCTTTCCTCGGAGCTGCTTTTTTGGGAAAAAGGCATTGAAATCGACACTCCTCCATGTATGCCAACAGCAATCATACACGCAGTGGGGAACAACCCGCAGCAAGATCTTCGAGGACTATTAACGATATCGAAATCAATCGTGTTGGACAGATCTCAGGCTGCCTCACTTATGTCTGGACTGACGCAGAGGGTTTCATTGATCCAGGGTCCACCAGGTTCGTCGTCTTATGTTTGTCTAGTGAAGCTTTTCTGGACTTTGCACCTCACTTTAGGTACCGGAAAGTCATTCATCGGTGCGCTTTTAGCAAAGATCTTGCATGATTTCACGGAGCAGACAATTCTGGTCGTGTGTTATACCAATCATGCATTGGACCAGTTCCTAGAGGATCTTCTCGACATTGGTATACCTGAAAGCAGTATGGTCCGACTGGGTGGGAAGTCCACAACAAAGACAGAGAACTTATCGCTGTACAACCAAAAGAAGACGACTGTCAGACGCGATAAAGCGGAATGGAGTATTATAGACAAGCTGAAGACTGATTCAGAGCGACTTTGCAGTGAATTAGAGACGTCCTTCAAGCGATATATGTCATCAACTATACAAGACGATGACATTTTGCGTCATCTAGAATTCGAGGATCCAGCCTACTTCGATGCATTTTCTGTCCCAGAAACTAATGACGGAATGACCCGTGTTGGGAAGAAAGGCAAGGAAGTAGGCCCGAATTATCTTATCAACCAGTGGCGAAATGGTTGGGATGCTGGCATATTCAAACAATCCTCTCATGTGCAAGAAGCGCTCGAGATTTGGAATATGAGCCAACCTCTGCGACAGCAGAAGCTGGAAGAATGGAAGTTGGTCATTTTGCAAGATCTACTCAGCGAAATATGTCGTATTGCCAAAGAATACGATAATTGCGTCAAGGTCCTTGGCCAAAGGTTCAATGAAGGAGTACAGATGACCTTGAAGCGTAAACGAATTATCGGCTGTACTACTACAGCGGCTGCGAAGTATAGAGAAGATATCAGTGCAGCTTCTCCAGACGTACTTCTCGTCGAAGAAGCAGGAGAAATCTTAGAGAGTCATATCATAACAGCTTTGGGTCCTAAAACCAAACAGTTGATCTTGATAGGAGACCATAAGTATGTTGTCATTAGAGGGTCATCGGCGATTATTGATTTGAATGTTTTCTTAGGCAACTTCGCCCGAAAGTAAACAACTATCTTCTGACGGTTGAAAAAGGCGAAGGCTACGATCTCAACAGATCCCTTTTCGAGCGCCTGGTGCTTAAACAGTTTCCTCACCAGACACTTACCCAGCAACATCGCATGAGACCAGAAATATCCTCATTGATTCGTGCGTTAACGTACCCAGACCTTGTCGATGCAGCTGGGACAAAAAACCGTCCAGCCCTGCGTGGTGTCCAGAGTAATATTGTTTTTGTGTCTCATGACTATCCCGAAGACGACAATCCACAGCTTGCAGATCGTCGAGATATGAATGCCTCTTCTTCGAAGCAAAACTCGTACGAGATTGAAATGGTTTTGAAAATCGTGCGGTATCTTGCACAGCAAGGCTATGGAACAGAGAAACTTGTCATATTGACTCCGTACCTCGCGCAGCTGCATAAGCTGCAGGCAGCGCTTCGAGAGGACAACGATCCAATTCTCAACGATCTTGACTCATATGATCTAGTACGTGCAGGGCTAATGACGCAGGCAGCAGCGAAGGTGGCAAAAAAACCACTTCGCCTTGCTACAGTTGGTATGTCTTTCATGTTGCGTTAACGGGTATTACATTCTCACAGGTATTGCACAGATAACTATCAAGGTGAAGAAAGTAATATTGTGATTGTTTCGCTTACCAGGAGCAACCCGGAGAATAACATCGGTTTCATGTTCGCTCCTGAACGTCTGAATGTTCTTTTGTCTCGTGCACGAGATGCACTCATTTTAATTGGAAATTCGCATACATTCATGAATTCTCGCACTGGCGGAAAGCTTTGGAAGGATTTCTTCGACTTGCTAAAACGGGGAGGTCACCTATACAACGGCTTTCCTGTTCAATGTGATCGACACCCAACACGAATCGCCACGTTAAGCCAAGCCTTTGAGTTTGACGAGAAATGTCCTGACGGGGGGTGTAATGAACCTTGGTAAGTTGCTCACTCCTTTGTGCCGGCCGCTGAAGTTTACCCTTTTGTCAGTGGCGCCAAGCTAAACTGCAATTTGCATTTGTGTCCATCGAAATGCCACCAGCTATATGACCACTCGAAGATGCCGTGCGAGTTTATAATGTATGGAAAGTGCACAGGACCCAAGAGTCACGATTTGTCCTGGCAGTGTTATCAAAATCAGCCTCTCGTGTGTAGCAAATGCGAACGGGATGCGAAACTCGCTGAAATCAAACGAAAAAGAGATTTTGCACTGCAGGAAAAAAGAGAAGCGGAGCAAGCAGCACATGCCCGCAAGCTGGCAGAAATCGATCAGAAAATTGACGATGTTACACAGACTTTGCGTGACGAACAGCTCGCAATAGACAGGGATAACGCTATTCGACAGAAATATATGGACTTTGAAGCAGCTGCTGCGAGGATTGGACAAGCTTCAGCTCCACCTGTATTACAACCGCCGTCTGCTGTAAATGTAAATCTATTTCGCCCAACTAAGGCGAAGAAATCATCTCTCCCATCTGCAGTGCCGTCTTCATCTAGTCATGTTTTTCCTCCTGAAACCTCCGCGTCTGACCCAGAGCGTCCAGAAGAATCCGAATCATCTATTGAATGGGAGCGTCAGAAGGAAATGGAAGGGGTACGAAACGACGCAATTGATTCAATTATGGAGATGACTGGGCTCGAAGATGTCAAACGTCAAGTCCTGCGAATTAAAGCCAAAATTGATGTCGTCAAAAGGCAAGGAACATCGTTGAACAAAGAGCGCTTCAATCTTGTTCTCCTTGGAAATCCTGGCACTGGTGAGTGATAAAATCTAGACGTGTAACTGTTTGCTACATAGTCAATACTAGGCAAAACGACTGTTGCAAGGCTATATGCCAAATTCCTGACCTCGATAGGTGTTCTTCCAGGTAGTGAATTCATCGAGACTACTGGATCCCGCTTGGCAAATGACGGCGTCGCTGGAGCTCAAAAGCATGTAGATGATGTTATCAACGCTGGAGGAGGAGCCATATTCATCGATGAAGCTTATCTTTTGACCAGCGAACACAACTTCCAAGGGAGACAAGTATTAGATTTCTTGCTGGCCGAAATGGAGAACAGAGTTGGATCTATCGTATTCATTCTAGCAGGATACAACAAGCAAATGGAGAAGTTTTTCGAACACAACCCTGGCTTGCCGAGCCGTGTGCCCTACCAGTTGCAATTCGCCGATTACACCGATCTCGAATTGTTAAGTATGTTAGAAGATCTCATCAAGAAGAAGTATGGCGGGAAGATGAAAGTGGAAGGTGGGATTCGAGGCTTATATGCTCGCATTGTCGTGCGGCGTCTAGGTAGGGGTCGCAACCGAGATGGTTTTGGGAATGCACGTGCTCTGCAGAATATATTCTCCAAAATCTGCGAGCGTCAGGCGGAACGGATCAACAACGAGCGTAAAGATGGATTGGCACCAGATGACTTTCTGCTAGTCAAAGAGGATCTAATTGGCCCAAATCCGTCAAGCGTAATGACTAGGAGCAAAGCCTGGGACACACTTCGTTCCTTGATCGGCCTTCAGTCTGTCAAAGATTCAGTGCAGAATCTCTTTGACTTAATTCATGTCAATTATCTACGCGAGCTGCGGGAAAAAGAGCCAATCCAGATGTCTCTGAACCGCGTGTTTCTCGGCTCGCCTGGAACTGGCAAGACGACAGTAGCTAAGCTCTATGGGCAGATCCTGGCGGACATGAAACTTTTGAGCAATGGCGAAGGTTAGTCCGTTGGATTTGACAATACTTCAGTCGTTGACATCATTATTAGTGGTGGTAAAAAATCCGGCAGACTTCGTTGGAGCTGCTCTGGGACAGTCCGAGAGCAACACCAAAGCCATTCTAGCCAATACAGTTGGGAAGGTTCTGGTAATTGATGAGGTAACGTGGACGGTTGTGTAGTTCCAATATATTGAAGCTCAAAGTACAATATTAGGCGTACATGCTGTACGATCGAGGAAGTGGCACTAGCCAACAAAGTGACCCTTACAAAACAGCCGTCATTGATACCATTGTTGCGGAAGTACAGAGCGTACCAGGAGAAGACCGCTGTGTTCTGTTGTTGGGTTACAAAGACCAGATTGTTGAAATGTTCCAGGCAAGTACTGAAGTACAATATCTAAGTTTGAAGCCTTATTGATTCGCTACTTTAACATCAAGAATGTTAACCCGGGCTTATCACGCCGTTTTGCGATTGAGAACGCCTTTCACTTTGAAAATTTCACGGACTCGGAACTTCGAGAAGTCCTACGACTAAAAGTCAAGCAACAACAACTCGGAGCCACAGAAAAAGCGGAAGATGTGGCTATCGAAATGCTGAGTCGCGCTCGTAATCGCCCGAATTTTGGAAATGCTGGGGAAGTAGAGAATATCCTGGGCCAGGCCAAGGGACGATACCAGACGCGTCAGGCCACTCTTCCTGTCAGTAAACGGTCTTTCGACGTTGTCCTAGAACCTCAGGATTTTGATCCTGACTTTGACCGCAATGAGAATGCGTCCACGAACCTGGTGAAATTATTCGAGGATATAGTAGGCAGCGAAGATATCATCAAGAAGTTGGGTGAATACCAGCAAATTGCCCGTACGATGAAGGCCAAAGGCATCGATCCGCGTCAGCATATTCCTACTAATTTCGTTTTCAAAGGGCCCCCAGGTAAAGATTTATCTCCACCGTTCAGCTCGCGATCAGAATATTGATAAACACTCTTCAAGGAACGGGGAAAACGACCACTGCGAGGAAAATGGGCCAAGTCTATTATGACATGGGATTCCTTTCCAATGCGGATGTCGTAGAATGTTCAGCATCTGATTTGGTCGGTCAGTATGTTGGCCAGACAGGTCCAAAGACAAAGAAGGTGTTTGAAAAGGCCCTAGGGAAAGTTCTTTTCGTGGACGAAGCTTATAGGCTGGGTGAAGGTCATTTTGCTAAAGAAGCAATGGACGAGCTAGTGGGCCTACTAACCCATGAGACATTCAAGAATAAACTTATAGTCATCCTGGCAGGATACGACCAAGAAATGAATAATCTCATGGCCGTCAATACCGGACTCTCTAGTCGATTCACCGAGGAAATCAATTTCCCAAACATGAGCATTGTGCACTGTATAGGGCTCCTCGTTAAAGAGTTGACGAAGATGGGGGTATTTTTGGATGGCATTGATAATCCACAGTCTGAAACGTATCAAGAAATAGAAGGGATATTCGGGGCTCTATCTGGTCTTCCATCATGGGGTAATGCACGAGATGTCAAGAATATGGCTGAGAAGATGATCCGTCAAGCTTTCATGAAAGGCGGTCTGCTAACAGCAGAAGATGCGGTGGCCATATTGACCTCTACACTAGACGAGAAGCGTGAAAGACTCACGAACGTGCCCATAAAATCTGGGTTCTCGCATTTCGGAACCCCTCAGCAGGCGGCCCCTGTACCACCTCCTTCTATGACTCCTCCCGCTCGAATGGCGCAGGTCACGAAGCAGGCCAGGCCTCTTAGCAAGCAAAATTTACCCAAGCTCGCCAACGCACCTCCTAAACTTCAATCATCTGGATCATCCGGTGTTCAGCGTGATCCTGGTGTGTCGGACGCTATATGGCGTCAACTTGAAATCGATAAGCTGAAGGCTAAGGCTGTGGCGGAAAATTTGGCGAGGGAAAAAGAAAAGCTAGAGCGAGACATACAAGAGGCTAAGGAGCGCGTAGAAACTGAGAGGAAGTTTGCCGAGGCGCTGGCATCTGCTCGTGCCAAGGATGATGCAGAAAGATCAGAACTAAAACGACAAAGGGAGCAGGCCAGGCTACGAGAAGCGACAGAGAGGGTGGAGCGCGCAAGGCTAGCTGCCGCCCTCGAAGCAAAGCGACAGGAAGAGCGAAAAGAACAACAAGCTCAAGCAGCGCTGCGCCGTATGGGGGTATGTGTAGCAGGCTTTCAGTGGATAAAAGGCTCAGGAGGATACCGCTGTGCAGGAGGCTCGCATTTCATTAGTGATGAAGCATTAGAGAGCGCAATGGGTTAGGTTAGACACATGTATTGACAATATCTTTTTAGTCGATCGTAACCATGACTTTGCACTGAACACGGACATTAATCAGGTCTAGAACTTGACAAGTGAAAACAAAAATACTTCATATGTTCATGGGTTCCAGTCCTTTCCTTTGTCAAGACAGTCCTTGACTACTTAGTACAAACTGACTTTATATTAGTTATTCAGTTACAGCATTTTCATCCATCGTAACGTCGTTATCCTGCTGCTCCTCAGTTTGTTCAACGCCAATACTCCCAGCTGGCCTCCAGACATTACCGATCGTTGCTTTCCATAAGCGTATGCGTCCATCATTCCCTGCAGAAGACAGTACGGTCCTGAAGGGAAATTAACACAGCAGACCGTATCAACATATATTTTGCTAGTAAACAAAGACGAGACACACCCTGTTATATTCCACTCGACCCTCCCAACAGCGGATCTTAAGGTAAGTGGTCAATAGCGGGTATGAAAGGTCGGGTCACGAATGGACACACCTATGATGATCGAAATCAGCCACCACGATCCCCGTCCATCTGTGGTCACTGCCCTCTCCTTCACCATCCGCATCGGCATCGCCTTCGTCAGCTGGTTTTACTCTCCATATCCTCACATGACCATCGCGGCCACCAGTAGCGACAAGATGATATGAGCGTCCGCAAGATGGTGCCCACGCGACGGAAGTTATGGCATGTGGTGCTGGTGTATCCGTGTCAGACGTAGGAGCCAAAGCTGTGGCAGTAGCCTCAGAAGACGATGGGTAGGGTGTAGGTGACGGGTCAAGCGCCAAAAGTGTGGTGGGGCGGCGTGAAGGAGACATATGAATAATCTAAATGAAAGACGATTAATAAAGCGTTGGATAAAAATAACTTGGTCTGAATGTACTTTAACAACTCCCGAGATACCTGATCCTGCCGCAATAACCTCCCCCCAATATCTGTCTTTACACCAAGATATGCACCAACCACCATCAGCTTCTCGATTTCCCATACCGGGTCTGGTTTGACCTGATGGTGCTTGAGATTGTTGTAGCGCCTGGGCAACAAGGGAAGCAGAGGCACCGTCGAGAGTGGCATTGGTTTGCGTGGGTGTTGCAAACGCGACTGAGTGAGACGAAGGAGAGGAAGTGGAAGGGAGCGCCAAAACATCAACCTCTTCTGAAAGTTGCCACGTCGTAAGCGAGGATTGCTCGAGACATTCATATATTCGAAGGTGATTGTCAGAAGATATTGTTGCCTAAGTGGATTTTCGCAGAGGAAAGGACATTCATCAGTAGGAACATTGTTAGCATTTGAAGGGCCGACTCACTAGCTTTAATCCAAAATGTCGAGGAGAGAATTCCACAGCCCTCACAGTTCCTCTAGCATCAACCAATGTGGATCGCTCTACCCAACGAGAAGTTGATGGGACTGATGCAGCTTGCAGGGGAGCAGTAGATCCCGCGCCATTCAGGTTCAAGTTTACTTGTGCCTCAGGCTGCGATCCAAAAGATGTCTGCTCCCATATCTTGACCGTTCGATCAAACGAAGACGACGCGATGATTGTGCCAAATTCTGGATGGGCCCAACAAATTTTTGAGATTGCAGCGTCATGTGCCTGCAAGACATGTAAAAGATGAAAGAGGAGAAGGATAAAAAGGAGGACGTACTTTCCAATCATCTTCTACCTTCCAGTTTCCATTGCTTTCATCAAGTTGCCATACCTTTATTCTATATCATACGGTGTTAGTTGGTCCAGGTTTCATTCATAGGAGAGAAAAGGTGTGAACCTTTGGTCAATGCTGCCGGTTGCAAGTCGAAGTCCGTAGAAGTCGTAGGGTGCGTCAGTTAGCAGGTCGTTGTGTGCATTTTGTATAAGTCCCGTTTGAATCATTTTTCAGCCACGGTTCAAAACCAGATTCGAACTGTAAGTGTTCAGCGCAAAGGCTTCGGAATATAACAAGAGCAAACAACGCGAAAACCACTTACTGTCACAGACTTCAAGTTAACGTAATAGTAAGTTTGAAGAATACTCCGCACCTTCGAAACTGTGCATTCAATCTGGTTAGCAGAACCAACGAAATGCCTTTTAGCCACTCTTCAACGTCATCCAAGTTTTCGCCATGTACTGACCGTTATGGAACGTTGTGTGACCAGAAGCATTGACACCAGCACACTCACATTGTACGTTCAACCTTATAATAGTCCGAACCTCATGTGTATCAATAGATTTCCAGACCTTGCAGATCTCTAGAATATTTTAGGCGATGAATCTATATTCAAGTTTCGATAGCTCAGGAGTTGTCCGACGTTATTCCGAGTCCATCTGCATGTGACTGCACACCCCGCATCCATAGATTATTTAAGAATGCGCAATGCATACAAGCAGTCCCAAACACTCTTTTAACATCTCACCACTGTGAAAGCCTGACATGACAGACAAGAAGTTGCCGAAGGATTTTACCTGGGGTTTTGCTACAGGTGAGGTTCCAAAGGCATAGTTTATGTATCGCAGCATCGCTCACTCTTTGGAAATAGCCAGTTACCAGATTGAAGGTTCATACAACGAAGGTGGTCGTGCACCCTCGATCTGGGATACCTTCACAAGAATTCCAGGAAAGATCGCGGATGGGTCTTCTGGAGACGTTGCAACCGACTCCTATAAGAGGTGGAAGGAAGATGTTGCGCTTTTGAAGTCATATGGTGTCAATTCATATCGTTTCTCATTGTCGTGGTCTCGAATTATCCCTCTCGGCGGGAGGGGAGACAAGGTCAACCCGGAAGGAATAGCATTCTACAGGGGTATAATCGAGGAATTGGTGAAGAATGGTATCACACCTTATTTGGTAAATCAATTCCGTTTTTTAGCCAGTTTGCATAACCTTGGCTCACCTTGACGCTTACAGACCTTGTATCACTGGGATTTACCTCAGGAACTCCATGATCGCTACGGAGGCTGGCTGAATAAGGATGAGATTGTCAAAGACTTTGTCAACTATGCGAAAGTAAACCTAAAAAATGACGTCTTCTTGAATTACGTAAATCTGACGAGTGTGTTTGACAGATCTGCTATGAAGCTTTTGGTGATATTGTCAAACACTGGTATGACCATTCCAAATATCTGTCTAGATCACAAAAAATAAAGGACCGCATTAGGATCACTTTCAATGAACCATGGTGTATTTCCGTTCTCGGATATGGCAAAGGCGTATTCGCCCCAGGACGAACGAGTGACAGGGCTCGGTCTTCCGTAGGAGATACTGCCACTGAACCATACATGTAAGTTTGTGGCATATTATTCTGTAAGCAGATATTGAGCCATATATTGTTAGTGTAGGGCACAGTGTGATCATAGCACATGGGTATGCGGTTAAACTTTATCGCTCAGAATATCAGTCCGCGCAAAAAGGTACCATCGGAATCACACTAGACAGTAGCTGGTTTGAGCCCTACGACAATAGCAAAGAAAGTGCGCTTTTGTTATAATCAGTTCAACTGAAGGTATCAAGGTTTATATAACTTCGAACAGACATCGCAGTAGCGCAGCGCGCGTTTGATGTGAGGCTGGGTATGGATTCTCTTTTTCTATCTACAGGATATGGAGGCTGAATTTCTTATTCATCTATTGACTAGGTTGGTTCGCTGTACGTATTGAGTTTCCAGCTCTAGAGGTTTTATAGTGCTCACTTAACGAATACTCAGCATCCGATCTATCTGGGTTATTACCCTGAAGCCCTCAAGAAGATGATTGGTAATCGTCTTCCGGAGTTTACTCCGGAGGAAATAGCAGTGGTCAAGGGCTCCTCCGATTTTTTCGGTTTGAATACATATACCACACATGTCGTCCGTAAGTATATCCATAATGTCATATTTAATCATCTCACTTATTCTCGCTATTAGAGGAAGGTGGTGATGATGAATTTAACGGCGGTGTCAAACAATCGCACAAGCGCGCTGATGGAACAGAATTAGGAACCCAAGGTAAGATCCTATATTTCCAAAGGAACATTGTGGTTTATCATCAATACGGCAGCCGATGTGAGCTGGCTACAAACATGTAAGTCATACTAACCAACCTAATATTCAATACTTATCAACTTATGTCGATGCCATAGACGGTCCTGGATTCCGTAAAGTAAGCAATCGCAGTCGAATTTGGTCAAGGTGCTGCTGATGCTTGCGTTTTTCTCAAGTTACTTGGTTACATCTACAAGGTTTGAAACACTCTCACCTCCTCCTCACACATGCTCATTCATGTGATATCAGAAATACGGCAAGCCGATATAGTAAGAAAGGGCATCTCCTAAATGATCTTCACAAGGAGATACTAAGGGCTCTTACTTAGTGTCACAGAAAGCGGCTTTGCCGTCAAGGATGAGAACAAAAAGACGGTCGAAGAAGCAATAAATGATACTGACAGAGTCGAATATTACCACGACTACACGAAAGGCATGCTCGAGGCGGTTACTGAAGATGGTGTAGACGTCAGGGGTTATTTCGCTTGGAGTATGTATTTTCCTCTATATGAGTAAGCGGTGATTCTGACAAACCACACTACAGGTCTTTTGGATAACTTTGAATGGTGCGGTGTATTTTCTTGGGTTGGTAACATTTACTGGATTCGCGATAACAGGGCGGAAGGTTACAAGATACGCTTTGGTGTGACTTACGTGGACTACGAGACGCAGAAACGCTACCCCAAACAATCATCCAAGTTCTTGACTGAGGTATGTCTTGACTCTTTGAGAAGAACCCAACCGAGGTTTATACATATTTCATTGCAGTGGTTTTCTTCGCATATCTAAGAATATTGTATGTATCAAGATATCAAGTTGGATCGCGTGTACGATTATTTGTGTCGTTTGAAATGAATTTACTACCTATTTTTGAGTTTCCCCAGCACTTGTGACAAATGCGTCCAAAGTAAGCACGTGATTGTGACCTCTGCCGCTATGTGACTTCGACGATTGCATCATCGACCCTAAGCGGATTTGGTACAGGAGCTGAAGTCCACGGCTTTGTCTCCCGACTAATCATCATGGTCTCCCTCGTAATAGGCGCTTCGCGTGGGCTTGGGCTCGAACTTGCTAAATATCTCCATTCCAAAGGTCAGAAGGTCTTTGCAACTGTTCGCTCGTCATCCTCTCAGCAGGAACCATCATGTTCTGGCATCCATACGATACCAGGGGTTGATGTTGCAGAAGAGGGGGCTGGAGAAAAGATAGTCAGCCACCTCTCGGGCGAGAAGCTGGACCTAGTGATTATAAATGCGGGGCTGCTCAAGAAAGAGGTAAGTTGTAAATCATCTTGAATGCATAGTAGACTCGTACTTCAACTCTCATCGTCTTTAGACGCTCGATAAACCCTCCTTTTCAGATGAAGTAGACATGTATAAAACTGTAGCAATAGCTCCTGTATTCTTGGTCCATCATCTGTTAGTATCTCTGCTGCATCTAATAGAACCAAAGCGCATTGAACATGTATTTTCGATCCAGTGTCACTGCAAACGCCTTGAAGTCTCCTTCTAAGGTAATTCTTATTACTACAGAAGGTGGATCCATTACTCTCCGCACGAGAGAAGAAGGCGCCGGAATGTATGGACATCATGGCAGTAAAGCCGCCGCCAATATGGTTGGTAAGTTGCTTGCTCACGACCTGTACCATAAAGACATTACTGTGGTCATGATACACGTAAGTGATCCGTTTTCAGTTGAATGGATGTTGTGGTGCTATAGGTAACATTGCCTAGCCTGGTTTCATGAAAACAGATATGACAAAAAATGTGGGATTTGATCAGTTCTACGAGTCCGGAGGAGGTAGGTTCTTATTCTAAAACGTCAGATGTCAACCAAAGCTTGATTTACAAACGTGACGTCCTCAGCTGTTGAACCATCAGAAGCCGCCATATCGACTATTGACTTTATAGAGCAACTTACGCACGAAAATACAGGCACATTTTGGGCTCCCCGTGGCCCAAGGTATGTCTCAACTTCTAATTCCGTTCCTAGAGCTGCATTCACATTTTAAAACCACTTGCAGGGATATCGGTGAAGCAGAAAGAGTCTTGGGCAAGAATTTGCCTACTCCTCTACAGTTACCCTGGTAAGCCGGTGGCTAATTGGCAGATCCTGGCGAGTGTGGCACGAATTGCAGGCTGTTGAAAACTTTCGTGTTCTGCCAATAATGTATCTACATTGCAAGTGAATAGATGCGAAATAGTATAGTCCTAGATTTTGGGCATCTTCTAAGTCCGCGCTCAGGCCACAAGGCCGTTCACGTATGGGGCCATTGCAGCGCTCACCAACAACGTATCGTTCCAACCGGTACCATTGTAGGTTGGCACCTCGCTCAAGATGTAATCAGTGGCGAAGCTACCAGCGGACCAACCAAGGTAACCCAGAATGACTGAGGAAACAATGAGTTAAGAGGGGTAGTCGAACGCGAGTAGATGAGATGACTTCACCATCTGAGTTTGCAGCTTGGTACGCAATTTGCTGGGAAACGTAGGCAACGCAAGACGTAACATCTCCACCACCGGTCTCAGTGTTAAGTGCCTGACGGCCATTCTCACGTAACCAGACAGAGAGGGGCTCCCAAGCATCAGCAATGTTGTTGGTCACACACGGGGCATGAGTACCACTACAGAGAAGCAGGATGTTAATGGCAATGGTTTAAATATAGGTGAACGGCGACACTCACGAGTTGTCGTAGTCAAGGTATTTATGAACATCCATGACAAGGTTTGTGATGGTGCCGTCGGGGTTTCTCACCGCGTTGAGTGCCTCAGCGGATCCGCTGGAGACAAACGTCTCTGCAGAAGTGTAGTTGTTACCAGGAAGGAGAACGATTTGGGAAGTCGCTCTGCAAAATTAGAACACAGTCAGGGAACAACTTGATACTAAACAATACAATGACAAACCCCGCAGTACGGATAGCGGTTACAGCAGCTTGAACCTTCAGGCAAAAGAGTGTGAGCAAATCGCCATCATAGAAGCATCGTAGAAATGCATATGTACCGATTGAGCCCAAGTGTAGATATCCTTGTCACCGAAATATTAGTTATGAAGAACTACAATAAAAGACAAAAACATACGGGGATATCATGAGGCTCATTCATACTACCGAAGAACTCAAGTTGAGCACGAAAATGACCTAGAAAGGCATGTAAAACACGCACACTCCGAAAACGACGTTGGATTCGTCCTTCCAGTATGATGCAATGTTGTACCAGAGGTCCGCAAAGATCTCGTTGCTAGGTCCACCTTGGCCAATGATCTATTCACCATCATAAATATCGAGCACGATAACGCGTGCTGTATGGGACACACCTCTCCATCATATCGAGCATAATTGTGAATATCGATCTCACAGTGAGCGCCAGTACTGAGACACGCCGCGACAAGCATGTTGTAGTTTGCAAACATGGTCTCGTTAAGAGTACCAGTCATTACATTGTCTGTGAGATACTGCCAGCCAACAGGGAGACGGAAAATGTTGTAACCATCATCGTTGATGAAGTGTGTCATTTGACCGAGGCCATCCGAACCTGTCAGTAAAGTCAATGAAGAGAATATCATGGGGAAGAAATGGAACACACCACCCAGCTGGGTCAAAGGTGGATCAGCTTGAGTGATGTCGCATGTCCCATCAGTACCACAACCGAAATCTGTCATGTCAAACGAAATCAGAAAACATCATTGCAGATCGGAGCGAGAAATCATTTACCGAAGCCGGCGATGTTAACACCAGCATACGTTAGAGGCGTGAACGTAGTGCTTTGGCCGCGAACAGATAGCGTAGCAAGCGCGGCGACAACGAAAGCGTACAGAGTCTTGACAGCCATTGATCGATGCGAGGGAGGTCAAATCCTACTGAAGGTTTGCGAGCATCACTCGACCATTTTATGCCTGTCGAGGAAGCATTGATCAGCACGGCTAAAATAATAAGTCTCAAGTAACTTACCTGAGAATTCCTTCGTTTTCACATACGTTAATAACGCACTGCTATTTTTCCAACCCGACATCTTACCAATCGCCCATATCCGGGTCCTATTTCTGGCGGCTTCTGTGCATGAAGACATAGAAACGCATCTCTGCTCCAGTACTTTACATCTAGCCACGAATGCGAACAGAACATGCGCCTCAAGGGACCTTCCCGTATCTGTAGAAAGTCATTCACGTCGGTACCTGAAGTCACGAAATAGGAGCAGAGGCGGTCACGTGCACGCCACGGGTTGCGGATGAATGTCGTGTCATTATCGGGCAATCAAGTAAACACGCCTGATATAGGGCGCGTTGGAAGCTCCTGCGTTACAGTGCGTATGACTTCAACTCTCTGTATTTGTCCATTCAAGGTACCGAGAGTCGGACATAACCAAAGACAGAAGGCTTTAGGCCAAAAATCGGCCTAAAGTAGCCCGACGAAAAATGATTACCAGTGACCAAACCTAGAATCCACCAAGCCTAAAGCCATCAGTGAGCCTCATCATGTCGTTGGTACCATAGCGTGGACGGCTGATGTAACTCTGCTGCAGCGTCCTCTCACCGGAGATCAGCACGCTAATGACGAGGCAGAAGTTACCAGTCATCATATGAAGTGCCGAAATGGGACCTAATGAGACCCATATAGACCGAAAAACTCAGGCTGTAGTTCCTCCTGCATATATATTTCATCCGAGTCGGACCTTTGTATTGCTTGCAGAGCCGGGAAGGTCGTAGATGTGTTAAGTCTCCAAGCCGTCCTCAATTCTTCCAGAAATGATTTTCAGGTCTTCTGGGAAGCTCATGGCCAATTTGTATCTGGTCCGAGGAGAACTCACTATGCGCGGAATGATTATGGGACTGATTTCAGGAACAGACAAAGGTGCTGTGAACTGGAGAGCGGTAGTATATATTAGTATGCCACACCAGCTACAGCTTAAAACGAAACGCACGATGCTTCACCCATGCTTTGGTTCGTGTCAGTGGTATACCTGCGACTACTTGAGATCTCCTTCTTCGAAATGCCATAGGTTTTTGAACATGGATATTAGGCAGTCGAAAATTTGCTTGTGGCAAGTCATAAGCTTCTCCAAGGACGACGACAGACTGAACCGACGTTCGATGGAGAGTGTTTTCATCCAAGTCTTTGGGGAAATATACGGCTCAAATGATCCATGGAATGATGTATAACTAACAATGCGCTATTGTATGATGACGAAACTCGGGTGTATCATGCTCAGGCCAATGAGCATGGCTGAAGGAAAATGAAGCTTATCTCCTGAAAGTATCAAGAATCAAAAGTAGAACAAGACTCGAAGACTCATTCACGGTACTTGGTACGACTTGGTGTGGAAGAACTAGAAAACCAAGACTCGAGCACGTGGATTAAGCGAGAACCTCGGTTCCGACCCATAGTGTCCACCGAACACACACCCAACAATACGAAATGGGTCAATGCACCAGAACTGATAGATGAATTGCGCAATAGGTGACAAAAAAGGCTGAAGAGATATTTGGTATATTTCTAGAGCATCAACTAACACAATGTACACAAATCACACGTTCCACAAAAAAAAAACGCGAAAATCGACGGCATCCAGCTCCTTTACGCAACAACTCCGTTGGCGGTCGGTGCCATGCAAGTAGAAACGAGCGTTGTGTCAGTCCAGGTGGTACCGCTCTCAGTGGGTGTCTCGCTGAGGACGTAAGTGGTAGCAAAGTTACCAGCTGCCCATCCTACGTATCCAAGGATCACTGAGAAGGCAAAGGATCAGTAACTAGTAACACTCCCTGATCGATGTATTTGTTATGCCCACCATCTGAGTTCTCCGCCTGATATGCAATTTGCTCGCACATGTACGTCTCACAGGAAGCAACGTTCCCTCCACCTGTTTCTGTGTTCAATGCTTGACGACCGTTGCAGCGTAACCACTGTGAGAGGGGTTCCCAAGCGTCGGCGATGTTGTTGGTGACACATTCTGCATTGGTTCCACTTATAAAATACTATGCGTCGGTTGTCATATGAAGGTGTAAAATCAATTGTACGCACGAGTTATCGGAGTCGAGGTACTTGTGAACATCCATGACGAGACCAGTGATACTTCCATCGGGGTTGGTCACTTCGTTGAGAGCATCGGCGGATCCATTGGAGACGAAAGTCTCGGCGGATGTGTAGTCATCACCAGGGAGAAGGATGAGTTGAGTGGTGGCTCTGTCATATCAACGGGGTGTCATGGTACTCATTCTATTCCAAAAATCGCACTGACTTACCCGGCTTCACGGATGGCAGTCACAGCAGCCTGGACTGTTCCAGCCCAGAGCGTAATCTGCCACGGGGATTATGAGACAATACATTGAGGTCAGTTAGTTTTCAGAAACATACGTTGGGAAGATCATGGGGTTCGTTCATGCTAAGATCCCTAGTGAGCATACAAGGCTATCGGGGGAGAAATGACAACTTACACTCCAAAGACAACCTTAGACTCGGTGGCGTAGTAGGTGGCTAGCGAACTCCAGAGAGAGGCAAAAATTTCGTTGGAAGGTCCACCTTGACCAATAATCTATATATGGTAATCTGATAAATACTCATTCTGAACATGTCACGTAGTATAGTGGGGCATACCTCGCCGTTCCATCTCGCATAGTTATGGATGTCGATGATGCAACTAGCACCAGTTGCCAAGCACGCCTGAACGAGGGTATCATACTCAGCGAAGTTAGTTTGGTTTAAAGTGCCGGTCAAGACGTTGTTAGTGAGGAATTGCCAGCCGACAGGGAGACGGAAGATGTTGTAATTGTCATCATTGACGAAGTGAGTCATTTGCCCCACACCGTCAGCACCATAGTACTGTGTTAAGGGAGGGTAGGCACCGCTCGCGGTACAGTCCCCGTCGGTATCACAACCGAAATCTATCTCCGGATACAAGTGTTTAGAAAGCTCTACTAAAATAAAGAAAGAGAACTGATACTAACCAAAGCCTGCAATGTTAACGCCTGCATAACTCAGTGTACCAGCAGATGCAGCTGGGGTGGCACCACAGGTGCTGGTCGCTGTCGCTCCTGCAGATGTAGTCGTTGCAGTTCCAGTTGCCACCGTAGTAGCAGAAGCAGCCAGACATTGGTAATAATCTGGATGTTAATACCTATCAGAAAAACCATACACTTTCAATAAAACACTAAACGCACAGGAGTTGACCTCAGTGCAGACAGCACCTGAGACGCAAGTCGTGTCGCCGGTAAAGCCCTATGGGTCATGTCGTTAGCGCCAAACAAGGTAGATTGTACTTCTGCATTCACTTCACCACCACCTTATAAGAAGTAACATTAGCGTTGTATGCAAAACCGAAGTAATAGTAACATACATTGCGCGTAAATGGCTGCTTGACCGCGAACCGAAAGGGCAGTGAGCCCTACAAGTCCAAGAGCATAGAGAGACTTCAAGGCCATTTTTGTTCTGAGTAAGCTCGAGTATGAATTCAACGCAGATGCCGGTGCTTACAAAACTTGGTCCATTTTATAGGCTATAGAAGTACTACCGGGGCATAATTTCAGAGTTAATTCTGTCCAGACAACCACATTGCACACTGGCGAGGGAGAAACACTTCGATGGAGGCTGTACGCCGAAGGTTCACCGAATACGATCAACTTCAGTGTGAAGTTTCCATCTCATCCATCGAGAAAAGCCGCGAGATGCACATATGTCTCGACAGGTGCAAGGCTTGAGCGGTCCTGAATTTGCAGGTCACTTCTCACGGATGATTTTCGCCATATCATCGGATTGAGTAACAACATCCCAGGAGGGTCTGTCATAGAGGCCAACAGTCACATAAGGTCCCTTAATTTTTGCTAAGAATATGCACAACATCTACGCGATGAGAGAAACAGGGAGCCGTGACTTGCTCACTTCTAGCAGCTAACATGAGCTTCGGCCACCATGGACATGATCGTGGTATGTGACAGTGAAAATTTGTTCCCGGGTTGATGTCGGCTGTCATCGAATCTGAGGTGAGTTTTTCCTTGGCATGAGACCTCTTGTTCTACGAACCAAATGTGAGGATATCGTCAACGGATCTTGTTATCATGAGTAAACAAAAGGAGACTTGCATGGTAAAGGTTACCTCGGTAACCACATCTGAAGTAGGACCACAGTAAGACAATGAAATTCAAAACTGGAAGTCAGGCATGCAGGTACAGAATGCAGCGTGAAAGTTGGAACCACTACAGCGAATCCGACTGGCCGGCAACTGCCGACCATCACTGCCGCGGAGTGGAAAAGTTGCAGCGTCACAGTTCCCTTCTATAATGACTGTCAGACGTCTACGGCCTAATTATGCTCTGTCAATAATCATTCTAAAGTCTGGTTCATGAAATCTTTTTGCAGTGCAAATTATCATTCATGATGACTTTGACGAGCCTTCTCTATGGAAATTTGCCCCGTTGCCCTGGCCCTGAATACCACAAGGGGAATTGACCGCGCCGCACGCGGTCCGCTGAACAAGGACGTGTTCATGATTATGCAGTTAAGCAAAAGAATTTGAGGGCAAGTATGTCATTTCGACGAAGAGAATTCCGTACTGAATCCGCCGACACAAGCAACTTCAAAATATGCCGTGACCTGCAGACTCGGAAGGTACGTTTTCACGATACGGCAAACTCGAGGTATAGCCGGATTTTATCCTTCACTGCATCATATACTTCTTCTTAACATCGAAAGATATCTACGCTACCCTGACATTGACATAGGTCCCGTTTTCAGTCGCTTATAGGGGAGTTTCGTTAGATGTGTCTCAAGGTATCGTTGTTGAGTGACTCTTCAGAGAAGGGCAAAGCTCCCGCTGAAACTTCGGCTTTCATGACTCTGCAAAAGTATATGGATCACAGTGATGACAGGCGATAACTAGAAGCCAGTGTTTAGTTTCCAGTCGAAGCCTATCTCAATAATCTTGTCCGAGGTGTTGACATATGATCTCCGTAATTATACCGTGGCGAGGACTGTGAGACTACTCTAAAGTTAAATTCTCCCGTAAGAAATGGCTCGAGTAGTAGAAGTTGCAAAAGATTATCGATTATCAGTCGTTCTCGTTCCTTGACATGCCCCCTTTTCTCAACCACTAGACTTGCCTCTTTAGTTCCTGACCGGATGTTACCGTGTCGCACGGACATGGTCCACGTGGTTATCACAGACAGATCGGCCGAATCTGAAGTTTATCGCAAAAGTAACCGTCACCACAACATGCAAGTAGATTCGCCTTATGAGCTGCGGCAGATAGTAGAGCTGCGAGGTATTCAGCCTTCCTCACGTACACCCAAACATACATTGACTTTTCTACAGGCCACGATGATCGTGCATGGCATGTGGCCTGGAATCCAGTGAAACCTCTACTGGCTTCTTGCTCAGCAGATAAATCAGTTCGCATGTATAACTATCATGCAAGCACCGATCACACAGATGTGAATACCACTGAATTTTCACTGTTTACAACAATCCCCACTGGACACAGTAAAACCGTCCGTAGCATCGCCTGGGCTCCGTCTGGGAAGACACTGGCCACCGGATCATTTGATTCGAATATCGGCATCTGGGAGCAGGAAATACGTAGTGATGGCGAAGATGGCGAAGGAAATGGGAATAGTGGAGAGTGGGAGTGCATGACATTACTAGAGGGACATGAGACCGAGTGCAAGAGCGTCGCTTACTCCAGCTCTGGAACATTGCTTGCTAGTTGTAGCCGCGACAAGACTGTCTGGGTGTGGGAGGGTATGTCGGATACGATCCTTTTCTTTCAAAGCCAGATCTGACGTAGACCTTTCCACAGTTCATCCTGATGCTGATTTCGAGTGCATGGGGGTGCTCATGGAGCATAGCCAAGATGTGAAGTGTGTCGCCTGGCATCCAGAGGAAGAGGTCATTATCCCCTATTTTCCATATTCCAATTTACCCAACAAACCCACCTCTTTATCACTGACAACTTTTCTCAGGACAGATACTTGCTTCTGCTTCTTACGATGATACCGTAAAACTATATATCGATGATCCATCGGAGGACTGGTTCTGTTTTGCAACGCTATCTGGGCACACCTCCACCGTGTGGTCAGTCGCTTGGTCCCCAACGAAAAGCTATCTCGCCTCCGCTTCAGATGATTGCACAATCAGGATATGGAAGAGGATGGAAGAGCACAAATGGGAGTGTGTCCTTGTACTCAAAGGCCATGATCGGAGTATATATTCCATCCACTGGGGCAAGGGGACGGGAGATGAAGACAGTATAGGCTGGCTTGCCAGTACTGGAGGAGATGGGAAGATCAATGTGTGGCGGATCAACGTAAGTAGCGTATCGATCAAAATAATAAATCCTTGCTCACGTTCATTACACCTTAGGAATCACCGGAAAATTCAGGACCCAGGAAAGAAGCTCTCGAACATACCTTACTTGCGACTCTGCCATCTGCCCATGGTACTAGTGATGTGAATGCTGTTGCGTGGTGTCCACGAGCAGGATACGAGGACATGCTGGCTACGGCTGGTGACGATGGTTCAATCAGAGTTTGGAAGATTGTACGAGCATAAATGTAATCATAAGAAAATATGTATGGTTGTTGACCCTGGTATCTTGGGGCAGAACGATGTCTTACTTATTTATATGCTACTTCCACACCAACGAGAGATCGATGCAGTTGTAGTATTATAGCTCCAACACATACATAGGGCACATATACACTATCACCAACAAGAAAACCGATTCTACCGGTAATAAGCCATGTCCGAGAAGTGTCTACTGAGTTACACCGTTAAGTAAAAATACGAGTACGAGACCTTCCCTGAATCCCCTGGATTCTAGGACAATACAAAAGAATACAATAACATCTGATGACTCCTGTCGTCAACATATCAGCTAGATATAAACAAGGAGATGTCAAAAGGGTATGGTGACGACGAGATAGAGGCGATGATGATGATCTCTGTTAGCCTGCGTTTCCATAGAAAGGGCGCAGTAACAGCTCCGTTTATTTAAAACGAGCAAGCTGTAGGCGCAAGTCCAAACTCATATCCGTTCATACATGCAGATGTAGGCTTTCGTCTTCAGAACCTCCTCTAGACTCGCTAACCGAACAACTGTGTCGCTGATGTAGGCCCAATCCCTCCGAGTCTTGGCTGCCGATAAAGGCTTCTCAGATTCGGAACCTGTGGTTTCAGATGAAGACCTCGCAGTATCGCTACTCGTCGAGCTAGGAAGAGCAGTGTATGCTATGTAATGCCCGCCTAGCTATGGTACAGAAGAACATCAGTCATGTAAATGTCGCTAAGAAATTACTATGGACATACCATGTTACCGATGTGAACCACGACAGCGTACAGCCGATACATGCAGCGCTCAGGACGCTTCCCACGTGATCTACCTGTCGCTCTCGACTTGAAGAATTCATCTTTCTTCGGGGCAAGATATGGCGCAAGATCCAGAAACTCAGGAAACGACACGTAGTCATCAAGCTTCTTGAAGCCATTGGAAAACGATATAACGGGGGTCTTGGACGTCTGCTGAAAGCGCTTCAAGTGGACGACGAGCACTGGAGGTGGAGTCGAAATGAGATACCGTTTGAACGCCGGACGCATGATGACCTGCTTAGATCGAGGAACTTTGGAAGGTCTTGGCTCCTGTTCGGTTCGCTTCATCTCACTACGTGGCGGAGAAACAGGTCGTGGGAGGTGGTCTCGCGATGCGTTTGGTGAGACAGCAGAGGAATGAACAGACGAGGCGTCCGAACACAGCGACATGTTGCCAGACCCGTCACTGTCCCCGTCAGAGAAGTCATCTGTACTATCAGTAGTATTATCAAAAGGAGGCTCTTTCCGCCGCCTACGATAAGCTCTGGGAGCCTGTAGGGAGCCTCTCGACGACAGTGTTGTTACTACAGATGGCTGTGTCGAAGTGGAGGCGAGGGTGTCCTGCCGTTGAGGTATCGCCCGTGCAGTTAGAGGGGGAGAGAGTGGAGACTCGGGGCCTGTCGTGGATATCACTGGAATAGGAAGCCCACCGTATATATTCGGACGGCCGTGTGGACTCAAAGGAGGTTTGAGAGACCGGGATCCAACAGTTGTGTTCGCGGATTTCTCTGAGAAACCTGTATACACACTGTCGTGGGCAGAAGAATCGTAGAAAGATGTTACAGAACTCGAAGGAGAGGCGGTGGCAGACGGGTAGGCAGAGGTAGGTGCTGATGAGTCAATACCCATAACTCTGAAGCTCCGCGGTATGACACCATTGGGGCGAGGTGTGCGCTGTTGTTCTTGTTCTTGAATGCTTTCTTCACCCACATTCTGTTTCTCGTCATCGCTATCTGTGCACGACTCGGATCCGTGCGCTTCTTGCCTGGCTTTGGGTTTGTATAGTCCATTTGCTATCTTCCAACATCGATGACAGCCGACCATATTCTCCCCGTCCAGTACCTCGACCGACGTGAACATCCTGAGACATTCCTCTATCCCAGCCAGCTGGCTCATCTTCAACCAAGCGTTCGGAGGATGTGACATAGCAGTGCCGCCAACATGATCTTTTGGTGGTTTGAATATCGCGAAAGGGTTTGTCGGCCCCGGGTTAATATCTGCAAGTATCTGGCGAAGGTAAGCAGACTCCTCATTTGTTAACTTTGGTGGCCGAAGTTTAGACCGTTTGGTCGGTAACGATGGGCTGGATGGACGTGCTATGAGGGGAAACTTGGGAGTGGACGGTATCACAGGTGATGGCCCTGGTGATGGACGAGACGATGGAGAAAGTGACCTTGTCACAGAAGAAAGCTGTGCTTGCAGTTTATCGTTGACTGCATTCAACGACGTATGCTCCCGGTCAGACATTACTTCCGGGGTAACCACAAGATTCACAGCATCTGTAGAAGGGAGAACAAACGTCGCAGCTGGCGCAGGTGCCTTGGGAACAGAGTCCTCATCATCCATCGAAGGTAGTTGCTTTGACAACAAGGGACTCTCTTTCTTCTCCTTCTTTCGTTCCTCTCTAGAACGTCGCCGGTGTTCTTTGGATTGTTTGGTTAATCCGACAGAAACACTAAGTCTTCTACCCAGTCTTGTCCAGCTGTCTTCATCCTTTTCCTTCTTTTCCTTCTTGTCCAATTTCTCTTGCTCAGCAAACTCGACATGTTCTCCAACTTTATCTTTGACCTCAATAGATCCAGAACTCCGATTTGCCGAATCCTGGGGTGGTATTACAGGTGATGTATTAGCCGATACAACTTCCACCAAAACTTCCGCTGGTTTATGGCCTTCGCTGGTTTCTGCAACCGGTGGATCGACTTCGACCAGATCGATACTTCGTCGTCGTGGAGAGCTCAATACATCTGCGTCGTCATCCAACGCTGAAGACCTTCTCGGTGTCGCAGGAACAGATGACGAGCGCTGCACCGACATCCCAACACCCAATGCCGTTCCTGAAATATTTCTAATCTTCTTCGCAAACTCCTTCAACTTGTCGCGCTTCCGACCTCGGGCGTAATCTTCCGCTTTGATGCTCAGACTGAGATCGTTGAAATCCTCGTAAGTATGAGACACATGTTTGCACGCCTGGCATACGAGCACGCTGGCTAATTTCCCACCAAAAAGCATGTCGACAAATGAAATTAATCTCTCCTCTTCGGGTATGGGTTCCGTCGGTCCGTTCATGACCTGCGCAAGCGGTGAAGATGTAGGTCGTACATTCCGGGACCGGGGTGGGGGTGACAATGGTTTGATATTCGACTCACTCCGACCCTTCTTGTTTTTGTCTGGCGGAGGCTGTCGTTTCTTGATAATCTAAAATGCCAAATCATAATCACTCGTGAAAGTGTTTAGAAGGATTCAAGGATGATGACGTACATCTACTTCTTCCATGCGCATCGCGTCGAGTAGTTGCCGTAAGAACTCATGAGCGTCTTGTTGTCGAAAATCAAGGTACTGTTCATACTTCTGACCCAGAGAAGCCAAGATATCTCTGCAACGAATACATCAGATGTTGCCGGCAACGATTTTGAATAGTTCAGATAATCTGGGGAAGCCCAGATCAGTGCGGAAATAGTAGAATGCGCAGGTCTGAACTACCGGCGATTCGAACAAGCGCCCGTGGGCCAAGAGGGAAGGATGGAGATTATTCGGATACACACCTCGGACTCATACTTTCACGCTGACGCTTTCCCTGGAGACCCCATGCCTTGAGCATAACAGACACAAATCTATCCCCTATAGGCAATCCAGCCGTCCACGGCTGCTCCCATTCTCCACCTAATTCGTGACCATTGGTAAGTTCAGGCGATCTCTTTGATGCGATGAGCGTCAATGCAGATGTCTGAACAGAGTGAGGCATGGGGTTAAACTGTACAAGGTCGGCAAGATATCGTGTTGCTATGAGCTGCATTTCAGAACTAGTGAGACTTTGGTTGAATGGGATGAGACTGAGAAGACACGCACACCCTGGAGGACGGAATTCATAAAGCAGGTGTTGCCATGATTGATGAGACCAGGAGGAAGGAGAGCATTTCTTTCCTGCTCCTCCCGTTGTTTCCTGGCCCTGTATACTTCTTGGGGTGTAGGAGACTTTTGTTTCGCCATGTCAGGACGTTGCCAGCCAGGCTGCGAGGGTCCAGTGGATAATTCAGTAAGATGGGTGGGCTGAGGAGAATATGGATGTGGTTCGAGGAATGGATTGCAGGAATTGGAGCATGCGGGTGGGTTATAAGAGAGGTAGACAGGGAGTAGTGCAAGGGGGATGCGCTGCGTCTTGAGCGCAGTGTGATCAGCTCAGGTCCATTTGGCTGTTCACTTTACGGCTTCACGTGCCCCGGCCCGCTTGCATAACCCATTATGATGGAACCACACCGTTCACTTTTAAGCACATTTTATAGGTACAAATCCTGAAACTCGCAAAAGAGCCTCAGTGTAGGCCCACACGAGCTCCAGGGGAAAGAGCACGCTGAAAGAAAGGCGAGCTATCAGGCGAACCTTGCTGAGCGCTGGAACTCCGAGCTTGCCAATTGCGAACCGCCTGGCAGTTGCAGCGTTGATCCAGGGGTGGCGACGTGAAGATGGTAGTGGAGCTTAGGGAAGTTAGGAAGCCTCAGCGGAAGTAAGCTTTGTAAAAGCCAAAACCTCCGGATAGTAAAATATGAACAAAGTCTATATATGTAGCGGAAGAAAACGCGGAGGTAACTTGTGAAAACGTCCGAGCATTCCGAGCGGGGTTGGTCACCGCCCGCTAGAATATGTTCAGGACATGCTCTAGTTTCTCTATAACAGTCTTGTTCTCCTCTTCGCTGCCGACAGTTATCCGCAGACATCCAGCACACCCAGCTTCTCCCCCTCTATACCTCACGACAATACCGTTCTCTTCCGCTAGCACCTTGTACACCCTTTGTGAACGATTATTATCCGGGACTCTTGTCTCGCGATCCAATATTGGAACCACCACAAAGTTCGCGTCGTTGCCACCAATAGCCGCACCCACCCCTAGCGCAGAAAGGCTGGATAGTGACTGCAGAAGCTTGCCCCTGGAGGATATGAGCGTGTTGATTTTCTCATGCATTTGCACAATGGCATCTTTTTCTAGAGCAGCAAGAGCCAGGTGAGCGGTCGGAGTCGATATGTTGTAAGGAGCCTTGGTATTTGTGAGTATTTGAATGAGCGGTGGTTGTGCAATTGCAATACCCAACCTGCAGGTTACTAAACATCAGAATGCTACTTGGTAGGTCATTCAAATCGGCCTTACCGGATAGCAGCAAGCCCAAAGCTTTTACTTAACGTTTGCAGAACACAAACATTGGCGTAGTCTTTCACAAGCGAAACAGCACTAGCGTTTTCTCCCGCAAAGTCTATGTAGGCTTCGTCAACGACCACAATACCCTTGAATGGCTCGAAATCCAACAGAGATCGGATTGCTGATAGGCTGACCAGAGTTCCGGTTGGGTTTCCTGGAGAGCAGAGGAATATAAGTTTGATGGAGGGATCCGAGACAACAGCTCGTTTGACCTGTTCGTCACAGCGGAAGAACTGAGCCAAGTACATGGGCAAAGAAGTGTAGTGGGCCACATACCTCGTCCACCAGTACACTAAAGCGTCCCCGTTCCCCGCCCTCTCCTTCATTTCCGTCCAAATTGAGGTTACACCGCACGATGCCGATATCGTTGACTTGTGCACATACAGCGTACATCCCGTAGGTAGGAGGGGTGATCAAAATCTTGTCCTTTGCTGGTGCCACGCACACCCTCATCACAAGATCGATCACCTCATCTGACCCAACACCAAGGAAGACGTGGTTCTTCCCGGGCAACGAGCGCAGACCTGCTATACGAGTTTTGATATCGTCGTGCGAGGGATCGGGGTATCTGTTTAGATTGAGGTCTAATGCAGCTTGTAATTCAGGGTATATTTGGTTCGAAGAGCGTGGAATGGAGTGTCCGAGAGCGTTTTCGTTGGCATCTAGAAGGATCCCTTTCTGATAGTCATCTCTAGCACATCGGTATGGGTGTAAGGCTAGGATGTTTGGGCGAATAACTTTTTCGATATCGAAATGGGCTGGTTTCAGAGGCTCTGACGACGGTGCGAGACCAAGGATTGGCATTTTTTAAACCTGAAATAAAGAAAAGTTATGGGGCCGAGTAAGATACAACGGAAATTTTGCAAAACCGAGTCATCTTGAACTCAGAGAGACCCAAAGATTTCACAATGTAATCTACATGGAGTCACGTGACTCTAACCGAGATAACAATCCTACTTGAACGTTTGAACCCTGGCCCCATACCCACAACTTACTATCGAAGAAGTCAAGTCCTATTTACAAAGTAAACGGCTTGTTAATTGCATATGTTGCCACAGCTCCATGAAAGCAAATCTACTGAATCGAAATCCAAAGCGACCTGACACCAATGGGAAATCCATTGCGTGCACTCGAACCTTGATCTCGTATACGAGTGTATACAACATTGTAACTTGAAAATCACAATTTAATATACAGATCTACAGGTCGGTGAAAGCCTAGATAAAGTACCATCAGAGTGTTTCAAATATTATAAGTAAGAAAAAGCCTACCTCCTTCTCCAGCACTCCCCAGATGTTGAACTGGACCAAATCCGATCGACTGCAGTATCGTTTCAAAATCCTCAGGAAGAAGCTTTAAACTTTTGGCGTTCTCTTTTAACGTCTGCACGGTAAGGATGAATAGGTAGTTATTAAGTTCAAGGAATATCGTGTCGAACCTCGTCCATCCGTTTTGCTTTTGCGTATGTATCCCAGTCCTGTGGCTCCAAGACAAATGCACCTCCAGGCTTCAGCACATTATGCACACGATTGAAAAATTTAGTGATACCAGCATCGCCACTGTTTAGATGTATCCATTTTGAAATGGAAAAACTACTAACAAAATCAGTAAAGGAGGAGAGGGAGAGATAAATTAAACACAGTACGCGAGAACGACGTCGTAAGGAGTATCGTCTTCCGGTATCTCATCTTGAACCCAATCTGCCGTTCTGAAGGAAACGTTGTGGGGAAAGACGTGTTTCTTGTCTGTCTGAGGTGGAATAGGCAGGGGGCCATGGACGTGCTCACAGGAAGCAGGAAAGTAGTCTGCTAGCTCATCTTCTTTCTCTGTTGATTTTCGCCGACGTTTCGTAGGGGGCTCTGCATCAGAGACACCATCGACATCGCATGTTGAGTGATCGTCAGGTGCTTGAAGACTCCATACAGTCCGACGCCTTTTCCATGCTGCCCGTATAAGGGTATCATCGATATCCACACCAATTACCCTTTGAGCACCCCATGATTGTCCTAGCTTCTTCACGTCAGTTTCGATGTATTCTCAATGTTATTTAAATAACAGGATACCTATTTCGCAAGTGACCCAACCCTCGTTACAACCAACGTCCAAAACACGCTTTTCAGAGAAGAAACTCGTAGGAAGCAAGGCAAGGCGATGGTCGCGAATAAATGGCCGTTTGGAATAATAACTATAAGCGAATTGTTGGTTTGAGATTGGGGCGAAGGTATTGCCATATGACTTACCCATGATAGTTTCCATACACTGGAACTGCGACGTTGGAAGGCATAACTATCCAGAGCTTAGATGTACGGTTAAACTCGAACTTGACTTCACTGTAACTCGTGTTAAGAGTGAAAGTCGCGAATTTTCAAACTCAGTATCGTCATACCGTATGACTTTTCACTGACATACACGATGATTGCCATCAATCAATAAAAGTACGTCAAACAAAGAGGACTTTACGCAAAATACGTGCTCTAGGACAGCCATGCAAAGATCGAATCCCCAGGATGTCACTTCACTTACCTCGTGGCTAGGCTTCTATCAAGGCTTGATCCTCGATTCTATAAATGTTGGGTCCAACTACGCCCATGCTCCTTTGTACGTCTCTTAGGGTCGCTCATCGTCGCAAAGATAGAGCTCATCGCAACCCACTGACTTTCGTAGATATTATCTCTGATCTGCTCTCTCAGGAAGGATATCCAGAATGCCTGGCCCACGTTCAAAGGCGAAGAAAGCGAAGAAGACTCAGAAACTAGAGCCTAAGCAAGAGCTGGACAGATTTGAGCACCTCGTAGATGACATAGATGGGGCTGAGGGTTGGAATGCCATCGTCAGTATTCTTTGCGACTACTTCCAGTTACCTGGTAAGAGACCCATCTATACGCCGGTGTAGAGCGTAAGGGCCTGATTTCTTCTATTCATAGACCTCACAACACGAAGTGGACTGAAGAAACTATTCACCAACTTTGACGTGTTCTACCGTCGTCTAGATAATGCCTATGAGGCAAATATAGAAAACGATAAAATGACCGGAGGTATTATAGGCATCTTTACGAAGATGTGTGCAGACTCTATTCTTCGGACCAAGTTATTTGAGAAAGGTTGGTGTTTAGCTGGAGTCCTTAACTAGCTGTACTTACGAATTCCTGTCATCATAGGTCTGTTAATGAAAATCATGCCGTTGATTAACAAGCCGTTATGTCGTCATTTGGCACTGCGAGCCCTCACTACTGTTACACATCACGGAGGCGCTGAAGTGCGCAGAGAGATCGCGGTGCAGGCTACACCCACTCTCCTTGGTGTACTCCAGGACTATCCTGACGATCTCAAAGCCGCAGAGCTTGCAATTAGGACGCTGGCTCACTCGATCGGGTCCCTCATAAACGTCGCCGATAAACCGGATATCAAAGATATCAAACGGCTGAATGTTCCAACTATGATACGTCTTGTCACAGGTTTCGTACGACGACCAGGTGTCACCGTCGTATTAGTGCACCATGCCATAGAGTTGCTCACTCATCCGACTCTTCATTTCTGGAAAGACTGCAAAGCATATCTTCCAATGGTATCCTTACTCGTTGCGTCTTTGCGTAGCACTGATCTACTGGTCCGCTCCATGGCTCTGGGTGGCTTACTTCGCCTCGAGGCAGGCGCAGCCGAGGTTGACCAGCGGTTCAATGACCCACAGAAATTCATCGCATCCATACGACGTAAATTCCCCCAACATCTCTCAGACATCATGATGAACTATGGCCCAGACCGGTGTGACATATCGCTAACTCTCTACTCATACGTCGACAACCAGGATGCTTTCATGCAATACGCGCAGGATCAGGATCTGTATGCGCTGGCCAAGAAGCTCGCTGGGTTCATAACTAAAAATGAATTCTCTATAACGGATGGTGGATTTCAGACTCAAAACCCGCATACAGGAAGAATGGAGGAGATGGACTTAGGTCTCCCCTTTAAGAGATGGGCGGATGCGCTACCACATTGTGCCAAGATTATTCGCGAAAAGGGATGTGTAGGAGAAGAAGATTTAGCAGATATGCTCGATATGAAGCATTTTGTCATCAAATCTCGTATTCCCGAAGCAGTTGCTCTGGCGAGAAAAGCTATAGAGCGCAACCCGAGATTTCCCTATTTCTACTACATTATCACGCTAGGAACAGAGATTGAGGAGGGCTTGCGCTTTGCAAAGAAAGGTATGAAGTGCAAAAACATCACTCCCTTCGTACGCTTTGCCATGATGCAGCGTGCTGTGGAAATCGCTGGTGATTTAGGTGTTTGTCGTCTGCTAGAGGCGCAACCTGGTGACCAGAAGTGGGAAGAGGGTATTGCATTCATCGTGAGCTCGTTGGATGATGCCAAAACGTACATATCGGAGGCCCCGCCTGATGCAAGACATATGAAGAATGTGCTGTACTGGTACATTGTACTGACTCTTGTCGTCAAGGGGCCGAGCATGTCTCCTGGCCTAACAGAGCTACAGGTTTGCCCACCAATGTTGGCATCGATTTCTTCGCGGTGGGCTAACGATAGAAGCAACAGGATGCAATCCACAAACTCCAGACTGCCGACGAGTTTGGAATATTTTCGGGAACTATACCGCCCAACACGCAACTTCGGTTGACGCAGCAAACAGTAGTGAAACTTTACTCTTCTGCCACAGAAGAGTGGGGGCCCGTCATCGCACATTTTGACAGCCTAGCTGCTTATGACAGTGACCATCAGGGGCAGTCTGTTATCTCCGCTGAAAAGGCCGAAGACGACCTAGCTGCATGGTTGGACGAGATGCGCCTTGATGATGGTGCACAGGATGAAAGCTGCATTGCACGATGCTCACACCCCAGGATAAGAGCGAACAGCGTGGAACTATACAGATGTTCTTATTGTGGAAATCCTAGTGCGGTGTTGAGGAAGTGCAGTGGGTGTGCAAAGGCCAGGTAAGAGTATTCTCTCAGATTTAGGGTTTAGACACATGGACCTCCGGAAATACTTCATTTCAGATACTGCGACAATTCTTGTCAGAAATCCCATTGGAGTGAACATAAGATTGCGTGCAAGGTCTGACAGGTGATGGTGATACTAGTCTCCAAGTAAGTACTGTCAGTCATGCTTGCTGTTACAGTACAGGTGGATAGCCGATAATCTCCTTCTAAAGATTATCGATGATCGTTCGGTATATTTCTTTCTAAGTGGTCATTCCGCTGGTTGAACAAGCAAGCAAGCTGATACATCATGTTTCAAAACCTTCCTGTTGTAAAATATTTCGTTGTATTAATGTACATCCACCTGCCATCCTGAGCGCTGTGCAGACTTGAAACTCAGTGGCTCCACGCATACTTACACTACAACCGTCACAAGCAGAGGATGCTTCCGACACCACTGTAAATATATCAGTCCCCAAAGAATATGGCATCAGGAAAACCGCACCGATGCACGGTCTGTGGCCATGGTGTGCTACTCCACCGCACTTTGTGGGCCGGCCGACATAGGTGACTTTACGTTTGAGCTAAATTCCATTTAGGGTCACGATTCACGACCTCGCAACACTCTTTGTACGTCTGACTCGTGGGGCTACTGTTCAGGCAACAAAAACTGCGTCTAACGCGCAAACCTAACATGCCTGGTCCGCGTTCAAAGGGAAAGAAAACAAAGCAGACGAAGGGGAGCTCGACACCCAATCTCGAACAGGGTAGATTTGGGCATCTTGTAGATGATATCGATGGGGCCGATGGATGGAATGCTGTAGTCAACGTTCTTTGCGACTACTTTCAGTTGCCTGGTAAGAGATCTATTTTTTCGTTTTGCATAGAGAGCGTCACACCGAAGAATACTCATAGACTCATAGACCTCACAACACGAAGTGGGCTGAAAAAGATCTTCGCCAACTTCGATACTTTTTACCAGCGTCTGGATGACGCGTATATCGCCAATGTAGGAAACGAGAAAGTCACAGGAGGTATTGTTGGCATTTACACAAAGATGTGTGCAGACTCTATCCTTCGAACCAAATTGTTTGAGAAAGGTTGGTGTCGTGTGCTAACCGGAGCTTCGTATCAACTCTGCTCATGAACTCATATCACCATAGGCCTTCTCTTGAAGATCATGCCCTTGGTTAGTAAACCAACCAGTCATCATTTAGCATTGCGGGCACTCACCACTGTCACTCATCATGGCGGAATGGACGTACGAAAAGAAATTGGCCTCAAAGCTACTCCTGTCCTTCTTAGTGCTCTCCAAAACCATCCCGAGGATCTCAAAGCTGCAGAGCTTATAGTCTCTACTTTAGCTCACTCTTTTGGGTCAATCCTCAATGAGGTCAATAAACCCAGTACTAAAGATATCAAACAACTAAATGTGCCAACCATGATCCGCTTAGTAACGGATCTTCTACGAAAACCAGGAATCAGCACCCAATTACTAGATCATGCCGTCGAGCTAATTACCCAACCCACTTTGCATTGCTGGAAAGACTGCAAAGAGTACCCTCCAATGATCTCCTTGCTTGTGGGTTTGTTGCGCAGTACCGATCTCTCTCTCCGTTGTATGGCGCTGGGCGGCTTACTTCGTTTGGAGGGAAGTATAGCTGAGGATGACACGCGGTTCCGTGACCCACAAAAGTTGATTGCAGCTGTACAGCGCGAGCTCCCCCAACATCTAGCGAAAATCATAATGAACTATGGCCATGATCAATCCGAGACAACGCTTACACTCGGCTCGTATGTTGATAACCAGAAGACTTTTATGCAATATGTACAAGATCGAGATCTGTATGCGCTGGGAACGAAATTCGCTAGCTTCATCACCGGGACTGAATTTTCCATTGCTGATGGGATGTTTCAGACTCAGGATCCACACACCGGAAGGATGGAGGAAATTGATTTAGGTCTTCCGTTCAAAAGGTGGGCTGATGCGCTACCACACTGTGCCAAAGTGATTCGCGAGAAAGGTCGTGCAGGAGAAGAAGATTGGGCAGATATGCTTGAAATAAAACATCATATGATGAGATCCCGCGTATCCGAAGCTGTCGTCCTCGCAAAGAAGGCCGTAGAGCGCAACCCGAAATTCCCATACTTCCACTACGTGATTACGCTGGGTGCAGACGTCGAAGCAGGATTACGCGCCGCAAAGAAAGGAATGAAATGCAAGAAGATAACTCCATTCTTGCGGTTTGCAATGATGTGTCGTGCAGTAGCAATTGCAGGCAATTTGGGAGTTTGTCGTTTACAAGAGGGGCGGCCGGGTGACCAGAAGTGGGAGGAAGGTGTTGCATTCCTTGTCAGTGCCCTGGAAGATGCCAAAACCTACGTGTCACAGGCCCCACCCGATGGAAGGCATATGAAGAACGTTTTATACTGGTACATTGTACTGACTCTTGCCTTCGAAGGGCCAAACATGTCTCCCAATCTCTCAGCATTGCAGGTAGGCTTTCACAAGTACTTCCTTGGATTCGATCACGATGGATAACCGGGATACTTGCAGGATTCCCTGCGGAAACTCCAAATTGCAGACGAGTTTGAATCAATTATGGCAGGTCCACCACCCAAAACACAGCTCCGTCTGGCACAGCAGAATATAGTGAAATCTTACGGGCCCGCAACAAAAGAATGGAGTTCTGCCGTCGCTTATTTCGATTCACTAGCAGTCACAGGCCCTGAAGGACATTCTGTTATCTCCACCGACAAAGCTGAAGATGACCTGTCGACATGGCTGGACGAAATGCGCCTTGACAATGGTGCACTGGAAGAACCCCACCCTACACGGTGCTCGCACCCCAAAGTAAGCCCTAACAGCGTGGAACTATACCGTTGCTCGTACTGCACGAACCCAAGTGCGGTGTTGAAGAAGTGCAGTGGATGTACAAAGGCCAGGTAGGAAATAGCAGAATTCTCACCAGTTCAAGACTTATAAATCGATTTGTCTATATCAGGTACTGCGATAGTTCTTGTCAGAAATCTCATTGGAGCGACCACAAGGCTGTGTGCAAATCTTGAGTGTCAAATTTTTTTGAAGAGGCACAGGCGAGAGCCGGTACTTTCAAGTATGAACATCACTTCTTATCTTGTAAAAATATTAATGTAATTAACTGTAAAACAAACTTACTTATACAATACCCTTCTACGAAGACTTTCCTCTAAGTCAGTTCCGGCTTTAAACTCTCCTACGTTTGGTTGATTTACTGGCCTCCAAAGCGTCTTCCTTTCTATTTTCAACTCTTCTCAAAAACTCTACTTTCTCTAAATATCCGCCACCGCGGCGATTAGCTTCAAGTTCATCTTTCATTCCTGTTCCAAGCTCGGAGTTAACATGCGTTCGCCAATCCATGGCAGATTTATCCAGAGTAGTCAGCTTTTTCGCTTTCTGGGCACCTGGCGTTGGAAGTCCAGCTAGTGTTGTGCGTTTCCGTGGACCAGGACGTTTAGGCGGTAGAGTCGCTGATGGCGATGATGGTGAGCTAGAAGCAGGTACACTTGCTGCAATGATTGCAATGCCTGGGTCTTCGCGGTCACACATCGAGGCGTCAGTGGACTCTGTGGTGGGTCGGCTAGTAACATCGTTTGGTGGGCTCCATAGGGGCCATTTCTTTGCGTCTGCCGAATCTTCGGGAACCTGTAGTATTTCCCTTGAAGAAGCTTAGATCACACCAAACAAAATATATGAATTTCATCTTACACAACTTCTTTTCCTGCAAAGAGATAACGCTTCTCGACTTTGACGAGCTTTTTTGGTGGCTCCTCTACTTTGATTGCTGTAGAGTTTGATACAGATGCCTGGAAATCAGCCCATAATGCCTCTCTATCCCTACATTTCATGATTTGATTCGTTAGAATCAGTCATTTAAATGATGAAAAAAATGAACCTTTTCTTACGTGCCTGCTCTTCTTCGCTTTCAGGTTCATTCAGTTTCACACGTTTGGCCTCTGGACTTTCATCGTCTGAGGATTCGGAATCTAATGAAGTCCGCATAGATAAGTTGTGTGTGACTCGCATTGCAGAATCGTGAACTGACCATCTTCAACAGGTGGAACGTAATCGTCGTCTTCGGAATCGGAGTCGTCGCGTAGTGGAGGTGGAGGAGCAGCCATTATTTTGCTATATTTGCAAGCGTTGTTCTCAGAAGCTCTAGGACAATAAGTCAAAGCAAGTCCAAATAAGGCGTCACGCGTACGTTCCCACGCATATCAACTTCTCCGTATTAGGTATTGGGCTTAAACGAACAATCAGATTTAAAGTACTCTTTCATTCAATTTTCGTTGCTATTTCTTTCTTCTATAGTCTCTGCTCACTGCAGTTCCTCAGTCTCAATTCTTCTTACTTTTTTATATTTTATATTTTCACTTCAATATGTGTGACTACGAAAAAGAACGCGCTGCTAACATTGAGCGCAATAAAGCACTCTTGGACGGGCTTGGACTTGGTGGTAAAGATAAACAGCTTTTCGAATCCAAGGCGAAACCAAAGAAAAAAGTTGTCAAGTCAAGTAGGAAGCGAAAGCTTGAAGACCTAGATCACGGATTCCCGAAAAAAGCACCCCGGTTCGAGGTGGCTCCCGCTGAAATGGAAACGCGACGCAGCCAAAGAAACATCGGCAAAGTTGTCGACTATAACGCGGAGAACTTAGGTGGTTTACCCGTTGCTGTTTCTCTACGTGCAAGCAGAAAGAAAAGTGGACCAACAGGCAGAGAGAGTGGCAAAAGGACACAAGATCCGTAAGTCGACTATGCCCTATTGTGTTTAATCATTTTTTTTGAGAAAAAGTTCAGTAAGGTGTACGGAAGTATACCTGGTATCAAAGTGGGGACGTGGTGGCCAACCAGGTACGTGAAAATGGAACCCATAGGTAGTAACACTCACTCACTATGATTTATAGGCAAGGTTGCAGCGCTGATGCCGTCCACGCGTTAGTAGTTTCATTATCTCATATCAGCTACTGAAAACGCGTCTTATTCAGTCCATGGGTTGCTGGTATATCAGCTGGTCCACAAGGCGCGTACTCAGTCGCGCTTTCTGGTGGCTACGACGACGACGTGGATCTTGGATATGCATTGCAAGTTATTTTCATTCTTGATACACACCATCTTGAGCTAAAATGTGGACCTTTGTCCTTTGTTGAATTAGCACGTACACCGGATCAGGTAAGTTACTGCCTACTTGCTGTGTCCCATGACAGCGGTAAAACCAGTTACTTTCATCGCTATAGGTGGCAGAGACTTGAAGGGCACAAAGGCCAATCCCAAAAACGTCTGTCCTGACTCTTCGGATACTCGCATGTTATATATTGACATTTTCTGCATCAGCTGCGCACTGCTCCCCAAAGCTCTGATCAAACGTTCGAAAATCACTTCAATAAAGCATTGAAGGTTGCCGTTGCGCTATTCTACTTTCGATTATTTCTAAACTGAGTTTGTTCAGAAATCTGCAGAGACGAGAAAACCCGTGCGGGTGATCCGAGGCTATAAAGCAATGTCTTCATTCGCGCCTAAGGAAGGGTGAGTCGGTTTATGACCTCTCCAAAATAGCATTCATTTAAGCTTCATCCAGATATCGCTACGATGGTCTCTACGTCGTCCAAAAGGTAAGCCGTACTCCAACTACCATCATTTTTGAGCTCAAGTTCATCAATTCGAACTAGGCATGGATAGAACAAGGTCTCAATCCCGGCGGCTATTTAGTTTGTAAATTCGCTTTCCTTGTAAGTGTTTTAGTATCAAAAAAATTCTCACCTCTGTTGAGCTCTTCTCCTTAGAGCTTACCTGAGCAAGGTCCTTTGCCTGTGAGAAGCGATGATGAGGAAGATGGCAGTGATGACAACGATGCGGATGCCGATGCAGAAGATGCGAGTCCTGCTGACGCTGATTCCAACGGTGATGTTGATGAAGAAAGTTGATATATAGTAGCTTGTCAAGGCACCTTGACCGCCGTTTGTATTTCAAGCGTCTGCATTTAGGGCGAGAAATTTATTGCAGGTATAGGTATATGCGTGTATAAATGCTGTGTACTACTGAACTTTATGATACCAGTAAATAGTTGCTCTCGATAGAACATCATGCTTTGCTCTCATGTAGTCTTGCTACATCTCTTGGTATAACTACGTTGAGGCTGATGATATATTGCTAAATCAGTTTTCTCAAATTATGAACGAACTTCTATTCCTGGAAAAGCACTCTGAAATATTTCTTAACAAAGAATTTCTTATTACTGCCCTTAACCTAATACATGAAAACTAATGAAAACAGATGCATCGAGCAAATATGGAAAATCGAAAAGCTATATAGCATACGAGAAAAACAGACATCGATAAAAACCACCCAGTGGATCACACGATTCAATCGGTCGAGTCTGCGCTACGGATAGCTACAAATCAAGCAGCCAACCGTGCAGGAGTTGTGGTTATACAGCAAAATCTTGAAGCAAGACGTTGTCTAGCAAGTGTCGTTGTTGTCCTCGATGCCGATAGCATTGCTTATCGCATCGAGCAAGATGTCGTTACTGTCACCGGCAGCTTCGAACATGGCGAAGCCGCGCAGGCCAGCCTGATTTATGTATGCGCCCTTGGCAGCTGTAAGAACGAGGTGAATGAGTCAACATGCGCCTTTCCAGAAGTAAAATAAATAAATCGTTCTCACCAAATGAGCGTGCGTCATCGTAAGAAATCATGACGTTGGATGTGGAATTGTAAACATAAGGCTGCACAAAATCAGTCAAATTTAACCCTGGCCAAAATTGTCGGAGGAAAACTTACTGTCTGACTGCATTCGTCGAATCTGTAATCGATACCAGGAGCGGCGGTTCCATTGGCGGTCAAGAAGCCATTCTCGATCATGCCGAAGAACTCGTATGTGCCTCCAGGCTGGGTGTAGGGAGCACCACACACGTCGGATCCAGTTGCAGGTTGGGCCCAAGCATCACCCGCAGGCTGGAGAGCGGCGTTGAATGGAGGGAACGATTCGTTGGCATTCGCAGCACTAACGTCGAAGCTGTGTCCATAGGCTGCGACCCCCAGAACGATCTGGTTGGCGGGGAAACCAGCAGTGGTCCAAGCTTTCACGGCGGAGACGGCTGAGCCTTGCTGGTCTGCAGTAGGTGCGCAAGTGTCGTTAAGGGGAGAGTTGGGTCCTACTGCAGTGCTCCAGTTACCCCAGATGTCATAGTTCATGATTTCTGAAAGATGGTGAGATGGATGAATAACTATCCAGATAGATGGAAAAGCGGTGCATACCGATGTAATCGAGAACCTGAGCGTACTGTGAGACATCTGTCAGGGGTTGACCATCGGAGCCAACCCAGGGAGTGATGGAGACAGCGGCAGAGAGAGTGAGGTTCTTAGCTTCGGGCTGTGCTCGCAGTTGCTGGAGGAAGGAGAGGAAGTTGGCACTGTCGGTGTCAGAAATGGCGTTACAGCCGATGCCTTGCTTTGCGGGATATTCCCAGCTAGAGAAAGTGCGGTTAAACAAACAAGGTAGCGGTATAGACATCAAAATGAGACATACTCAAAGTCAAGACCATCGAGGTCGTATTGTTTCACGAGAGCGAGCAGACCCTGGATAAAGTCAGAGGTAGTGCTGTTGGAAGATACTGCAGTCGAATAGAACAGAGAGCCTCCCCAGCCTCCTACTGTGAGCAACGCATCGACACCCTAAGGTTCTGGTAAGACACTGTTCCATGATATTAAAATGTACGTTATCCTTACGTTCTGGTGAGCGGCGCTGACGAAGCGGGGCAATATTGCCTGATCAGAGGATGCGACTTCAACGTAAGGGGAGGAGGTTGTAGTGGTACTACAGTATTGTTAGCATCCCAATCGAAGCCACTCACATAACATAAATTACTCACGCAAAACCATAGGTCATAGAGCTATATTTTGTCCAGCTGACATTCTCTGGTGGGAAATACTCGGCGTGGTAACCAGCATACCAGGCGGTTACGACGACATCGTCGTTGCTGCCGTTGGTGGCCTTTCCGGGGAGAGTAGAACTACCTGTGGATGTTGGGCTCGGGGTCGGGGTTACGGTGGCACTGCTCGTCGTGGGCCTAATACGGCAAGTTGGTGCTGCTGCTACGAACGGCAGGGCGATCAAAGACAAAAGGGAGATGGGCAACATATTGCGTTATGAAAGTACAGCAATGGAGAGCAAATGGATACAGTTGGAGATATGCAGATGAGAGAGAGACAACCGGCGGTTTGCTTGTGAATCAAACGAGAAAAAGGGAGGGAGGAGGGGAAAGAATGTGAAGGGCGTGTAGCGGGACGTGATGGTGGAACAGAAGGGATGGATGAGGGCCTTTTGTAGTGGCAAGGCAGTTCAAGGGTTCATTCAAGAACAACGCGGATGCGGAGCACAAGAACAGAAAAATGTGGCATTGTTCGGGCCTTCCTTTTGTTCGGCCACTATACCACATTCGCGGCAAAATTAGCAACAAAAACACTCACGAATACCGCACGACGCTCAATGGGGATGGCATCGTCTATAATAACATGGGCGTCTAACAATGGTGAGACCGTGATGGAAAATTTCTGGGGCAACGCTGGGCTTGAGGTGGACGGAAGTATAACGGAACCAAAACCAAAGCACGGCCGTGGCTGTGGACTTGATGGAATCTGAGATCACTTCAAGATGGCTAAAATCAATCAAGGCAAGGAAAACAATGATGGATCGTTTCAACCAACACTCGGACATGCTGCAAGGGGCGTGGCAGGGTGAATGGCGGCAGCGCCACGAGGATAGTTGCAGCAATTATAACAGGGTGAGCCTTTAAACATCTATCATTAGAAACTGTTTCATCAACGGGGAACTCTTTGGCAAGATACTAGCACGACCAGGCGAAAGAGCATCAGCATTGTCGTCTTCAATCACGGATATGGGGCTTGGACGCTGTTGCTCCCTTTCCGAATCTCTAATAAAAGTTTTTCTCTACCATGCTCAGCACTGCCTTGCCCTGGACCAACGTCTCATAGAAACCAATGTCTTCTATGGCCTACTGCCAGCTTCCAGAATATTTTCTTGTCCTGCAACATGGAGCAGCTTCACCGAGCACAAGGTCATGTTCGGCATCTCAATATTAATCTTGGAACTGCTAGTTGCCAGCTATGGGAAATATAGCGATATCTGAAGCTCACAACCTGCGGTACGCACCTACTAGCTTCAAATCGATTCATCGTCCAAAGCGAAATCATGATTCGACGACTGGCTACTGCCGTCAGTCATCATGCTTCCAGAAAAAATATATGGACGGAGGCCTTTCGCTTGTCGACGATGAAGAACAGACATGCACTCATATATGCAAGTATATGTATGCGCATATATCTGTATTCTGCGAACTTGCGTCAAATGCCAAATTCACTTCCTGGTACAACATGGAACTGATCGATGCGGAGATGAACAGTAGCTTCAAAAATTCATGTCATGGCATCAACTGGAAGTACTAGAATGTACGCCTCATGTGCACAGTCGGCAAGGTGACACTTGTCCCATGAACTCGAGGAACACGATAACCTCTATGAAAGCATGCCACTGAGGGTCACCGGCGGCCCCTTGAGTTGTTTAGCAGAAGCGGCTACCTAATTATAATATTATATACATCCTGTTGGACTGCGTTGTACAATATAGCGGATAAGCATCTACGCAAATTAGACACTAACATACCACCACTCTAGTCTTCGAGCTTACAAAGTTCATATCACTCATCTGCTACTGCGTGTCCTTCCCCACCCCTCACCAGCCCAATGCGCGCAGCAAGCTGTCTGGCCTGATTTGCCTCAGCTCTCTGTGAGCGCACATACGTCAAGCCTAGCGCAACTGCGGCGAATATGAGGTTGCATGCGATGAACTCGTAGAAGTCTCCGCGTTCTTTTGCAAGGTTTCGGCCGCATGACTCCCATGCGGGAATCCGACCTATTAGAGGAGATGCTAGATGATCGGAAGAAGATGTGGAAAGTGGACTGGTGGTTTGGTAGGGCGATGGGGGTGAAGATGGTGCTGGAGGGCAGCGTACGAGCTGTCGGTTTCCAAAAGGTTGGCAGAACGGTTCATGCCGCTGAGAAAACGACAACATAATCAACATTGATTATTGGCATAAAAAGAGAGAGGGGACGGGAACATACCGCGTACTCAGGACATGGCTCGCAGTCCCCAACGGGCTGACACGTTACGAGGTGCCAGGTCTCGATGGTGCCAGGTCTATTGCTAGCATTTTGGGCATATGCAAGTGAAATGAAGCAGAGAAATGTAATCCTTCAACTTCCAATGAGATCTAACAGACCAGCAAGGCGAGAAAATAACATACAAAAATCTAAATGTCGTGTTCGCTGCCATCGACGGCGTGCGCGGGAGCATGATAGCTGTGGCATGAAGGCAAGTAGGGCGTGGGAATCCACAACAGGCGCTTGTTGAGCTCATCCTGTGCAAGTCTGTCAAGCAAAGTGCCAATCACGCAAAAACCACTTGGAAGATCGCAAAAAGCCCGATACCCAGTGTATTCGCAGTTATAAAGCTAAAGAAAGGCCAAAGGAAAGTTCAAACATGTCTCGCAAAGCAGCCATAGTCGAAGAGTTTGACGACGATACCGACCTTGCGCTCCCATCGCGACCTCTGCCCAATACTGGCACGCGGGGACCTCTGCTCGAGGAGATCGATTATGCAGACGATGGAGATGATGATGACGAAGACGAAGATTCGGACGAGGCTCCTTTTTTGAGGGGCCCAACGGCGGGGCCTGCATCGCCATCTCGACCAGCAGCTTCATCAGACGGTATGCCGTCAAATACTGTAACAGATATCACTCCATACAAGAAGTACGTCTTATTGACTACTTATGCCCTTTTCCTGTGATGCTTATTAAACTACATTTCCTGCCACTTATCCTGCGCCCTCAACCTGTGATATAGATGGACGTGTATCTATCCGATCTACATCGACGCTAAACGGTCGTATGGGACAGGCGAGCGCCGAATCCCGCGAGAGAAGAGCGTGTGGTGGCCGTTGAGCAAGGATATTGCAGACGCGAGTGTTAGGCTGGGCCTTAGATCTCTGCACGAGGTGAATAAAGCACATCCGCGCGACTGGGAGAATCCTGGGCGTGTTCGCGTACAATGGAAGAAGGATGGACGACTCTTGAACGGTGCTATCAAATCCAGTGAGTGCCTTACATCTGATCGTATATAACACTTTGACTGACTGATTTCTGCGGTGGGTCTATCCAATGTATTACAGAAAAGCAGCTTTTGGAGATGATATCGTTCCAAATTCAGCGGATCAAACCTGATAGTATCCCGATACCACCATACACGACAGCATCATCTCGCGTCACGACGCCTACCCCGGCCAAGACTGTACCATCGATTTCGAAAGGCAAGCAGCCTGCATCGAAATCCAAGGCCGGTATTCCTGCTGCACCACTGCAAAAGTTCGGTGGAGGGCGCAAGATGCCTGTGCCGCCTGAGCCGCACCCTCCGCTTGCGAGTCGTGTCTCGCCGTACTCACCTGCGCTGCCATCGGGCGTACTGATAGAAGCGGTCAAGGCGGGAATGAATGCTCAGGAGTCTGGTGGTGGTGGTGCAGCACCTGGAGGGCCAGCTGGAGGTGTACAGAAAGGCAAGCGGAAGGTCTTACGTGTGAGAGGATGATTTATTTACTGGGACCGTACATCGAGAAAGTAAAGCTTTGTGATGGCTATAATTGATCTTGGGGATGCAAGGCAAGATAGGCCAAAGCACAAACAAAGTAGAACGTAAAATATGTATTGCAATTGAATAGAATTTCTTACACCGCGGTGATGGTAATGTGGTATCGTTTAATAAGGTTAGGGTTTACTCTAAAGTGCTTACAGCTTACGGAATTCCAGCTGTTTTCAGTCTGCTTTTTTCCCTTGGTCTCGTATCGATCCTTGGATTCCCAAGATGTTCATCGATAGATGAGTTATGATAAGAACAGGAAGCTTCTGGGTCAGACCCAAGGCTGTCTTTGTACTTGCACCTTCATGTTTACTGTAGGTCTCTAGAGCAACGATCAGGGCGTGTGCTGGTTCTTCCGCCTCGCCTTGACGTCTTTTGTAATGCTCACAATGGTATAGCTGACAGTATTTTGCTAAGCGTGCTGATTCTGCATGGCATGATTGAGCGCTGTGATTATCCCCACAAGCCAGTATTCAGATACCTTGAGGTAAGTCCGAGCAGAAGATTTGACCCGTCAATCGCTATTACTGACAGATGATACCAAAACAAAGTGACAACATATTATGGATGCATCATCCATGATATTCCTCGAGTCTCTCGTTCAGTCTCTCTATCACTCATGAGGGAATGGGCCAGAAACTCTTGGAAGACCCTTTCCCGAATAATCGTCAATCTTGCTTCTGAACGCACTACTGCCCATCACTGCTATGATAGTATCATCGATGATGACTTGTGAGCCTCATATGTGCCTCAGACGTCGCCTGCTCCATGTTACGGTGCCGCAGTCTCCAACAACATTGTCTCATTGGATTTGAAGGCGCGGGATTGCGGTTTCGGCCAGACGGGCGTTGTGCGTCGAGCCCCATATCACTGATCAGATTGCGCTGAACGGTATCAATGATTTAGCCTGGGACGTCTTCTGACCGCGCCTTGACCCCTTTCGTGTCCTTTCCCGGTGTTACTTAGGTCATTTTCGTCGTTCCCAGTCTCGTGATGTCGTGCATCTGGTCCTTTTCTAGGTAAATCATGGTCTCATACGTCACTTTACTCAAGTTCTGTGGTCATCGCCAGTTTATTTGTGTCAGATTCTGCTCCCAGGATTCGAGTCCAATCCAGGCGGTGCTCGAATTCGATTCTCGAGCCAAGCCAGCCCCTAACAAAACCTCAGATCCGGTTCACCCCGCCGTCACGTGCGAGAACCCGGGCCATTAACAGACCTGCCATTTCGAGCAAAATAGCGAAGATTTCTGACCTCCTCAGCCAAATGCGATCGATGGAAGTAAATAATGTACAACCATTCAACATTGCACAAAGCTACGCTCTCCCACCACTTCTTTCCCTCATTCCCTCATCCCTCCTACTCCTTTTGCTATCTTGTTTTCGATATTTCTCCATGATTCTGGATCAGACTCATGTCCTCCTGCATCACAGCGTGCTTGAAACGACCTTCAAGGGTGTCGAGCACACGATTTCCACCCCAGACATACCAATAAGCCAGTTTCGTGGCATCAAATATGCTAGTGTACCAGCTCGCTTTCGTCAATCCAAATTGTTCACTTCCTATCCTGCTGTTGTGGACGCAACGAGATATGGGTAATTGTCTTACTTCTTTTTATTCACTGTGAGATAGCGTAACTTATTAATTATGCCTTGCAGCCCAATATGTCCCCAGATGAAACAAAAAAGTCTCGAGGAAGACCTAATAGGCCTTTCAGAGAGTGATATACCGAGACAAGTTTTTGAGCAAGACGAATTTGAATGTCTGAACCTTAATATTACCTGTCCTGCTGGTATAACCCATGAATCACGACTGCCAGTTATGCTTTGGTTTCATGGGTGAGCTTGCATAACAGACTTTTTGGTTTATCCTAGGTACTCATTTGAGCAGGGGAGGTAACCGCGGTTGTGGATCCAGTTGGGTCTATGATGGCGGTGCCTTCGTTCGTAAAAGTGTTCGCATAGGCAGGCCACTGATCATGGTCACCTTCAAGTAAGCTTATCACCTGTTTTTACTGCATATGGATTGTACTCAATAGACATCACCAGTTTTCGCCTCGGCCTTTTTGGATGTGCTGCGAGCCCCAAAATTGCGGAAGACAACAAGGCTGCAGGAGATGAAGGGGTCGGAAATTATGGTTCATCAACTGCTGCTGCTCAGTATTTATGAAACTGACATTGATTTAGGCCTCCGTGATCAGCGCAAGGCTTTGGAATGGGTCAATAACTTTATCGGCGGCTTCGGAGGTGACCCCTCCAATGTCACACTCTTCGGCGAATCTACCGGTGCAGCTGATATCCTGAGTCACCTCTATTCCTCGGTGAACCAAACCAAACCTCTCTTTGCCCGCACAATCGTGCAAAGCGCGTTGGTCGAATATGATGTTCCGACTGTGCACAATGCAGGCTGGCAACTTTCCCGCCTCCTATCTTCCCTCCGTATCACCTTGGTAGATCAACTACGCGCTGTTGATCCCGAGGTGCTCCTTGAGGTGGAGTGTCCTCTGCGTGCAACGGATGACGGCGTCTTCTTTCGCAAAGGTTGGAAAGAATCCATCATGCCCGAAGAACCCTCCCGGTTGCATCCTTGTACAGGAACTGGGCTTATTGAGAAGACCCTATCACCCTTTCTTATGCCTATGAAGAAAACTGGCATTAAAAGTAGAAGTCCGCATCCACTTTCCCGCGGTCCTACACATGTTCCTGTGCGACATATAGCCTCATCACCCGGTTTGCAACCTATCATCATTGGGGACTGTGCTTGTGATTCTTTTTTGTGGTCGCTTCCAGCCTCCCTTTGGTCTGCGTCTGGTGTCGTACGACGATTACGTGCCGTGTGTCAGTCATTGACAAAGGCGACAGCATTGCTCAATGCGTATGATATTGCGGCGCACACTCCAGCTACGGAACTTGTTGACCGTGTACTTGAACTTGTGAATGATGCACGGATTGCGTGGCCTACGGAGTGTGCCGCGCAGGCCGCGAAACGGGCACGTGGGGGACGTGGAGTTTGGCGCTACGTGTTTGACCAAGAAGGTCCAGTCCGAGGTGTTCCACACCACGCGGTAGATCTTATCTACCTCTTCGACAACGTCCCACTACCGCTGTCGCAGCAGCCGTCACCCATGTCTTTCTACGACGAGCCCCTGCCATCCTCGCGTACATCCCCCTCGCCATCTTCGTCAGACCCATCTGGGCGGTGGACGCGAACGTTGAATGATCTGGAATGCATGAACGTTGACGATTTCGAGAACTCTCGTGGATGGCAAGGCTCGGAATGGACAACGCCGGTTGTGGACGAGTGGTCGTATGCACATGTGCGTGATACGATGCAGGAGCGATGGATTGCGTTTGCCCATGGAGAAGCTCCATGGGATGAAGACAAGGTGTTTGTATTCGGCCCAGAGGGAGAGTCGGGCGAGCGGTCCGCGTGTATATTCGAAGGGCGGAGGAGGTGTAGACTTTGGAAGGAAGCGTTGGAGCCGCTTGGGATCCAGCTTGTGCAAAAGGTCGGACAAGAGTTGAGCAACGGACCATCGCTGACCTCGTCAAAATCGCTCTTTTGAGCGTATCGCATTGATTTTTCTATTTTCATTGGAGGCACTTTATGATCCTGTTCGGGTATTTATTTGGGTTGGCCATCTGGTTATTTCGCGAAGCTATCATCGATTTTAATGTTTTCTCATGGTTTTCTTTATATCTGGTAGTTGGTGGCGAGATGAGCATCGTTTTTATGTTGGTTGTCGCCGAGGGTTCACATCTATCATTTTTAGCATTGCATTCATGTTTTCTAGTTAGTTATATCATCCCTGCGTGTTTTGTGTATCTCATTTGGCACTGTAGCTAATGATAATTTAACCATTTGAGCCTATTTTGTTACAGCAGATTTACTCGGAAAGCATTAAATACCACATTATAACTCATCTCAGATTATGTTTAAAGACCAGACCGGACGAGGTCAAATGTAGTGTATGTCGCACCAACGAGGAGACCTTGCAGTTCGAATATATATCAGCTCACAGGTCGAAAAACGGCAAAAAGAACGCAATACTCACCCAACATAGCCAAGGAGCCCAGACCACCTCCGCGAGTGTTCCTCTGCGAAATGAGGTGTAAGATGTCTAGAGAGTCGCGTGTACAGAAAAGGAAGTACCTTTGCAGGATCACCGGTGGTGTAACCCAGGGTGTAGAGAATACGGGCGAAGACCCAGAGACCGCAAGCGTATGAAGCGTAGTAAGGGTTCTTTAAGCTAGCCACCAGGGTACTGAAGAAGGGGATTGGAATGTTGATGGATAGAGGGAAGGCGTGTGACTTACGAGAGAAGCACGACGGGCAAGGTCTCGAGGGTGTTAGCATGAGCACCTGTGATGGAGGGATATGAACTAAAGAAAGGAAAGGCAAAGACACAGACGCACGTTGCGCGCAGTTAAAGAGAGTAGCATCTTTCGACGCCTTCATCTCCGCTGTTTCAGCATACACTAGATTAAATTAGGACAAAATTATGTTGGGTGATTGAGAATGGAATGAGAAGTGTGCTTACATTGGGGGTAGTCGATGCCAGCTCGTCTGCGGAATCTGCCAACAAGGATAGTTTGCCAAACAAGGAGCCAAGTTGAAGAAACGATAGCCGTAGTGACATGGCCGAAGCTAAGAAAGGAGACGAGCGTCAGTATGAAGAAGGTTTTGAGATAATGCAATAACAGACCCTTGAGGGAGAGCGATGGATGCCATGTTAGTATAAGTAGGACTAGACATGTAGTTTGACTTATATATATTGCAAGAGTTATTCTATGCGATGCGGCTGACGTGCCTGCCGGGTGCACGCGTACGACAATCGCGCGTCGTTCAGAACGGCCAAGGGTGACTAAAAGCGTAAATTCGGCTATTATCAAGCACACCCGCCGCGTCATCGATGTGAGAAAAAATTAGTCATTCCCCAGTCACTTTACCATCTGTCTGTCAACCTTTTTGTAATTACTAAGCCAGTGGTTGATATCTTATCACCCGATAAGATAACAAGTCCCTACACAGATTTCAAAATCAAAGGATAAGTGACCAGAATCCTCCAGGGGTTGGCATAGATTTGGTTGCTCAGGTAACACTATCAGTGTGTACATGTAGAAGAATCCTGTTTTGCCTCCTCTTGCTGGTATAATGGCTATTAAGTCTTCAAGACATCTGCATACACCTTCAATTTGATAGTTGTGAGGCTCAAAAGGAAGAGATTTAGTATTTATCGTGCAAGTGCATACCCTTGGGGTGTACTGAACTGATAGGGCTTTTTTGCTGTTGAGCCCACCATTCAACCATGCTCTTACAGTTTTTAGTAGTGTTCCATAGTTCAATAATTGTTTGTTGATTTTTGACTATATTACTTTACTACTGTACAACACAACACAATACATCATGTGACTGGTCTTAACGCCAGCTGCTGCAATTCCAGTTGGTGAGTATCCTGGAATTACTGAGTGGTTTCATTTTTTGGACAACCACAGTGCTCAAACCCAGGATAGCAACATTTTCTTGCCATATGGTGTTACAACCAAAGTTTTGATACTCTGGCGCACAACTCAGACAAAGCTATATAGGTAGTGAGATCTATTGGGGTATATAAACTACTACAGTTTGTTTGTACATGTGTACTGTACAGTTGATGGAGGCAGTGGCTGATGATGTCATGAGGTACAGCCTGTGTGACCAGCTCCACTGTGTGAGATACTTGTATCTAAAAATAGAAAAGGCAGCGTAGCACGAGAAGTGGGGTTTGAACAATAATGGAAAGTGCCGCATGACACAGGGTGTGAAAACTACAAAAGAAAGTTGAAGAAGAGAATGAAAATTAAAGGTCCAAAAATTGTGTTATCGTAACATATGGTGTAATAACCAAAGTTTGTATACTCTGGTGCACAACAAGAACAAGCAAAGAGGGTGAGTGAAGGAGAGGAAAATCTCCCTTAAGGTAGGACCAAGTTTATTGTGGGTAAACAACAGAAGGACTGTACTTATATACTATACAGTTGATGAAAGCAGTGGCTGATAATGTCATAGGGTGCAGCCCATGTGACCAGCTCCACTGTGTGAGAGACTGTAGCTAAAAATAAAAAAGGCAGCGCAGTGCAAGAATGTGGAGTTGGAACAAAAGGGAGAGTGTCGCTGTCATGCACCAAAGTTGATTGGTAGCATGGACAGATGTCAATAACAAAGTGAATATTCAAAAGACTCGCCTTTGTGTTACGCTTGGAATGTGCAAGCCTGGTAACAACTGATTCTGGGTGTTCTAGTAATTCGATAAGCCTGTATGATACAGGTTTGAGACATATTCTGATGATGAGACTTTGTTCTGATGAATACCAAGTTACACTGTTGAAGCGTACAATTGTATTGGAGATGGTAACTACAATACAGGCATATATATATACTGTCTACTTTAAGATAGGTGTTTGTGTTGAGCAAACAATGACATGTGGAACTGTAATAGGTAGCAATGTGTGGGAAAATAAGGGTAAGTAGCGGTGTACAGCTACTAGAGAGTGGAAAATGAAGTCTGTAAGGAGTACTGTGCATTTTTGTCGAGGTTGTTATGCTCGTTGTAACAACCAAGAGTTAGTTACTCTGGCGCACACAGGAACACACTATAAAGAAGATGATGAAAGAGTGGTTACCCCTTAAGCTGCAGAGAGTTTGTTGGTATACAACAGGAGGACTTGCTGAGGAGTCTCCTGGATCTATTGGGGATATATACTAATACAGAGTGTTTGTAATTATGTACTGTATAGTTGATAAAGTTAGTGGCTGATGATGTCATGGGGCCTGGCCCGCATGACCAGCTCCACTGTGTGAGAGAGTTGTATCTAAAATAAGAAGAAGACGGCGCGAGAAGTGAAGTTTGAACAATAATGGAATGTGCCGCATGGCACAGGGTGTGAAAACTGCAAAAGAAAGTTGAAGAGGAGAATGAAATTCAAAGGTCTGAAAATTGTGTTATTGTAACATATGCAGGACATCTAGATGATGTTCCAAGATGTAGTTTGTGTAGATTTGCCATGTTGTCATAATAATATTCCAATTGAAAATGATGCAAATATCTGCAGCAAGCGAGCAGATTGACAGCTATAGATCATATCCTAACACTTGAATGGAAAATTGCAGAAGGAAAAATGTGGGTCATCCATTATATGACCAGAGCCTATTGCTGTATTCTGCCAGATAGAGACATCAAGATATGCCTTCATATGCCATTGCCAAGTCTGGCAAAGATTCAACGGTGTCATGCACCAAAGTTGATTGGTAGCATGGACAGGTGTCAATAACGAAGCGAATATTCAAAAAGACTCGCCTTTGCGCCACACAGGCACAGTGCCACGTGGAATAGTAATTAATATTGCCCTTTTTGAACTTGTGGCTGATCAGCACCACCTCTATTAGGCAATCCAGTCACGCTCACCTTTGCTTTTCCATCCGGTACTTTCCGCGTTTCGGCATTTCGGCAAATTTTCGCGTCGCCACTGGCTACACATTGCATTGCGCCCTCGCTTTTGTCGTTTCCCTTACTCCCCTTCCTTTGCCTAGCCCCACCATGGGCCCCTTCCTCTCCTTTTTATTCTCACCTGACGGTCGTTTCTGGGTCCCCATTTTAGTTCACCTCCTCGTCACCTCCACCCTCCTCCTCCTCATCTTCTTTGCTCCCCCACCATTTCTGATGTCACCACTTCCTATCCGCTTCCGTCGCCGATCCGTTGACTACCACGTGCCACTGCTGATATCAGCAAAGCCCCGGCGGCCGGTCCAAATAGGGCAACAGGTCCATCTTTATGACGTCGATCTACCATCATATACTATCAAAACATCGGTCGCTCGTCTTGCCTGGTTGGAGCGTGGGTGGGTAATTTTTGAGCTGGAGAAGGTTCATCCCCTTGCGTCGCCCATGTTCATCGCGGTCCCATTCACTTGGGTACACTTATCTTTTGTCCATTGTCTTCGCTACAGCTACACCTACCACACGCTGCCTGGGACTCACTTGTTCCAAATTGGAACTACTCCTCTCCCTCCCTCGTTTGATCAGGTGGTCCAACACAACCAGTCCATTGGTAAGGCCATGGAACTGTCGGATTTGGACTAGGTGGTGGACCGGTGGCTCCAGTTTCTTTTTTTTCAGCAGAACATTCATTTACAGTGCGATTATTTTTGATTTTTGAATCATTTTAATGGACACATATTTTTTTAGAATGCCTGACTGACAATAAAGGAACTGTGTTGATACTGATAGTGTTTTGCCTTGCCCTTTTTTTTACTGCATCTTCTCATGACATCATGATTTTCCTGCTCTCCTTTTGCTATTGGACTTTACTTTATGGCTGTACAAACCTGTGATATTACTCACAGCATTTATTGTTCTATCCCTTTCTTTTCTTTTTTTGACAATCTTATCCTGTACTACCTACGCAGGATTCGTCAGCGTACATTCCTTCCTTCATATTCTTTCTCATTCTTTTTGCACAGCTATACTGTGCATAGCCTACTTCTTTTTTACTATATAAACCCCTGTATTTTACCTTGTAAAAAAAAAAAACAAGAACTCCAATCCAGACTTCTTCTCTACTCTCAAGTTCACTACTCTGCTACTTGTGATCCAGTGTGGTCACAACACTTCCCACTTTTACCACTGTCAACTGCTGTCATCGTCACTCGTCACTTTTTGAAAGTCATTGTCATCCCTTTCGATTAGAGTCCTTCTGAGCACTACAGTTTGTGCGTCAGGAGCCTGCTATCACTGGGAACCTTGTCACCTCGTCATCCTCGTCGTTCTCAAACCTACCTTGTGCTACCATTAGCAAGGTAGTGCTCGTCTATACTCGCCACAAAGCACCTATCTTCCTATAAATTCAACTATCCCTCCTCCTCAAAACCCACACTCATACACCTCTGGGTTTTACTTTGAAGGATCTTTATACGTACCACCCCACGAACAACCAGACCACTCCACTGTTCTAGGAGGCAAAGCCCATAAACAAGTTCCGTGGAATCTGGGAGGATTGTGTGTTAGTTTGTTTTGTGTGTGGTTTTCTAACTACAGTTCTCATCATCGACAACGGTACTGCCAGAGTGCCAGAATTTGACCTTGATGTAATGTTCCTGTGATTAAATTTCCTGCTTATCTTAAAATGCCAATATGATGTTCATGCTGACATTCATAATGTATTTTGTGCCAGAGCTGGTCCAATCCGCAGTATTATCAGGCCAATAGTTAGTTTACCAATTATATTTTTGCCAAAACTGTAACCTTATCATCCCAGAACACATCTTGTCCCAATCTTTTCAGTTTCCTGATGGTAGCACCAGGGTAACCACATGATATTAGGCAGAATGATTTGAAGGTGCGAGGAAGGAAAGGAAGCATTAACATAAATGGGTAATAACTAAAAGGTCCTTGGAAAACGCAGCGGACATTTGTGCTCTGAAAACCTGGAACCTACAGGTTCAGGAACACTAAAATTTCCCTGACTGCAGAAGTGTGATCAGATGTTCCCTTCAATCAACCGCAAGTGGACTTGGACTCCAGAATTCAAAGGTTTCAACTACTGGATAAGCTTTCTTGATGTGTTCGTTTATATAACGGTAATCTGTTACCTTGTGCTTTCCCCCGTCTTTCTTGGGTACAGGGACTAACACTCTCATCAGGTTTATCTCCACAAATTGCACTCTATAAATACAGATATCGTAAGGTTTAAGGACCATGTTGAATGTACCTCTACATCGTCACCCCCATGCCAATAAAGTGAGCGTTGAATCTTCCTTTCCAAAGGACTACGAGAAAATCGAGCCTCCTCCGCAAATGCAACGTCTACAACCCTATAGATCCTCCTCCTCAATACCCGCAGGCCGCTGGAGTGAAGAAACGTCAACACCAGGCAATGGCCACCTACGCGCAAACTCCATCACGTCCCTCTTCAGCTCCTTCACCTTCTTCGCGCCCTCCTTACCCTCCACCTCCGTAGTCGCGACACGCACAAAGTCCTTCAACATCTTCGACCCTGCCTCCTTCTGCAGAAGAAGCGCGAGCTGGACAGCACGGTGGAGGAAATCGGCGACGATTTTGATGTCGGATTCGAGCATGTTGCGAGAGGTGAGAGCGGATGTGCCGAGACGGATACCACCGGGGGTTTGGGCGGAGGCGTCACCAGAGACGGCATTTTCTAAATTATATAATGACTAATCGTGACGATTGAAGATGAGGATGGATCGCTTACTGTTGATAGTGATACCCAAAAGGTCACAGACTTTTTCTACCTTGCTGCCGGTCAAACCCAAAGGACGGAGGTCCCAGAGAACGAGGTGATTGTCGGTACCACCAGTCTGGAGTTTGTAGCCATGCTCCATCAAATCAGATGCAAGCGTCCGTGCGTTTGCGATAACCTGCTTCGCGTAAACGCGGAAGGAAGGTTGTGCAACTTGAAGCAAGGCAGTGGCGACAGCAGCAATCGTCTACATACACAACAAGTTAGGAGCAAAGAAACGACAACACCAAAAGACCGCGTACGTTGTTGTGAGGACCACCCTGGCAAGCTGGGAAGACAGCGTCATTGACGCGCTTCTCAAGTTCATTGCCACTGGCAGTGTCTCTCCTGAAAAAGATGAGACCCGCACGAGGACCACGAAGTGTCTTGTGACTAAAAATGAGCGACTGTTAGCTTGTTGCATTTGCATGCGATGGAATGAAGAAAAGGCTAACGTAGTAGTGGTGACAACATCACAGTACTGGAATGGGTCATTCAGCTCTTGAGCAGCAACGAGACCGCTGGTGTGAGCGATATCAGCCATGAGCCATGCACCCTCCTTTTCGGTGATCTTTTTGAGTGCTCCATAGTCCCAATCACGTGGGTACGCAGAGGCACCACAGATGACGAGACGGGGCTTGAAGATCTTAGCTTGCTGAGCCAATGCGGTGTAGTCAATCAGATGGGTGTCCGGGTGAATGGCATATGGTAGGGACTGGAAGTAGATTGAGGAAGCGGTCATCTTCTTCTTTGCAGTCTAGATGATATTACGGAAGGCATGTCGTAAGAGGGGAACGAATAAGAAAGACTCGATAACGTACGTAATAACCGTGGGTTAAATGACCACCGTCTGGGAGACCAAGACCCATGAGACGGTCCTGGGGCTGGCAAAGAGCAGTCAAGGCCGCGAAACTTCAGGGAATATTAGTCTGGTATTAGGTCTGGCGGATTGGTGAGCTTACTTTGCAGTCTGAAGGTGTGTAACTATTAGAATACGCGTTGTAATAAAGTGATGATAAATCACTTACACTACCAGAGTAAGGTTGGACGTTGACACCCCATGTTGCGGGATCGAGGTTGAAGGCTTCAAGTGCACGTTTCCGGCACAGAACCTCGAGTTCGTCGATGTATTCGTTACCACCGTAATAACGAGCTGCAGGGAGTCCCTCAGAGTACTTGTTAGTCAAGATGGAGCCATTGGCTTCCATCGTTGCTCGACTAGTCAAGTTCTGATGTCCTAATGTCAGGACGTTGAAGTAGCATGGTTGGTAACGTCAAACGGCACCTCTGACGCGATGAGCTCAAGACCAGAAAATTGCCTCCATGTTTCCTTATCGATGATATTCTGAACCTCAGGATCTATCTCCGCAAGAGGTGCGTAAAGAACTTTGTTCTGTCATATACAGCCCCCGTATGAGCTGACTGCATAGAGTGGTGGTGTTAAATGAAACGCACAAAGTCAGGAGTGTTTGCTGTTGCCATTTTTCTGATCCTATAGCTCAATCCAAGAGAGAGATGTGAGGAAGAAGGAGAAAGAGAGGAGGAGCGAAGAAGTGGTCGAGATAAAAGACGTAGCATCGAGAAATCAATTTGGGAGAAATCAAATTTAAGGGGGTTAACGTCCGAACAATCCGAAAACTTTCAAAAAAGGAAATTCAAATCGATATACTGCGATTTTCGGCCTAGAAAAAGAAAACTTTGTCCCGAGGAGCGAAAGCGAGTAATTGACGGTGGTATAGACTCTTTACAGAGACTGTTCTGGGACAACCACTGTAGCGGAACTGAAGAAGCCGTTTCGGAGCTCCCGCGCAAACTTATCTAAATTTACCCTCCACTTTAAATCCATATTTATATGCGGTTTTTCGTTTTCTTTGCGTAAATTATGCGTAAAAAGCATGTCGCTTGAACAGCAGGGAGGGACGATGTGGTAATAAGGAGTGCTTGAGTTCATGCTACAGGTCGCTCTCCAGAAAGACTCAGTGAGCGATCACATACCAGATCAATAAACACTCCGATCCAATGAAATTCTGTTGCGCTCAGCACCAATGAAGTTCGAGACAAACACGCTTCAAAATTAGCAACAGAAAACAAAGGTATTCCTGGAATAAAGTTCTAAAAACAGATCAAATGAACGGCAACTTTGCAACGAGGATAGTATTATGACCGTCATCACGGTTCGCATCTAAAAGTCAATCACAACTGCATTCCTAGTTGTTTTGTTATGGGTGATTCTGAACATGTGGAGATTTGTAGAGACAACGCCACTCAAAGGGCTGCGGATATTTGTAGCTATTTATTAAAAAGCCTTTTGAACCCATAAAAGGACATTTAAGTGTCGCGGAGTTGAAATTCAGTACAACCTCAACAATGGCGGTTTTGTAGCTGCGGCAAAGGACAATAACACAGTTACCAAGACTCCACTCAGTAGTGGCATTGTCCAAAACATGGAATTAGTTGCATATATAATCGACCCCAAACGGTGATATGGCTTCCTCAGTTCCATACTCCCCCACGTTCTCTCTTTCTTGATTTTCCAGAGCCAGGTGCTCCGTCACACTCCATTCCGAGCCCATCATTTTACTAGATTTCTCTCATCTCGTCGCACATCAACTAGCATTCACCATTAAACATCATGGCTGCTTCATTTTTCAAGACCATTGTCATCTTCACGGCTCTTAACGCTTTATCAACCGCTAACGCTGCCCCCGCACTCATCTCGAACCATGTAGTCTCACGTGACAATTCAAGTTCTACTACCAACAGCACTTCAGGTTTCTCCGTGAAACAAAACGCACTGGATGCGCAGAAACTAAACCTTCAATTCGCAAACTTGTCGGCATCTGATTCTTGCACTGGTAAGTCGGCTTTTTTACCGTAGGATTTGTCCGCATACTAACGATGTGCCCCAGATGGTCAACAAGCTTGCGTCAACTCTTCGTTTGCCCAATGCGTTGGCTCAACTTGGGAACTTACTCAGTGCTCTTCTGGGACCTCGTGCTTCGCTCTGCCCTTGGTTGCTAAGGCCGGTACCAGTCTGTCATGTGATACACAGTCAGACGCTGTACTTCGCTTCCAGTCTGCTGGCGTCCAGGGTGGCACCACGGGACAAGGCAGCGGTAACAGTACAACCACCAATGGAACCTCCACTTCTGTACTTCTGCCATCCACGTCAAGTTCGGCTTCCTCCGCAGACGTGACCTCCACTAGCGCTGTTATGAGCTCGGCGCAAACGACGGCCTCCCCCTCTTCTGAAACTGGTTTGGTCAGTCAGGAGGTTCCTGTCACGACGATAGTAATGAACAAGTTCCGCATGAAGCGGCAGTTTGGTACCGCCACTTCGTTCCCTGCCACATTTGCATTCGGAAACCCCACGGGCACTTCCAGTGTTCCCGTTTCTACCACGGAGTCTGTTCCTCAAGCCTCACAAACTGGATTAAACAACACGACTCAGACATCTGACGCATTCTCTTCTTCACCTGTCCTCGATTCTACGTCTGCTCTATCGGCCTCTCCCACTGAGACGGGTGTATCGATCGGTCTGACCGCTACTTCTGTACTCAATCCCACAGAAACGGGTGTATCCACAGGTTTACCCACCACCTCTCCCCTGGACCCTACCTCATCTGCACCCGTACTTGGTTCAACACCCCTAAGCACCCCGTCAGGAACGCTAACTTCCGCACCACTTGCTGGGTCAACCGCGGTTTCCTCTGGAACTCCGGCAGGAACTGTCACTGGAGCAGACGGTGTAGTCACTGTGAATGTAGTGGATACTGTATTCATCACAGTGACAGCTGGCGCGTCTAGCGCGTTGCCCTCCAATGGATCTCTCCCTACTGCAACGGGGACTGGTTTGGGCGCTACCTTACCTTCTTCATCTGCTAGCGCGTCTGTCCCAGCGTCTGGCATTGTCGTCACACCGTCCGTTCCCGCAGCTACGACAATTGACCTCAACAGTCCTGCTGCAACACCAACAAGTGGGACTACTTTGACTTCAAGCATTGCTTTATCCGGAACAGCCATCACTTCAGAAGGGGCATTCCCAAGTGCATCCGCTTTACCCTCTGCGGCTTCCGGATCAGCTTCGTCAGCTTCTGGAACCGCATCTTCCTTGCCCTCTGATACATTGGGTGATGTCAATTCTTCATCACCGTCATCTGTCGAGCCAAGTCTCGCTTCCTCCCCCACGAGTGCCGTCCCCACTTCCAGCGCCACTTCGCCCTTCAACTTTATTACGGGCTTTGAGTCTCAAACAACTCCCACATCTCTCGCTGCCTAAGCCGTTGGCTCCATGGGCTTCTCGTCCCACTATATTTCCACATTATAAAGACGGACTTATCTTTGAGACGGACTTGGGTGGAATATACAAGTGACTGGATGATAGTTTTGGCTTGGTTTTTTATATACCGTTGACCGGGTACACTGTATCAATAGCTTTTACAGTAACTAATGTATCATTCAGTTCGTTTCGAATATTCGAATACATGTAATTCAGAATGTTTGCTGATATTCTTCTAAGAGATAGCAAATACGGGGGAACCCGACAGGAGGCCAAACGTGTGCAAAGTATGTTCCTGCAAGTGCAAGACCCTCCGAGTCAGTCTGGGGCTATCCCGATAAACTTGCAGGTTAGCATCTGCATGCTATCGATACATCGCTTGTACGCTAGACTTAGCCGGACGCCGTCGTCGTCGCCATGAGCGTCAATATGAATAACGTAAATGCGGTTTTGGACTCGCCACCTTCAGAGCTACCCAAAGTCCTACCGCGTCTTTTTGCCAAACTGCTGGAGCCCAACCAGGATGCCGTGTTCCTTCAAAACTACACCGTAAGGCCAACCATGCGTCAATCATAACTCTAGTCAAACCATCTTTCTATCAGGGTGCGATAAAATCTCGTTTCCGCAGTGAATACACACCTGGCGATGGCGTCCCGGGGCTCAGCACTCTCGGGAAAGCATGTTTGGCCTCTGGGATCGTAAGGACTATGCTTACCATCACCAAACAAAAAGTGAAATGTCCAAGCAGAGAACATCATATTGCTGGACACCATGCTTTAGACAGCTTGGTGCAGTTCCTTCAGACTGGAACGCTTCCAGAGAGACGGTCGATCTTGGAAGAGATGGTTCGGTACGACGCCGTTAATATCTGTCTGGAGGTAATTTAAACTATATACAGTCATATTCCTGTCTTTCTGGCTCAAAAATTTGTAGAAATTAGACAACGGCTTATGTTTTCATCGACACTTGGCCGTCTCAGCCTTGCGTGCAATGGCCGGAGAGTCTTTCCTAGGAGAGAATATATCCCCATCTACAGCGGCAGATATTATTTACGCAATGTGTCAGTTTACATTGGAAGGACCAGCGAGCTTCGTACAAGAAATGGCGTCTCCTGCAACAGGTTGGCAGAGCCAAATGATCATGGGATCACAAGGGGTATGCTTACATCTGCCTGCTATGTCTTTTACTTTATTCAGCTACTGCAGATGAAGCCTGAGCGGTCTGGTCCTTATGGATGTCGTTACTATGCCATGGCACAAGAGTCGGCTCTTTGGGCGGCCCATGGTCTTCTCTGCAGGTCTCCTCCACCAAATCGTCAATTTTGTCTTGACATCCTCAAGAAAAAACCTGAAGTCCTTGACTTGCTGTTCGACTGTGCTGTCATGGACCGCCCTGCATGGTACCCAGAGATGGAAACGGATACAATCGCATGCGAAGTCTTGGCGCTACTATTCCACTACCCGCTTCATATAGTTCCAGGAGTATCGATGTCGCCAGCTATTGACGCCGCCTTCAAGGTACAGGAGTGGAAAACGATGGGTCAATCTCTAGCCATTCTCACTTCCCGTAAAGACTGGGCGGCGAAGATCATCGACGTTTGGGAAAAAGTGAAAGAAGAAGACTGGGGAAAGATTAAAAAGTATGTGTGCGCACGCTTGAAATATATATGTTTTTTTGACAGCCATCTGTTTAAAAGTATGTTTGACCGAGTTCAGAAGGAGTATTACACTCAAAACCCCCTTGACGAGAAAGCATTTCAACAGATATTCTCATATCGAGGTACACACCTATTGTTTCACTCTTTTGATCTAACTCGTTTTTACAACTTTTCCCATAGGTATATCTCGCATTGTGATACTGAGGCTCATCGCTACCGTAACGCATGCAGCTGACAGATGTGGCGTAACCAATGTCGAATTAGAATCCTTCCTACATATCGCGTACGAGGGGTCATTCAAAATCAAAGGGAGTGCAGACCATCTAAACGAAAAAGATGCCTACACCCTGATTGAACGCTCGGAAGAAGTTTTTCGCAGCCCGTTGTACACCGTAACTACGAAGCAGGCTGTCGATGACGTTCCTGAACATATTGCAGATGAGTCTGTGATGGGTCCCACAGCCTTGACTCGACTCTTGGTTAACTTGGCCCAACGCAATGTTTTTGACGTCATCCAAGGGCTGACAAAACCCCCCAAAGACCTTTCTTTCACGACTTCGCTTCAGCATATACAGCAAATCACTCACCCCGATGTCATCAGTCGGTTCCTGAAAATCGCCCTTCAAAGGGTGAAGGATCGGTGTGAAACTGGCCGTCGTCGCACACGCGAAAACGACCTTGACTATGCACGGGTGGCATTCACGAGTGCCGCTGAACTGGCTGCTGCGCTAGTGGCTTTTGATGACCTCACCAGAGGTAAATATTCTGAGGAGGTGCACGGCGCTCGCAGAGAGCTTGTTCTCTCTCTTGGAAATGCTTCAGAGATGGCCATGCGCAAGACACAATATCAAAGGGCTCTCAATTTTGCTCTGGGCGCGTTAACTGCTGCTGGACGTATACCCGCTGGAGACCTCCCAGTCGATTCAAGCGTAGTGGCAAAAAATCAGCGGCGGGTGAAACAAGCTCAAGAGGCTCTGGGATTACCGTCACTGCCTGCGTCACCACCACAATGATACTACCCATAAGTTGCCCTCGTTGGAGGTTGTACTATTATCCCAGGATCATATCTCTACGGTGCTTGCTATTGTATTCAATCTGTATGTAAGCATGTACAGTACCAATGCAACCGATGAACGGGTGTGTTCTTCATTATCCCTTCGGTCTTATCTACGAGGTTCAAAAGCCACCGATATAGCTCATCTTGTTTATTCTGTTGCTCTGACAAGTCCAGCAAGGCCCTCAAATCTACGTGATTCTACTTGCAAGAGTGAAAGCGCGTGCTGTTGTGTAAATGGAAAGGCAGATTGATAGTATATCAACTATACATATGTCACAGAATCATACAGGATGAACGAATTCGATTAAATATTCCGCAATCCATTGTCTTCTTACTTGTCCACACGGGTTAATGGAGATCAGTCTTTTTTGCGTCTGAATCGCCCAAAGATTCCACGTTTTTTCTCCTTCTCCGCTATCTTGATCCTCACTTCCTCTTCCATTTCCTCGTCCGTAATGCTGCCTCCAAACGAGTACCATGTCACTGTTATCATACCAAGCACGGCTGTCAAAACACATCTACAATTAAATCAAAGAGTCAGCTTGTTCTTAGGCCACTGTGACGTTTTTCAAAAGCTACGCACCCAGCCATGGCTCCAATTGCCCGAGGAAGCCATCCCAAGACCTGTTGATACGGACCCAGCGTCCAGCCAGACAAATCTGTCGTGGAAGCGTGTCCTGCTGCGTTCCCCGAGCTTGGAGTGTTAGTCATCGCGCACTGGTCGTACACGAAAGAAGGAACGTTCCCGACAGATCGCTCCTGCGCAATGAGAGGTGCCTCGACGAGCTGCATCGCGAGACCCACTTGGAGATGCCAGTCAATGTGACCTGTGGGAGGGCAGCTCGAGTTAATAACGAGCAAGTATGTGCTAGGAAACGGCGGCGCGCGGAATTGAATGGAACGTGGTAGACAATAATTTGACGTACAATGGAAGAACCAAACTCCTGGATTGTCCGCTGCGATACGGAAAGTCAGAGAGCCGCCGGCAGGGACGATAGTGGTGTCACGGCGCATTGGGTTAGCTTGTCCTTCAGCAAGCGGCGGGTTAACAGTTGGATCCGTTGAGTTGTATTGCAGAGAGCGATTGATGATCTGATACTTGTGGCCGTGAAGATGGCTAATGACAAAAGTGGTTAAATCCTGATTTATTTTGCGATCAGAGAACACGTACAAAGGATGTTTGTTGGTATCAGAGTTATTTACTTGAATGTCAATGAAATCAAGATGGTTCACCACGAAACTAAGCGGTCCATATGCCTCCTGCACTGATGCATTCTGCCCAAGGGTAAGTACAGATAATGTGGCGGGCACGAGGGGCGGAACATATGTTACTCCGTTGAACATTGCACGGTTAGTTCCATCGTCCATGGTGTCAAACGAGACCAACAGCGGAATAGTTGAGCCCGAGGGCAGTTGCTCAATAACAGTCAACGGTACGAGATCCATATCGTTGATAACATCGTAAGTTGAAACATTACCAAGGTCGGTTTTTGGGGCACCCGACGAGTATGTGATATAAGAAGTGACATCTGAATAGGAGGTTTATAGAAGGCAAGCATAGTGAAGAGATTAGATTCATATGTTATTATCATAAACATGGAAAACGCACTGGGATTGAGTGTGGCAGGGACTGTGTCGAACATGGTATAATCCATGTTAGCATGGATAGCCCAGTTTGACGGCGAGGTATCGTTACGTGCTGTAACCAAGATAGAATAACGTTGAGCTGCGCCAAGGTTAATCTGGTCAACCGTCTTCGATTGGATATCCGTCTGCGTGATGGGGAACACATGATCATTTTAAGCACGTCCATTCATGCAAAATCAGATAAAGAAGAGCGCTCAGAGTCCACAAAAAGTGGGCGCAATGCGTCATAAAATACACTCACGCCATCAGCCTCAATCAGGCGCATCTCGTGACCATCAATCCAGAAGTAGAATCCAGCAAAAGCAGCTTCGCTGATTATCCGCAAACGATAAGTGCGACCAGGAACGAAATTGAGTGTTGCATTCTCGTTAAACCCGGTTGCGGCGGTGACAGGTGAAGGGTTACTTCCAGGTATCGGTGGGAGATTAGTAGCGTTCTGAGCAAAGTACATTAGACCTGAATCTATGGTATGTGACAGGCATTAGGATATAATATATCAACAAGTAAAGATGAAGTGCACACCGGGAATGGGTTCAGCACCACCAGGATCAGCAATGTTGACATATTGCTGCATGAGAACTGTGTGTTCCTGGTGATACCAGTCGCCGAGGACAACTGTGAACTCCTCGTCATAAGAGTAGGCTTCTTGAGGGGGATGTATAACAAAGGGGGCGCGGAGGCCATCGACATATTGTCCCTAAACAGATTTTGGCGCTGCATCAGCAAAAGTACTGGAAATTTGAAGCAGGACTCTAAAATAAAGGTATTATGAAATACTCACCGAAGCATGAGCATGCACCCAGTACGTCCCCCATTGGTCGGAAGTGTTGACGGGTATAGAATAATGGAATGTTTGACCCGGGGGTATACCACTAGGATATGATTAGTTTAAATTAGAAGGTGAAAACATTATAAAGGAAATGAAAGGGTAAGCATTGTAGAACCGAAAACGTATAATTCGCAAAAACGAGAGCATGACGCTTACCACTGGCCGACGGCTAGGGCACCATCCATCCAAGAAGTCGAATTCATGTACATGCCATGGTGATGAAGGGTAGTGGCGACGTCCAACGAGTTTGTTGCATGCAAGAGCAGAGAATCTGTAGAGTTTATAGATATTGGCGGAGGTCTGTATTAATACAGAGGAGCAAAGGATCAGCAAAACGAACAAGACACGTTAATATATTATATAGAACGAGATTAGGCCTGGATGGCATCGGAACCGAAATGAACGCGACTTACGGCCAAGTACCATTGACACCTATGACACGACGTTCATAGAGACCGTCTGGGTTGGCATTTAGGACGTAGGTGATATTCCACCATACTTCTTGCACGCCCGCAAAAGCAGGAGATGCAAGAAAGAGGAGAGTGAACAAGAAGCGAGAGCACCACATATGCCTCAGAGATGGTCGTCGGACCAGTTGAAGAGAGAAGGGCTGGGATGGAACTGAAGAGATGGTGGTCTCTATAAGAGTGTGGTGAGACCTACGGAGAGTTCAGGACTCAAAAGTAAAAGCCAGGCTCGTGCTCTGCCCACAAAGTAAAGAACTAATTTGCTCGACTGTATGTATGACCCTGGATTTAACCGAAAATAATCTGATAAGGGGTATGCGATCAAACCCGGGAACAATGTGCAAAACACAACGCCCCCATTACGACACTCGTACCTTTTGTTCTCAGAGGGCAACATGAGCCCAGGGAAAGGCCAAACCCTGTTACCTACATTGTCAGAAAGGATAGACCAGGGATGGCTAGTCTTGCGCAAGTGGCTCAGGGCTACAGTTGAACCTGGAGTGTCGACACGGGCCGGCAATGGAACTGAATGGGTTACCCTTCACGGCAGCGCCAGCAAGTCGGAAGGTTTGGATCTAATCAGATTATCCGCAACCCTCTTTTACCGCAAACGATTGACAGATAACCATGAGGTAGATCATTCGTAGATCCGCATGCCGGCATCTGATAAGATAATTATATGTTTTCTTTTCGGTGGGAATCGGACAAACGCGTAAAAATTATCTGATATCATTTGGGACCCTTGCTTGTCCCCTCAGATCTGTCACGGTCCACTTAAAAACCAGCTTGGGTTCGTCCCTCTCATCCTTGCTGTTGTTCGATTCACGATGGCGCGCAATCTCTTCTCTGTCGCAATTTTCATCATCGTTCTCCGTGAAACCCTCGAAGCTGCCGTCATTGTCTCTGTCTTGCTCGGTCTGGTAGAACAGATAGTCCAAGACGAACCAGAGAAGCTCGGGGCCGTAGCGCAGATCGTACCAGACTCCCCAGTTGAAGCGGATGGCGAAGCAACTCTGGGCAGTGGCCTTTCGACTGGTCATAACAGCGCCGAAGGTCGCCGCGATCTTCTCAGTGATGCAGACAATACCATCTTCAAGAAGCGTCTTATTCGGAAGCTCAGACTACAGGTTAGTCGGTTCTTTTCAGTTGGAAAAAGTCACTATAACATCGATTCGCCTAGATTTTCTTTGGTGCAGGCTCTGGTCTCCTCATCTCACTCGCCATAGGTGCCGCATTCATTGCTATATGGTTCACTCAAGCATCAGATTTATGGGTAAAGGCTGAAAATCTGTGGGAAGGTAATATATCAGCAAGCTCATGACATGTGCACATTACTTACGTTCTTTTTCCTCCAGGGATCTTTGAATTAATCGCGTCCCTCATGATATTTGTTATGGGTGTCACCATGTTGAAAATGGATCGCGCCAAGGCCAAGTGGCGCGTTAAGCTTCAGCGCGCGTTCGGTGATCAGCGTTCGTGTTTGGCCATACTTTCCACCTTCAGCCTATCATTGATTTACGGTTATAGAGGTCGACCGTGGCGCCAAAACAGGGAAATGGGTCCTTTTTATCCTTCCGCTCATCACGGTCCTTCGTGAAGGTAAGCTTACCTAGTCATTGTTTGATACATGAAGTGCAAGTTACTGATTGAACCTATTTCCTCGGCTGTGAATTTTGACTTCATTCCGGTCCACGCGTGTAGGTATCGAGGCAGTTGTCTTTGTCGGCGGTGTATCATTAGGTCAATCCGGCACATCCATTCCAATCGCCGCAATTACAGGTTTGCTTGTTGGAGTCATAATCGGTTTCCTGATCTACCACTTTGCAAGTCGAATGAGTAAGTACTTGCTTTTAATCTCCTGGGCAACTGATAACACCGTTTCAACAGCCCTTACAGTCTTCCTCATCGTGATGACCAACTTCATCTTACTTATCGGTGCAGGACTATTCTCCAAAGCCGTCTGGTATTTCCAAGACTACAAATGGACCAGGTTGTTAGGCATTAATGGCGACGACTCTGGAGGAGATGGACCCGGCTCGTACGATGTCCGCGGAAACGTATGGCAAATTGACTGTTGCGACCCTAATGGCAATCAGGGCTGGTCTATTTTCAACGCAATACTTGGATGGCAGAATACTGCAACACGTAAGTGTCGATTCCACCATCAAAACTATAGCATGTCAAACTCACGGGACCGATTGAAGTGGGAAGCGTCCTCTCGTATGTTTTCTACTGGTTGGCGGTAGCTGCAACTTTGTCATACATGAAATTTAAGGAGGTATGTTTCCACTAAATCATATAAATTGCGCTATCAGCTGACGTTTGGCACAAATTATTAGGGTCGTACAACCTTTTTAGGGCGAGAGTCTGCGGCGGGTGTGCGTCGGCGTCGCTTTCGGGAGAGAGCGATGTCAGATTCGCAAGAAAAACAGAGCAGCCTTGAAAGAGAGGTGGAGATCGCCAGCCTTCCTCTGTGATCCGCAAGCACGACATCTCCGGATTAACGAGTTCTATAATTATAACTGTTTACCTTTCCACGTTCAAGATACCATGCGCCGAATATAGGCATATTTCACTTGTGTAGTTGTGGGCGAAGAAGGCGGTGTACAGGGACACGAATATAAAAGCGAGCAAGCTGGCATAAATGGTAGTAGGCTAGTGCCCCTGCATTGTATTGTATAGTAATTTCTGGAAAGCATCAACTTGTGTATCTGCATACTATTCTCAGCAATGAGAAGGGTTGATATCATTCAGACGACGTCATAGACTTGTACGCACCAGTCGACTCTTCTGCCATATTAGAGGCACTTTCCGAGATCTGTACTCAGCAGATTCGAAGCCTAGGGGCATGGTGAAGTTGAAGAACCATTGATTGATTGGAGTACCAGCCAAAACAGCCGTTCCGCGTCTCGTAAAACTGGACAAAAGAAGAGACTATTTTAAGAGGCTTCTACTTTTCGATGATGCTCTGCATAGGGCAAAGAGATGGAAGCCGGAAGTACGCTGAGAGGGAAGCAATGATCGTATAACATCTTCTTAGCATTCGTCCAATATTAGATCGGCCGCAAAGCATCGTCGTTGAACAAGGGGTAATGTAATAGTGATAGATCCTCGTTATCGACGATGATGTGCCTTTGGAAGTCTGCAAATGGTTATTGAAAAGGACATCCGGATATGACTCTCGACAGTGGCGCTCTTGGCATTCAGCGCGGTCCGCTACGCGACGATTGATGCTAGAATCCTCTTCTCTCGTGGACTTGTGCATACAGCAGGATGGGCGGTTATACTAAGCGAACCCGAGAATATGCTGATGTAGACATATGTTCTGATGAAGCTCATACATGAATGGTGCGGTTTGTGGTCAGGTGAAAAGACCGTAGGCGATGGCAAAAATAAGGTAAGAGTCAGATGTTTTCCTGGTCGTCCGAAACGCTGCGATGCGACCACATGATAAAACAGATTGAAATAGAACAGGGAACGATAGGAAATGTGGGCCATGCAAAGGAGGAGGTCAGGTCAGGTATTGCGCCACACGACAATAGTTGATTCAACATCAGGTAAGATACGGGAACATCGGTGAACTACCCAGTTGGATTCGGGGATATTCAAAGCGGCGATCAAACCTGTGGAACAGGACCGAACCAGTCTTGATGACAGATGGTTTATATATCTAGTGAGATGGCGACACTCAGTGTCCATCTAAGGACGACAGACAGTATCCGGAACTCACCAGACCATAAACCGCCCGCCGACAACCAATGCAACCTTAAGTATCTTTGGATACTAATGACAAAGGATAGGCGGAATTTAGAGGCGATGAGCCAAGTCAGTGGCCATGTATAAGGTTAAGTTCTCTTCACGTAATACGCATGGAGTAGGAGTCGCGCCTGTTAATGTGAACTTCATATCACATGTAATATGCTTGGAATTTCGATGATGAAGGGTGGGGGAGCCAAGTGGTAGATATCAGGAACCGAGTTAACGCAAGAGATATACATGGCTTGATATATCGGGCTACGACCGCGAGGTGAGTTTGGTATTGGAAACGTAATGATATGGCTCTAGCCCACTTTTCAATTAAGACGGAAACGCAACAAAGGCTCCATACATAAACGTCGCTCATATCGCGGGCTTGTCCCCGAGAGGCTCTGCCAAATCGTCTAATGTGTTTGTTAATGATCAGACAATTAGGTACAACTTGCAAACGTGACTGACTTGACTTACAGCAGTACTATTCGAATGATTATGACCGATAGTGACCTGATCGAGGGTCGAGATAAGGATGATGCTTCAAGAGGAATTAAATGGCTTCTACCACATGTAACATAATGCCCAACTTCTCCCCCTGTGTGACGTTCTAGGATACCACTTTTCCACAAAAGCTCAACTACCAATGAGTTGAGCGCGTAGCAAACCCTGTGACCTGTATGGGGCTGTCCCTTGGTGGAGCTGTCCTGGAGGCTTTCACGAAAGAGCGCTCGGGAAATTGTTGTCAGTTCGAGTGGGACTCAACCAAAGAGACCCAAGCCAAATCATACTGTCACAATCACTAACGCCACCTCAATTAACCCTAACCTACAAATGTGGTTTTCGTTACGTTATCAATAAGCATCTGAAGATATAATTTACATGCGGGTATACTACGTTAAAAGTAAACATGAAGCGTCAGTACAAGAATAATTCTGGTCCAAAGTAATCAAAGAGCTGGTCCGGGGATAATATGCCTAGAAGCAAACCAATACATGAGTCCTGTTACATTGACGTCGTGGCAGTGGTATATGTATTCCTTCGCCCCTTGCGATCACCAATTTTAAAAGATGAGGAGACATTGAAAGCTGTCTCTCCAATTGGCAGATTGAAGTCATCGCCCTCCTCAAATTTCGACGACGAGAAGGACAACGCAGATATTTCGATTTCAGCGGTTTCATTGTCGAGATAACTTGAGCTTTCACGGAGATGGAAGAAGATACGAGATGCCAGTACACTATGTAAGACTAGCTGTAGTCTGTATACTGCGTATCAGCAAATAAAATTCCAATGAAGCAATCAAGTTGAGAAGCAACGCACGCGTCAAGTAAATTGGTGAATCCAGCCTGGTATGAAAAGTAAAGGGTGATTCTTGACCATAATACTTTATGAAGCACTCACCGGAGCAGCGACATTAGCGACGATGTTATTCGTGGAAACAACTAGCCCAAAAATGATGTTACAAACAATAGTGGAATGAAATTGAGTGGACACACAGATTATACATCCCATGTACAATACACCATCTCGGATGACTATGTTGATTAGCCCACCAGTGAATCGGTAGTGTTTGAAACTTGACAGCATAGTCATGAATAATAGAACTAGGCATGCATTTTCAGAATTCAGCCAATTCTCACATTTCCTATGTAAATCAGTACTGACAACATTCAAAGAACAGAACAAACGCGTATTGAACAGCGTATACCGTACCACCTAGAAAGGCACAACTGTCTGTTGCACAGGAGGCAGTCAGATTGATTTACCATCACTTAGATGTAAACGAATGTACCGAAACTGTCTGTCTGGTGCATTATACAAGGCACGATAATGGCTCCGGCGATGGAAAACTTGGGGAGAGAATATTCCTTCGGTATGTTACATCAACATTAAGCACATATGAAGGCATACCAGGCTGCACACCGATATTCCTACAAGCAGTGCTTTATTGCATCGCCACAAGGCATAGACTCGCACAGCGAGAAGGCCTTGAAAAAAAATGCAGCCATACCAAGCTTACAAGGAGTTATTTTTCTTACCTTCCGCAGAAAGGATGCCCAAGAAGTGGAATACTGAGGGGATAGTCGTTGGAATGAAACTAATATACAAGCGAAATAATGTGCTCACTGTTCGATGAAAGATCGAATGGAAAACACTGCGCGTTGGAATATTTCAGTCAAACAGCCGAAACACATTACAACGCAAAACCGACATTTCCTGTTCGCATTTGTAAGGCATCTATAGAACCTCATTCAGAAAAGCGATGGGTTCTAGATACCCAAAAGTTACTCACTAACTGCTGTCATAATAGCACCTATAAGCGGGAGGTAACGCGAAGCTGTGAACACCAATCGAACAAATGTCCATTTCCTATGCCATATCCACTGCACCTATCAATTGTGTCAAGATGAAAGAACGCACTCTAACGCAGTAATATAACTTCACCTCCAAATCGAAAGATAAGAAATAATCAAGTACCTGACGGCACCTAATATCAATCACAGCGAATCGACATACTTCAATAACCTTACCCATACTGTCAATCCAGCGACTGAAGAAGTCAAGAGAGGGATACAAAGATGAGAATGCCATATTCATTTTGAAAGATTACACATACCATTGAAATACTATGGGAAAAAAGCCCATCAGAACGAGAAATCCATGTCTGCGGCTTAAAGATGAGTACATACCTTGGAGGTTTGTAAATCAAAAAGAAAGTCAGGGGAGGTCGACAGCTCTGCCATGACCTATTTCCTGGGGGTACATACAAGCTCCCGTTATGATATATATACATCAACTATGCCAGGATGTCACTTGAATATCAAAGAATTTCATCTGTTCTCAATGATGATCATTATTCAAGGAGCCCAGATGATACATTGGTTTCACAGGAAAGCTTCCCGTGCGAAGATCCTAGTATCAAGTTCCGTTGGTAGTATACCATTGTTGCTAGCTTGAGTGTGCTGGTGTGATCATCGAGCGATCAGTAAGTATGTATCCTTCCCACTGCCTTTCGGTCTACCTTTGCTCGCTATTGTTCTTTGTTCTGGCGTTGGTTCAAAACTACATGCTCCAAGGCGAGCTGGACTATGCCACCATAGGAGACCCGATCTATATCAATAACATGAATTCAGATTTACTAGTACATACGACCACTCCAACTTACCTATGCATATAGATGTACTTTTTATCATGATCGTGCCATTGAACCAGTACATCTCCATCAAGATCATAACTATTTCGTCCGGAGCGCGTTCGTGGGTCCAGCCTGTTAATCTGTCAGTTCTAACACAGCACCTCTGCTATATTGATCGGAACTTTGTGCTCCATGTACCTCCGTCATCTCAGCATGGTGCAGCTGAGGTGTGGGTACGCACAGTTCCAGAACCAATCACATAGTGGCCCGAGTGAACCTTGGTGCTCCAGTCACTGCACAGGAACTCACTCAGGAAACTGCCAAGCTTGCAATCGCCAAGAACACATTATTTCGTGAGAGTTACAATTCATTTAGACAGCTTGAAACGGGGGCCACATACTATACAGTCAGAAACATGTGAGAAATAATGTACAATGATGATTGAGCCAGCCAGTGGCATTTGGCTATTCCTGGGCGAACCAACTTCATGCAATGTGTTGGCAGCTTTCATTACTTCAAGAAAAAAAATTGATTTCACCTGAATCCGTGAGTGTTATTAGTTAGGAATTTCCCGGGATCATATTGAGACTCACGACCCTTGCAACCAACTACAGCGCTAAAGCTTTCCCGAATATTACGACCAAAGATCAAGACGGAACAAGCAATATAACAGTGTAGCTGCCTTGCATACAGGGCAGGCAGAGGTAGCAATAATCTCTCTCGTAATGCATCTACATATCCCTGGTCAGGTAGAAAGCAAGGAAATGTTTGCCAGACTAACTTGTTACAGAAAATGTGGCCACACATCGTCACTGTCATGCCCTCGCACGGATTCACCTGACATAGCCTACAGTGGAACCGCAGAGCATGGCCATCAAATGCGTGCCTGGATGTTTTTGAAGGCTCATTTTCATCTGCTTTACCAGGAAGTTCCGATCCCTGCTTCACGTCAACGTGGTTTCCTACGTAGGAATCGCTTTGGTAAGGTTTTGCTCACGTCCCAATACAGGCTAAGGTCAGGCTTGCACTTACCGTGGCCGGTTCTCCTGGATACAGAGGAAGAGAACATTTCTAAGTGTTGCCCTTGACGGTTATGAAACGGCATTGGTGAATCAGATGGTGAGAGAGTGGAGGAAAGCAAAGGAGATCCTGAATCAGAGCTTATCGGAGACTGTGAACTAGTAGATCTTGCACTAGTTGCGACGAGATAGGCTTGACCACTTTGTATATGCTTTGGTAACGACTCCTTAGATATAAGTATGATCGATGTCTCTGGAGAGCTGGGGGACGCTTAGTATGCACCCTATACCGGGAATAAATAAAGAATAAGAACCAACCTGAGGCCCTCGAAATCATCTGATAGCCGGTCAGAAGATGCAACAGAGGAAGGTCGCGCCTCATAATTGAAAGCCAAGCCTTGCAATCCCAGCCCACCATCTTCCCCATCATCACTCTCTTGCAGGAAAGAAGTATGCTGTGATTCCGCATCATTACTAGTCGCACTATGACTATGTGGGGCTAAGTTTACGCCTAAAGCACCATCACTTAATGGGAGCGTTCCCAAAGACTCGAGGGAAGGAAATATTGTACGTGGTGACCTAGCCTCGAAACGGAAAGTATTGGGATTATCGCGCGGGAAATGTTGAAAGTGAACTGGACTTTCAGATCTGCTTGGAATCGGAGAGTGAGTTTCTGTCACACATAGTAGAGGACTCATGTCTCTAGGGCTGATGTAAGGTTCGCCTTCGCCCAGTGATGTGCGTGATGACTCTAGGCGTCTGTCCAAACGTTGTAGCATGGCGGAATCCAGGTCATGAGATGAGACTGAGGCGTGGAGGTGTTCACTGTGGGAAAGACGATCCGCATCCTCATCCGTGGCGTATTCGGAGTTGTAGTCATGATGATCACTAAATACTGACTCAAGTTTAGGAGCGATTGCTTCCTCATTCTCGCAGTACTCTCCGGCGAATGCAACCATCTAAATCGGAATTCAATATATCATCAGAACAGCAAATTTGCATACAACTCACCTGTTCAGAAACACGAGATTCGCGTGAAACGTGTTCAATTAATAGTCTTGATCCATGGTGAGATACATGCTGTAGGTCGCATGCAATCTGCTCTTAGATAACGAAGGCGCTGACTAAACTTGTACCCACTAGTAAATAGGTCTCTTCGTCCACAAAGCCAACATCACAATCCTCGCATTTGGGGTGGCTGGCAAAATGACGATAATGATGTTCTAACGCTTCCGCAGTATCAAATTGCCAGTGGCATGAAGGACAGTAACAATCCAAGTGCAATTCTGCGCAATGCTGTGCAAGCGAATATTAAGGACGAAGTTGAAATGTGAAGATGTATACGCACGTGACGGTACCACGAGACATCCAGAAAAAGAAGTTCGCACTTTGTACATGCGGGGTGTATGTCCATATGCTCCTGCAATTCTTGTACTGTGTAGTATCCCATGTCGGTGAAGTAGCAGCGATAGAACGATCCCCCAAATCCAGGGAGCGCTGGACCGAGATACTGATCTTTGACACGTAATGGCTGGCAGGTCGGGAGAGGACTTCTCGGAATGACAGGTTCACCCCAGTCAAAGTAATGGGTTTTAGGGAATGAGGGAATAACTTCATGTTCCTTTATATCGTCGCGCAAGTGAGTTTCTTCATCAAATGAATCGTAACAGCTCATCAAAGGCGAGTGATCAGATACATCTTGCCCTGGTTGGTTCATCCAATCTCTTAGGAATATTGATATCGCCTGCCTCCGAGTCCTCATTTTCGAGATGTTGCTTTAGTGAAATGGGAGTTGCTGCATCGCGATTGAATACAGAGTGCCCGTATTCTTCGGAGTGTCTTGTCCCAGCATCGTGCCCTGGCAATTGGAGGGCCTTAAGCTCGCGATGACAGATTCTACAGTTACATACATGAATGGCCAAAGTCCGCTGTGTGGGATCATCTGTGGACTCGTGCTTTTGCATACATGTGTCGCCTGTCTGTAGATGTCTGGCATTGCGGTGTAAGTCCAGAGCCTCGAGCGAGTAGAATTCCTGATTACAGGTAGGACACTCGTGCTTCGACAAATGTCCGTAAAGGCGATGAAGCTCTAGCGCGTCCGATGATTGCAGCGTCAAGCCGCAGCTGGAGCACTGGTACTCAATAGACGCTTGTAAAACCTGATTCTCTGAACCTTCAGAGGACTGAAGAGTACGATTACGGATATGAGTTGTAGAATGATGCTTGGTCGTCCTATGGCTTTGTAATGCCTCCTCAGATTTGAAATCATGTCCACAGAGATAACAATTAAACGTGGGAGCGTGTGTTGCTGCCATGTGCTGCTCTAAAGCTTGAGAAGATACGAATTGGCGGCTACACTCCTTGCATTCATAAAACACAGGATGTTTAGTATCGTTATGCTGATCCAAAGCTTGAAGAGATCCGAATTCGCGACTACACCTCTCGCAATAGTGTAAATGTTTAGCACTGTTATGCTTCTCCAAAGCGTCCACAGATTCGAAATCACGTCCACAGATATAACAATTAAACGTGGGAACGTGTGTTGCTGCCATGTGCTGCTCTAAAGCTTGAAGAGATCCGAATTCGCGACTACACCTCTCGCAATAGTGTAAATGTTTAGCACTGTTATGCTTCTCCAAAGCGTCCACAGATTTGAAATCACGTCCACAGATATAACAATTAAACGTGGGAACGTGTGTTACTGCCATGTGCTGCTCTAAAGCTTGAGAAGATACGAATTGGCGGCTACACTCCTTGCATTCATAAAACACAAGATGTTTAGTATCGTTATGCTGATCCAAAGCTTGAAGAGATCCGAATTCGCGACTACACCTCTTGCAATGGTGTAAATGTTTAGCACTGTTATGTTTCTCCAAAGCGTCCACAGATAGGAAACGATGGTCGCAAGTTTGACACTCGTGATGTATAGGGTGCTTCGATTGCTTGTGCTATATATGAAGGACATTAAAGTCTGTAGAAAGCGACAGATACGCTTCTCTTGCGCAGTGTACTACATTACTTACCATTTGTAATGCTTGGGCGTCAGTGAAAGAACGGCCAGAACAAGCTTTGCAAGTAAACATGTCGACAAAATTATGAATGAAGGTGTTTGGATTTCAAGGATACTGGAATCCGAGGTGAGCGTTTGGGAGAGACAACAAGCCGTCTAGTATATGGCTTGGTCGCTCATAACGCGGTCGATAGAAGAAGACGATCCCAGTGCGGTGTGTACATGACCACAGCATCATGGTGGCCACAATTAAATGACGAGCGGCAAGTGCCGAATACTAGGCGCTCAGTTGGATCGGACACTCCAATTGATAAAGAGAATTGTTTATGTGCTGAAGGGGCTCAAACTTAAGGGCTCGTACGGGATCGGATTTTTTTTTCTTTTTTCTTTTTTCTTCTTTTTTTGAGATTTTCCTCCCCGGCCAAAGCCTTGCCGCTCTAGTGGAGACATAATTGTAGAGTTCCGTGACCCGTCGATAAGATAGTACTACTAGGACACCATGTCATCAGCTATCAGCTATACCGCCTATATGAACTTTCACACCAATCCTGCAACTTGTACGGAAGGAGATGATACTCGTGATTCAGAGGGGCAGGATGGTTTAAATATTGTAGCTAATCACCAGCTAATCATCAGCCAACAGCGGATGTACTTGGCCCGTTTACAGATGTCAAAACTAGCTTCTGTCGTCATTGAATCGATCACACATGCTACTCAGGCTATAGTGGAAGAACAAGTGCAACACCCCAAACCAAGACCATACCACAACTCGGTCCTGACAGGCTATGGATGGGTCAGGGAATTGATAGATGGGCATCCTGATCGTATCAGGACGGAGCTTGGGGTGCAACAGGAAGTTTTCCCGAAGTTGTTAGATTTATTGCAGGCCAATGGATACTCGGATTCAAAGCATGTGTTGATTGAAGAATAACTCGCCATTTTTCTGTACACATGTGTGACAGGATTGTCCATTTGCCACATTGCCGAACATTTCCAGCACTCCAATGACACAGTCTCTAGATACTTCAAGAGAATGCTTGAAGCTTTCACTTGCCCTAATATCTACAATGCATATGTACGTATACCAGGTGCCAATGCCCCTACACCATTTGCCATCAGCAATAACCTGAAGCTTTGCCATTTTGCGGGTACCATTGGTGCAATTAATGGCACCCATATCGTTTGCAGTCCTTCCGCTGCAGAATGTGCAGCCTCTCACAATCGAAAGGGTTCAGTCACCCAGAACTGCTTGATGTGCTGTGACTTAGATATGAAGTTCATATACATGCTTAGCGGCTGGGAGGGGTCAGTTGCAGATGCCAGCCTGTTCCATGACACTCGGACTCATGACCTGTACATGTAACAACCAAGAGTTAGTTACTCTGGCGCACAACTCAGACAAACTATAAAGGTAGTGGAGGGAGTGGTTACCCTTAGGATAGGACCGAGTTAGTTGTGGGTAAACAACAGGAGGACTCGCTGAGGAGTCTCCTGGATCTATTGGGGTATATATACTACTACAGAGTGTTTGTACTTATGTACTATACAGTTTGATAAAGTTAGTGGCTTGATGATGTCATGGGGCCTAGCCCGCATGACCAGCTCCACTGTGTGAGAGAGTTGTATCTAAAATAAGAAATAAGGCAACGCGGCGCAAGAAAGAGGAGTTTGAACAAAAGGGGAAGTGCCGCGTGGCACCATGTGTGAAAGCTAAAGTGTACAAGGTTAAAGCGGAGAATGAAAATGAAGGAAAGGTCCGAAAATTGTGTTATCCTAACATTCCACAGGACTAGGAACTCTAATTTTCCACACTTCAAGTGTGTGTCCACCACTCGTTCAACTTCGAACTCTTCTTCACCTTCCTGGGTGACTACAACCGGTCCAGGCTGGTCTACACACTGTCCCGGCAGCGGCCCTTTGTAGGGTTTCACATGGCTAATATTGACCGTGGGTACTACCCTCATTCATTTTGGGAGCTCCAACTCCACTGCATTGGGTTTGACTTCCTTAATCCGGTAAGGACCAATCCACTTTTCGGTCAGTTTTCTAGACTGCTGATCTTTCAGTTTTAAGTGGTCGGTATCTAGCCAGACCAAGTCGCCAACCTTGTAGTCAGGGGTCTTAGAGTGTCTACGCTCTGCCCTGTCTTTCATCTGCTCTGCAGTTTTGAATAGCGCTTTGCGCGTTTTGTCTAAGACAGACTTCATGTCTTTGACCATGTTCTCAGCAGCCTCGTTCTTGCTTTGCCAGGTTCTACACCCATTCTGGGAAGGTACAATCTTGTAACCTCAAATGGTGCCTTTCCTGTAGCCAACGACTGTTTAATAATATAAGAGAACTGGGTTATCTTTAGCCACTTGGCCCAATCCGTCTGCCTGTCATTGATAAATATACGGAGGTATTGTTTCAATTCCTGATTGAGCCTTTCCGTTTGTCCATTGGTCTGTGGATGGAACACCGTTGATAATTTAGGTTTGATGCCCAGCATCCGGCATACTTTTTTGGTAAATTCGCTAGCAAATTGTGGCCCCCTATCAGAGATAACTGTTTCTGGTAACCCATGGATAGACCATACAGAATCTTTAAATAGATCTGCTGTACCAGCAGCGGTAATAGTTCTGTTGGTGGGAATAAACACTACTTTTTTGGAGAAGTGATCTACTATCACCATTACCGAATCATACCCATTTGATTTGGGTAGATCCGTTGTGAAATTGACCGATATGTCCTGCCAGGGACCAGCTGCTATCGGATTTGGCATAAGTTTACTGGCCGGCGGTAGATGAGAGTTCTTTGCCATGACACATCTCAGACAGGATTTATGTATTCCTGTACGTCTTTGACTATGCCGGGCCATATGTAGTTTCTGGAGATCAACTCCATCGTTCATTGCTACCCAGGGTGCCCAGCCACTGGAGTGTTGTGATGTCTGTCTATTGCCTTGATCCTTGTGGACTCAGGCACATAGATTTTGTCTTTAAAACAGAAGAGCCCGTCTTCCCATAAATAGTTTTTATTGCTGTCAAGGCGCACCTTCTCTTCTGAGGAGATGTTTTTCTTGAAGACTTCTAGAAGATTGGAATCCTGCCCAATTCGAGCATTGGCAACCCTGGATTGGTCTATCAGGGTGACACCTTTGTTGTCATCTTTGATGCCATTGGCATGATCCTCTCTTCTGGACAAAGTGTCCGCTTTCCCCATAGAACTTCCAGGTTTATGAATTAATTTATAATTAAACCTAGACAAGTACACCGTGTACCGGGCCTGTCTTCGGTTCAAGTCTCGGGCTGTCATAAAATACTCCAGATTCTTATGATCGGTCCAAATTTCAAACTGGTGCCTAGCACCTTCTATGTAGTGCCGCCAGTGCTCTAGAGCTCTAATGATGGCTAGCATCTCCTTATTGTAAATTTGATAGTTGCACTCTGTAGGCAACAAACTATGTGATAAATAGGCACAAGGCCTCCAAAGATCATCAGGGCATTTGATTGACAAAACAGCCCCAGTAGCAAAATCAGAAGAGTCAGTTTCTAGCCGGAACTCTTTGTCTAATTCTGGAAATGCTAATATGGGCGCTGTCGTAAACACTTGTTTAAGCTTAACAAAAGCTTCTTGTTCTTTGGCGCCCCAGTGCCAAACAATATCCTTTTTGGTGAGATCGTTCAACGATCTCGTGATTTTTGCGAAGTTTTTTACAAATCTTCGGTAGAAGTTGCCTAAGCCAAGGAAGGCCCTAACTCCTTTGACGCGAGTAGGTTCTGGCCAATCCAATATAGCTTGAACTTTCTCAGGATCCATCCTGATTCTGTTCTGGCCTATTATCATACCAAGGAAGTCTACTTCCTTTACTTTAAAATTACATTTTTTGGGTTTGATGAATAGGTCCCATTCCTGTAAGTGTCAAAGGACTTCTTGCACAATCCTGTCATGCTCAGCCTCATCGTCCAACTTCGTAAATATTAATAAATTGTCAATGTAAATGACAACACAGTTTTCCATATCCGCAAAAATCCCGTTCATCATGCTCTGGAAGGTTGCCGGTGAATTGGTCAACCCAAAGAACATAATGAGGGGCTCGAAGGATCCTCGGTGGCACGTGAACACGGCCTTCCAAGCATCTTCTTCTTTGATGCATACATTATTGTACCCCTACCTTAGATCCATCTTTGTTAAGATCTTGGTGCCAGCCAACTTGTCTACTAGCTGACTGATCAAAGGCAGCGGATACACATTTTTAACTGTGTACTCATTCAAGTAACAATAGTCCATAATCATACACTTTTTTTGTTGATTGGTAGCATGGACAGGTGTCAATAACGAAGTGAATATTCAAAAAGACTTGCCTTTGCGCCACACAGGCACAGTGCCACGTGGAATAGTAATTAATATTGCCTTTTTCAATCTTGTGGCCGATCAGCACCACCTCTATTAGGCAATCCAGTCGCGCTCACCTTTGCTTTCCATCCAGTACTTTCCGTGTTTTGGCATTTTGGAAAATTTTTGCGTTGCCACTGGCTACACATTGCATTGCGCCCTCGCCTTCATTGTTTCCCTTACTCCCCTTCCTTTACCTAGCCCCACCATGGGCCCCTTCCTCTCCTTTTTATTCTCACCCAATGGTCATTTCTGGATCCCCATTCTAATCCACCTCTTTGTCACCTCCAGCCTCCTCCTCCTCATCTTCTTTGCTCCCCCACCATTTCTGATGTCACCACTTCCTATCTGCTTCCATCAACTACCACGTGCCACTGCTGATATCAGCAAAGCCCCGGCGGCCGGTCCAAATAGGGCAACAGGTCCATCTTCATGACATCGATCTGCCATCATATACTATCAAAACATCGGTCGCTCGTTTTGCCTGGTTGGAGCGTGGGTGGGTAGTTTTTGAGCTGGAGAAGGTTCATCCCCTTGCGTTGCCCATGTTCATTGCTGTCCCATTCACTTGGGTACACTTATCTTTTGTCCATCGTCTTCGCTACAGCTACACCTATCACACGCTGCCTGGGACTCACTTGTTCCAAATTGGAACTACTCCTCTCCCTCTCTCGTTCGACCAGGTGGTCCAACACAACCAGTCTATTGGTAAGGCCATGGAACTGTTGGATTTAAACTAGGTGGTGGACCGGTGGCTCCAGTTTCTTTTTTTTCAGCAGAACATTCATTTACAGTGTGTTTATTTTTGATTTTTGAATCATTTTTATGGACACATATTTTTTTAGAATGCCTGACTGACAATAAAGGAACTGTGTTGATACTGATAGTGTTTTGCCTTGCCCTTTTTTACTGCATCTTCCCATGACATCATGATTTTCCTGCTCTCTTTTTGCTATTGGACTTTACTTTATGGCTGTACAAACCTGTGACATTACTCACAGCATTCATTGTTCTATCCCTTTCTTTTCCTTTTTTTGACAATATTATCCTGTACTACCTACGCAGGATTTGTCAGCGTACATTCCTTCCTCCTTGTGCTATAATTAGCAAGGTAGTGCTCATCTATATTCACCATAAAGCCCCTATCTTTTATATTCCAACTACCCCTCCTCCTCAAAACCCACACCCATACATCTCTGGGTTTTACTTTGAAGGATTATCATACATACCACCCCACGAACAACCAGAGCACCTGTCACAACTCGAACCAGAAGCGCTAGTCTGAGCGCTAGTTTCCTTTTTCATTTTTCTTTGATATCTGATCACATGACAGATAAGATATGTTAAGCTGCTGCTTTAGCGCGGATAACATAATACGTAGTTATATCAGATCACGTGACCATCACGTGACACAAGTCTAGAGCTATTACAAAGAACATCAGTCAGCGCCTCATGGCTGATGCATGTTAGCTCAGTCAGCGCCTCATGGCTGGCTTTCAGAAACATATATATAGTAGACCATCATGTACATACTTTCCTCAGTTGTTGATTAATTCTCAATCGCTATTTGTAACGCTACTTGTTTGATTTGAATCTTCATCCCTCCGTTAACTCGGTATAAGGGATAAGGGTTTTACACAATCAACAACTGCCACAAGTACCGTTTATGAATATAACAGCAACAATCCTAACCAGCATCATCGTCACCATCATCATCATCTTCCTCATCCTACACCTACTTAAACGCTCAAACCAAACCACCACTACCCTCCCACTTCATCACCTACCCACTCGCCCCGACACCATCTTATCATTTTTCCCTGCCAACGTTTCCCCCTCCTCATCCCAAGACTCGTTCGTAACCATCCCCCTGTAAATACATTTTATATCACTATAATCTCTTTGGTGTGGAACCATTGGGATTTTCTCGGTTTTACATAGTTTCATTTTCGATTTCCTCTGACCAGGCCGCGCATTTGCGTCCGCCAGTCGGGAGAAGGACTGAAAGCTTAATAAGCTGGTCACATGGGGACAACCGTTCGGACCCCAATTTATCACTATACCTTTTACATAAAATTTGTAAAAATACAAAAATAGTTACCATACCTACATAGTCAGTAGTGGGCTGAAGAGGACCACTTTGACTCAAAGAGAACAGATAGACTACTAGGATCTTAGAAAGCGGTGTATCGATCCAGCTTATCACTGGTGAACTCCTTTCTATGCTTAGTAGAGATTTTTACATTTGGATCGGAGAGCAACACATTTACTCTCAAGACTACGTATTCAGAGGGCAATTCCCCCTGCCAGATATAGAACCCATCAGAATCCCATCCCCTTTGATTAAATCCGAAACTCCCCCTCCTCCCCAACTCACATTCAATGTCCAACCTAGAATATCGCGATCTGCCCGAGCCATCCAACAGCACGGACAGCGCATTTACCAGGGAAATGATGGACGCATTACCCAGAATAGACACTCCCCCCCCGAAAGAAGCACGATTGGAAGCATACGTAAAACAAGAAGTAGAAAAAGCAATAAGACAAACACAAATGCATTACCAATCGCAGCTAGACGAGGCGCTCGAAGAAGTGAGCGTCTTGCAAAGAAAATTAAAGAAACAGATACCGCCACCTCCAGAAAAGGTGGAAAGAAGTAGAACGGCACTGGAGAAACCCGAGAACTTCTCCGGAGATAAGAAAAAGTATAGGGCCTTTAGAGAGTCCTTATTACTACATTTCGAAGACGATGCCGTATATTTCAGAGATGACCGAAAAAAGATAAGCTTTGTGCTATCTTTTATGAAAGAAGGAGAAGCCGCGGCCTTCCGAACCGATTGGCTAGAGAACCGAGTCGATGCCCAACAGCTGGGGCTCGACATTACAAACACATACGGGAGTTGGCCGTATTTTGCGGACAAAATGGAAGAAAGGTTCAAGGACAGCTTTGAAAAAGAAACTGCCAAGAACGAAATATTGACCCTAAGACAGGGCAACGAAACCGCCCAAGCCTTCTTTGAAAGGTTTGAGGAAAAGAAAAGATGGGCGGGATATACGAATAGAATAAATGAAGAGTTCCTGATATCTCTACTCAGAAGAAATATGAATAAGCCGCTAGTAGATAGGGTGATCTACGGTGGGCATATTCCAAGAGATTACCAAGAATGGAAAAGAGAACTCATCAGGATAGACTATATTTGGAGAGAGAGAGAAAAAGAAAAGAAGGGTTCCGATATCGGGAAGAAACCCTATTCGGAACAAAAGAAAGAAGGAGAGAAGAAAAAGGACGGAACCGGGTATACCTATACCGGTAGCGGAGAAAGAATGGAGGTGGACAAAGCAAAGTTCCGCACTGAGGGACGATGCTACCGATGTGGAGAAAAGGGACATAGAAGCTTCGAGTGCAAAGACGCACAAAAAAGGAAGCCACAATTTAATGTCCGAGAGTTCTTAGAAAAGATGACGAAAGAGGAAAGGGAAAAACTCCTTGAGGGTTTTTAAAGAGGCCAGCGGTACCGCATCGACCGACTGAGCCTAAAGACGTTTCAAATCGATTTCTTCCTTTGACTGTAGATACATATGACTGTAACAACCAAGAGTTAGTTACTCTGGCGCACACAGGAACACACTATAAAGGTAGTGGAAGATGGGGAGTGGGTACCCCTTGGGCTGCAGTGAGTTAGTTGGTATACAACAGGAGGACTCGCTGAGGAGTCTCCTGGATCTATTGGGGTATATATACTACTACAGGTTTGTTTGTACATGTGTACTATACAGTTGATGAAGGCAGTGGCTGATGATGTCATAGGGCCTAGCCCGTATGGCCAGCTCCACTGCGTGAGAGAGTTAAGTCTAAAAGTAAAAGAAAGGCAACGCGGCGCGAGAAAGGGAAATGCCGCGTGGCACTTAAAGTATAAAGTTAAAGCGGAGAATAAAAAGGAAAGGAGATGTCCGGAAATTGTGTTATCGTAACACTACCCCCCTTCTAAGGCTCGACTTCCAGGCGAGACCAAATTCCGGAGGTAGTGGTAAAATTTTCGGGCATAGGTTGAAAGAGGGAATTAAAAAGGTTTGAATCCATGCCTCTAAGCTTCCTGGGAGCTGAGGGATTCCTAGAATAAAATTCGCGAACAGCGTTGCGGGAGTTTTCCAGATGGGATTCTGGTTCCCACGTTCTGTCCTCGTCTCCGTAGCCCTTCCAAAGGACCAGGAACTCTAATTTTCCACGCTTCAAGCGTGCATCTACCACCCGTTCGACTTCGAACTCTTCTTCACCTTCCTGGGTGACTACTACCGGACCGGGCCGGTCTACGCGCTGTCCCGGCAGCGGTCCCTTGTAGGGTTTCACACGGCTAATGTTAACCGTGGGTACCACCCTCATTCATTTTGGGAGTTCCAGCTCCACCGCATTAGGTTTGACTTCCTTAATCCAGTAAGGGCCAATCCACTTTTCGGTCAGTTTTCTAGACTGCCGGTCTTTTAATTTCAAGTGGTCGGTGTCTAACCAGACCAGGTCGCCGACCTTGTAATCAGGGGCCTTAGAGCGTCTACGCTCTGCCCTGTCTTTCATCTGCTCCGCAGTTTTAAATAGCGCTTTGCGCGTTTCGTCCAAGACAGACTTCATGTCTTTTGCCATGTTCCCAGCAGCCTCGTTTTTGCTTTTGCCAGGTTCTACACCCATTCTGGGGAGGTACGATCTAGTAACCTCGAATGGTGCCCTTCCTGTAGCCGAAGACTGTTTAATATTATAAGAGAACTGGGCTATCTTTAGCCACTTGGCCCAATCTGTCTGTCTGTCGTTAATAAATATCCGGAGATACTGTTTCAACTCCTGGTTGAGTCTCTCCGTTTGTCCATCGGTTTGCGGATGGAACGCCGTGGATAATTTAGGTTTGATGCCCAGCATCCGGCATAATTCTTTCGTAAATTCGCTAGCGAATTGCGGTCCTCTATCGGAGATTACCGTTTCTGGTAACCCATGGATTGACCATACGAAATCTTTAAATAGGTCTGCCGTACCGGCAGCGGTGATGGTTTTGTTGGTGGGTATGAATACCACTTCTTTGGAGAAGCGGTCTACTACCACCATTACTGAATCGTACCCGTTTGACTCGGGCAGATCTGTCGTGAAGTCCACCGATATATCCTGCCAGGGGCCAGCTGGTATCGGGTTCGGCATGAGTTTACCCGCCGGCGGTTGATGGGAATTCTTGGCCATGGCGCATCTCAGACAGGATTTTACATATTCCTGTATGTCTTTGACCATGCCAGGCCACATGTAGTTTCTGGAGATCAACTCCATCGTTCGTTGCCATCCAGGGTGCCCAGCCACTGGAGTATCATGATGTCTATCTATTGCCTTGATCCTTGCGGACTCAGGCACATAGATTTTGTTTTTGAAATGAAAGAGCCCGTCTTTCCATAAATAGTTTTCATTGCCGTCAAGGCGTGCCTTTTCCTCTGGGGAGATGTCTTTCCTGAAGACTTCTAGGAGGTCGGAATCTTGCCCGATTCTAACATTGGCAACCCTTGATTGATCTATCAGGGTGACACCTTTGTTGTCATCTTCAATGCCGTTGGCATGATCCTCTCTTCTAGATAAAGCATCCGCTTTCCCCATTGAGCTTCCTGGCTTATGAATTAATTTATAATTGAACCTTGACAAGTACACCGCGTAGCGGGCCTGTCTCCGGTTCAGGTCTCGGGCCGTCATGAAGTACTCCAGGTTCTTATGATCGGTCCAAATTTCGAATTGGTGCCTAGCACCTTCTATGTAGTGCCGCCAGTGCTCTAAAGCTCTAATGATGGCCAGCATCTCCTTGTCGTATATTTGATAGTTGCGCTCTGTAGGCGACAAACTATGCGATAAATAGGCACAAGGCCTCCAAAGATCATCAGGGCATTTGATTGATAGAACAGCCCCAGTGGCGAAGTCAGAAGAGTCGGTTTCTAGCCGGAACTCTTTGTCTAATTCAGGGAATGCCAATATGGGTGCTGTTGTAAATGCCTGTTTAAGCTTATCAAAAGCTTCCTGTTCTTTGGCGCCCCACTGCCAAACAAGGTCCTTTTTGGTGAGATCGTTCAACGGTCTCGTGATTTTTGCAAAGTTTTCAATAAACCTTCGGTAGAAATTGCCTAAGCCTAGGAAAGCCCTAACCCCTTTGACGCGAGTAGGTTCTGGCCATTCCAAAATAGCTTGAACTTTCTCAGGGTTCATCCTGATTCCGTTCTGGCCTATGATCATACCAAGGAAGTCTACTTCCTTCACTTTAAAATTACATTTTTCGGGTTTGACGAATAGGTCCCGTTCCTGTAAGCGTCGAAGGACTTCTTGCACGATCTTGTCATGCTCAGCCTCATCGTCCGACTTTGTAAATATTAATAAATCGTCAATGTAAATGACGACACAGTTTTCCATATCCGCAAAGATCTCATTCATCATGCTCTGAAAGGTCGCTGGTGAATTGGTCAACCCAAAGAACATAACAAGGGGTTCGAAAGATCCTCGGTGGCACGTGAACGCGGCCTTCCAAGCATCTTCCTCTTTGATTCGTACGTTATTGTACCCCCATCTGAGATCCATTTTAGTCAGAATCTTGGCGCCAGCCAATTTGTCCACTAGCTGACTAATCAAAGGCAGAGGATACGCATTTTTAACCGTGTGCTCATTTACGTAACGATAGTCCATAATCATTCGCTTTTTACCATCCTTTTTAGGAATGAAGAACACCGGGGACGTCATAGGACTTTTGGAAGGTCTGATGTAACCCTTCCTAAGTTGTTCGTCTATGAAACTAGATACCTCGTCTCTTTCGGGAGCAGAGAGCGGTATCATGTGTCCCTTCCTTGGTTTGAAGGTGTCTTTCAAATCTATAGCATGGTCCCAAGGCTTAGCCTCTGGGAAGCGCTCTGATTTGTGTTTCGAAAAGACTTTCCAGAAGTCGTGGTACTCGGGAGGTACCAGCCTCTTAATCTCTTCCTCAGGTTTTACCTCATCATCGTCATCGTCGATCTTTTCTAAAGATCTGAGCTCGTAAACGTGACTAGCGTTTAACTTTTCGAGACGCTCATTGTGACGGACATGATTTGGTTTACCCAAGTTTACACATTCCTGGGGACAACGTGACAATGTGACAACCCCTGTCTGCCAGTTGATCTCAGGATTGTGTTTAAATAGCCAGGTCCAGCCTAAGATTAAATTAATCTTCCCTAGTTGGGTAGCTTCGGCAGTGACTCGTTCTCTGTGTCCTTGGTATTCGACCACAAAAGAACATTTGTGTGTAATACAGCCACCTGCGTTAAGCGTACCGTCAACGTTATAGACGGGAATAGACATTTCTAATTTTACAAGGGGGAGTCCAATTTGCTCCGCCCAGACCTGATCTATGAAGATCCCGTTAGTGCCTGAATCAAGCAGTGCGCTCGTTGAGTGTACTTTGCCCCTGGCAAGGTTTTCCACGCCAACGTCTAAACGGATCTCCTTTTGGAATAAATATGTGCGCATCAACACACACCTTGGGATTTCGGGAAAGGGTGGCTCCGAAGAAGAAGAAGAAGAAGAAGAAGAAGAAGAAGAGATCTTGAATGACACATGTTTTTCTATTTTTGTTTTACCAGAATCAAGCACCCTAGTGTTTGTCTCACCGGGGCCACACTCCAAGGGAGACGCTGGTGCAGCGGTAGTATCATAAATATTACAGTTACATTTCTTTATACAAGTACATACTTCTGATAACAAATTTAAAAACTTATTTACAAATTGGGGAGCCATCCCCGTCATTCCGTTATTGCTCGTGCAACACCCCGGAGCAGGGGCCACTTTGTTGTGGTTTACTTCATTTTTGCCAGGAGCTAAGGTACCCAAGTGACCTAAGCCCCGAATTCTTTTCCCTGAGCCTTCATTTCGTTGACCTGTTGGTCATAGAAGAAGGCCCGGATTTCGTCGTAAGAACGACCGGCCAAAGAGTTGAGCCGATCGTCCGGCTTTTCGTTTTCTAGTTGGCGCACCTGGCGCCCTTTATTTTTTTGTTGGGCAGCCTGCGCCCCGTTTCTACAGTCTCGGGACATGTGTCCCTCTTGGCCGCAGTTGTAACAGTTGCCCTTGAATCTGCGCATTTGTCCGCCTTGGACCGCGCCGATATCCATAGGAGCACCCTGTCCTGGCTGCAGCCCGAACGGCTTGAACCCGTGAGAGTGATTATGATGTTGGTTTGATGACCCAGGGCGCCTCTGGGGTGTGGTGGTTTGTTTGGTGGACCCGCCACCTTGGTGCATAGCGTAGAGCTCCATGGCCCTACCGACTCGTCGGACTTCCTCGGCTGCCAGAGCCAGGTCGTCACTTCTTGTATCCTGCAGGTAGATCTGTTCTGCAATGCGAGGGTTCACATTGCGTTCCAGCAGTTCTACTGCGTGTTCGTTACCTAACCCTCCTTGGATGGAGAGGGCCAGGAACCAGGTGACATAATCATCCGTCCTCATGTTTCCTTGTTTGAAGGAACGGATTTGCTGACGCGCCCAGTCTCGCTCAGCTTGCGGTTTGAAATATTTTTCGATCTCTTTCTTGAGATCGTCCCAGGTAGGCCACACACCCGCGGTGTAGCATTCCTGGAGTCTTACTTGGGCGTATCGACCCGCCACAGGTCCTTTTAGGCGAGATAGCACCGCAGTGGCTACCTCAAAATCGTCGGCGAAAGCGTCCCAGTTTGCCTTGACCCAAATCTGGAGCTTGATCCACCATTCGGCAAATCGCGCTCGGTCTCCTTCGAAGGCGCCAGGGTCAGCGACGACTTTGACTTTCTTGTTAAACTTTTTCTCTACCGAGGGGGTTGCTACAGGGGGGTTGGCCTGTATCTCGGCGAGCTGCGAGGTTAATTCCGCTATCTGCACACGCATTGCGTGCAGTAGCGCATTCATATCTTGCGACGACATGTCGACTTGTTCTCTTTGGGTAACGTAAAAATAGGTAACTGGGGGTCCCCGCTTGCTATCTGCGGATCAACCTCTTCCCAGCTGAGTATCGGATCTCAATCTCCGACTACCCACACTATAGTATTTGAAAAAGTATATAAAAATGTAAACGTAATAAACCCTGGTCCGAACGGTTGTCAGGGGGTGGTCCGCTTGTTAAGCTGTCAACCCTTCTCCAGACTGGCGGAGGCAAGTGCCCGGCCTGGTCAGAGGTATTCGAAATTGAAAGTTTGTATTTTAAATCTAATCAACAGTGGTTCCACACCGACTGCTGAGCTAAGGTACTCCCCTTAACGCTGGGGGCCGCGTATCGAAGGTTTTGGGTTCTTCTCCCAAAGCACTACAAGGCCGTCGCTAGGAGCGCACCTATCTGCTATGTGGGATATTCCTAACCGCTAACCAATCTCCTTCACCCTGGAGTCCGGGTGCCCAAATGATGGGACTTCTGCACACACGTGCGAGAGAGTAGAAAGAGCGAGTCCTAATGTAACAACCAAGAGTTAGTTACTCTGGCGCACACAGGAACACACTATAAAGGTAGTGGAAGATGGGGAGTGGGTACCCCTTGGGCTGCAGTGAGTTAGTTGGTATACAACAGGAGGACTCGCTGAGGAGTCTCCTGGATCTATTGGGGTATATATACTACTACAGGTTTGTTTGTACATGTGTACTATACAGTTGATGAAGGCAGTGGCTGATGATGTCATAGGGCCTAGCCCGTATGGCCAGCTCCACTGCGTGAGAGAGTTAAGTCTAAAAGTAAAAGAAAGGCAACGCGGCGCGAGAAAGGGAAATGCCGCGTGGCACTTAAAGTATAAAGTTAAAGCGGAGAATAAAAAGGAAAGGAGATGTCCGGAAATTGTGTTATCGTAACAATGACTCAGAATTGTTACGCTGCAGCTTTAGCGCGGATGACAATAAAACTATTTCCACTCAGACAAAGAAAGAAATCCGAAACAAAAAAGATGCAACTAGAGTGAAAGCGGCGCAGAGTGATAAGACATCCGCAGTTTTGACGGCGGGCGAATCACTAAAAAGCGCAGCATTTACGATAGAACCTAAGATTCCTACACCCGATGCGGCGAGCTCTACGGAGAAAAACGCAGCAGAGACTGTAGAAGAGAGGTCAGGAGCCCCTCTAGAAAAACCTAGAACAGAAGTCTGGACCCCAGAATGGGTAGTAGACAGGCTAAGAGACCAAAAGGAAGAAAGATCCATTGGGATTCTAAGCGCCTGGACACATAAAAAGAGAGCGAGAGAAGTAACCCGGGAAACGATAAAAGAAATCAACCGGTTACCAAAAGTAGAAGCTATACAAGCGATCATAGAAATTGCCTCCCCAAAAAAGTACATTAGGGGCACCCAAGGCAATCAAATGAATGTAAAATGTAAGCTTACTACATTAGATACTCTCCAATCAGAAACAGTCGAAGCACTATTGGACAGTGGATGCACGGGGAGTTGCATCGACTCCCAATTTGTGAAAGACAAAAGATATGAGACAAGGAAGATACCGAGACCTATTCCAGTCTATAATGCAGATGGAACTCTAAATAAAAACGGAGCCATCAATGAATTTGTAATACTACTCATGGAAATCGACGGACACGTCGAAAAGATACATCTTGCCGTAACCAATCTAGGTAACGGAAAAATGTTTCTAGGACATGAGTGGTTGAACAAACATAATCCTAAAATAGACTGGAAAGAATCGAAGTTGACCTTTGAAAGATGTCCTGAAGAATGCAGACCGAGAATCCGAATCTCTGATCCAGAGGAGGATCCGGAAATATTCTTTGAGGAGCTAAGAGAAGACGAGAGGATGATACAGGTGAATCTCCATAATTTCGAAGATGCCACGATCGACGATCAATATTACCATATTAGAGCCCAAGGCACAATGGCACAGAAGCTAGCAGAAGCCACAGGCAAAGATCGAAAAGAAGGAGGATTCGAAAAGATAGTGCCAAAACACCTTCATCAATACAAAGACGTATTTGATAAAAAGGAGTTTGACACATTACCTGAAAGAAGGCAATGGGATCACGCAATCGAACTAATACCGGGAGATCACTCCCTAGATTGCAAGATCTATCCATTGGCAAGAGGAGAGCAAGAAGAGCTAGATGCGTTCCTAAAAGAGAATCTAGAATCGGGACGAATAAGACCATCGAAATCCCCATTCGCATCACCATTCTTCTTCATTAAAAAGAAAGACGGGAAGTTGAGACCAGTTCAAGATTATAGGAAGCTAAACAATATCACTATCAAAAATAGATATCCACTTCCGTTGATCGGGGAACTAGTAGACAAATTGAGTGGAGCAAAATACTTCACAAAATTGGATGTAAGATGGGGATATAACAATATCCGAATGAGAGAAGGAGACGAGCATAAAGCGGCGTTTAGGACAAACCGGGGATTATTCGAACCATTAGTCATGTTCTTTGGACTGACAAATTCCCCCGCCACGTTCCAAACAATGATGAACACGCTTTTTAAAGAGTTGATAGATGAAGGATTAGTAATCATATATCTAGATGATATCATGATATTCACAAAAGATATAGAAATGCACCGAACAACGACGCAACGTGTATTGGAAATCCTAAGAGAAAATCATCTCTATCTTAAACCAGAGAAATGTGATTTCGAACAGACAGAAGTAGAATACCTGGGACTGATCATCTCAGAAAACGAAATTCGCATGGATCCGGTAAAAGTAGAAGGAATTAGCAAATGGCCGGAATGCAAAAATAAGAAGGATATACAAGCATTCTTGGGATTTGTAAATTTCTATCGAAGGTTCATAGAGGGCTTCGGGGAAGTAGCCAAACCATTGACCAAGTTAACGGGAAAAGAGGACTTCATTTGGGGAAATGAACAACAAGAAGCATTTAACACATTAAAACAACGTGTAGCTTCAGCCCCAGTGTTAGCTCTCCCAGTACCACATGGCCAATACAAAGTAGAAGCAGATAGTAGTGACTTCGCTATGGGTGCTGTCTTATCACAAAGACAAAAGGATGACTGGAAGCCAATTGCATACCTCTCCAAAGCGTTAAACCCTACAGAACGCAATTACGAGATCTATGACAAAGAACTTCTTGCCATCATGACGGCACTTAACGAATGGAGACATTACCTAATAGACGCGGAAGAGGAATTTGAAATATGGACAGATCATCAAAATCTGCTGTATTTCAAAGAACCCAAGAAGTTGAACAGGAGACAGGCGCGGTGGATGACAGAGTTGAGCCAGTATCATTTCACGATACATCATATGCCAGGAAGGAAGCATATAAAAGCAGATCTTCTCTCAAGGCGATCAGATCATAACAAAGGAGAAAACGACAACAAAGACGTCGTACTACTGGATGAGAAACTATTTGTAAGAATGACTCTCTCCCCAGAACAAAGACAAAAGATCGCAGATAGTCAAGAGGAAGAATTAGAGATTTCAAAGTGGATTACAAAGAGAAAAGGAAATATAGATGAAATGATAAAAAAGATGAAAAGAAAGATAGAGAGGAGAGAGGATGGTTGGCTAGACGAAGACGGTCGCATAGTATTCAAAGGCAGGATCTATGTACCGAAAGATGCCACGTTAAGGGAAGAGATTATCCGACGAAACCACGACTCTGTTATTGCAGGCCACCCAGGAAGATATAAGACAAAGGAGCTAATCACTCGACAATACTGGTGGCCCTACATGGACAGAGATATCACGAGATACGTAGATGGATGTGAAGTCTGCCAAAGAACCAAGACAGACCATAAAAAGAAAGCAGCACCGCTCCACCCAAACGAGATCCCGGATAAGCCTTGGCAGATCATATCAGTAGATCTGATCGGACCACTACCAGAATCAAATGGATATAACATGATAATGGTAGTAGTAGATCGATTCACCAAAATGATCAAGGTAATTCCCACGCAGATGGAAATCACATCGGAAGGAGTGGCACGACTATTTAGAGATTATGTATTCAGAAACCACGGCATACCCGAAAAGATCATCTCCTATCGGGGACCGCAATTCGTTTCAAAATTCATGAAAGATCTACATACGCTTCTTCGGATAAAAGCGAACCCATCAACGGCTTGGCATCCTCAAACGGATGGACAAACGGAGAGGATCAATCAAGAGATAGAACAATATCTCAGAATCTTCGTAAACCATAAACAAGATGATTGGGCAGATCTTACAATAACAAACAACATTCTGCGACGGGATATAGCCCGTTCTACCTGAATCATGGACATCATCCGAGAACACAGGAAGTAGTGAAAGTGGGGGTAAAGAACGAAAATGCAGAAGATTTCGTAAAAAGAATGACCGAAACAAGGAAGAGAGCAGAAGAATCGCTGCAAAAGGCAGCTGAACAGATGAAGAAGCAGTACGATAAGAGAAAAAGAGAAGCAGTGGAATATAGAGTAGGAGATAAGGTGTACGTAGAAGCGACCAATATCTCAACAGATCGACCAGCCAAGAAACTGGATGATAAGAGACACGGCCCGTTTGAAATATTGGAAAAAATAGGCGAATCAGCCTATAGATTAGCGCTACCACCGACATGGCGGCCTATTCATCCGGTTTTCAACGAGATAAAACTCACGCCGTACAAAGAACCACAGTTCCCTTCCCAACAGAAACCTAAACCGATACCGCCAGTAATAGTAGACGGACAAGAAGAATACAAAGTCGAAGAAGTTCTAGACTCACGTCTAAAACGAGGGAAATTGTAATACTTAGTACATTGGAAGAACTATCCAAAAGAGGAACGCACGTGGGAACCCGAACAACACCTAAACAACTCACCCGACAAAGTAAAAACATTCCACGATAACAACCCTAGTGCACCCCGACGGATCCAATTTCAATTACATTTCCAACCCTTCGAAAACTTCACAACGACTAGAGTCCGAAAACAATTGTTCAATTGGGAAAACGGAAAGATGGACCCCTACTTTCGGGACGAAAGTCCTAAGGAGGGGGTAATGTCACGACTCGAACCAGAAGCGCTAGTCTGAGCGCTAGTTTCCTTTTTCATTTTTCTTTGATATCTGATCACATGACAGATAAGATATGTTAAGCTGCTGCTTTAGCGCGGATAACATAATACGTAGTTATATCAGATCACGTGACCATCACGTGACACAAGTCTAGAGCTATTACAAAGAACATCAGTCAGCGCCTCATGGCTGGCTTTCAGAAACATATATATAGTAGACCATCATGTACATACTTTCCTCAGTTGTTGATTAATTCTCAATCGCTATTTGTAACGCTACTTGTTTGATTTGAATCTTCATCCCTCCGTTAACTCGGTATAAGGGATAAGGGTTTTACAGCACCCACTGTTCTAGGAGGCAAAGCCCATAAACAAGTTCCGTGGAATCTGGGAGGATTGTGTGTTAGTTTGTTTTTGTGTGTGGTTTTCTAACAGCAGTTCTCATCATCGACATCAGGTTTTACCTCATCATTGTCATCGTCAATCTTATCTAAAGATTTAAGCTTGGCATAAATGTGACCAGCATTTATTCTTTCATCAAGCTCAGTTTGTCAGATATGACTTGGTTTACCTAAGTCATCACACTCCTGAGGGCAACGTGACAATGTGACAACCCCTGTCTGCCAGTCAATCTCAGGATTGTGTTTAAATAGCCAGGTCCAGCCCAAGATTAAATTAATCTTCCCTAGTTGGGTAGCTTCAGTGGTGACTCATTCTCTGTGTCCTTGGTACTTGACAACAAAAGAACATTTGTGCATAATACAGCCACCCGCATTAAGTGTACTGTCAGTGTTATAGACGGGAATGGACGCATCTAATTTTACAAGGGGGAGTCTGATTTTCTCCGCCCAGACCTGGTCTATGAAGATTCTGTTAGCGCCTGAATCAAGCAGTGCGCTGGTTGGGTGTGCTATGTCCCGGGCAAGGTTTTCCACGCCAATGTCTAAACAGATCTCTTTTTGGAATAAATATGTGCACATCAACACATGCCTTGGGATTTCTGTGGGAAGTGGCTCCAAAGAAGAAGAAGAATTATCGAAAGAAACATGTTACGATAACACAATTTTTGGACCTGCAATTTTCATTCTCCTATTTAACATTCTTCTATAATTTTCACACACTGTGCCATGTGGCACTTTCCTTTTTGTTCAAACTCCACCTTCTCGCGCTGCACTGCCTTTTCTTATTTTTAGATACAAGTATCTCACGCAGTGGAGCTGGTCACACGGGCTGTGCCCATGGCATCACCAGCCACTGCCCCCATCAACTGTATAGTACATATATACAAACAAACCTGTAGTAGTATATATACCCCAATAGATCAAGGAGACTCCTCAGCGAGTCCTCCTGTTGTATCCTCACAACTAACTTATTGAAGCCTAAAGGGTAACCACTCCCTCATCATTACCTCGCCTTCATCTCAGTGACCTGCTGGTTGTAAAAGAAGGCCCAGATTTTATTGTATGAACGACCGGCCAGAGTGTTGAGCTGATCGTCCGGCTTCTCTGCTTCTAATTGGCTCGCCTTGCGCCCTTGGTTATTTCTTTGTTGGGCGGCCTGCGCCCTGTTTCTGCAATCTCAGGACATGTGTCCCTCCTGGCCACAGTTGTAGCAGCTGCCCTTGAATCTGTGCATCTGTCCGCCTTGGACCGCGCCAATATTCATTGGAGCACCCTGCCCTGGCTGTAGCCCAAATGGCTTGAACCCGTGAGAGTGATTATGTTGGTTTGATGACCCGGGGCGCCTCTGGGGATAGTTGTTTTTGGTGGTGGACCCACCACCTTGGTGCATAGCATAGAGCTCCATGGCTCTACTGACTTGTCGGACTTCCTCAGCCGCTAGGGCCAAGTTGTCATGTCTCTTATCTTGCTGATAGGTCTGTTCTGCAATGCAGGGGTTCACATTGTGTTCCAGCAGTTCTACTGCATGTTCATTTTCAAGCCCTCCTTGGATAGAGAGAGCCAGGAACCGGGTTACATAGTCATCCGTCCTTATGTTTCCTTGCTTGAAGGTACGGATTTGCTGACACGCCCAGTCACGCTCAGCTTGCAGTTTAAAATATTTTTTGATCTCTACTTTGAGATTGTCCCAGGTGGGCCACACACATGCAGTGTAGCACTCCTGAAGTCTAACTTGGGTGTATCGACCCGCCACAGGTCCTTTTAATTGAGATAGCACCGCAGTTGCTACCTCAAACTTGTTGGCAAATGCATCCCAATTTGCCTTGACCCAAATTTGTGGTTTGATCCACCATTCGGCAAATCACGCTCTATCTCCTTCGAAGGCGCCGGGGTCAGCGACGACTTCGACTTTCTTGTTGAACTTCTTTTCCACCGAGGGTGCTGCTGCAGGGGGGTTTGCCTGTAGCTTGGCGAGTTGCGTAGTCAATGCCAAAATCTGTGCATGCATGTTGTGCAACACAGCGTTGACGTCAAGGGTTTGCAACGACATGTCAACTTGTTCTCTTTGTAAATGTATAAAAAAATGTAACTGGGGGTCCCCGCTTGCTATCTGCGGATCTACCTCTTCCCAGCTGAGTATCGGATCTCAATCTCCGACTACCCACACTATAGTATGTATAGTATTTGAAAAAGTATATAAAAGTTATAGTAAGAAACCCTGGTCCAAACGGTTGTCAGGGGGTGGTCCGCTTGTTAAGCTGTCAACCCTCTCCAGACTGGCGGAGGCAAGTGCCCGGCCTGGTCAGAGGAAAGACAAAGTGAAGATTTGTATGTAAATTCTAATCAACAGTGGTTCCACACCAACTGCTGAGCTAAAGTACTCCCCTTAACACTGGGGGCCGTGTATCAAATAATTGTTTCTTCTCCCAGAGCACTACAGGGCCGTCGCTAGGAGCACACCCTTCTGCTATACGGGATATTCCCAAACAATAACCCCTTAACCCTGGGGACCGGGTTTGCACAAAGTGCAAGAGAGTAATAAGAGCGAGTCCTAATGTTACAACCAAGAGTTTAGTTACTCTGGCGCACAACTCAGACAAACTATAAAGGTAGTGGAGGGAGTGATTACCCTTAGGATAGGACCGAGTTAGTTGTGGGTAAACAACAGGAGGACTCGCTGAGGAGTCTCCTGGATCTATTGGGGTATATATACTACTACAGGTTTGTTTGTACATGTGTACTATACAGTTGATAGAGGCAGCGGCTGATGATGCCAGAGGGCGCAGCCCGTGTAACCAGCTCCACTGCGTGAGATACTTGTATCTAAAAATAAAGAAAAGCAGTGCAGCGTGAGAAAAAGGAGTTTGAACAAAAGGAAAGTGCCGCATGGCACAGTGTGTGAAAACTATCAAAAAAAGTTGAATAGGAGAATGAAATTTAAAGGTCAGAAAATTGTGTTATTGCAACAGTACATCCCTCATCATTGCTACTATCTCGCTGATGCGGGATTTCCTTCATGTAACCAATTGCTGGTCCCCTACAGAGGTGTCCGCTATCATTTGGCTGAATATGCTTGGGGAAATTGCAGGTAATGTAAAGTGTCTATTTATGATGTTATAGTAGACTAAAAATCATTTTTTTAGACCTCAAAATCCCAAGGAATATTTTAATCTACGCCATGCATCTGCCCGGAATGTTGTGGAGCAAATATTTGGTGTTTTAAAGGGCCGATTTGGTATTTTGAGGGTCGCTATAGAGTATGACATGTCCATCCAAGCCAAGGTTCCACCTGCTGTCTGTATACTGCACAACTTCATCAAGACCCATGATCCCTCCGACATCAACCTCCTCAACCCTACTCCCGAGGTTGAAAACGGTGAGCTTTCTCACACCCCACCAACGGAGGCAAACTGTACTGCGGCCAATAATTGCCGTGATCAGATCGCTCACGCTATGTGGATTGATTATCAGCAGGAGCTAGGTAGAAGGGGCCTACTTTAGTTTACACATTTTTGTATCCTTACAATGTTATCTGTCATTGAAAATCCATTCAAATGCAGTCAATGAAAACAAAGCCATAGATTCGTTAAAGACACAGTACTACGCAATAAACAATACAAGGAAAACATTGGTAAGCAATACAGTATGGTAAACTCCATCCACATTGTCTATCTTACTTTAGCTTTGACATTACATACACCTTGCAAAGTTTGTCGGATTCAAGGAAACTGAGGTACGTGTCCATGGCTATGACATCTTGCTCAAACAGATGTAATAATTTGACAGAGCCGTTAACTCCAAGATATTTATCATATTGTATCATGAATGTGATAGCGGCACGACGATGAGCATGGGCCGGCTGCATGGATAAGCTGCCTTGTAAGACACCACTTGCAGTAGGAGGAGTGAGTGAGGTAGTGCCAATGGGCGGCACAATAGTAGATGTGGTGGAGTGGTTTTCCACCAAAGCTGTTTGAGAAGGGGTGATAACTGGGGAGGCAGGTGGAGCAAGGCCAATGTTGAGTTTCGAGTTGAAGTCCTTGAAGATGGAGATGATTTCCCCCAACCGGTCGTTCAACCCACTGAGAGTGTTGGCAGCAGTGTTGCGTGGGGCCTTGTTAGAGCCTCTGCTGCCGTTGCCTGCACTCTTGGTGCGAGATATAACAGTAGCACCATCCTCAGCGTCTTCATCGGAGAGTGCGGCATCTTGTGCTGAGTGCTTGCTGCTGATAGTTGTTACAGATGAGGTGGTGGGAGCACGGATAGATGTTGGAGACTTGACACCACCAAGCCAATTTTTTACGCCGCCAGATGATTCGGGGCTGGTGGTGCTGGCACTTGTTACAGAGGCAGTGGTGTTAGGCTGATTGGAGGGAACATTGATGGAAGGTGGCAGTTTGGGGGCTTTGGGTGCCTTAGGATGCTTCGGGACTTTGGGGACACGGAATACATTGGAACCCTTGGCTGGGACTCCACCCAACAAGGCATGCATGGCGAAAAAATGGGTCCAGCCCTTCTTCCGAAAGCTCTTTGCTACCGGATTTTTCTGTGTAGTGATTAGCTATCAGTCATAAGCCAAAATGTATCATCATACCGTAATGAGCTCCTTCCAGACCGTTTCTCCTTCATCAAGTATATTAAGACCCAGTTCATTGTCCCAAGGAATGCCTGACAAGTTGGTGATAGGCTTCACTAAGTTGTATTTTGTACGAAGCTGTAAAACTTGAGGTTGACAATCAGTGATTGATAGATTAGATAATGTACCCTGCCCCACTTTGAACTGCAGGAAGTGGCGGTCTTTGCTGGTCCCTTACTAAGAAGAGGAACTAAATGTAACGCAACCTTAGGCCAGAACCCAGGCTTGAAATTCAAACTGTCCCCGCCCTCTGCACTGTTGGTGGTGATGAACTGGATAAGAGCCGACGTCTCTGCTTCAGTCCAAATGGCATTGTTGTTACTACTATCTTGGGCGCCTGTGCCATTGCTGTGAGGAATCGATTTTTCTTATTGCATTCCCGTCATGTCGTGGTTAGCAGACTCGATCCCCGTCACTCCTCTTGCCCTTGGACTAGAGATTACAGCAGGTGTCTTATTACTTTTATCATTTTTCTTCTTATTCTCTCTTCACACTCACGTTCTATCGTACCTACAACGAGGCAGACTTGTTGTCGACCCTCGAGAAGATATCCAGATGACATAGCCACAATCCAGTGCTATGTCTGGGAACACTTCGGAGGAATATTGATAAGTGAAGAAGGTTGTGAGTCAGCGCCTTCTCGTGGGCTTACTGATACAGCCAATCGCACATCCCTTACCAATACATTTTCTCATACGATTAGTAAATACGATAGATCGGACCACCTTCTCCTTTTTTCTTATTGGTTAGCTAGCTGGTCAGACCACTTTCTCAGTTCTTCCCTTTCTCGGTCTGACCATCGCCGTTCACTATATAAAGAGGTACATACTCGATGTATTGTTCTCTAGTTCAATATTAGTTTGGATTTGCGCTCATACCGATACTCTTCATTCTCATACCCTGATTCACCGCCTTCCAGCAAGGACTTGACCAGGCATTGGGCTTTGTTATATAGCTTCGTATTTGTTGCCTGACAATTGCCTTCTTCAATAACCTCGGTAGATACGTTCTGAGCAGGCTGGAGGTCTTGGTTCATCCTGGTAGAATGTCGCAGTCATTTTGGTGAAGGGACTGGGACTAGGGTTGGGCTGGAGGCCCTGCGTTTTTTTGCTCTAGACATGAGGTTGATGGAAGTATGATACCTACTCACTCATAGGCTCATGGGATGGATGCCTATCCGTCTCTCCGACGGCATTCCGGCAGATTGTGGCTGGAAAAAAAAAAAGTGGGATTTCAGGAAAAAACAGAGTTCCCGTACGAACCCTAAGGTATGTTTTCGTTTATGATATATTATTTCTGACCGCACAATCAGAAATGCTCTATGCTTTCTTTCATATAGAGCAAGGAAAAGTACTGTTAACCGTCAATGTGTGGCATTCGTCACGTCACTAAGTTACTACTATATGCCTTCACCAGTTTGCACGATCATATCTGTTGATGAAATGAACAATGAAAGATCCAAAGGTATCAAGCCGGGTTCAATGGATCTTTCTGGCTGCAAAAGACGCACTCTCCATTTGACCACCCCCATCTCAGATTCTGCTCAATAGGTTCCTAGCGAAGCTCAAGATGTCAATCTTTCATGGGTCATCTTTTTGTGGCTGAATGGCTTGTTAAAAGACAATGATGACGACGGGCGTCACCGCAATGCAGTGGCTCTTGCTCATTAACTTGAAATACGTGGTGTTCGTGGCTGAGTCGGTCACGCTAGGCTTTCGCACTTCCTATGGATATCGATGCTCAGAAAGATAAAAAAAGTAAAATTCGAATGATAGCACATGAAAGATAATGACCATCCAGGGTCACAAGTCATAACGCCGAATCACTGACCAGTTGCAAGGTTGGTATTGGAGTGTGAGCCTAATAAATGATATCGGGATCCCGGAAGGAAATCGGGCCAGGTCTGGAGTGATATACTAATCACAATCAACCAGAAGTGTCGATGCGGAACAAGCAGTACAGGAGCGTTGCTGTCTTGCAAACTGGACACGAGGATTTAGCAATAACCTCCTCTGTAATGCACCTACGATTTGGTCGTAGGTTGGTTAACATGCATGAGAGCAAGGCGAAAACACTTGCCTGTTACAGAATAAGTGCCCGCACAACGTACTGGTTAAATTCTCGCAGGGATCCTTCCGGCAAATTCTGCAATGGTATCGAGGTGCAATGGGACTGGATGGTGCAGACCCCGACGAGCTGGACATTGACTTCGCACCTGGAGAGGTCCTTCGAGGCAGTCGACTTGCTTTGATTGAGCCCGCTGTACGCGAAGTAGGAAAGTGTCTCCTGGGAGGATCTTATTGGAATGTGTGGTTATGTCAGTATGGGACAACCGTACAGTGAACAAGAGCTGCTCACCTGTTTCTCTACTCGCCCAGTGTTTGGAGTTCGTGGTGAGAAGATCTGGAGAAGAGGCGCCAGAGCGTATAGATTCGTCTTCCGAGAGCCTTTCAGAAAGAATACTGTCTTCAAAGTGCACCTCACGCTTCTGCCCTTGTACCTGGGCTGAAAAGTTTGCAGAAGAGAGTACAGGTGACGGGAGAGCTGGGCTACGTGCAGGGCTATTCAAGTCTTCGAAATGTGCCCGAGGAGACGTAACTGTTTCTGAATAGCACTCCTGAGTATCCTTCAAATAATCTGGCGTCAAGCTTGTTGTCATGGGGGATACTGACATCAATGGCGACGAAGGTGCACTGGATTTGCCATCACAGATTTAGTTCGTGTGTTTTGCAATTAGAGTCCTTATTCAAATGACTCACCTAACGTGCGTGAATTCAGCAGACAGATAGCCCGATTGCTCAGGAGACCTGTTACGGGTCTCTGACTCTTGTAATGCTCTGTGTGCAGCTACTCCCGCACAGTAGCTATGCATCGGACTAAAGTTCGTCTCTGGGGACTTCTTAGGAGAAGAAAGTCCTGAAGAAACGCTGACTGGTGACCACTGCGAAGTTGACATCGGGGAGACATCATACTGCGAAGGCAACTTCATGGGAGGCGACGGTACCTGTGGCGACTTCACTGACAAACTCGATTGATCATCATCCTTTATGTCCAAAGCGAACCTATAGGATTCAAAATTGTTTCGTTCAGGGAATACCAAGGACTCTTGCCAGATAGGGCTTGATGGCGATGGACAGAGATCGCGATACGGGTCCATCTGGACATCAGAGAACAACGACATGCCTTGTAATCGCGACGCAGATAAGGGCGGTGACACCATGAACTGTGAAACACCGACTATAGGGTATGCGTGTTTCATAAAACTTGTAGTCTGCCAATGATCCACCTCGGGCTCCCCCTTCAAAGACAAAGATGAAGCAGGGCGTGAATGCACATCTGCTTCCGGGTATTGAAAGTCGTGAACGTCGCCATTATCATCTGCAACCCTTATCACGGGGGGCGAAGGGAAAAAACGCGAGCGGTCTAACCGATCCAACCCAGCATATACACGAGGTGACTGAAACTTCGGGCTGCTTGATGTTCTCCTGAAGCTCAACTTCGATATCGCTCGTAAGCTGCTGTTTTGCGACGACGAACTGGAATGGCCACTTGAGCTCTTGGGTAACGGGATTGAAGAAGCATACAAAGGCGTGTCCTCGCGCAGAGGCTTAATCTTGGTGTCACCTTTCTTATCCGTTGAGTGAGGTCCCATGCTTTCATTACCACGATCGGAACGATCAGGTGCAGTAACTGGACTGATACTAGAAGTAACCTGATAGCCAGACACAATATACTGTGCTAACCATGAGTCAGTAGCACTGTATGCTGATAGAAGAACTTACAGATTCATCGGATTTAGATTCTGGCGATTTTTCTTCGTCGTGACTTTCCTTGCGATCATGATGACTGATAATATGCTGCTTATGCACAAAGCACGTCAGGCCACTTCCTATCATTGTCTGCTTGTCTGGAAAACTTACATTGGTATGAGATTCAAAATCAGCAAACCCGACGTTACATGGTATACATTTCGGATGACTTGCAAAGTGTCTTTGATGCCTTTGCAACGCTTCCGCGCTATCGAACTGCCATTGACATGAATCACAATGCATCTCCGGGTGCAAAAATTCACCATGCTGCGTCTGTCAGCATCACAAGTGAGATAGCAAAGGAAGCCCAACACGCACCGTTGTAAATGTACGCTGATCAATAAAACCAACATTGCATATCACGCAGGTTGGATGACGGGAGGAATCAAGATAGTGCCTTTGCATTTCCTCGACATATAAGGTCTCGCCACACGAGTTACAAGGCAACTTTGGATGAGCGGTTTGGAGGTGCTAAAGTATACAACCATCATCACGAATAGTTAATATCTATAGCACCAAATTTCGTGCAAGCTCACAATTGCATAATCCACTTCGTCTTTAAACGCGAAGGGACACCTGCGACAAGTCGGGTGTACATCATTTGGGGCCTCGATGTAGTGTCGTTCCAGTTCTTCTTGTGTTCCGTATTTCAGATTACACGAAGGACATGGATAGGAGAGTTGATGCTCTGCGAGATGTTCGAGGAGGGCAACAGGCGTGTAGAAATCACCCTCATGACAGATTGAACACATATGTTCCGTAACCGCGTGCTCTTCCAGCGATCGCTGCGACGAATATGCTCGATTACAAATGGAACAGGTACAAGGTAATATGTGTGTTTCCGCATGTTCCTCCAAAGCCGATTGCGAGTCGAACGATGATTCGCAAGAGGAACAAGGATATCCTTTGTGTTTAGATGCTGTGTGCATTTCTAAACCAATCCTGGAATTAAAGATTCGATCGCAGCTCCCGCAAGGAAACTCTACGTGCTTCGCCTTATTGTGAAAATCGGCTGCCATAATAGAAGGAAATACTTCGTTACAGTGCTGGCATGAATAGGTCGTAGGAACGTGATTATTCTCCATGTGTTGATGCAAGGCACCGGGAGACTTAAATTCAGCTTGACAGCTGCTACAGGAGAAGCGTAGCGGATGGCTCGCTTCGGTGTGCTGGCTCAGTGCTTCAGGGGTTTTGAAGGTGCGTGAGCAGGCATTGCACGTATGCAACGATTTCGGACTCGGTGGATGTCTGGCTGCAAGATGCTGTTCCAGTGCCTGCGGTGTATCATGAGTAGACCTACATATCTTGCAAGTATACTGCGGGCGATGCGCCGTGGCTACATGGTGCTTCAAATTCTCGGCTGACTGGAAGGTCTGCTGGCATACTTCGCATTTCGAAGCATGATAGTGCTTCGCTCTCGTATGCTATTATATAGCGGTGTTTTATAAGGAGTATATAAGACAGAGCTAAATTATGCGCGTGGTAATAAAAAAAACTCACCATGCGGAGTGCATTTTCGTCGGTGAATGGTCGTTTTCCAGGACAGAGTAAACAGACCGCCATGAAGTCAGGCAGAGCGGTGTGGAGTCGGTATCGAATTCTGCTGCAACCCTTTAAGTAGGAAATGGCATCCACAGACACGATGTGAACGCGTGTGAGTGCAAACTTAGCCAGCCTTCAACAGAGTGCCTTACACGAGCACCTTAAACATGTGGCCTTCGAGACCATTTTTCAGCCTGGATCTCAGTAATTCAGATTTGCGAAGTTTGGATCTTTGGTAGCCGCATTTTTGGAGGACGTACAGTGATGATATAACCTCGACTGGTCCGCGTTCAGATCATATGTCCCGGAAAACGCCTTGGGACCTATTGACAACCGTGTAGACATGCAATCTCAGCGCTCAGCATCTTCTCGGGGCATGATAAAGGCGACCTCCAAACACGAGACCTTTCCTGCGGTGTACCAGGTGCAGGGCTACAGTCCCATCGCGGTAAAGCTTTCTTGCCAAACCGTAGGATCTTGCAGAACGAACGATGTAAATTTGTGGGTTATGTCGTGTGGTCCTCATGCCCACATTTGAAAAGAAGAGTATACAGCAGGTGGTGGTCGTGAAACACGGGTACTGGTGCAAATGCGTGCACAAGCATTTTAGAGACCTGCCAGTGGAGACCGTGTACAAACAAGTTGCAAACATGGCAAAGCCCCCTATTCAGCATCTGCGTCGTTCCCTAGAGCCAACACCCCGTACTCATCGTAAGACTGGTGACCATAAATTGCTTTACGAGGAGATGCAAGAACTCTGGACCACCCGACTTAGGATTGTGTTATCATTTCTCTAAAGCTGATTATAAATATACTTGGACTTAGATCTGTAGTGCAGAGAACCCGAATCTCAACAACTTTCGTGAAACACCAAATGAAGGAGCAGCGATATTGAGACGTAAGATCAAATAGCTTTTACAGTGTTCCAACCTGAAATAGTTTCTAGCGAGAATTAACTGTATCAATCAATGAAATGCTTGTAAGCTTCTCTCCAAGCTTTGTTACCGTCCGTTTCGATAACATCCTGTTTAGGTTATAGAGGATAATGGCGTAAATATGCGAAAAACACTCACTCCATGACAAGGAATTATCCTGTTGAAATCCCAAGAAGCTACCGTAGTAGCATCTCGCTTCATAGCTCTAAATAGATGATGTTTAGTGCGTAGATAACTTGTATTGTGATGCAGCCATACCCCTTGTCAAGAGCTATGAAACTAACAAGCTTCTGATGTAGCCAGGATGATGGGCTGAAATTGAAAGGAATCGATAAACTAGATTTGGAATACTAGTATAGTAAGGTAAAAAATATAAACAACGCGATCGCAACGTCCGACCAAATAACAGTTTACTCAACTTGTTCCCGAGCTGGTAAATTGAACAGTAGATCGGCCTGGATCAGCGTCTTTGAAGCGGTATGTAAGAAGGCAACATCCTTATTGCTATGTCCAGAGAAGTAGCTTTCGGGCGTGTATGAGACTTTGAATGCGATAGAAAACACTGGGTACCACGAACCAATGTTTGATCTGATAATTCGGTCAGTTATCTGTAATATGATTTTCAGTTGAATTTCACGCTTACTTCGTCTTCAAACCCATATTTCGTGTCGGCAGGATCTTGTCCCCAGACTACACAGACATGTTTCACACCACAAGGTCAAATTTTAGAAAAATGACTCACGACCGTCAAAGCGAAGACTCTTGTCGCTGAGTTTGTTGGCAACGTCGGCAACAGCTATCAACTTAGCATCTGGGTATGCCTTCTTGAATTGAGCTAAAACCAAGTTTAAGCCAAGTTCACCACAAGAAAATCAATAACTGTACGAAGGAAGAGGTAATGAACAGCATCAGGCCCAACAATGAACCTACATTAGATGCAAGTATATCAGCAATGCTCGTATACGAGCGCGGAGAAACGTTAATTCACTTCACTTTTCCCAGCGCATCTATAGTAGACTTTGTTTCATCTGTCAATGGTGTTGAAGCCAAGACCCACACGCCACCAGCCTTCATCTGGATGGCTGTAGTTCTTCCACCTATCGGCATTATACCAAAACGTGCAAAAGGGCTGTTATTATTGTAAGCATCGCACCTAGCCTATCTCCACCGAGCATGAACGAACCAAGAAAATGTCCATACTCCTTTCGTAACCTGTATGAGACCAATAGGGTAAATGTACACCAAGAGAGGACATAAACGGGAATGAAAATACCTCGCGAATAACCATGTCACTCATGTTGTATATAGTTCAGGTCAAACTATGTGAGTTCCAGCAGCTGCTTGGCGGTTGCTTATAGGCATTTCGAGCGTAGTATCAACGATGACGTAGACGTAGCGAATGTAGAAGTAGGTCTGGGCGTCACATGGCCCAGCGAAAATATAGGTCACGTGCGAATTTGACTACAGAAACATGTCATGTACCAACAGTCTAGCATCTACAGTATATCAAGAACAGCGAGATCACCTAGACAACTAATGCTCTTCATTGGAAGCCTTTTTCAATGTATCTTGCCAATCCATAGCCAATTTTGTAAGGGTCTTACTTCGTGCTGTAGTAACGACTTTTAGAAGGCCCATTCAAAACATTAGAGGTGATATGGCTTACCGAACACAACTAATACCTCTCGTAGAAGATCACGTTTCGACATGCCCAAGACTGACGGTGACCAGACATCTTCTAGCCCTGGACGCCTAAAAGGACATTGTATTCATCATTCGGGCATCTGCTAAATTGAAACGTACCAAAATATAGGCCCGAAAAACTCCTTGATCAGCTCCTCAGCTTTCGCCCTAAAGCCTTCATCTGCAATATTCTTTGCATATACCAACAGAGTCTGCTTATATTCCTGAGGACTATCCAGCACTTTAGCGGAATACATTTTCGTCTCAAGGTGTCCAAGAGTCAAGGCAGTGGTCCACCACGAAGGTCGCTGTTTGTTTGCTACCGTGTCATCACCCGATGCACTGATTGCAGCCTCGATGGAAGCAACGACGTCTTTTGTTGGACGCTGGCGTCCCTGCCACACGTCGGAACCCTCTGACCACCATCGCTCACTGAGCTTCGTCCACGATGTCAATGCGGGATCATAGGAAAAGGCGACACCCGTAGAGCACTGTATTATGGGCGCACCGTTGTGGCGGACAGTAGCGGAGAGTATAGTGCAGTTAGGTGAGGAGCTAAGCAACTGTGCCACCGAAACGGGGGTAAAATAAGATCTTTGCTTTTTAACGTTCCTGGGGAGTGTTTCAGGAGTGAATCACTAACAGAGGCCACAAACAAACAAACCATGATGAAAGTTGGCCAGATGCTGTCAAGGTCATTAAACTGCCCTTGCAGCCATGTATCATCGAACAGGGAGAACCAAGACTCAGTGTTGGCATAAATCTATCAAATAGAGGTGAATGATGTTGAGGGAATGTTTCCAAAAAGACAGAAAACAACATACCTTCGACCAGTGTGCGAATATACGTTCACGGAGCCGTCTCTCATTGCCACAGCGCAAAATGATGTAGTAGCAGTTAAAGCTAGTATAGGAGATGGCAAGTAGTCTAACCACTGGGTTTGCTTGCCATTGACATAGATAATTTCCGTGGGACCTGAAAGGGAAGAGGTAATGTAATTACAAGGAGGAGATTAGGCGAAGGTCACGTACCATCACCCTCCGAGTTACGGCCCTCAAATACATCCTCGGTTCCCTCCACCTTAGCACTCAAGAAGGTCAGTAATGGGGGTACAGGAAGAAGCTCCTCTCCTTCCAGCCCTATTGAGCCACCCAGGAAGCTCCTAGTATGCGAAATATGGACATTGCCGTTTCCAATCTCTCGTACAGCTATGGTATCTCTGGGACGATCTCCTCCCAGAGTTCTTGGTTTACTCGGCCTTTCATCTGGTAGATCAAGAGCAGATGCCTTCCTCTTTCCTTTATTGACTGAGAGCGACCCGTTGTTATCCAGGGAATCGATGGGCACGTCCATGTCTGTAATGCTGTCCATCGTGACATCCTCGTGCCCGCCGTGACTGTGACTGCGCGACGTAAAGCCGAAGTCGTCGTTAGAAGTATGCATCATGGGTGAGACCGAATGTGAAGGATGTCTCGATGATTTTGGTAGCTGAGGACCATCACCAAGCCGCGATACACTGTTCCCAAGCGAAGTAGCCATAGGAATGACAGACGCAGACGGTATTGAGGCAGCTAAACCACCCATAAAGACAGGTTGAATCCTCTTTTTCTTGCCTCTCTTTGCTACCAGTTGATTGATCTGCTCTCCACCATTGGCGCCATTCGTCATTCCAAAACCAGTTTGAGATTGTACATTCGAGCTCGGAGCATTGGAACGAGTCGGAGAAGGTGGAGGTGTAATATGGGATGACGGTCGATCTTGATCTTGAATGCGTGCGGGCGCACCATGAGAAAATCCTTCAGGAATGGGAGGCGGGGTGAAACCAAATTTCTGGAGATATTGCTCTTGGGCTGAGTGAGGGGCAATGCCTTCCAACTCTTCAGGGTCAAAATGGAAGACAGCCAGGGTTCCATCTGAAGAAGCGGCATATAGCGTGAGCCCATCCCAAGACCTGACGTACAAAACTGAGCAAATACAGTCTATAGTTATCAATTACCATAGAGAACGCACCAACTAAGGTCCATAATTTGTCTTTCAAAGACTTCTCGAGCCACAATAAGAGGTCTGGCTGATTTGGTCTGCCAGACGGATACAGACCTGTCGTCTGCACCTAAGGCAACAACCGAGCAAATGTTAGAGGTCGCAATAGGAGACGATGGGTTTCGAAGAAATATATGAGGATTGTAAGACTAGGAAAATAAAGGTTTGATTTGGATAGGACGTAAAAGAGGTAACGAAAAAGTCTCACAGCAACTTCAACTGTGTTTTCGTGCCCAACAAGACTTATTTCTGAAGTCCATGTACCACGGGTAATCACGGCAGCGATAAATACGAAGCCTTTGTTGTTTGTTGCGTTTGAGGCGGTTATATGCGCGCCGTCAGGAGACCAACTGGATAACAGATTATGAAGAACATCACTTGCAAAAAAAGCATAACGATCAAACCTTAGACGTCTGAAAAAGGTGCTTCCCGGGGAATCCTCGAAAGGTTTCCGAATCTCGGCTTCTAACTGCCAATCTGTGGTTCTCCAGATTTTCACTGTCCTGTCATCGGATTGAGTAGCGAGAAATTCTCCCACAGGGTCCCAGCATACTCCTTTGACAAATCCTTGATGTTGGTCTAATTTTCGGAGACGTTCTGTAAATCGGTGGTTAGAATGTCTGGAAGACTGATGACATCTAAACATCCTCCGATGACACTGCATGGCAATAGTATCCAACAAAGATAAACTCACCTAAAGTGTAACCACACCAAACAAGTACTTGAGAATCTAGCCCGACAGATGCAAGGTAACGGTCACCAGGTGACCAAGCAACATCGGTCACGTCTAAGATATAAGGTCAAGAGAATTGAGATTTATACGGAAACAAGCACTAACCGCTTTCATGACCTGGAAGCCGCTTCAGAGGCTTCCAACCTTCAACGTTGACTTCGTCCGAGCCCCAGACTTTACCCCTGGCCGTGCTATGCCACAAAAAGCATGTTTCACGAGACCGAGTCAATGATAAAGAATACGACATACGGATCCAGGTCCCACACCATTACTATCTCATCGTCACTGCCACTTGCCAACCATCTACCAGAGTGAGCCCAACGCACGGTAAGGACAGGACCTGTATGCATGCTGAGAGTGCATAACGACTTGGGCGGTCGGTTCGACATCTCAGACGCTGGATTGAGGATGGGTTTTGTGCTCCATATGCGAATTTTAGCATCAAGACCGCCAGTTGCGATCCGTGAACCATCTGGATGGACATGCACTGAGAATATGGAAAGACGCTTCGGATTCTGGTCGTTTTTTGCCGCAGAGTCTGTATTTGAATTTGTGAATACTGTGAGCTATTGTAGATGTAGATGAGCGTTGATTACCTTTGTGCATAACCCATGCTGGCTTCGTAAACTTCATTACTGCGATGCCAGGAGTGACTTTTGTATTCTAGAGTGTTCAGAACAGAAGCGGTGGCACCCAAATCACCGTGACGCTTCCGAGAGGGCTTCATTCTGCTCCGCCACGTGGCTATACGCGGGGTTTATAGAACCGTGGGTTCGAAGGCCAGCTCAAGTTCAAATTCAGGCTTTGCTCTTGAGTCTTGACTCGAGTCACGGTTTCTTTACATTGAAGACATCTCTATGTCTTCACATATACTTGCTTGCGATATCGGTCATGATGTCTCTTATCACGCAATCTTATACAACCTTCTTGATATGCAGAATTTCCCATCTCATCCAAGTCTGCCGGCATTCACAGAATCTCGTCATCGACTCGCAATCTTGTCCCATTCTAACTGCAATCGAAAAAGGAAATCGCTGGAGATTCGACACACGTTTAGGCTATCATAGGAGAATGTAACGCAATATTTGTCGTTCGGCATCGCTTTAAACCACTTGATATTTGTAGCAGCGAATCAGGAGTCTGACAATGATTTCTTGAAGGCTTCAAGTTGCTCGACTACTACTGCCCAACGACAAGTAGTTAAGGGAGTAATCTCTGGTATTATTTAATTTTAGTTATAAGGTACGAGAATCCTAGCATCTTGCATCATAGTGGGTCTCTCAGGCGTAACATCAACTTCTTTCCTGATAATGGCTTATTCCAGCCGAGTTTCCTTGGTGCCGGTATTGGCAATGGTGTGCTCAGCGTCTCTGTTTTGTGCCTCATGTGCCCCGTACTTAAGTGAATGCATTTTGAAAATGAATAAATCGACAGAAGCTATTTCACAGTCCTCACCTCTTTGGGAACAGTGCTAGCGATGGCATCCAGCTTAGGGACAGAATCGTCTATCAAATCATCGGCGGATCAGCCTAAGAGCTCTTCTGGTTCCATTCTCTCCGTCGACTCCAAGGGCTTATCTATCAACGTCGACGTCAATGCAACTAATGCTGATGACCTGGTGGACGAGCCAGATCAGCAGTTCAAGTGGACCAGCATCTTATTTCGCCGTCACCAGTTGAAACCCTTAGATCTTGACGCAACAGCTACGAGGCGTTCCGTTTACGACGACCCTCATCTAGCTTCACACTATTGGCCGAAGAAAGATTACGAGAATCTTCACAGGTTCGATCCTAATGCACGATGGACTCACAGAGAGGAACAGGTCGGTGGCCAACGTACTAAGCGCAGTCAACTCCCTAAACTTGATTTCCAGGCTATCATACGAAAAATTGATTGGAAAGTTATGCTCTGGGCTGCCTTCAGTTTTTCTGCACTCAATCTAGATCGTTACAACATAAGTTCAGCCAACACGGACAATTTCTTACCGGACTTGCATATGACTACAGATGGTAAATATAGTTCGAGTCCGTATGCTATGGTGTGCTAATAGTGACTGATAATTAGATTTTAATCTTGGAAACACTGTCTTCCGCTTAGCCTTTCTGTGTGCTGAGTTGCCTTCTCAGCTTGTCTCGAAAAGGGTTAGTCTAGGGCTTTCTAATATGTTACGAGTATTCAAAGACACTCTTCAGATTGGTCCGGATCGATGGATTCCTATGCAAGTGTGCCTCTGGAGTGAATAACGATCCTGTTCTACGTGCTTTCGTGTTTAATTGGTGCTGATTCGCGGAATCTACCAGGCCTGGTTACTATGGCACAATTCTTTCTGTCAGGACGTTCATCATTCCTTGTTTGCCGCGCGCTCCTCGGGTGTGTGTACTTTTGATGGTGTGGGTTGAAGATCTAATTTCGCCATTCTTGTAGTGCATTGCAGGGCGGGTATGAATGAGCACTTATTATCCATTGGCTTTGCTGGCGTTAACTATACTTTGAAAGGTTCATCCCTGATCTGATCTTATATCTATCATGTGCGTCTATTCCAGTTCTTGCCCTTCTTGTACTAACGCACGATATAGATTTCTATACAAAGAATGAGCTACCTGTTCGCCTTGCTCTTTTTTGGATGTCAAGCAATTTTTGCAATATCATCGCCAGTTTTATTGCCTACGGGACGTTACAGCTCAATGGTGTAGCCGGTAAGGCTGGATGGCGGTATGTAATTGTTAAACTCCTAGTAGAGCAATATCTCAGTCTGTTCCAGATGGCTATTTCTCGTTGAGTGAGTGGATTAAAAATACTATCACTTCTTTCTAAAGACTTTCCATACTAGAGGTCTTATCACTTTCGTCATCGGGTTTATGACCTTCTTCAGAATGCCTCCGTCACCCACTCAGACGAAGACTTGGTTTCGGCCCAAGGGCTGGTTCACGGACAGGGAGGAAACTATAGTCGTCAATCGAGTGTTACGCGATGACCCCACAAAGGTCCGTGAAGCTGAAATTGAACACTGCTTCACCTACAACACCTTTCTATAGGGCGATATGCACAATCGTGAGGGTTTAACCGTAAAACGCCTGTGGATCGCGATGTGCGATTATGACCTATGGCCATTATACATACTGCAAGTCCCATCTCCTCTCTTTTTCAGTCATCTCACGATATTTCTAGAGGTCTCATGTTTGGTATTCCAAATACACCACCTTCTACATATCTCACCCTTTCTCTGAGAAATCTGGGGTAATCATCTTGTTGGCGGACCATATCATGATATTCACAATCTTGTTACAGATTCGATACCTTCCAATCCAACCTTCTCACCATTCCTTATAATGTGGCTGGGATAGTGACCATGTTTGCCATAACCCTTATATCTGAAACAGTGAACGAGCGTACTATCATCGCCATGGCTGAAGACCTGTGGACGCTGCCATTTTTGGTCGCCCTATACACTCTACCGGCCAACCCAAATCAATGGATATACTTCGTGAGTCATTTCTTGGACTGTATGCGCTAGGTTCGAATGTTCATTTACTTATGTACATAGGGAGTAACGTCCGGCCTGTTATCTTTTCCGTATGTACTGACATATTGATAAACATTGCGAGTTCATTGACGAGGGTTTTTTGCACAGATACACGCATCCTATCCAGGTAGCTTTTACTTTTATCAGTATCAAGAAACAACCATTTCACCTTTGCGCCATACTTTAGGTTGGTTGGTGCTCTCGTAACTCCGGTGCAGTTGCAAGTCGCACTGTGAATGCCTCGATATACAACATGCTCGTTTCATATACTTAAAGCCCAATGCCGTATTCTCAACATTGATTATTTTAGGTTTGTACAAGCCAGTAGTATCATTGCCTCCCAGATTTATGTGGCGAGCGACGCACCACGATGTACGTTCAACTTCTTGCACGGCTGGCTTTCATGTGCTGAATTTGACTTTCAGACCGGCGAGGGAATAGTATACTCATTGCTATTTCTTGTGTCAACCTTATTTTCCTCTACCCGGCCACTAAGGCTTATTATATCTGGCGCAATCGTAAGCGGGTAGCGATATGGGATGCTATGAATCCAGAGGCACGTTGTGTTCGTGAAAACGTGTACCGTCCTGCTGCTGACCAAGATCTCTTCAGGAGCGTTCAAAATATCTCCTCACCACCAAGGATGTTGGCAATAGAAGACTAGATTTCCGCTTTGCTCATTAAATGTTTTATTTTTCCTGCGAACTGCATGGCTCGACGGATGAATTTTGTCTAATTCAAATTATCATGAGCCATTGCGCGTCAACAAATTATTTCAATTGTATATATTCCCAAACCGGATTTAAGAAAACTTCAGTTTATGTAATAAATAAAAAATACATTACTACAAGTGCATTACTATGATTTGATTCATGCGAACGTTGGATATATCTTTCGCAACTGTTTCAACGAACCTGATTGACGGCAAACAGGGCATAATCTTTTGGTTCGGAATACTCTTTGAATACACCTGCCAGTGTCATATAATCAACGTACGTCAGACAGTGCTTGTATTAAGCTACTCACGATGTACAAAATATATGGCCGCATCGAGTCACACTCAAAGCTTTCGTAGTATCCAGACATAGTGGGCAATCATAACTCGCCAGCGAACTATCTTGCGAAGACTGTTTCACATTGCCAGAATGTGAAGAAATAGCATCAGAATTCTAAAATGAGTAAAAGCAACTTGAGTGAAATGCCACAATTGCGCGAACAACCAGCTCACCAATGGTTCACTCTCTTGCGAATCCAATGAAATCGCAAGAGGGTCATGCAGCTCATCTTCCCTCTCAATATCACACTCGTCGTACTCCTCCCAAGACAGATCGTCATCCGTTTCTTCCCCCTCTTCGTCGGGGAACTCGATCTTTCCATATTCGTCTTCCCATCCGTCAGGGGGTTCCTCCATTTCTGATTCGTCGTCGTCGTCGTCACTGTCGTCACGATGTACTGCAGCATATTCGACATGCTGAAATAGGATGAACAGCATTGAGAAGGATGGGGATACTTAGTTGTATAGCTAACGTACCATTCTGAAGCCCCCAGCGGTCTTGAAGCTCTTTTCACATGCGACGCAATAATGATGCCTGGGGGAATAGACATAGTGCTGCGAATGTAGATATAATAATAGTGAGACTCTGAAGCATATATTCAGGTAGTATAACCTACATTGCGAAGAGAGTTCTTATTCAAAAATCGCCGGTTACAGGGAACGCACTGAGGATGGTTTGGAGACATTTGAACATGCTGACCTCGGGTTTCGTTGCAGGGAAAATATTTGTCGCACAGGGTGCAATAAGACATCTCAACATGGAGAACGTCTGACATAGTAGTGGATTAAGCGGTATGACGTGTGTGATGCAAAGGTACAATGACTTGGAAAGAGGATTACCGGGTCTATATAAGCTGGAGAGAATCTATGGACCCCCTGCTTACGCACTTTCCGAGAGTTCCGAAGTGAAGGACCCGCGATCATTACCGCGACTGAAGTACCGAAGTGCAGGCTACAATTGTCGGCTGCCGGGGTGCGACATAGTCCATGATGCGAGACTCCCGAGTTGTTGAATCCATCGAGGCTTGGGCGACTGAAACGGATACCAGTCAATACTCCGTACTCAGTACTCTTGACAGTACTACCCCTATTGGTCTGAAACGAAATGCGGATGGCGGGGGGCCCGGACTCGAATATGATCAAGTGCACAGGCTACTATATCAAAGTATTCCTCGGGTTGGTTCTATGTAAAGTGAATTCAGATTTGACTTCCTAGGAATATAATACTCAGATCGCACAATTCTACAAGAGGTCCTTCTCACCACGGTGTAATGTCACCAAGTCCTACGTCTCCTCGGCCCAAATCCTCGACCCGTTCTGGGTCCGCGAGGATCAGAAAGGCTACTGACAAAATTGCATATCCGCTAGATAGAGCAATTTTTTGCCAATATTCATAGCAAGTCTACGAAAATCAAGCACCCTTTCAAGCTTGCAGTCATGCAATACATGAAATAAACCCTAACCCCAGACAGAATGGAGGACGACATTTCAATATCTGACCGATAGTGTAGACTTGGCTCTGTAAAGCTGGTTCTGTGCGTACTAGAACTGCCAATATTAGCAGCAGCATGACACGGGTATAATGTTTATGGAGAGCTGGCCTTGAGCGTCTGATTGTCGTCTCGTAGCATCGACCACAATACATTTCTGTGGTCTCGTTGTCCTTGTTTGACTCCGATTCATAGGCATCTCAAACCCAGATTGTGGCAAATGATACACCACTCGAAAACAAAGCTCTTCGTGACCAAATCACAAAACAAAAACAACAGCATTTCGTCTTGGTTCAACCAGCGGTCCGTGCGTCGTGTGGCAGGTGCACGATCGGACTTTGAAGAGAAAGGGCTATTCAAAAACCATGTCGCGTCGACATGAACCACCCCAACCCAACGCTTTCTCAACCCACACTTCGAACCAGCTCCTGAAATAATTTTCAGCAATGTCGGATGCTGAGGGAACCTCCAAAAAATCTAGCGGTTATCGCCTTGAGTACGCCGCCTCGGCCAGAGCTAAATGCAAAGGTTCGTATATCCTAATTTGTCACTTTGTTGATTCTCGTTGAACATCGCGCGTTTTTGTTGTATCTAGGACCCAAACCGTGCAGTGGTAAGATGATTTGCTTTAGTTCATTATATAATGTTAACTGTGGGTGCTATTAGGTACTACCATTCCCAAAGGAGAGTTACGAGTCGGCACCGTAGTCGACTTCAGAGGTAACACTAGCTTGTGCGTGATAACCAACATACTATCATTTGAAATTAGCTGACAAGATTACTAAAATATCATTAGTGCATGGCGTCATTGGGGATGTACTACCTCCAAGATCATATCCAACATGAAGTCGCAGTTTGAAGATGCTGCAGAACTTGATGGCTTCGAGGAGCTTAACGAGAAAGATCAAAATAAAATTCGCAAAGCCTGGGAGGACGGGAAAGTGGCAGATGAGGATATACCCGAAACTGCCAGGAAACCCCAAGGCGACGACGCAGAAGAGGAGGACGAGGAAAAACCAAAGAAGAAGCGTGCTCCCGCAAAGAAGAAGAAAGATGACGCTGACGCTGAACCAAAGCCGAAGAAAGCTCGCACTGCTAAGGTTTTCATAGTTGACTCACTCCATGATTATCACGACGTCTTATGCATTGCTCTAGAAGGCTGATGATGGCGATGAGGATGGTGAAAAGCCAAAGAAGCCCGCTAGAAAACCTCGTGCCAAGGTATTTTTCAACTGTTTTCATTCCCAGTCCGCACACCAACCCATTTATAGAAAGCGCCTGTTACCGAAGATGAGGATGGGGAAACGGCAGACGAGGAGCCCAAACCCAAGAAGAAGCGTGCTCCTGCTAAAAAGCCTGCAGAGAAGAAAGAGAAGGCCCCACCTAAGAAGAGAGCCCCAAAGAAGAAGGTACGCACACCATTCGTTAACAAGGCATCATTTGTCAATGTTTTTATTCAGGATGAGGACGAATCCGGTGAAGATTTTGCAGATGACATTGCCAACGTTCAAGGTGACGAGGATGAAGATGATATGGACGTAGAGCAGGACGCTGGGCAAAAGCGCAAGGTAATTTCCGTGTCTAACACATAGGACTCCTTACTCATGTTCCGATCATTGCACTGCAGAGACCCGTCTCTAAATCTTCTTCTAAACCCGCATCGAAGAGGGCGGCCAAGCCTACTTCTTCTCGATCCAAGAAGACCAAGGAGGTTATCGAAGAGGAAGCTGAAGACGACGAGTAGAGCATTGTATGCCGTATTGCCTGAAAAACATGCAGTAAATTCTTTGGTTTTGGGTTCTAGCCTGGTCGTTCAATAATCATGTTGTCGATGTAATCCTTTGTAAACACTTTCAGATGTTGTTACTATCCGTATGAATCAATGGTTTCAATTGTAAGGTGGATGATACTCAGGCTTGTAATGATAACTGATCGTTGTGTCAAAGAGAAAGTGCACATCCATAATCCATATCTACTACATCGTGCGAGTGCTAGGGGTTGAGGATAATGAATTGCCTGAATGAAGAAAGAAAAAGAGATGCTCTTCATCCGACAAGCCCTCGACAATCAAACGAACGTACGTCCATGCAGTATCCATTCAACTTGAAAGCTTGTCGACGGGGGCGCCATCCCGATTTGGCAGGTGTAGTAAACGAAGAAGCACCCTCGCTTCAGGGCAGGTTGGCCACTTCTCGTGAGAAATTCATCAGGGATTTGCCGCAGCCAGAAACTACGGATAGAGGTATTGACAACCGTCCGCAACGATCCTCAAGACACATCGACAGTCCTCAACATGGTGAGTGAATTCAGAATGAGCCTAGCACGATCCGTGCCATAGTTACATTGTTTGCGAAACATGGAAGCCATACTCCAGAAACACGGATGCTCACTTCAACCTTTGGATGACTCTTGTTTTCATGTTTCACTGATAATTCGATCTATCTAGACCAAGAAAAGAAGAAATGGCGGCCGCAACAAGAAGGGTCGTGGTCACGTCGGTTTCGTTCGCTGCTCAAACTGCTCTCGCTGCGTTGCCAAGGACAAGGCTATCAAGCGCTTCACAGTGAGGAACATGGTTGAGAGCGCAGCAGTTCGGGATATCAGTGAAGCCAGTGTTTACCAAGGTGCGTCATGGACGTAAATGTTCTTTGGCCTTGGCCTGATTGTGCATTAGAATATGTGATTCCTAAACTTTACATCAAAATCGCATACTGTGTCTCGTGCGCCATCCACTCGCATGGTACGTTAATTTTTTCCATACAAGTTAGGCCCTAGGGTCATATTATTTGCACAGTTGTCCGTGTACGATCACGCGAGGGGCGTCGTAACCGTGCTCCTCCTCCCCGTGTACGATGGAAGGATGGTAAAAAAGTGAACCCCGCGGTTGCTGCTGCAGAGGACGCGAAGGCTGCTGCTGCTGCTGGCAAGGCATGAAAGACTCTACATCTTATACTCGTCGCATGCAGCTGTGTATTAGTTCCACGCATTCCATCTATTTGTCCTCCATACGCAAAAACTGGACTTCAGAAATAAGAATGAAGACCTTCCAATACTGTTCGATGCCACAATCAGCTAAGTTGATTCAGTTTAGTGATCAAATGTGGCGTTGTATACCTGGTTCCAATCTGCTCTATTATGTCCGTAGCCAACAGCATCGTGACTAACGACAATTGATGAGACTTGAGTAACACCTTTCCGAAGTAAACTAGTGGCCCATACGATGCCTCACCGCATCGTAACTGGTCCCTTCAAGTTTCCTGCATCCTTTTGTCTTTTCTTGGTTGGTCACACACGTACTAAAACTAGCTAATAGCTTTTCTAAGACTATTGTTGTATGTTGCCAAGAAGACCACATAGACAACCAAAACTTACTATAAAGTCTACGTGTGGGTCCACTGTGGAAAGGAATCGCCCTTAGCTCTTGTACCGCGACTATGTAATGACAACAACGAATGCCTATGCGAGATATCTCGCAGTGATGTAGCGCTTACTAGAGCGCCTGATCGCACTCCGCTCTATTATCACTAGGCCGCCAGAACTCCGTCGTTCTGATACTTCGAGCGCAAGGGCGGTAAAGATGGCTACGGATAATTCGTGGTATAATGGAAGCAGATATGTGGGTCCACTTGCTCAAACTATACCGTTTGTTCTTGTCTTATTTCAGCCAATGTTATTGTTATCGCTTTTGAAGGTCCTAACCAGAATACGGTCAAGAAGAATCGGCCTTCTAGGTATAAAAGGCGCTATGAACTTTTCACAAAATGTCATAACAATCTAACGAATCAACTCTTTCATTAAAGCTTCATTTCCTCTACCTTTTCTTGACGAAAAGCAGATTACCATCCATCCCACGATAATATCATATTTCCATCCATGGCCCCTATCTCTTGTATGAACTGCGGTCAATACCTCGAACAATGTGATCTCGGAGAACATATCAGGAACGTTCATATCGCCGGGTTCGCAAACCCTCAGCCCGTTAGGCATGCTTCACCTCTGTACGCTTCTCAGCCAGACATCAGGGGACGACGACTGGGCTCTCCCTCATCGGATCTGCGATCTGCTCCTTACATTCCAAGTCCAAGACTCCAATTTGGCGCCCAGCAGCAACCCATTTTTCGGCAACCGCCACCTCAGGCTGTTGTAACCACTAGCACCGTCTCTTCCGGAATCATCTCTCGAGGAGAATCACCACAATGTGACTTCCTTGAGGATGTGACGTCGACCTACTCCAAGCGTATCAGGGACAGTAGGATACTATCAAAGCGGGAACATCAAGCTGCCTGCGCAAGCTATATGGGCAAGGTCCCAATTTGTGCGGTAAGTAACTCTGCTTTGGATATACTTCATATAAAGCTCACATTTATGCACAGACTCTCATTGAACAACTATACACACATTTGACGCTTTGTCTCAACGGTCGGAGGTAAGTTTTTCTTTTTTGGAATACATTGAAGTTACTGAACTCAGCATATAAGCTTTTTGGACAAACTGCGTGAAATACTCGCACGTTGGCAAGGAGAGGACCATCTCACTTGGCTGCTGCAACGCAAACAAATAGAAGCTGATCTTCTACTACTGTTTACTGAGGTTCGTTTCTATCTTCAAGTTGTATATTGTTATTCTTAGCTGTTATTCAGTCGCAAACTGAAGTGCACAAGTGTTATCTCAAACAAGGGCAACAACCCAAACTTGGTAGTGACGCAAATTGCATTGCCGCTCTTCTGGCTACGACCTTGACAGGTTCAACAGCCCGAGATTTCTATCAGTTGAAGGGAGACCATGCACAGACTTTAATTGACGATCTCCAGACTGTGCGTTTTATTAACCTGCGCTTCATCTGAGTAGTTAACCGACTCTAAGCACTTTAGTTATTTGACAGTCCTGGAACAGAACCAGTGATGAGACCACTGTTCCTCCATGGCCTTATCAGATTATCAAGAAAGTCGACTCGTTTTCCGTCGCGGTTATCCTTAAAGGGGGTAGAGTATGATCGTAAAATGGTCATAAGAGGTGGATACGGAGACGTTTACAAAGGATCATGGGAGGGTCGCGCAGTTGCCGTCAAAGTTGCCCGATTATATGATGAAAGCACCCGAGACAAAATATTGAAGGCATGCGATGCTTCCTATTTGTCATTATTATATATGCTAACTTTAACCGGTGGGGAGTATAGAGCTTTTCGTCCGAGGCCGTCATCTGGTGCAACGTGAATCACGAGAACCTTGTCCCTTTCCATGGCGTTTATCGTCCACCAGGCGAGGACGTTACGATTTGTCTCGTCTCCCCTTGGATGGATAACGGGAACATCAATCAGTATCTTCAGCGATACCCAAACACGAATCGTCTTCCTCTGGTGAGCATAGACACGCCTATATGCTATTGCCCACCTCTTACGCAAGAAATCTTCAGATTCTAGACGTCGCTCGCGGTCTCCAATATCTGCATACAATGAAGCCTGCTATCATCCACAGTGATTTGAAAGGAGTAGGTGCTATATGTCACACGTCTGAATCTTACCTTATTGTTCATACCACGAATAGGACAACATCCTGATGACCGCATCAGGCAAGGCTTGTATTGCTGATTTCGGAATCGCGGCCACAAGGAATGGTTTCATGATGAATGTGTTCTCTTGTACCCAAACCCAGAGCATTTGTGGAACATTGAGGTGGGCGGCACCAGAAATCCTTGCCGATGTACCTGTCGATCAACCAACCCAACATACGTGCATGAGCGATATGCATGCATTCGGATGTGTTTGCTACCAAGTATGTGATAAAGGTTACGACTGTTGATAATACTCTGATTCCTGCATGGCAGATTTACACCGGAAAGGTTCCATACTGGGAAACTGAATCTTTCACGACGGTCCTGAAACATATCATGTCTGGTCGCGGCCTTGTGCGCCCCTCCCGCAGTGAGTGCGCGAGTCGAGACTTGAATGACGAGTTGTGGAATTTTATGGCGGCTTGTTGGCAACTTAACCCTTCTGGTCGTCCTACTGCGAGTTCGGCAGTAGATTTCTTGCAATCCCAGCAGAACCAGGCGTAGGAGGAACCTTTGGAAGGTCCCTTTGATGCTACTGGGTAGCATCTCGCCTGTAAGCCACAGAACAGAGACGAATGGATTCGATAGCAGCGCTGGGACATTTATGGACATTTATCTTTTCACTTTCACCACGCTCCCTAACACTTTCATGACCCTTTCTCATGAGCGGTTACTATGTAGCAGTACAATGTACTCTACTCCACACCTATACAACCAAGTTGAACGTCAAGCTACAACTACCTTGTATATTCTCCTATAATTCACTTTGTAGCCCTTGTCGATTCTTATTACCTTGTATACCGTTACCGTATAGCAATATCATATCGCAGTATTTGGTTGTGTTTCTGTTCCCTAGGATTTCCAGTCGTCTTCATCGTCCTTGAGCTCAGCTGAATCATGGTTATTTCACATGTTTGACGGAAACAAATTTTAGAGATAGCGAAAAAATACCAGCTCCGCGAAACTACTGTCACAAAAGCCCGAATGCCAGCACAAAGCTGACGTTTCCTTGAAGACCATGTCAATGTCTTAAACGTCGCCTTGCCCAATAAATAATTCAATTTGGGTCGTAACAGCGTTCGGGTATTTCCGTCTCAGGATGACTTGCGACTTTGCAACGAAAAATCATCTCGCGAAAATCGCGTCGAATCCTTTTTGAATTTTCCCTTGTATTTCTGTCTTGCTCCTGACGCACATCATCCTATGCTTGCCACGGCGGTGCAACTATACAAAGTTCGCGTGTCCACTGCCTTTTGTTCCTCGTCGTCAATGCCAACGGGAGCTTGTGTTAGAAACGAGCTAACGTCGTTGTATTCAATCACCACGTTCAGCATACTGGTCTGGTAAAGGAGGAATGAAAGTATCGGCACAGCTTAATGCCTTTGCGATTAGTGAGATGGTAGCAACTCGACGGTGGCTTCACCTAGAGCTCTCACGACCAGATGGGCCAGTGTAACGGCCTGTCAAAGCCCGGGCCATACGTGTAATAACATTGCCTTATAGTGTAACCCTTGTACCAGATTATCCCAGATCTGCCGATCCTTATCGACTCCACCATAAAACAGTGTTCTTCGATCCACGCGGTGACCTGATATCTAGTGTTCAAGCTATTGAAAGCGCTGGGACTCCACTCAGCTACTCAACTCACCGCGATTGTCCTCTGTTCAAGTTGCCCTTTCGATCCATCACCTACGAGACTGACGATATAGCATACTATGGCTACCATTTCATGCCAGACTTGTGGTCAGGTCGTCAACCGAGAGGACCTGAATTTGCATATCAGAGAGACGCACATGGCATCTTTTGGCCAACCTATACATCACGGTCAATTGACCCAATATCCTTCGTCATTCCCCCCACCACCATCTTACCCTGGCGGGAACCAATTCGCGCCCCTATTATATCAAATTCCCCCACGAAGCACGCAGTTCACTTCATGGCAGCAGAATAATACTTTGCTCCCGGCCAACAATACGTCCATCGCCCAAATCGCTAGTGATCCATACAATGAAGATGTTCGTCTCCTTCAAAGCCTCCAGGAAAGCAATCAGATGCTGTCTGAAAAGACTAGATCTGATATAGTGCAAAAAATCGTGATTGGTGTCTACGAAAATGCGAGTCTGAGTGTGAGGGATAAAAGTACTTGTGTTTCTTACGTGCGGAGCATGAAGATGTACGCGGTGAGTATACGGTACTCTATAGGAACAGATTAGACATTGATTTCCTTCACAGAGTCTCATAGCAAATATATTCACGCATGTGACACTTTGTACACCAAAAACTTCTAGGTGATTTCATCTTCGTCTCAATTTCTATGCAAGTCATAATGTCCTGAGCAGTTTCATCGCCGAGCTCCAAGATATGCTCAAAATATGGAAAACATGGGATAATTTGACTTCTCTGATCAACCATGGGAAGATGAAGGCTGCATTGCGTGAGCTATACGAAAGGGTGAGCACTTAAACCAATCATTCATGCGTAGTAAAACAACCGCCCCTATTCTAGTCTCAAGTTGTCAGCAAAGGTCATCAATGCAATGTCACATTGAACCATCCCTTGGAAGTACCCGACGAAGATGTGGAATATGTGTCAGCTCTTCTAGCGACGATCTTGACAAACGATGAAGACGTCCAGAAGTTCTACAGCTGCACAAATGATGATGCGCAGTCATTGATTGACCTGGTACAGGCAGTACGTTTTTGGTCAATTTTCGTCATGATGCTTAAATGACAAGCTGTCGATTATTAGCTTCTGGATGCGCATAATGTGGATATTCATGCTATCTTCAAGCGAGTATTGTTACATGCTCTTATTCGACTATCGAGGAAATCTGGCCATTACCCAGGAGGAATGGCATTACGGGAGTTGCAATATAGCGGAGCCCCCATTACTGGAGGTGGATTTGGTGACATCTACAAAGGTTCTGTGCTTGAACGCGCGGTAGCTGTCAAAGTTTTGCGAACCTTTGGTACAGAGCAGGAACTTCTCAAGGTAGGTTGAGACATGGTTAACAATTTGATTCGCTCACTCTCGCTATTACACACAGAGTTTGTCATGTGAAGTTGTTGTCTGGCGCAATACGAAGCATCCCAACCTTCTACCCTTCTACGGCGTTTTTCGTCAGGAAAATCTAAGCGCCATTTGCCTTGTTTCACCCTGGATGGATAATGGAACGGTAACCAATTACGTACGAAATCATGATAATGTGGATTATTTTTCCTTGGTGAGTATCCACTCAGTCATACCTAGTTATCACCTGACTTTTCACAGATTATGGACATCGCCAAAGGTCTCCAATACCTGCATGGAATGTTGCCTACCATCGTTCATGGAGATATCAAAGGGGTAAGCCATAGTCTGAGTGTAATATTAGTGAGCCTTTGTTGACGCAAATCATAGGCAAATATCTTTGTCTCTCCGTTAGGAAGAGCCTGTCTAGCTGATTTTGGACTAGCGGCTGTTAATGACATACTGCTGAAGTTACCATCTACTACACGCCATCTTGGCTTGTCCGTACGATACTCTGCACCCGAAATTTTGCGTGCGAGTCAAGCCATGGACGGAAAGCCAACACGAGCGACCACCATGAGTGACATTTATTCCTTTGCATGCGTGTGTTATGAGGTCAGTAAATAGTCTATTGATTGCAAAATAATGGTTATCGATGCAGGTTGTGGAAGATATATTCCAAGTTGGAGCCGTTCGGAAATAGTGACTCCAACCAAACATCCATTGCTGTCCTCCAAGGCCGAAGGCCCTCTCGTCCTAATAGTCAACAACTGGATGATGCCCTGTGGCAGTATATAGAAAAGTGTTGGCACCAAGAGAGCAAAGCACGACCCACAGCTGAGGCAGTTGTTTCGTATCTATCGTCGAGGCGACCGGCAAACGGTGCTCTCGAGCCCCATCCTGACAAAGAATGGGATGATGATTTTCGAGTCCAAATCACGTATCCCTTAGCTCAACACCCCTTCCACTTCTTAGCAAACTAAGGAGAAAATATGAGGTGAGTGTTTAGTTATGCTCTTCGCTCGCTTCGTAGACTGTCACCTAACTGATAGCCATCCAGCCAAACATTCACATACGCGGTTATATACTTCTGCCTAGGCTTAAAATGGCATCCGACTTAATATAGTTTATCACTCGATATGATTGAGCGTTTCCTACCTCCATCGGATTATACTCAGCTGCGGATGGAGAAACACGATTTGATTTGTACTTGTATTCATGAAATTATACCATACATGGCTTACTCGGCCTTCATTGTGTCTGATGTCAGACGCTGGACGGTCTGCAACGATGTGAACCTACACTTTATATCTCAATTACTGCTTGAATATAGTGCAATTCAACATCATCGTTTGGTCACATCGCATGATCTAGTCTGAAAGTTTGATGGTATTTGTACAAGTGTCCATTGGAGACATTATAATCCGTTCGGGTACGTCACACTACCACTCGCTGTAAGTTAACTGGAATCCAGTGCAACCAGCGTCTGTGACAATAACAAGCCAGTGCAGGTATTGAATGTTGAATATTCAATATCGATGACGCCCTTTTCTCGTAAATGTGGTGGGTTTAGAAACTATATTATTTCTTTCGTTGATACAAGACGTAACTTGAAATTTACCATTGACAAGGTCAATTCAATTATAATATATATGGGAGGGAGAGCAGAACCTCTTGTATTGTTTTTTTCAAGTTAGTGTCTTGTACTGGCACGCTGGGGATAGGTACATAATGACAGCCGTTGGGGGCGTTGCAACTGTTGCAAAGCCGTAAGTAATCACGATTCTCCAGAGGGACTGTTCTAGCGTTGTACTCGAATATACTTTGTTATTCATAGTCCGCGCCTAGGTCCGCGCGTCGGTCTTTCCGCGACACCATCTGTGGGTCCGTGTGTATTGCGAGTCGCTTTTGTGAATAATCATGTCAACAGCATACTTGCAAAGGTAACATTTACGTCCGTGGTGCATCAAAAAAACAGCTGACCTTCTTATCCGAATCATAGCAATGACCAAAGTGCTTGAATGGCGTGTAAGGCATGAGAATCAGCACGGCAGTGTCCATGATGGGCCTTGAAGTTACGTCTACTAGTACTTATTATGAAAATGGATAGCGACAATGTCGTTTTTGAGCTAGAACAGGTCTGCAGGGGTGCCAGTGGCTCTGCAGCGACATATATATATTCGGCGCCAGTTCCTTCGTCCTCCAGCGACTCGGACATCTAATTCATCACTACCCTCTTCCATTGTGACATTTGTCGCATTCACCTACTTGAAGGGACTCCTGCGCGATGTACAATACAGCCCTCAATCAAATGATGTCGTGTCAGGGATGCCGACAATCCGTACCTGCCCATGCGATGGCCCAACACCTTCGAGGGTGTGCAGCAAGTGGTCATCACGTTGGCCCCCAACACCATCAAGCGTACGTTGTGAGTTGATGTTACCCCCGATGACTCGGATGATCTCTTTATCTAACGATGTCACGTATATAGGCAAACGGCATGACTAGAGGGGCCTCCCTTGAATCTACTAGGAGTGCTTTACCTAAGCCTCTCGAAGATATCATCGATGATACACTACACGATCTATATAATCGCCTGCGTAAAACTCGCGGGCTTGCCAAAGCTGATATAGATGATTGTTCCAACTGTATGCGGAGTGTAAAGATATACGCGGTAAGCCCTCCTTTAGATGACTCAAGTCTGTATAGTCTGAGGCATACATACTTATGTCCAGGGTCTCCTTGGTTGTGCCTATGTACACTTGAAGCTTTGTGTTCAAGATAGAAGGTAATGTCCAAAACATGCTATACTTTTGATCATCCTACTTACATAGTTGACAGGCTACTGCAAGAACTACAAGGCGCTGTTAGAGTATGGGAAAGATGGAGTCAGTTTGAGTCTATAGCAAGGCAGGACGAGATAAGGAAAAAATTCCAAAGCATGCTACAAGCGGTAAGCAGTCGATAAGGTACAAAAATCGTTCAACTGATTCTATTCTTTTCCAGTCGCCGAAATGTAGAGGTCATTTAGACTTCAAAATGACAATCCCGTTCATCCCTCCCTCAGATACTGATGTCATTCGTGCTCTTTTGATCAGTTTTGTGGAAGCTCCAGCTTGGGAGGGAGCATTTTACTCGGAGAGGGGTGACCGAGCGCAAAACCTTGTGGATTTACTTCAGCTGGTGCGTGTTCAGTGCAGTGCACCCAGTAATCGTTGATCGTCACACGGAGACACTCAGGTATTGGAAGATGCTTCTACAACGTCTGGTTGCCGCCACCGTCTTCTCAGTGCCTTAGTTCGATTATCAAGGAAGTCCAGTAGATGGCCCCATCGTTTAGTACTACGTGAGGACTTGATACAGTACAACACTCAAACTCGTAAAATGGGGGGATTTGGAGACGTGTATTCTGGCGTTTTCAATAAAAAAACCACAGTCTCTGTCAAAGTCATGCGCATGACTCAGGGCCATCATACCGAAAAATTTCTCAAAGTAGGTTCAGCCGTATCTTACAGTCCTTTTGGATTTGAATTCTGATGAAGATTTACAGCATTTTTCGAGCGAGGCCGTTATTTGGCGACACCTCAATCATCCCAACATCTTGCCCTTCTTTGGTATCTTCCACAAGGGCATAGATGTAGGCTTCGTCTCAATGTGGATGGAGAACGGTAACGTGCTGTCATTTCTCAAGCGTTATCCAACCGTGGACCGGGAGCTCCTGGTAAGATATTTCCGTGCTAGGAAAGTTGCATCGCAAACACCAGCTTACGCCCTTGTATAGCTTTCTGACATCGCAGGGGGTCTCCAGTATCTTCATAACGCCAGCCCAACCATTCTACATGGCGATCTAAAAGGAGTAAGTCGATAAGCTACGTGGGGTCGTCCAAGCTTTGAGACTGATTATATGTATTTGTAGGATAATATTCTCGTGAACAATTCCTTTAGGGCTTGTTTAGCTGATTTTGGTGTCACTTCTACAGAAGACTCGAGAATCATATTAGATAGCACCACCGTGCATACCAAAGCGACGTCAAGGTGGTCTGCTCCAGAACTGCTCGAGGAGGAAGGGCGTGTCAGTGCCGCCACTGACATCTATGCCTATGGAATGGTGGGCTACGAGGTAGTTGACATTTCGCCTCTAGTTAATCGATCTAAAATCTAAACGCTTGCATAGATTTACTCAGGTCGACTACCTTTTCAAGAAAGCCATGGCGACCACGCCATATACCAATTACTTAAGAAAGGGAAAAGACCTGAGCGCCCCGATAATAACACACTGGATTCCTCACTATGGAACTTCATAGGCCAATGTTGGCATCAGGAACCTGGGAGGCGTCCTTCGGCTAATGGGGTAGCGAGATTCCTAGCAGGGAGGAGACGTCCGGACACTCGTCCTCCTTCTGTCTGGAATATAAAGTTGCCAGACGAGGCCTACACAGCGTATTACGAGTGAAAAGCAGTCAGCAGATAGAACGTAGTATGACTTAGTGTAATTTTATTTTTGCTGTACCACCCTGATCCGAGTTTGTAATCCTAGCAGCCTCACCCACCTATACGGACGTTAGTTCACCTGGCACCGAATCGCAACGATGGATGATGTGGTAGACTTGTCCCATCTTCTTTGTTCGTGGGTAGAGTGCTCATCGCAGTTAACCATCACGCTCTCATATAGACTCTGCAATACAAATATCCCAGATCATGATGTTTTAGTTTGGTCAACCATGTATACACAGACGTCTTCTGAAACAAGGGGTATAACATGAGTATATATATCACTGGCGTCGGAGAAAGCAGCCTCACGTTCGTAATGAGCCCACACTCAGCGCTAACTCAAAACCGATGAAACCATTTGGATAGGTTCCTGGTATGTAATCTCCGATAGAGGCGCAATTTCTAAATCCTCGTCGCCTTGAACAGGAGATCCAGTTGACCCTGGTATAGAACCAAGCACCTCCCTTTTGGTGGGGCTATACCGAACACCATTCAAATCACACGGTGAGCTGCCTAAACTTCCGGCGGATGTGCGCGATGTAAGGACATGAAGATGAAGTGTAGGTTTATGCTTTTGAGTGTTGCTTGATGAAGACTCTCCGCTGTAAAAGGACTCGAGGCGCTTTTGCCTAAATCAAGGAAGGCGAATTAACAAACGAACTATTGAAATACCGAAAATTGGTGACAAACATTTTCCTAGAGTTTCTGGAGTACACGTCGCTTGTGCTTTTAGTAACATAGAGGAAGGCATTACGATACCTCCTCCTAGCCTCTTCCGTAAAAGCAAAGAACGTAAAGAACGTGAGAGCATACACTACATAACACCACCGTGCCCACTGTAGAGTTGATGAAAGCCTAGGAATCGACCGCATTTCGGCAGAGGTGTACTGTACTACTTCAGAAATATTGGCATGTATGACGTCCCATCCTACCCATGGCTGCACCATATCCAAAGTTGCGTCTTGAATGATGTCATATATACCTGGAGGGAATGAACATAGGAATACGATGACAACGAGAGTCAGAAGTCGCCAGTAATGAGACTGATCCCAGATAAGATGATTGTTATTTTCTCCTAAGAGCTCTTGAAAATTTGCCTTTCTTCGTATAATGGTACGAATGACCAGGCCTACCGGTTGTCAGTTTTGAGGAAAAGGTTTTGCAGGCACCAGCTTACCCATGTAGAAAATTAGGACGAGTCCGATTACAGCTGGCCACATTACAAACAGTGGAAAGGCAGGTGTGACATTCGCTATAGCGAAATAGCAACCCACCTCTTCGAAGATGAAGAACCGTTGATACTGAGGAATATATGCTATATAGTTTTGGTCAGCTAACTCCTGTGATAGTATCCCATAACATACCTAAAATGATAGATAATATTGGTATTCCCATCACAATCGAAAGGTCGACAACAATACCTCGCCATTGCTACAGCGGACCATGAGAAACCTACAATGTGGGAGAAAATAAATTACACGCCTTTGTATTGTTCCGAATTGGCCCAGAGCATGCGCTGGTAGCAAGGTGTAATCGGCGGACAATACATACTGAAGCTGCCGGTACAGCGACGCGACCACCAATCAATAGACGACTGGCTGGGGAAAAAAATAAAGGATGGATAACATACATTATAAGAAGGTTCACGGACATATATCACACCATACTGGTGCCCTATTAGTGACGTTGTCATTCCATAAAATCGAATTCAAGAATCCAACGAGGCAAAGCAAGCTCGTCCACGCGATATAAAGACATGTACCGATGTTCCTCGCTGCCAATAAATTCATATTCGCGCTTTGGAAATAAAACAGGGAACCACGCACCTCGGAAATGCATTGGTAGCAAAATGCCCGGTAAGATAAATCCGAAGAATGCGAAAGCAGAATACACATGGTTCGCAGGACTCATCTTCAACGACTTCGCAGGCAAACGGGACAAAAGGCCAGCCCCCGTCCCCAATGCTTGGATAGAGCCCTTATAATAGTGACTCACATATCCAGGTTTAACATCCTGTTTCATAGAACCACACACCGCATCAAACGGCTTAATTCATGACACGAGTTGTCCGGGATAAGTCTACTTTCTGTACTCTCCATCTGAGCGCCTCTTTCAAAACAAGTACCTGGCCAATGATGGGAAGCCGCCAAGTACGCCACTGTTAGAAATATTGACATCCATTGACAGTGGCACCCTAAGACTAAGACTGTTATACAGTTATTTCAAATCTCTGTGGAAATGCAGAGCGCAACTCACCTGACAACCAACTGTTCACTGCCTAAGAACAAGTCAGATGTCTACCCCAGAGTCAGTCACTTAATGCTGAGCTTGGCTTACATATCGATAGGCAAATGAGCTGGGTGCGCAGTCAGCAACTCGTAGAAAATGAGTCCCGCTAAACTAAACACCTCAGTCCGAACCCCGCGACATGACGGTACCGTTTCAACGTTGAAACGGCAGAGCTTTGAAACTGGCGGAACACTAACCTTAACCCCAAGACTTCCTTGACACAATGTGGTATTAGTTACATACAAGATGTTGCCGTATTAGCATTTTTCTATTGTAAAATATACGCTTAGAGGTATTGTATGCATTATCCTAAAAACTTTGAAGCCCGAAGTACAGCCAGATATTATAGTATCAGTACATCATAAATTTTCCGATCATCCAGCAAACCAAGCAATTTGTATGGCCTCGAAAAGGGAGTTCCAGCGAGGCAACAGATAGTGAGGTGGTTCAATCACGGACGTAATATGATAGCCTCAGGATATGGATTCCTTCACGTCAGCTCTTGGCGAGCACATATGGGCGTAGAATTGGGAAATGGGAGCGCACGTCCTCCGATTCAGGTTGGCAGAGTCGATTCTCCAAGTCCTGATGTCGGGACTGAGAACGACGACATTTCGATAACTCCGCCCACATAGCTCTCACGGAGGTGGAAGAAGATGCGAGATGCCAGCACGCTATGCAAGACAAGCTGTAGCCTATGACCTCATTTCAGTAATCATAGATGTAAAGTTCAGGGACGAAGCATGCACGCACGCATCGAGTGAGTTTGTGTATCCAAGCTAATGTAGAAAGCGAACGGTTAGATCGATCATTTCTCGCGGGCTCAGCGCACTCACCGGAACCGCGATGTTAACGATGATGTTAATTATCGTCACAGCTGATGTTCCGAAGAGCCCCCGATCAGAAATGACATTTTTAAATGACAATGGATGAATGGATGGACGCACAGATTATACAACCCATATACATCACACCATCGCGGATAAGTATGGTAATCAATAGACCTTTAACAAAGCGGTAATGCCTGAAACTTGCCAAGGCGGTGGTGATTAGCAAAACTGAGCGTTGGTGTAGGCATCAGATCAAGGGTTCACTCGATGTGTAAATGATACCCACAAAGTTCAAAAAATAGCACAAATCCATATTGTATAGCATAAGTCGTGTCTCCCAGGAAAAGGCAACTACCTGAGTTTATAGAGCGCGGGTAAGATCTATAACGAATCATTTTTAACACATAACTTACTACGGCTACTGCTCTTCCAATATGGTACGGAAATGCTCCCTCCAATGGAAAACTTTATGCAAACATTTATTCAGTATTTTTCAATTGAACGTACACGAGCGCTTACCAAGCCGAATACCAGTATTCCCGCCAGCACCTTTTTATTGCCCTGCCAGAGGGCATATGTTCGCACAGCGAGAAGGCCTAGAAAACGATATTTAGCCCACTACAAACTTCAACGGGTTTTTATATCATACCCTCTGCAGAAAGGATGCCCAAAACGTGTATCACTGCATAGGCCATGTATGTCAGAATTGAGTTGCGAGGGGAAAATTGTTTAGTATACTTACGATTTGAAGAAATTTCGAATGGTTTACACTATACATTCTTTATTTAAGCCAGCAGCTTTTCAATAAAGAATATAAAACCGACATTTCCCGTCTGCTCTGCATTGGCATCTAAATTTCTCTCAATACGGTGAATGATATTCACGAGAGGCAAGAAAACTCACTGATCACGGTCATGATAGCACCAACGCACGGTATATAGCGCGCTGCTGTAAACACCACTCGGGCAAAATTCCATTGTCTTTGCCATATCCAATGTACCTGCCAATCGATATTCAATATCAGGAAGGGAAACCCTAGTAACAAGGAAGTAACCTCACCTCCGCGTCCAAAGACACACAATAGTCAAACACCTGATAATCCTGACATTAACGACAGCGACTCAACATACTCCAGCACCCTTACCCATACTACCAAACCAGCGACTAATAAATTCACGACGATGAGCAGGCATGATTGAAGATTCTAGGCAATATATGTACCATTGAAATACTAAGGGACACTCATGAGTAATGAATCTAATTTTGATTGAGGATGTATTCACCTTGGACACCTGTAAATCGAAATAAAAACTAGGGGTAGTGGGTAAAGCTGACATGTCCCTATCCTCGAAGCCAGATAGAAGTCCAGTGGGATTATATACATTCCGGCGATGCTAGTACACCGGCTGCGCCTGACGACTTATACCAATGGGCCCTTATCTGTGGCACTGATGATCTGATGATCTTCGAAGCAAAGATGTCACTCTGGACTACTAGAAATGGCCTTCTGTGCCATAAGTACGCAAATAGCAGTTTTTCTTCGGACCAATCGAGGATAAAAGGATGACAACGTGAGAGAAAGCCCTCGCATTGAAATTGGCGTCACGACGGTCTCCCGGTGATGGTCTGTTGCTCATATGCAGGCCTCAAGTTTATGTTTTCTTGTTGGGACAGTGACAAGTACCTATACGAACAGCCAGCTAACGGCCTTCCTAGTAATCCAGAATAGCCATGCCACTACATCTGAAATGAACGGGGTTCCATCTGTCCTAAAACGAATAGCTATAGGCGTCAGCGACGAAATATGTACTTGATTTGAGTTCCGCTTACACGCCCGTGGCATCCAGTTGGGGGCAAAAAAAATCGTTTTTCCAAGTCGTGGACATGATGCACGCAATATACCTAGACAGTGCCGCTCAGTGCTAGCCCCTTAGCCCCTTGCTTGTATTTTCAAATCACAGCATCTGTGTCGTTATATCCCCTTTCTGCCATTATTTCAGCATGCTGTAGTTCTAAGTACGTACCGTCCAATACAGCCACGGCTCAGCGCTCAGGGCCGAGAATGGCATCCTTAAATTCCGCTGCCGCTCTGAAAGCGAACAAGGCAGTGGTCACCAAGGACACATTTTCTGTTGGGAGCCACAGGCAAAGAATTACAATTTGATTCAGAGAATTGGAGATGAGATGAGAAACTTTACAATTGATAAATGAGAGATAGTCATCGTCGATTCGATAGAGCAACGGGATCCGTGCTCTTGATGAGCCATCAACATCACGGATTGCGCTAATAAGATTTGCCCGTCTATGGTGAAAAATTCAATGACACCAGTATCCACGAGTACGATTAAATGGTGATTTCTCGGAGGACAGGTTTTATACGCAAAATTGAAACCACAGCCTCTGAGACAAAGATACTCGCAATCCACACTGGGAGGGAACTAAGTGTGACTGTCAAAAGCGCGTCTAGATACCGCTGGGGATGCGTCCCGAAGATGCGCCAATCGCTACTTCATTTAAATGTGACCTTCTGCGTAAACACTGGCTTTCGCCACGGAGTCGTTGTGCACAAAACGATGTAGCCCAAGCTCACTGATTTATGTTGTTCTCCAGTGCCCATGCAACAAAAACATTTCATTGTGTAAAATGACATTACTGGACATGTATGCCTCGGGAGACCCAAACGATCCTGACAACAGTAAGTACACCGTAAATATCGAGTGAGCGCAGAATGAATACCGACTTTGACTTCAAATTAAAGCCCTCTAACTCGCCTGACCGATGACAATGATTTATAATGCGACAAAAGATAGTCCTAAATACAATGGGAACTCACAGTCTGCCATCTTCCGCATCACAACCTGAGCCTGAGGTAAACATACGACATCCCCGCATCACTGGTATTCACACTGTAACTATGTCGGTCGATCCACGCCCAAAGGACTGTCATCCAATAGGGCTGTCCCCGCGGAACTTGATGAAAGAGGACATTCTGTGGGACAACTTGAACTTCATTTGTCATATCGAACTTGAACCTTGAAGTTTAAGTTGCCACATGCAATACTAAGAGTGCACTGGGCCAGAGTGGATTTGACATTTAGTGGCAAACCAGGTCTCCTAGAACAAAGTACCACATCCTTCCAAACACTGCAATCACTGGGAGGAGAACAGGGCGTTGGAGATGAGTTGGTCACCTGATACAAACTCATACTGCAACAAACAGGTTACAACAGAAAACACCAACCTATCATGATGAGTATCTTCCACTGTGACGATGATCAAAGCCAAAACACGGAAGGTCTCTTGTGAAGCAGAGCTTTTGGTAGTCGTCCTCAACGGAAAGCGATCTATTTTAGCTCAGGCGAGTACCGTGACAACAATGTTCATTTTTAAAAGTTCTGTCTAGACATTGTCGCGTAGTCAAGCCCAGTCAAAAACGACACGACAGAATTAGAATTAGACTGAATCTCAGTGAATATATGATTGCCAAACAAATACACTGATATAATCAAAAACTTCTCACGATTGAAAACGATTGAGATTCTGGACTTTGACTCTGATCATGAACTCAACTTGACTTCAACTTGTCTCGGTGTCTCGACGACAGTCTGGATGGAATCCTGGTCATGTGACCAGTTCCCCAAAATGTTGCTGCCCCAGCACAACACACTACATCTCCTTGTCCTCATACCACCTCCATCCCAGTACCACCATGAACTTTTTACAGCAAGGCCCTATGTATAAATTTAACTGACTCTTCTTCAGGTCTGCAGGAACTTGTGGACTAGAAATGGGGTTCAAGATCATCCCACTAGACACAAGGTGGACTTCAACATCTTCTACAAGGACCTCCTGGTGGATTTGCAACGGGTAAGGTTGTTTCTCATATTCTCTGTATATTTGCTAACCCTTATTTTAGAAATATGCTTCAGATGCTGCTATTATGGTGAGTACCACAATATTTTATTGGTCTGCTAGTACTAATATTATACTATTTTGATTCTAGAAACTCAATGCAAAGGCATAATCATGTTGGTTCGGCAGATATCATTGTATTTCGTTTTCGAGTAAATTGCTGTAATTTGTTGTGTTTCGTTTTCATTTGTTTTTGATGCTTCCCAATAAATCAATAGCTTTTGTTTTCAATTGTTTTGAGTCTGAATGGTCCTGAAATCAAAGAAAGACAATGATTCAAAACAATATATTCAGTGTAAATATTCTACAATAGCTGACAATAATATTCTAAGGATTGAAAGGGTCATTCTGGTATTTAGATAGATACAGAATGATATATTCGGTGACAATCATTTTCTATCGGCCTAAATATTGTTGTTTCCGACTGGGAGTCAAGGTCCTCGACCGTGGTCAAACACACCTGCAACAGTCATATAAGGACTGACCCATTGAGTTACTGATCTGTGGATTTTTTGGGATCTGAAAAAAGTACTCGGCCCATCCATCCATCCAGTCTCAACAGCAGTGCAAGTTATAGACATAGGGACTCTACCACCTCCGTAATCTGCTTTTTAATATTTAAATTACGGAATGGAAGGATGTCAAGGTCTGGTCCCCAAGTATGGATCACTACCTCTCTGCTGCAGTTTGGTAGACCAATAAGGTAGTAACAAAGCACTTGTGCGTTATTCCGGATTCCGCGAACATACTATGCCCGTGCATGTGTCAGGACGATCATCATCTATAGCAAATGCTGCATTTGGATATGTCAGCGCATGGAGAACTTGGCATATCTGATGCACATTCACAAGAATTGATATCAGGCCCGAACAGGCAACGTCTCATACTTACACAGTGCAGGGGGTCTTCCATTTATAATGTTGGGGCATCATATATGCCTCTCTTCTCAACACATTGTGTTGATAGGTTGGAAATGAGCTCAGAAGACAGTGTCCAAATGAATTTGAGGGAACATTTTGCCGTTGTTTTAGGGGTTGTTAGTATATGCTCAATGATAGCCCCTATCGAAAAGAGTGGGTCTTTTTATTATTATTAATTATTACGCAGATGAATGTGTTATTCTCCACATTTACACACCTCAATGTTAGCTACCAAGAAGATATTGTCGATACTACTCAATGTAGAATGACTATTTGTCACATATAACTTCATTCTCCCCAAATGCGTGCGCTCTCAGATTACCGAGTGTATGCCACTGTTTGCAATACAGACTCATTTGCCTGCGCGCGCAGTCCCAGCTCGTTTGAGAAACATAGCCTTAACATATTCCTGGTCATCGTAAACCTCATTAGTCTATGCAGCGGGTAAAATGAAATAGACTGACCTCATCAAAAGTAGCCTTAAAGCTTTCCCTTTCGAAAAGCGAGTTTATGTAGTTGTTGAATCTGGCATAATTGGCGCTTTGCAGCTCTTCCACCAGCTTTTTACCCTCACCTCTCTCGAATGTACCAACATCGTTCTCAGCCGAAATTCGTAATCTTGCCATGAATGGTACGAGAGCAGCATCTGCAATAGTGTAATGACCAGCGACTGCGAACTTAGTGCTCTCTCCGGCAAGTAGTAGGTCTTGGACAGCCTCGACGGCAGTCAAAACGTTCTCGCGTGACTCTCCACGAAGGACGAAACCAATATAAGCCGGTATAAATTTGGTGGAAACAACATCGATGAAGAAGCGTGCTTTGGCTCTCGCAACGGGATCTGAAGGGAGGAGACGGGCTGAAGGATAGAGGTCGGCTACGAATTCAAGAAGGACGAGTGACTCGGCAATTTTCGTCGGGAAGGCGTTTCTGGAGAAACATCAGGCCCTCCATAGGCAACAGCAGGGACCTGGGATGGCAATTAGCGCCGATATGAATAGTTTAAATGCCTAATTGCTCACCTTGCTCGCCGGATTTACTTTGGGTGCATACCAGTCTGGTTTATTCGCGAGGTCAATCTGGTAGGATTTAAATTCGGCCTTGGCTTCCGCAAGGACTAGTTCCACCTGATGAAGGCCACGACAGGTAATATCTTTAGTGACATCCTATCATCATGAACAAGAACTCACCCTTTGAGCAAAAGGGCAGACCTGAAATGGGCACTACAAGTTAATTACTTTGCGATGAACGATGTAAAAAATGCAGGCACCTTAGCAGTATAAAGTGTGAGTTGTTCAGACGTGACAATGGTTTTAACAAAGATAATACTAAGATGTAATGAATACGGGAATAAAGCCACTCAGATATACGCCTTCTTGAATTGCCTTGATTTATATATCTGTATAGAGACAGGTGTGTAATCATATCAGCAATCTTGGCTTAATCATATGATGACGCGAAATATTATTGATCGAGCTGGCTTATCAATCGCAAGAGATCTGCGCATTTATTCGGGAATTAGCAAGCCCTGTTATGGATACATACTTGCCTGCCTGTTACAGCTGCGCATGATACGATACCCCGCAATCATTCGTTATGCTCGTTGCAAACTCGAGTATCTCCAAGTCTATAGATTAGATATATCCGCGGACTATGGAGCAAACGATAACGGCTTTAGTTGGCGACTTATCACGGGTGTTGTTTCTTGAAATCACGCAGACAAGAAATGTATCGTGAGCTCTCGGCGGGGCTCTGCTTGAGAGTGAAACCGGAGCTCGGGAATGTGAACTCGAGAAGCATGCGTCCATTCATTTTCTAAGCGAGGGGAAAGTGGGAATCATTGAAAAGGTGCCAAACCCTCGCATCGTGCCACGAGTGAAGAAACCGCTCATCTATTTCACCTATCACATAACGACTTTACTGCCATTGAGCCACTTCTCCAAAGTTGATCGAGGCCTCAAGGCATATGTCTGATTTTCGGATCCGAAACAGACGCTCAAATGTCGAGACCGAATTTCTAGAGTCGTTCCTCCGGGGCGAGTGACCTCCATGTTTACTGAGCCGCACTCACGTACGAACAGCTTATTTATCTTCGATCGACCAGGCAAGCCTCGCTGTAGCAACCATCCAACGGATAATTAGCCCACAGCACCCACAGGAACTCGAACAGCCAAAGTCACGTACTAAGCCTTATATACCTCTTTTCAATTTCCGTTGATAAACCAGACACTGCAGACATTGCACCAACGTCGTGCTCGATGGGTGACTTTCAATTCAATATGCAAATGAAACAGCCTGTATGCACAAGGTAGCCGTTACCAAAAATATCGTAAATATCTTGTGCACAACTTTATGCTGCTCATTAACTTGGTACGTGTTTGTTGCGAGCTCGAGGTGCATGAAGCCCGATACTTTCACGGTTTGATCTGAATAGTGGGGCGTTTGAAGACGGAAAACAATCCTCATCTCCGCACTTGATGATTTACGGGGATATACACCATGGAGAAGGAAAGCGATTTTGGATAATCGCGGATCATTCGCGTTTCAAGCCCTACAACTATTTGAGACGTCGAATCGAGTATAGAGTCGCCTACCTTCATCACTGGCAGTCATAGCTACTTGAAAATATACGAATCTATGAATAAAGTCAAGTGTCCATAAGTAACTACATAGCTGTATGATAAGCGAACATAAGAAACGTACATTTATTTACATCACTTGCATGGACGGCGTTGATGGTCGCGGTGCTTAATGACGACGCATGCCACCACAAAGACCAAACATGCTCAAATAACGCGATCGCGTCACGGTGTCATTTGGCTTTCCTTTCTTGCAGACACCATCGCGAGTTCTCAGTTCTCCGAGTTCGGACCGTACCAGTGTACGATATCGATATCAGTCCTGTCTTCTTTCTTGTAGTTTGGCCTTTCTTGTGCTCATTCTTTTCGTAAACCTCAAGGATCAGAAACCGCTGGCTAGGATCGTACATACAACATCATGGAGACATCAGATTTCCTATGGGAGTCTGATCATATCGACTCTGACGATGTTAGTCGCAAAAATCGTGGTATTCAATGGACATCTTATCTGATGTTTATCAGCTGGATGCAGTATACCATATGTCGCGCCTTCAATACGAGCAGGAGCTCTCGAGTTCGCCTCCCGTAGAACTGTCAAAGCCTCCAGATCAGCCAGGGCCATCGTACATCCGCAAACACGAAACGAAATCTAAGCTTGCTGCTTTGGAGGCCGAGATCCGTGGAATTGATGAACAAACTCGGAAGCTCCAAGATCTACGCAAATCACTTGTATCAGAGAAAGAGGATATATTGAAACAAGTTCAAGCATCGGATCAGCCGCGTTTATCTTCAGTAGATCTCCCCGCTAATCGCAAAGGAAAGGGAAAAGGAAAAGCTCAAGAAGTAATTGACTACACCATCGAATTTGATTGGTCGCCCCAGTTGAAGGTCAGAATGAAGAAGGTCTTTCATATTGACAACTTTCGTCTTTGCCAGCAAGGGTATCGCCCTCATCTTTCACTTTTTCTGTATTGCATTGTGTTAACAATGTCCTTCCGTCATACAGTGTATGCAATGCAAATCTAGACGGACGTGATGTTGTTTGTGTCATGCCAACAGGTATTTGCTTCGGTGCCAGTTATAGCCCTATCCACTTCTTCCCTTTGTATAGGTGGCGGAAAATCACTGACATATCAACTTCCTGCCATTCTAACTCCTGGGTGTACTTTGGTCGTCTCTCCGCTTATATCTCTCATGACCGATCAAATTCTCCATCTAAGGGAGGCCGGAAGCAAGTGTTTTCATTTTGCTCTAGCCCATCGATATTCCCATTAATGCATAGTTTACTGTAGTCGAGGCTGTTATGTTAACATCTGGCACTTCAAAGGGGGAATTGTCCTCAATTTTATCTCGTCTGACTGCCATGGCATCTTCAAGGTCGCATTCAATGGATGATTTTGCTAAGGATATAAAGTTATGCTATGTCACTGTAAGCACTTGCTCTTTGCTGATTAGGTGGCCTTTGACCTCTCGTGATGAACAGCCTGAAAAAATAGCCAAGAGTAAGACCTTCATGTCTTTATTACAGAAGCTTGTAGATGGGGCCAAGCTTGGTTGTTGCATTTGTATAAATTCCTTCTTCAAACTAACACACTCATGTGTTCCATCTTTCAGCACGCATAGTAATCGACGAAGCTCATTGTGTCTCCAGCCTTGGCCATGATTTCAGGTAACTTATATTCCTCTATGCTCTGTTTGGCTTTTAATGTCTTTTCAGGCCAGATTACAAGGAACTGAGGAAGCTTCGGCAATATTTTCCAGATGTACCTATCCTTGCGCTCAGCGCTACGTGCCCTCCTAAAGTACTCAACGACATACTGAAAATTCTTCAAATGAAGCATACAGTAGATGGTAAAGGTCTGTACATGTCCAACTTCTCAGTGTGTAGACTAACCTGCATCCCCCTTGTGCTTTCTTCTCTCCCTTTAAATACTAACACTAGCTGCCACACGCCAAGGCACAGTCTATTTTTCTGCCCCACTGTATCGTAAAAATCTACACTATGCCGTGCTGCCAAAACCGTCGTCCACAACTCAGGTCATCGAGGCAATGGTAGAGTACATACTGGAGAAACATCGAGATGAGAGCGGTATAGTGTACTGTTCCACAAAAAAGGTTCGGAATATTGCCAAGATCTGCCTCACTCGTCCTTATAGAACATCGAACATTTTGCAATCCAGGATACTGAGTCGGTCGCAGAAAACTTGCACCAAATAAGCGGAGGTGTCATTAAAGCCGGTGTCTATCACTCAGAGGTACCTGATGGTAAAAAAGAACAGTTACACCGGCAATGGAGACAAGGTGATGTTCAAGTGGTGTGCGCCACAATTGGTGAGTATACTGTATTATCCTTCCCGGTTTTCCCCAATATCTCACCATTCCACTTCACCAATCACTAGCATTTGGCCTGGGCATTGACAAAGGCAACGTTCGCTTTGTTCTCCATCATACGGTTAGCTCAGTTTGTTAAATTGCGAGTTTAGTCACTTAACTACGGTTTTTTAGATGTCGGTTGGTAACTTTAATGTTTGATAATCTTGATCGCTTGATGGAATCATTGTGCAGAAATCCCTTGATGGATTTTACCAGGAATCTGGTCGTGCCGGCCGGGACGGTAAAGCCTCAGATTGCATCCTTTATTACCGTCCACAGGATGCTACTAAGCAATCATCTATCACCTCCAAAGATGCAGAAAGCCAGGCGAAACGTAAGTTGTCTTCTATACCCCAATACACGTTCCTGCTCCCGTAAATGATCGATTAATTCCATGCTCCTCCCGTGTAGTTTACGACGTCTTACGCTTCGTTCAAGATCTTCAGGAGTGCCGCAAGATTCTATTTGCAAGGTTCCCATCCCGTTCCATTTTTCATTTCTATATTATGCCCCCATACTAAACCCAGCTGTGTTATTTCTTCTCTAGGTACTTCTCCGCCTCCGCCGACCTTTCCATGGCCTCATGGACCACGGAAGAATCAGACGCTTTTGAACGCTGCGGACATTGTGATAACTGCTTACGTCCCCCAGAAACCGTTGTTCATAAGAATGTAACGTTTGAGGCGTGGCAGCTTCTCAAGATCGTGGAGGCGGTCGGGCGACAGGGTAAACGTCTCACTATGAGTGGCCTGGGAGATCTTTCCCGGGGACTAGGTGGTGGTACCTTTGAGACCGGCGGAAGAAGGCAAAAGGCAAAGGAGAGATTCACGTTGGATTATAATGAAATTTCGGGCGGGAAAGTGGGACTTTCGAAGGATGTACGTGTCGTGCATTTCAGCTTTTACATAACACGACTCATAGCGTAATGCAGGACACGGAGGCACTCATTGTACAGTTGTTGACAACTCACTATATGAAAGAAGAACTCGTACCGACATCATATAACATCAATGTTTACATCGTCCCAGGAGTCCAAGCTTTCCGACTCAGTCGTTTTTCTCAGGCTGATATTGCCAACGGCAAGGCGCCAGAAATAAGATGCTCCTTCCGAAAACCTACTCGAAATAAAGCTAAGTCAACCGCAAAGAGTGCGAAAAAGGCCGCAAAGGAGTCATTCGAGGATTTAGGAGGTTCGGGAAAGCAACGTTTACCGAATCATGGCAATTTGAAGAAAACCGGTACGACTGTTAAAAGGAAAAGAGAGCCATCGAATGATAGTGATGAAGGGATTTTTGCCATTGGGGATGAGGACGACGAGGCTGAGTATTTTGAGAAGCAATTTCAGATGATCGAGTCAGAGGGGTCCGAGGCAGACGACGTGGAGGAGGTGAATGATGATTGGTTATATTCGCTGCGACCCTCCCGTCATCCTGCATCCCAAAAAAAGCGAAGGATCATCAATGAAACAAGACCTGCTATTGAAGACGAGACTCAGCAAGAGGTGATTTCAATTTCATCGGGCTAATATACACACAGCATACATTGGTATATCAAACACATCTTGTGTAGGGAAGCCAGCCTCCCAAAAGCATAAGCATGGACGTTTAAGCACATGTGGGTTTGAACAGGAAGCGTAAAAGAATGACTAATAGATATCGGCCGAGGAAGACCGTGAATAATTAAGAAAAGGTAGAAGAAAAATTTGTTGAGGTTTCAGGGATTATCAGACCCAGTGATGTATCCCGCAATTTGTTCCTGAGGTCTGGGCCGTTTTAGCGCAGAACGTAGAGGGACTTTGGGGATTAGGCGATGGCGAATATCAATGCGAACACCCTCTTCGTTCTGCCAGCCTTCAGGCGGTTCCGGATATCCATCGAGATCTATTGGGTACTCCTGACCTGGTGCTGGTGGTTTATATGCTCCATCATTAGTCCACAATTGGTCACTGTAACAAACGAACAACATTAGCCTTCGTCATATATGGAAAAATTACACAAACCCTCGACGATTGAACCAACCCTTCCTTCTCTGGCATGCATGTATGGGAGATGGACATATTAAATTATCGTTCCATCGCACGGAGCGAGTGGGAGGCGCCGTATTGGAACGTACAGGTTTAGGTAGCAAGACCCGAGACTGATCACCATCCGAATTCCTTCGCTGTGGCATGACAGCAACATGAGGGTCGGAGAATCGGCTCTGATATGGTTCGGGAGAGTCTGATAAAGCATGTGTATCTTCAGGTAACTCTACATTCCCTAGTCCAGGAGGAGGAGGAATCCCCAGAGAAGTATCTCTAGACACCGGTGTCTGCCTCTTTTGAGATGGTATAGTGCCTGCCTCTGGAGAACTTCGTCTGCCAGGTTGAATGCTGTTTTGTTGCGAGATAGATGTCTGGCGCTCCCGGTGGCGCTGAGTGGGAGCAAGACCTGATGGTCTGTCTCCTAGCCCTGAAGAAGGTAAGCGGGGACGAACATATGTTGTCCCATCTGATAATGTAACACGCTCGCCTGCTGGGGCAGCACTGTCGTTATAGTGGTTAAAGGGTATAGGCGGGGTTGGGAGAGGCCGTGACGATGCATAGTCCGCCTTAGAAGTAAGTAGTACGACCCTTGCATCGTTGACAGGTGTCTGTGAATGATTGCGAGGGTGCGTATTGGCAGCAGAGCTTCGCTGGGTGGGCGGCGATGGCGAACGAGAACTGGAACGAGAGCGTTCAGCGACCACCTGCTCCGTGGGATACTCCAGCAATGCGGTATCCGGGAGAGCTTCGGTACTACTACTAGATGAAGACGAATTGTGTGAGAAAAGGGGCAAGAAGATAGGCTCGTCTATGCTATCCGTATCGTCGCTCATGATGTCCGAGGTCGAATAGAAGTCAGATTTCGAAGACACAGACCGTTCGTAAACATACGTGTCCGGCACTGCGGTTGGGTATATTGCGAAGTGACGGGAAGAGCCGGAAGGTTTGTCGTATGATCGACGATCGGTGGGGGCATGCGAGACCTCCTTCGAATTAGCAACGATTAACTTCATCGTGGTATCCGAGCGTGGAGGATGGGCTGCCTGTCTGGATACGGAATCGGACCTGGACACAGGATCCGACTTGGAACCGGCCCTTGACATAGGTCTATAGTCAAGGTCGACTTTCGTTGTTGCATGCGGGTTTATGGTCAAGGCCGGCACTTTGAAAGTACGAACTGGGACACCTTTCGGCTCCTATACGGTATAATGAGCAAAGCGAGGTGGGGCAGAAAATGCTGTTACCTTGGAGGAACCGGAACGAGCCAGTCGCTGTGGATACAGAATAACAGGGTTATTCGACGAGGAAAACATTGAGACCCACTCAAATTTCTAAGGAGAGTGGTGGAGCTTATAAGTAACAGGGGTATAAGCTGGCGAGCGTGAGCATCACGCACTATACACGAGTTTGCCAGGATGCAGCCCATGCGTTGATGCAAGCAGCGAATAAACGAGACTGTAGCTACCTCGGCGTCAGCACCATGATCCAGTAGGTAAAAGGCGCATGGCAAATGTAATGTGACTGTCGCAGGCTATGGGGCGGTTTAGTGGGGTACATGCGAAATTGAAGCTGTATTCTGGCTGTGGTCTCCACAGCTTCTCCTGATCAGGTAAACCCGGAAGCACAATATTAACCCATCCATGATACCCCGACGATCTGGTCTACTTTCCTCAAACCTAGTGTTCGATACTTCGTTTGTATGACTGATAACATGATACTGTAGCAAAAGCCCAGCACTCTCAATGAGGTTCGACTGCAACGTGTTCAGGGACGCCCTATTACTCTTGAGGTGAACCCAAAATAGGCAATGAAATTGAAACGGCCTAACTCTGCGGCGCGGCTTCTCACTGGACAGTGCTTCAGAAGATGCTTTGAGACACCGAGGAAATATCAGTGTGATGTGCGGAGCTTCGAACAGGCCCGACGGTATCAGAACACTCCCAGGGAACAGATATGGCATCATATCACATCATGCACGCGTTAGACCAAAGAACAGCTCTTCACGATGACCGTTGGCGTTGATCAAGGAACTCCGTGGTTCTCGTCGATTCGAACCTAAGGGGGGTTTTTGGGAGGACCAATTATGCTCAACGACACAACTGAATAGGAAGGAACAGACTGCGCACTTACTGATCCTTCAGTTAACCACACGTTTTCGCGGCTTGATCCTATCGCTGTGAACTGAAGATTCTCTTGCAGATTGCCCTAGGAATGAAGCAAAGCTGTACAACTGTCGACACATGTTCAGGCTTAGAACAACTAGAAGCCAATCGTTCGCGGGGAAAGAAGACGGTTATGCCCTTCTCAACGAACACATGGAGAGTATAATGCCGATGCGTAGTTTCAGGCGCCAGATAGCGGAATAGTAGACCATCAGAACGCCTGTGCTAGAGCGATCAGGAGTCGCCAGTATCATTGAATCCCAATAAACGAAGAAGTGATTGATAGAGTTGATAAAAGCTGCTTTGGAAGGTCACCGGCTGCTAAGAAATAGAGTAGTAACTTTTAAAGTATCAACTCGGAGAAGAAGTTGGTTGTGATGATTAGCTTGATCTAAAGCCTTCAAATAAATGTGATGGCAAGGCACTGTGCAAGAGCAAATATCTTACCTATTCATCCGGGATATCGGAGAAGGGACTGATCAAAACAATTCTCATGCAGAGCCCAGGGGTAACTATTACTTACTTGGAAGACATCACGAGTCCTATCATGGAATGAACCATTGCCGCCGATGGCTGGACTACGTAGTAAGATAAATACCACCTGTAGAAGACGTTCAATTCGCGAATTCCAGCTCATCGTTCACCTGACAACTCTATCGCCCAATGGAGGGAAAATGAATACGTTTCCATTAACAGCTTGAATCAGCCTACCGCGTTGAAAAATGTACTGGAGCCTGCATCGCAGTCTCACTTTCGAGAAACAATTTCTGGAAAGAGATAAAAGAAGTAATGCGGCGTCTTGAGCTAAAGCTCTGTATTCACCGTTTCCAGCTATCGCATATGACTTCCAGGTGATACCTATTCCAAATTAATATTTGCACCGAATCATTCATAACTCACCTAATGACAAATACGCAACGGCAATATCCAGAGAAGATATCGATCCCACGTATAGTTTGAGCTGACTTGGATATGACGGGATGAAAACGTTTAGATAGACTGAAGATAGACTGCGATTGAGATTCTTTACCATCTATAAAAGAGTCAGAAGTAGACAGTCCGCTATTAAAGCAAGGAAGCATGTAAATGCACCGGACGTTGGGCACTGCAAGCTTGAAAGTGGTGCACTGCAGAATGACACGCTTTAACGGCGACGACAGAAATATACAAGTTAGGGTACGGGGTGAGTTTCAGATACCATAAGATACCATAGAAAGACGAGGAGATGAGATATACTGTAAAATTTTGCATATCGATATCGTGACATATCCACGAATGCTACACGCAGTCATGAGGAAATGCGGTTTTTGGAAAGCTCGTTTGTGTATATTGTGAACATGTAGTTCATGAACTCAGAAAAGTGCAGCAACAGAGGGACAGAGACATAGACTTCTGGTAAAGAGTATCACACGGTGTGAAATGAGAATAATAAGGAGGAAACACGGGCGCTTCTTTCGAGTTCGAATTCGGGTTCAGTAGCGCCACACTGGACTGTACTTTTTGATCTGGACCACGACCCACGAACAAGCAACCAAAAGTCTTGAAATAGTGTTTCGGCTTAATATTCTACCTTGCGCATTCAGGTTCTCTGGTGGTAATAATCCGTTTGCTTCATAAAGCATCTTCGCATTTTTCGCGTCTTTCATTAAGGCCCACTTAACGATGCATGCATTGCGACAGAATATACTTCCACCAAGTGGTGTCGAATATGCTGCCAGCTTGAAGTTAACCCCCTCGACAGTGAAGAATCATAGGCCTTCCACCTCTACCACACCAGAATTTGAAGCCCGAGCCCTATGCAACGTGGTGGTCGCTCGCAGCAATGTTTTGCGCATATTCGAGGTTCGGGAAGAGCGACCACCAATGTCAACCCAGACTGAAGACGAAAGGGATAGGCGCTCCCATGTTCGCAAAGGTACCGAAGCTGTTGAAGGTGAAGTTGAGATGGACGGGCAAGGCGAGGGTTATGTCAACATGGGAACAGTAAAGGTGATTTCGAATACCTCATTTTTGTCCTTATCATTTCTTGTCTACACAATGGGAGAGATTTGAAAAAGGCTGAAAATTTGGAGGGATACTAACTGGCCATCCTCAGTCCACTGGCAAGAAGGGCGCCGTCCATCTTCCGACTGTCTCCAGGTTTTACTTTGTGCGAGAACACATGTTACATGGTACCGTAACTGGTCTGGAGACTGTCAGGATCATGTCGTCTAATGATGACAACCTTGACCGCCTTCTTGTGTCTTTCAAGGATGCGAAGGTCTGTGTTTCCTCAAAATCCATTAGGCGTCACTTACCTTCGCCTGCAACCTAGATCGCTCTTCTTGAATGGTCCGATGACATCCATGACTTGATTACAGTATCTATTCATACATATGAGCGAGCACCTCAATTAGTGAGTTATCATACTCTTCTTCCGTGGTTCCCTGTTGAAAAATTGTCGTCCAGATGGCTTTGGATAGCTCACTATTCCATACAAAATTACGTGTAGACCCGTCTTCCCGTTGCGCTGCTCTATCTCTACCAAAAGATGCTATAGCTATCCTACCATTCTTCCAATCGCAAGCTGAACTTGATGTGATGGAACAAGATCAAAACCAAGCAAGGTCAAACGTTATTCGTCTTTTGCAGCCTGTGTATACTCATTTTCTGTGTAGAGATGTCCCTTATTCTCCCAGTTTTATCCTTGATCTGGCATCGGACGTTGATGAGAACATACGACACGTTATAGATTTTGTGTTTCTACCAGGTTTCAACAATCCAACAATCGCAGTTCTGTTTCAGACCGAGCAGACGTGGTCTGGGTATGTTCCAATTATTCCATATATGCGTGCACTCCTGGTTCTCACTAGTATTACAGACGTCTTAAAGAATTCAAGGATACTGCTAAACTAATAATATTCACGTTGGACCTTTTAAGTCATACGTATCCCGTTATAACTGCCGTTGATGGCTTGCCGTTCGACTGCATTTCTCTCGTCCCCTGTGTTGCATCCCTGGGAGGTGTCGTCATCATGTCAAGCAACACGATTATTTATGTCGATCCAGCGTCACGAAGAGTTGCTCTTCCCGTAAACGGCTGGTCTTCCCGAGTTAGCGACATGCCCATGCCCGCACTGTCTGGGGATGAAGCCTCACGGAATATCAGTCTCGAAGGATGTCACGCTGTCCTCGTCGACGACAGAACAATGTTTGTTTTCCTCAAGGACGGTACCGTGTATCCTGTCGAGCTCGTTGCCGACGGGAAAACAGTTTCGAAACTCTCCATGGCACCTGCCTTAGCGCAGACCACCATCCCTTCCATGGTAAGAAAAATTAACGAGGATCACCTGTTTTTAGGAAGTATAGTCGGTGCCTCTGTATTACTGAAGACAGTTAGAGTTGAGGAAGAAGTTGAAGACGAAGAGAAGCTTCCAGCTCATGCCGCTGTAGTCGATGCACCTACTACCATGGATTTGGATGATGATGATGGTAAGTAGCACAGACATCTATTGATAGCACTAACTTCACGGTCCTCTTCGCAAGATCTCTACGGCGACTCGATGGCAGATACAATGCCGTCTATGAACGGTGTCACCCACAGCAATAATATAATTCACCGCACACGTTCTGTTGTTCACCTCTCGCTTTGTGATTCCTTACCCGCATATGGTCCAATATCCGACGTCACATTTTCATTAGCGAAATTAGGAGTCAGTTATCAAAATGCGTTCTTCTATCACGATATTAATAAACAGTTTCAGGATCGTTACGTACCAGAACTCGTTGCAGCCACTGGTTCAGGGTTTTTGGGAGGCTTCACTTTGTTCCAGGTGCGTATACTGATTTTTAAGAGCAAGGTGTTTGGTGAACATCGTCCTGCTCAGCGTGATCTTCCGTCTCGAACAAAGCGTAAGCTGCACGCTATCGGCGGTGCCCGTGGAATATGGTCATTCCCTGTTCGTCAGCAAGTAAGGGTAAATGGGCTGTCTTATGAAAGGCCTGTGAACTCTTTTGAGTCGGAAAACGATACGGTCATAATTAGCACAGATGCGAATCCATCCCCAGGAGTATCTCGGGTCAGTAGGATGAATTTATTTGGCCTTTGAAATTGACGCATATCGTCGTGTAGATTGCTACACGGACTTCTAAAAGTGACATTGCTATCCCAACTCGCATACCTGGAACAACGATAGGTGCTGGTTCGTTTTTCCAGCGCACAGCTATTCTACATGTTATGACCAACGCAATTCGAGTATTGGAGTCTGGTAAGTGCGGATACCTTTGCTGGTCTTTCGTCTTACGAGAACATCCCTAGATGGCAGTGAAAGGCAGATAATAAAAGATCTGGACGGTAATATACCACGACCAAGGATCAAAGCCTGTAGTATCTGTGACCCATTTGTACTGATCATTCGAGAAGATGACACTATTGGTTTGTTTATCGGAGAAGCAGAACGTGGCAAGATTAGGAGAAAAGATATGTCACCAATGGGAGACAAGGTGTGTGGAGATTTTGGGACCGTTTGGGTTGTACATTTATATGTTTCTACCAGTCATCTCGTTATCTCGCCGGCTGTTTTTTCACAGACAATAGCTGCATTTTTGAAACACATGCCAATGATCTGCCCTCCTCAGCTTCCAATGGAGTCGATAAGAATGTTACTTCTACTATGCAAGCAGTGGTAAACTCCAACAGTCGAAGTCAATGGCTTATATTGGTGCGTCCCCAGGGTGTAATGGAGGTGCGTATTCAAAAGATATCAACGAGAAGCGGCTTCGTTGAAGCTCCTGATATAGATATGGACTTTACCAAAATTGACGCTGGCATTTTCGACATCGTCGTTAGCTATGCTGGAACATATTTTAAGCGACTCATACGACACCCCCGCTTTATCTCCTCCACAAGATCATCCTCGCAAATCGAACGATCTTGACGTCGAACAAATTATTCTTGCTCCTCTCGGTGAAACTGCACCTTTACCATATCTTTTGGCGCGTCGTCATCTTTTCTTAAATGATGAGCGGCTGACCTAAAAAATACAGGTTTTTTTACGTTCCGGGCAAATTGTGATCTATGAAGCCGTGCCTACTCCGGCGCCGGCTGACAGCATTCCTCCTTCCAGAGTATCAGTTCTCAAAGTGAAGTTCATCAAAACTGCAACCAAGATATTCGAGCTTCCAAAGCATGAAGAAACAGAAAAGAGCATACTCGCTGAACAAAAACGGATATCGCGACAATTTGTTCCATTCGTCACCTCACCCACTCCGGGCTCTGTATTATCTGGTGTATTTTTTACGGGAGATAGGCCTAGTTGGATAGTGGCTACCAACAAAGGTGGTATAAGGATTTATTCTTCTGGCCACCATATTGTTCATTCGTTCACTTCTTGTTCTTTGTGGGAGTCTAAGGGAGATTTCCTTGTATATTCTGACGAGGTATGTACAATCATTGACTTTTACTTGATGGTCACCTCATCCACAACCATGTAGGGTCCGAGCTTGCTAGAATGGATGCCTGACCTTTGTCTCGATAGCGTTTTGCCTTCCAGAAACATACCGCGATCTCGCGCCTATGCTAACGTAGTATATGATCCGTCTGCAATGCTGATCGTCGCAGCATCATCTATGCAGGCCAATTTTGCTTCCTTTGATGAGGACGGTAATATCATATGGGAACCAGAAGGTAAAGACAAAATTAGTTTCCATGGATTGTGTTGCTGACCTCTCCATTAAGCTTCCAACGTATCTTTACCCAAATGCGATTGTTCTACTCTTGAGTTAATTGCTCCCGAAGCTTGGATTACCATGGATGGGTACGTGCGAAGTCTGATCCATCCGTAAAAAGAAATTTACAATGTTGTCAGGTATGAATTCGCGCCAAATGAATACGTGAATGCGCTGGAATGCGTTACACTCGAAACGCTCAGCACAGAAACAGGAAGCAAAGACTTCATTGCAGTTGGTACCTCCATTGATCGTGGTGAAGATTTAGCAGTTAAAGGAGCTGTAAGTGCTGAAATTGCTACTGTGTGGAACCCTTGGCTTACTCATGTGATATCAGACGTACTTATTTGAGATAGTTGAAGTTGTTCCCGACTATTCCCAGAACCTGAAGAGATGGTACAAACTGAAGCTCCTGGCGCGCGATGATGCCAAAGGTCCTGTAACAGCTCTATGTGGCATCAATGGATATTTAGTTTCCTCTATGGGTCAAAAGGTATTTTTTCCCATCATTTCATCTTCGAACATAGCCTAAATAATTTATTTCATAGATATTTATCCGTGCCTTTGATATGGATGAGCGGCTAGTTGGAGTAGCATTTCTGGACGTTGGAGTTTATGTAACTTCTCTTCGAGTCGTCAAAAACTTCCTACTCATTGGTGATGCTGTTAAAAGCATATGGTTTGTCGCGTTCCAGGTATGTATATTTTGTGGCGTTCCGATATCCTCGTAACCACTTTCGTATACGCTATAGGAGGATCCGTACAAACTTGTTGTCCTTGCTAAAGACGTCCACCGCACTCACGTTACGAACGCGGACTTCTTCTTTACAGATGATACGCTTTCAATTGTTACGGAAGATGGAGACGGTATACTGCGTATGTATGCGTACGATCCAGATGGTTAGCTCCCTTATTGGTATTGGATGCCCCATAACTGACTGAAACACTAGATCCCGAGTCTAAGAATGGCCAACACTTATTGTGTCGCACCGAATTTCACAATCACAGTGAATGTCGTTCCTCTTTGGTCATTGCTCGTCGCACGAAAGAAGAATCAGTTCTGCCTCAGGCCAAAATTTTATCTGGTAAGAGCAACTAGAACGATCATCGATTTATCTTCCCACCTCTTTTGTTTAGCGTTCTCGGATGGATCTCTGTCGTCGTTGACGCCAGTTGACGATGCGTCCTTTAAGCGCTTACAGCTCCTGCAAGGACAATTGACCCGTAACATTCAACACGTCGCTGGATTGAATCCCAGAGCGTATCGGTGTGTATCTTTTACCTAATTGTGAACTGAGCTAACAAAAATCTTTCAGAATTGTGCGAAATGACTTTGTTTCAAAACCATTATCCAAGGATATTCTAGATGGACAACTTCTTAGTGCATTCGAGAGCTTGCCAATATCCAGGCAAAACGAGATGACGAAGCAGATAGGCACAGAAAGAAATATTGTTCTTCATGATTGGATGGAGTTGGCTATACCATGGTAAATGGGCTGCTGCCGGTCACATTCGTCTGGTCGTTCGCTTGATCTCCGAGTTGCTTTGTCAATAAACATGCACTCGAAACACTACAGTAGCATTCAAGCACATTTGACTCTACCACACAGATATGTCTAAGCTAATTATGGTGCGCCTACCTCGAGCTGTCTGTGTTGTATGATAGGGAATCGGATGATGAATCACAAACATTGAAAATTATCTGATGCCTTTCACTATCTACAGTCGCATTATTAACTGCTTTATCGCAGACATCCAAAGTCCGATGTCGTCGGTTTGAGAACCCCGCGTAAGAAGGTCAACGTGTATAGCAAGGGCTGCGTCCCGATCCCGAGCTTGCATAGCTGTAAGAAACGGACATGAAAGTCTTCCTTAAAATGAGATTACATTGTACAACATACCTCTTATTAAAACAAGCAACTGGTCAACGACAGGTTTGGATAAGGTCTCGCAGTTGAGAGCATCAAAGAGAGGATTGATCCGACGTTCCAAATCATCGGCTATACGCTTTTGCTGCGGCTATAACATAGATGAGCTGAGCTCCAAAGAAGAGGCTCAAGCAAATGAAACTCACTGGAATCGTTTGTTTCAAACGCGTTAATTGCTCGGAGACCACGTCGAAGATGGGCATAGAAGCCGCCGGTATATGACTCCGATCACCAGGCGCTATCGAAAATTATTTTCATATTGCACATAGCTACCAAATGAAAGCTTACGATATTTAGGCGCAGGAGGTCCTCTTTGAACACGAGGTGGCGCGGCAATTTGATTCCCTGGAGGAGGGGCCGGTAATCCCTGAGGAGGGGGAGGAAGTCCGGCGTGTGGCTGCGTAGGCGGAGTGGCTCTTGGTGCACCTTGAGATGGTGGATAGGTGCCGCTAGGAGCAACGTTGTACGGCCCTTGCTGTGGCATTGGTGGTCCTGCTTGGCCTGGGGGTGGTGTAGAGCGTGCGTAAGGCCCTGGTGGGGGGCCAGGTGGGTGAGGTCCACGGGGAGGTCCAGGTGGAGGAGTAGCACGCGCATAAGGGCCAGGGGCGGTAGCTGCAAGTGAGGCTTGGCTTGGAGGAGGACCATAAGGGCCAGGTGGGGGGGGGGCTTGATTTTGCGGAGGTGACATCATCCTTGAGGGAGGAGGCACTGTCTGAGGATGTGAGGGTGGACCCGAAGGAGGTCTGGCCTGAGGTGGAAACGCGCCTCCTGATCCCATAGGAGGTGCTGCATGCATGCGCTGTCCTTGAGGGGGCGGAGGAGGACGGCTTTGAACACTTGCCGGACGGGGAGGGGCTAGGGACGCGGATGGTGCATGGAATGGTGAACCTGGGCCAGGAGATACAACACCTGGAGGCGGGGTTGCATTGGGGAATGGCGAAGTAATGGCTTGAGGCTTATTTACACTGTTGGGACCACGGCGATCTGCACTGAGAACGGGTGCGTCATTCCATCCACCATTTTCATGACGCTTTGGTGGTGGTGCAGGGGTGTGCGTTGGACGACGAGCAGGAGGAGCCAGGGATGCAGCAGGAGCAGGAGTCAGAAGAGCAGGCTTGGCAACCGTCTGAGGGGTATAAGCGTTGGATGGATTATACACAGCAGCAGATTGTGCAGGTTGGTACTGTGGCTGCGAGGGAGGGCGAGTAGGATCGTAGGGCCTAGTCTGGGATACAGCAGCCGGAACATAGGGTACATATGGATAAATTGTGCCCGTATCAGGAAGAGCGGGAACAGAAGTTGCCACAGGTATAGAGCGACTCGTACTGGGAGCAGCGGCAGGCACCTGCGAAACACCAGATGCAATCAGGAGACGCTCTCGCCCCACCTGGAAATCGACGAATGCGCCAACGGATCCAGAGTAATCAGAAGGAGTCAATTTAAGGTAAGTAATTGCCTCTTTAACAAGGCCCTGAGCAGCCAGCAGGTCACCATATTCGAAGTAACGATCATACAGTCCAGCAAGTTTGTAAGTCTTTGCATCAGAATCTTCTCCCGGAGCTTGTGAGAGATCCGTATCGACATATTTGATGGCACTACGGAATACGGTGACTTTTTCAATGAACGTCTGCAAAGCGTGGGCATGTGCAGTGTATCGAGAGCCATCGAGGTGTTCTTGATCCTGGATTAATTGCTTTTCTTCCTCAGCCGATTCCTCGATCCAAATGTTGACGAGGCGTTCAAGACGACCAGCAGCAAGGTAGGTCAGCGTGGCGTTCTTCCTAAGCTCGATAGATTTTTCCAACGCATTAGGAGCATTGGAGGCTTTCAAGACACTACTCTGGAACTCTAACCGGCGACCAAGTTGTTCTGCAAGATTTGAAAACTCCTCCTGGGTGGCAAAGGTGCACAAAACGACGAATATTTCTTGCCACTCCTGTAAGTCAGCATTCTGTACTATATCTGTTAGGTCATTGGTAACGATGGACTGGAAAAGGCGAAGGTAAGGGAGGGAGGCTGTGCGATGTTCGAAGTAAGCTTTTTGAGTACGCTGCAGAAGATCTTGACCGCCTTTGATGGCCAACAGGATGGCATCAGCAAATCTGTCAGACGAAAGACACAAGGAAACAGCTGATTCGAAATCGCCTAGGACCAGGGCTTTCGTGATGAGCCGATCTGTCTCCGATTCATCAGAGGGGTAAATCCTAAAGTTGTTGCTTTTCAGATTATCTGACGTAACTGAAGAAGGCCCGGAGCCAACGGTCGCAGCGACAGAAGAGTCTAAACCATAGTTGTGGTGAGGTACCACGACCTCCTGCTCATTGCCTGTCTGTGAAGGAATACCCATGGTACTGAAGAAATCTGCGTCGCCATCCATTTGGGGGGTCCCAATGGCATTATCATCGCCGAACAAGCTAGGTGCGGTAGTCGTTGATTCGCCGTCTGCAAGCTGAGTACCACTGGTGCCATCGGAAGCTGCACTCGCACTCAATTCTGAAGGCGTCTTCTCTGTACCATTGAGGGGATCTTCATGATCACTACCCTCTGGAGACGCTTCACGCTCCGGTTCAGCGAATGAGACCACTGGTTCGTGGGGCTTGACCTCAGAGTCTTCCTCGTCAATAGTGTAGTTTGCTGTAGAAGATGATTGTTCTGCGGTCTCTTTGAGTTTTGCGACAGCTTCCTGAACACGCATAGCAACCTCCTCTTTCGAATACCCCAGCAAAGTGACCAGTTCATCCCGAGAGTTAGCCCTGAAGAGACTCAACAACGCCTTCCAGCTTTCTACCCCATCGCCATCCCGTGCACTCATTTCTTGACTTCTCTGCTCCGCAAACTCGCTAAGAGTGTTAGCAGCGGTCGCCTCCTCCAACTTCTGTACTCGCTCTACTACATCTGATTCCGCTACTACTTTGCGCAAGTGCACCACGCTGCTTTGATTCTTTCCCTGCGCGGACGCGAGATTTGATACTGACACTAGTTGCCCACCGAAACCAAAGGAACTCGAAATCGGACGTCGTAGCCATTTCGGTGGTTGCTTCAGAGACAGCGTATGTTGACCTCCGCGCGAGTATCCAGACACATCAAATATGTCAGCACCATCGGCTTTGGGGGTTGCCGCAGCTGCGACCTCTCCTGCTTCGTTCGTTGACTGAATGGAGTGAATACCGACAGTGCCGTCAAAGAAGGCGGTTGCCAAGAGATCAGGGTTACGTGGACACCACTCTACTTGGAATGCCCAGTTGTCTGCAGAGGGAAGCTGCGCAATTTTGGTAAGTATTTATCAAAACGTATACAACAAATTTCCTGCTTACCTCTCCAATGACCGCTGATGTCTGGGGGTTCCAGCATAGCGCACGGTTGTCCTTTCCACACGATAAAAGTAGGTCTGCATCTTGCTTACACCATGACAATGATAAAACTCCTTTTTCGTGACCCGTCAAGATCTTATATACAAAAAATTCAGCAGAGGTAAACCTATCAACAAAAAATTGCTTACCTTCTCTGGTGCACGAGCATTTCGTAGATCCCACACCATGATCACCGGCGACAAGTCATCCTCAGAAGCGGTAACTAGCCTCGTTGCCTTGTTTCCCGTCAGCCGGATAGTAAAGAAGAGACCAGAAACAACGCACATTGTCTGGATGCCATGCAATTGCGCTCATACCGCGTCGACCTCCAACTGCCAGACCACTTCCCGTACTACTCTGTCCTGCCAAAGTTCCTGCCCCGCCACCATATGCTAGAGCGACTACTTCCCTCTTTCCACGCAAGTCCCATACCACTGTGTAACCAGTGCTACTTGCTCCAGCGAGCACATATTGCACCTGCTGATTCCATGCCACAGAAGTGATCTCGTCCAGTTTGGTACTCCTTGTCCCGGGAGTTGGAGAGTACGGCTTGCTGGGGTCATTCAAGTCCCAGATATACACCTGAAAGAGCGCCAAAGTGTGTAAGTATATATAGCGATGCTACGTTATGTAGCTTTACCTCGCCATTGACAGCACCAGAAGAAAGTAGATTGGTTTGTATAGGATTAAAATCCAGACCGCGGATTGGTCCTGTGTGGCTCGTGTTCCGCATGATCAAAGATTCTGAGGCGCTAAGGAATAATATGAGCACTGTATGGAAACCTTCTAAAACAGAGGACTTACCCAACATTTGCAAGAATTTTTGATGGGTCCCATAAGGCTAGTTCCCCGTTCTCCATACCAGCGGCAATTACACCATGTTGCCGTCCCTTGTTAACATACCCCCAAGCGAGACGGTTGAACCTACGAAGGAAAAGAACATATATGTTAAAATGCAAGTCGCTCCAATATTAATACCCACCTGGATGTGTCCGTGACGATACCTTTGGGGCCCGCAAGAGGATCTACACCAAGATCATACTCGTGTTTGTCCATAAAGTCTGGTGCCCATATCTCCAACTGGCTTTCGTTGCTGAAAGACTCATCAAGAGCTCCTGCAACAGTTCCCGTCGCTATCAGTGGCAGCGAGGGCGTTACAGACCAGGCAAAGGTCGATGTCCTGTGTATTTCTTTTAGTTTCATGGTGACGGGTCGTGAAATTTCGCAGTCGCGGTCAAGCTCGACGTGTCACTGTTTCCAGCTATCAGCCAAAACCTGCCCTGAACTGAAGCCCTAACCCTAAGGTTATCTATGCAATACTCAAAATCATAATTATTTAATATTAATATTGTTTCCAGCTGCTATCATGCCCTTTGGTGAAATCGTATGTGGTGCACCCGGGAGTGGCAAATCTACATACTGCTACGGAAAACATCAGCTGTTTACTGCACTAAATCGCCCAATATCTGTAGTGAACTTGGACCCAGCTAACGACAACATCCTCTATCCTTGCGCAATTGACGTCTCATCTCTCATAACACTGCAGGATGCCATGAACGAGCACGGTTTGGGCCCTAACGGCGGGATGCTGTATTGTATGGAATATCTAGAAGCCAACGTTGACTGGTTGGAGGATCGCTTGAATGAACTCGGGAAGGACGCATACGTCTTGTTCGATATTCCTGGCCAGGTAGAATTGAGTACAAATCATGACAGCCTGAAGAGAATTGTAGCGAAACTGATAAAGATTGGCTTCCGGGTATGTCTATATCTCTTCTGATCTATGCGAAATGACAGAGCGAGATAGTTGGCTGCAGTCCATCTTTGTGATGCACACTACGTGACGGATGCGTCAAAATACATATCAGTTCTCCTGCTGTCCCTGAGGACTATGTTACATCTCGAGTTGCCTCATATCAACGTATTATCCAAGATTGATCTGATAGCTCAGTACGGAGACTTAGGTAGGGCTTATCCATGATCGTAACCTTCTTTTTGTTAAAACAATTACGAACATAGATTTCAATCTCGATTTTTATACTGAAGTACAGGATCTCTCATACCTGGAGAATGCATTAACAGCGGCGACACCACGTTATGCGGCCTTGAACATGGCACTAGTATCTTTGATAGAAGACTTTAGTCTTGTCGGTTTCGAAACCTTGGCTGTCGAGGTAGGTCTACCACTGACCCTCGACACTGTCGCCTAACTAACAAATATCAGGACAAAAACTCGATGCTTCATCTTGCTCGAGCCATTGATCGCGCCACAGGCTATGTCTTTATCCCTTTACCCGACACAAAACCACCTCCTGGTGCAATAGATGATCCAGACGTTTCTTCTGCTGTGCGCCCGAATACTTATTCGCTGCTTTCAACAGCAGCAGGGCCAATGAGAGATTTTGGGAGCAATGTTCAAGACGTTCAAGAACGGTGGGTAGATGCAAGAGAGCAATATGACGCCCATGAAAAGGCGCAGTGGAGACGTGAAGGAGAGATTAGTAGAGAAGAAGCTGTAAAGAAAAATAACTTGAAGATAAGGGAGAGAAATACTCCAAATAGTCGGGCGGTTGATAGCTGATGTAGTTTTAGCTTCTTATGGAAAAATTATCATCAGGTATATTCATATACAAGCATACAGTACTTTAATAGGTGGTAGTGTTTATCCCAATAACATAGCTATAGGTAAAAGCAACTAGAAACTTGTAATATTAGATAGGCGAATTGCGCGCTCAGAAATCCATTAGGATTGCAACGCCAGTTGAATGATACGAAGGAGACCGTGCAGCTCGGGCAGCTCTTTTGCTAAAGAATCGGTAAGCTCGTTGAACTCTCTACCGACATGCCAAAATCAAACCTTGACGTTGTGAATTTGTTCTTGTTCGTTTATTTCACTATCAATCTCCCGGAATAAATCCAGGTTGGAGGGTCGGCGTCCACGTGAAGCACGCCAACCATTATTCTGAAGACCGTAAAGACGAGTCAGCTGTATAACTACCACAGGATAGAAGGAGCACATACCTTCCAGACGGGGAACCACTCTGTCATACCACGTACAACGTATTCCGAGTCGGTCACAACTATCCAACCTGTAGGGCTCGTGCCATCTGAATGCTCGCCTCGCGGGCTATTGCTACCTGAGCATGCTAAAAAGGGACCATCTACCTCGCTAATTTTGCGTATGCCTTCCAAAGCAGCCAAGAGCTCCGCTCGCTGACTAGTGCGTCGCGAACCCTGATCCATCTGGTTACGACCGGGATTGCCCACTGGCTCGTGTCCTCGCCCTCGAAGCCAATGGCCACGCCTAACCCGGCAGTGGCATCCTCGCGTCCGTTGCCCAAGCACGCACCATCCGTGAAGACGAGACGGAGATTATGACATACTGTACCAGCCTCACGGTCATCGCGGTAATGACTGCAAGAGATCGCAAAAAATCTTAAACAGTCAGGACAGTGTCTAATGAGCTCGTCTGTGTCGAAGTTGCTGCGGAGGTATGGGCAAAATGTCATTCGGCGATTGAAGATACCCTTTTCCCCGTCTTCACTGGCATCTCGATAGCTGCTCATATTGGTTGATACGTGGTTTTGTCCTTACTAATTCGCGCAGCTCTCTGAAGAACAAGCGAAAGTAGGTTAATATACGTTAGATGTCTTATAGGCACCACCGACCTTGCGTTCAGCAACAAGCTGGAGACACTTAGGACATGTAGAAAGACAGAATATAGGGTCTGGTTGTCGAGGAAAGCAAAGCTTATGCTCCCTGGAAATGTCTCTGAAAAGAGAGATTCAAGTTCAGATGGCCCTACTGTGAGTCATAGAAGAGTTAATTTATATGTTTCAAAAAGTCAAATTGTAGATTACTAAGCTAATTAGGCATAACTTGAACGAGTGTGTTGTCATGTACTTACAAGGGATCATAGGTTAAGTTAAGCTGTTTATTATTCTGTCAGAAGCTCTACAAGTACATCATGATAACAATAAGAATATACCTTGTGGTTTGCTGGGCCTGAAACTTCTTGAAGTTAAACACCTCAGTTTCGGATGGCCTTACCAGTGACTCGAGGTCGTAGTGTCCATATTTGGTAATCACATAGTACCATGGTCTTATTCGCGGCCACTGTAAAGTGTACAGTTATTTGCGCCTCTATTTGGCCAGTGCTTGGTCATCGCGCTGAGCTTTCGACTCCGCCCAAATTTGCGGGGACGTATTGTTCGACAACGTCGACCACGACCACGAAGACGTTATCACTGACCACATCATCGCATTAATATGTCGGGACGTGCAGGGAAACCAGATCTTTCTGGTTACAACTATGGTGCTATTTCTTCTCTTGTATTGACTGCAGATAGGTCTGTACTTCCCCGTCGAGACAAGGAACCGGATGGCGCACCAACTTCTCTCGCAGGGCGCATCGACCCACGGGAAATGGGTTCTCGTGTTCTGAGGCAGGCGCCCAAAGATGTCGACAAGAAGAAGAAAAAGGCTGCAGATAGACAGGAGACGGGTGAAAAGCAGGCGTCAAAGCGAAAAGCCGAGACCGGGTTTGGTTATATGGATATCATCGAAGCAACCGCGGACGTCGAGGGCCTTACATACCGGCCTCGTACTGCGGAGACACGGGAGGTTTACCAGCTCATGCTTGTAGCTGTCCACCAGTCTCTCGGGGACCAGGCTCAAGACATTATCCGAAGTGCCACTGATATTGTACTGGAAACACTAAAAAACGAGAATATGAAGGATTTCGACAAGAAGAAGGAAATTGAAGGAGTTCTCGGTCCTATGTCGAACGACACGTTCTCTCAGTTAGTTGCTCTTGGAAGGAAGATAACGGATTACGGCGCAGAAGATGAAACCATGGTCGACCCAGACATGGAACGAAAAGATGCTGAAATTGATGACGAGGTTGGCGTGGCAGTTGTTTTCGACGAAGAAGAACAGGAGGATGAAGACGAGGAAGGCTATGAGATTCGGGAGGAGTCGGACGACGAGAATGAGGAGGAACAGGAGGAAGAAGAGGGTCCTCCTGAGGACGCAGGAGGCGATGAAGAGCTGGTAATTGGTGACGATTCATCAGCAGATCGAAAAGGCAAAGGGAAAGCCGACAAGGACATTGTGTCTCCACATTCCATTGACGGTTTCTGGGTGCAACGGCAAATATCAGAAGTTTATCCCGATCCCGTCACCGCTGCCGACAAAGCTTCTTCCGTTCTTTCCGTCCTCGGTTCTGAATCGAGTTTGCGTGATTGTGAAAATCAGCTTATGGAACTCTTTGAGTATCAGAGCTTTCACGTCATTACCAAATTCCTCAAGAATCGCGATGTCGTAGTCTGGTGTACAAAACTCATGCGTAGTGATGCAGATGAGAGAGTGAACGTCGAGGTTGCTATGCGCGAGAAGGGTGTAGGTTGGATTCTACGCGAGCTTGCGGGTGATAGGCAAGCTAAGGCTCCAGCGGATGGAATGGATGTTAACGAGAAAGTCAAGCAGTCTAATGTCCCCAAAACCGCAACTCTTGCTCCTGGCTCAACAGTACAACCTAAACGTACTGTCGATCTGGAGAGCATGGCTTTCAGTCAAGGTGGCCACCTCATGTCGAACAAGAAGTGTAAGCTTCCCGATGGATCGTTCAAGCGTGCCCGCAAAGGCTACGAGGAGATCCACGTGCCTGCTCCCAAATCAAAGCAAGGTGGCGAGGAGGAGTTTGTTTCTGTTTCTGATCTTCCTGCATGGGCCAGAGAAGCATTTACAGTTCCTAGGTTGAACCGGATACAGAGCAAGCTATATCCCGTCGCGTTTGGGACTGATGAGCCTATCCTTCTTTGTGCACCAACTGGTGCGGGTAAGGTATGTGGACGTTTGTTATTTGAAAAATCAAATAGACTGACAATATTGTTGCTGTTCAGACCAATGTTGCCATGTTGACGATATTGAATGAAATGTCCAAATATCGCGACGAAGAAACCGGTGAACTCGCTCTTGACCAATTCAAGATCGTCTATATCGCTCCTATGAAAGCTTTGGTCCAGGAGATGGTTGGTAACTTCAACGCGCGTCTGAATAAATTTGGAATCAAAGTTGGCGAACTCACGGGCGACTCTCAAATGACGAAACAGCAAATATCTGAAACTCAAATCATCGTTACAACCCCAGAGAAATGGGATGTCATCACGCGCAAGAGTACGGACACTAGTTACACTAACATCGTTCGTCTGATTATCATCGATGAAATCCATCTTTTACATGACGAAAGAGGGCCAGTTTTGGAGAGTATCGTCGCGCGAACAATACGCCGTATGGAGCAAACTTCGGAATATGTTCGTCTTGTCGGTCTGTCGGCAACGCTTCCAAATTACCAGGATGTAGCCACGTTCTTGCGTGTCGACGAATCGAAAGGCCTGTTTTACTTCGATGCATCATATCGTCCTTGCGGTCTCCAGCAGCAATTCATTGGTGTAACGGAGAAAAAGGCTATTAAACGTTACCAGGTCATGAACGAAGTCTGTTACGACAAAGTCTTGGACCAGGCGGGCAAGAATCAAACTCTCGTCTTCGTCCACTCCAGAAAGGAGACGGCTAAGACAGCCAAATTTATACGTGACATGGCTATTGAGAAGGAAACCATTACGCAATTTGTTCGACCTGACTCTGCCACGCGAGAAATTTTGAATGAAGAGGCCAACAACGTCAAAGACGGCAATCTCAAAGACTTATTGCCATTCGGGTTCGCTATTCACCACGCAGGCATGACGCGTGAGGACCGAGGACTTGTGGAAGAGCTGTTCGCCGACGGTGCAGTGCAAGTTTTGGTTTGCACAGCAACACTGGCTTGGGGAGTTAACCTTCCTGCACATACTGTCATCATCAAGGGTACTCAAATTTACAACCCTGAAAAAGGACGATGGGTGGAGTTGTCATCACAAGATGTGCTACAGATGCTGGGACGTGCTGGGCGGCCCCAATACGACACTTATGGAGAGGGCATCATCATCACGAATCACTCTGAACTACAGTACTACCTCAGCCTAATGAATCAACAACTTCCCATCGAGTCGCAGTTTGTGTCGAAATTGGTTGACAACCTGAACGCCGAGATTGTTCTTGGGACCGTCAGAAACAGAGACGAGGCTGTGCAGTGGCTTGGTTATAGTTATCTGTGAGTAAAGTTCATACTAGTTGGTATCTTATAGTTAACGATATCTATCATTTAGATATGTTCGCATGCTGAAGTCACCAGCCCTGTATGAAGTGGGTATCGATTATCAGGAAGACGACTCTGGCCTCATCCAGAAGCGAGCGGATATTGTACATTCTGCTGCAGTTGCATTAGAGAAGTGTCATCTTATTAAATACGAGCGTGCGTCCGGCCGTTTCCAAAGCACCGAGTTGGGACGAATTGCTTCACATTATTATGTGACATACAATTCAATGGCTACGTATAATCAGCACCTCAGACCAACGATGTCATTATTGGAGCTTTTCAGAGTCTTTGCGTTATCAAACGAGTTCAAGCTTCTTCCAGTGAGTAGTATTCTGTTGACTGGTTATCTCTGCTGATTCTGGATCCGATATGTAGGTCCGTCAAGAGGCAAGTTTTCGTTCATACTTACGCTCACTTGCATAATCTGACTTCATTTGCAGGAGAAACTCGAACTTGGGAAACTTTTAGAACGTGTTCCCATTCCCGTTAAGGAAAGCGTGGAGGAACCGGCCGCTAAAATCAATGTTCTCCTTCAAGCATATATCTCACAGCTCAAGCTTGAGGGTGAGTACTACGATCCGTTTCTGACCTTCATCTTAAACTGATTTCATGCTTTCAGGGTTCGCATTAGTCGCTGATATGGTTTATGTACAGCAATCTGCCGGACGGTAAGCATATTCTTTCTCTGTCACTTAAGAGACACTTATTGTCCCTGAATAGTATTCTTCGGGCTATGTTTGAAATATGCCTCAAGCGTGGCTGGGCCGTTCCCGCTGGAGCATGTCTAGACCTTTGCAAGATGGTTGAAAAGCGAATGTGAGTGTTTTCGTTTTATACTCTAGATGTGATATAAACTCCGGTTTTCCAGGTGGCGTTCGATGACACCCCTCCGTCAGTTCAAGGGTGTACCGCAAGAAGTTATAAGAAAAGCGGAAGGAAAGCAATTCGTGAGTGTGTCTTAGCTAATTGGATTTGATTATGAGCTAATTACATATCAGCCATGGGAACGATATTTCGACCTGAATCCACCGGAGCTTGGAGAACTAATTGGTATACCCAATGCTGGTAGACTGGTCCATCGTTTAGTCCATAGCTTCCCCAAGTTACAGTGAGCATGACAATTAACCATCACTTGCTATTTCTGACTGCATTTTGGTTCAAGACTGCAAGCTCAGGTACAACCCATCACAAGATCTCTTTTGCGAATTGATCTATCTATAGTCCCCGATTTCCGTTGGGATGAGAAGATACATGGCACAGCAGAGACCTTCATAATTATTGTGGAGGATGTTGACGGAGAAATCGTCCTGTTCCATGATTCATTCGTGCTTTTACAAAGATATGCGGAGCATGAACACAACGTTACGATCACTGTTCCTATGTTTGAGCCTGTCCCACCCAACTACTACATTTCCGTCATTTCTGATCGCTGGTTACATGCTGAAACACGCCTACCGATATCATTCAAGCACCTTATTCTCCCTGAAAAATTCCCTCCTCCCACGCCCCTTCTTGATCTACAGTCTCTTCCTCTGTCTGCTCTTCATAACAAGGACTTCGAGGCCATCTATTCATCGACCATCCAAACGTTCAACAAAATTCAGACCCAAGTATTCCAAGCCCTCTACACTTCCGATGAGAACGTCTTCATTGGCGCTCCCACTGGTAGCGGGAAAACTATTTGTGCAGAGTTCGCTTTGCTGCGACTCTGGAGTAAGCGCGAGCAGCTTCGAGCCGTCTGTATCGAGCCATATCAAGAAATGGTAGATCAGCGTGTGGTGGAATGGCGTCGCAAGTTCAGCAAGTTACAAGGCGGCAAAGAAATCGTCAGTTTGACTGGAGAGACAAGCGCCGATCTTCGTTTGTTGGAAAAAGGTGATGTTATAATTTGCACCCCTTCCCAGGTGAGTTTATCTGGTTATTCCAAACCACGTGTTACAACTAAGTGTCGTACAGTGGGATGTTCTTTCCAGGCGATGGCGGCAACGCAAGAACGTTCAGAACATTGGATTGCTGATCGCCGACGAAGTTCAGCTTGTCGGAGGCGAAGTTGGTCCTACTTATGAAGTTGTCATCTCTCGCACACGGTATGTGTCGGCACAAACAGAGATCAAGACTCGCATAGTCGCATGTAGTGTATCCCTTGCCAATGCACGAGACCTTGGTGAATGGATGGGAGCACCCTCGCATGCTATCTTCAATTTCTCCCCTAGGTTTGTTTTTCTCAGCAGCTGGGCATGTATGGGCGCTGATGTGTTGTAATTGCAGTTCTCGGCCACTTGATATGGACATACATCTTCAAAGCTTTACAATTCCACACTTCCCTTCTTTGATGATTGCAATGTCTAAGCCTGCTTATCTTGCAATTGTCGAATATGCACCCACCAAACCTGTCATAGTCTTTGTACCTTCAAGAAGACAATGTCGTCTTACTGTTGATGACATTTTGACGCACTGTGCTGCTGATGAGAAAGGCGACCGTTTCTTAAACATCGAAGAGGACGCCTTACAGCCACATCTTGATCATATCAGCGATTCTGGACTGGCTGAAACTTTGAAACATGGTGTTGGGTACTATCACGAGGCGTTAGACAAACAGGACAAGCGTATTGTCGAACGTTTATTCCAATCGGGTGCTATACAAGTTCTAGTAGCGTCGAAGGTATGACATATTCATCTCCATCCTTTTCATGTCCTTATTGGTTGTCTACGATAGGACACTGCTTGGAGTCTCCCTGTCGCCAGTTACATGGTCATCATAATGGGCGTGCAGTACTATGAAGGCAAAGAGCACCGTTACGCCGATTACCCTGTGATGGATGTGTTACAGATGATGGGTCGTGCTTGCCGACCAATGGAGGATGACCGCAGCCGATGCGTGTTAATGTGTCAACAAACGCGAAAAGATTTTTACAAGAAATTCCTTGCGGAAGGTCTTCCCATTGAATCTCATCTTCCTACCCATTTGCTCCATGACTACTTCTTAGCTGAAATAGCGGTCAAAACAATCGAGAACAAGCAAGATGCAATGGTGAGCTTATCTGAACACACTATTTACTTTGGATCACTGACAAGTGAGATATAGGATATTTTGACTTGGACATACTTCTACAGGCGCATGACTCAGAACCCAAATTACTACAACCTTCACAACGTTAGCCACCAACATTTGTCAGATCATTTGTCCGAGCTTGTTGAAACCACGCTGCAAGACCTCGTTAATTCCAAGTGTATATCCGTCGGTATGTGTTTAAAATATTCCCAGTCTCTACTAGTCCTTATTCGCTCCTCAGAGGATGAAATGGAGGTATCGGCTCTCAATCTTGGCATGATTGCGGCATACTACAATATTTCCTGTGAGTGGACTTCGTTCTCCTGTATGATACATCCACTGAAAAGCAAGAACAGATGTTACTGTTGAGGTGTATACACTGTCATTGAAAGAGCGAACAAAGATGAAAGGGCTACTGGAAGTTGTTTCCTCCTCCGCAGAGTTTGAGACGATACCTATTCGCCGTCACGAGGACGTCTTATTGCGCCGGATCTATGATCGCGTCCCTGTCAAGCTGGACCAAGCCGATTTCGAAGATCCTCACTTCAAGACGTTCCTCTTACTCCAGGCGCACTTTTCACGACTCCAGTTACCACCCGATTTGGTCGCAGACCAGTCTTTGGTGCTGGAGAAAGTATTAAACCTGCTTTCTGCTTGCGTTGATGTCATGTCATCGAATGCCTGGCTGAACGCTTTGGGCGCCATGGATCTATCTCAAATGTGTGTACAAGCAATGTGGGAGACAGATTCGCCGTTGAAACAAATCCCACACTTTGAGCCTGAGGTAAGCACGATCCCAAATCCTCACGTCACATTCTCTCCTGACGTTGCCTATAGGTAGTTAAACGTTGTAAGGATGAAGGCATTGAGTCTGTTTATGACGTTATGGAAATGGAAGATGATAAAAGAACGGCTCTTTTGCAGATGGATGCAAGGCAGATGTGGGTACTCCAGTCAGTTTTAGCATGACACAGTCTGATATTCTTTTGCAGGCGTGATGTGGCAACATTTGTCAATTCCTACCCTACTCTTGACGTCTCATATGACCTCGCCAAGGGTGACTATACTGCTGGAGCTCCGATTCTCATTCAAGTAGCCCTCTCTCGAGATGCAGACGAGGACGAGCCAGACGACGATCAGACAGTGATTGCGCCATTCTACCCACAAAAGAAAATGGCCAACTGGTGGCTTGTGGTGGGAGAGCCTAGCACTCGACAGCTGCTTGTTATCAAGCGTGTCACCGTGAACAAGAGTTTGTCGGTGAAGCTAGAGTTCACATTACCAAAGGGCCCGCACACTCTCAAGCTCTATGTCATCTGCGACTCCTATGTGGGTGCCGATCATGATATCAATATAGATCCAATCGAGGTCGCAGAGGGCGAAGAAAGCGATAGTGATGAGGACATGGAGAGCGGTGATGAGATGGAAGAGTGATTGGGGATTTTGAACGATCGATGACACACTCAAAATGTATCTATAGAGGTCTTAAGTTGTCTTAAGCAGTATTGTCGTCTTATGCACTATTGTAAACGTGTAATGCTTGGTGTAATGTTGTTTCTCGCTCAATTCGTTTTACAATCACATTTGATTTATTTCGCACCTGACATTGGACGAGGCTCTGATTAGATTAGATTGTTATCCTGGTTACGTTGAGTGATCTAATCTTATCACGTACCGGAAATTTTGGCTGTTCCATTCTTTGTTCCACTTCCGAGTCTACCGCTTTGTTCACAGCTACTTTACAATGTTCTATGTGATCGGGCTTGGTCTCTGCGATGAAAAAGACATAACTGTCCGTGGCCTGGAAGCCATCAAGTCCTCCTCTCGTGTCTATCTTGAGGCTTACACTAGTATTCTGATGGTCGACAAATCTCGTCTTGTCAGTCCCACTTAATCTGCATAAATGTACAAGCCAATAACGCTATGCAACGATCCTGTCTGATAGGAGGCATTTTATGGAAAACCAGTCATTCTCGCGGATCGTGATATGGTAGAAACGCAGAGTGATGAGATCCTGACCGATGCTGATAAAGAAGATGTATCTTTCCTCGTCGTTGGCGATCCATTCGGGTGAGTCCTAATGAATGACCTTGTCTTATATACATCTTTAACCCTCATCAATTCAGAGCAACCACCCATACCGATCTTCTTCTCCGTGCCCGCTCCCTTTCTATTCCTACCCGTGTTATTCATAATGCATCAATACTGAATGCCGTTGGGGCAACTGGTCTCGCTCTCTACAGTTTTGGACAAGCTGTCTCTCTCGTGTTCTTTACAGAAACCTGGAAGCCAGACTCGTTCTACGATCGAATCAAGGAGAATGTGCGGATGGGCTTGCACACACTGGTTCTACTTGATATCAAAGTCAAAGAGCAGAGTGAGGAGAATCTCGCAAGGTGAGATCGACACTATGCTCTCATTTTATGGCAGAGGTGATATAATGATATCCTTTAGAGGGAGGAAGATTTTTGAACCTCCACGGTATATGTCTGTCCCTCAAGCAATATCCCAGCTCCTAGAAATTGAAGAGACTAGGAAAGAAAACGTACTCAATCCAGATTCAACGCTTGTCATTTCTCTTTCCCGCGTTGGCGGATTTCCTGAGGCCTCTTCTCCATCTGACACAAACCAAAATTCAGGGGAACAGCGCATACATGCGGGGACACTTTCATCACTCTCCTCGCTTCCTCCATCTTCCTTTGGGGACCCTCTACACAGTCTTGTCATCGTTGGTCGAAGATTGCATACAATGGAGGTGGAGTATGCATCTGCGTTTGCAGCCGATCCTGCTAAGTGGAAAGAAGTTGCGATACAAGCTTATGGAGTTAGTGGACTGGATTGAGCTGGCAGATTGGGAGGGGGTCATGCGAGATGGTCTGGCCTAATCGGGATACAAAATCGACTTTGTCGAATCAGAGAAAAGGTAGCATGATATCGTTTTCCCCTGTATTTCAAAGGAAATATATTAATACGTGACCTACAGCGCCGTTTGGGTGATCTAATGCAAGAACTGCAAGAACTACTCTTCCCCCAATGATCTGCGACTGATGACCACTGAAATAATTTATGACATAATCCATTGAACAATTTCCTCCCCCCATTTCTCACCTCGACCTGAACTCAGTGCAAGTAAAGGACTAAGGTGATCGTGTCCTTTAAGGACGAAATGTTCAACAGTACCTCCCTTAGCTTTGAATGCTTCCAGGAACGTGTGATTAGTTCTTTTTATTATGCGAGGCTCACTCTCAGCCAGAATATTTCGCACAGGCGGTATCAAGAAAACGTGACAGCTGTCAGCGAAAGACAAAAGTCCAAGAGGTTGGTTTGACACAATCCTCGAAGCACCGTCGTAGTACTTCTCTGCTGCCGCTCGGAGTCTCGCACCTCGGCCGTTGGAAATCTCATAGGGCACACCCATGAGGATGACGCCGAGTACCGCCTTCTCGAGCTTTGGGTGACAAAGCTTCGACATAAGAAACATAGAGACTACGTGAATGCCGCCTGCAGAGTGCCCCAATACGTAGAGACGATTGACATCACCCTCTTTGACATTCCCCATAACCCACAATAGCGCATCACGTACATCTTGTGAGCCGTCTGGAAAGACTGCACCAGGCACCAAGCGGTAGTCAGCTATGACCGTAAGGATCTCACGGCGGGCGAAAAATGCTCCAACGTTGTTGTAAACGAGATTCTGGGGATGTGAGCTGCGTGTACCGTCTGTGAACCCCCCTCCATAGAAGAATAGGAGTATTGGTGGTCTACTCAATGAGCTTAGAATAGAAGGATAGTAGATATCGAGCTGTTTGTAATCAGACACAGAGATATCATCTCTATCGAATACCTTTATGCTTACCTGTAGTGCATTCTCTAAGCTATACGTACAGGTTTTGCGTGCAATGGATTCGATCTTTGCTCGATTTTCCTCCAGAAGAGGATGTCCTAAGACATTATTCCATCATCTTATTAGTTCAACATGTCTCACTAATTAAACATTGTGTATGTACTCACCGGGGTCAATTATTTCTTTAATTCGTAGTTCAGACATAATGCTTGAACTTGACTGTTGAAACTACTGGTATACGTATAGGTGAATGTTCAACTTTTAACGCCCAAACGAAGTTCGAGTCACATTGATCGGTGACCCGGGAATAATGCGGATTTTCGATTTCGCAATCAAGTGCTGGTTAGATAGCTTGAAAAACATCGTCAACCCTATTTGATAGGAGGAACGACTGTCTTCCTCCTAAATGGTATGCCTAGGGGAGACTACGTCAACCCGTAATAAAAGTCTTTACTACAAATGAAAATTTACCAGTGCTTTTTATGGTGCTAAAAAATTCTGAACGTTTGAGTGATGGTGAAAGACGACGGGGAACTCGCACTTTGTTGTTCCTCGATATTCGCGGAGTCGAGGACATCGGCGGAGACTTACAGTGAAAACGACCATGACGTTTACCCATGTCAGTGAAATCCCGAATACAACGGCGAGCTTTAGAGATTCAGCGCTGTTCAAATTCCAATGTTCTGCAAGCCCTACGATTACCACCATTAACGTCTATCGATACAAGTTCCAATACCGAGTTGGAAGTCCAGCTATTTTCAGTGAGCGAAAGACACCAGAAGGGAAAACATAGCTAGTAGGCATGAAGTAGCCGTTTATGCCGTTTAAAAATGACAGCGACAAGCGCCGTCTATCACGACACAAATGCACGGAGGCGAACATTGTGAAAGCACACACTTGCGTCGTCCGTTCATAGCGCATTTTCATGTCGTGTTCATCGCAATCGGGTCTCTTAATCCACCGCGACAGTACAATTCTTGCCGGCCAGGGGACTTCTGAGAGGTCAGAAGCCCACAGCCTGTGCGGTCATTGGAACCCGACATGGCTAGCGAGGGTTATCCCCTGTCCCTGTGCAGGGGGGGGGCAAGGTACAGCTCCTCCAAACGTCTTCAAGGTGTTCCAAGGAAGGGGTTTGGTCTCCTTCACTATGTCTCTGCCGTAGGCGCGATGGGTGCCTATGTCAATGCGGTTTTTCGACGGAAATGCTCTGGACCTGTTTAGTGTATGTATAAAAGGACTGCACGGAGTAGCGTATAAGGTCTTACTACAACTGCCTACACCCATCTTTCTCACCTCTTTTATCAAATATGAAGATTTCCTCTCTCTTCGCCGCAGGTGCACTCTACGCGGCCTCCGCATTCGCTCAGAGTGTTACAATTGCTGCTCCACCAAACATGGCTACTGCTGCTGCAGGGTCTGACATCGTAGTCCAGGTTGATCGTCCCGTGAGCTCATTGATCATTTTTTTGGAGGAAGCCTTCCTGATACTCGTCACGCAGAACTTTACTAGCTCCGTCAACGAGGTTGCGGTCGTGATCGCGGTTTTCCCGTGCTTCGTAGAGGAGCCCGAATTCTGCCCAGCATTCCAAAGGGATGGTGTTGGTGCTATTCTCTACAGCGGCCCGTTCGATCCCTATGAACTCGTACCGAACCCTAACAACGAACCTCCTCAGGAGAGTTTCACTGTGAAAATACCACCTGGCACGAAGACGGGACCTGCGGTGTTGAGCCTTACGCACTGGTCATTCATTGGGGTAAGTCAACTTTGCCTTAATCTGGACGAATGATTGAGGAGTACTTACGATTTTCTAGGCTAACAATGAGTACTTCTTCGAGACGAAGAATATTACGTTGGTCATCACTGAATGATTTGCGGAGTAAGCGGGGCCAAATGGGATCAGGAGCAGCTGAGAATACTGGATGCTAAAAGAAAGTTGTAGCAGTATAAGTGATATAGCCACTTCCCTACGTACCTTGCGGGAAACTTTGAAATTCTAAGGTAGTCTAGAATATATGCGAGCCCTGTCCAATGATCGAAAACCACCCAGTCTGGCGGTGACATATCCCTCCATGACATCTTATCTGTAATGTCGAGGGTGTCCAACAGCCTGACTAATGAGTCATATCAGAGGAAATATATGACTACGTACGTAGAAAATATATCAGTACTGGTGATATTGTAAGATAGCAGTCACTAACACGCGCCAGAATAAGATATGAATATTTCGAGCATATTCAAAACTTTAACAGTCCTATGAGTAGATAGCGAGCATGTCAGATGTATCAATGTCGGATTGTTTCATCTCTTTCAAATCCTTCAGAGTTTCAAAGAAAGTGATCTTGTCCGTTAACTTTCAAGTTTATTCGTTGTTAGCCCGAGTTATTGTGTTTGTGCGTAGAGTATCGAACTCACTTGGTACCGTACGACTCGTCCAGACGTGCTTGGAACAACGAACAATAGCGTCTCGGTTATAGCATCAGTGCCAGAGACCAAGGCTGTACAAAGATCATAGGTATATGCAGAAGAGGTTGCAGAGATAAACTTACGTCTCGGATGCACATATTTATAGGGTTGTAGTCCTAAACTAGCTGGTTTTTTCCCTTTGACCTTGATACTCTTATTACCATCTGCCAGGGGAGAAGAAACCGTCTGTAACAGTCCTTCCCTGACAACTTCCCATATTCCCATGCCTACGAAGCAGACGAAGCGCGGACGGAATCGTGTTATTTTGGCTAGTAGAGTCGGTACAGACTTAATCATCTCATCCTTGGAGAGCTCCGATTGCTGTAGTGATGCGAAAATCAGTAACTTGAAAAACATGAGATGAAATAAAGATATAAATTTACCTCTGCTGAAGGGCGATCTACCAGGTTTGTCTGGTGGTGATCAATATAAACACATATTATGTTCGAAGAATCATTGCACTGACCAATCCAAGATTGAAATCATCAGGCAGCGTATAATCTTCCGATGGGTGGAGAAGTGTCGAGGTCAGTCCTTAGTGATATAAATCAGCAGATCTGGCGTGTGCATAAGAGTAAAAACAAACCGGAGCTATGTAAGCAGCGCCAAAAGTGGTTCGTGGGGTTATAGAAATGGTGACCATTCTCTGCAGACTTGTAGCCGGGGCTAGAATAACCGTTAGATACTTGATTTCCTGGGCATTGAAAAAACGGTTGCAATCAGGAAAAAGATAACCTTACTTTATTCCACAAAATATCACTGAACAATTCGTAAATAAGTCTGGTGCAGTTAGATTACATGAACTGTGAAAATGACATACCGTCCAGTCCGTCTTTCAGATAATCTGAAAGCATGTGGAGGTGTGAATATAACTCTGGTGCGGCATATCCACGTTTCCGCTTCTTAGACCCACGAGCTACCTTCTTCTCTTCGACGTCTCCAGGTATACGCTTATTCAAACGTTTTTGAGGCTTGGGTTTGGAGTCACTGTCTGATTCAACAAAGTTATTGTTGCTTGTAGTGGCTACTACAGGATGACTGGTTGAAGATCGTCGAGACAAATTTAAGGTCTTTGAAGCATCGTCACTTTTGGGAGGCTTCGCGGAATATGCATATTGTTTGAGGGATGCGCGGAACTTCTCAGGTGAGGCTTCGAGTTCAACTTTAACAGTAGCCTTGTCGGTGAGGTCCTCAGAATTTGTCTCGCCATCAGAGCCATAACCGTTTTCGCTAGCAGACATAGTTTACAACGAAAAATGCAGCTTGATAACGAGAACACAAGACTAGATAGTCGAGGATCCACGAACAACGAAGGTTACAGTGTGCATGAGCGTAAGGGGCTCGAAGCGGAGTTTGCGGCTATTCTGGCGGAGCGTAATTCAATGTTCAGCGACGCCATCTAGCGGATCACTCTAGAGGGGCTGGCACTGAGTACTGAATACTAAGTGCCCAACGCCCGTACATGCTATATTTGCGTGGTGGAAGCAGTTATTTGGAGATGGAGAGTTTCATAATAGAAGGCAAGTGGCAGCTCGGGTCTGGCAGCGGTCTCTTTCTACTGTACTGACTAGAGGATTTCGACACGACTATAACTCCCAGATAGCTGACACCGTAGCAAAATATATGCAAGGAAATATCTTCTAGTCTTCCTTACAACTTAATAACTTATTACCTGCATTTACATCCCGGCTAATTGATCGAATGCCGTCTGTTGACTCTTAAGTATTTCGAGTAGATTTTCAAGGTAGAGTTTGCGAATGAAAAGATGGATTAAGGTTGAGGCCGAATGTGAGTGCTGTATGTGTCTATGCCCATCTAAACATTCACTCACAAGAGCGCTGATGTGGAATTCTCAAGGTTCACGATCTGGGCGTGCCAGAAAGGCATTTTGAGGTACCTACTCACTGTGGTCCATGACATGTATGTGCGCCTTTTAAAATATTTTAGGTTTCACCACTCGCGGTTTCGTAGAGGAGGTACTTTTGTTCGGGGTTCGTGTAGGATGGGTCTTAGCTGGTAGACGTCGGGTGATGGAGGAAGGATGATCGAGGGACCAGCAGATGAAAAGAAAGAAGGGAAGGTGGAAATGAGAAAAAAAAGGGATGATGACGGGAGGAAGGCTGGTTGAGGCATTTTCCCTTTGAATTCTTTTTTTGCTGTGTATTCATCATGTCTGGTTGTACGTCTGTCGGCTGCTGCTTTGTATTCTAAATTGAAAAACCTCGAGGGTCATTCATGGTTTAAAGACATTGCGATTTATGATTGCTTTCACATCGAAGCCACTTACTAGGCAATTACGCTTCAGTATTGAGAACCAATGCGTTATATAGACACTCAGGCCTCAGGGGCTGTGTAGTGAATACATTCAACTCATAAAGCCGCCCTCCTGTCCCGTGCCTTTCCGTCTTTCCGCTTCTATCATAGCGTCAAACTTGGCTTGCTCTAGCGCACGCTCATCCACCACAGTGTTTGAAGACGAGTTAGGTAGCCTGTTACGTTCGTGTTTCTGTCGAATAGCATCCCACGAAGACTGTTGCCCAGCGGCGCGTGCATTTGCCGCACGGATTTCATTCCATCGAGCTGCGGGCTGGGAAGCAGCAGTATTACTTGAAGTCTCTGTGATAACTGTAATGGCGATGTCGTCGACGCAATTACGAGAGATCAAGTGAACAATGAACCCAGCTCACCTGTAGCGTTCGCACTCTCATTGACCGAGGGGCGTGGACGGTCCCAGTAGTCCTCATCAACCATCTCTGGCCCCTGCTCTACGCGTTCCGGCACCTGCGCATTCCTCCCCGTACCTTCGTTCCTGAGCCGCTCCAATGTGAACCCCAGCTCTCCTTCTCCACCAAGTCTGTGATGAACATCCGCCAGTGCTCGCATGAATCCTTTGGGATCTTCCAGAGCCTTTGCGAACTGTCGATGGGCAAGGACTTGTCTGAGCATGCCGAACATCCCGCCAACGATGAATCCGAGTCCTGAGAGCGCAGTAAACCTTCGAGGCGTCCATCTCGGTCTGGCGAACATGTATCCGTAACCTAACGTGGCACCTGTGAAAGTGCCAGAGTATATGCCCTACATGAGATGCCAGCAAGATTTAGTGCCTAGTTCCTTGCCACAACATGCGAATGTGAAATGGGGGGAGAGAAATCTGGTAAAGAACGAATCATACGAACAGGAAAATACCGGTGTATACCAGGCAAGAAGTTGACTGCGAGATCGAAATCATGTCGCGTTAGGACATTGTTTTCTACTTCTGGTTGAAGCAACTCTATTGCTTTAGAACGACTGTTGAAAGTATTAGAGAGCCATTGCAAAGGATAGGACATCGTTCGTCTACATGAGCACGTCAGGGATCGTGAGTGTCTGCCGATACCGGCACTAGGTGACAATCGCGGAGAAGATAATATTTCAAGCTCAGCAGAAAACAAGCACATTCGAATCTTCGAGTCATCATGGACGTTAATGGTCACCCTCTAATAGCTTTACTGCAAAATAATGAAACTTGTAGCACGAATCAGAATATTATTATGATCAACTACCACGGCAAAAACAAGATGTCAATCTAGAATCTGAATGACAAGCGCACAGAAGTGACAGAGCTAATGGACCCAGGTCATTGCAGAGGAACAATTGGTTTCAATGGGAAATATAAGAGGTTCGAATGCTTTAGATTTGATTGGCGTGTTTTGTTAACTGATATACGTGTTAAGTCTGTGTCCCCAAGGTCAAATCAAATAAATTTCGCATTGACTTGTGCACCTGGCGTTATTCCCGTTACAATTATTCCACTCTATCGCGAGCAGCTCAATGGGGTTCGTATGGGTATATGCGTCACCGTATGACCTTGAGATGTGTCTGCCATCCTATAAGAGCACTTTAATACGCGTATAATGGCGTTGTGGCTATCATGGTCATTGCGCAGCGATCAGCGTCACAGTTCTAGAGTATACTGAAACTGGAACGAGTGTCCAAAATCTCAAGGTTCCATGATTATGACGTCATATCTCTGCTTTCAAGGCGTCCATCTGGTGTCACCACCCATCCCTGATTCTAATTACTACTACAATGTCGATATTTTCGTTCTTTCATAGCGTTTATGCCTGGGTATGCTACTTCATATTCATGGTTAGGCACCGTTATGTTGGATGGCCGACCATCAATAGGAAGGTACGTTTTCACGGACCTCTACAGGCCAACAGTTGTATGGATCTAACTAGTCTTCGTGCAGACAGGGGAGTTCAGCCGCGAGCAGCAGCCCTTGTTTAAAAAGCTCAAGATGCTCTTCCTCTTCAATCCTCTGACAGAGTGGAGTGAGTCCCGATAATGTGACGATCTGTGCACAATACTTAAAGTTTTTTTACCTGAAGTTGACGAGACATCTCAATACCGAAAGTATCTACATGACAAAACAGTTCGCTCGCAAGCCAAGGAAGAGGCTCCCAAGTCGAAGGAAGATATTCCTGGGTTCATCCAACGCTATCACATTAATATGGATGATTTCGAGCCTAGCGTTTGGAAAGAGTATCCCGTAAGTAAACCTGTAGATCAACATATGAACGCGCATCGGTTGAACACTCATGTCTTCCAGTCTTTTCAGCAGTTCTTCATTCGTCATCATAAGCCTGGCGCTCGGCCAATTTATGCAGAAGATGATGGTACTATTGCTGTCGTGCCCTCAGATTGTCGTGTAACAACTTACAATACTGTCGCCGAGACGAAAAAACTTTGGATCAAGGGCCGGGGGTGGTCCATTTCGAGACTCATACACGATTCTGAACTAGCCCAGTCTTGGACAGATGGAGCCGTCGGATGTTTCCGCCTGAGTCCTCAAGATTATCACAGATACCATTGCCCGGTCAGCGGAGTCGTGGAATGGGACAAGTTCATTCCCGGCGATTATTATGGCGTTGACCCATTAGCTGTGACGTCCAGAGTGGATATCCTGGCGGAGAACGCTCGACACTGCGTTTGTATCAATAGCGAAGAGTTTGGACGGGTCCTTTTCGTAGCTATCGGAGCAGAAGATGTGGGGACGGTGAAGATCAATGAGAAATTCACACAGAAGGGCGCCAAAGTCAGGAAAGGGGATGAAGTGGGCATTTTTGAGTTTGGAGGGAGTAGTATTATTGTTGCTTTTGAACGCGGCAGTATTCAGTGGGACGGTGACCTGATCGCCTGGTCAAGGAAGGGCGTTATGGTGGACGTCGAAGTTGGTATGCGAATGGGAAGAGCGGCTAAGGGGTGAGTTTTCGAGTCGTATGTATATTCGCGATTTTGTTGCTTGCCTATCAGGATATCTATCAAGCCATTGAAATTATTTTACGACTGTCTTCAATGTTGCTCATTGGCGATGTAAACGACTCCACACCATATTCTCACTCGCACACTTGAACGTGAATCGTTATGATGCTAACTTACTATTGTTGGGCAAAGACGCTTGGATAAAGCATGACCAATCGATCACTCTCTTGGAGGTTATCCAATATCTATGCTCTTGTAGCTTCGCTGAAACATGTAAACGGTTTCCTTAGTTCTGTTTTCATTGCTAATTTTGAGCTGGGCAAAGAAGGTAATCAATCAGGAAATGAGATAATCCGTATTATTTTATCCCTGCGCCCAAATTTCCGAGGAATCGAGTAGCCTGTTTCTCGTAGCAGTTAAATCCTTTTCGCCAAAAAAGGAAAGAAAAAAAGCATGAACAGATTTTTTTATAAGTAACGGTTTCTTCTACGGTGATCCATGTATCACGGACGCTTCTTTGACGCCTACTACGAGGATCTATGCATTACAGATGCGGGCATAATTGGATACGACATAGCAGCACACTAATACCAACAAGATCATATAGCAGGTAGTATGCTAGCTAAAAGAGAGGGTAAATATTCATAGTAGGTGGAGATTGTTCTTCTGCTTTGATAGTGCGACAAGCTCGGCTGTGAACTGACCATGGGGAGTTTTCAAACTTTACACAATATATTCGCTAGGTATGTTAATTGTGTAGAACGAAGAGGGATGATCAAGTGAAACAAAGCGGAACTGGTATAGTGAGCGTCAAAACTCGGCGCTGGGCACGTACGCTCGACTAATGTGAATAAAATGGTAGTGCCCGAGCAACTGTTGGTTTGTGAACTCACCCCGAGTGTTACAATCGTCCCATTACGGTTGAATAGGTGGGATTAACACGGCCGCGTCGACTATGCGCATGTACTATATCGACTCGTAGCTCAGAACCAAATCAAGCATGTGAAACCTGTGACATATCATGTCAGAAGGAACGATAACGTCGCGAATAATACATATGCAAATCAGGCATAGTGCAGGTATCAATAATACTGGGATGAGTTAGATTAGTACATGAATTGACAGTCAAGTTTTCCAAGTGTGAAACTCCATCATTTACGCCAGTTGAGCGAAGCCAACACGGCTCAATCCGGCATCGAAAACTGTGTATGTATTTTGTAGGAACGCATCTCCAACAATCCAGAATTCTGAAAATAGTTGTGTGAGCATCAAACTGAGGAACATGTGAAGAGCACATCACCTGATGCTGAAGGCGATGACATCACAGCTGCAATGCAGTCAGAAGAACCAGACTCTACCTGTCCGACAACGAAGGTAGAGTGTGAGATAGGGAAGGCCTTGAGGCCAAACGTGAGGGTAACATTAGGCTGTGCACTGCAAGGGACTGCAAGAGGATGGGGAAATATGTAGATTGGTAAAATCACGCATAGGAGCTGCAGATACACCTACTTGTCCACACGCCAGGCGAAACATCAGAGCGAGACTTTGCACCAGCAATGCCACTGTAGAATTTTTGAACATCGTTTGGATGACCGACGATGAGAGTGGTGCCAGTATCAATAATGGCTTCAACTTCCCCGAAAACCTCCTTGCCGTTGAGCGTTATAGCATCCATGTTGACCTGCCAATATCCTTCGATGATCACAGGTACGTAGGTGAAAGCGCCAGTGTAGAGCTTCTTGTTGACACCACCAATCATCAGCTCTGCTCCATTATCTGCCAGCTTAAATGCGAATACAGGCTGCGTGGTTACACCCTCCTCAACCAGAGTCTGGAAGACAGGGTTTGCATTGTAGTCTGAGATGGCGGGGAATCCCATTCCCATCAAACCATCGGGACTGAAAGTAGCAATGTTAAACCCATTGGAATATTGCTTTGCGACGCCAAGGGTCTGTTTGGTAGCCTGGAGAAACCCATGTCTTAAAGTGCACAATTGGTTCACAACGTGATCGCACTCACAATTAGACCTGCTATTAGAACGGTGTCTGTATACTGTTCACCAGAGACACTCGAGTTATCGCCGTATGTAAGTTTGAAAGTCTTTTGAAGATCTTTTGCCGTGGAGCTCGAGCTTGGCTTATAGATTGTATGACCTTGACAGGTCGACCCGCAGTTTGGGCCGGGAAGGAAAAGATCACTACTGCCAGTGTCAAAATCCACTGTGCACACTGCATAAGCGAATACTGTAAACCCCAACGCATGTAGACAAACCTATGAATTGCTTTGCAGGAGTGCCAACCTTAATGGAGCCTTGCCACAATTGTGCATTCTCATCTGTGAGAGGTACAGCACCACTACCACGTTTTGAAACGACGGTACTTAGGACAGGTGCTAAAGGATGACGAGCACCAGTGTTTCGTTCAAAAGCATCAAATCCTCGCTGATATTTCCTGCATAATGATGGTCGGCCACATTCCATGTGAATAGACACGAAGCAGGAAGAAAACCAACCTTTCAAGCGATAAAATGTGAGCACGAAGAGCATCAGTGTCGACGGGACCTTTGGGATGCACTAAGTTGGATTTCTTTACCAAAGGCAACTTGATCCCCGCCGAAGGAGAGTGTTGAACCGGATTGGCGGCGACAAAGAATGGCAACAGAGCAAGGAGGGCGACGATAGGAAGTTGCATGTTAATCACGGACGGGCAATGGGAATATAAAAAAGCAAGTGTCAATTGCTTGGTGTTACGTGTATGGGGACCATTTATATGTGGATTCGTGGTTCGGGAAAGGAGCTTCTAGACTCCTTGAGACATCCTAGTACAGTGTAGTATAAGCTTTTGACTCGGAAGGTCAACAAATAACGTTACCATTCTGTTTCAAAAATGTTGATTTGTCTCAAGTACTGCAAAACGTTCACTGTTTCAGTGGGCTCAATCCAGGTCACCTACATAGTATGGGTGCATTTGGTTGAGTGGTTACAGTTCAAGGGAAGTTATTCGGCAATAGCATGTCCTGAGTCATTGTTGACTGTCGGATTAGGCATAAGGTAGGTACTTCAATTAAATATTAATATCCATTCGAATTCAAGTTGTTATGATGGCTCACTATTTCATTAGAACTGTCTGGACTGGACGATAACAAAAAAAAAAAAACGATAACAGCCATGACTTTGTACTAGGCTATAATACAGAATACAGCAGTAGTGGTTACACCGGCACTTCTGAGTGGCTGCAACAACATGGACTTCTCGGGCCGTGTTCTTGACCCTGACTTCGAGATTCCTACAAAGGACTCGGACTGTTGTTGAGAAGGAACGACTATCTTCCTTTGAATCTTTTGTACTGCCTACGGGAGACTAGACTCGGACGTGGTACTAGCAATCAACAACGACTAGTACTGTCAAGGTCATGTCGGCGCAACATTGCAGACCTTTATTATTGATGTACATTCACACACAAGCGGCCAGTTTTGATTTCGCTGTCCTAGGATCATGATGCCTTATTATATTACAGATTGTACCAATCATGAAGACGGTACTTTTCATATGACTAGTATCACCAAAAAAATGCACCTCCAGAGCCACGAGTCTTCTTCCTGCTGTTCTGATATCCCAGTAAGATCGAATTCAATGGGCTTCCCATTCAATATACTAGGCGTGACCACGAATCGGCTTGGGCTGATACCTGAAGTAGTGTCATCTCAGTAGTTTCATCCTCAATAATCAATACGACATACGGTTCTTCCAAGTACTTCATTTCCTCAGGTGTCAACTCATATCCAGTAACAACACTTTCTTTCAGCCTCTCGAGGGAGCTTACACCAACGATTGGGCTTGTGATTTTCAAGCCAACCCATGTCAACGCCACTTGACCCATTTTCCATCCTTTCGTTTTTGCTATTTCATCCACGCGATTAATAATAGACTTGTCTGCTTCTGAGTACTTGAACTCAGCAGCAGTACCCTGGCGGGAGACAGCACGTGTGGTATTTGTTCCCATTGGACGTGCTAGCAGACCGGCTGCAAGAGGTGCCCAAGGAATCACGCCAATCCCGTTATACTTGCAGTATGCCAACATTTCACGCTCCTGTGGACAATAAATAGTTAGCATCAAGATATCGAGTATGTTCTGAAGCAAGCATATTTCACCTCTTCCCGGTATAGTAACGAATACTCGTCCTGCATACTGACGAACTTTGTCCAGCCATTCTTCTCAGCAACTTCGTTGAGAAGTGCAAACTCCCAGCAGCGCATGGAGCTTGCGCCGATATAACGGACCTTCCCGATCTGAACAAGATCGTGAAGTGCTTTCATGATCTCTTCGGGAGGCACCTTGGAGTCAAAACGATGGATCTGGAGGAGATCGATGTAAGAGGTCTCGAGGCGGGCTAGAGATGCATCAACTGCATTGAAGATGGCCGCACGGGAAAGCCCTGACTGGTTGACATATTCGATTTTATCGCCTAACCCAGGTACTGCAGCAGTTTGGATGTTAGGATCTAAGGCAACGAGGCCAAAACATTTTGAAGCAATGACAATCTGGTGGCGAGGGATTTTATACTTTCACAAGCCAATGAGCACATGTGAAATGAATAGAGTGAATGTGAACTTGAAGCAATTTACCTCCTTAATAAATTTTGCAACGACACGCTCCGACTCGCCATTAGAGTAGACATTAGCTGTGTCGAATGTATTGATTCCGAGGTCCCAAGCAGCTTTGATAATGGGGATGGAGCTAGCTTCATCAAGCACCCATGGCTATACATCGGAATCAAATCACGACCTAAACATAATTTGTTGATTGATAAGTAAACATACGAGCCATCTGGGGTCACCGAAACTCATGGCTCCAAGCTGATAACAGATGAGACTTTATTGTCAAGCCACTAGAGAGCAAAGTTCCACATACAATTGGTACAGACACACGAAGACCTGATTTCCCTAGTTGGCGGTACTCGACGGCGGATTGATTCGACATGGCAGATGCGTATAGCTAGGTTTGAAAGTGGGGTCAAAACAACGACACTGACCAGTATTTAAGGAATTTCAAGAATACCCATTGGTATGCCCCTGTGACCAACGGCGTAATATCGAAGGTATAATACAGTTGCTAAGTTTAGAATAAATTAACACAAGATAAGGACAAAACCCACTTTAGCCTCGTCCTTCTAGCAATTTGTGTAACAATTTTGATATAGGCCGTGATGAATGACTAGAAGAGGGATGGGAATCCCCATTTGTCTCTGTATGAGTCAGATACAAATCGTTCACTGTACAGTACGACTGGAAAGTCAGATACAAACTACGTATTGACGCTGACAATGTGTCCATCCGACAAGTGCAGTGGTGTAGATCGCTCGGATGCGGATGGCCCGAATATTTTTCAGACTACCACTTCGACTTTCAGTAAGTGCTGCTGTTTTGGCTGAGATACTCCAGCTTACTTCCTTAGTGTGCGTGCACTGGTAGCAAGGCTACTAATGTTTCCTTAAGGATACAGCGCAGTAGTCCAACGTAGGGTAGGTTGAAGCAACGAAGCTTAAAAATTCAAAGGAAATTCGCAGTGTTGTAAGTTCAAACTTAATCTGTATAGCATCAAAAGTAAGCCGCCACTAGACAAGTATATCCAAGACATCGAGAATAACTCGCCTTAGGAGCCAAGATCAGGATATAGCTAAGGAATGCCTTTGCGTTTTACGAGATGGAAATAACTTTCTCACCGTCGTCTCGACACTGAACTCGTTTTCTTTCGTACATAGTAGATTGTTTGTATGAAAGTGCTTACATTTGAAGGATACAAATGGGAACATCATAAATCCAGTATTTTGATGTTCTACTGCTCAAGCAACACTCTCCATCCACCCCTCACGCATGACCGCGTACTGGCTTGGGTTCATACCTGACCTGACCGTCAGCCATCAAAGTAGAATACACTTGAACGATGAACATACGGTTCTTCCAGGGACCTTGCTTCCTCTGGCGTCAACTCGTACCCAGTGACAATGCTCTCTTTAAGCCTCTCAATAGAGTTGATGCCGACAATGGGGCTGGTAATTTTTGAACCAGCCCACGTCAGTGCAACCTGACCCATTTTCCATCCCTTCGCTTTAGCTATTTCCTCCACGCGAGAGATTATGATCTTGTCAGCTTCTGAATTCTTAAACTCGGAACTAGTTCCTACGCGAGAGACAGCGCGAGTGGTCTCTGTCCCGATCGGACGTGCCAGAAGCCCGGCGGCCAGAGGTGCCCAAGGGATCACACCAATACCATGATACTTGCAGTATGCCAACATCTCACGTTCCTGCGGATAAATAAACATTATGAGTGTTTGTAAAAATAACGAACATAAGAGGGAATGAATCACCTCTTCACGATACAGTAGGGAATACTCGTTTTGCATGCTGACAAATTTGGTCCAGCCATTTTTATCCGCGACTTCGTTTAAGAGAGCAAACTGCCAGCAGCGCATTGAGCTAGCACCTATGTACCGCACTTTACCACTCTGAACGAGATCATGGAGTGCTTTCATTATCTCCTCAGGAGGCACTTTTGAGTCAAAACGATGGATTTGGAGGAGATCGATGTACGAAGTTTCGAGTCGAGTCAAGGATGCGTTGACTGCATTGAAAATAGCTGTACGAGAAAGCCCTGATTGATTCACATATTCAGGTAACTTGTCGAGTCCGGGGAAATTGACGGATCGCTTTGTGGGGTCAGATAGGACAAGACCATAGCATTTGGTTGCAATGACAATTTGATTTCGAGGTATCTTGAACTGACCACACACCAAATAGTCAGCAGATATAAACATTGGAACCAGAGAAGATCCTCACCTCTTTGATGAACTTGGCAATAACACGTTCTGACGCGCCGTTCGAATAGCCATTAGCTGTGTCAATCGTGTTGATTCCGAGGTCCCACGCTGCTTTGAGAATGGGAATGGCACTAGCTGCGTCGAGGACCCAAGGCTATAAATGGTTGTATTTATAATACAGCCACGGCGTGTCTAGAAATTCAACGAACACTCCACCTTGAGTCACCGTAGCTCATGGCACCGATCTAGCAAGGTGTGTCAGCCCCCAGAGTCTCAAAAGCCAAAAGAACTAGCCATGATGATACTAACAATTGGCACAGAAACGCGGAGACCAGATTTACCTAGTTGTCGGTACTCAATGATGGGAGCAGAACTCATGGTGCCTAGTGCTTAGTATGTAGGGATCGCCTGGATAGCTGAAAGCTTATATGTACACCGTAGTAATGTATTTGAGCGTTCCTTGCGCCCTTGTGACCTATGGCGGCATTTCCAAGGAGTAAAAATTTGACTAAATTTAGTAGAGGAAGTTAAACTTACGCTTCGGTCCGACCTTTGGATTCGCCGTGGGGTAGCTAAATTTCTTTATCGCAGCGCATTGGGGGTTTTGCCAATAATGACTCTTTGCAGCAGTGTAGTCATCAGGGCCCCTTACTCCATCAAACCAACTTTAACCTCCAGAATCTGCTAATAAGAGACCCAGAAGACGCAGGAAATGGCTTGAAAACGAAATTTGGTGTCTAAAAATGAGATGAAGGAAATATCCGCAAGATATGTTTGTCCAACATGCCGATTTCTAGCAAACTAGTAGGCGCCTTGATAGGGAAGATCACAGCCTCCTTGCGTCACTGATATCGGCGCCCACGGATGCAAATGAAGGGATGTGTTCCAGACTGCAGACCATTCTCCTGATGCGTTGAGTCATCTTCTGACAAGGTATGTTGTACTAAGTATACAAAAATGTGAAATTTTGGCTCGTTGAACCAACGCCAGGTCCATCGTGCTGAACATAATGTGATGGTGCTGCATCTAATATTTTGTAGCTGTTAAATCGGAGAACAGGAATACATCGAGAAATGACATTACAGTTTCACGACGGCCATACTCTCTCCTGCAGTCGCGCCTTGTGCATGAACTACAGGGTTTCCAATATATTACCCTATTATAACGCTCATGCGAAAAAACATAAGTACCGACCGCCAACTAACAAGTGCATCAGTCCCCAGCGCAAACACGGAGTACAAATCAGCTACATGGTGTTGGTACTTACAAGGTATGCTTTTCCTGAAAATCATATGACTATTTCGATTTCACATGATCTGGTCAATGATTGCTTCTTTGATTTCGGCCTACGAGATATTTAGCAAATTAGCCAAGGGCTGGGAATAGCAATTGTCTCCCACCTTGGGTATTCATCTTCCCAGTTATCTTGATATCAACACCTCTGCGATGTTGTCGTGCAATCCTCAAGCTACGTATGCTCAGGCACGCACGCATAATATGCCATAGATTTCGAGCATGGCGACATTACTGACCTGACGCTGAGAGCCCTAAGTACGTTATTCTACATCATCCCTGACTTGACATTGACTTGAATACTTACTTACCCTTCGATGTGCGCGTAGAATAAAGATGTAAATTTTGTATATCTGTCCGATTTCCGTAGTCAATGGATGCCTTGTCTTTAGGTTTAAGTTCTGTTCAGGCACTGGCAAATTCTCATGTCAGTCGATTTGACAAATACTAGTGTACTCACCTGGCCCGTTGTTTTCGCAGGTCCAATCTCGTCAACCCTTGAGCCTGTTCCCTCACTCCCCATTGGCAAAAGTTTGAATGTGAGCCTTCAGAAATCAAGTAGGCAGATACCACCACTATGACATATTGTAGAACAGGAACTTGCTGCTTAGTGCTGCCACGACTGGAATTGGCGCCGCCCTGATTCGGCAAAAATTGACCGAAACCCTAACCTGAGTGCAGTACCCAATACAACATTAATGCAGTGACCGTTCATTGTACTACTATTGCACGGTTAAACTGCAGCCTCTAAACTTATACCATGAGGCCGCTCACACTTCACGTCTCAGCACTAAATGACGCAGAATACAAGTTTTATACAACGTCGCTCAACGATCTTTCTGTATCCAGCGATGTCGACGGCTATATTGCCCATTACGACGACGACCATTATGAAAGAATGACCCTGGGTGTCCGTGAGGCGAGGGCATGGCTGAGAGGTCGGTACTCCAGAGTATCTGTCTCTGATATCGATGCTGTAAGTAGCTGTGACTCTATGAGATCTGTAATCATGATAAACCCGTGCCCCAATCGCAGATCCTCAAGCTATTTTGTCCAAACATGTTACAGACCGATTGTCTGACTGGTGGTCAATTCTTTGCAGCTCTGCGTCTGGTCATACACGCAGAAGAAGGCAAAGGCATAGATAGGGCCCTCGCATTTGTGCAAGGCAAGCCATCTTTCACGTTCCCATAAACTTGAAGTCCAGTCCCTCCGAGACAATTCACAATTCACTCTGGAACCGCCTTTTGATATTACTCAATGTCTATCTGATACTGATACATTTTATCCCAGTATACCCAGTGTCCACCTCAAAATCTGATCTACCTCCTGATCCTGATACACCACGCCCACCATCACCTCCCAAACGCCAAGTCCCCCATCCAGCACCACCCATTCTTCTCAACCGTCCCCAGGTTTCGAGTCAGACAACGACCAACAATTCTGCAGATACGAATCCGTTTAATCGCACACCCGCTCAACAACCGGATCTTCCACCGAAGATCAGTCACAATCCATTCCTGATGCGTGACAAAATGAGCTCGTCAGATTTAAGCTCAGTCAAGGCAGCAAATTGTACTTCGGATGGAAAGTTGCCTCCCTTACCACCCCGAAAGCCTCCACCCTTGGCTGCTCCTTTGCGCCGCGCGTCTTCTGTCCTAACCACAGCGTCCACTTACTCAAAGTCTCAGTCGCCTTTCGCGGCCCCACCGCCCCTACCTTCAAAACCGGGTTATGCTACAAGCACACTAATGCGACAGTCCCTTCAGGCTAGCAGGGAAGCACAGAACGTGAAAAAAGTAGACGATCAGCTGAACAAAGAGCGCGTACTGCAAGTGTTGAAGAGCAGCTCGTCCGGATCTTCGGGGAGCAGCAGGACTAGAAGTGCAAGCCCTTCAAAATATCTCATTGGCCGAGCTACTTCAGGTTCAGAAGAAGGAGGAACTTCAGTACCGCCATTGCCTCTGAGGCGAAAAGCGAGCTTCCCATCCTCCACTACTAGCTCGAGGCAATCACTGGATCAAATAGCAGGTGCAACGCTACCATCGCCATCCAAAGGCAATTTCCGACCAGCTTTACCCAGTAGGGAACCTGCGCCTGCAACCACAGACTCTTCTCCCTCTCCCCTCCCAACACTTCCTGCCCCACCAATGCACCCAGACAGACGATCGTCGTCAGATGTACCAGATTCTATTATCACGTCGTCGCCTAATTCTCCCCGTGTTTTCCGGTCCAAGTCAATGCACCATCCTTCTCCACCGGTGCCACCTCCACGGCGGAGACGGCCAGAAAGTGTACAACTTACACCTGCATCTTCCTCAACGGAGCTTCCAACGTTAGTGTCACAGGGACATGCCCGGGCGCCGTCATATCAGGGTCTTTCACGACACCTGTCACTCAGCCGTGATCGTGAACCTCTAGACACGTCTCCTATGACTCAAATCCAAAAAACGCTGTCGAATTTGCAACAAAAGGCTCAGCCTAAACTGGATGCAGCACGTTACAAAGCAGAGGCCGGGCTTAGCAGACGGGGATACGTCAATCATTCACAATTTGGAGGTTCTCGATGGTTGGATGAAGGTGAAGAAGGTCTTATGGCCGATCGGTGGCCTCCAGCCAACAGTGAGGCACACATCGATAATGACCCTTATTCAGAACCTGTAACCGATGAGAGTTCTGGAGATGAGCGCGAGAAAAGCTCTAATGACTGGCAACGACCTGGCCGTAGATTTGAGGAAGCTGATAACATGAAGTGGCCTGCAGGCGAAGGTTGGAAGCCGTTGGTATAACGGATAGTACAGCGCTTTCCTTTCCATTTTGATCAGCTGGAGGAACAGCATTACGCGCAGAATCCATACAGATAAGTAGTATATGTGCACAAGATAATCCATAAACCGAAACAGATACCTATCAGATTGTTAATGTCAACCACAGTTAGTATTATCGAATAGAAAGGGTTTTCCAACCTCTAATGAATGTAATTCAGAGGTAGTCATACAAAATCTGCTTGTTTCAAATGCTCTCGTAAAATCCCGTCTCGAACTGCATGAACGTTAGCACCTGATGTTACATCTACAACAGGTGACATACCTGATTTCAGTGTCATTGCAGTAGCTTTCGTTTCCTACGCCATAATTGGAACCAACACGATTTTCAAAGAAGTCAATAAACTTACTGTCACGACCGTTGCATACGCATAGAAAACGCGTGGCTCTGGTGAGTGTTGCATCATAGATTCTTTAAATTTCTGTCGTAGATCTACGGACCACAGCTGTTTCCCAAAAGAATTTTGCGAGAGGTAATGGACTCACATTTGATCACCGCACTGTATTCGTTAGGCCTATCGCCATAACTTTGCAGATACTTATTTACCATAATTCCGCGATTTATCTTCTCCTCAAGTATATCGCATTTGTTGAGAAATATGATCAATGCAGTTCTGGCTAGAAGCCTAGACGAACAGATTGATTTCCATAAAATAAAAGAGTCCTCCAAGCGATTTATTCGACGATCTTCAGCGAGCTTTTCGTTGAAACATGATACCGGAGCTAAAAATATAACGGCGTCTATGCCTTCGAAATAGGGGAGCCACGCATGGCGCTACATAGCAAATATCAGTGCGAAGTTTTCGGAGCGGTCAATTGTCAATTCACCATCGTTCGTGAACCCCCCACATCGAACATCTTCCAAGTCCGTGCTCCCTCATATGATACTAGCAGGGAACACAGAATCTGTCAGAAAAGAAACGTGATCGAAGTGCTGCAAGGTATACCAGTATCAAAATGGAGGGTGTATTCTTGAATACCACTCGTCCGCAGTCGCGCTCGAAGAACATCATCATCCGTTGGTTCGTAATCTTGCACGGTCAGCCGATCTAAATCATTGAGGAAACTAACGAAATCTTAACGGTAAGAAAGTAATTCACGAACGGAGGTTCGGAAGGATAGACCGTCACTTACAAGCCTGCTGAGTCGTCCAACCGTATCCGCCCTCTCGCGAGTTCTGTTTGAACAGCATCATCTTGCCACAGCGCCTTCATGTCGTCCTTGCAACTGGCAATGATCTCGGTCACATCACACGTATCGGGGGTATCTCCAAGAATACGACCATTTCTATTATCACCATACGGAACGTGTAGCAGGGTTCTCCACGACCGAACGAAAAATTCTCCAGATCGTTTATGTCGTGTAAGAGTATCTGAAACCGGTCCTTCGAAGGGGGTTGCTTGCTGTTCGTCAGAGGATGCATCTACTATTTCTTCTGCCGAGGTCCCTAGAAGCCGCTTCAGATCTTTCTCCACGACACGAAGTGGCTCGAGACGAGACTTGAGCAATATATGCTGATCTGTCACTTTCGTAGTAAGCGATCCCTCTTCATTTTCGGCCGGATCTCCACAAAGGGCATCCAAGATGACATTGATAGAGCGCACAATGTTTAGCTGAATGACGGCTTGCCAAGAAGTACGTTCTTCTATCCATTCCTCTTGCGCGTATTTCATACGGAAGTCTGTAATCAGTCAAACTCTGTTGGGTGATGATAGTTACGAAGGAACTCACTCTTTAGTGTAGTTGATTTGCCTTGCAGTAGCATTGAATCGTCAGTTCCAATGTTCCGGTCTGATAGTAATATTATAACCTTGAATCACTCACCGCTCTCACTTTGGCCAAGTAGAAGAACCTTGACAACATCTTTCTCTTTCTTTAGTTCGGCCCTCTCCGCCTTGATATTTTCGTCGATCAGATCACTAATTCTCTTGGCTTCTGCCTCACGCTCTTCTCGCGCAGACTTTTCGTGGGGTGTTTCATTTGGAGGGGGTGCATCAACTATCGCAAGAGGGTCGTTTGCATCATGATTGAATACCATCTGAGCGATGAGATAGTTAAGAGCGTTGTCTATCGAGAGGGATTGAGGAGGCAAATTTCTAAAGTAACAGACGAGAAAGAGGTGCAAGAGACATAATCAAAGACAAAATCACAAAATCACGGCACGAATACTCCACAGAGGCAAAAAGGCGATTTGAAGAAAGAAATTTAATAAATAGGCTCAGGGTAGAACCTGTAATAAATCGAAAAACAAGCCTGAGATTTCCACGTACCGTTGTCAAGCTCTAGTATACGTAGTGGCTTCAGTATCGATGGAAGCGCGTCTAAGCCAAGCCCAGACTTGCCAGCAGCTGGTTGTGCAACGGCGCTGGGAAGTCATTCAGCGCAACAAATTGGTGCCAGTGTGGACAAGGCGTACTTACGGAGACGAACAGTCTAGGGCTTTCCGAATCCTATAGGAGGAACTCACCTAGCGCTACTGAGCTTATCTCCTTTAGCTAGTCCTGTCACGAAATGTTACGACAACTGGGACTGGATGTGCCGTATTATGCCAATCTAATCGTTGGTGCACCCACCACTTGCCCACCACTGTCAATCCTCGGAATGTTCAGATTGCCACGTCCTGTGCTGGGATATCGGTGTAGCGGGGGCCTGCCGGTAACACAAAATATGACTATCCGCTTTGTCGGGTATGCGGTGTATTTTGGCAGTAACAGAATGGGAATCTGTGCGATAACGCAGGCCTGAGGAAAGGAGAAAGGCAATAAGCCTTGGAATACAAGCCCACTTCTTTTGAGGATTTCATTATAACAACTCCATCATAACCATTTGATTCCGTAAATTTTCAACAAGGCTACCAGGGCCACATAATTCGCTAAACAAGTGAAACTCCACTAACTTATGATGCATCGATGCTTTGATACAGAAAATGCCAGTGGATACCATTGTCAGCTCTATCTCTCCCGTATCCGAGTCTTGGACACACGCTCATCTCCGCTGACGCTTGCAAGAAAATACGATGAGAATAGGATTAATGCACAAAAAATTCAAAAGCTAGCTAGATAAAAAGGCTATACGAAGACTTCGTGGAGAAAAACAGCAAAAATCAGAATATCAAACGTGGATGTCCTCTCACAAAAGCGAGTCTAGTTTTGAAAGAACCTCCAGCACTCCCGCAACAAGTTCGAATCCAAGATCTTCCTCGCCATTCATCTCCTTCTTCACCTCTTGCAGCAGTCCAAGCACAGACTCACGTCCAGTAGCAGGATTGCTCCCCATTCCAATCCTAACTGTCTCCCGCCTGCGTGAGCTCCCCGTTCCTGTCGCAGATGCACTTCCAAAAGGCCAGCAAGCAAACTCGGCCAGCACATCGTCGCACCGCTGGAATGCACCCTCTCGGTCTTCATACGTCAATCGCCCAAAGGCATTGTCCAACACACTGGCAGCATATGCCGCACAAGCCAGACAGACTGATCGCATCACCCTGCATTGTGTACCTTCCTTATCCAGAGCTGATGGAGGCACGGTAGAAGTAGCGGCGGTAAGTAGCGAGACGACGCGCGAAATGATCGCCTCTTTCGTCCGTACGTCTGCGACAGGATGAGTGGCCATGTCAAACAAAAGGAAATTGCGCTTCTCGGTGCGCAGCACCCCCTTGTCTACAAGTCCTTTTGCAAGCCGTTCGCGAACCTGCTTTAGCTGATATCCGATTTTCATCACGTTCCATGTCTCGCCTGTGAACAGCGTTGAGCTTAAGATCAACGATAAGAACTCAGGAGCAAAGAGTCCGTATAACGTTAGGAGGTAACCATACGCCAGAGGTTACATCTTTTCCTACGACCACTCTACAAACCGAAGTCCCTCGAATGTAATGAGAACTCACCGCTTAGAAGATCGATCCATCCATTTATTGATATCTTGTCTGACTCTTGACCTTTCATCATTCTCAGCGTTTCATCAAGAATTGTCTCTCCCGTCTGTCTGTCATCTATCACTTCGACCAAGCGGTCAGGGAGCGGGTTTCTTCGACGGTTTGCATCTTTGACGAGAGCTATCCGCCGACGAAGCGCAAGTTCGATCAGAATGCAACCACGTAGTGCATACGATATGTTATCGTTCCAGAAAGAGAGATAGCCCTAGTAAACAATGAACAAGTTGCAGAATAAAGCATGAGCAAAATTATCTGAAGCCTAAAATGACAGTGACTCACTTGCTTGTCCTTCAAACCAAGGAGTAGCACTTCTTCCATTATGGTCAAACGGGGCATTTTACCTCCTTGCCGAGTCTCCTCCTTGTCTCTATCCAAGTCGCGTGGGTCGTATGCTATCTTACTTCCACCCTCGAATGCTGAGCCAGCATGAGAACCAGCTGTGCCATTTAAAGCGGGTCCATTGGAGGAGCCCCAACCGCCGTTTGAGGCGTCGTCCGAGGTTGCTGAAGACGATGAGGTCCCGCCAACTCTTCGCCTAGAAAGTCCTCCGGTTGAGGTCATCGCATTCCAATGCCAGCGGGTATATAGAGTATTCGTAGGTTGAAAAAAGGACTAAAGAACAAACAATACTTGTAAGATTCCTGTGTAAAGTAAAGCGAAGCTGTGTAAACTGGATCCGCTCAACTGCGGTCTCACGGTTACAAACTGGTGCACTGGCAACTGTCAGAATTTTTGGCTGGAGAAACCTCTTGTTTACAACGTCTACCAAGGCGCATGTTAAGAAATGATACCATCATATTATCACTCTTATGCTGTACTTCCATCTGGCTTATTCTCATTGAGCGCCGACTGCGACTCCTTGGAAACCAAAAGTCAGCTATATGCGTGACGGGAAGCTTCAACTTGAATGTGTCTGTATCAGAACCTGTTTGCAAGCAATAGATCAAATCTTAGGGCTTCATTGACTGCACCACCATACTGCATGACTTTGCATGTTTCGAGCGGCCATGTCGAACCATGCATGTTTTTGGGCCATCCCCGGAGTTCTGACCAAGTCCATGTCGAATATGTTTTGATTACCCAAGGCGGTCTGTTTATTACTTATCTTTTGCTTTTAGTTGGCGTTATATGTTCTAAAGTTCCGTATCTTTCAAGACCAGTCTGATGGACCTGCACGAACATGGCATCTTCACGTAGCGGCAAGTGCCAGGTGAGTTACGTTGTAACACAGTTTTAGCTGACGTTCACCTTTGATGGATTGTTCATGTAACGCATTCCAGTCCGTCATACATCATGCCTCTGATGCATTCCGCAGCACCGTTTCATTCAAGGCTGGCCAAGTTACGGTTCTCCAACTGAGTATATGCTACTCACTTGGTACAGTCAGCTTACACGGAAAACGTATTAACATTTTTTAGTAAGTGTGACCGAATGAAGATATTGCTCACCCATGGAAGCTAGATGACTAGTGGATTCACAGGGCTTTGCAAGGTATGATAGAACATAGGCTTCCTACGACCGACATTGACATAGTACTTCCATGGACCCCTTAATATCCTAGGAAAAGAGAACCTCCGCAATGATCTCTGTCTTCTGTTGTCAGCTCCTATCACTTTTACCGGATCTTTGCGCCTGCTACAGGAGGGCATGTCAGGTTTTTTGACGCCTCCCTACCAATCTCTGCTAAAGCGACCTTACGGGGGAGGGCAAATATAGCCGGTCATCCGTCAGTCTTTGCCAGGCCTAGACTCGATGGTCCCCGCTGCACGAGGCCTCCCTCAAATCCGTCGTTTGACTCAGGCTGCGTTCACATTCGTGCGAATCGCCTCAACTCTTATGTGTCTCCTAGAACTCATATTTTCCCTTGACTTCTACTTCTCCCGGAACAACTTTGGTGTCTGACGTGCCGACTGACATTTCTGATAACGTATGACCAGGTCCACGGAATGCAGGATCGGTTCACACTTCGTTTTGCCATTTCCTTCCTTTTTCCTCGGTGACAGTTTCTGTGGGATATTGTTTGGTGCAATGAGCTAGGACTTGACTTCCCCGTGCCATGCTTTCTGCGCGTGTGGCTAACATCGTGGAGCGGTGAAAGCTTTCTGCACGTGACCACGTAAGCGTTCATGTCAAAATTAAAATTATCCCTCTTGCGCCCCCGAGCTTATCACTCCCAGGTAATAAGGGTGTTGTCCCAGAAAGTTAACACTTCCTTTGTGGCACGAGGCAAGGTGCGGAAGGATATGAATAACCCCGTGTCAGCCACGGCAAAGTTTTCTTTCTCTTAGGGTATCGTATCCCTCGTCCGTGTGCAGGCATACAGCGACCCGTCAGTGGTTTCCCCCTTTGCGTGCAGGCAATTTTTTCTTCCACTACCCATTACACCAGTCGACATCCCTGAAGTAGAATCTCGTCTAATTCCGCCTCAATACCGCTGTAGCCTTTATATGCGACACCTTTAATCGAGATACTCTGGAAACCAAGATGGATAGTCCTGTGTCGTCTGTAGCCCCAAGTGCCTCACGTAGTAGGAGGAGTAAAGTGAGACACTTCATGGAGTATGACTCATTGTCCTGAATCTATGATGCTTTCTATCCCCCACAGCTCTCTCTTTCGCTCGATAGCATCAGCAATCTCAGTACTGCAGCAACTAGTGTGAGCAGCCTGGATCACCGCTGGTCGGACGTCGTCCCTCCAAAGTCTGCTTTGACTTTTGCAGCAGTATGGGACCCGAAAGATGGGATGGTTACTTTTTCTGGTGCGCGCCTACTGGATGCACGCGAAGACCACGACCTCGACAACGGACCGCCCTCACTCGCCGACCTTTGTGATGACGAGCGCTCTCAAATGCTTTCGATGGACCCCTTCGGCGATGTGTCTAGCGAAAACACTGCAACGCTTGCGACATTTCAAGATGTTTTCAAGTCTTTTTTGCATCGTGTGCCAAAGAATCCCAGGCAATTTCTTCGTCATCGACGTAGTCAGACAGTGGCCTCTTCTACATTTAATGGGCTTGATGTCTATACAGAAGATATGCCTTTGGCGATGAATCGTAGAATCGCTTCGCAATATTCTCGCTTCGATCAAATAGATGGACAGCGATCATTTCTGCCTCACTCCGCTTTCAAGGATACCGATTCAGATTCGGAATCCATGTCAGATGGGGACTTCGAAGAAGAAGAATATTCACAAGGCCGTAATTTGGTTTGTCTCCTATTGTATATGTCGTCATGTCTATGCCGGTGATTGATCCCTTGGTCTCTAGAAGTCGCGCTTCTCTACAACAACCACCTCTACATCTAATTATATCGAGGTAGAACGGTTTAGAGACAACAGTAGCTTCGCCTTCTCTGCTTGGACCGCCCTAGACGCACCATCTCTCAGTATACCAGAATGTCCCACGCCTCCACCCAGCCCTCGGCGGCGGTTGAAGAAACGACAGCCTGTGCATTCACCACCCACACTCCCTTATCTCGGTACGAACGAGCAACGCAGACATTGCCGGAGCAATTCTAGCGAATCCTCGCCTCCTACCTCTCCTCCTACCTCGCCATGTGGAAGCGAGAAGGTTAAGTTGACGAAATTTGCGCAGCACATCCGGAATACTTCGAGATACCTTAGTGGGAGAGGTCCTTTTGATGACGAATGGGTCTGCATCGAGATTACACCCACGATAACGCAACGTATTGTTGTCAGCCCTGCTCGGGCGGTGCCTGGGCATTGAGCAGTGGGACACCCTCATTTTACTTTCTTACATTCACTTCTCGCGAAATTTTCCCACCTAAACCCAATCGTTCACTTTTGGTTTCGTACTATGTTGCATGCGGCCTTTTTCACATTCCTTTCCCCCACATCGAAATATACCTTCCAGCTATCTGTCATGTGTCCTTTGCGAAGGTCACATCGGTTCAATCCTTCTAGAACCCCCTTTAAATTTGCACAGCCTAGTCTATGCGGTGTCTTTGTAGTTTGACCAGTAACAACATCAATGTATGAATACTATGACAAACGAATGTTTCAATACTAGCCATCACAAAACGACAGAGTCCAACTGATAAGAAGGCAGAAAAACGACAAATAATAACTGGAATTATAAAACCCGCCAACATTGGTAATACAGTAATAGAATATATGTACAAAAGGTATTCAAAGCCCCACTAGAACGTCAATATATACTTGAAAGGATGAGAGGAATCATATGGGAAGTTTTGCAAACGACAGGAGATGCGTACTGGGATGATTAACCACGACTATACCCGACTCATCCGGAAAAGCTAGTTCTGTTCCCTAGGGTAGCTCTCCTTGACCCCGCACAAACCGAAAAGGCTCCTTCATCCAGGGACAGTTACATCACCGAGCTAGGGGAGGTGTATGAAAAGGCACGACATAAAAAGAAAAGTAGCCTGAGCGGAAGACCAAGACTGTTCTCACACTGACTCGGAGGCAGTGTTGAGATACCGGTTGTGTCCTTGATGACGGAAGAAAAAAAAACATAGCAGATCCTAAGACAGAGACAGCTTGATAGGGTGTGAACGACGCTTAGGAGGTCAAGGAGAGTGTTGGAAGGACGTCTATCGCCGAAGGAGACCAAACGCAGAGAGAGAAAAAACATGACAAGGTTGCACATTAACTAACACACCCCTGTTACACCACTGAATTGATAAATTTTTCATGATGGGAACCGGATATCATTGTCCCAATCCTCTGCAAAAGGGGTGAGCAAGGTTTGAATATATATAGGGTAAAAGCAGTCTCACCCTCTGTGATGCTGCGCCAAGCGAGGTACATCACTCCTACAGCGGCAGTTTCTAGTAAAGTAGCTATAAAAGATCCATCCACTTTTGATGATGAGCCCTGAAAAATGAAAAGATGATATTAGCTTTCTCGATAATCACAAGATATGTTGATTGTTTACGCACTCGACATATGACTTTACTCAACAAGAAATAGTCAAGTTGACTCAGAACAAACAGTACACCGGATAAGACGTAATACCACAGAGGTCGGACTTCGTTGAGAACACCAAGTACGATGTAGACCATCAGGCCAAAATAGATAAGGGCGGCGCTACACGGACAGAAATTGTGATGAGACCCACAAGCCATACGACTAGCGTGGGAAGTCAAATCGAAGACTTACGCGCCAGGCCATATACTCGTCAGCACGAACAAGGGTATACTATGGAGCGACGAGGATGGATTTGAGGGCCCAAAAGTGTGGGTAATGGTAAAGGCGACATCGAGGGATATATACAGAGTCGCAACAAAGAATGCAACCGTGAAGAACGTGAAAGGCTAGAGTGACAGCTGTTGGTAAGATACGAACACTGGTTCATAGCAGTGTTGGAGCTTACTATCAGAGAGCTCAGCGTCCCATCGTCGACGACTTGCGTCGCTACAATGGCGTTGCCCAGCAACGTCGCAAACAAAGCAGCGACCAGGCCAGCGTGGATAGCAGATAATATAACCAGAGCTCTTGTGCCTTGAGCTATGAAGGAACCTGTGGTGATAAGTTGGAATGGGAGTGTCAAGAGGTATAGTGCGAAGAAAATCCATATTTCAACGCGTCCTAAGAACGAGGAAAAGTTCAGTTAGAAAGGCATAGATATAATGTAGAGTCGGTGCATGGTGCAATGTTATGACGCCACAGCCTAGCTTGGAAGTGGAACCATAATATGGTCTCAAGGGGAGAATAATTGGACTTACCAACGGCAGCCTTCCTTCGCCCGGTCAAGAATATCAATCCAGCGACAAAGATAATACTGAGAGCGCAAGCGATGATGTTTGCGATATTTGCTAGCGAGCCATCAAAGCCAACCTGATAAATGCCGCATTCTGGGTTAATGCCGACTGGAGCAGATTGAGTATTCTGAGAGAGGCCGGTCAAAGCAGACGAGTTGTTATCCAAAAGCTAGATTGTATTAGCTGTAAGTTAAGGAGGTAGCTGGGTACGAGAGAGAGGGAATCACTTGACGATAAAAAAGATTGCACCAAGGATATGATGGGACTTGAGAACACAATGGTTGAAAATCACCGAAAGCTGTCATTGCGACGAGAGAGACGTCGAGAGCCTAGAGCGAGAAATATAGGACAGAAAGATAACAACAATGGTATGCGGTATCTTCGAGATTAATGGAGAAACAGGTATCGCCCCGACGGCTGGAGGAGCGGTGTCGTTATGGTGGAAAGGTAAGTTTCAACCAGCAAACAGAGAACAACAGAAGGTAATCTTTACTCACTTTTCACAGGGCAATTCGCCAGCCTGTAACAAGAAAAAGAAAAGAAAAGAGCGTGGATAAGCCTTACTGTGCAATGAATAAATACACAGCTGGGATCCAGCTTTGCACGTTGCTCGGATGAAAGGCACAAATCAAACCAGCCTTTGGATGGCCGTGCTGCTCTTTCATCCTGCCGTTGTCCAGGCAATATGGTTAGGGTTTAGATCTCTCTCTTCGCTGCCCTTGCCGCTCTCAAAGCATATCACGGCCACCATCCACGTTTACGCACACCAGTATGCCCATACGGCGACCATATTGTGAGTGCACTTTGTCTCAGGTTCACTTCAGACAATTTGATGATCTTGCTGGTACGTTACTGGAAGAATATAACTGCCATCTTCACCGTCATTGACAATGACAATGCTGTTTGGCATTGCTGAACGCTGATAGCGCCAGCAACTGGGGATTCTGATCAAGGCCATTCATACGTTTAATCATAATTTAAATAAACTCAGGCCCGCGAGCATTGTCAAGTACTCGACAGCTTCAAGTTCTGATCATCGACGCAGATTGCGGAACACCGTTCGCTCCCTTTCGCATTTCATAGCGATATCTAGCGACTCCACCGTGACCACAGCGCTCTATATTCGGGCCGAAGCCAGTCTTTATCAGCCCTTCGTCATTCGCACACCTCAGATTCATGCTCTAATCTTAGCACCACATTTCTTCCTTGGATATTCCGCCATCGGTCACAAGGGCATGAGCGTCCTCAGGAACACTTATATATCCTGTCCTCATTGCTCTCCATCGTCGTTACCAGCATCTCTCGTAGTTATCAAAACCGTCTAGTTCATATATATATACACAATGTCGTCCAACTTGAAACCCGTCGAATACCGCCAACTGGGCAAGTCAGGTCTCCGCGTTTCGGTTCCTATCGTATGTCATGGCCTAACCAGTCTCTAAGCTGAATGTTCTAAAACCTTCTTTGTAGCTCGGTGCCATGAGTTTCGGAGATCCGAGATGGAGTGTGCGTTTTCATTTCCAAGTCGCATGTTGGTCTTCTCGGATATGAATGCATGCCTTGCAGCCATGGGTCCTTGACGAAGCCAGTTCTATCCCCATCATCAAAGCAGCCTGGGATCTTGGAATTAACACGATCGACACAGCGAACGTCTATTCTAACGGTTCCTCTGAGCGCATCGTAGCCAAATTCGTTAAAGAGGTATCTAGCTTTACTTCACGATATGGAAAATCCAGCTTTACTGAACCGCAACTATCTGCCAGTACAAAATTCCTCGTCATCAGATCGTCATTGCTTCAAAATGTAATGGCATAGTCGCATCTGATCCCAACCTCAGATCTAGTGTGGTACCAGGACTTGGTGACCAGCGTGAATACGTTAACCAGTTTGGCCTGTCTCGAGCGGCTATTTTCAATGCAGTCGATGCGTCTCTGGGCCGTCTCGAGACATCCTACATCGATCTCCTCCAGATTCACCGCTTTGACCCCAGCGTGCCTCCTGAGGAAATCATGAAAGCGCTCCACGATCTCGTGCAGAGCGGAAAAGTGCGCTACATCGGAGCTAGCTCCATGCGCTGCTGGCAATTCGCCCTCCTGAACGAGGTCGCGGAAAAGAATGGCTATACCAAGTTCGTGAGCATGCAGGATGAGTATTCGTTGCTCTATCGTGAAGAGGTGAGGGCCTTTTTTCTTTTCTTTCGCAACACAGCCTTCCTTTAGCTCTATTATTGACCTCTGTCTACCTCAGGAACGTGAAATGCTTGCGTACTGCAAATACAATGGTATTGGCGTCATCCCCTGGGCACCTCTTGCAGCAGGCGCTCTAGCCCGCCCCTTCGGCACTGAGACCACCCGTGTCGTTTCCGGAAAGGGCACCATTTTTGAAAGCAAGTATTCGGAAGCAGACAAAACTATCATCGAGCGTGTGGAAGCCATCTCTAAGACGAAGGGGTGGAAAATGAGTCAGGTAGCATTGGCATGGGCAAATTCAAAAGTCACCAGTCCGATAGTTGGTTTTAACTCTATTGCAAGATTGGAGGAAAGTATTATTCCTGGATATGAACTGACACCGGAGGAAGTGAAGTCACTCGAAGAACCGTATGTCCACTATGCCATTTTTGTGTCAAGGAGAGTTGCTCATCGCTGTGGTAACATTATAGGTATCAACCCAAACCCGTTCGGGGCCATGCTTAAAAAGTTATTACTATACATGCTTACGATACTGCAGCAAGACAGGTACACGGTGATTGAACGCAGTTGATATAATGACTATATGCTTGTGGCCGATCTCTTGGTAAAACCTTCAGCGAGTTACCCTTCCGAGTTGTTTTTGATCGGCTACAACAACGAACTATACTTTTCTAACTGAGAGATACGAGATTCCAGTGTTGCTCTCCACTTCTCAGCACGAGATCGGCAACCATCACAGACCCCCAGAAGATCTCCTGATGCTGCAATAATTTTAGAGAAATTCAAGACATTATCAGGGCGTGCTAAAAATTTCATTATGAAAGCATTGCAAAAGCTGTTCCAATGGTTGCAAGGTTTCTGCCAATTTGTCCCATCATAAAATTCTGGCTTCGGCAGACCTGTATCACCGCGAAAAATGTCCATGATGTTATTCCGATAAACCATCTGTCGTGCGGTCGGATTATATTTTGATCAATAATGCGTCAACAACAACTATGCTTACCCATGCTACAAAATATTCTGGACTCAAAATTTGCCGGCTTTCCCGTACCGTGATCGTATCATTAATGGATTTACGGGCGGCTATGTCGCATATATCGTGATAACCGTGCTGCGCTGCGAATTGTAACACTACCAAAGGAAAATCGTCTATGCGGCTCCTAAAGCAATGAATCATCATCATTCAACCTAAGCACCTCGTTCGTGAGCTTAACAATTGATACTACGAACTCACCACATATGCATTTTGCATACCTCGGTAGCAGAAAAGACCTCGTATTTCTCCACTGCATGTGCAAGAGAACTTAGGAGTGATGTATCAATTTTGGAAAGCTCTGGTTGTCGTTGCCGATACATATATTGAAAGAGGAGTTCCAAGACCTCAGAGCTCTCAGGAAGATTGACGATCTCATCTCTGGTGCTCATCTCCTCCCCTGGAAAGATACCAGAATGCAGGGCGAGGTTTTCTCGATGAACTTGAAAGTGAACACCGTCAGACGATCTGATAATGATATCAGAGTTAGGGGCTGAGACTGAAGACGCATTCAGCTCTATTGCAGCAGCTCTAGTGAGATATTATAAAAGTACTCACAGCGTTCAGATACTTTGTTCATATTATATTCCATGTCACTTGAGGTTAGGTGTGCGTGCTTAAATATTGGGAAACCAAGATGGGGCTACACATGCGGTTTCTCATAGTAATAAATAGTAATCCAAGGCATTATGTAATTAGCCCCTTTTCACCATTCGATACACCCCCTGGCTCCGAGTCATTGGCAGAGGGGCTAGCCTGGGCATGTTTGGAGAACAAGAACTGTTAGTATTACAGCAAGAAATAATATAAGGTGATTCGGAAATTGCGAGCGCAATTGATGTACATCAACAGTGTCTACAGCGAAGAGTTAAACTCAATCTTAGATATATGACTGGCTACTGACACCTCCCATCGCTCAAGTCGATTAATGCACCAGCTACATTCACTTAACTTGCTCCTCGACGACGCGACAAATTCATCAAAGCGCAAAACATTGTCAGGTTGTGCAATGAATTTCTTGATGAAGGTGGGATAAAACTCGTTCCAAAGTGCGCAAGACGGTAATCCCCCACGATGAAGGACTGGCGGCTCAGTAACATCTCGAAGAATGGACATGATTTTATCATGATAAACCATCTGTTGTTGTAGGGGGGGTAGCACGTTCGATAACTGGACGCATAGACAACAGGAAATTATACATACCCATGCCGCAAAAAGCTGCAAATTCAGTGTTTGCTGGCCTTGCTGCAGTGAACATCCGAGGGATTTTGGGGCAGCTACATCGCATACATCTTGATGGCCATGTCGTCCTGCGTACAGCAGAACCTTTATTGGACCTTCATCCATCCTGGCCCTGATAAAATATCACTTTAGTTTAAGCGATGCATACGATCTGGAGGATTTTTGTGTGACCCACGTCATATGTACTTTACATATTTCCTGAGCAGAATACACTTGATATTTCTCTGCCGTATTTGCAAGAGATCAGATCGTTTGGGAGCTATGATTAAGGAAAGGACTCAGATCTCGTAGAAGAGTCTTTGTATTCAAGTAAGTACCTATGACTAAAGAAAGGACTAAATCATAGTAAGCTAAGTATTCGAAAGGGGGAAAAAGGAAAGGGGTCTCACCTCAGATCTCGTAGAAGAGTCTGAGGTGGTACATGGTAACTAGGCCTCCTTTATAGGTAAGTGAGAGAACGGAATCAAAAAATTTCTGATGGTATATATTGGCGCACGGGCCACTCGTACTTACACGCCTTCCTTTCTAGGCGCTTCGTATCGGCTTGCTTCCTCTCTCGATATTCTCAATCCAACAAGAGAGTCCAAAAGTGAGAACTGGAGACCGGAGAGGCTTGGTTGTCATTGCGGATACATATATTGAAAAAGAAGCTCCAAGACCTCAGAGCTCTCAGGAAGATTGACGGGTCTCATCTCTAGTGCTCATCTCTTCCCAAATTTGGAAGCCACAACATCTGACTCGACTGCAAGAAGTTAAGAACTGAGAAGAGAACAAAAAATGCGGGGGAGGTTGCCAGTCAGATAGGTACATTTTCTAAATGTGGGTGTGAAGATAAGCTACAGGACGGTCCGAAAGAATTCCAAGAAATTTGACGCTAAGCAAACGGCCCATCTTCTGATATGTGTGATGTTATCTGCCGTCTCATCTAGACCGGACTACCAGGTCAGCTTCAGTGCGTCACCGCTTGGACGCCGTGCTGTATGTCGATATATTTAGATCTCTGCTAAAGCAGCTAGGTCAGACCTTCCGACGGCTATAATCACAATTCATGTAGGCTGTTGAGAAGGGCAGGAGGCCATATATTGATTGCCTACACGAACGTTCTGTTGTCAGCCTTGTAATACAATTACGAAAAGATTACTTACCTCCTCCCCTATTGTTCGACCCCCCCACAATGACTGAAGAATTGACACTAGATCCAGAACCCATGTGCACAACGCACCGGTCGAAGAAATTCTGGACCACACTGCCCAGTTCCTTACGTTGAGGTACGGGTATCGCTTGATAGGCTTGAGTAAAACCTTCGACTTGCTCTATGACTTGCTCTTCGCTTTGATCTCCCGCAGCGAATGCTGCCAAAGTGCTGTCATCACCGTTCCTTTCATCTTCTTCATCGTCTACTATGTACAAACATATGCAAGGGTTTAGTCCTTCGTAGTGAGATACTACTAGGGATATCAAACACTCACCATTCGGACTGATGTGGTCAATAGCAGTGAAAAAGGATGCCGTAGTACTGACCAATGATTGTTGGTCTTGTGAACAGAAGATCGTCATTAGTCGGCTGGACATAATGCTTGTACCAACTTGCAGTTGGACATAAATAAAGCTTATTACACTTGTCACTCACCTGCTATACTGAGGCATGCCCTTCGTGAAATGCTCCGTGAGGTGCCCTGCCATACAATGAGCAACCTTACGGACCAATTCAAACAGTTTCAGCCGCTCACTATGGCCGCTTCTAGCAGGTCAAAACTTTCTGTGACAAGTCTGAGATGGCGACGATACCGCTTGAGTAATTTTGGAGGGTTCCATGTCTTCTTCGCCTCTTCGTATCCACGCCTAGTGTGGTATAATCTAATTGATACAGAAATCCGATGAAGGGTGTATCAAGAACGTTGAAAAACACACCTACGCCTCGAAATTACTCGTGATCCTTTGGATCTCGTCGTCTATGTCCGCCTGCGCTCACCCAGATTTCCTGTTACATTCTGTAAGCAGTTCGAAGGTCATCTCTTGATATACCTTGCTCTTCTGCAAAGGAGAGCACCTTGCGACACGTGCAGGTAATGAGGCCAGCGATGCAAGTAGGTCCGGGCTGCTGGTGGTGATTGTATTTTCCATGAGTTGGAGGAGATATCACACAAATATGCTGGGGCTCGATAAAGGGGCAAAGGCTTTATCGTCGACTTGTTCTTGTTTTATTACACAGTGACAGCCTGAGGACACTAGCGATGGCACACTGATGTATACTGAAGAATAAATACCGATACTATATATATGAATTCATCAATAACGTCTCCAGGACCAATAGACTGGGAGCCTATATTACAGCTGAATTCAAATCGATCACCTTCAAGTTGCTTGCAAGGTCATATGCCAGGTCACTCAAGCCACAATTCTGTCAAATTTAACATACGCAAACAAAATATCGGAACGTTCCGTGCGTCTCAGTCTATTGGATCAGTATGTTTCTTTCTTTCCAACATCTGTGATTGGCTTCGGTACGCAGCTCCTATGCGAATGCGGGACAGCAAATCAATAAACACAATGTCTTCTGCAGCTCGAATGTATTTCGTCAGTTGTACAACAGTAGATACTTGACGCTAAAGGAAAGCACCATGCAGCGTGGTTTGCCCCATTATAGCTTGTGGTGTACAATTTGACAACTTTATACCATCAATGAAATGGGTTCGCAGCTAATTGCACCACACGTTCCTGTTCGGAGGAACCTTTCTTATGTTTGGCACTGCCTTAAGCTTGGCCTTCCTGTCATCTCGCTGTACTGTATTGTTAAAGCAATGAACCCATAGAACGTTTAAACTCACATGTTTGCTGTTATAGATATCGCGGATGGCAGTTTGAATCTCTTACTCTGTAGTATAAGTCAACATGGTGTTTTGCTACAAGGATGGAGCCAACAATATGCATGTGTTAGCCAAGCATTATGGATAACTATGCTAAATCTACCTGAAGGTATCCACCGACTTACTGTGAATCACCATGCAGTCAAATATATTGAAGGACACAAAGAGTCGTTCTACATCACTAAGTACAGTGCAAAAGAGGAGTAGGTGTTGTAACTGGTAAATGTGAATGTAATATGTGTCATGTTATGTAAGCAAGCAAGGTCAGAGTCAGCGGGGTAACCAACACAGGAAATAACAGATAGACGTATACAGTCAGCCACTTGAAGTGGTATACATCATGCCAGCCACAACCATTCACAACCATATGTGAAACCTGTAACAACCAAGAGTTAGTTACTCCGGCGCACACAGGAACACACTATAGAGAAGATGAAGAGGGAGTGGTTACCCCTTAAGACGCAGTGAGTTAGTTGGTATACAACAGGAGGACTCGCTGAGGAGTCTCCTGGATCTATTGGAGTTTATATACTACTACAGGGTTGTTTGTGCATGTGTACTATACAGTTGATAGAGACAGTGGCTGATGATGTCATGGGGCCTAGCCCACATGGTCAGCTCCACTGTGTGAGAGAGTTGTGTTCAAAATAAGAAGAAAGGCAACGCGGTGCGAGAAAGGGGAAGTGCCGCGTGGCACCATGTGTGAAAGCTATAGTACAAGGTTAAAGCGGAGAATAAAAGTAAAGGGAAAAGTCCAAAAATTGTGTTATCGTAACAAAACCTGACATAATCAAAGTGTGGTAAAATAGCCATATACATCATATAGTAAGCTATAACCATAACATGAGAAGGCATATAACGCACTGAGGAGACGGTTCGTGACAACCAAACATTTGTTGGAAGGTATTTTGCAGATAGGATGGTCTCTGGGAGCTATAAAGTAAACTTTTATATAGTATAGAGGTGCTGTATGTCAATATGGTTGATAATAGTGAAATTGAAGCAAGCCTTATGGTCTACTGGAACTGTTTCAGGAAGGATGGTTGGCCCACACCATCCTTGCATGGTTCCCATGAACTATGCACAGATATAGTTCATCAGTACCATAATGGATGTAGACCATATGGTATATTGGAACTTTTCCAGGTAGGATGGTTGCCACACACCATCCTGGTGTCATTTGCTATAGTTTCTATGTACCATGTATTGATATAGTTCATTAGTACCATTACGGATGTAGACCATATGGTCTATTGGAACTGTTCCAGGAAGGATGGTTGCCACACACCATCCTTGCATGGTTTCTATATACCATGTGGAGATATAGTTCACTGATACCATTGCGGATGTACATCATATGGTCTGTTGGAACTGTTCCAGGAAGGATGATCTTGCACAACCATCACGGAAGTATGCTAAATGTAGTGGTACTACTATGTCCATTTGAATGTGTATTTTGCTTTTTTTTTTTCCGCAAAATATTGTTATCTTGCCCCAGGAGAGCTATTCATCGGCAGTGCTAAGACTCACCTGCAACAGCTCAAAACCGACAACATCAGATCAGGACAAGACAACAACACCACAGATGAGGAGGAAGTAAACAGCGACAATGAGAGCAAAGAGGAACAAGAGGGGTCTGATGAGGATACATAGACAGTGTACTGAGTGTAGGAACATGTATACCTCATGCAAATGTGTCACAGCTAAGAAAGGGCTTTGAGGGGACAACAGGCCAACAGTTACAAAATTATATTAAGTGTTGATGGCAGAACATTTTTAATGACAGCGGCCAGCATAAGATACAGCATTTGAATACAGCAAAACACAAAGTATTTTTGGACAGCGGCCCTTTTCACAAAGGCATTAAAAGTGACAAGCTCGCAGTGAGTACCTTATGTTTGATGCTGTTGATGATGAGAACTGGTGTTAGAAAACCACACACAAAAACAAACTAACACACAATCCTCCCAGATTCCACGGAACTTGTTTATGGGCTTTGCCTCCTAGAACAGTCGGTGCTCTGGTTGTTTGTGGGGTGGTACATATAATGATCCTTCAAAGTCAAACCCAGAGATGTATGGGTGTGGGTTTTGAGGAGGAGGGATAGATGAATTATAGAAGATAGGGGCTTTTGAGATGAATATAGGATGAGCACTACCTTGCTAATCTTAGCACAAGGTAGGTTTGAGAATGACGAGATAACAAGATTTCCAGTGATAGCAGGCTCCTGACGCACAGATTGTAGTGCTCAGAAGGACTCTAATCGAAAGGGATGGCAATGACTTTCAAAAGTGATGAGTGACGATGACAGCAGTTAACAGTGGTAGCAGTGGGAAGTGTTGTGACCACACTGGATCACAAGTAGCACAGTAGTGAACTTGAGATTAAGAGAAGAAGTCTGGATTTGAGTTCTTGTTGTTATTTTACAAGGTAAAATACAGGGATTTATATAGTAAAAGAAAGGTAGGCTATGCACAGTATAGCTGTGCATAAAGAATGAGAAAGAACATGAAGGAAGGAATGTACACTGACAAATCCTGCGTAGGTAGTACAGGATAAAATTGTCAAAATAAGGAAAAGAAAGGGATAGAACAATGAATGCTGTGTAAGTAATGTTACAGGTTTGTACAGCCATAAAATAAAGTCCGATAGCAAAAAGAGAGCAAGAAAATCATGATGTCATAAGAATATGCAGTAAAAAAAGCAAGTCAAAAATATCATCAGTATCAACACAATTCCTTTGTTGTCAGTCAGGCATTCTAAAAAAATATGTGTCCATAAAAATGATTCAAAAATCAAGAATAATTGTGCTGCAAATGAATGTTCTGCTGAAAAAAAAGGAACTGGAGCCACTGGTCCACCACCTAGTCTAAATCCGACGGTTCCATGGCCTTACCAATGGTCTGGTTGTATTGGACCACCTGGTCAAATGCGGGAGGGATAGGAGTAGTTCCAACCCGGAACAGGTGTGTCCCAGGCAGCATATGATAAGTGTAGCTGTAGCAAAGACAATGGATGAAAGATAAATGTACCCAAGTGAATTGGACGGCAATGTACATGGGCAATGCAAGGGGATGAACCTTTTTCAACTCAAAAACTACCCACCCACATTCCAACCAGGTGAGACAAGCGACCAATAATTTAATAGTGGATGATGGAAGATTGACACCTGTCCATGCTACCAATCAACTTTGGTGCATGACAGCAGCAAGATGAGCATTTCAGAGTGTTGCACTCTTTGTGGTGTGATGTTCTTGATCATAATGTGGACATTGGGGATGCCGGCTTGCTGTGATGAACAGGCCTTCTTGGCTGGTATTTGGTCAAAGTTGAGGCAGTTGGGTGGAGAGAAGATTGTTGCTTGCCTTAGCGGCTACAAGTATTTTTGTAAGTGCATCCTTTTCTCATCAAAAGAACAGAGACTAACTTTTTTTTGGCCCATAGCATCATTTCTTGATAATTTAGGTGGAGATGATTATCACATCCATTTGTCCGCTCAAAAACACAGTGCCCATACTAGGCCTCACACTTGATAGCCTGTTCAAGCTGTTTGAAGACTTTTAATTGCCCATTAAACTTGGCACTTGGTACAGGGGGTACATCATCTTCACGGGTTTGTTTTTTCTTTGTTGTTGTCATGGTGGTAGGAGTCACTAGCGGGATCTTGAAGAATATTCAGTGAGCATTTGCTATCACATTGACAAACAGACTCACAAGGTTTTTTTACCTCCATAGTGACTGCTTGAGTTTGAGCATTCCATGCTTTGTTTGACAGTTGCTCCATCTCCATCTTAAAGTCCCAGCGGTTACTTATATGGGACTGCTTGCCTGTATCACCAGATATCTTGTACACTAGCTGTGCATCACCTTGGGGCCCATTGAGCATCTCAAATATGTGCCGCTGAAAATCAACCCAGAGCATATCAGTGGTGGTCTCAAACCCCCTCTTCATTTCACCACTCACAATGTCTGTCATGAAAACAAAGGCTTATATTTGGTAAGTTAGCATGTACTATAATAGATGAACAGTTGATGCACTTACCTCCAGGTTGAGGTTCAGCATTTGAGTGAACCTTCAATTGCAAACTTGTTGGGGGGTCCTCTGTTACTGATGATGGCCTATGAGGCTTGTGCCTCTGTGATGCTGGCTCAGTGATCACTGTGTATGATGGTTGGTGCGCAATAGGCATTATGGGCATCTGCAGATGCCCGGATGCCTGCATGCCTTGCATGCCTTGTTGAACCACCAGATGCATACCTGGATGGCCATACTGCATGGCAAAGGGATGATTTGGATATCTGATCGCCATTGTGGGATAGCCAGCATAGTCAGGAGGATCCTGAGGTAGTGGATACCCCCCCGGCAGGTGATGCATGTTCTGTGGATTATTGATGTAGTTGGGGTTGGCTGGTTGAGAGGCAATTAGTGTTACGATAACACATTTTCGGACCTTTCCTTTATTTTCATTCTCCATGTTAACCTTTTACTGTAGCTTTCACACTCCGTGCCATGCAGCACTTTCCCTTTTATTCAAACTCCTCTTTCTCGCATTGCACGGCCTTTCTCTTATTTTTAGATACTAGTATCTCACGCAGTGGAGCTGGTCACACGGGCTGCGCCCTGTGACATCATCAGCCACTGCCTTTAGCAACTGTACAGTACATATGTACAAACAAACCTGTAACAGTATATAAACCCCAATAGATCCAGGAGACTCCTCAGCGAGTCCTCCTGTTGTATACCAACAAACTCTTTGCAGCCTAAGGGATAACCACTCCCTCTTCACTACCTTTATAGTGTGTTCCTGTGTGCGCCAGAGTAACTAACTCTTGGTTGTTACATTAGGACTTGCTCTTCTACTCTCTTACACGTTGTGCAAAAAGTCCCACTGGGCACCCGGACTCCAGGGTGAAGGAGATTTGGTTATTGTTTGGGAATATCCCGCATAGCAGATAGGTGCACTCCTTGCGACGGCCTTGTAGTGCTTTGGGAGAAGAGACAATACCGACGATACGCGACCCCCAGCGTCAAGGGGAGTACTATAGCTCAGCAGTCAGTGTGGAACCGCTGTTGATTAGAATTTACATACAAAACTTCATTTCTCTTTCCTCTGACCAGGCCGGGAACTTGCCTCTGCCAGTCTGGAGAAGGGCTGACAGCTTAACAAGCGGGCCACCCCCTGACAACCATTCAGACCAGGGTTTCATACTATAACTTTACATACAATTTCAAATACTATAGTGTGGGTAGTCGGAGATTGAGATCCGATACTCAGCTGGGAAGAGGTAGATCCACAGATAGCAAGCGGGCACCCCCAGTTACATTTTTTCTACCTTACGAAGAGAACAAGTCAACATGTCGTCGCAAAACCAACCCGATGTCAACACTCTGTTGCACAACATGCATGCACAGATTTTGGTGTTGACCACACAACTCGCCGAGCTACAGGCAGCCCCTCCTGCAGCAGCACCCTCGGTAGAGAAAAAGTTTAACAAGAAAGTCGAAATCATCGCTGACCCCGGCGCTTTCAAAGGAGACCGGGCTCGATTTGCCGAATGGTGGACCAAGCTCCAAATTTGGATAAAGGTGAACTGGGATGCGTTCGCCAATGACTTTGAGGTAGCAACTGTGGTGCTATCTCAACTAAAGGGACCTGTGGCAGGTCAATACGCCCAAGTTAGATTACAGGAGTGCTACACCGCGGGTGTGTGGCCTGCCTGGGATGATCTCAAAGTAGAGATTGAAAAATATCTTAAACCACAGGCTGAGCGTGACTGGGCTCGCCAACAAATCCATTCCTTCAAACAAGGAAACATAAGGACAGACGACTACGTAACCCGGTTCCTGGCCCTCTCCATCCAAGGGGGTTTAGGTAACGAACATGCAATAGAGTTGCTGGAACGCAATGTGAACCCCCACATTGCAGAACAACTCTACCTGCAGGATATGAGGCAGGATAAACTCTCAGACACGGCAGAAGAAATTCGTAAAATCGGTAGGGCTATAGAGCTCTACAAAATGCACCGGTGTCGATGATGAGAACTGTTGTTAGAAAACCACACACAAAAACAAACTAACACACAATCCTCCCAGATTCCACGGAACTTGTTTATGGGCTTTGCCTCCTAGAACAGTGGGTGCTCTGGTTGTTCGTGGGGTGGTATATATGGGGATCCTTCAAAGTAAAACCCAGAGGTGTATGAGTGTGGGTTTTGAGGAGGAGGGATAGTTGAATTTATAGAAGGATAGGGGCTTTGTGACGAGTATAGACGAGCACTACCTTGCTAATTGTAGCACAAGGTAGGTTTGAGAACAACAATATAACGAGGTTCCCAGTGATAGCAGGCTCCTGACGCACAAACTGTAGTGCTCAGAAGGACTCTAATCGAAGGGGATGACAATCACTTTTAAAAAGTGACGAGTGACGATGACAGCAGTTAACAGTGGTAGAAGTGGGAAGTGTTGTGACCACACTGGATCACAAGTAGCACAGTAGTGAATTTGAGATTAGAGAAGAAGTCTGGAATCGAGTTCTTGTTCCTTTTTTACAAGGTAAAATACAGGGGTTTATATAGTAAAAGAGAAGTAGGCTATGCACAGTATAGCTGTGCAAAAAGAATGAGAAAGAATATGAAGGAAGGAATGTACGCTGACGAATCCTGCGTAGGTAGTACAGGATAAGATTGTCAAAAAAAGAAAAGAAAGGGATAGAACAATAAATGCTGTGAGTAATGTCACAGGTTTGTACAGCCATAAAGTAAAGTCCAATAGCAAAAAGAGAGCAGGAAGATCATGATGTCATGGGAAGATGCAGTAAAAAAAGGGCAAGGCAAAACACTATCAGTATCAACACAGTTCCTTTATTGTCAGTCAGGCATTCTAAAAAAATATGTGTCCATAAAAATGATTCAAAAATCAAAAATAATCGCACTGTAAATGAATGTTCTGCTGAAAAAAAAGAAACTGGAGCCACCGGTCCACCACCTAGTCCAAATCCGACAGTTCCATGGCCTTACCAATGGACTGGTTGTGTTGGACCACCTGATCAAACAAGGGAGGGAGAGGAGTAGTTCCAATTTGGAACAAGTGAGTCCCAGGCAGCGTGTGGTAGGTGTAGCTGTAGCGAAGACGATGGACAAATGATAAGTGTACCCAAGTGAATGGGACAGCGATGAACATGGGCGACGCAAGGGGATGAACCTTCTCCAGCTCAAAAACTACCCACCCACGCTCCAACCAGGCAAGACGAGCAACCGATGTTTTGATAGTATATGATGGCAGATCGACGTCATGAAGATGGACCTGTTGCCCTATTTGGACCGGCCGCCGGGGCTTTGCTGATATCAGCAGTGGCACGTGGTAGTCAACGGATCGGCGATGGAAGCGGATAGGAAGTGGTGACATCAGAAATGGTGGGGGTGCAAATAAGATGAGGAGGAGGAGGGTGGAGGTGACAAACAAGTGGATTAGAATGGGGATCCAGAAACGACCGTCAGGTGAGAATAAAAAGGAGAGGAAGGGGCCCATGGTGGGGCTAGGCAAAAGAAGGGGAGTAAGGGAAACGACAAAAGCGAGGGCGCAATGCAATGTGTAGCCAGTGGCGACGCGAAAATTTGCCGAAATGCCGAAACGCGGAAAGTACCGGATGGAAAAGCAAAGGTGAGCGTGACTGGATTGCCTAATAGAGGTGGTGCTGATCAGCCACAAGTTCAAAAGGGCAATATTAATTACTATTCCATGTGGCACTGTGCCTGTGTGGCGCAAAGGCGAGTCTTTTTGAATATTCGCTTCGTTATTGACACCTTTGTCCATGCTACCAATCAACTTTGGTGCATGACACCGGGGTGGCGGGACCACCACCAAAAACAACTATTTCCAGAGGAGCCCTGGGTCATCAAACCAAATTAAACAACATTCTCACGTGTTCAAGCCGTATGGGCTGCAACCAGGGCAGGGAGCCCCTATGGATATTGGCGCGGTCCAGGGCAGACAGATGCACAGATTGAAAGGGAACTGCTACAATTGTGGCCAAGAGGGACATATGTCCCGAGACTGTAGAAACAGGGCGCAGGCCGCTCAACCAAAAAATAATCAAAGGCGCCAGGCGCGCCAATTAGAAGCAGAAAAACTGGATGATTGGCTTAATTCTTTAGCCGGTTGTTCTTACGACAAAATCTGGGCTTTCTTCTATGATCAACAGGCTGCTGAGATGAAGGCCCAGGGAAAAGAATTCGGAGCGTAGGTCACTTGGGTGCCGTCGCTCCCCGTTACGATGAAGTAAACCACAACAAGGTGGCCCCTGATCCGGGGTGTTGCACGAGCAATAATGGAAAGAAGGGGGTGGCTCCCCAATTTATAAATAGATTTCTTAGTTTACTATCTGAAGTATGTACTTGTATGCGCAGCTGTGACTGTGGATTCGCCTTGGACCCTCCGGCTAATATAGCTGCTTTGAGCGCCGACACCGTGGGTCAAGACAATGAAAGAGTTAACACTGACAATACTTACAATACCACCGCTGTACCAGCGTCTCCTTTGGAGTGTGGCCCAGGCGAGACAAACACTAGGGTGCTTAATTCTGGTAAAAATAAAAATAAAAAAATAGAAAATCCTGAAGTAGAAAAACATGTATCTTTCGATGATTCTTCTTCTTCTTCGGAGCCACTTTCCACAGAAATCCCAAGGCATGTGTTGATGCGCATGTATTTATTCCAAAAGGAGATCTGTTTAGACGTTGGCACGGAAAACCTTGCCCGGGGCATAGTACACCCAACCAGCGCATTGCTTGATTCAGGCGCTAACAGCATCTTCATAGATCAGGTCTGGGCGGAGCAAATTGGACTCCCCCTTGTAAAATTAGATATATCTATTCCCGTCTATAACATTGACAGTACACTTAACACGGGTGGCTGTATTACACACAAATGTTCTTTTGTTGTCAAGTACCAAGGACACAGAGAACGAGTCACCGCTGAAGCTACCCAACTAGGGAAGATTAATTTAATCTTGGGCTGGACCTGGTTATTTAAACACAATCCTGAGATTGACTGGCAGACAGGGGTTGTCACATTGTCACATTGCCCTCAGGAGTGTGTGAACTTGGGTAAAGCAAATCACGTCCGTCACAATGAGCGTCTTGAGAAGATAAACACTGGTCACGTTTATGAGCTCAGATCTTTAGAAATGATCGACAATGACAATGATGAGGTAAAACCTGAGGAAGAGATTAAGAGGCTGGTACCTCCCGAGTACCATGACTTCTGGAAAGTATTTTCAAAACATAAATCAGAGCGCTTCCCAGAAGCTAAGCCTTGGGACCATGCTATAGATTTGAAAGACACCTTCAAACCAAGAAAAGGACACATGATACCACTCTCTGCCCCGAAAAGAGATGAGGTATCAAGTTTCATAGATGAACAGCTTAGGAAGGGTTATATCAGACCTTCCAAAAGCCCTATGACGTCCCCGGTGTTCTTCATCCCTAAAAAGGATGGTAAAAAGCGCATGATTATGGACTGTCGTTACGTGAATGAGCACACGGTTAAAAATGCATATCCGCTGCCTTTGATCAGTCAGCTAGTAGACAAGTTGGCTGGCGCCAAAATCTTGACAAAGATGGATCTCAGATGGGGATACAATAATGTACGAATCAAAGAAGAAGATGCTTGGAAGGCCGTGTTCACATGCCACCGAGGATCCTTTGAACCCCTCATTATGTTCTTTGGGTTGACCAATTCACCGGCAACCTTTCAGAGCATGATAAACGAGATCTTTGCAGATATGAAGAACTGTGTTATCATTTACATTGACAATTTACCAATATTTACGAAGTCGGACATTGAGGCTGAGCATGACAGGATCGTGCAAGAAGTCCTTCGATGCTTACAGGATTGGGACCTATTCGTCAAGCCCGAAAATGTAATTTTAAAGTGAAGGAAGTAGACTTCCTCTGTATGATAATAGGCTAGAACGGAATCAGGATGGATCCTGAGAAAGTTCAAGCTATATTGGACTGGCCTGAACCTACTCGCGTCAAAGGAGTTAGGGCCTTCCTTGGCTTAGGCAACTTTTACTGAAGATTTGTTGAAAACTTCGCAAACATAACAAGACCGTTGAACAATCTCACTAAAAAGGACATTGTTTGGCATTGGGGCGCCAAAGAACAAGAAGCTTTTGATAAGCTTAAACAGGTGTTTACGACAGTGCCCATTTTAGCATTTCCCGAATTAGACGAAGAGTTCCGGCTAGAAACCGACTCTTCTGATTTTGCTACTGGGGCTGTTCTGTCAATTAAATGCCCTGACAATCTTTGGAGGTCTTGTGCCTATTTATCGCATAGTTTGTTGCCTACAGAGCGCAACTATCAGATTTACAATAAGGAGATGCTGGCCATCATTAGAGCTTTAAAGCACTGGCGGCACTACTTAGAAGGTGCTAGGCACCAATTTGAAGTTTGGACCGATCATAAGAATCTGGAGTACTTTATGACGGCCCGAGACCTGAACCAAAGACAGGCCCACTACGCGGTGTACTTGTCAAGGTTTAATTATAAATTAATTCATAAGCCTGGAAGCTCTATGGGGAAAGCAGACACTTTGTCCAGAAGAGAAGATCATGCCAACGGCATCGAAGATGACAACAAAGGTGTTACCCTGATAGACCAATCAAGGGTTGCCAATGTTAGAATTGGGCAGGATTCTGATCTTCTGGAAGTCTTCAGGAAAGACATCTCCTCTGAAGAGAAAGCACACCTTGACAGCAATGAAAACTATTTATGGGAAGACGAGCTCTTCCATTTTAAAAATAAAATTTATGTGCCTGAGTCCGCAAGGATCAAGGCAATAGATAGACATCATGACACTCCAGTGGCTGGGCACCCTGGGTGGCAACGAACAATGGAGTTGGTCTCCAGAAACTATATGTGGCCTGGCATGGTCAAAGACGTACAGGAATATGTAAAATCCTGTCTAAGATGTGCCATAGCTAAGAATTCTCACCAACCGCCGGCCAGTAAACTTATGCCAAATCCGATACCAGCTGGTCCCTGGCAGGATATATCGGTTGATTTTACAACGGATATGCCGGAGTCAAATGGGTATGATTCGGTAATGGTGGTAGTAGATCGCTTCTCCAAAGAAGTGGTGTTCATACCCACCAACAAAACCATTACAGCTGCTGGTACGGCAGACCTATTTAAAGATTTTGTATGGTCTACCCACGGGTTACCAGAAACGGTTATCTCTGATAGGGGACCACAATTTGCTAGCGAATTCACGAAAGAATTATGCCAGATGCTGGGCATCAAACCTAAGTTATCCACGGTGTTCCATCCACAGACCGATGGACAAACGGAGAGACTCAACTAGGAGTTGAAACAATATCTCCGGATATTTATTAATGACAGACAGAGGGATTGGGCCAAGTGGCTAAAGATAGCCCAGTTCTCTTATAATATTCAACAGTCATCGGCTACAGGAAAGGCACCATTCAAGGTTACGAGATCATACCTTCCTAGAATGGGTGTAAAACCTGGCAAAAGCAAGAACGAGGCTGCTGGGAACATGGCCAAGGACATGCAATCCGTCTTAGATAAAATGTGCAAGGCGCTATTCCAAACTGCAGAGCAGATGAAAAACAGGGCAGAACGTAGACGCTCTAAAGCCCCTGACTACAAGGTCGGCGACCTGGTCTGGTTAGATACCGACCACTTAAAATTGAAGGACCGGCAGTCTGAAAAATTGACCAAAAAATGGATTGGCCCTTATCGGATTAAGGAAGTCAAACCCAATGCAGTGGAGCTGGGGCTCCCAAAACAAATGAGGGTAGTACCCACGGTAAATATTAGCCGTGTGAAACCATACAAAGGGCCGCTGCCGGGACAGCACGTAGACCGGCCCGGACCAGTTGTAGTCACCCAGGAAGGTGAAGAAGAGTTCGAAGTCGAACGAGTGGTGGATGCACGCTTGAAGCATGGAAAATTAGAGTTCCTAGTCCTGTGGAAGGGCTATGGAGACAAGGACTGAATGTGGGAACCAAAAGCCCATCTGGACAATTCCCGCAACACTGTTTGTGGATTTTATTCCAAGAATCTCTCGGCTCCTAGGAAGCTTAGAGGCATGGATTCGAAACTTTTTAATTCTCTTTTTCAACCTATGCCCAAAAATTTAACTACCACCTCTGGTATTTGGTCGAGCCTGGAAGTCGAGCCTTAGAAGGGGGGTAGTGTTATGATAACACAATTTTCGGACCTTTCCTTCATTTTCATTCTCCGCTTCAACCTTGTATACTTTAGCTTTCACACATGGTGCCACGTGGCACTTCCCCTTTTGTTCAAACTCCTCTTTCTCACGCCGCATTGCTTTCTTCTTATTTTTAGATACAACTCTCTCACATAGTGGAGCTGGTCACACAGGCTGCGCCCTGTGACATCATCAGCCACTGCCTTTAGCAACTGTATAGTACATACATAGAAACAAACCTGTAACAGTATATAAACCCCAATAGATCCAGGAGACTCCTCAGCGAGTCCTCCTGTTGTATACCAACAAACTCTTTGCAGCCTAAGGGGTAACCACTCCCTCTTCACTACCTTTATAGTGTGTTCCTGTGTGCGCCAGAGTAACTAACTCTTGGTTGTTACAATTAGGGTGAGTGTTTATGTTTTTTTACCACTTCTTGCACTTATATATCCAAGTCCATAGGTTAATTGGCAATATGGAATTCATGTCAAACAATATTTTGTCCATTTACTTTTTTTTTTCTTGCTATACAAGTACTAGTCTTGCACTTGGCTTTCATGAGCTCTTGCACTCTCAGCCACAGCTAACCATAGTTTAGTCTTTTTTTAAAGCCCAATCCAATATTAAAGCTCAGTTAAAGGTCAGTCAATCTCCTATTTGTGTGCTTTTTTGAATTTACAGCCTATCAATATGAATTTAGCTGTAGTCTTTTATTAAGATTTAGTCTAATATTCTCACTCAGTTGAACGTCAGTTGAACACCCATGTCTGTACTATTGTTGGACAATAGGTGCAATTGGTTCAGGGAGAAGTTGAATAACTCACCTGTCATTGAGCTTGAGACTGTCGGAACTTGAATAGTAGATATAATTTTTAGTTTTCTAGCTGCCTATGTAGAAAAATAAACAAGAACTTGAAGCATTAGAGCAGTGGAATGAAACCAAAAAGACAACCATCCAGATAGAAATAGTGGCAAGGTTGTCTGGGGTCAGGATATCTGGTTCAAACCAATCTAACATCATTACCTTAAGGAAAGAGATAGCGTAGTTGATTTTCGCTCGGTCAGTTTGGAATGTGCCTGGATGGTTATTGAAGTCCAGCTGGCACTGCACAATGAAGGAGCGGAGCTTCCTGGGATTGGAGCCATCAAAGGTGTCTGGCTCTCTAATCTTGGTGCATGCGGAAGTGCTGTTGGGGCTATGTCTGGACAATCTGGCAAGCAAGGTAATTGCCTGGGCCAGAGTGAGGTCTTCAGCATCCTCATTCTCTGGCTCCATGCGGGGTAGTTCCGCAAGAGCAGTATTGGGGAATGTGGAGCATGGATTGGTGTGCAAGGTGAGTTGGGAGGGATTGGGGAACCCCTGGGGGTACAAGGAGAGGTTGGGCATTCTGGGGCCATGGAGATTGATCGCACCTCTAGGGGTCAACCAGCAGAAAAGCTGAGGAAATTGGTGTTGCCCTAAGAGATATTATGTACATGTTAGACCATGGAAGATACGGAGGGTCCAGGAAGTGTCAGTTTGAATATACTGTCAGAACCGTGACCTTTTGGAGTGCCAGAGTTATAGAGTACAGAGATGGAGTAGGGGTGGCAACAGAGTACGAGATTGGGAGTTGGCTTAGTTTGTGCATTAGGCCCTTCTGCGAACCTTGGTCTGTAACTCATTAAAATGAACGGATGAGAGTAGAGGATGAAAAGGGAGAGTAAAGATCCTTCAGAGAAGGACCAGAAAGACTTAGAAAGGGACTTGTAAAAAGGTGAGGGAATCTAGTTAATATTCAAACTGCAGGAACAGAGTACAGGAGCTACAACTTATATACTGTTGGAGGAGTGGGAGTTCGTAAGGAGTAAGGAGTAAGGAGTAAGGAGTAATATAGGTACGGAGTTCCATGTGGACAATTATCTAGCAAAAGAGAAACATATGTGCAAGGAGTGTATCATAGGGTCTAGACTACAGAGTCCATGAGGAGTACGAGAATGTGCGTAGGAAAGCATATGGCGGACTAGAAGTCTGGTGCAGGAGTTTTAGAGCGGATGCCCAGAGTACCATGTGGAAATAGGGCATAGAGTTATGCCATTTTGGAATGGTTCTGCAATTTCTGGTCACACTGGGTCACAGCGGCACTCACAGACCAAATCAGGCGGAGCTTATCAGTCAAATTCTGCCAGATAATACCAAGTCCTGATGCTGGTGGTACGTGCTGTTACAATTGACATACTAGCACCTACTTACGCTTCACTTTTTTGTACTTTTACTTTTACTTTTTCCAAGTCACATGACCAGTCATGTGACCATTTACTTTACTCTACATTTTCAACTTTTCATAGTCACATGACCAGTCATGTGACTCATCACCTGACCAATGTCTAGACTCATCATGTGATTGGTCACATGCTAAATATCGGACTTTAAACCTTACTTACAACTGTATAGTACATATATACAAACAAACCTGTAGTAGTATATATACCCCAATAGATCATGGGGAAGGACTCAGCGAGTCCTCCTGTTGTCTAGCACAACAAACCCGTTGAAACCTGAGGGGTGATCCCTCCTTCTCTCTTCTCTTTTGCTTGTCCAAGTTGTGCGCCAGAGTAAGAAACTCTTGGTCGTTACATGTGCTATACGTACTGGAGCAGAGCTAGCGGTCCTTGATTGATTATCTTGGTGTGTGATTACCTGTTTTAGTCACCTAGTCACAACTTCATCATTGTTTTTGTTTCTCCAGACGCTTTGGGGCCCCAATCAGCTCAGTAAGTATCTGGCATTGTAGGGGTCTAGCTATAGACATTTTCTAGGATATTGCAATATTTCCAGCACAAGATCTGGTCAAATCCGGCCATCCCTCCCTCAAAATTCACACTTCTGGAGTTCTAGAGCGTAGTGTCAGATCTGTCATTGTTGCTACAGATAAGCTATTCACTAAATTCTTTCACAGTTATATTCTCTATACTTTATTCTACATCTGACAATTTTCTAGCTACCTGTACAATGATTGTTGAGCCTCTGGAGGCCCAAGTGCATATCTCTTACTGGTTGCATCCGGTGTCCAATGATAGTAATTGTCAAAATTTCTGGCCTATGATCTGAATTTAGCTGTGGAAGGAAAACACTGGGAGCTACAGTGTAGGACTGGTATAACAACTGAGTTGCGCTACTGGAAGAAACCAGGCAACTCAACGTCAATCTCTAGCAAGTAGTTGAACAGGTGTATAAAGACGAAATCAAAAGCTAAGGTATGTACATCGTTGAGTGTCTACTTATATATGTAAGAACTCATGTCAGCCATGAGGCGCTGACTGATAGACATGAGGATGTATCGTGTTTAGCTTGGTAAGATGATTTGTAAGTGATCATGTGACTTAGGGTCACATGATGAGATAAGAAGATAAGATAAGGAAGGCTACGTGATAAGATAAGGAGAAATGAGTGTTTCTACGTCAGAGTTTGAGATGAAAGGTGAAATTTTAGGTGTAGGAGAAGAGGATCGTGACATTACCCCCCCTTTAGGACTTTCGTCCCGAAAGGTTGGTTCAAGTTTGCCATTTTCCCAGTTAAATATCCTATGTTTATGGGAAAATTCTGTGAGGTTTTCGAACAGTTGATAATGAAGTAAGAAATTGATTTGGCGTGGAGCAGATGGGAAATGATCATGGAAGTCTTTGACTAGTTCTGGCGAATTTTTGACATTTCGCTCAGGTTCCCATGTTCGTTCTTCTTTTCCATATCCTTTCCAATGTACCAGATATTCTAACTTGCCACGTTTCAATCGTGAGTCAAGTATTCGTTCTACTTCGTATTCTCTTTGTCCGTCAACTTCAGCGGGGGGTGGAGGTTTTGGTTTCTTTTGACCAGGAAAGGTTGGTTCTTTATAGGGGTGGAGGATTTTTTCGTTGAATACTGGATATACGTTTTTCCATTTTCCGGGTAGTTTTAATTTGTAAGCGGCCGGTCCGGTTTTCTTTTCGACTACAAATGGTCCGTGTCGTTTATCATCCAGTTTCTTTGATGGTCGATCAGTTGTGATGTGTTCGGCTTCTACATAAACCTTGTCTCCTGGTTCATATTCAAGACTTTCCTTTTTTGTTTTGTCATATGATCTCTTCATAATCTCGGCTGCCTTTGCCAGAGATTTTTCTGCTTCTTCCCTCGTTTCTTTCATTCTTTCTACAAACTCTTCCGCACTCTCACTCTTTACTCCTTTCCTAATTCCTTCTACTATTTTTGGGTGTTGCCCATTGTTTAAATAAAAAGGACTGAAGCCGGTAGCTGAATGTTCTTTATTGTTATAGGAGAATTCTGCTAATGGTAACCAGTCTGCCCAATCGTCTTGTTTATGGTTAACAAAGATTCGGAGATATTGTTCTATCTCTTGATTAATCCTCTCTGTTTGACCATCGGTTTGTGGGTGATAAGCAGTTGATGGGTTTCCCTTTATACCTAGCATTGTGTAGAGATCCTTCATAAAATTAGAGACAAATTGGACTCCTCGATCTGAGATGATTTTATCGGGTAATCCATGAAGTTTAAATATATTGTCTCTGAATAGTCTCGCTACTCCTTCTGAGTTCAACTCAGCATGTGTTGGCATAATCCTGATCATTTTTGAAAAGCGATCAACAACTACCATGATAGTGTTGTAACCCTTTGATTCTGGTAATGGTCCTATGAGATCCGTTGATATGATTTGCCAGGGGCGGCTTGGAATCTCATTCGGATGTAACGGTGCGGCCTTTTTTTGATGATCTGTTTTTGTTCTTTGACAGGTTTCGCATCCGGTTACGTATTCTTGGACGTCTTTGTCCATATATGGCCACCAGTACCATCGGGTAATCAATTCCTTTGTTTTATACCGGCCTGGGTGGCCAGCTATTGGGGAATCGTGATTGTCTCTTATGATCGTTTCTCTGAGTTTTCGGTCTTTTGGGACATACATGCGACCTTTGAAGTAGATGAGTCCTTCATCGGTCCACCAGCCGTCTTGGCGGTTGTCTATTTTGTCCTTGACCTTTTGAACGAGTTCGTCAACGTTTTTCATCCTTTTATGAATCCATCTTGTGATCTCTATATTTTTGGCATCGTCAATTGCTATCTGTTGCCTTTTTTCGTGTGATAGAGTCATATTAATGGAGAATAGTTCTGGTTTCAATAAGGTAACGTTTTCGTTATCATTCTTTCCCTCGTCGTGGTCTGATCGTCTGGATAATAGATCGGCTTTGATGTGAGTAGCGCCTGGCTTGTGATGTAATGTGAAATGATAATTGGCCAGTTCGCTAACCCATCTTGCCTGTCGTCTATTGAGCTTCTGAGGTTGTTTAAAATATGTTAGGTTCTGATGATCAGTCCAGATCTCGAACTCTTTCGCGGCGTCCATTAGATAATGGCGCCATTCCTCTAAAGCCGTCATAATGGCCAATAGTTCTTTATCATATATCTCGTAGTTTCTTTCAGTTGGATTGAGAGATTTAGATAGATAAGCTATTGGTTTCCAGACTTCATTCTGTTCTTGAGAGAGTACTGCTCCTAGAGCATAGTCGCTACTATCCGCTTCTACTCGGTATTGACCGTCATTGGTCGGGAGTGCTAATACGGGGGTTGTGCTTATCCTTCTTTTTATCTCTTCGAAGGCTTCTTTTTGTTCTTTTCCCCATATAAACTCTTCTTTACCGGTCAGTTTAGTAAGTGGTTTCGCTATTGATCCGAATCCTTTGATAAACCTTCTATAGAAGTTAACGAATCCTAAAAAGGCTTGCACATGTTTCTTTGTTTTGCATTCTGGCCAGTCTAGGATTCCCTTCACCTTAATCGGGTCCATGCGGATTTCGTTTTCCAAGATGATTAATCCCAGATATTCTGTTTCTGTTTCTTCGAAATCGCATTTTTCCGGTTTTAGGTATAGATGGTGTTTTCGTAAGATCTGAAGTACACGTCGCGTCATTGCTCGGTGTTCCTCTATCGTCTTTGTGAAGATCATAATATCGTCCAGATAGATCACTACTTTTCCTTCATCAATTAGGTCTTTGAATATAGAATTCATCATAGTTTGGAATGTAGCTGGTGAATTTGTTAATCCAAAGAACATTACTAACGGTTCGAACAAGCCGCGATTGGTTCTAAATGCAGCCTTGTGTTCGTCTCCTTCTTTGATCCGAATGTTATTATATCCCCATCTTATGTCAAGTTTTGTAAAATACTTGGCGCCTCTGAGCTTGTCTACAAGTTCATTAATCAGAGGTAATGGATATCGGTTTTTGATGGTGATTTCATTTAATTTTCGGTAATCTTGTACAGGTCGGAGTTTGCCGTCTTTCTTTTTGATGAAGAAGAATGGTGAAGCAATCGGAGATTTACTAGGTCTGATGCGTCCTGAGTCTAAGTTCTCTTTTAGGAATGCATCTAACTGTTCTTGTTCTCCTAGTGCTAATGGATAAACCTTACAGTCTATCGTGTGATCGCCTGGTATTAGTTCGATTGCATGGTCCCATTGTCTTCTCTCAGGGAGGGCGTCAAATTCTTTTTTGTCAAAGACATCTTTGAATTCATGAAGGTATTTTGGTACAATGCCTTCGAATCCACCTGTTTTCTGGTCTTTTCCTGCTGCTTCGGCAAGCTGTTGTGCAGTCGTGCCATGAGCGCGGATGTGGTACATGACGTCAGGAATGGATGTGTCTTCAACGTTTAAGAAATTGAATTGGATAATTCTATCCCCCTCTTCAAGATTGACCTCAGGGCAATATGTTTCTAGATCTTCTTCGGGATCAAAGAATCTTACCATCATGTTGCAGTCTGATGGACATCTATTGAAGTTTAATTTTGACATGTTCCAGTCTATCGTGGGATTGTGTTTCTTTAACCATTCATGGCCTAGGAACATCCTGCCAGTTCCAAGATTGGTAATGGCTAGCTGGAGTCTTTCGGCGTGGTCGTTAATCTCCACCAATATTTCTACGAATTCTTTAATACTGCCGTCTCGGTTTAGAGTGCCGTCAGCATTGTAGACTGGAATTGGTCTAGGGATTCTATGCCTTTCATATCCCTGTTCTTCAACAAATTTGTTATCTATGCAACTTCCGGTACAGCCACTGTCTAGTAATGCCTCAATCGTCGTTGATTGATGAGATGCAAGGTTTGTCAGTCTGCAGGTGATGTTCATCTGGTTTCCCTGAGTGCCTCTAATGAATTGCTTAGGCTTCTTCAGTTCTTCCAGTGCTAATACCGTTTCGTGAATTGGTAAAGCATTCAGTTCTTTTATCAAGTCTGCATTGACTTCCAATCCTCTTTTTCTGTGGGTCCAACTACTGAGAATACCAATAGATCTTTCTTCCTTTTGGTCTCGTAGTCTTTCCGCTATCCAGGCAGCTGTCCATGGTGTTTTTTGATTCTTTTTATCTAGGTTTTTATTAGAGGTGTTCCTGACCTCTTTGGAGCTGGTCGAAGCATCAGTTTCGGTTACGCTACCCAATTGAGTCGTAACATTCTGTGCTTCAGTTGTCTCCTTCGTAGTTGCTGCGCTTTTCGTGGCCCTTTCCCCTTTAGGTACCTCGTGCGCCGCATCCTGTGCTGCGCTTTTCTCTTTCGAGTGCGCCGCTTCTTTTTTGGGAATCTTTTCAACCCGTTTCCCTTTCAGGTTCTCCTCTTTTATAGATTGTTCCTTTCGTTTCAGATCTTGTGCATCTTTGAATAAAGCAATATCATTTTCATCGTTACTGGTACATGTGGCATCAAGATTTTCAACAGGTAGGAGAGTATATCTA